GTCGGTACTACGAGACCAGGGGAAGTACGACGAGGCAGAGAAGCTGAGCTGGCGAGCGCTGGAAGGGAAGGAGAAGGAGCTAGGTGAACAGCACCTTTATACGCTGACGAGCGTAAGTAACCTAGCGTCGGTACTACGAGACCAGGGGAAGTACGACGAGGCGGAGAAGCTGAGCCGGCGAACGTTGAAAGGGAGGGAGAAAGAGCTAGGCGAACAGCACCCCGATACGCTGACGAGCGTTTACAACCTTGCTTATCTTTTACATAGGCGTAAGCGGTATAAAGAGGCTTTAGGACTTTACCAGAGAGCATGCGACGGCTACAAGTACAAGCTCGGTACTCAGCACCCAACAGCTATTGCTTGTCTCAATCATTTTTCAGCTATGCAACAAGAGGTAAAACAGGAAGGGCTAGGACAATTGCGGGACGTTAATTAATAACAGTAAAGTAACACTTAAAGAGATATCGACTCGTAGCTTTACTAGTCTAAATGGTAGTAGAACTACGCCTGAACTAGTAAATAGTAGCAAGTAATGTTCGCTCTACACGCGCTTAAAGAGAAATATATATACAAAAGTTTTATAGTATATAGATATAAATTCTATTTAATTATCTTCTTTTCTCTTTATACTATAGAGGATCAAAGAGGAGCATGTACCTTTATAGTAGTTAGTAATTGCTACTTGATTTCTAGTATCTTCTCGAAGAATTATAGCATGTTCCTGGTATTATTCAAGAATATAGTTTAGAGCATGTGATAATGAAGAACTATGGCCTTGTCGCCTTATTCTCAGCTTTATATTCAAAAATCTGGCTAGCTATAGTATATCTAGGTTTTGTGGCTGACTAGAAATTTCAACACTGTTCAAGACGGAAGCTAATTTCGTGAGCGACCATACGAAAGAGGGCCCGAAGAATTCATCGTCACTTTATGTTTTCTGCCTTTGCTAAACAATGCAATTTTCTGTCAGTGTGGAATAGCCATGGTCATGTACCTTTGTATCATACGATGCGAATGGGCAAAGAATCTCGACGTGTGTGGATGTCCAATATAGTACAAAGGCGACTAGAACGTTCTTTGTAGGTGCAATATCTTCCTTTATTGTGTGACGTGAAGTCTTTTTATCTTTATCGAGACGCTCAGCGTTTTATCTGCCTCCTCCCTTATTTTCCGGATAAACCCGGAACCTAAATGTCTAAGTGCTTTGGATTTTTAAAGCTTGATATACTATTTTCTTATCATGGAGCCTTCTTTCTATAGTCCCGAGAAGTGAAATTGAGCTGATAGTCGTAATGTAACAAGGGGAAACCGCTAAAGTAGCTATTAACGCTGTGGACAGGATAATCGACAACATAACCAAGACTGCAATAATTTTTTATTGGAGATTGAATCTTATTAAAGAAATGGTTAAGGAACAATGTCTAACTGACTGTAAATTTAAACACTTGCAAGAGAGAAATTTAATAACAGATTTGTCTCTGCACGTAGGGTTTTTCGCTACGCAGGGAGGGACATTAGCCTTTATTTTTAAAATTTGGGTGTTTATTATCGGTATCTCGGAGGATCGATTTTGTAAAGGAAACTACTAGTATATACGTAATTAGACTGACAACTGTGGTTTCATTAAAGGTGTATTACTCCAAGAATATATTTTATTTATTGCTATCTATAACAATCACAGGTAATTTTCTATATAAAAACGAATCAATTAAGATAGTGGTTGCAGGATAGTTACTAATAGAAATGAAAATTATTGTTCCGGGCCTAATAATGATATAAAATGGGGGGGGGTCGGAGGGTGGAGGTTGATATTAAGGTATCGGGAAGTGGGCAGTAAAGTAGTTAGAATTACTTTTTAAAAGTTGGCCGGAATACAGCCTGTGGATCATTCTTTTTGTGCGGGGAGAGATGAAAAGATGGAACTTTAAGAAAAGACCCTAGGATTTAAAAAAGAAAATATATTGTTGAATATCAATAATTGTCGTTTGCTCTCAAATATACCTAGAACTCTTAGCTTATTCCCCAGGAGGCCAGAACGTGTCTTGCAACTCCACGGTCAATCCTTCTATGCCTGCCCGCAGCTCTTCGAAGTCATAGCAATTTTCCAAAGCTTTTACCGTTGCCTGTATAAACACCGCCTTGTAAGCGTCTACGCTTGCGGTACTATACCTGACTTCTCGGATGTAGTTCTAGTACTCAACATACCTACAGAAGACAATTCCGTACACCTCCGATTCGAAGAGAGCATTATCGCCATAATCCTCACAAGTCTCCCTCTCCTGCCACTTCAGATCCCGGCATATAGATGAATCTATATCCGGTACCTCTCCCTGCCTCGGCTGCCTACAGAATTGAAGTAACGACTTTTTTAAATACGCTGGACAGCAAGTCGCCAGATCTTGCGACTCCACGGTCAATCCTTCGACGGCTGCTAGCAGCTCTCCGAAGTCTTTGCAATTTTCTAAAGTATTTACCGTTACCTCTGTAAACTTCGCCAGTTGACAGCTTTTGCTTATGGGCTCAAACATATTTTTCTGGGTCTGGTTCCACATCTGCATCGCCTTGTTAGAGCGAAGGCGGGGGGAATTATACCTAGCCACTCGGAAGGCGTTCCAGCTCTGGACATACTTGTGTAACATATATGCGTACACATCTACTTCAGAGCGAGCAATAGGATCATAATCCTCAAAAGGCTTCATCTTCTCCCAACCCACACTCCCGCATATAGACCATTCCATATCCGGTGTCTCTCCCTGCCTCGGCTTCTTACAAATTTCAAGAAGCAGGCTCTTTATGCACCTTGGGGACCACAAGAACTTGGATTTTTCATTAATAACATGAATTTATCCTTTGATGTCAATTTTGAGTCTAACACCAGTTCCCTTATCGGTCCCAAAATAGGTTTTATAGTTTCTTCCTCTGCTAATTCTGAGTTTGATACTAGTGCGATTACCCATTCTAAAATAGCTCCCTCCGCTGCCGTCAATTTTGAGCATGGAATAACTTCCTCCTCCGCTGTCAATTCCACTGGTTCCCTCATCGATTCCAAAATAGGTTCCATATTGTGACCTGTTGCTTGATGAAACTGCGCAATAGATAGGAAGGCTAGCTATTAGTCCACCTATTTTTACCATGCGCAATGTTGACTTCTCTGTTCGTCCAAAGCTGGAGCCCCTAGGCAAAGAGCTACTCTATTACAGAGAGCGGATAATTTGTATATCGGTGACAAGTGTGCTTTTCTTGCTAGATAGGATAGCTCTTGCATGTTATATTCGATGGGAGAAGTCTGTTCGGAGTTATCTCTCATCGATATCTACGGGATGGGGTGAGAGAGGGTCTTGGAGATTAATAGACCTGCTCTTAGAGCGATAAAGAAAGTACTATAAGTAGCTGTTAACAGATAGATTATTCGAGCTATCGAGATATAGAAATAATAGATCGAGTACTATACGTAGTTATTTCTAGACTCTCGCTTCAGGGCGATAAAAATATTAACCAATACCACTGGTCCTTTAGTTCTCCAATTACGTACAACTTGTTAGTTACTAGGTGTATACAACCTATAGGAGAAGGTTTCGAGCGGGAATTCTATTCTCTCGGAAGGATAAAGGAGCAACCTTTAGTATCTTTACGTACAATGCATTCTTCATCCTTTGATTGGGAAAGTTGGACATAGATGATAGGGTCACATAGCTCGATGCGGTTGGAGTAACGCAATGCGGCTTAGAATATATCCCGGCATTGGTCAAGTGAATCAAAGGGTTTCGTGAGCGCCAATAAAGGAATCATTTTGAGTTTCTCTGATCATTTAGATAATGATTATGGTGTTTCTCAGGAAGTGATTGCTGTTGTCGGAAGTCAATTAGCGCTACAAGCCCACATTTCCGCGGGGTCAACCGGGTGGTAAATCCTTGGACGCTCATTGGTTCGATAAGACGTCTTCATCCCTACGAAAATTATTGCTCGGAAGCTTTATCGCCATCGATATCAACAATCAGCATATGAAAGCACGACAATCCATATATAGCTTATGGATACATATTTACATCTCCTGGGAAACCAACAAGCTCTGCGTGGGAGTGGAGAAGGATAAGACCTCCCAGATAACCCCCACTATTAGTAACACGCTTCCAGCCAGGCATTGAGATATCTTATTCCTCCTTTTCTTTTCCCCCCATTATAACTCCTTCCATGTCAGTAATCCCTTACCCCACGCTGGTTCCATCCTCGGTCCGTTATGATTATTAGTTCCTGGGCCTTCGGAACGATAAATTCACGAGCGAGAACCTTTATGACCTTCTATTCTTTAGACTGAACCAAGCAGAGAGGCTCCGTTCATAATGACATCAGCATCCATATCCGTCTCCCTCTTAACGGCGGTTGATGCGAGCTCACACGTCCACCTCATTGTCGGCTCGAACCCACTGGCCGCAGCACGATGCACCAAATCGCTCCAGGTTGGCGCCAAACCTTTGCTCATTGCGCCGGAAACAGCAGATCTTCACTATGCCCTGCAGCGAAGGATAGAAAACGGGGAGGTTAAATGGCTAAGGAAGGCATTTGAAGACGAGGATGTGCTGAGACTTGGGAGGGACGAGATCAATTGTGTCGTGGATGCTGTGTTTGTAACCTCTGGTCCTCGAGATCCGTTAAGTATGAATGCCTCTTACACCCCATTCCCAAACATATTTTACTTGCGATGTATTCATTAGCATAGCATGACTGATCCTAATACATTTAAAAGGCACCCACATCTCCCAGCTATGCAGGCGCAATCGGATTCCCGTCAACGTCGCAGACGCGCCCTCCCTCTGCACATTCAGCCTCCTCTCAACCCACACCGACGGGCCCCTACAAATTGGGGTAACCACCAATGGCCGCGGTTGCAAACTTTCATCACGCATACGACGCGAAATTGTCTCTACTCTCCCTCCTCAACTCGGCGCAGCATGTTCCCGTCTGGGCACGATCCGGCGGGGCATCCAAGAAGAAGATCACCACTCCCACCTTGCTTTCTCTGGCGCCGGCGACCTCGACGAAGAAGAATCCGTCGACCAATCATCAACATTTAATAAACTCGTCACAGAAGCCGATCTGGATGCGGCGAAGAACAGACGAATGAGATGGCTCTCGCAGATTTGTGAATACTGGCCGCTTCGACGACTGGCAAATATCACCGACGCAGATGTAGAAGCAGTGATGAGATCCTACACTGCAAATCCAGCTTCCGCTTCAACATCATCCCCCCTCAACCACATACCCAACCCCTCCTCACCCAACGCCAAGAAAGGTCGCATAATCCTAGCAGGAAGCGGCCCAGGGCATCCCGATCTTCTTACCCGCGCGACACACAAAGCCATGCTATCTGCAGACCTCATCCTGGCCGACAAGCTCGTACCATCCGGTGTCTTGGACCTCATCCCACGTCGCACACCAGTGCATATAGCGCGAAAATTCCCCGGCAACGCAGATCAGGCGCAAGAAGAATTACTCTCCATGGCACTCGCTGGTGTTAAGGCAGGGAAAACAGTACTCCGGCTCAAGCAAGGGGATCCGTATCTATACGGTCGAGGAGGAGAAGAATACGAGTTCTTCCGCAAGGAGGGATATGAGAAGGATATATGCGTTCTGCCAGGTATCACCTCTGCTCTCAGTGCACCGATGTTTGCCACAATCCCTGCAACACAGAGGGGCATCAGTGATCAAGTCCTGATATGCACCGGCACCGGCAGGAAGGGGAAGCCTGCTGCACCGCCGGAATCCGTTGCTACTAGAACAGTCGTCTTCCTTATGGCGCTTCATCGGATAGCTGCCCTCGTTGCAGACCTTACTACCTGGGATTCCCCCGATGCAAAGGTTATTCTTCCTGCTGATGAGGCCGAGCCTGAAAAGGAGGTTATTGATAAAACCCGCAAACTCTGGCCCCTTTCCACGCCATGTGCTGTGATCGAGAGAGCTAGTTGTCCTGACCAGCGTGTGATTCGGACAACACTTGAATTTGTGGCTCGTGCTGTAGAGAGTGAAGGGAGCAGACCGCCTGGTCTGCTCGTTGTAGGGAAGGCATGCGAGGCGTTGGTGAAAGGGGATGCGGGCAGGAAGTGGGTTGTTGAGGAGGGGTTTAGAGGAGTAGGTTTTGAGGAGTTTGTTGGTATGGGCGTGGAAGAATTGGTTGTAGGTGAGAGCGAAGGTGGGGAGGAGGGAAAGGTTGATGCGTAATGTATGATGTGTATGGATGATATTTGATGTATGCCTGTTTCGTACCGACAAATGATCGGTTTCGGCTGTTTGTGTTTTCGATGCATTTGATGTATAGCAGGGGGTATATAGACCATAGACCATAGACCAGTTAATAGACCAATATCATCATGGCTCCTTAATGCCCAATGTTTTCTATCAACCTTACCCTTGTTTTAACTCCCAGAACGCCATACCCGTGGCCCGATTCGTCGTGCTCAAACACGTCTGTCCCCGATTCCCATTAACTGTTCGCTCACTCACCTCCGCCAAGCTGAGCTCCAGCCGCAACACTCATCCTCAGCTGCCTCTGCCTTTGCTGACTCTGCAATCCCAATCTCTCAACCGCATAGCCCAACCTCTCCTTCTTCTGTCTCAAAGCCTTCAATCTCAAAACCTTCTCCTCCATCCCCTTCCCCGCAGTACTACCACTCGCCTTCCCCGCAAGGATTCTCTCCAAACTCCTCTTCTTCCTCAAGCCCTCTCCAGGATCCGTCAATCTCCCCTCCAGTAGCTCCGCTCGTGCAATTAATGATCCCTCTCGCCGCTCTAATTTCGCCACGTGCGATTCGCACCGCTGGAGTAGGGTGGTTATTGCGGGGGAGAGTTCGGCGGCTAGGGACTGTTGTGCGGATTGGAGGGTTGTCTGCGGGGTGAGTTCGAAATGCTATTTCTCATGTAGTTCTCGTTAGTTAGGTTGTTTGGGAGCGGTTGTGGTGTTATAGGAGGGAAGGGGATGCAGAAGCGTACCCTTGTAGAGCTCAGCACTGTTTTCAGACGGGGGAAATCAGATATTCCGGAGTCGAGGATGGAGATGGAGGAGTCGAGGAGGGTGAGTGAGGAGCGGAGGGAGGATACGGACGAAGCAAGAGTCGAGAGGGATTGCGACTGGGACTGTGTATGGTTGGCTGTTTGGGAGGAGGGCGGGAGGGACAGCGATGTTAGGTGTGTGGTGTTGTTCATTGTTGAGGGGAGTTGGGGTATTAATTGGAAGAGTACTAGAGATAGAGGGAGACGCGCTGTAATTGTAAATATTGACACAATTCCATGGTTGTCTGGCGAGGATAGCACTGGTGGTGTAGGTACGAGCATTAGGTAATGCTAATGCTAAGGTACTACGTACCTTAAGTAACCCAGCAAGAGCCATGCCCCACCACTAGTGCTGACAGCTCCCAGGAGGGATCTATATCTAATAACCGTTTCACTGTTTAAACAAACCTTTAGCTTAACCTTTGTTGATGGTCGTTGAAATCCCCACCATATCATGTGAAATGAGATTTATTGCCTAGGTACCTTATGGTTTCCTTGTTCTATAATCCCCTGATGGCCTACAGCTATCATGCCCCCATTCCTGGAGGTTGACTACACAGTGGAATACGAAAACAAAAACATCGCCAGCGCACCTAGCTCGGGACCTTTGAACCGCCTCAAGACGCTGGTATCGATGGAAGCGGTGGGATGACGTGAAACGAACGTGGACATACATTCAACGCACTGGTAGGTGAGCTGATTATCTCACCCATGAAGCTACACGGCTTACTAGCCTCAGTCTTTGATTTTTATACACTAAGGATATTCAGGTATATCTCGTAACTTTCGCCATTTGTTGACATTTCAAGCCTTTAAAGAGTCAAGGCGAGGACTTGGGTTCGCTGCGCCGTTCCACCAAACCCAACCCACCCTCGTTAGAGTACCCCTCTCTCAATTCTCTGGCAAGACTTTTGAAACCGTTTCCCACCTGCCACTCCCCGTTGGACCTTCGATAAAGCCAAAACCATCACTATAGCCAGTGTAGTGGTGGCCCAGGAAAATGCTGGGTAGTGCTGCTAGAGGAGTTTTGCGAAACTACAATCCGTAGCAAGGGCGGGATTTCCAGTATTTTCGCTACTGGCTGGTCAAAATCCCCCAGGAGCAAAGTTGAGCAACACCATTCGCGCTCTGTGGTAGTCTCCGCTTAAGAGTTGGGCGAAAGCCCAAGAGCCTACTACTACGACACAGAGACACTCCCTTGGTCAAAGTGGGCGGACTTGAAGTCGTAATGAATTCGCTACCGCTGGAGTTGGTGTGGACCTTCTGGATTTTGCTTGCTTCAGCCGTCGATAGGTAGGGCTGTGACAAAATTTGTGCCCGCTGGTCTATGATCCGCGACGAGACTTCTCGGTCTGAAGCTGGCATTCGGATCATATGCTGATTCGAGAAACAACTCCTGATCTACTGAGTAGTTTTGTGTATGCAAGACTGTTTGAGAAACTAGGGATCAAAACAGCCTATTCCACTATACTTTTATAGAGGGTATGGTCTCGCAACTCCGGTACTCCAGTCGTTTCCTCCGAGCCAAAGTGCCAGGCAATACATTGCAATGGAATGCGGGTTTCTAACACTGTCCGGTGGTCCTGCCAGGGAGTGGATTCCGGCAAAGTTATATCTCTCCCCGCCTTTGGCTACACCGCCGGATTGATCTCCAACCACTGTAACGTGATGTCAACAGTTGCCTAAGTTGGTAATTATGGACCCGTAGCTAGGCTACTTACTGTCTGGGGCCATGATATGTAGGAGTTCGTGGAACATAGTTGTTGTCTTGCTTCTTTGATCGTCAAGTTGTGTTCCGTCCGGAAGTGGAATGTGGGGATTTGCAGATCGATCCGGGAGTGATGCGAAGCTTGGACAGAGAATAATTCTTTCTCTATCAGAGACATACGCCACCTGTATCAACCCGTTTGCGGCTGTGTCGACACATCGCATAAAACCCAATGCCATCCGTTGGGGGCGGATATCTGGGGCATCTGGATCTTCTATTTTACAATATCAGCACTACTACTCAGAAGTGCATTATCAACGAGTTGGATCTTACGAAAAATCCATTGGAACCCGGGTGACTCCACGATTGGGCCACCCTTGTTGTTTGTCTCTGTTTTATGATAAAGACCATCCTCACTGCAGTATATGGTAAACCGGGGTTCGTTGGCGCGGAGGTTCATTACTACATCCAGGGTATCTTTTTTATGATTCAGCATCAACTGAACTCGAGAAGCAGCTACACATCCGACGTACCTATGACATTTTTCGCGCAAACATCTCCGCCCTTGCCTAGGCCGAAGAACGAATCGAACGTGTTTAAAACCACTGTTCTTTCGGGCAGAGAAGTGGCAGGGTCATTGGCTTGAACCCTCCTCATTTTCTGATGTACCACAGTTGTTTGATTGACAATATCGTTGAATATGTCGTCAATTATCCCCCCAAACTGAGCACAGGATTTGTGTAACTTTATGTTCCCAGAACTTTCAGCGGAAACAAGTCCAAGAACCGTGCAGAGGAGAGCAAGCAACTGAAAAGTAAAGCCAGTCATGGTGGTAATTAGCCCTCTTCAGGGCCAGTTTCTGTGCTACATATCATTAAAATAAGAAGGAACCTGCCAGGCTGCTACGTCCCGGTTTTCCAGCTGCGGTAGATCATTTAAAGTCCACGACCAAGTATTTGGCTTCATCCCTCCTTCCCTACCTACGCCGCAAGCAAAGAGCACAATAATCCATTATAGATCATGGATCGTGGCCCTTGCAACGCATTCTATTAAAAAAGCTTAGTTCGATGCAAAGCAGATTAGCGGGCGTGGCTCGCAGGGCTTCACGATACCCTTTTCATATTAATTGTTAATTATCCAACGCTGTGCTAATCGTTTTGCTGTTTAAAGTCGTGGAGGTAGTGCCCAGAATATATACATAATCAAGCTAAGGATGCGGCGCAAGAGGAGCCTAGGTTGAACATAGATGTTGTTGAGTAGCGCCACCAATCATCCGGGGTAGTTGGCCCATGAGTAGCATTTCTTGTGTTGTTTTAGTTGATCCTTCGTCTTGAGCCGCATTAGCGCAACAGAGCGACGATAAAACAGACGTCAACCTTAGTGAGTATAATGCTGCGGCGAACAGGTCTACTATAGAACCGTCCGAAGGCTGAGTCATTTTGCTATAACTGCTACCGGATCCCGCGGTGTGGATTCTTTGCTCTCGTTGCAGGGCACATTTTAGCTTTCTTGTCTTTCGGAATACGATTCCGAGTACTCCTTGTTACCTTCTTTGTATCGTTTGCTGGTATTTTCAATATTTGAAGCACGTTGGTGGTCCTTTACTTGCACTCAGTACTTGTGTTGTGTTGTGTTGTATTTTGCTCCGTTCGTCAAGCGTCCTCGAACTCTGGAGACGACGAGTGAGTACAATGAGCAGCTCCTAATTCGGCGATTAATCCTACTCGCAGGACTATTGTTGGTTGTTCAATCGCTAAAGTCCTGACTACCAGCAACTAAACTTTCAGTACGATGGCTAGAGTGTGTTGCCAATTCATTAATTCGTCAAGTGACAACCAGTTCAACTTCCAGAGCCGTAGGGGGTTGGGTCTGAGCCGACTTCTGGAACTGCTACACAGTTACAGCTTCAAGTACTACTGGTTTTAAACACCCCTATACCAATTTGTGATTGTGGTGTCTACAACCGGCAAGTAGATGATGCCAACATGTTATGATGGTCCTCCAGCAGAACCAATGCAAGAGAACGTAAATGATTCCAAGTCCAAAACAGATGCTGCGAGAGCGGGTCAATTCCTACCAGATTTAATTAATCAATGATCATATCGCTGCCCGTATCATAAACGCCTGTCTTTATAATAATCAAGGCTAGGAGATTGGCTGTCGCTCATGACTACTATCAAAGCCTTGCGTGATGTACCTAATAGACTAGTCCAAATTGTGTTTCTGTCTACAAGTGTGATTCAACTATGAATGATTGCGCTGAAAATGGCTGTGAATACAACTTAGTGATGTGGCTGTATTTTGGAGGTACTAATAAACAGGCAATAATTCCGGGAGAAATCTATGAAATTATGAATGGATATCTGATGTGTGGACAGTGATCTTCACGACGTTTTGGATATAGGGGGGAAAAAATGCTTTTTGGTGCAAAACATAGAAAGAAAGAAATGGAAAGGAGGGACGAATATACTGGTAAATTGGTAATCAATTAATCCAATTGCATTTCGTCTCCAAAGTGGTGTGGTATGGAGCTTCTCTGACTAACGCCCATTGAAGGTTCTGATATGATCTCAGGTCCTATTTCCATGAGGGACTCCGCATTTGGAGTCCAATCCATATCATTCATCGGTAGTTCATTAATTACCTGTAGCGCGGATTCCAGTCTATTTCTTGCTGCTTGCGGGTCATCACTATTCAGCTTATCCCATTCATCCAGCTCTATCCTTAGCTGATGAAAATTTTCCTGCCTGGTTACATCCGAGAACATGAACATAAGGTCTTGAGCGTGCCCCGCCATTTTTCGTAAGTCCGCATTGTCACATAGATGCCGATGGACGGCCGCGTTTCGGATCCGTCCAGTATTTGCTAATACGCCCTCCAGATTAGAAGTAGATGTCGGGTTAATGGCTTTGCCTGGGATATATTTTGGTAGGAGTCTCCTCCACTCGGGGAGCTCGACTTCCTGCGAACATGTGTAGTTCTTCTCACACAGGATGTTCTGTATCCACCTCGATGCAAAATCATAGCATCCCTCCTCTATTATTCGTTGGATCATGTTAAGTATGAAGTGTTGTACCTTGTAAGGTAAACCAAGGTCTGGCGACTTCGAGGAGCGGCGAGGATCATCGTCCTTCGTGTTAAGTTCGGGCTTGGATACTGAAACTATCTGTTCGTATAGTCTGGTTAGTGATGAGTTACGAAGAAGCATAGAAGGCAAACCTACCCTAGTCAAAACCTCTGGGCGATCTGCCCTTTCCTGCCATCCATTGGTATGACGAGGAGCCCATCGACTGGTAGCAAGCCCGTATTTCTCGCAGTCAAATCTGTCAAGTGGGCTAATCGAAGGATGAGCAGGCCCCCTGCGGCTCTCGCTCCATCTGACTGGCATATTCGAATGCGTATTGTGCGATGTTTGTATTCTGTTCCCGCTCGGAGAGGAGGTATTGGGTATACCCAATATTGGGGTGGGGTTGTGCGGCTTGAACCCATTTCGATGACCAGGACTTCCTCGCGATGCACTCCGAAGAGCCTCCTCCTTTGGAAGCGAGCATTGAAAGCAAGCCTGACGACTGGCAAAGTTCGAAAAGCGACATGAAAGGCAGGTCCAGTCTCCAGTTCGAGGCGTGTATCGTGAGGGTCCGTTGCTGGAGGACGCCCAAATGCTTGCCTCCAGCCCTTTGCTACCAACATCCACACCCATCTTAGAAGATTTTTTAGGAAATATGAAGAGTCGAGATTAGTTCTAATTCAATTGCATAGAAACAAGAACCTTTGCGTCTCTCCTTACTTTACCTGAACAATGCGGATGCTTTTGCACCGTGTTTGGACAGGGAGAAATGAGAACAGAATTTCTCAAATTTCTCAAGAAACAAGAGATCTTAGCATGGCTCCAAAGCGTGTAAAAGGAATCGTAATAAGTGAATGTGGACAGTAGAAATACTGCTACAGTAGCATGCCAAAGGAGGTGGTCAACAATGCGTTATGGTCGGGTTGGTAATTATCGCTGTGGGGGACGCGCCGCAATTCTCGAGTCTCCAGGACTCGGCTCCACGTGCTTCAAACCCATCAGCCGCCACAGTATTTATACCCAGCTACTCTACCTACCTATTTATTCTCCGAAACCCTGTAACCTGCCAACAGCCATTTATAGACACCTTTCTCTACAAGGAAACCAGCTGATACGCAGGGTTCTTTGTTGGTCCTCTTTGAGGCCTCCCCGGCGCATCACAAGCACTACCAGACAATCGGACAACGGCCAAGCTGGTAACTATACGAATAGGGATGATGGATAACCCGGCTCTATGTGGCCATCAAACCTCCAGGAATGATATGGTGTAGGCAAGCAGCCACTTTAGCTTGCTCTACATAGATCGCCCGATTTCTAAGACCATCTCTCCGATCAGTCCATGGCTCTCAAGATACCGCTGTGGCGTTGGCCATGTAGCGTTTGCCTACATGGCGATGAGGCTATGCGCATGCAGGTTGGGCGGGTTTGCACATTACCCGCCATGACCTACATACTGCGTGTTGCAGAAACGGGGGCTTTGCATCTGCGGCCTGCACTTTAGGTGTGATTGTTGGAACATGTTGGAATTGTGAAACAGGACGGCTGACTGCCTAGTACTGATCACCACCACACCTGGAAACGAAACCTTTAACTTGACCACTGGTTGCACCACAAAACTCGTGGGTGTACTTTCCAACAATTCTTTCGGAAGCACTTCTATCCAAATTTTCCACTCACGGAGCAAAAGCCTTCCTAGCGTGGGACCACAAGTTCGATATGGCGAACTCAAATGGTCTCAAATTACCTTCCCTGCAGAGGTTGCAATCTGCTGAGCAAATGGAACTCCTCGATGTCGTTGATTCTCTCCGCGCTCAAGGCTTGAGCGAAATCGTCGCCTTACCTCAGTTGATTGTCTGTGGAGACCAGTCTAGCGGCAAGAGCTCTGTGTTAGAAGCAATATCGGGAATCCCATTCCCGAGGCAAGAAAACTTATGTACTCGATTTGCAACGGAAGTTATTCTTCGCAGAGCAGCGAAAAATGAGATCTCCGTGTCTATTGTGCCAGGGAAAGACAGAGCACCGCCCGAACTGGATCAATTGTTGAAATTTGGACACGAGTTGACAACGCAAGATGACTTCAAAGGGTTATTCAAGGCTGCTGGGGATGCCATGGGGCTGTCCAGTTCTGGAAAATCCTTTTCCAACGATATCCTAAAAATCGAATTCTGTGGTCCATCCCAACCTCAACTTACCCTTGTTGATCTTCCCGGTCTTATCCATTCAGAAACCAAGTCACAAACTGCCGGCGATGTGCAGCTAGTCCACAATCTAGTGCTACAATACTTGAAGAACCCACGAAGCATCATTCTCGCCGTCGTATCCTCGAAGAACGATATTAGCAACCAGATCATTCTACAGCGAGCTCGACAGGTTGATCCACGAGGCTTACGGACACTTGGAATTATCACTAAACCCGATACTTTAGTGAAGGGGTCTAAGAATGAGGAGTCATTCATCGCCTTGGCAAGGAACGAGGACGTTAAGTTTTCATTGGGGTGGCATGTGGTCAAAAATCTCGACTCGGCCATTAAGAATGATGAGGATCATTCCCGCGACGAGCTTGAAGATCTTTTCTTTAAGGAAAGTCACTTCAGTCGTCTACCCACAAATACAGTTGGGATTACATTCTTACGAACCCGCCTCAGCAAAGTTTTGTTTAACCAAATACAAACAGAGCTCCCAAGGCTCGTTGAAGATATTCAAAGTCAGGTTACAGCTGCAAGAATTATTCAAGACAGGCTCGGACCTAGTCGAGCGGAACTTGAGGAGCAGCGATCCTTCCTTATTTCAATCAGTCAGTCCTTTCAGAGTATCTGCCGAGATGCTGTGAGGGGCGACTATGACCATGAGTTCTTTCAAGACGACCCGAACCCTGAGAGGCGGTTATGTGCAAACATCATGAATTTGCATTTCAGATTTGCTGAGAAGATGCGAAAATCGGGCGCTTCCTGGGTTATTGTGGATGAGGAGACATATGATCCAAAGTGTCGGACGCGCGAGAAAGCCATCAAGGAAGCTAGCAAGCTCTTGAAACGTAGTCGCGGGCGCGAGGTACGAATATTTTACCTCGAATTGGTGCATGTTTGAGCAAAAGAACTAACATTGGCAATGTAGCTACCTGGTCTCCCAAATCCACTTCTTGTTGGCGAGCTTTTCCGCGAGTATAGCCGACCGTGGGAGGACCTTGCTAGGCTCCACATCAAAAACGTCTGGGAAGCCGCAAACAGATTCCTCGAGCTAGCAATAAAATATCTGGCGGATGAGGATGCTTGTGAGAAAGTCTTGCGTTTCTGGTTATACCCAATCATGGACGAAAAGTTGAACTCGGCTTATGACAAGTTAAATGAACTTTTGGAAGTTCACAAAGATCACCCTTTGACGACGAACTATCATTTCATAAACAATACCAAGCCAAAGGATGCCGACAGCAAAAAGGGACTTGAAGAAACATTGAAGAAAGAATTTACACAACCCGGTCAAAAGATGACCATCGATGAGATCAGCCGCCTTCTGTCAAACATGAGCCCAAACGATGCCCCGGATATGGATATGATTGCTGCAGAAGAAGCTTTCAACAACATGAATGCATTTTACGAAGTGAGGACTTGATCCTTTTGTTAATTACAAACTTCTATGAGCAAGCTAATACAGTCTAGGTGGCGATGAACCTCTTTACAGATAATGTCCCAACTCTTGCCATCCAAGCACCTATCATCCGAGAAGTGCCGAAGATCTTCTGTCCCACAGCTGTATTTTCCATGGATGCTGATATAATTAAGAAAATTGCCGGGGAATCAAAGGAGAAGTCTCTAGAGAGGGCTGCAATTGTACGCCGGTTAGAAATTCTTGAGAATGGCGCCCGCATATGCAAACAATATGCCAAGAGGCCCCAGTCTTGTGAGCTTTACCCAAATATGACCTATATTGAAGACAAAGCTGATGTTCTAGCTCTTGTTTCCTTATCTAACGATAGAACTAAAGTGGAGTCCCCAGTTCGAAGCAAAGAATCCGGGAAGAGGCCGATAAGTGAACGTGCAAAGTCGCCAGCTACCTCCTCTCCTTTTAACCATTACGTTCCCCCTACTTGGAGTAACCCTTTCGAAACTCTACCCGAATACAATACGTCGAGCCCTAGTATGTTTAACTTGAAAAACGAGTCTCAAACTGCCAAGGACCCAAAACCTGCCAGCCCATTCTCTCTTTTTGGCTCACACAATCTGAACACCACAAAGAGCGGCGAAGATGGAGCAAAATCTAAGATGCCGTTTGGGAGTCCTAGCCCCGGTATTGGGAGTCCTAGCCCCGGTATTGGGAGTCCTAGCCCCGGATTTGAGCGCAGGATCAACGGATTTGGAGCAAAGCCTTCGTTCGTATCTAGCACATCTTCTGAGTCAAGCACGGCAACGGCAAGTAGTTCCATATTTGGAAGAAAGTCTGATGTGTCAACTAGTGGTGGTTTATTTCCCAGGTAGCGTCCCTAGTCTACCTCTATGCCTTTGGTCAACTTTGCTAATGCTCCCAAGCAAGCCTCCCCCAAAGTAGCACCCAAGCGAAAATGGCAAGAATGGTCATTGAGGCAACGCCACCTACGTATTGGACACCATATAAAACCAATTTGTATCAAACAGAGGGATTCTTCAGTGGGCCACCAAGTTTTGATGAATTTCAAAGCATTAGTTCGATGCCAAAATTTCAGACATTTTCATATGAGGTATGTAGTATAATATAACTGAATTTATCTTTAATAGGTATCAAGCTAATACTAAGTTAGGAGCTAAGGCTTAGGGATTATATGCTAGTAGGCAAGGCTTGAAAGGAGATGTTGTGTTCTTGATTTCTTAGTGCTAAACGTTTTTCCGGTGTACTTTTTTTGGTACCATTCTCATCCTCTGTTATTTGGTGTATCCTTTCGCTCATGTATAATATTGCATCGGGACTTGGAAGTATATTTCTTTAAAATGATACACAATGAGCTTCTAGCGTGAGAACCTAATAATGAGTATTTTACAGCAACAGTTATGATTCGTTTCTTCAGTCCGTTAAATCTGTGAATTGCTAAAACCACATAGAATCAAGGCATGGTTGAATGCGCCGGGGATCTTGAAGGCAGAGGGATGGCAAGTATGTCATACTTCTTTCTGCGTTTATTCGATCACTCGCTGACGTTTCTAAAATCTAAACGGAGTTGACTCGACGGGAGAGCAAACAAACAATGTCTAAATTCACATATCAGGCGATTCATCTAGTGAATCCAGCAGCCGAAGCATCAACGATCTTATATCTACTTTTGGGTCCATCCTCGTATGGTGCAATAAGGATGTTGCCATCAGCGTGGCCGCCTCAGCTTGTGCCCCTGAAGCGCCTGCCAGTTCCGTTAGCAATGCCCAGACGTTTGGAAGCTGGTGATGCATGCGTCAGCCAGATCTGGTAGTGTTTTTGGAGGCGCCTCAGATCACAGACCTTATTTGGATACAACCGATGCAGCTCGCCCAAAGTCCCTGAATTTGGTATTCCACCGCTTAATAGGCGAGAGTGATCCTCATCCCCATCCTCGTGGGCGCTCGATCCACTACTTTCTAGCGACTTCTGATCTCTTGAAAAAGCCGGATCTGATTGCTTCCTGGGGGTCTTCTTTTCTCGTCGTTGGGCAAAGCGGGTAAACTCCTCATCATATATCCCCTCCGCAGCTTTGATAATTTGGTCTCGGAATCCACGCGATTCCGACGTTGTCCACTCCCTTGAGTGCTCATGCAGGTTTGACAAAACACTGCAGAGATGCTTCCCTCGGCTCGTCTTCTGGGCCCGGTCTGCCACTGAGTTCTTCTCAAATTGACAAGTGTAGTAGTCGGAGACCATGGAATCGAAGTTTTCGAACCCAGCTCGTTGAACACAGGAGAGTATGTATTGGTACTGCGATGAGCGACTACTTACATCAACTAAGTCTTGGAGAGGGGGGTTTTCTAATGCAGCGGAGGAACCGCAGCAGCAAGACTTCATGGATGAAGTTCTATCGTGGTAGTGAGCTCTGTGTTTATTTTCCTTTTGATTGTGCTACCCTGTATTAGCTCGGAATGGAGAAGCTGTTGTAACCCTGGGAGAGAATTAACTTGCCTGAATTGTTGGACTCCCGGATGCACTACCCCTTGAATTAGGCACTGGATGCTCGGTGCTATTCATTGGATTGTCAATGGTAGAGTCCGGTTGTGAAAGCCACTCCAATTCTAGCGGTATTGTCATGTCGTAGGGAAATCTTGACACACTGTGGGAGGGCGGCAGTGAGGCACAGGATATTTGGCTGGTTTGCGGGATTGACTTTATCTGATGATGGTCGGGCAGAGTATGAAACCTCCATTGACTTGACAATGCTGCACCTCAGAGGTCAAAAGCTGGTCGGAAAAGGACAAGGAATACTTACCCATGGCGTCGGCATCAAACCTCAGAATCGGATCTTGGTGGGCACTCGTCTCATCTCCACGCAGCCCATTTAGGAAATTTTCCCCACTAAGAACGTTGTAGCGATAGCTGCTTAGCTCCTTGTCGAGCACGGAATCGAGATTCATTTCGCAATCAGTGCTAAATACCGTACTTGATTGCTCTTGCATGAGGAAAGCATCGCCATAGAGGTGATACGTGTTGTTGTACTTCGCCCTATTCTGGAAGCCGGGGAGTGATTCTCGTCGACCAGTGGGTATTTCTCCGCTTGTTCCGCCAAAATCTCCTTGTTCCTGTGCTGTACGCTTTATGGAACTAGCCTTCTCATGGTCTTGGTGCTTTCCCCCTGTCTCTTCGCTCTTATTGTTCTTATTGATTTGGCCTCCTCTTTTTTTGAGCCCTACATCAGTACCTCGGGATTAGCACGGAACAAGCATCTCCAAGGATGCATTAACGCCTGGTTGAATGCGCGTACGATGATTTCTTTGGGCCAACCGGTTTTGCATTCTTCGTTTTTGCACTGGGTCCATTACTGCTGTCACTTTCCCAACAACTGGCCAAGGCATGTGTGTACTGCTCAAATCAAGCACAAGCATCACAGCAGTTGTCATAAGATCTTGATCTTTGTTTGTTTGCCTGGGTTAGAAGCGGATAGTTATGTATGCTTAAGCTGCATAGACAAGTGTCTCGCGGGTCGGCTTGCTGTTCTAATCCTATGCTGATCCTGACGCTGGGTACAGATGTGGGGCGAAATGTCGTAAGCCCAATCCTACATTCCATTTGCAGAATGTCTGGTTACAGGATGCAGCTACTTGATGCAGGATTTTGGTTTCTTTAGCGCTATGCAGTTTATGCAGGATTTCCGGTAGGCGAATCATGATTAGGAGACTAAAAGCACTTCTGACTTTTGATATACAGCTGGCTTTAGTGTGTTACACTATTCTAGGATTTAGTTCAAGAGATTCTATAAAGTTGATACTCCGAAGCCAGTGGGATACGAGGTCTATAGGACGACAGACTATGAATAGTGTGTGCACCAGCAACAGTCTATCAGGGATCCTGTTTCCTGATATTCGATATCGGTTGTCCCATATGAAACATTCTATTGCCGCCGTTTGAATTCTGGATCGTCCCTCTTGAATCCTTACGGGCTTTGATCCATCTTGGATCGAGTGGAGGACGTAAGATCTGAATGGCATACGTACGTACCCCCGCCACCCCCAGAACGTCGCTACTGATACGGGATGGATGTGACGCCTTGCGATAGGAATCACTGCGCTCACGTATCTGGAAAGTGCCTGCAGACGCCTCACTCTTTTAACTAAGCTTAAAACCCTCCGTGAGACGCCAAATCGTCGCTGTTAGCCCGGGGCGTTCTTTGTCTCGGCTCTAATTTGGGCGCAGGGGTATTATACCGTGGCAGTGCAGGCCAATGCTTGGAGATGGGGGTAAACCGATGCCGACTTAAAGATTCCCTGAGATCATGTCTCGGCATCAAGAAATGAATTGCTCTTCTGGTATCTCTGTCTGACCGATCGTCCAATTTCGAGAAACCCGCCCCCATCAACACTTCAACCACAGCTCGTGACGGACACGCCGCTCAATGCAAGTTAAATCATCGAAGTCAAATTAGGGCAATGACAGAGGCTTCCCAGTGATCCCGCGTATCACTCCGTGGTGCAGCGGGATACAATACAACACGGGTCCTGTAGGGTATGCCAATGATCATTCTTGACTAATTGCTTTTTCTATCCGCACTCGGTATCGCACTCGGACCGATAATATTACTTCTGCTAAACAAATGTCTCACATGAAGAGACCGAGGTGCCGTGAATTAGGGATTACCAGTGGATGACCATCGCTTTTTACCTGAATTTGCTAGTCTTTATCTGAATCTGCCCTCATATACTGGCAAGTATATTTTGTTCTGCTTGCAAATAGCCACGTGGAGGGCCATTTCCGTGAACAAGGCAACTTTGCAATGCAGGATATATGCAGCCAATCAAAAGAGAAGGCGTCGATAGTATTTTCGTCGCCGCATAAATTGGAGGTGTTATGTTGTTTCGAGTATCTACGAAGTGCAATGAGGCGTTCCCTCTATACGAAGTAGACGATGTTCCTTTTGTATCAGATCTCTTAGCTTGGGGGCACAAAGCTTTTTTAATTAGGCACTATAGCCGAGCTCGAATTTCCCCCCTATTTCCGCTACCGCGCACTACAAAAGCTTGGCGTCAACCTTCCTCACTCCCTCTTCACTATAACAACCTAATCTCTTTAGCATATTTTTGTATTGTTAAGAAACAAGCTAGCTTCTAAATTTTTATATTATAAAAATCTTTAAATAGTAATACTTCTTCAGTATATTTCCTGGCCGTCGTCCCCCCTTCGTCTCTCCGTTCAACTTGAACTGCGCTATAAGTCCACTGATATATTCGCTACTAGAGTCTTGGTCCTCTATCACATACACTATTTCTACGCACTTGCAGGGTTGCCTATAGAGCTCACTGGTAGAATTCCGTTTTCGAGGGCCTTTGGGTATGTTGAGGTTGTCTATCGTACATGCGAGCGAAGAGAACGTGTTCTTTGATTGTCTTATTTATTACTACGTCGCACTACTGTACGAGATCTAAGGAAATTTACAGGTAATCTTGCTAAACGATGTTTTTTTAAAAAGTAGGTTGTTGATCTCTCTGGTTTTTTGGATTCTCTGCTCTCCTAGAGCTCCGCGGAGCGTCAAGATAAAGCCGCACAGAAATGCAGTAAATGATTGCCTTGAACCAGAGGATTATGAAAAGTAAAAAGAATAAGAGCGCGGGATCAGGTTCTGAGAGCCAAGTGCGGAGCAGTGTTATGGGAATTCGTACGTTTGGTCTAGCTTACGAATTAGTTTAGCATCGGCAGAAACAGATGACATAGTCAAGTTGCCTGTGTTTTGAGCGTGGAATTCTCTAGCTAGTCTTCTCTCCTGCAACCCTAACCAGGAGTACCTTGACTGTTCAGAATTTTAACAGCCAAGCATCGTTCAGCCGTTCATTCGTTTCTCCCAAGCCACCGAGAACCAAGATCTCTGAGTGGCTAACTACATCTGCATCGAACCAGCCTCTTGTGGGTGGTTCATCAGAAGCATCAGTCCTTGTGGTTGCAACCTCGGACCATGTGGCAGAAGCAATATCGTAGATCCAAACATCCCCGAGCATTTTCCCTGCCCCTTGATGGCCGAGGGAACTAGGATCTCTTTCGCCAAACAGAGTCACCAGGGAAAGATTGCCACCGACGACGACGGGTAGGACAGCACTCACGCTCCTTGGTGTGGGACCTGATATCCCGTCCGCCAAATACTGTCGCGATGACCAAGTGTTGGTCATAGGATCATAAACGTCAAGGCTACCGCCCTGCTCGGTCTGGCCGTCAAACCCGTGCATCCTATATAACAAGCCCTGCTGAAAGACAATGGAAGTTCCGCCGCGCGGTGGGGCAGGCGCTTCTGCAAGTTGGAGCCATGTACGACTGGAGGGCTGGAAAGACCAGAGGTCCGACAGCCGTCCTGATTCTGGGCATCCAGCGTGTATGTAGATTTTGTCGTCACCGTTGCTGGCGGAGCAGTGGTAGCTTCGGGCAGGAGGGAATGGCTTTGAGGCATCGGCTGGCGGAAGCAGAGTCCAGGTCACTGCTGATGGATCGAATACCCATACTGCCCCGTTCTCCTCGACCGGGGCCATGGCTTCTCCGCCACGGCCCGAGTACAGATATATCTTACCATTAAGTGTTGAAGATGCTGAGCCAACGCGAGGTGATGGGGATGCTGAGGGCGTCGTCACGACCGCTACGGAATGGGCACCTGCAAACGAGATGATTAGTTATATGCGCTCCAAAGATATCTAAATAACGCCATGCTTACTCCCGGATTTGACGTCCATTTGGTAGACATGGTTATCTCGCGGCTGCCTAGGCAAAAGCTCTCCACCAAATATGTATGCAACATCATCCACGACTGAAAGGATATGTGACGAGCGTTGCAACTTGTCCGAGGTACACAACTGGGTCCAAGCGGCAGAGATTTTAGCCATTGAGAGAAGGGTCTATTAAATACGCAGTAGGGTTGAATTGAATCAACCCGCGATGTGGTTGAGAACCTTTAGCTTCTATTCCCGGTGTGGTTGAGCGGACTATGTGAACCTCAGTTCGGTCACTCAAGCAAAAGTGGCCGCGGATTAGTACTTATGCCTCGAAGATCACCAACTCGGCGCTAGAAGGTTGCATCACGCCATCTAAAGGCCGCGGATGTGAAGCAACCCGGATGGCTCACTACTCTACTTCGAACAGAGTCTGCAGACACACAAACAGCTCACGATCTGTTTGGTTTTATGTTTAGGTAATCAGTTATTGTCATTCATTGGTCGCTCAAAACAATCCACGACTTTGCCCTTTTCCTGCCATCCAAATCTTTCTATCCAGACGAGCGAGAAGCACTTCAACAATGGCATCGTTATTAAATGGCCCCGCTTCAGCGGCGGTCGATGAACGGTGTCCCCTGATCGCCCATCCTGTGGCAGACGCCAATTCGAGCGCCTTCCCCCACAGCGAAACCCAGAGCCATAGAGTGGCGGCAAGAGTTGCCAACCGACTTTACGTGTCTCATTTCTTATCAACATGGAACACTCGAGTCTTCGAATTCGGCGCGGTGCTCTACCTGGCCTCGATCTTCCCGGGGACACTGCTGCCCATGTCGGTTTATGCTCTGACTCGCGGCACGGCTGCCATAATTTTCTCGTCGGCCGTTGGGCAGTATATCGACACAGGCAATCGTCTTCGAGTCGTCAGGCTGTCAATTGGTAAGGCGTCCGTTCAATCATAATACTACAATCCTCTAATTGACCATGATTTTGCCCGGTATAGTCCTGCAGCGACTCGTTGTAGCAGGATCATTGGTCATCTTCTACATCCTCGCTATCGGTCTGCCACTCGCTCACGGCGCGGAGACGGGCCTGCTGGTGCTCCTGGCGCTCTTGGCATGCGTTGAAATACTCTGCGCTATCATGAATCTGGTGTCCGTCGAGAGGGACTGGGTAGGCCGGGCATAATCTATCGGCTCTGAACCAAGGCTGATCCGGCTGGACAGGTTGTTGTCGTCGCCGAGAATGATCAAGCAACGCTACGAGGCTAGTCAACATATAGTATAGTCTGCTGCCCGTCTTGCTGACTGTCAATTTAGTCATCAACGCACGAATGAGGCGTATCGACTTGATCTGCAAGCTTATTGGTCCCTTGTTCATAGCTCTCATCGACGGCATCTCAACGGAAGTCGCAATATTGGTCAATTTGGGAATGAACGTAGCGTCGGTGGCTGTGGAATACTTTGCGATAGCCAAGGTACGTCTCACGACAGTCATGTTCTTGATTAGGAACCATACTAAGCCATCGCTCGCAGGTCTATTACGAGGTTCCCGAACTACAACGGCCTAAGAGGAAGCCCCGAGAGGAACTGCTCGATAGAGTATTCGAAAATGAAAGCCACTTTGCACACAACTGGCGGCATGTCCAAATGGCCATAAAAAAGAGCAGCCAGGATTTTAGTCTCTACTTCCATCACCCGGCTTTCCTACCTTCATTCGCTGGCGCTCTATTATATTTAACAGTGCTATCATTTTCAGGGCAAATGGTAACCTATCTACTCTCAGCTGGCTATAGTGCTGCCCAGATTGGTATAGCAAGGACTCTGTCTGTAGCCTTTGAGGTCTTATCCACATGGGTCGCACCTTGGTTAATGGGGAGAATTGGACCTATACGCGCCGGTATCTGGCTAGTTAACTGGCAGATCGTCTGTTTGGTGGCTGGAATAGCGGTCTTTTGGGCACTCCTTAATCGGCCTACCATCTCTGCATCCGGGCTCGTGGGTGGCACGATCCTAAGCCGCCTAGGTTTAAGAGGATTCGACCTCTGTATACAGATCATTATCCAGGAGGTTAGTCATCCTCATGCTCCTTCTGATTGTTTATTGCCTTTTCTCTTCCATTTGCCCATCTTGCTCAAGCCCGGTTTTCTTTGGTCTGGTCGCCCAGACTTATCAATCTATACTGCGTATAGGACGTCGAAGCCACTCACCGGGGATCCTTCTCCACTGTCGAAGCTGCTTGGCAAAATGCGTTCGAGCTTTGCTCTTTCGTCTCCACTATCATCTTCTCGCGCCCCGAACAATTTAAGTGGCCGGTGCTCCTTAGCGTCGTCGCGGTCGTCACCGCGGGGGTCCTATACACGATCTTTGTTTATTTGCGGCGTGGTCACTTATTGCATCTAGCGAAGTGGAAAGACATCATGGGTTCCCAGAAGGGGAGGCAGCGCTCAAGGGAAGAGGGAATCCAAAGGATCGCATCGAGTAGTGATATGTAGAATAGCTAGATAGGCGGCGAGCGTTGAGATATACTTCGGCGTCACTACGGGAAATGTAGTAAACTAGTCAGAGATCTTGGTACTCGATGGTTTGGGAGAAACGAACGAATGGCTCAACGATGCATGACTATTACAATTCTAATCAATCGAGATAGGGCCCAGAAGAGAAGACTAGCAAAGAGGTGCTATAGAGCCAATATTTTAGATATCATTAAATCAAGAGGCAGAGTGGCTTAGCAGAGGATATCTTTTGCTATTATGCGCTCCTAATCACAGGTATGCTTTCGTCTAGCTTTGATGCCCGCTAAGAAATGAAGATGAACTGCCCTACGATCAGCCCCCGATATCAATACCAGCAGTGCAGTATACTTGTTGCTAAACTTATAGAGCACTTCTAATGCTAGAATATATAGAACTGCTGAACCAATGTTGCTATGGTGCTATATTCGGATACTACGGAATCGTTGACGCCTGCTATTGAAGATAACACCAAGCCCCTAAGTCTGATGGGCCAGCACTCCAAACGCGAAGAAAGTCGGAATGATTGGTTACCTAGTGATTATTTGATCTTGTAGGTGCGAGCTGCCAATGCAAGTCAGGAATGCACTCACATGTGTCAAGCAAGTAGCTCTGCCACATCCTTGATCGCTCATGCTATGCCTTTGGGAAGAACATATAAGTATATATTAGTTACACAAAAGTCATTTGGATCAGCAACTAAATAGAATATGATGGGCATTCTATAATTTATCAAGTCTATGATAGCTGGTGACCTAGGCGGCGTTGCATTTCATGCGGTCAGCGAGCTAATCCAAAGTTTCAACCAAACTTCTTTGGTGTGGGTATTGACTGTAAACCGCATTAAGACAAGACGACTGAAGGTAGTGATTGGGCAGCACTGCGAGTCGACCGCTGGATCATCTACGATGTCCCACACAAATGAAAGGGCTGGTGTGTTTCCTCTTCCCAACCCTATGCCTCACGTGAGCAGCACCGCCATTGCTTAGGCTCGGCTCAGGTCTGCTCACCCCTCCTACGTGACGCAGCGTTGCTAAGACTTACCTCATCAGAAATCATCAACTTTTAACGAGGAGGCCCGAAAAGGTCCCTCCCCCAGCTAGGGATCTTTAATATGTTACAAGGGATACTTTCTACATCTTTAGTCAGAAAACTTGTAACCTCTTCTAATAGCTTAGCTTAGATATGTTATATTTCTGCTAGCAACTGAAATAACCCAAGTTTTGCTTGTCTCGAGTCCACTACCCTAGTTATTAGGCATATTCTTTGCTAGATTAAGACTTCCAGGAAAAATGGACGTTTATTGTTGGTGCCACCGCCGCCCTGTCCGTGGTTCTACCTTTCCTTCAATTGTATACAATAATAATTGGGATTCCCCAAGGAGATTCTTCAATTTGACTCCGGTATCTGCCTTCAACCACCAAGCCACTCAGTCAGCTGGCCAATACAACATTTTCCTCGGCTGCTGCAGTTTCCTATCGGTAAAGATACCCAGATTCTGCTATGTCTAGAACGAGTGATCCTAAGAGCACGAGAAAGCAAAGGATTGAATCTTCTGGCCTGCGACATCAGCCACATCACTAAGGACAAAAATACCTCGACTTGTGATACGGCCATCCTAAATATGTTACAGAGAAGTCGAGGCAAAAAAAATCAAAAGCGGGGGGCAACACATATAAAAGAGGTATACATTGGAAGCAATCCCCGCCCGCAGAATTAAGAAAAACGGCTTCACTTGGCAACCTTCGTATTCAAGAAAGTCAGTTAAGTGAACTCACACTGAACTTTACACTAAAGGAAAAGAGGCTAGCTACGTAACGTGCTCGACAAGTGATCTGCTTGACCATTGCTATATTATTACTCGATTACTATTGGAATTGAGGGACGATTCAAAAGAATAAACTTTCCTAACAGATATCCAACACCAACACGTTCGTAAGGTGTCGTGCCATGGGCATCTGAGATCGCCTTGACAATTAGTACATAATGTTTCTTCGTGCCTGCGTCGCTGGCTTGCTGCTTCTCGCTACCGATGATCACGCATTTCGTCGAGGCACTTGTTACTACCTTGCCGCCATCGTAGAATATGAGGGCTTCGCTTCCACCAGCGCCTGGAGCAATTTCGAAGTCGAGCGCCTTGGCCTGGATAGCCATACTGCATTTCAGTTGACTCGTCCTAAGCCATGAAGCTTGGGTGCGTTTTCCGAATGGCAGGATGACATCAGGGTCGTTCCAATAAACTTGGCCGCCTTCAGGCTTGACGAATGAGATCTCGCCCTCAAAAGCCATCCACGACCAAGTGGGTGGAATCTTGCGAGTGTGTGGTCCCCGTGGAATCTTCTTCAGCAGTTTCACGCCATCAGCACGTCGCCAGAGCAAGCAGCGACCCCAGAATGTCTCGAAGAGCCCCGCGAGACTTTGCGTTTTGAATGCTTCAGTCAGCCGCTCTATCAGTCCATCGATGGCGATAGGTCTGTCTTCCGGATGTGAAAAGTTTAGTCTGGTATATCGCTGGAACAAGTCGATAAAAAGGTCGATTTGCTCCCCTACGGTACTCTCTAGTCGGATCGTATAGTTAGGAAAATTTGCGTCGCCGAGAAAAGCAATCTTATCACTAATCAAGGCGTATCAGTCATGCTCGCCTTGCTAAGAGATTCCGTAACCTACTTTTTGAGTTTTGCCCACGTTTCGCAGCGGATGCCGTCGCCACATTCCCAATACATCTGGCTCTCTGTAAAGAAGATGGTTCGACGCGCCAGCGCGCGTTCCTGTAAGACCCATCCACGGCGGTTGAGAGGACTATTGAGGACATCCCGCTCAAAATCATTGGTGACTGGAGAGACGAAGACATTGCCCATTTCGACGTATCGTGACTTCCGAACTTGCAAGAAGCCATCCTTGGCACCCATAGCATTGCAAGCGGCCAAAACGCAGTACGCACGACTGAAGGTCGTTTGCATCTTGTCTGCTTGCTCATCGAAATCTCCATCCGGACCTTGTAGGATGCAGAGAGAATCGATCCACAGATAAGTGCATTTGAGGGCACGCGTGATCGCCATGGCATTTTTGAAGCTCAGTGGCAGCTCCTTCAGTGGGATATTTATCTTGCGTTTATCGAGGTTCTGCTTCATTGTTACGGCCTCAACAGGCATGTCGCCCCACTTATGCGAGAATGCAATATATTCAATCTGCCTTAGATCCAATCCCAGAGCTGCTGTCTCTATGATCTTTGATTTCTTCGGGTGTTCAACACTGATGAGCCTTTTCGGTAGTATCTGCTTGCCACGCCTAGGAGCGCAAACATCGCGGTGGTTCAAGTTACAATCTTGTAACCATGCCTGTGGCAACTCTATAAAGGAGTCAAGAGTGTCGGCAGGAGGGTCGGGATCGCTTGGAGTTGGTAATTTCGGTGCACCTATTGGGATTCCTGTGGCCTGCTCCGTCGCTATTTTTCCTATTAGACCGAAGATTATAATACACCGAGATCTTGATGCTTACCGCTTTCATTACAGCATAGCCGGAGAACTTTCAGATCAGTACCATAAACTTTCAGATCAGTTCCATCCAAGATAAAACCGTTGTCTGACCGGATCAATGAGAAACGACTCTTCAGATTCAGGTCCTTGGCCGCCGTGTAGACCAGTTCACAGAGATCGCACACGAGATCGCACTCTTCTTCATCTGAGTTGCTCTTCAACTTGCCCATTTCAAAATCGATCTTTGATGACAAGATGTCGATGCCTTTGCAATCTAGACACAAATCGTGTACGCTAGAGGCGGAATGCCTGCCAGCCACGTTTGACCCAACGAAGGCATTGTCATCGATGGTCTTCCATTCACCTTCCAAGCGGTTAGTATATTCGCGCTGCATTACTATTGCGGTTCTTTGCCCTCGGGTTGGGGGCTGGTTCATTCTCTGTGCATCATAGGGTGACAACGACGAGCCACCTGTAGATTGTGGTGAGCCGTTTGTGCTTGGCTCAGCCGGCTCCGGTAGAGGCACATTTGTGCGATCAGCGCCACTAAACAAGTAACTTTCATTCTCTTTGGTATTTGCAATGATCAATTCAAGCTGCTCTCTTAGGTCTTTGGCATTTGTACGAAAACCTTCCTCGTAGACATCCGAGTTTTGGGGCAGATGAATCTTGAGAAGTCTCTCACTCACCAACTTGACCAGGTGACCGATTGCACCATTGCGTTCAGGGTCATGCTCTAATATATTTTCCATCCAGCTAGTAGCCGCATTGCTTACTTTGTATTCCCCTCCCTTTCCTTTCCTCCAATATGGTGTCGCACCTGGTTCTCCTGTAGTCAATTTGTTCGCGCTCAAGAAGTCTCCGACAGAATTGTGGCCATATAGAAACCACAAGACGATTTCGAAAATAACACAGCCCATAGACCAGATATCGAACAAGCGCGAAATCTTCTCTTTGGCCTGCTTGTAGTTTTTCTCCTCCAGATCTGGTGGCTCATACCATCGTGTCCTCCACAGCTCCTTCTCCTTGGTGTCCCTCATATTTGTCGCTGCCAAGTGCTGCTGTGCTCTTCCCAGATCGGCGAGCTTCAAGACACCTAGGTAGGCATCGGCTTTGCCATCAGTGAAACGCAAGATGTTTTGTGGTTTGATATCACCATGACGCCAATTCTCCGAATTGAAATTGGTAGTTCTTCGCGTAGGATTTGGGCCACCATTTACCTCCAGGCTTGCCGGATCAGGAGGAGAAACCGAGAGGATGGGTACACGTAATGCTTCACCATACGGTCTCGTCTCATCCGCGACATCTAAATTAAATTTAGGCAAGGGCTGGCTATCCGCAAATGGTACGCCGGCATCAAGACCATCTTCCCTCCCGTGTACATTCCTCACCGGCAGGCGTTCCGGAGAAGATCGTGTCGAGCCGCGTCTGCTATGTCGTCCAGGCGATTGGGAGCTAGTAGAATGCATTCCCTCTAGAGCGTCCGCTATTCCCAACACCTGTTCCAGCATTTCCGTAACGCGTTGACGACTTTTCTCGACATCCAGATGATCCAATTGACGAGCTGGACTTTTGTCCCAAAAATCATGGGGGCTTCCGCCGTCGGCCCACTCAAGCACAAGATGGTATGTATTGTTCTCCGGTCGTGCTGCCTTCTGCTGGTAGGCGGCAAATGCTTGGATGATATGGTCGCGCTTTCCATTCAGCTGCTTGTGGGCTTTTGCCTCGCGGTGCCATTCGTTATGGATGTCATAGCCGGGGTCACTGATTCTTCTAAGCGTTTTCAGCGCAACGATAATCGTATTGTCTCGCACGTTAACCTTCTTCTGCTTGCTAGCGAGCATCTCCACGCATGCAACGTCGCTAAAATGGCCGCTAGGTAGCTCTCCAGACTTCGCTATGAAAGGGAGAATTCGATCATTATCGAACTCGTAGATAAATTTCTCGGTGTCAAACGTGGGAACAAGAAACTGCCATCGTTCGCGTTTGAAGTTGTTCAATTGTGTCAGATCCCAAGGATCGTGGTAACGGAAATAGTGTGTACAATTCTGACTTTGTGGTCAGCTGGCTGTCAGTGAACTTATTTGCCATTAGAGCTTCCATAGCGTTTAGACGATCTTTACAGTCTTTGAAGACCAGCAGCAATGTTGCAAATGTCTTCTTCGCATTGTTACAGACATATTCGATCAAACGGTCGAGTCGTATAGCTACCACCAAGCGCTTTTTGGATGTCATCTGGTTGGAATAGCGTATCGTATTTATCGTCTAGGAGATAATGACCTTCTGGATCCAATCCAATAGGGTTGTTATTCAATATTTTCTGGATTTTATCACGGAGGTCATAGGGATCTGCTTCGAGGTGTCTTTCTCGGCCATCATCTAATACGGCCCCCGCAGTTTCATTCGGTTCGGACTCTTCTCTTGCGCTCGATACGTCGATTTGAGGTAGGTTATTGACGGGTGGGTTCCCTAAGCTGGCCATTGTAGTGTCCTAAGTGCGGTGATGGATCGTAAATTAGGTGGAGGTGAAGGTGGATGCAAAAAATTCCACCAGAGAAAGAGGCCAGGCTGCCATTTTTAGAACTCGTCGTTCTCAACGATCAGGCTGGGTTTCTGCAACTCTGAGATCCCCGTATAATTCAAGTCCCGCCATCGTCTGTTCTCATTCGTCGTGGGGTGGGCAGTTTTAGCTTCCTGCAAGCCACAGAAGGTATCACTGCGGTATGTGGTCCATCACTTGTATTCAGCGGCTCCATCCTGCGAGGTCCTCGTGTGGCTTGGCTGCGTGGCTTTTGCCAGCAGAGGTGTTTTCTCGCAATTTGCTGATCAAGGCAACTTGTAAGGCTTAGTTATGGCATCCTAGCTCCAACCATCGGTTGAGAAGAATGATACGTCCTCAATTTGATTTGCTGAATGCTAACCAGAGTTGAGAAAGGCGTCATGGTTGCAAAGAATACGATCAACACTATCCACACGTTAGTCACTCTACTCTACTACCTCTTCCAATAAACCTGGTCACCTTAGGCCCGAGCCGACCCTCATGTGTCAAGCCTTCTCAGGCTGCGCTCTCAATCCCAGCGAACTCTTCTAGGTTCACAGGGATATAAAGGGACGATCTCATCGATTAAGAGACCTTCGATCGTCGAGCAGGTTCGCGCTTATAACACAACGCACTGCCAAAGAACAAGCAGACTAGAGCTCTACTGCATACAAGGTTCATATTGGACGGAGCGGAACCCATAAATATGGTTCCGAAGGAATCCTTGTCGGAGCCAAAATAGGACCTGCCCCTAGAGTCAAGACGAGGAAAGTGTAGACGGGCCTAAAAGGAGCCAAAACGAGCCCTTCCAGATACTGAAATAGCTCTTTAGTGCATGCTTAAGCTTACTTAGCATGTGCTCAAGCTATACTCAGGCCGTGCTCAGGAATGGTCACCCTCGGCCTCAGCTTGCTCACCAATAGCTCAGGCTAAAACAGCAGCAGCTCAGGTCTAGAGACGAAAATAGAAAATGCAATGAGAACATTCCCATGTGGGTTGTCCTGAAACCTATCGGTGCATGACAATGCCTAGTCGTACATGGAAGAATGAACATTTTAAATTTTTCAATCGCAACATTGCCTGACTCTAATGGCTTTTCGGCCTATTTGATGATGCTTCATTGCTTCACAGACTATCAAAGGAAGGTAGGGGTAGGGAGGAGGGCGTCGCCCTAGACTTTTCCTTTCACCAAAACCCCGAGAAGCTGATTAGCAAGAAATGGACAAAGTCCTGCATGGCTTCCTTCCTTTTCCTATCGATGAAGTCAACATCAATCGCTCAATCACGAGCATGGGTGTCCATTCGTTAGTTACAGTTGAGCTGCGCAATTAGTGTCACCCTAATATGGGCAATTGAGATGATAGGAGCACATTAGGGAATCCTTCTTGAATATGAAGGCACTGTAGAAAAAGAGTGGCTTATTTTGGAGTGGTAGTAATTGTAACTTAAGATGATAGGTATTAATGGGTCGGCTAAGGTGTTCAAGATACATATATCTTGTTTTGGCATCAAAAGATTCCATCATGGAAAACCATATTTTCTCGCTTTCCGGTTAGGGCGGCAACTTATTCAAGTCATGGTTCATATTTAATGCTAAAAGTAACATCTTAACCCTACTTTATATTGTACCAGTCATTTACCCTAGCTAAAGCCGCCAACTTGTCAGTAGATCAAAGTCCCAGCTACTCAATTGTATGGCTCTTTTATCTCTTCAGTGCTCATCAGTTCAACAAACTCCGCTCCCCAATCGCTCTCCAAATCAAGGAGAAATGTAGTTTCTCCAGTCCCAACAGCTCCATCTTTTTCCTCGAATACGTTGTTCATACTCCTTCCCCTCCATTCCTGATACTCCTCCCTACTTCCCCACCCACTTATTTTTACAAATTCCTTCTGTATACTCTCCACACCCGCACCTTGACAGCTGCAGCCACCAACACAATCACACTCACATCGACATCCATGAAAGATAGTCCAAGGCTTAGTGGTATCCTGCAAGTCCTTCTTATCCTTCGTTAGATTACCCCCACTAATTTCAATTCTCTCCAGGACAACAACTGGGGCATCAAGCGGCAAAAGCGCATTAGTCATCCCGCCGTATTTATCTCCGTCATTTTCGAACCTAACATGAATGCCCTCAACGAAATCTAACACACCCTCCTGCGAACCCAAAACCTCATCCCTTAGCTCATCATTAGTGAGGAAAGCCTTATGAGCAGCCACGGAAGGCCAGCTTCCAAGGATATAAATCCCCTCGCGCCCGTCTAGATTATCTTTTGGTGAGATGGAGCGGTAGAAGCGAGAGTGAGTGAGGTGAACCTTTTCCGCGAGGCTTGCTCGGACTGTTTGGAGGATTGGGAGGAGTGAGCGCGGCGTGTGGGGTGAGGTGGGGGAAAGGGAGAGATGCGTTATTTCTAGGACCGTCATTTTTGCTCCTAATATAAGTCGTAAGATTTATCGGTTTTGGAGAGTTCATTTGGTGTGTCTGATGGCCTGTGTCTGATGCGGGTTCCAGCAGTCGCGGAACGTGGGTCTATTTTGATATGCGGGGAACCCGGTGGGGCGGTGCGGCCCGCATACCTAGTTGGAGGTTTGATATCCTCGTATTGAAGAATAATATATTACAAGACAAAGTTGTGTTTCAGCGGGAAAATATTCCCAAGCCTAAAATCTCTCAGGTAGGGCCCAGTAGGTGCTGTGCACCCTATAGATTCTATCGATACTCAGTAACTTTCCATAAATTCGACTTCATTATGTAGTCAGACCACTAACAATTTCCGCCAATAGGCAACTTTGGGGCAGAATCAAATTATGTTGGGGTTCAGAATACTTGGTTGAGGTGGGTGACCTGATATTAAATTATGTATGTGCAGTTAGTGCATTTTAACACTTTACCTAATACTAATCCAAGATCAGATTATATTCCACTTATGGCAATTCTTTGCGCTGCGCAGTACTATAAAAACATTGCACCCAGTATGCAGTATAGCTTCCAAACTTTTCATGGTTTGGATATAATCTAGTAGTGGTCCTTCAAACCTGCGACTTTTGTTTTTTCTGACTTCCGAATCCTATCCTTTCTTTCCTGCCGAGCTCTAATACCTTCCTTTGAGTTTTGGGGGAAACTGGTTTGCACAACTATGCGATCTAATATTTGGCAATTTTAAAGATAATATCAACTGGATTCGCTCTCCCGGGGCTGTGGTCGTAGCGATCTATGTACCGGGAAGCGATGTGGATGGGATGGCGATCCTGAATTCCCTGTGGTACAGAATGCGCTGCAAATTCAGTAGCTATCAGTCCGCCCTGTGGCTATTATTAGGTGATGCTGAACTACCAATCCCCTTGGGCGTATTATGCTCTGATTCCTACGAATATTGCGTAGTATGGCGCATTCTTAGGACTCTAATTTGACCTAATTCCACGTGGCTCACTCGATAGAGTTTGGAGCCTAGAGAGCTGATCAAATACCAGATTCGGCCTGCTCCTCGGTGCTATCTACTTCGTAACGAAAATCAACAACCTTGTATATACCACGTGGCGTGCCCCTGACTAACGGAATAAAGGCGGAAGATCCGATCTGTAATTGGAGACCTGGGAACTTCGTAGATAGGGAACATAAATTTGTAAGACTTGGGTTCAAAGCTGCAGGGCTCTCTGTATGTAGAACGTCTGGAATTGCGCATATCGAAAAAGCCACGACTTCATCAAGGTTTGTCTGACGTATCTCGTTACATATGTCAAATACAGTGCTGGAAGAAAAGTAGATGGGATTGGCTCTATCACTCGACCAAATTAGGCGCGGGCGTAGAGGTCGAGGGATATCCAACCTTCCAATGTATCACTACTAGACTGTAACCTCATAGCTGCAAATATTGCATTGCAGCGCGATAAGAGACCATGGAGTAAAACATTCGTTGCTTAGAGGGGATATCATATTGCAATGTGCAGTTACTAATGTGCCATGAAAGATAACTATGCTATTCAAAACATTAAGAGCACTCATAAATAATCTGGGGTATGTGCTGAAACCGAAAATAAATCCATCGTACATAAAAGCATCTCCTGATGATACATAAATCTGTTTTCCTGTGATTCAATAAGTCATGTAAAGCTCCCCAATATACATAAAACGCCCATCTTATGTAGAGATAAAAAATAATCATAATTAACACATCGATGCAGGCCAGTTTCAACAGTCCAAGGGAAACAACCCAGGGAAACAGCAAACGAAAATATGTTCAAGAACGCATTGTTTGTAGTTCGCAATTAGTCACCACCTCGACCAACGCTTGCATAAAGCATTCGTTGGCATGATCCTCAGGTATATCGTCGTTATCATCACCATCATAATCATTATACGATCCTAATCGCATAATCCTTGTCAGCCGATTGATATAATGGCGCAAATGTTCGGCCAAATCCTCAAGCTGACAGGCCGATGTAAGATTGCTGATAAGATCTTCGCGGGTATTGGCGTCGTCTAGGGGAGCGGCAATCCCTAGCTTGCTGGCTGATTTTGAGGGTGTGCTGGTAGATATGGACGAAACAGCACTAGAGCGTATAGTGGAAGCGGGTGGTGAAACCGAGGGATTGGGCGATCGTGACTGAGCAAGAAAAATAAAAGCCAGTATGTGTGTGTAAAGTGCCAATACCATGGCAGTGGTGGCGCTAGGGAAGATCCTATGTAAAGGTGCGAGGTCTAGAGGTGGAGAGCAAGCGTCGTAACTATCGAAGTCACCGAAGCCCTCTGGCAGGTGAGGCGCTACGGGAGTGTTTGTACAAGGAGAGACAGTTGCAAAAGGCGACAATCTGACAGCCGTCCGGCGGTGTTGATTCTGGCTAGACGTGGATTGTATGGATGCGGGGCGGTAGCGAGCATCGACTGTGAGAATTGGATGAAGGTGCGAGCGTAGAGCAGCAACACATGGTGAATAATCACGTAGGAGGCTAGATCGAAGGTCTAAATTTGACTTCCCGAGAATTGATAATATTTCGTTCATCGAATGAGATACGGAGATTAGTGGCTGTCGAGGAACACGTAGGTTTAGCGATTTATGCGACGGTGTAAGCATATCCTCCGGAAAGCGAGACATCTCTGCTTGAGGGACACCTTGACTCGTTTGGTGTGGTGGAGGGGAGAACGGCCAGCTCTCCATCCCATCCTCCTCTATCCTGTGAAGTCTAGGGAAAGGAGTCCCTGGACGATAGTGACCCCGGGTTTCTAAGTCCTCGGCATCGAGGGGTGAACGATGTTCGTCATCGTGAGATTCAGCAAAGCATGTCTCGTCATCATGATGGTCCAAAATCACTGATCCAGTGCTCGTAAGGGACGATGACCTAGGAGGAATTTTAACCAAGCGCCCAGAAGCATGGGCTGCATTCACATCGACGGCAGCCGCTATAGCAGGTGCAGATTCGGCTTCGGAGTCCTAGGCTGGTTAGAGGAGCACTGTAAGATATAGAGTAATAGACTAACAAGATCGCTATCCTCGCTATCCTCGCTATCGCTCATGCTATCCGTTTCACTAAGCCAACTTCGAACATCACGCTGTGGTGGCATGCTTTGCGCCAGAATTTCGGGAAGATGTTCTGATAATCCTGGGTAGGCTGGGGTGCTTAACCATGTCGCTTCGTCTGGGTGGAATTTCTCGCCCAAACATTGGAAAGATAATTCGGAGTCGCGAGTTTTGGCCTCATCTGCCGAGATGGAAATATATTCGGATTTCACAGGATGCTGAGCGCCTCCAAAAATCCCCTTCTTGATATTAGTATCGTGCCATGTTACCAGCAAAGCGCGCGGTTCAACATACCATGGATCCACAACGCAAACTATCAGGTTGCGACATCTCAAATTTCTGGCTCATGCATTCAGCATCCCAGTCTTCATCAGATGATGAAACAGAGTCCGACCAATCCAGCCAGAAACTTGAGGTTGGGTAGTAGACCGGACCAGGAAGAGGTGATCTTGCATCTATATATACCGGAACGTCGCGATAAGACTCTGAAGTGACGTTCAATGGCAGTCGGGGAAACCGATGGGCCTGATTTGTGACGTTTACAATTGCGGAAAAGGGTTTACTTTTGTGACATGAATTTCGAGAGTTCGGAGTTGATCTCTCAAGGGAATTGCGTGCGGGCGGGAATCCAAATTCTGGACTTGAAACTGGTGATAGTTTGAGTGGGAGGAGTGACTTCATGCCAGACACGTGTGTCCTGACTGTAATCGATCTGGGAAACGTCCTCTTAGTTGAGTATGGCCTGCTGATGACATCCTGGTCGGAGCAAAGCATGATTGGCAGTGCTAGAGGGGTCGAAGAAACGCGAGGTTTAAAGTTGTTGTAGGACTGAAGACTGGCAACAGCCGGGCTAGGGCTGCACGATATATGCGGTGACGGCGCTGGACTATTGATACCCAGCATATGCTGTCGCAGAGGGCTTCGTTTGAGATATGATCAAATTGTTTCCGTGATCCCAAAGCAGGACCTTTCATGCGCAGGTCGATAGATAAGGTAAGAAAGGATAACGAAAAGAGAGGTTGGGCCTGTATGGGCCATCCTCATTAGGATATGCTTGACGGGGTCGATCACCCTGTCTTGCCCTTTCCCCTGATACCATTGTGAACACAGGAGGCAGTCCTTGCAGATGTAATGGGCCAAGGCGCCATTATCCACAATGCTGTCTTGCATTCTTCGCGTCGAGGAATTCGAATGAGCGCGAGAAGTCAAAAGCAATTAAGGGCGCGGCACTGGCTGGCCCCGATCGATTGGCGAACGCGATCTAAACCGATGCAAGGGCGATCTTAGGATCATCAGGATTCACACTCAGTGAATCAGGGAGATTCATTCCAAGCCCTAGCCTCAGAAGAAGCCACAAAGAGGGGCAGAGCTGTAATAGAGGCGTTGCCCGTCTGTACGCTTGTACTGTAGACTGCCATGTCATGCTGAATGATCGGCATATTGCATCCAGCTGGCTTGATGTTTTGGACAGAGACATCCTGAGAGTGCTCGTTATCAAGAAGCAAAATGCAGGAACGCGAGGACGAAGTGAAAATACATTGCAATGTTGCTAGTCTAGTATGGGCGTGTTGGGTGTTGCATTGTGGTATAGTTACTTGTACTCGAGTAGCTGGTGTTGTAACTGTGTGGTCCGGGTAGAAATCGGGCTTCGATTGCACGGAGTTTGGTGAAAAAGCAAACACCGACCAGAAATCAAGATGCGTAATATTTTCACCTCGCCTTGTCCTTGTCCATCGCGGCGACACAAGACGAATTGAAGACATCAACCAACGCCAACTCCCCCGGATACACTATTGGCACTTTGGTTTCAGCTCCTCTCGCCCTCCCCGCTTCACCTTGCAAATCTTTTATCCGATCGATATTATTGCCAAGTGAGGCTTCCACTTCCAAATTCGAGCGGCAGCAGAGAAGAAAAAAAAACTCAAGTTATCTCAGCGGCTTACAACGACCATCCTAGGAGACAGGAACGAGGGAAACCGAATCCTACGAGGGTGCTATATTCTCATACTTGGCCCGTTCGCCATGTTGTCGGAGGGCTTCATCACAGCAATTCGCGCCGAGCGCAAATCGGCCAATACAGCCATTGCGAAGGATGTGGGCATATACGTCCATGAGCTCCATCCATCACACGTAGTCAAATCCTCCTTCAAGAAGAGTTCCACTCCGGTAAACGCATTGGCCTGTACCTCTACCCATATATTCGCTGCCCAGGTTGGCAAGGCCGTGGTCCATGTCTACTCCCGGGAACGGGGGAACCAAGAAGCATTGATCTCCTTTCCGGAACGGGTACATAGCTTAGCACTCGTTGGAGAGAACGTCTTGGTGGTCGGGACGGGTGAAGGAAGGATCATACTCTGGGAGGTACGTATTCCAGCTCCAGCCGTGGGTCGAAGTACACACTGACACTTCCACAGGTATGCACCGGCCGCCTAATATCGACTCCTCCTGCACATCTGCAGCTAGTAGCATGCATCGCAGCAACACCATCCCATATAATCACAGGCTCAGAAGACTCCAATATACATGTGTGGTCCGTTCCCCGACTACTATCGTTGGAGTCGACCGAGACACACGAGCCTCTTCGAAGTCTTTCAAACCACCGGGCTGCCATCACGTCCCTTGCCGTAGGCACAAGCACAAGCCCTACAAACATATGTGTTTCGGCGAGCAAGGATAATACCATCATTGTCTGGAACTACCATTCGGGAGATCTCCTTCGGACATTTTTGCTTCCGTCAACGCCACTCTGTCTGGCGCTTGATCCCTGCCACCGGGCAGTATACGCTGGGTTCGAGGATGGGTCGTTGCAGCTCATCGAATTCATACAGCCCCAATCTATCGTGAACCCCCTTTATGATACGAGTTTACAGACGACGCCGGTACAAATCACACTTCCTCCTTGGATAGCGCCATTTGAAGCTAGTGCAACTCTCTGTCTTGGTCTTAGCTATGACGGAACATCTCTGTACTCTGGGCACACGTCTGGCAAGATTGCCCAGTGGGACACAGGCCGACGTGCATTTGCATCTGAGCTCTTGGACTTAAATGCTCCTGTGACTAATCTCCTAATGTTATCGCCATTTGCTCCTAAGCTGATGAGCCGGGCCATTACCGTTGTAAAGCCCAAGCTCGGTGAGACCCAATATACTTTCACTGCGCAATTATGCGGCCGCATGTCGACCGATGAGTTTGATCGGACGATGCAAAGCCAAGGGTTTCCAGAGGACAAGCTCAGTGATGCGATATCCAGATTTTATCAGCCTGTCGCTGCAGCTGCAGCTGCGTCTTCAAGTGGAGATGAAGATCTGCGGAAGCAGAATGAAGAACTTTGGAAAGTTGTGCATGAGCAGCAAGCACTGCAGAAGAAAACGTTAGAAAAATACGCAGGGCTGAAATCCGGCTGATGTTGGATTTGGAGTTGTGGCTGTGGTTTCAGGCCGTGCTTCATCTGAAGGCTACTCTACAGGCCACGCTGAGCCTCGGCGATGCAGTGCTACAAGTACCGAAGCGGGTAAAGTTGACGATCCCTTGGTATGAGATGAAGTATTATGGTTTTATTGGACATTGGCCACGGACGAACACCCCCACCGGTCTTCCTGAACGCATACAACCAACATTTGCGTCTCCAGCTGCCGCATATACGATCTATGATCTGCACAGCCGTGCTTAGCGAAGCTTGGCAATGTATTTGCGAAGGTTGAACTTTAATGCATAGGCGGGTGCTACAGGGCTGCTGTCTATGCCATGATCTGTCAACAGACTGGTGCAAACGCAGCTCGTCTCAAGAAATATCCACCACGCAACTTAATCTAATGTGGATGACACCCGGAGATATCAATGTCAATAGGACATGGACGTAGGTCCCTCTGGCTTCCTATCTCTCCATATTATCTCCGGTGAGTTTCAAAATAAGCGCTTTAAATTATTATTATTTCAAAATTAGAGAGCCTCTTGGCTCAAGCCGTAACAATACATATCAGTGCGGAATCCCATGATTTTGAAATGGCTGCTTCAGTCCACCATTGGGAAGACTGCCCGAGATGCGTGTCAAGGCCATCGTTCAGATATTCGCTGCCCTGGCGGTAGTGGCGTCTTCGTCTCCAATTTCCACTTCAAGCCATGTGGTACATGAACGGCGATCAATGCCTCCGCCCAAATGGTCTAAGGATTCTCGGCTTCATCCGAACTTTGTCTTTCCAATAAGAATAGGACTTTCGCAGCAAAATCTCCACCGCGCCGAGGAGTTTATCAATCGAATTTCGAATCCACTATCAACAGATTATGGCAAACATTGGTCACCACACGAGGTTACTGAGATGTTTGCCCCCAGCAGCGAGGCTACTAATGAAGTGAGAGGATGGCTGTCTGCTTCAGGAGTCGAGCTTAGTAGAGTCAAACTATCTCAGTCGAAGAGTTGGTTGGAGTTCAATGTGACGGCGCAGGAGGCAGAAAGGCTCCTTAGAACCGAGTACCATTTGTACAGCCACGAAACTGGCGATAGACATATTGCTTGCGAAGAATACAGCATACCCTCTCATCTTACCAAGCACATCGATATTATAACGCCTGCCGTGGACTTTGATAAGAGCATTGGAACCCCTCGCCGAATGCAGGAGCGCGATCAACTACCAAATTCGCTACACGCGCTCAACAAACGAGCCGTCGGCCATGCGGTTCTTGGATCTGCGGGTGATACGTCAAATCCCAAGCATGGTCCAGCAATTCTCAATGCCTTGGTGTCGTTGGATAATTGTGATGCTATGGTTACCCCAGCATGCTTGCAGGCACTCTATGGGGCGCCGGTTGGGAGTAAAGCGGCGAACAACAACACTCTAGGAGTCGTAGAGTACACTCCTCAAGCGTTCCTCCAAACAGACTTGGACCTGTGGTTCGAACAATTCTCGCCTCCCCAGGTCGGTCAAGGGCCCATCACGCATCTAATTGATGGAGCTATCGTTCAGACACGGAACCAGAGTTTTGATTTCAACGGCGAGTCGTCTCTAGACCTTCAATATGCTATGGCTTTAGTCTACCCTCAGGCCGTGACGCTCTATCAAGTCGGCGATCTTGTCACTGGAGCCAGCTTCAACAATTTCCTGGATGCAATCGATGGAAGCTACTGCACCTTCCAAGGGGGGGACGCAAGCGACCCAAACGTCGATGGGCAGTACCCAGACCCAGATTGTGGCACTGTTGCTCCGACCAACGTCATCTCGACCAGCTACTCATTCAACGAAGCTGATTTGACTCCAAGATACGAGGAAAGACAATGTCTAGAATATATGAAGCTTGGTTTGCAGGGCGTTTCCATCCTGTACTCCTCTGGCGATTTCGGTGTAGCTGGGAATGGTGATCGGTGCATCAATCCTGCAGATGGGACTTATAATGATGGGAAGGGGGGAATTTTTAACCCTACTTTCCCTGGAACCTGTCCTTGGATCACATCTGTTGGCGCCACCCAAATTGCCAATGGGTCCTCAGTCCGCGACCCTGAAATCGCCTCACAGCGTGTCATTTTCTCTGGCGGTGGGTTTTCGAACGTCTTCCCAATGCCCACGTACCAGGAGAAAGCTCTCTCGACTTATTTCTCCAATAACAAAATTCCATACGGCGCCGATCGCTATAACAACTCGCAGGCCGTCCGTGGATTTCCCGACGTCTCCGCGAATGGCGTGAACTACGTGGTTGCCGTCAATGGGGAGTTCTCACTTGCTTACGGCACCAGTGCCAGCGCACCGACCTTCGCAGCATTTCTGAACATGATCAATGAGGAGCGGATTGCGGTGGGGAAAGGGCCAGTAGGATTCGTCAATCCAGTGCTCTATGCGAATCCCGAAGTTTTGACGGACATTACACTTGGTGGGAATCCGGGATGTGGCACACCTGGGTTTAATAGCACTGTTGGCTGGGATCCAGTGACGGGGCTGGGAACACCTAATTATCCTGCTATGTTGCAGCTTTTTATGGGCTTGCCTTGATCCGAATGCTTTTCATGAAATAGTATATTATTAGACGGGCCTCTACCATATATAAATGTATAGCTTAATTCATATAATGTTCTTCTGTTTGGCCCTTGTTGGTCTCCTGCTGCATATTCTGAACCTCCTATTCAGATGTTGATCTGTATGTGGAGATCGGCCGGTATTTATCGACAACCCACGTCAACGGATCAGATATTGGTCTCTTAGAGGGCTGAGACGTGGACTGGATTATGAGGTGCCTTCTATCATATGTGTACTAGAACGCGGCCATGGCTCAGCTATACAGCAACGCAACTTGACATGACGAACCAGGCACCGACAGCTTCTCATATGTCACTACCACCAGGAAACTTGCTGTCATAGAGCACCAAAATATCTCTTTTAAGTTTAGTTTCATCCAATATTGATGTTCATCCAACTGACTCAACTAGCAATATCTACCTCCCTATCAACCCGGCAGAGAAGCCCCCTCTCATCATGAAACCAGTTAGCTATCGCAGCCGGTATGCTGTTCCAACTCAGAGCTGCGAAACAGCTCCTCGTCCCACTACATCCTGAAACGAGAGGGGACCCCAAACTTTCAAGAGCCCATTCCAGTCGATCGTAGAACATAGAGTTCTGGACAGAGAATGTCATTTCGTTCCTTCTCCCGCGAAATGAGACATACGTTGGAAGTTTGACGTCAATGAAACATTACTACCTGGGGACGAGTTAGTGCCTCACGATATATTACCATTAAATACGACGAACTAGCAGATTGAGGCTTCTATTTTTGCTATGAACAGCTCGAATAACTCCCAGGGACAGCGACGGTCAGTTATGATTGTTTAACGAGACACTCCCTCAGGGCAAAGCTCCTATCATCTACAGCTCATACCCAGGCTTCGCGCTTCGCGTTTCCGCACCGCAGGAATGTGCTGGCTGGAATCCCAACAACCAAGTCGCGGTGCACATTCCAAGAGGTGGTGCTGACAGGCGAGCAATACACAATGAAACATGTAGACGAGAATCCACATTTCTATGATCATCCGATTTGGGGGGGTTGGATATTGATCGAGGAGTTTCCTGTTTCCGATGATATCCCTCCAAGCCTCATTGTTTCAAGGTCAAGTTTTTAAGCCGTTTATGCTGTATTTGATTCGGATAAGAGAGCTACTTCGCGTAAGTCTAGTTACTTTACTCCTCCCTTCTTACTCTTTCAAATTTGCCTTTAGACCCTCTGAAATACAATATAATTGCTAATATAATTAACATAGTTGGTAAATCTAAAGAATGAGTCCATTTAAGGGATAGGGGGAGACCATAAAAATGCTAGCCATGCTATTATATTGATCACCTCCTCCCTTCGCCGACAAAAATCGACTTCTTGTTTCTCCACGGCTCTGGATTCGACAATATAGTTTTAATTATATCCCCAAATCAAAAAGGCATTTTGTCATTGGCACAGTTCAATTCGGTTACTTTATATTTCCTCTCTAAAGTCGGAGAAACTGACCGTCCCCTTTTATTACCCTCTGGATCAAGCTTAATAAAAGAGTTATCATAATAGAGTTTGATAGATATTACTACTTTATTCTAGTGTATATAGAAGGGCTGTCCTCTCTAATCTCAAAATCCGTGACAACTTGGCCTTGACACAGATGGTATTTCAAAAACCATTCAACCCCAAATAGAAGTCCGAGGGGTTAGTGATTAGATGATCCAATGATATAGTGGCCTAATACTTCCATATCCTTCACACCGAAGATATCTCGAACTTGACATTCTTGATATTTTATGGGGTTAGCGGATTTAAATTTCTTTTTGGCTTTTTACTGACGGGCAGTTCATGCCCTTCGTATGGACGTGGAATGCACAGCGATGAAGCATTCTTGGGTCCCGAGGACGATCATTTCTTAGCAACTCTATAAGATGCCGCGAGAAATCCTCATGATTCGTTAACAGAGGCAGAAATTCGGATGGCGACCAACGCATATCAGAGCTGTTCGGTGACTGAGAAAGTTGATCAAGGACAAACCTAATCGACAAGGCGGCATACTGTCGAAGTCGTGACTCCCCAAATATCTGGGCGTAGGCGTTGACGGTAAATTTGGGTGATGTTAGCTGCTTCATCCTGCAGTGGTGCTCGATCAGGGCATCCATTATCTGATTCATGATGCGGAAGAGGCACAACATTTCAGCCAGGGCGTACAGTTCCACCGGGTCCCATGCCAGCTTGACCGACTTATCGGCACCTGTAGGGGCTGATAGACGTCTGATCTGGTCATGATACACCACCATGTCGAGAAGGGAACTGAAGGCACCGGCGTTGTCCTCGGGCAGTTAGCTTCATTCTCACAGCTCTCTTTGAAGCCGCCATTGAACATCTTCTCAAATTATGGTATTTTAGCGCAGAGAAGAGTCTTATGGACCCGAAAGAGGACTTCCTCAGGGCCTACATAGATATCGACTATTTGGGTGCCCAGTTTACTAGGTGAAATTAGTGAAGTTCGCTATGGTTAGAAAGCTATATGATGCTGGCGTACAGAAGGAAACCCGCCCTGGGGTATCGTCTAAGGACTGCTGCACCGTTGGAGCAGGCGAAATAGGTTGAAGATCTAGAGCCATAGTAGTAGTTTGGGCAGGGAAGCTGTAGTTTGATGGAGGTATAGCGAACGTATACGGAAAGCCTTTTAAGATGAGTCGCGAAGCTGCAGTTGGGTACTAGTTCAATTTTGCAAAACAAGAAATATGGGGCTAGGGCTTTGACTCCCCCAACTGCCAAGCACTTGAATGTGTTTTTGATGGTTTGTAGGTATCGCGGCCTTTGATATGAAGACGACAGGCGAAGAGATATGAACTTCTCTCTTTGCTGTTCAGGAGGGAAGTGTTAATAGCTGACAGGGGTAAAAGTGCCAGGACTCAAGTGACGGATTAAATCGGCGATGGTGGTCGAGGCTGTCTGGTGAGCAAGCCTTAGCAAACTTTTAGAAAATGCATTAAGAAATATAGATCCCCTCTCTTCACCCCTTATAGTCGTAGTATTTGCAAGTATAAAGGGTCACTATTCGTCACCTTATCTTAGTCCTCTCAAAGAGGAGGTTGTCCCAAGAGCTGTAACAACAGATCGTAGCTTCTGATTTTAGATAGTCCTCTCTTTAAAAATCGAGTACACGTTTCTGTTTCTAGCAAGCTGGCCGAACTTGCAGTTGGCCGCAAACGCGATGGTTGTTCAGCGTTTTTTGAACGGCAAATTCGACAGCATGATAAAATTAGTATCTTGGAGGCAGGGAATCTTCGTCGATGAAACGACGACCGGCTATAAATCCATGATTCTAGTAAAATTGCGGCGGAGGGGACCCAAGCATAAAATCAAAAGGAACTCAATGCAATCTTGTTCCAATGCCATAGGACAATAGTCATATTGCTTGATTTCAGGAGCCTGGTTTTCGAAAAAGAATCTCGGGACATTGCCAGCGAACTCCGCGAATACCACAATGGTCCATGAGGTGATATTAATCGCCAAACTCGTAAGAATATCCATTGTACAACGTAGCTTTCAAGTACTACGGCTGCATCGTGGTAGTACGTACTTCGTACCCCATGCCACTTCACGATACATAGCTAATGTACCTTACGGAGTATGAATCCGACACACTGTGCCACCCATGTGCTGCCGGTACATCTCGCGCCGTCCCTTACCTGATCTAGGAATAGAATCCATTCGCCTGCGGGTAATTTAAGAATCCTGATCGCCAGGAGATAATCGCATTCAGTTCGTACTCCGTAGGCCTCAGGAATTTTAATTTGGAAAAAATTGGCTGACTGGACTAAATAACCTAGATGCCCGTGAGACGATGTAAGGCTACAGTAGCAGTAAGAAGAATGAAATATATTATTAGGAGAGGTGATACCATAAGATCGGCGACGTCAATTCTTCCGAGTATTTACAATACTGTACTCCGCACGTACTTGTACACCGTTATGTCGCTACCTAGTTTAATTAATGGGCTGATGTGAGTTGATTTAGACAATGTCGGGACAGCCGGAACGAGTGCTAGCACGGAGCGAGTAGAATCTAGTGGACATAATACTTCGTAGATTGTTCTCCGTATGCTGAACCACGTTTGGGGATGTTTTAGGAGCACTTAGAGCCTTTCAGTTTTGATAATGACGAGTTGCAAAGTGGAGCTCAAGGGTCGAAAGTCGAGAGCATCCGAGATGAATGCTGACGGAGATGGGGCGGATTAGGCATACGAACGTTTAGAAGACAGCTAGAAGACCGCTAGAAGCCCGCCCTGGATGATTCTGTGCCGTTGTACGAGGAGCAAGAACTATCATAGACTGCCCCGCAACGATTGTCTCTTGCGAAGTAAAAGAGGCGATATAATATCACCCAAGGACTAGAAATAGGGAGATATAAACACGTATTAATAACGGAGGACAAGATAATTTGTTTTGACAGGTGTCAAAGACGGTGTGAGTACTCCGCATCTAGAGCACAATTGCTCTTGGACTTTGTGCCGTTCATTATTTGTTTTCTTCGTCCGAATTTCGTTGGTTGAATCTGATTCGTACGCCGTGACCTCCTCAGGGGCCCCCCTAACCCCTAATCCACCCCGACTCAAGCTGAAACGTTAGCCACCCGGGCCGCCCATGATAAGCGTTAGCGCACATAGGCTGACGAACGTCTGGTCTTTTTTCCTATTCTCGTTCGTCATACGATGCTCCTGAGTATCCATACAGCGACGAGCCGTGGGTGGGCGTGTATGAGTCGTCAGTTCGAGAGTTGTGCGAAGTACAAACAAGAATAATCCAATAATAATACCTCCACTATTAACCCCTAAATAAAACAGGTACGGTGCTCGCACCCCCGTACTTGTCCCAACTGCTCGGGCTTTGTACTCATGGTTTCGGAGGAGCTACACGCTAGGTGGGTGGTGGCTGTAGTGGCTCGAGCCCTCGTCTCTCTTCAATAGCAGTGGGGAGTTAACGGAGCCTCTCCAAACGAGAAATAGAAAGGCTTGGTACAGTACCTTATCGATCCAGAGAAGCCGAATGTTTGAGGGTTCAGAGACTAGCTCCCCGACATGTAGAGGCTGGAGGAGATCATTAATGATGAACAGTTGTTGGTCTCCTGCTCCATCAGCACCACCCTGTTGCAACGTACCCACCGCATTTGCAGCCTCTCCCGAGTTCTGAGTATATGGTCGTTGGGTGGCCTCGATCGGGGAATCGTTATTTTAGGACCTTGGGCCTTGGGCCCTTAGGGCGCGGGCCCACCAAGCCGTCCGCCATATGCCACTACTGTGAGCCATCTGGACTTTGGCCTCTAGTCCCCGAGGTGTGTCCGCCATTTTGTACACCGTTGTGGCCGGATCGTGGCCTCGAATGTAGTGTCGAGGAATGAACTGCCAGATACCGGAAGGATACGAGACAGGAGAGAGTACAGAGGTCCTGGTATCTTCGTATTATTCAAGCTCGGAGAGAAGCACGAAGTACACCCAGGTACTACGCACGTAGTACGAGTAATTCCACTGGCCACAGTCCAGTGAGCACCCACCCACGGCCATCATACCCTCGTCCCCGTTCGCCACGAACCCTAGCAGCGACGAGGCAAAAGTCGCAAGGCACCTAGGATCGCGAGTCCGAGTGTCCCACAGTATGGAGTATCGAGATTTCAGCAGGACTCCTGCGCCGTAAGCCAATCACCGCCACGATCCGCTCATTTCCCTGCCCTGATCGCAGTACCTGGTGCGGGTGACCGCCTGAGGAGAATCCTACCAGTGCAGCTTGAAGGCCGTTATGTTTTTGCGGATCTCGACGAGAGCTTCGTTCTCTTCCTTTCCAGTACCGCATCGCAGGTTGTGTGCATTGTAGAAAGCACTCCTAGCAGGACGCTGACGACGACAACCAACCGCCCTCCTCCACGGCTCCGGATTACCATTCCTTTCCGCTCTTCACGCAGTTGTGTCGCCGCTTGATCGCCGCTTGATCTTCACCCCAGAGCTCGAGGCTCCTTTTCTACGTGACCCGCATACGACAGGTGATCGTGGCCCTGAGCGCACTGAAACATCCTCATTGACCAACTCTCGGTTTCTCTCGCTGGGTTCTTTCTATAGAGCAGACAGATCATTCTAGTCTCCGGGACGGTTTTCAATTCTCGAGCGGCTTCGACAGCTTCTGTTCCCCATCCATTCATTGATTTCGGCTTTCGTGGCAGTGTGCAGGCAAACGCATCGATACAACAGGCTCGCATCTTGTTGCTCGACTCTCGGGACGACGACCCAGTAAACCCGTCATTTTGGATCAGCAAAAGAAAACGGCTAGGCCGTTACACACCATCCGATCCGTGGGCTTTGCGTGGGTTTGATTCTTTGTCGGGACTTTGTTACGCAGTTCTTGGTGGGGAGAAACAGTTGGACGTCTCGTCGCATGAAAGATTTCCAAGCCAGACAGGCTTGCGAAACACCAAATGTTCGTAGTTGATTTCACAACGTCCGACATCTTGCCCTTTTCGTTTGCACCACCAACCCACGGGCTCTGACCCGACGGGCTGTGTTATCATGAATTAGCAATGTTACAGAAGACAGGGACAGCTCATTCGATCCAAGTCTGCTGGTGTTTGCTGCGTTTAGTTCTGGTCCAGTGGCCAGGGCCAGCCTGGGCATAGGGGAATATCGGCCAATCCAATCCCAATTCCTTCCCCTGGATTTATGTTCCTTTTGAAGGCTTCAAACGACCATTCTATTCCAATTGCCCCCACTCAGCGGCTTGCCGTTTTGGACTGCACGGGGTTTCGAATCAGCTGGCTTCCGACTCCATCACCCCCATCCCGCCTATGGGAGAGCCCTCGGACGCCATCTCTGCTTTTGATTCTGTATTTTGATTTTCGTGCTAGTTACATCATTGAGGTGGTTGTCGTTGCTAACGTGCTCTGGCAGTTCGTTCGGCTTGAGCATTCGGACGAGTGAGCATATTCGACTTGGGACGCAACGGACCACGATATGCGAGACCGAGTTCATTATTCTTCAATTTTGCCGCTACAGACTTGAAATCTTTGTCTATTCATTCCATCTGGATCCTAGCGATCTACCACGCTCTTTAACCTAGCTACGATTTTCACATTCGAGTTTGACCACTTCGATATTTACTTGTATATACCGCCTCTCACCCACTGAAACGACGCGCCTGGTTCTGTTTGTTTGTCGAGATTACAGGGTGATCCGGTTCATTTCCTACGATTCGACGGCTGGTGTAGAGCACAATTACCTGGCGGTCACGGCTTCATGCATATGCAAACGCGATTACGATATAGGTTCTCACGAGTTGGATTGGCTTCGAATATCGCGGGCTCAAATTTCTTTTATCTCCCCTTGGTGATAGTTTCCCATCACGGCTCGGTTTAAGGTCGCATAGATGAATCAACAATGGGAACCACAAGCCAGACCAACTGGCGGCGGATCGGTCAGGAGGGCGAGAGAACGGATGGAAGCAGGTTTACCTCCAGATATGCCACCGCCTCCACGACCAGCTTATTCACCCCCTCGATCTATGCCTAGTCAACCAGCAAATCGCTCGCGACCACCCATGCCACCGGCACTGGCAACTTCGCGGAATGGGCAAAGCCCAATTGGGGTTGCAATATCACGACCGACTCCAGCACCTCAATGGCCTTTATCGGGGACGGTCGAGGGACCAGACTCACAGAGTGGCCCACAATACCAACCACCTCAGGGGCGTGGAGTAGCTCCTCAACGACCACCACGGCCCAGTCGGGTACCATCGATATTGGACTCCTCAAAAATACAAGATCACACCCCTTCTTTTCAATACAGGCCACAACAGAACGCCCCCGATCAGAACCAATGGAGAGGCACCGTCCCTGAAGATGAGGAGATGATGTCGCCTACGATACTGTCACCAGTTACGCCATCATCTAGGCCTTCTACTGTATCATCAGTTGGAACGATACCAGACTTCCCAGTTCCAATACTCGCGCCGCCACGGAGGAGTGTTCATCTAGGTCCACCACCAAGTGCAAGAAGAGGAGCTTCTTCATACTACTCGCAAGCATCATATGTGTCACCTATCCCCGAAGAAAGTCCCCGGATGCAAACTTCACATGGATCATATGCCTCAAGTGCGGCTATTCCGTCGAGTTGGGGTTCGGATTATGGTGATGACGAGAACCCTGATCGCCATTTTGAGCACGATGAGATAGAGGAAGGCCGTGAATCGAGGGAATCAAATGGTGATGATAGCGATGATCGAGGATTAATCCGGAGCGCAAGTCTTGGGAAACGGGCAAAACCATCAATGGTTATAACGAGAGGGGCAGATAAGGCAGATTCAGCAAGGCCCTCTCCGAGGCCACAACAAACCCCGAAAACGGACCAGATGGCTTCTGCGTCAACGGCTTCAGGAAAGGGGGGGGCTACCAATTCGGCTCTTTCAAGCGGTACGGGTTGGATTGACACATCGACCTCGTCTTCGGAAAACACCATCCCTACACTTGCGAAAGCGGCCATCACGGATTCGCCCAATTCGAAATCCTCAGACCAGTCAGACCCGAGAGCGCGTGAAATGTTGGCCGCCTACAACGCTGCTAGCACGTTACAACCGCGAGGACCTACCCCGACAAGAACTCCCAGCCCGGGGCCCTTTACTAGGTTGTCGGCCATTAGGAGGCCACCTCGACTTGATATGGATGCCGTGCGAGATGCCGAAGCTCGGGGCAGCTTGACCAGTTTGCCTGACTTGATTCGGCGAGCAACTAGGTTAGCAGCAATGATGGATCGCGGCAAGAGGCCAGGGAGTCGACTGAACGATTTGAACGATTTCCCTATGGTCGGCAGCGACGATAAGGGGTATTCTCGTATGTGTTTCCCTCGATTTATTTTAGAATGTAACTAATAAGTACAGTAACACCTGACGAGAAACACCGGTCCGGACTCTCTGGCATGCTTGCTGCGTTTCCACCACCGGGTGCCGCTACACCCCGAGAGGGTACACCCCGTCCCACATCAACCTGGCCTTCAGGTTATGATGCTCGCGATCCCGACGGGCAAAGGCCCCCCAGGAAGAGACGCTGCTGCGGACTGCCATGTTGGGGTGCTATCCTGGTCATATTAGTACTGTTAATTATAATCGCCGCAGCAGTTGTAGTTCCTGTGGAACTGCTTGTCATAAACAAACCAAATTCGAAAGCACCATTGTCAGCTCTGCAGCAATGCCAAGCAGATACAGCAACAGCATGCCAAAACGGCGGTGCATCATTGATAGTCACCGGATCCTGCGCCTGTATATGTACCAACGGTTTCACCGGTTCTACTTGTACCAGCAGCGGCGCCACAGGTTGCACGACCACCTCTCTACCTGGATCGGAATTTACAGATGTTACGCTTGGCGAATCGCTTCCCCGCCTCATTACAGCTGCCGAATCTAATTTCTCTATTCCTCTATCATCCAACATCCTCCTTGCCCGTCTTAGTTCTGCAAACCTTTCATGCTCATCAGAAAACGCCCTGGTAACGTTTGAGGGCCGATCTCAACGGATTGGAAATGCGAACGATATCGTTACCCTCACGTTGTCTCCATCGCCGTCTATGCCTTCCGCAACTTCCGCAACTTCTGCATCCTCCCAACCCCACCATCGAAAGCAATTCAAGTACCCCGACGCAGTAACAAGCACCAAGTCAATTGCACCTTCAACGACAAGCGGTATTCTCGTAGATCCCTATCTTCCATCGAGCACGGCGGCGGCGCCATCAACTGTGACCTCCGCTTCTCCTACCGCCACCTTCCGCATCACGGAGGAAGCCCTTGATTTCGCCCGAATAGCCGTGCTGTTTGTGCTACAGGAAGAGCAACTCGACCATGCTGTAAATGCACAATCGGCACTTCAAAAATTCTTCGATCTCCAAAGTTATACCAACTTGGCTGCGATGAATATCAGTCTTGGAAACGGGAACACAGTCAACCTCCTTGGTTTCACCATAGATCTTGGGAGCGGGCTTGTGGGCAATCAAAGCACGTCGAAAACCAGCGGATCTATGAAAAGCAGGAAGCGAAATCTATGGGCCACGCTATAACCCCACCATCCGTGATCCATCTACTCTATTATCTACCCAGCCATCAGTCAAAACCACCGACTGTATATATTTCTTTTTCGATTCCCCATATTCATCTATATTTTCTACGTTTCATCATAAAGGGCCCAGGAGTGGCGGCGTTCTGTGTCCGTGTTATGTTACAGTCCTCCACGGCGGCTGGTATATACATGTAGTAATGCTCCGTGAGCATTTGCACTCTTTTGGTACCCCCCTTTTGTTTTAGTTGCATGCTGTATGTGCGACTCCGTGAGTGCAAAGGAGGTGGGATGGAGGAGGAGGCCTGGGGAAGTTATGTCATGTACAATAGCTGAAGAAGCGAACGTGCTCTTGCGAGAGAGCAGGGGATAATCCCGATTATAGTGTGCGCTGTTGAGATGGTGGACGTATTATAGTCGATCTTAAAGACACATTAGTACTATACCATAATGGACCACACTTTTAAAGTAATTGACTTTTGATTTTTATATCGCCTGTGTGATTCATCGAGCTGGTAGGGGTCAAACTTCACAGGTGTAGAGCGGTCCTACTGATGATATTTTAGCTAGAGGGTGGTTTCACTGACACATCGACGACCATTCGCCCACTCGTCATCAGAGCACACCCAAGATCTACAACCGTAATAGGTGATTTACCGCGAGGATAGCAGAATTGGCGCCAGTGACGCGATCCCCGAGCCAATACCAGACATTATCGTCCCCACCCCCCCAGAATGTCCAGGGTATTTAACATATATCCGCTCTGGCAAACAGCGGTTCGGGAACAAGAGTTCGTGAAACTGGCCAAGGAAGAGCGAGGCCATAAGTGGAATACTGATAGCGAAATTCAAGGTGATTCAAGGCGATTACAAGACTATAAGGGGAAGGTTCTAGAGACCAATACAGCGACTCGTAGAGCATTTGTTGGAACATGACTTCGAGTAGAAAACAACAGTCTACTGGTTGCTAGAGCAATCTACAATAACAAATATCAAATTGGTATTATCCAGAACGCCCCAGCCCAGGATCCGTAGTCCTAATTTCCGGCGTGGTATCCAACATTAACTGCGAAGCAGAATTCATCTCCGTGCTAGTCGCAGGTTCCAAGGTTCTATCACTATCCGTCTTGTAGACATCCTTCTCCCTCTGTTTCTCTACCTTTTTCATGGCTTCCATGGTCAGCTCCTGTCTGCGCATCTTCTCCAGCACATCCTTCTTTCTCGTCTTATGATCTCCTACGGAGATTAGGACACCGGCGGTGATATTTACTGTTATCGAACAGCATAGAATGACTGTTGTGAGCGCAAATGGCCGCACGTGGTAACTGATGGCCCATGTGCAAGTTCCCAGCGCGATCTGTAAGAGAGAATGGCAATCAAGTAACACCACTATCGCGACCAGCAGCCGAAGTGGGAAGGCAAAATGTGTACTTGTCTCGTGCGGCTTGTAGAAACTGTGCGACTTTGCGAATTTCTCTTGATGATGCGCGAGCTTCTTCTGCTGCTGCGGATTCAGCACGCTGACTTCTTGGTAATTGCCATCCTTGGAACCTAATTCGATGTCGTCTGGTTGGACAGATGGCAGATCGTTTCGGTCTGGGAGCTTAGGGAGGGCTTTCTCGCGTCGCAAGCGCCACGTTAGGTGGTGGTAGTGGGCAATGAAGCACATGTGGTAGGTATCAACCGCCCTGAAAGGGGCCAATCCGTCACCCATGATGGCGAAGAGGGCAACGAGGACGTTGTCAATTACATTGATAACGTAGTCTTTTTTGCCACCAACGTTGATCCAGCCTAATTTGAAGATTTGTTGGTTCCTGGTTTCCGGCTATGGTTTCGAAGGTGTGAGACTTACCGATCAAGAACAGGACCCAGGCAAGTCCAAAGAGCGTTATTAAAGTCGCATAGAGGGTGATGAAGAACCCAAGAGCTAGCACACAATTAGAATTGCCATTGCACCATATTGTCGAGAATACTCACGCTTTGAAACGTACTGCTTGAACCCCTTCATACTCCGTTTGAACTTAGATCTCCTCGAGTGTAGCATATGCCTCACATGATCATTTAACTCTAGCTTCTCCTCCTCCGTCCACCCTGGGAGCGAAACACCATGTGGCAACACAGCATAATATCTATCATTAACATTCGATGATATAGTATCAAGTGTCCCGGCAGTGTAGGTCTGATCTAACATCGACGGTCGCTCCTGCGGCGGCTCCTCAGTGCGTTTGGCTTTACCTGGCACCTCATCCGTTTCCGATGGCCGACGGGTGAGATTGTATGTAGGCCGCCGATTGAGAAGGCCGCCCAAATCTGGGACGAACAGCGAGTTTTGGACATTGGTCAAGGTGGATAACGTTGCGACTTCCGGGTCTGCAACAAGAGAAGTTAGCAGAGGAAGAAAGTTGTTAGGCATGGAAACTCCACATGCCAACAGTGTCTAGGAAATCCACCAGTCCGTCCTCGTAACCATCTAGTATTGCCCTGCTTGGCCTTGAATTTCCGCTCCCAATGTTCGTTCTCGCCCGCAACCTGCCAAATGCTGAAGTCGGAGTGTCATTATGAGCTGTCGGGACATTTTCCAAGGTCGGAATCGGAAGCGCCTGGCGCGGTGAACCTATGGTTGGAGAGGTAGTCTCTTCGGCAACGTCTGGCATATGACCCAGCTTTGTAGAGATTCGTGAAGTAGTTGTCGCTGCATCGTAGCAACTTGGATTCAACCCGATGGGCTGGGGCGCTGAATGGCTGCGACGGCGTCCGCTGGCCTCCACGACAGGACGAATTCTGTCGCCATCCTCCGCTGTGTCTGGTTGGGGAGCTTGAGTATTTGATTGAGTAGGTGGCTGGGTATTTGAAGGTATCACTTGGAGTGAAGGCAACCTGCGAATTCCAATGCTTGGTCGCCTGGTATAACCTCCACCATCGCCAGGGGTGCGGCTACCCTGCGATATCGAATCCAGTCGCGGACCGGTTTCAGGCCCGTGGGATGAAGATGTCGGTGTTGCATCGGGGATTGAGCGACGATCGTCCTGCATTATCTGCCAGCGGCAAAGCAGGAGAACCCCGAAGGAGACGCGAGCAAAGATAAGAAAAATTAAAGGATTAAAGGATTAAAGACAGGAAGTGAGAAAGGGAATGATAAATGGGATATTACTAAACGCAGTATTGCACGCACCAGTGGCGCTTGTTCCTGTACGGCTGCGTCATAGGACGGGTTTAATCAGCATAAATATCAGTCCAAACCCCGCAAAGAAACGTGGATAAATAAGCATCCGTAGCGGCTGACGATATTATATAACTCGTTTTTTTTCTTCCAAATAATTCAAATAAGACCCTGCTATACTCTTTTTCAAGTCGTGGATTTTACACAAGATCGGAAACATGATTCCGGATCTTTAGTAATCTATTAGTTAAGGTTGACAACGGAGCCACACTTGCCACTAGGTTATCGGGTTTGTAAGGAATGTCACATTTTAATAAGGGTATGTATGATATACTTTGACAGCGTTAATAAGCATTGTACAGCGGGACTACGGGATTGGTGGCAGCATCTCTGAACGTTAGATAGGTGCAGTACGTTATACCTCGTGGGAGCTCCTAGAGCTCTTGATGAATATAAGGTATATATATACATCTACAACGCACATTAAGTTTGGATTTCAAGTCGGAACCTTTCTCAACACGAGGATACTTCTACTCAGTGCTTTTCAGTGTAGCATACGGATTTCAAGCCCAAGAGAATCAGCGACGCGAATAATTTAACGGGGCATGTCTGGCGGCAATACAATGAGGGCTCTCCAGCTCTCCAAAACCGGAGACACTCAGACGCCTAACCTCTCCCTCCAGACCCTCCCAAAGCCCGCTATCACGCCGGGCCACCTCCTAGTCAAGGTCCATGCATCAGCAATCCAACCCAGCGATCTGATAAACGCAAAAGGAGGCTTCCCAAGCACCACTTATCCGCGTATCCCAGGCCGTGACTTCTCTGGCGTCATCGTCGACGGAGCTGCAAATCGCATAGGCCAAGAAGTCTATGGGACCAGCGGCAACGCGCAGGGCTTTACTGTGGATGGCGCTCAGGCCGAGTATATACTCGTCCCTGAAGATGCCGTGGCTACCAAACCGAGGGCTCTGTCTTTTGTCCAGGCGGCTACCGTTGGGGTCCCCTTCACCACCGCCGCGACTGTCCTCAAGCGATCGGGTGCACAGCAAGATGATGTCGTCTTAATCTTGGGAGCAAACGGGGCTGTTGGCTCAGCCGCTGTACAGCTGGCGAAATGCAAAGGTTGCAGAGTTCTCGAAGGATCTAGACATGACAATGCCGATGTCAATACGGCCAAAGACCCTGACCTCAAAACCGTGGACTCATTGACGGCTGGTAAGGGCGTTAACGTTGTGATTGACACGGTCGGTCAACCAGCACTGACCCAGGCTGCGATCGGCAAGCTTGCAAAGGGCGGCACATTGGTGTTCATTTCTGGGCCCAGAACTGGAGCCAGGGATCTGACCTTCGATATGGTCGACTTTTATCGGCTTTCAAAGACCATTATCGGAGTTAATACCTTGACCCAACCTGCGAGAGAATTCGCGAAGGAATTGCAGTATATGAGTGAGATGTTTGATAGCAAGCTCTTGACTGTTAGTGGAAATGGAGGCGAAAAATGGGCTGAGATGAAGCTGGATGATGGGGTCGAAGCATATGAGAAGGCTGGTCAGCGGGGTGCTGGTAAGTTTGTTATTGTGATGGAGTAGTGGTAGTCCCAAGGAGATGAATATTTAGGTGACATTGGGAATTGTGGTGCGAGAATATAAATAACAGCAAGTGATTTAGCGCCTTCCGTGTTTACACATCGCGTCTCCCAACTACCAACATGAATGTAAAATGAATCGTTAATCGCTCCCAGCTCCTACATAAACATACGTACAGCACCTCAATTCGATCTCGATTCCTTTGACAAGCTTCTCTTCAACTTGACTTGCGCACGCTTACGGATTTTTGATACGCCAATCAACGGGCCCTGAAACTCGTCGCATCGATTCCCCAATACAAAGCTATCAATACACAAGCACGCGATGCACTTCGTGGGATTCCGAGTACCCTACACGGGTCCCTCGCCACCCTTGAATAATCCGTGGACGTCAGTTACACTAGAAAGGTATAGCGGTACGTTGAGCAGCTAATATCGCTGGAAGCGGGTCTAACTACAATAAAACCGCCTTGCCCATGGACTCGAGTTCCATTCGACAGAAAACCTGGGAATCCATTGCGTTTCATGAGATGTGCAACGATTTCGACCGCAGGCGGCAATTGCATTTCAGTCGTAAATCTACCGTCGGTTCATTCGAGTATCATTTGAGACAGTGTGGAAACATTGAAAATGGGAAGCATCGCCCTAACGAGCATCGAAACACCATTTGCACCATGAAAAGGGCACGGGTTTAAATGGTGATTGCGTATCTACCGAATAGAAATCCGAACACCACCTACCGCAGCCATGCGGCCTATCTCCTAGAATTTCTCCGATATGGTTGGGCCACCCTCTTAACAGCGGTTCAAGGATTATTTCCTGGTTTTAGCATATACCTAGTGCACCTGTGGTACGAGTTACACAGTTGGAATTGTCTCACAGGGACAGACTTGGCATTGGACCTCGCTCTATCTATACACTGGCGGAATTCCTCCAATTTCTTACAGCCACAGCTGTATAACGTTTCGCTGTTGGTTTATGAGTATAACCTGAACGACCCTATCATCCGGCTAGGAATAACCCGCGGCTTATCCCGAAACACGATTTGGAGGAGCAGCCTATCGAAAATGGTGACACTGGAGGCGCCAAAGTCTCCAAATAACTGAGGTATTCACATTCTCCAAAAGTGCAATACCGATCAGCATACCTGAAATGAGGCAATGCAAACTCCCTAGCATATATTCTTGCTCTATCTGATAAGCCATGACAAACACACTACCAGGAGTGCCCAGGCCCTTCAAGCTAGCATCGTCCCCGATGAAGAAAGCGAATTTCGTATCGTTGACAGTGGTCAATTTACTAGACATCTCATACAGTGTCAAGGATATGTACTTCGTATTTTGCAACAGCCACACCTAGCATCCATTTCTGACCCACCATATATAGCTTAATAGTGGCAAAAAGCTTCGCTCAAACGCCTACGAAATTACTTATCTTCGGTTCAACTCGACTGATAACGAAATTCGCACGGTTTCCATGACAGATAGCGCATCTCGATTCCGATGCAACCTGCTAGTGCAGCTTGATAATGCGATTTTTTTGCATGCAACTGATGGAACACAAGTGTGTAGCCACTGGTCAATTGGTACGAGGTGGCTTGCTGTTGGTAAGGCATGGTTGTGTGGCTCTTCGACCTATCGACGATGGGGATATGGGATACGTATAAGTTGATGCCAATGACGGCAGCTCTGACACCATTTTCAGACCGTATATTGAAGCCATCGTGTTGGTTCCCGGACCGGCCAATTAGAACCAGTTCTTCTACCGAAACTGCGCTCCTATTTATAATCTTATCTTCTGCAGCATCCCAACCCACATTATACATACCCCTTAAATATCTTCAAGCCCTCTCGTCGGGCATGAGCATACGGCAATCGTGAATGCGCGGCAAGCATTCGATAATAATATTTTATATAGAGGGAGGAGTTGTCGCTACCCGACGCCAAGCAAGCCGCGGAGCTTAATGCGCGCACGTGCACCGCGCCCTAAACCGAATACGGTTACATATACCCCGCACATCGGGGGGCCGTGAGGGGCTAACTTAGTTAGTCATCATATTATAAAGCTTTCTATCCTTCTGGCTTGTCAGAGTCTTGAAGGCTATATGGAGTATAAACAAAAAGGTTTGGTTTGAATCAGCATCGTCTACTACTACTTCGGAATTCTATTATATGTTTCCTACTAACATGTACGTACGGTACGTAGTTGTGTCGTAGTACTTCGTATAACTGGGCTCACTCAGACAGTCAGGTACCGGCATAGCAGCTAGGGGTAGCTGAGCCCCCATGCGGTGAAGTTGCGCCTCGGTTTATTTACCAAGGAACTAACCAAGGAACTTAGAAGTTGCTTTCGTTTACTTTTGCCTCTTTGACCCACTTCCCCACGCCGCGATGTACTTACCGATACCTGTTGTTGTTTTGAGCCTCGGTGCGAGTACTAATCATCTCGATCTGCCCGGCGATCTGTTAATCGGGGCCAGCGCAGGGTTCTGAGCTACTCTCTCGTGAAGCCTTCAGTTTCCTTTTCTTTTCCTTTCATTCTTCCACCTCTAAAAGCACCATCACCCCCATCACTCCCATCATCACCGTCCCCTCAAAATGCCCATCCACTCCCGCTGGCAGGTCCCTATTGACGTGTGCTCCTTGCCCACCTACATTTTTGGCCCTCCCGGCTCCCCTCTGCCGGATACAGTCGCGTTCTACGATGCCGATCGCCCAGACACCCATTACTTGACTCACGAGGCATTCCGGTTATGGTCTTCCAGATTCGCCGCCGGTCTCAGGAAGGCTGGCTTGCAGACTGGTGATCGAGTGCTCTTGTTCTCAGGAAACAGCTTGTTTTACCCTATCGTGTTCATGGGGATCCTGATGGCAGGCGGGGTTTTCTCGGGAGCAAACCCAGGCTACGTTGAAAGGGAGCTGGCATACCAATTGAAGAACTCTGATGCCAAGTTCTTGATATGTGCGGACGCGAGCCTGGAAATGGGCGTGGCCGCTGCTCAGAGCATTGGTATGTCAAAGGATCGGGTTTTCAAATTTGACGATGAGTTGCTTGAGGGAACCGGGAGCTCGAGACTGGGGGCACGGAACTGGAATGTACTGATGGAGTCGGAAGCGGTTGGACGGGGATTTCGCTGGTATGAGCCGGAGGATCCGAAGGATACGACTTGCTGCTTAAATTATAGCTCTGGTACCACGGGTGTCCCTAAAGGCGTCATGATCTCCCATTATGCGTATGTTGCGAATACGGTCCAGTACTCGCACCTACACACACTGCGTCCGGATGCAGAGGAGTTGGCGAAGAAATCGTTTGTATCCCAGTTCCCTACCTTGCCTTGCCGTGAGAGAAACAACAACAATAGCTAACCAGCGCGGTAGCAAATGGCTGTGTTTCCTCCCGATGTATCACGCTATGGCCCAAACCATATACTTGGCTGGGGGATCAAAACGCCGCATCCCTGTCTATATCATGAAGAAGTTCGATTTCATCCAAGTCCTAGAGTCGATTCAGAAGTACCGGATCACGAGTTTGGCATTGGTCCCCCCGATTGTCGTGGTACGTTTCATCATGGATCGTCGTCCTTTGTCTCGTTCCGATATGCTGACTACTGAGGAAGGCTTTCGCGAAATCTCCATTGACGAAGAAATATGATCTTAGTAGCATCACCGAAGTCGGCTCAGGCGCAGCTCCTCTTGGGGCTGAAGTCACCATCGAATTTGAAGGTCTGTGGCCCGCAGGGGGTATAAAGATGAGGGTATGGACCTAGTATCCTCCCAAATAAGTCGCACGTGCTAATTCAATGAGCAGCAAGGATGGGGGATGACAGAACTAACTTGCTCTGCACTTGGCTGCGACCCGAGACTGACTCCACCTCCTGGCTCCGTTGGGGAGCTGAATGCGAACTGTAGTGCAAAGATAATGAACGCAGAATGCACGAACGAAGTTGCTAAAGGCGAACGTGGGGAGCTCTGGATTTCAGGTCCAAAGTACGTGAACCCTGGTATAGTCCCAAATATTCAGAACTGCCATTAATACAATATAGTGTGATGAAAGGATATTGGGAAAATCCACAGGCCACTAGCGAGACGCTGGTTGACGACAAAGATGGCCGCTGGATGCGAACGGGTGATATTGCCTACATTGATAAAGATGGCCAATTCTTCATCGTTGATCGCATAAAGGAGCTCATCAAAGTAAAAGGAAATCAAGTTGCACCAGCAGAGCTAGAAGGTGTGCTCTTGGACCATCCACAACTGGCTGACGCCTGTGTGGTCGGTGTGACTGTCAATGGAGATGAACTTCCCAGAGCGTATGTAGTGTTGAAACCAGGCCAGAAGGGCGACGAGAAAGAGGTCCAAGACTGGTTGGCCACGAGGGTAAGTAGGCATAAGAGATTAGTTGGCGGGGTTGTATTTGTGGAGAGTGTGCCGAAGAATCCAGTAGGTTGCTCCTAAATGTGAATTGTCCTTGTTGCTGATGTTATACAGTCTGGGAAGATTCTGCGCAAGATTCTGAGAGAGAGGGCAAAGCAGGAGGTTGGTGATAAAGAAGCCAAGCTTTAGATCGCTCCATGGTAGATTATAGATGATGTACTCGCACTGAGCAAGCCTGCATCCATTCAGAGGATTTGCACAGAAAGCACCGTCGTCTCTAATCGCTACACGGAATTGAGAGCAGGTAGGTTGCAGTATGAGACGCCGACATCAAGAGCAGCTGGTTTCTTCCATATCACCGAATGGTTTCGTAGCTGGCCAACAGAATTTTCGATATCCCAAAACATATTCCAAATCGTTGAACTGACACGACAAGCGTTGTACGAGCACTTGGCGCTGATGCGTTGCTACGTACAGGCCTCGGCTCCCCTGAATGCCTGATATGGTTAGTGCATATCCCCAGTCGTTCGGCACTTAGGCTTATATCTACATATTATTTACATATATCACCTACATATATTATCTACATATATTATCCAATCTCCCGACTTGTTTCTCCTCTTCCGATGTCCTTCGGCACCCAGGATAAACGATCCTCCCGTTCATCCATTGTGTCCCACCTCCGCAGAGTGTCACTGGATGAACTTTGAATTCCTTCCACAATGCCGAATAAGCTGCTTTCATGGTCCATTACTAGAATGCGAGCCAAGAAAAACTATCTGTCGGCTTGTGGTTATTCTCAAGTGGGGATTGCTCTACCAGTGCTTCATCAGAGATACAGTCGGCAAGCTTTCAAGTGAAGAGTGTACAGCACAAACCCTACTTACTGCTCAGGTTGATTTAAAGTATAAATAGAATACGTTCTTGAGCTGCTTTCGCATATAGTCGGTTATAGGATTTGCACCAGGAGATAAGTTTAACCGATGTAAGTACATCATTTTCGGAGACTAAGAGGTCGATCTTCCGCCTACCAGTGCTTGTTTTCGTCCCAGCGATGCATCCGCTGTCTCAATTGCATTTTCAGGGTCGACTGGTAGACTCTTTGCCGAGCGTGAACTCCACATGTGGGGTAGCAGCCGTCAAAAATAAGACAAGCTTCGAAGGATGTTTGTGTATTATCACATGGCATCCTTCCAAGACGGGAATTATGGTTAAATCACAACTTCTATTCCCTCCTATGAGAGCTCCTTTTCCCACGAGACATATTGCCGCCGGGCAATATGAGCTAGGTGGAACTCAAAAGAGTTGTGGGGCCATATAAAGATTCCGTTCCTTTCTCTATAAAAATCCCCAGCAAAGGGTGACCGATCAATTCAACCTATCCTCGACAAGATCCAAGATTCGGCCAAAATGCATATTTCTTCGACTCTTGTGGCCGCCACGCTGCCTTTGATGGCACTGGCATCCCCCTCTCTGATTCCCAGACAAGCCAGCACGAAGATCACCGTTGATCCATCGAAGAAATACCAAACAATGGATGGCTTCGGATTCTCCGCGGCCTTCCAGCGTGCGAATCTGATTGTCAACCTCCCAGAACCAAAGCGGACGGCGCTGTTGGATATTCTATTCAGCAACACAACAGGAGCTGGGTTCACGATCCTGCGAAATGGTCTTGGCTCTACCCCCAATTCCAATTCCGACTACATGAACACTATTGAACCCACGAATCCCGGTTCGGCAACAGCGACCCCAAAATACGTCTGGGATGGCAAGGACAGTGGGCAGTTCTGGCTCTCGCAGCAGGCCGTGAAGTATGGAGTTAACACGTTCTATTCCAATGCTTGGAGCGCGCCGGGCTTCATGAAGACGAACAATAACGATATGAATGGGGGGAGCTTGAGGGATGAGTGGAAGCAAGCTTATGCAAATTACTTGATTCAGTATATCCAGTATTATATTGATGGAGGTGTTCCCATTACGCATCTCGGATTCTTGAATGAGCCAGATTTAAGGTATGCTGTCCCCAGTTCTCTTAACTCGTCTTATTGTATTTTAGATAGGGGGTTAACATCAATCACAGCACATCCTACGCCTCCATGCTCTCTAACGGCCAACAGGCCGCCGCGTTCATCAAAGTCCTGCGCCCGTCCCTCGACGCAGCAAACATGTCACAAGTCGGAATCGTGTGCTGCGAATCCACCGGCTGGGGACAGGCCGGCAACATCTACGGCGGGATCAAATCCTCCGGCGCAGATGGCCAGCTCGCAGTTGTCTCCTCCCACGAGTATACCGGCCGCGCCGGCAACTCCCTCAGCAACACCCATCCCAGCTGGCAAACGGAATACGCCGATTTGAACGGCGGATGGACCACATCGTGGGCCGGCAATGGCGGCGCCGGCGACGGAATGACATGGGCGTCGAACATCTACAATGCCATCACTAGAGCAAACGTCAGCGCCTATTTGGCATGGGAGGGCGTACAAGCCCCCAACCCCAACACCAACGAGAAGCTCATCAAGTGCGACGCATCTAACTACGAGGTATCGAAGCGGTTGTGGGCGTTTGCGCAGTATAGCCGCACAGTTAGACCCGGTGCCGTCAGACTCGGGACTTCAGGAGGAAACTTCCAGACCACTGCTTTCCAGAACGTTGATGGCAGCGTGGCGGTTAATATTATCAATACTGGTGGCTCGGCCGCTACTGTGTCGGTTGGTGTTACAGGTTTAGTGCCAGCGAGTGCTGTCTCCTGGTTGACGGATAACAGCCATGATTTTACCTCCACTACTCTTACTGTTGCTACTGATGGATCCGTGTCGGGTTCCGTGCCTGCGAGGGCCATGGTGAGTTTTGTTCTTGCTGCCGCTGCTGCTTAAGGAGCGGTGACGATGTATAGGGGAAGAGGCGGGGAAAGCTGTGGGGTTATTTGCTCAACGACGAGCAGACTATTGTAATCTTTACATGCTCCTGGGATATGCAAATTAAAATAAAAGTACAATTGCAAAATCGACTTTCCTGAATCCATCTTTTTCAATAATGGAAGCCAACGTTTAACTTCTTCTGGTCCTAATTGGCATGAGAAAAGCCCCACACAGGTAAGAGGGATGTGATCATTTCTTTTCCTAGTTGACCTCATCCAACTTACCCGGTGGTACCGCCACAGATAGGGGTAATTGCAATACTAGACTAAGAATCATCAACTTTCAACAACTGCCTCTTAGTAACAAGTCCCGAGCTAGTCCCCGTTGATACTACGTACATATTCTACGAATCGTTAGTTCCATTTATCTATTACATTTCTTATGGCTCTCATTAGCTCTCAACTTTCGCTTTTTAAATTTTTTGTTTTGTTTTTTGTCTTTTGTCTTAAGACTATATTTATTGCTAGTTTGAGTTGAAGTCAGGGTACCTATGAAATTGATATTCCGTAGCTATGGCGGTCCTAAATCCGAAATCCTTGCCCAACACTCGATTGTACAAAACAATACTTCCCTACGCTGGGAATTTCTCACCCTGATCCCACTATCAAAACAATTAGTCAAAAGGCTAACTTGAAGCTACCAAAAAACTTACATGCTCAGCAATGCAGCCCGCCTCCCATCTAAACCGATCAACGACCTCACCAAATCCACTACGATAATGCAACCAGCCCTGAGTGCCTTGGAACTTGGTGCCTAGGACAGTGATTTGTTGGTTTCCCCATATCGGACTGAGAATGTTCCATGCGGAGTCGAAACCATTTTGGGCCATTGGGTTGTGGTTCTAAGTTTACTTTGCGTTAGCATTTCCGTTCCTCTCTTTTATAATACTTCCCTAGCATACAGGTAAGTGGGATTGTGGAAAGCGCAACATAGCTTACAATATACGCCTGATTAATATATTCAAAAGCCCCTGTAATGTTCTTCTTCACAATAAATGCATCGGCGAATTTATCAAATCTTGCCTCGGTCTCTTCCTCCGTTGGCGCGGGTGTGATCGGTTGGCAGGGTTTAGGCTTGACAGCACCTTGTCTCGCGCTGATGATAGCTGCATTCTCGACGGGAGCTGGAGCAGCAAGTATGGTCAAGGGCGCGAGTAGCGCTGTGAGAAGGACTGTTGCGCGCATTTTCAAGAGTTTTCGATTTGGATTTGACGTCGTGGAGTCTTGGTATATCGGATTAAACAACGAAATTGAAGCAAGCGCATCATAAACGAAAAGGGGTTGGTTGGATAATTATATACTTAATCCCATCATCCCTTCATCAAGGAGCGGGGGATACCTTATGCTGCCACGGAGGAAAGTGCCGGCAGATACTTTAAACAGGCTATAGTGGAATTTCGTAGTCAAAAGTAATTCCTGAAAACTGACATATAAAAGCCTTGTCTTATCGACAGCCTGAATACCGACGAACCCCCATTATAGTGCCCAGGACGATCAGGTCATGCTCAACAATGACCACTCTTGGCTCCAGTCTCAAGATGGATGTGGATTGTGGTGATGTCAAGATTGCGACTCTGAACAACCTGTTTCGATCGCATTCTGAGGGAATGCCCAGCAACCATTTCTTCCAGATATTGGAATCGCGAACCCAAGAAAATTAAATAAGAAAAAGGCCCACCTCGAACCGGCTTATCAGAAAATGAACATAACACGCGGCTTAAGCAAATTATGATTGAACACGCCTACAATTCATTTGAAGCCACATCCGCCAGCGCTGGCTGGAAAAGATTTAAGAAAACGGCATTCTATTTCGGGGTAATAATATATTGGCAATAAAGAAAAAATAAGTTAGAGATATTCTAATATTGGAAACTGCGAAGCCTCAAAGTTTATCTTATCTTCGTCACTCACGTGTGGGCGACTCAGCCTCTGGAGAGTGGTATTGTGGCGGTTGCGCGTTGTCAGCTTCGTAAGCGCCTACGAAGGTGCTGTACATGTACATGTACATTCATAGCCGATTACGGCTTCTGGGCTGTGTTTCCCCTCAGCTATTAGATACCTATCTTGAAAAGCTTAGAAACTTTTTTGTGATATGAGGTTGAACGGGTAACATTAATATCAAGTCTTGTTCAAGTGTTTTGCCCATAGTTTTATATAAAAATAACGAGGTTGGTGGGGTAGATTCTACCTCCTCCAGGTCTTCAACTGCACGGTCGGGTGAGTGAGAACTCTACTCCAGTACATCCCCGCGACCACGTTTTGTTATTGATGTCGCAATCACCCCAATAGTAATGTACCTGCATCCGGGCGGCACGATGGGAGCAGCAATGCTCGATCCATTGGCTCCGGGCGATACAGATATTGCAAGTGCTAGGAAAAGATTCCTTCAGTCTTATCCCCAATGCAGCTTCAGCCCTAATGGGGTCAACTGCGCCTCAAGCGAAATGCAGTAAAAAGATCCAGCCAACGAGTGTTGATGTATAGTAGTAGCGGGCTATTATTGCCACTGTGTTGCAACGTGGATACCGATGGCTTGGAGCCTCGGTGCGCTGTCCTTTATCATATCATCATGATGTTATGGCCCCTTTTCTTTAGATCCTCGTGAATCCATCTCGTCGTACCCACGGCGCGACGATCGCGACATGCCTCTGCCACGCCCTGTCCGGAGATCGAGCGAGGGCCCCGAGGTCGTTGATCACCAGCCCGAGAAGCATTTCTGTCGGTACAGTGACATTGGCGAGAGGCTCAGGAGGGGAAGAGTTGGGAATGGGACCTTATCTCAGAAACAGCTCGACCCAGATGAGGTGGAAACCCGGTCCTATCCCTCCCCCGTGCTTCCTCCATTCCCCAGGCTCCCTCGCAACATCGTGCCCGAATTTGTCGAGAGGCCCAGGGATCGGCAGCGAACCTGTGGCTTGTTGATGACGATCTTCCTTATCCTGGCTGCGTTCATTATCGGCGGAGGAATCGGTGGTGGTGTAGGCGGAGCGCTGGTAATAAAAGAGAAGTCGAGAAATGCGTATGTTTCCATTACCCTTTGAACATATTTTCTAGATTTGACACGCCTGCAATTTGTCGCCGCGTTGAGCAATGGCTGATATCCTATTACAACAGTGGCACTACCTGCGTAACCACCACAACGCCGACTGTATCTGCGGCCGATGCTGCAAGTACACATATAGTCATCATGGATGTCGCTGGATGCCCGTCGATTATCGATGTGAATTTCAATTCAACGACGCCGGGAAAGTCCTTCCATCAGTTATGCTATATCGACTCCATGCCACCCCCGGGGCAAATTATCGACATTGGAAACCAGACAATAAGTTCCTTTCCGGGCTGTCTCAATGCGTGTGCAAAACATGCTGGATGTGTCGCTGCCACATGGGTCATGTTTTCCGCATCGAATCCCCAGAGCAACTCGGTGTGTTTCTTCAAAAATAGCACCGGAGTACAAACCAGTATGAGTGAGGGTGATAATCTGGCCAGCGGATACCTGATATGAACATAATTATGAGCGACTGCTTGGTTCTGGCGTTGGAAGACAGGATGGGAAAACACACTCGCTTGTGCAGCAAAATATTAGATTCATCTCTCATGTGGAGTTATGTTCCTGGCCTCGACTACGATGTAGTCACGGCATTTGATTGGTTGTATATATGTTTAGCTATTTTGAGCATGGCGAGATGGATTGTGACTAGTTGTCTCTGGGATAGATATATACTACTCTAATTTAAGTAATGTTATTTCGAAGGACCATTTTTGCGGTTGGGCTCCGTTGACTGGCATGTGTTGCCTATTGAACTTCCACGTTTAAGATGCTATGTTCTCCAACGATATGCACTTTATATACTTGCTATCTACCGGCCATAATCCTAATCAATCTTCTGCTTACCCTCTAAGCCCTCGATCGTGGCGTGCCAGCTCGGGTTCGCTTTACTGTTACTCTGTGACGGGCCCCACGCGGCGAACGAGAAACCGATCGCAAGGAAGGAGAGGGTTTGTTGGATTTCATTGAAAGTGGGAACTGCTAATCATGTTTAGTATTAACAAAAGGCTGAAACTAGGGCATGGCCCACTACACAAGATGAGGATGAAGCATGGCATACCTCGCAGAATAGGGGTCTTTTGCGTTACTGCCTGAGGTTGGAGTGAATCGAAGCCCCAAACTGTAGTCGGCTAGGTCTTGCGGAGTGGGCTCGGACTCAAGCTCCATGGGATATTTTTCAGCCTCATCAGCCTCATCATCCATCAAACATCATCACCGCTTCCACGATGCGTGTTGGAATCGCAACTCCTGCTAGGAGGATGCTTCAGCTCCGCCCATTCCGCCCTCCCAATTTTAATTCTCTGCGCCTCTCACTCTCTCACTCGACGCTGAACCCTGGCCCCACCTCTCGCCCCCATATACCATACCTCTCCCCACCTAGTCGGCGCCTCACGGCACGATTCGTTACCACCGAAACCAAGGCATGGATCAAGGACGAGGTGAAGAAGGGCTTCAAGTGGACGGCATATTTATATACCTTCGTCTTTTTGTTCTTTGTCATGGGCTACGGGGCTCACCAGGAATGGACAAATCGCCTGTATCATCCACCTCCAGAATGGTCATGGATAAGTCGTGTCCAGTATATGATGGCTAATTGGCATGAGGATGAAGAGAATATGCCTGGAAATTACGTTCAATGGGTGACCATAGGCTCATATTATCGCATCCTACTTTTGCGACTAGAAGATCCGAACATTGATGGAGCAGGCTTATTGGAACAGGGAGAAGGCGGAATTTTGGTAGAAGGCATTGGGAAGACCGGTTATGATATTTCGGCAAAATCCGAGTCATGGAGACGCGGATACTACAATGCATTGATGGGTGCAGCAGTATCCGCAGAACACCTGGAAGATAGTGTGAAGGATGAGAAGCGGAGAATCATAATGCCCAAGAGCATGGTTCCTGGGCCTTCGAATCCAAATCCACGACCACCACCTCCTGGAACGAAGGTGGAGTCCAGAGAAGAGGACTGCGAGAAAGCATATGAACTTCCAGAAGTATTCTACATGCGCATCCTCACAACACGTGGGTTCACTGAGAAGCAGCGGGTTGATGCTGCGTTAGGCTATGCAGCATACCTGGACTTCAAGGGGACTCACAACGCGGCCATGAACATGTATGAATGGGCATTGGATATTGCCACTGAGAATCCTTCAGGCTCTACTCCCCAGCCTGCCATTGATCGTGCCACTGGCATCCTCAACCCGAACGCTGGACCACCCAGCGCAAACCTTTTAGCTGTGACCACCGCCATCGCAGTTCACCACGCTCTAGCATCAAATATATCTCTGGCACTCCCTATCTTCCTCTCTGTTCTCCGTGCGCGAAGATCCCTACCGGAAGATCCCTCCTCCCAATCCCGCTTACAAGCAACAGAGGAAGAAAAGAGTGGCCTCATCCACGCTGCCATTTCTTACGCGCGGGCCATTCTCATCCCTCCGCCCTATCCTCCACCCCCCGACGATGGTACATCCCCACCGAAACGCACACCAAAGGAACGCTGCGAGGAAGCCGGAATAATGGGCAACATCGGCGAAATCCTGTACGCATCGAAGAAAAGCAACAGAAGCAAGGAGGAAGGGCTAGCATGGACACGAGAAGCGGTGGATATTGCCGAGGAACAGTTGACTAGCGCTCCGTTGGATAAAGAAGCGAAGACAGCGTGTAAGCAATGTTTAGGAGCGGCGATTGAGAATTGGGACAAGATGGTTGCGAGACTGGCGAAGGAAGAGAAGGAGGCCAAGGCCCAGGGGGGCAAAGTCGGTGGGTGGTTGGGATTTGGAGGGGAAGAGCAAAAGGATGTTATCGGACGGTGGGAGAGTGAGGAGAATGTTGTGAGGGAAAGAATCATAAGGGCAAATGAACTGCTTGTGTCGCTTAGTGCGCCTCCTCCTGCAAGGAAGGGTTCGTTCCTGACTGCATAGTTATATAGTTGGGTTATGTACTACATATGGAGTTGGTGGTTTGTTATAATCGTTGAATAAACAGCTAGTTCCCAAACTATCTACCCTTAGCATCAATGCATTGCCATCATACTTTAGAAGTAGTCGTCCGCAATCCCTAACGGAGCTTTCCAGTGAAGTACAGATATCCCCGAAGCTGAAGGATGGGCTTACTTTGTCTCATCTACCTCCAATTTTACTCCGCCATCATTTCCCCCTGGATTATCTACTAGCTCCTCCAGCTTAACTCCACCTCCTTCCAGGCCTGGGGAGTCGTTATCATGAAGTTCATCTGAAACATCCTGATTCTCTCCGCCCCAACCCATCGGCACCTCTTCGTCGCTTTCCTCGCCTCCGATATCAATTCTTTCAAATGATGGATTCAAATACTCTAGGTCATCAGCGACCTCCTGGAACCAGTTAAGAACCGTCTTGTAGCCCTTTGGTAGCATCGTCTCGCTGTAGTACGGCTCGCCGAGGCTGAATACAGGGCAACCATAGGCAGGGATACGTTTCCGGCCTTTGGGACCAGCGAGAAATGTGTCATCCGGCTCGTCTGAGATGATATATACTCGACCTCGCTACGTGAGAGAGTTAGCGGCCAAGATCTATATTATAATTTTGAACTAGCAAGGGGTTTGGAGGATGAGGTGACATACGTCTGCAAGCCATTCAGCAAGAGCCACATTCTTGATATCATGTGCGTGGAACCAAGTTGCCACAGCAGCAAATGCAGCAATTCGGCCACCCCATCTCTTGAAATTGCCATGATTATCAAGGAACCGCGATACTTGCATGGCGCCAGCTGAGACCCCGATAACATCGAGAAAAGCTTCTGGATCGACCAGCTGCTCAACAACAGCGCTAAAGATATAATCAACGTGTTCCTCCGTGGTTCTGTTTCCCCGAATTGTGTTCTTCTCCAGATCAAATTGATACGGCCGCTCAACTGCGCTCTTTTGAGGCAACGCAAACCAAGTATTCTGAGTAACGGCCTTCTTACCTCGGCGCCACCATCTCAACTGTCCCATATTCGCCAGAATGATGCCAGGGGAGTCATCATTGTCTCCGGAAGTCTTCTGGGTTTGTATGTACTTCGCAAAATTCACCGCAGAGCCCTCGTCAATGCCGCCTTTACCGCCAATGATACGGTGTGCGAAGAGACCTAGATCTTGTGTATGTTCGTAGAACAGGATCACCACCCGCTTCTTGGTTTTAATATCGGAGGATATGAAGATTGGGAGGGTAGGCTCGTTCGCCTTCGCATCGAGGGGAAGTCTAATTTTCTCAAGGCCAAGTTTCTGAAGGCGTTCTGAAACAATGTTGCGGATGGCCTCTGGAGAAAGGAATGTTAGCCCTGGTTCTTCCTGGAGCTAGAAGATGGAATGCTATCTCACCATTCATAGCCTCACGCTGAAGACAATTATACCGATCATTTTTGGTCAAGAAGAACTTGAAGTATGCCCTTGGGTTTTCGATGTTGCGAATCTCGTCATTGTCCTTGACGAAGTATCTATGTGTCTATCAGTATGGTCTAACCAAAGAGATGCGTAAAGGTCAGTCTTACCCCAATTCTTTCAGATCTGCGGGAAAGACTGGGTCTTTGGGCAAACCGACTGGGAGGCGGCGGAACATCGTGAGCTGGTATGGATCGACCCTGTTGTAGCAGTTGTAGCGTTGTGGAGGTGAAAGTTGATTTGATCACAATTAGAAGAAGAATTGTAAAGGTGGTAGTGAAGCGGTTAGGTAGCGTTGAGGAGGGGAAGTTGATGCCGGCCTCGATTTTATAATTTTCGGGAGACCAGTAAGCATAGCGAAGGGGGAAGGAGTGAATGCTTCGCAGTAAGCGGTGGGAAGAGGACTTGGCGACATCAAGAAATACATGAGCGAAGCGCCCCAAAATACCATTAAGACGTGTTACTTTATAATGCCCTGTCAATCTAGACAAACTCTGCAAATGGAAACCGAGGTCGTGCCATCCGTTTGCTTATGTTCGGGAGGCTACATCATGGTGGAAGGAGCAATCGCATTGAAATATAGCTCTAGCCAATACATTGCTGAAAGAGACTGATTGAATGAAAACATAGCCTCCGAAAGTAGATTAGGTACCTATATCGGCGTTGAGTGGGAGCAATGGACACACTGTGAAATAAACCCAGGGGGGCTAGGGTAAATGAGCAAGGGGGACGATAACCCAATATGACAAAACAGTAGATGGAAAATAACAATGGCAACAGTTCCCCTGTTATCGAAATTGCCTGCGTCTTTTAATACTTACTGCGAGCTCAGGTTCATGAGGACTTCTCACTCGAGCCTCTCGAATCCAGCATTCTAAAGAGTAGCATGAGAACATTTCTAACATGATGTATTCTCCCGCTGGCCATGGGTGCTCCATACCCCAAATATCTGTCCCGAACTCCTTGGATATGTACACAATCCAGATATCTTGTCCACCCATGTATGTTGTACAGTTGATGAGGCTCGCCAAGCACAAGTTTTCCAGCATTCGGCTGTGGCCTCCGTTGTAGTTTGTCAATGTTGTCTTTGCCTACAATTCCTCCCGCATGAATGCGACAATCATGTTACCAACTAGCCTTCTTCACTCCAGGAAGATTCCCCGCCAAAGCATTCACCCGGAAATTATACTAGATGCCGTGTTAGTATCGGGCACCATCCACGTTACAATTGACGCTGTGAAGCATCCGAGGCACACATACTCTCGTCATCTTGAAATCTCGGAGCACACCTCTCCCTTTCCCACCTTCTATGCATCGATTCCGGATTTGTGTCGATCGCGTATAGCAGTGCATTTGTGATAATTGAAGTTGGGCCTGGGCGCGAGTCCGTTGGGGTAGGCTTAGGTTGCGGATAATGAACCGTAAAGCTTGCCTATAGATTTCACAAGGGTTAGCAGTTGATCATCTGGACCTCTTCTGAGCTTCCCTCATGCGCATCATATCATAGTACATTGACGGCCAGCGGCGCGCTACACTTTAGGTGATAGGGTGCCATACCTCTCGGTCTCATGCTCTGCGAAAACCTTCCGCTTGGTGTGATCCCGGATAACCTTGACATTGACAAAGCACCCCAGGTCCAGCTTCTTCGCCCGGAACATCGACATCTTTATCTTTAGAAGAAGACGTGAGGAATTGGAAGAACAATGGCGGTTGGCTAATTGATTGCACCGATGTTACGAGCAGATGGGAAACATTGATGTCTCGTCGGAGTCGGTAAAAAGATAGCTACCATGTCGCTGCCTCAGGCCATGACGCTCCACCGCACCTGCACCTACAGTGAAACTTCACTTTGATGAGCCTTATCATCATTAAGAATTACCCTCATTCCAATACCCCGCAACTCCTAGGCGGCAATTGGCGACAGGGCTGTCAAGCACGTTGTTTTCTTAAATCCAATCGATACGGCGAGGTGGGCTTGCTCCAAAAGATTTTATTCATGTTCCCTTTGTCCCGTTCCCAACAAAAGTGGCTTTTGCAGAGCTGGCCATTGTTCTATTCATCTTATGTTGCAAGCTCTGAGAATCTTTGTATTTGGAGGGCGTTAAGCATCAAAGCTTCCTAGACCGTTTTCCAACCGCTGTTTTCGATGCTGGAAGGATTCCATTCAAGCTACTGTTGAAAACACGATCTGTAATAATGGGCACAATGGCGATTGTGGTGAACAGGAGCAGCTTTATTTGTAGTCAAACAAAGCTAGTCAAATCCGGGGCCCTGCCGCTCCCATCTGAATAAAGACTTGCACGAGTTAATATTTACATTTTGTGTGGTTTTGTTTATCCTCTTGCCAGCGCAAATTTGGATGTATAAATAGAGCTCCCGTCTGCTGCTCTTCAACTCCCAAGTCACGGATATCTTCTATCCTCCTTACCTCTACACTCGGACCTTGGGGTATTAAATTCCTATTCCAACGATCTGCCACTTCCCGCTGCACCCTTTTTAGCCATCTTCTATTTTTCTTTGCGCTAGATACATCCCCTTGGATAATCCCTCAACGCCAAGACGGTCAGCATGTATCCTGCTCCGATGATATGCATGGGCCTGGTGGTATTGTTTGTCATAATGATGGCTTTTATTAGGGTGTTGTTCACAATACTTGTGTGCATCTTATGTTTCTTCATGCGGCTCATAATCGGCCTCGTCCGGCTCTCATTAAACCTCGTTTGGCTCGGCATCACCACCACATTAATCATGGTAGTATTAATGTCATTCGTTACGTTGCCCTTTATATCCTTGCCGCTAATGTTCATCTTCGTGGCATTTGTAGCAATCATGGCTGCCCTGGATCAGTCGACTTCGAATAAGTCGACCGTGGATAAGTCTGCCTTGGAACTCCTGGTTGCCCTGGATAAGTCGGCTTCAAACAAATCGACTTTGGAACGCCTCGCTGTTCTGGAGAAGGCGACTTCGGATAAGCCGGCTGCCACCGAGTCGACTTGAATCTCAATACAACTCGCCAGTTAGTACTAACAACCCTTCCTAGGAACATTCTCTTCTTGGCCAAATGCTCCTACTGGCATCGATGAAATTCATAGAGGGAAAAGAGGGGCGAAATAGTTGGAAACATGGTAGTAGGACAGGGGATAGGGGATAAGGGAGCGGCGCTGCTCGTACGAGTTGAAGTGGCCGGCTCGGAAAATATCCGGGGTTTAGCTAGCTCGTAAATCACATGACATGTAACACCTGTTAAAATTTGATCGAATTTCCAACTCTCAGCTCAACTGCTTGTACTTTGTATAGTGTGTTCATTCAAGTCACTGTCTTTCTCATTTGTCTTTGTTCCGTGCAGAGTCGGCCACTCTTTTATAAAGTCGTTTTGACCCTCTTTGATAATGGCGCCCTCCAAGTCGTCTTCCTCCAAACGGGCTGCAAAGTCGCAGTCTGGGACGCGTAACCTCACCATTCTCGCTGTCGCGCTTGCCTTGTTAACCGCTCTTTACTACTTCTTGGACTCACACTTGGAATGGTTCTACATCTTTTCTCCCTCCCACCTTCAGGATCTCTCCCAGCGCGCACTTGCAGCGCATGGCAATGACACTCGCGCTGCCGTGGCGTTTATCGTTGGCGAGCTGAGCGAGAAATTGCCAGGAGGATATGTGAATCTGGATGAAGAGTGGATCTTTAATAATGCTGGAGGCGCCATGGGCGCAATGTATATCATTCATGCCAGTACGTCCCCCTCGAGGCCTCTAGCAATGGCTCTCGCCTTCGGAGGATCGTGAAAACGCGGTATCACATGACCAAACTAACACACTCCAGGTATCACGGAATATTTGATCATCTTTGGTACGGCTTCTCGGTCTTATATTACATGCCTCTATGTGGCTTTGAACTAATAAATCCCACAGGCACCGCCATCGGCACAGAGGGTCATTCGGGCCGTCACACCGCCGACGATTACTTCTATATCTTGGCTGGCACGGAGCTTGCCTTCACGCCTGGGTCTTATGAGCCGGAAGTGTATCCCGTAGGCACCGTTCACCATCTGAAGCGCGGCAACGTCAAGCAGTATAAGATGCCCGAGGCTTGTTTTGCGCTAGAGTATGCCCGGGGCTGGATTCCACCAATGCTGGGGTTCGGGTATGCGGATACCTTCACCAGTACGCTGGATTTTCCGACGTTGTGGAGAACCACGTGGGTTACGGGACGAGAGATGGTATCTAATCTAGCCAGAGGGAAGATGTAGGCTGCGCCGGATTTCAATTTGCTGATGGGACGAGAATGCGGGATGTTTAATTAAGTAGGCGAATACGTGCTCGTGTCTGTGATTGTGAGCTGTCATAGCCACGGAGTGGGTTGGGATATATGGGTGTATTAATATGTTATTAATTGGAAAAGCCTACGTTCAGACGCTGGATTGATGATTCGGTATGGTTTTAGTCGGGTACCTCACGGCTGGTATATGGGTTGCAAGGTCACGGCACGCCCCCCGCGTTGTTGCTGTTTCCGGGTCCTCAGCCTTGGGAAAGACACAGGCTAATTATTATCAATCAAGCTTAATCAATTTGCTGAGGTCGGATATAATGGATAGATCTTTGATATTTCGTGTTAATCTACCAAGTACTCAACAACTGCACCTAACCTTTGCAAAAAATAGAACCTAGCCTGCGCAATAATTTATCACCCGCCCTACCATGCGAGCACGACGCAGGATTCCAATGACAGCATTCAGAAGTATATCGTAAGGGGATCCAAAAATAGACCGTTCAGTCATCGGCCCATCCATTTCAAGTACCGCTTCTGCATATCAGGCAGCAGTCTTGGGACAACGTGCCCTCGAAGACCTACTTGCACTTTCTCCAGGAGACACCGGTGACCCAGGTGATCTTGCCGTCGATAGAATCGTCGGTCATAAGGCCCTTGGCTGTAGTTTTGGTGCTAGCGAGGGAGATCTGGGATTTGATGTTGATGGGTAGATCAGCTCCGCAAGGAGACCAGACGGTGGAGGCCATTGGAACGTTGTCCGCGATGTTGTAGTTGTTACTGAATGGGCCCTTGAAGCTAGACTTGGTTGATACTTGGGCGGATTCTGATTAATTCGTTAGTAGAGGATCGGAAATTACGGCCAGAGATCACGAGGTTTGATGATCATCCTCTGTTAGGCATTTGAGGCGCAGTTAACTTACGACCAGAGAAGTAGTAAGTGGCTTCCTGAGTCCCGGTCACGCCGGCATCAAGAGCTGCATAACCTCTATAAACAGTACTCAAGATCGAGTACTGGAAGCCAGAAGGATAGTGTAGCTGAAGATTGACCTGACAGAATTTGCGTGCATCTGCTGGTTGGGTGCCAGGCCCGATTTGAACCTGATACTGGTCGAAGATGAGGGTGAAACTAATTAGGTGTTAATTCCATGTCGACTTGATGGGAGGAAGAAATGGAACTGGGCGAACATACGTTTGGCGATCATCAGAGAGGTACTTCCCAACGGTGCCTTGTGGGCACCCGGTTCCAGAGGTAGTGATGCCATTGATGGTCACCTCATTGGGATTGGGGGCATCTGCACGGGTATCAAGTGCTGGGGCAGCGATGGCGGCCGAAGCCAGAGCGAGGAGAACACCAGATTTGACAAGCATTTTGACGTCGGTTAATCCTAATACTGGGGAGCTGACTTAGAATGGTAGGAGGTGGTTGTGAAGATTGCGGAGAACTGAATTTTGAAGGGGAAGAGTCGCCCTTTTATGTCTTGTTCGGAGTCATGAGCTGATCACTAGCTCAGATGTCCCGCTCAGCCCCGCCAGCGGAAAGATAATCACGTCGAGTAGGATAGTGAGAGCGGGGAAATGAATCTCGTATTAGGCATTCTTCATAAAATCACAGGCCGTGAGGACTTTTTCAACTTCCCGCCTTTGCAAGATCGTGGAGGGGTCTTTACTACAGAACCGCTTGTTTGGACGGATCATCCTTCGACCGCATGAAAACGATCCCGCTAGTAAGGCCCCCTGCCGACTGGGAGAGTTTCTGGGTCGGGAGTACACCGATATCTAATCGTATTAAATGGACAAGAGCATGAGGGTATCAGACACTAACGTATTCGAATGAGAGTATTAGATGGCGGCCTAAACTTGACAAGGAAAAGCCGAAGACACCGTAAATAAGGACCATTAAAAGTCGAGTCTCAGAAATAGCCACCAGGGGGGGGGAAAGCAAGACCATACAGGTGCAGCTAGTTAGTTGTAGGATAGAGCATTAACTTTATGGTTTATGCGGGGGTTGAAGATCGTGATCCTGCCATGCGTGGCTTCAACGCATGATTGGCATCCGAGGTTGTGCATGGCGATAAATATAGGACGAGCCGAGAACATCAACTGGAATTTTCCCACGCCAACCCTTCGTGTAAAGAAGGGCATGCCAAGACACCTGAGCTCTGTACTGCCCTAGCTGTACACTCACTTGCAGTGGCAAGAAGCTGTCCATGAACGACAACCACATATTAGCCGCTTGGCTAAATGTCGCATGGTGGAAAGATACTTGGCCACAAAAGCAATATAAAAGGGAATATGCCGCTGTTTGTGTCGCTCAATCCCACCTTTTGTAGAAATTATTGCTGTAGAAAATGATCTATCCGCTGGGCCGCTAATTGAGATGTACTCTTATATTGTTATCCCCTAACATTGAGTAACCCAGATGTTCTATTTTGGGAGATATAGTTCCGTCAGCGAAGGTACGCTATATTTAGCGTGGCAAAGTGAATCGTTAAATCATATAGTAGGCTGTATTGCTCAGGTCCCGTGCAAGTGGTATATAGAGGCAATATCGGCACCCCCGAGTCTAGAACTTGCCCAGTTTGACCGGCAGCAATAATAGTTAGCTGTTGCCTTGGGACCTTGGTGGTTATGAAAATAAAAAGAGGGCTCTATGGAGACCCAACCAGTCGGCTGATTGACCACAGCCGGGAAGGAAATGATGGTAGGCTCCTTCCAGGCACGTTGTCCACTCTAACTCAGAGAGCGAAGCTGGTTCTATTTAGTGGTGATCATGTCTATGACATAGGGTTTTATTCTATGTGTTTCATTCAGCCCCAAGGTCAGTTGGTGGATTCCATAATCTATCATTGCAATGATATTAGGCTTCCTACTTTTCTTTACAGGCCACCGCGAATTCGTTGTGGCTCACCGAGGTGACATGATGTCAGGTAGCAGACAAGTTCGGTCCCGGAATCAACCGATGAAAATCGTCATGTTTTCCGTAATTACGAACCCCTCTTCACAATCACCTAGGTTAGCCATGTCAGCACGCGCTTCAACTAACATACCTCCATCGAAACCCGAGATAGCCGCCTATTACGCTGGCACCGGGGGCTCACATATCAACAATCATAGCCTACCTCCTCAACGCCTAGGTCTGTAATTCATTTTGCGGTTTCGATGAAATGGACTTCTAGCTGAGGTGATATCTGGGTTTTCCAAATTGTTTCGACACATGCCCTCCTACCTATGAAACATATATGACATTCTATCATGGCTGGAACTGCTTCTAGCTGATACGAGGTACCTACACTAGTGAAACTGCTATGAATTTCCTCTAGTTGCGCAATCCCGTGATTGTCTCTCAGGCGTCGTCTGCTCTTGAAAGCCAGCTTTAGGCAATAGCAATTGCCTATCAGCAGATATCGGGTCGTGCAAATTGTATGTCCGTTGATCTGGCTTCGAACGTTTCATCCATAGCCTACCGCCCATATTCGAACCCCACACCACGCTCTCAAGTCTGTTCGCTTTCGGCGACGCCCTATCGATATCAAAAGTCGACAGGTCTGATCGATCAAAATAGGACACGGGCGGTATAGCGTAAGGACGAGAAGGGGGGGGGGTATTCATGGGGTACACTCTCATTTGTATGGCTCCGGCATCCGCAATGTTTTAGGTGGCCGACGAGGCAGCACTCGACAGATATATATCCACATTTCTAGCTTTAGAATAAGATTAGAGAGCGGATACCAGACAGTGGGAATTACTTGCCGTAGGTACTGCTACGCTGCCGGGAGCACTTACATCCAAAGCGCGGGCTGATTTTTATACTCTCGATATAAATATATACGGAGACACGAAACATGCATTCAGAGGTCTGCCGATGAGGACGGGTAGGTGCTGATATCAAGATGTTGAGGTTGAATCATACAATATACTAATAAGGTTGAAACCGGCAAGTCACGGCGGGTCGGCCCCTGACCCGTTTTCCTCCCGTTGTCGCGCAGTTGCGTCAGCGGGGCATTGCACAGGGACTCGTACTTCTCCATGCGTTCATGATCTACAGCGCGCAATTCCTCTGAACATCTTCTTATCATCCCGGCCCATCTCGACCTTGACCTCAATACTCCGTATACAGGTCCAGTTTGCTATTTGCTGTCTTGCTGTGCCAACCCTTCGAGCCAGTCCGTATTTGGCATGGTGGTGGCTTCGTTTAGGGTGTATTTGGCTGCTTATTATTGACTACCGTATCCTCCGCGAAGAAACATGCACATCCGACTAGCAGCATCCTTCTACGCCTCCTCCTCCTCCTCCTCCTCCATATATCTTCCAAGTCAAGCCGTCCCCTGATAATGCATATTCCTCGGAATTAAACAGACTCCAGAACAAAACGGACTGGTTGCAACTCAGCGCTATCGCTCACATTTAATCGCACTCTACATATGGTCTTGTAGCTTCCCTATTTCTGCTGGTAGGTGTTTATCCTCAGTTGAATATCAGAATGTGATTTGCAAGGTCTGACACTAGTCAACATAGCTTCGTCAAGCTTCGTCAACATAAGCCTGCGGTCGACTCTCCATACAGTCGACCAAAATGACCAAAGATCGCAATAACATCGTTGGAATTACCAAACAGTCCCCTCCAGTCGATATAACCGAACCATACGATGCGGCTTGGGTGGCAGGAAAGACAATTCTAGTGACGGGGGGAGCATCTGGCTTCGGAGAAGGCTTCTTCCGGAAGTGGGCAGAAAATGGTAATAGACACACTGCATCATAACACCATGTCAGAAAGGGCCTTTACTAATCCGAGATACAAACAGGTGCAAATGTGATCATTGGAGATATCAACGATGTGCGGGGAAGGGCGCTAGTGGAGAATGTCCGAAAGGCCACGGGAAACCAGAATCACCACTACATCCATTGCGATGTAACCAATTGGCAGTCGCAGGTGGATTTCTTCCGTGAAGCTGTCAGACTCAGCCCTCACGGCGGCATTGACGCGGTGGTAGCGAATGCGGGAATAACTGACGGCTCTCCAATGTTTGATGATCCACCCGGAAATCTCGATACTCTCGAAGAACCTCCCGCGCCCAATCTTAAGTGCCTCGAGGTCAATTTGATCGGCGTCATGTACACAGCACATCTTGCCATCTTCTACCTCCCCAAGAACCCAAAGTCACAACCGGCTGACCATACATTGAGTCCTGGACCCAATGTACGGGATAGACATTTGCTGTTGGTCGGGTCTATCGCATCCTTGGCTGCGATTCCGGGCCAGATACAATATTGTGCGTCCAAGCATGCTGTTTTGGGACTCTACAGGTCCCTCCGTTGTACCGCCTCTCTCAAGGGCATTCGAGTGAACATGATTCTCCCGTATTTCATTGATACGCCCATAATTCCTGTTGGAGGTCGTATCTTGCTAGCTGGAGGGGCAACGGGTAAGCCCGAAGATGTGGTGGATGCCGCAACGAGGCTTATGGCAGATTCAAGAATCGTTGGAAGGGGTCTAGCCATAGGCCCCCGAATCAAGGTTGGTGACGACTGGCAGTTGCTTCCAGATACCGCCCAAGGCGGTACGGAAGCTGCCGTATGGGAGGCGTATGCGGAGGACTTCGAAGAAGCTGGTCTGTAAAAACCTTGCTATTCCCAACTACACCACTAACGTTTCTAATAGACATCTTCACGAGCCGGTTCGTTAGGTTAGTGAACAATGTAGAGCGTGCACGGGGCTGGACAGGTTGGGCCACCGACATGGTTCTAGCTTTCACATATCCGCTAAGAAATTGGTGGAAAGGATAAGCACATGGTCATGATTACAAACAGTAGGTAGGCATTTCTGTGTTGCGAAAGTCTAGACTTGTTGTAATTATACATTATTTAGTTCCGAGTTAGTAGCCACCTGTCGAGTCGATTTCTTCGAGCTCCCTATCCCACGTTCCACTATCGCGGTGGCACCTTTGAACTATACCGCAGCAGGACTCGAGAGTTTCTGAATATAAGTCATCATCTTGACTCATCGAAGAATATTAACGCCTTTCACGGTGCCAAGATAGACTCCCGAAGTTCTCGAGAAACCATTTGGAAAGAACCTGGAAACAGGGTGATTGTCGAGCTGAAGCTTCTGACATGGTCCCCAGACTGGTCGGATACTGTGGCTCTACAAAGTGGGCTGACGAATCATTTTTTAATCGTCATGAGTGGAGCCCCATCATTTGCGTTGGTGGGATCAGGAAGGTGGCCAAGTGGCATGGTCCTCAAACATACGTAGTGATGAGTATGCTGGGTGTTGCGAAGGAGAAGGGGAAGTTGTACGTTTATTACAGCTAAATGCAATATTCAGGTGCGATAGCCGCTGAATTCATCGGTCTTGGTCGCTGTTTAATGCGACGATTATCCTAACTTACGATCCGCGGATTAAGCGTAAGTCAACTCGCTTCGTCTCCCGCCTTAAAATCCACCAGGCGGGGATGGGATGATCTCCATACTTTATCGTGGGACCCTCTAAAACTTGTTGTCGTAGATCATCCAAATCAGAAGTTCTACCCAAACTTTCTCCTAGCCTTTCAGAAGCAGAAAATCTGCTCCTATTACTTCTGGAGTACAAGCTGGGACTGCAACTCAATATCTGCGTAAAAACCCTTAAACATCTCAGAGTGACACTGACACAGAAGGACCCTGTATACCGTCTTAATGGAGGCCTCTCATCTCTATCCTGTTGAATGATTACGAACATGCCGAAGAGGGAGGGGGTTCCTTTCATCATAGTGCAGCTGAGGGCGTTTCGTGAGCAGAACCTCTGGTGATAGCGTTGCAGCGTTAGAGCGTCTCTGCGGAGTCGAGTAGAGGCTTTTGGAACTGGGTATTCCTTCATCTCTACTATTTCTAGGTCGGCTGACCCTAGAAATAGAAATTGGGGTTCCCACGCTTTCTACTTCGGATTCGACGTCCTCATCATCATCTAATCACATTAGATCACGCTGCTGGGGTTTTTTAATTATTGGGGCTGCGGTCCTTACCTTCATCCTCCGAATATTCCCCTTCCTCGCTCTCACTTTCTTCGCTAGAGTCCTCGTCGTAATCTTCCTCTGACATTAGATCTATTTCACTTGGGAGAAGGTCGTCAAGCTCGCCCATTGAAGCGTCATTTTTTTCATCATGCGTCTTGACGACCCACCGCCATCTGTCCAGACAGCTGGATACCCATGGCCGGTAGTGCCTCACGATCCAATAGTGAAGGTTCTCAATAATCCGACACAGTTGTACCGTGTCCCAAATAACACGCAGATCTCCTTTCCAAATACACTGCATTTCCTGTTCGGTTTGTTTCGTTCAGTGACAATCCTCTGTAATATGCACAGCCAGGTTCTAAAAAGAGACTCACATAGCCACATTGAAGCTCATCGTCATCCCATCTCCTATCGCTTATAACAGCTATCCAAACTCTGCTTTGATGGCCAATGAACGTGAAGGCGACAACAGGTTGGATCTCTGTGAAGAATTTATTGGGAATAGACAAATGCGATAGTCTGCTCAACATTGATAAAGCTGTTGCCGTTGCATTCGCAGCCTGGCAGTAGCACTTCTCTCTGAAACTTCGTCGCACTCTATGATGCTTGATCTCTACAACTGCGCAGGGAAAACAAACGAGGTCTTTTTCATTGAGCTCCGTCTTTTTGTACAGCCGCGTCATGGGGTTCGAGATTAAGTTTCCATTCTCAACTTGCTCCAAGAGTGCCAAATTATTTTCAGTGAAATTCTGAATATAGTCATCTCTATGGAATCCCTCAGGATTCGAGGTTCGCTTGATGATTGGTAGAGCTATGTAGAGATCGGGCTTTGGGGCAGTAAGATCAGGTGCTTCTAAAGGCGTTGTTCGTTGAAGAGACTTGTGGCCATGCTCCCAGGTGTCTTCATCCTCTCTGACGGAAACGAGTCAACAATGCATTCGCTAAAGGCATGGTGAGATACATACACCATGACTCTCTCGACAATTTGCTTAGCATCAAACACCTTTATTCCTTCTGCACGGCGCGAGGACTCTATCAGATTCCCGAATAGCTCATTCTTCACCACGGCTGACCAGCGAGGCTCTTTGCCACTCTTAATATCCTTTGCACTTCTCTGAATGCGCCGCGCAAGCTCGAACCTCGCGTCATGTTGAGCGGTTTGGTATCGCTCTTCGTAAGACTCCAAGTCTACCGATGAGCGTTTGTCTAGGGGAGGAATCATAGAACCACGAAAGTTTTTGCGAATCTTCTTCTGGCTTCTTTCGCTGAGTTTTTCCTAATCGAAAAATTAGAAGTAGAGGATATTAGTGTAGTGGACGAGTGAGGCACACATAGCTGGATCGTGAGAGGATGTTCTTGCAATCCAGAAGCCCCTCGGTAACTATTGAAGCTTGTGGATAATGCTTAACCAAGTACTCTTTGACATCCCTAGAGATTAGAAGTTCGTCGTGATATGATATGCAGTTCTCTTGTAGAGTATTAACGCCTAGTGATCTTTTCGGCGTCATTGCTTCTTCGATAGGATTTGAGAAGAGCAAGGATGAAAATTGTCATAAGGAAACTTTAGAGATTTCGATATTTGGACGCTGGACGATGACAGATCTTCAGATGAGGGACTCATGAGCGTTAATTATGTTCTGGGCGTCCTTGATAGGGGTTTACTGCAGCCTGGTCGCGCTATGACACTGGAGGAAGGCAGCTGAGGTGCGGGATAAAGAGGAAAGGGGCGTGCCGTGCCGTGCGCGACAACAACTCTGAGGGTCATGGCGATTTCAAATCTGCAAGGCAATCACAACCGAGACATATGATGCTCATGACTTCAGGGTACTGTCATTCAATGAGTCTCCTTTGAATTCATGGGTCATCGTTCGTGATTAAAGTAGAGAAGGGGGAAGTAGGAGCATTGCTCAAAGATTAAGGCCAAGTCTGAGACAAGACAGCAGAGCTAACATCCGATTAGGGAGAGAACCGCGTGTGAGTGAAATTGAAAGTATTGGAGAAAGTTGATAGAGGACGAAAGGGGTTCTTGCAGGCATCATCAAAAGAAGCGGCTTCGCAATCCCGAAGCGGATGCGCTAAACTCAAAGGGGCAGCGCACCTGAACATAGTTTACAGCGTAGGTACTTACTACTTTTTTTGTGTATAGTTCTAGGTCGTGACGGGAGGATTTGCTACCAAAGAACAAGGTTGCGAGTATTTGTACGGGGAACACGATAGTCGGGGATGCTGTTGTGATAAGGTCTGGGACTAAATTCCAGTGTTGATTAAACATACAGGAAGTTCTAGCTCCCAGTAGTCCTACTCGCCAAGAGTTAACATTCTTAATAGTACTACTAGGATCGGATCCATTTCAAATGCACATAGACGTGGCTAGTCGTTTCGAGTTGCTAGGTGGTAGTGAGGTGGTGGAGGCTGCGCGTGAAGGGTGGCGAGAGTAAGGAGGATGAGCAAGCCGTGAGAGGCTACACACTGCCACGGTGCGGCATGAAGAAGTCAAGTTAGGATTCACTGATTCTGGTTCAACAACAGTGTGCTCTGTTCATAGTAACTCTCCGCTACCCAATATAATCCTATTCAAGCCATTATTTCCACCAGTTCACCACTCTCAACTTCCACAATATCCACTTTTTTGCGGTCACCTAATCGGTCACAACTCGCCCGTCCTTCAACGCGTTCTGCTGCATTCAACAAGAGGTCAAGACATCATTTGTACATGCAGGCCAATTTCCGGGGTCAACCTTTGCGCTGGCAAGGGTAGCCCCTGATGTCACCTGGAAAGTCATGGTTCCACCTGGTAGAGCGGATACACCATCTCCCACAGTTACCACCGCTTGATATATCGCGTAAGACCCAAGGGTGGTCTTTAAAGTCATTGAAACAGTAGTACTAAGAATCTTAGGCACAATTGAGCCAGCCTGCGCTGCGGTGTGCCATAGTTTGGCTGACAATACAGTCCCGGCTGGAGCGAGTGAAATTAGTATCTGGTTGTGGGGATATCCTGTTAGTTTCTGAATTCCTCATTTGATCACGAGTGAAAGGTAAGGGGGCGGGAAGAGCCGAGTAGTGGGTTCGGATCCTATTACTTACTGCTGCGCGTACGACGTATTGTTGGTTTACGGTGATGGCGTTATTTGAATCTCTAATTTGATTGTGAAAACCCTGCGAGACGAGAATGAATATCTTTTGATTGATTGGTGCCGAATAAGAGCTCTGAACGTTGATTGATGTAACATCAGGGTTATTCAAGGTGTCGGCAAAGTTGTAGTCTGTAATGGTCCCAAACCCGATGGGGGTGTTTGCAACAATAGGATATGCCACTAGAGCCAAGATTAGCTATTATTATGATCGCAGGTCCAAGACGGCGCTATACCTCCTGCTTGGCTGGTTTTTGGGGCCGTATTTCCTCCAGATGTCCCATAAGAGTATGAGGCAGTATCAGGGAGAGAAGCTGAAGAGTGGCCTATGATTGTCCCAGAAAACGTCACTGCACCAGCTGAATTAAGGTCCAGATGGCTTTCACGCAGAATCCATGGCCTGGGGACGATAGGATCGGAAAGCTTAACTGCACTGGGGACGGTGTTTATCATCTTTTCGAAAATCGTAAAACAGGTGTCTTCAAAAGATTGGGGTGAAGACATAGCACTTATAGTGGCGTTGTCATCTGAAGCAAATATACGTAAATCCGATCGTGTGGCCTCAGGTCCAACTACTAATGGCCCGCCTTTCAAGCCAGTACCAGTTAGATATTCATTGACGCCAGTGTTGTCAAATATAGCCGGAGTGCTATCAAATGGAGCTCGGCCGTCGGTACTAATCTGTTAGTACTGTTATTTCAAGACAGACTATATTCCTTACTTAGAAGCATCTTTAGGATCCTCGACTATCACTCGAATATTAGCTTTATCTTATAAGTTGGGGCTATAGCACACACCAATATCTGGAAAGTTGGTATGGTGGACCCCGCCCAGTGAGTGTCCGCATGCCCTGGTCTTCAATTAGTTCTAAATAGTCCACGAAAAGCAATGACTCACACTGCCTGGATCATTTCACTCTGGCTAAATCCTGCTTTAGCAAATGCAGCAGTCGCAAATTCTATATTATCTGTTGGGCCTGGTACGCCTGCAGGTCCAGGGCCAGTAGCATCTATTCGGCCAACACGGAGTGGTATGCGTCGAGCGGTTGGATCACAAGAAGCAAGACTGTCAGACAATCCCTAGTCTTGATGTTAAAACAGCAGACTAAATTGGTCGCAGCTGACCTACTACTCCAATAAGATCTGACATAGACAAGAACACGCTAGAGAACTGGCTAAACTATAATAGTTAGCTCTTAGCACCAAGTAATTATAGCAAGTTTGACTTACCTGGCCAAGTGTAACATTTACAAAAATGCCAACGTTCTCCGGCCGGTCTGATTCAAAGCCAATAGACGCGTCAAGTCCACTATGTCTATCAATACATATCAACAAGTAGAAGAAAGGGGCGATGCTGACCCTAATCCCGGCCCAGCAATGTTTGCTGTGATCGAATCGTGGAAGATAATCCTCACCCATTCTGCTGAAGTTTGCTGGCCCCTATTTTGATTGTCATTGAAGTTGACACCACAAGGTGTAACCACGGATACAAGGGTGAATGGATTCAGGATTTGTCTTTCCATCTCCTCTATCTTTTCTAATAGAGTGATGCCATTTGCATCCACATCATTCACCGCCTGGCCGTTTAGACCTTGGAATTGCGAAAACAAAGTTATTAAGATAGGAAGCAACATATTATTAGAATAAGTAAGCTGAGTGGTTGGATTGGAAGTTTGAAGGATAAAAAATGGAGGGGATAAGACCAGGAAACATCGGCTTTATATTCCTAGAGTCGAACCGTACAGAGCAACCCCTCAGGGGTTTTGATTATTACAAGTGGGATTGACCAATTCTACCCACCAATCGAGATCGCTTTGACTTATCATATGGCCATCCTGTCTTCTGAGAGTCAAAAGAAAAGGTCAACGAGAAGCTTAATGAGTTCCTGGATGACATATACGATCCGAATAAGGGGTTGTGCATTTGGACCCAAGGTATCAGTTGCCTGGTTCCAAGGGTGGAAACCTTGAAATTCGGGGGTGATTGGGTGGCCTGGTAGTCTAGACTATGAGACTATAGTGCTACCTTGAGGTAATCATATCAGCTCTGATTCGATGTGAGTATATGTGCCACCGGAAATGCATTTAGGGACGAACTAGTGCTGACAGGATCCAAACTGCTTCCTGGGTTGGTTGTAGATTATGGGCATATCCCACATCACGCAACCCAGCGCGTAGCCTACCCCTAGGTTGTGATTCAGATCAATAGTTTACAGACACCGCTGCAGTTAGTTGCCTTAACCCCGGTGATAAGAGTTTCTACGAAGTAGTCGTAATTGACCTTGCATGGCATGGCCCTATCTTTACAGGATTGGACCACACTACATGTACGATAACGGCGTATATCCATTCAATTGAACACAGGTGCAGCGCAGTCCCAGCCGTAAGGTAATTGTCGGCTGGAGCACTTCCGACGTCAGGTTTGCAGTGCACCTATAAGCATCTTAGCTTTCACGAGTACGCTAAAAAGAGTTAGACGCCACAGTCTCTCGGTCTACTAAATCTGGTCTTACGATGCTTAAACCCTGGTAAGCACGGCATGTACTTCGTAGAGATAGCCAAAAGGGAAAGCTTATTATTACTTACTTATTCCAATACGACATTGAGGCGTACTCGGGTACAATCATGAGAGATAGGACAAAACTCGAAACATCGTCGCGTTCCGTTTCAACATTTGTTGATTTGATATCGGGTCTCGGGCACGCAAATTAGAAAGGACTTTACAAATTTAATTGACAAAGATCACCAGATCCAATCAGTAAAACTTCAGGGCTCCGGCCCCCAATCTTACGTAGCATTGCTGGAATTCCTCGCAATTCCATATGGGGAACACCCAAGCAGAAAACGTGCACCGGGATCACCAGTCAAAATACAGTTCTCAAGCCGCTCTACAGATAACGACGGGACGAACCGCATCGCGGGAAGTGGGGTCAAGACGTGTGTCCTGGTTGCCCAATTCGCCAGCTTCTCGCACAAGCAACAGCCCGGTCAACGGGGAGCTGGTAGCTCTAGCTTAGTCCCAAATGTGCCGCAAGGAGATTAATATATTCCAGTACATACAAGAAGTACGGCCCGCAATGACACTTCCGCGAGGGAACCAAACATGGAAAAGTACCGGTAGCCAATCGCATGGCGAGATCAATCCCAGGATTAATCGATGTTTTGATACTCGTAATGTGTTTCGGATCACCAATAACGCCTGTGGCTTGACGAAGTCGGCTTCCAGCTCGTACTTCGTAAGCAAATTTAAATGCAACCAGCCTCAACATAAACTTAATCCCTCGCTGATCCTCGTAATCGTTTTCCTTCCACAGGACCGCCTGCCTACCGGGAAGCTAACAATACGAGCACCTCACGTGTTACAACTCATGCCGCCACCCGGCAAGCAACCCTACGTGCCCTAAAATCTCAACACCACATGTTTGAGTTATCGAGTAGTATTACAAGGGTTTCTCGCTTTACCCTTTTACACTGAAGGTCAGTATCTTGTTATACACGATTCGGTCACTTACTAGAACCTGAGAACAAAAAGGTATTATTATAATAACCTTACTAATATAATAGGTAGATATTACTAATTATATTTTGTTATGAGCGTATTACGGGACCTTCCATTATAGGACTATATTACTGGGTTATGCCGTATCTAGTATCTCACTCTCTACTTGTATCCGTATCGTAAAAACTTTAATATTCCCGTATATAACTTTATAATATCTAAAATAATACAATTATCTTATTATATACTTTACGAGTATATATTTTATTCTACAAGCGAGTGCTTTAAAATATTAAGGAACTACGGTTTGCAGATCTAGGGCTCGGAATCCTGTATAACCCGGGGGCAAAAAGTAGAGGCTGAGGAAAGCTAAGAGGAGTATAGATAGGAAGGGCACCCTATATTAACCAAAAGGGCATCTCGGAACAAGAAACATAAGTCGCTATGACGGTAAAAGTTACCTTCAAATCTTAGCGGTTATTATTCTTATTGGAGAGGGTAACTCGTGAAATAGCGACTAGATTTGTCAATTCTAAAGATTCCCCTTATTCATCGACATAAGACACGAAAGGTTTCCCCTTTAACTGGCCATTGCGTTTATGTATTATGCAACACATAGTGGTATCACTGTTCGTTGCAGGGGCGTCGAAATCACCCAGCTCGATTCTACCATTGCAGCCGTACAAAATTGTCCTACTCAACAAGTGATCCCCTCAGATCCTCACTCATGTGTTCTGTTTCCTTGGGAAATCAGCAAGTCGCTCCTTGCTCTCCAGAATCGGGATCATCCGATACTCGCGAATTATGCCTATATGTCTCTAGAGCAATACGAATTAAAGATTTTAGGACTGCTAAAATCGAATATTTTCAATCTAAGGAGTGAGACTGAGTGATATAAGGCAAGCATCCCAACTTGTTTTCGTAGCTCAGGAGCAGTTCACATGGTATTACATCCAAAGATACAGCAACAAGTAACTCTATAATTATATAGTCTAGTAGTGGGTACCAAGTAGCGGTACAGCCGAGGACACATCCCTTCTTGTCGGCGTCTATAGTCGAAGATTCGCCCCTTATCTGCCTCAGATCCCCCTCCCCCTTCCATCTCCTCCACCACCCTTCCTCAAATTTAACTTCAAACTCGCCTCTATTCGCAATCACCACCGCCATCTCAATCCACCTCAACGATTTCTACGATAACAGCCCTTTTTCAAGGCCATGTCGAAGAAGTCGAACCTAGCCTGGATTGTCTTCTGCAGCGTCATCGACACTGCGGGCAAGGCCGCCTAGGCGGAGGTCGATAGTAGCCGTACTATTACTGCGGCACTGAGACCGATAGCTGGTAGGTAGCACCAGGTTGGATATTGGTGATTCGGGCGTTAGGTAAGACCTTGCCGGCATGGCTGACTGCCACTTCCTTCACGTCCGCGCGTCGAATATCCAGCTCGAACCTCGCGCCGCGGAAAAGGCGGGTGACCTTTATGTCGTCCCAACCCGATGGAAGTTGGGGCTGGATGCGTAGGCCCTCCACATCGCCACGAAGCCCACACAAGCCCTCGGTGAAGCAGCGGTAAACCCATGGCATGGTGCCGGTGTTGAACAGCTGGCTGGAGCGGCCGGCAGTGCGTGGATATTGATGCCACGCCCCGCGGTAATAGTTTGGAATATACACAGGCAGTTGGCCGCGCTGTCGGTAGTCGGCTTCGGTTGGGCCTGGCAGCATCTGGCGCAGCAGCTTATAGGCACGATCCTTCTCGCCGACGGTGTACAGACTATGGATGTAGAAGATAGCCGCGTGGTTATACACCGAACCGTTCTCCGCCGAGCCAGGGTATTTCTGCGTCACGCGACCAACGTCCTCACGCATAGCACTGAACGCTGGCGCGAACATGGCCACGCCGTATGGCGTACTCAGTTGCTCATCTACCTGGGTTAACATCTTCTCTCGCTGCTCGGTGCTAGCCGCGCCGCTGAGAATGGACCACGCCTGGGGATTAAGCCAGATGCGGCCTTCGACGTCCTTCTTGGTGCCGAAGACCACGTTATCATCTGTGATGCCGCGTGCAAACCAATCGCCGTCCCATAGATGGGTGTTGGTAGCTGTGTTGACGTCCTGGGCGCCTGCTCGATAGCGCGCCGCTAGTTCGGGCTTGCCTTGCTGTTCGCAGACGTCGGCCCAAAGGTTTAACGCATAGCCGGTGGCCACAGTGAGCCAGCCCGATACGCCTTTGCCCTTATACCCTACCATATTCATCGGATCGCACCAGTCGCCCTGGGCGATATAGCTCAGGCCACGCTCGTCGCGGGCGGCGAGCAGCCAGTCCATAGCGCGGCTGAAGCGCTCGAACACTGTGTAGGTGTCGCCATGTACACTCTTCAGGGGCTCCTCTAAGAAGGCATAATCCGCTGTTTCAGCCAGATAGGCGTCCAGCGTCACTGGTAGCCATACGCAGTGGTCTGTGTGCGGTACCTGGTTAATGTACTTTAGCTCTGCGCCTTCGATCAACAGAATCCCATCAGGCATGGCACCGTCGGCTTCCTGCTGCGCGAGCGCCGTGAGAAAGGCATTCCGCGCTACCTCGGGCTTGATATAGCTCATGCCCATGTTGTCTTGGAGGTAGTTGCGCGTCTGTGGGTCTGTAGTCAAGCGGTTTACATCACCATGGTAGTATACCTGGCGTGGAAGCCAGTTGTTGACAAAGTTGTCCAAGTCCTTGTCCGGCGTTTCGATCTTCAGACAGCCGCGTCCTTGTTCGATGTACTGCGCATAGTCCTGGGCAGACTGGGCAAAACCTTCTTTGTTTAGGTATTTTTTGCACATAGCACTGATTTCAGCGTCATCGAAAGCAGGCCCAAACAGGAAGCGGTATTCGCGCTGCTCCTCCGCTTCCAGGGCTATGCGGTACTGCACAGCGGCTACAGGCGTTTCGTAGCGCGCGTCACCGCCCGAAAGGTCCGACCCCAGCAGTGCGGATGGGGCGTGTAGGCCTCCTTCGCCTTCAAACGCTTGCTGCATGGTTTCCCACGAGTTGGGCGGCGTCTCGCACATAAAGTAGGTTTTATCCTTGAGGAACTTATTCTTGAAGTAATCCTCTGCCTTCTGGTACGGCGTGACGCTGCTAGCCACCACGCCACCCAGGTCCGGGCGGTACTCGGCGGACTGATTCATCCAGGACATGTTGCCGATTGGGAAGTAAGGGCAGACACTAATCTTCCGTGGGCGGCCAGACAGGTTGGATACCTTCACAGTCCAAAGTTCCGCCACATCATGCGTGGGTAGGCTCAGTGTCATTTCAACACGGATACCTAGGTGCTCCACGGTCCACGCGATATCGCTTTTGCCGACAGAGAAAACGAAACGGTCCACAGGCGCGCGTACAGGTTCGTATGGCGCGGAGAACAGTTGGCCCGTTTCCTCATCTTTGATGTAGACGAAGCGGCCTGGATGATGCGAATAATAGCTCTGCTCTGGCTGCATGAAGGTCTTGCCTTCGAGGTTGGGCGCGTGGGCGTACTTGGCTGGCTCCGGCTGCATGAATTGAGAGGTAGCATAGCCGCGGCAGGTTACCTGGATCATCATCTTTTGATTCCATAGAAAACCGTCTGCTTTTGGCATGGCCGTTGGGCTGGTCAGCTCATAGCGCTCGCCGTCGTGAGTAGGGCCCAGCATCATTGTATATATCCGGGGTGATTATAGCAGCTTTGTGTTCGACTACTTCTGACTGGATCTGGGTCAGATTGAGTTGTTAAAACTTTCAAAGACTTGGTCAATTGGGAGTATCTAGAGAGCATTCAGCACGTGTGGAAGACGAATTGGGAAGACGGATAGAGTTTGTATATTATAACTATCCGTAAGTAGTATATGAAAGGGAGGAAAAGCAAGGAGAGATGTCGTCCAGCAGAGTGGGGTGTGGCGTGGGGTAAAATGCCGGCTAATATGGTTAATGTGTGACGGGAACTCCTATGACTAAGGCCCTACTCGTATATAAAACTGAGCCTCTAGCTAATAAAGCTAGGTCATACGGTAGAAGTCGCTGGTTAGGCCGTATACTTCGTAGAAGTTCAGGTCAGAGTGGAATGGAGTGGTATACCACAAGTTGTAGAAAAGGATGCAGAGCTAATTATAAGTGCTTGGCAAGGTAGGTACATAGTTGAGGCTAGCCTAATATGGGCAGGCCCACGGTGGATTCGCTACCCCTGATTAATGTCACGTGGCAATACATCATGTGACAAGTTAATCCTTTAACACGACCTAGTAGTAGGTAGGAAGCTATTAATTAGTTAATATAGTTTATTAATATACTTATACTAGTAACTTTAGCTAAAATACTAGTAAACTCTTTATAAAGCGGAATTTGGCAAGCTAACTCTATCGGAGCTATAAATAGTAATAAATTCTCAATTATATTTACTATACGGTTATATAGAGTAATTAGCTACGAAGATGCCTAAGTAATAGCTATTACTAGTTTTCTAGAGGTTCGCTAGCTAATAGCTCAGCGGCACACCCTAGTCCACACCAGAACCAGAGGTTAGAGCTTTGCTGAGATCCCAAGACACAAAAAATCGAACTGACCTAATCAGGACACCGGTGAGCATGGCACACAGCTGTCAGTGGCTCACCGCATCGCACTCTTGGGAGCAGAGAACGTCAATCTCCAGATCCAACTCAAAGAAGCCCAGGTATGACTTCTCCACTCTCGAATCTGCCACCAATCCGAAGGCGCAGGGACGTCAATCTGAGGTGTAGATCATTGTTCCCCGAAACCCCAGAAGCAGACTTCGCTGATCTGGATGAAATGCCAATACGCAGATAACATTAAATTCCCGCCTATCACCCCTCATGAGCTTGAAATGGCGATACGACACGCACCAGGAAACGAAGCACCCGGACCGGAGGGATACCGAACCACATTCTACGTAAGGCAATGGACATCATCGCTCCAGCTTTACAGGTTCTATTCAATGGATGCCTAGCGACGGGGTGCTACCCAAAGGGCTTCAAGCACAGCTGTACAGTGGCGCTCCGGAAGCCAGGCAAGGGCGGCTACACACAGCCAAAACCATACCGACCCATAGCTCTTCTCAATACTATCGGGAAGATCTTAGATGCAGTCATCGCCAGGAGAATTAGCTCCGCAGTCGAGATGTACGGCCTGCTCCCAGGAGAACACATGGGCGGCCGAAAAGGGAGATCCACGGAGCATGCAATCCATGTGCTCCTTGAACGGATTTACACGGCCTGGTACGCGTCAGGCGTGGACATTGCTAGTCACCTACTCCTCGAAGTGTCCAGTGCCTTCGACAACGTCTCACACCCTAGGCTGATACACAATCTGAGAAAACGACGGGTTGACCTACAAACACTGATGCTTATAGACAGCTTCCTCGAGGACCGGACGACCACATTGCACGTTGGAATGGATACGTCGGCCCCGTTCAGAACAAGCACAGGAATCCCACAGGGGTCCCCGCTGTCACCGATTCTCTATCTCTTCTACAATGCCGACTTGCTAGAAATTGGTAGCAGACCAGACCAGAACATGTGCAGCAGCGGGTACATTGATGACGTAGCCATCCTCGTGTCCAGCCGAACAACGGAGGAGAAGTGCAAAAGGCTTAAACAGGTGCACGCCGAATGTGAGGCCTGGACAAAGAAGTAGGCCTCACTGTGCATCAAGCAAGTACACGCTCTTACACCTCACAAAGAAGCCAAAATAATTCAACCTCGACCAAGAGCTAGAGTTAAAATGAAGGGAGGACGGTCAAACCGACGCCGCAGGCCAAATATTTAGGGTTCACCCTAGATACCAGCTTGCTATGGAATGGCTACCTAGAGTCCTTACGAGTCAAAGCACACGACAGCCTTAAAATGCTATCCCGAATAACTAGTTCAACGTGGGGAATGAGCTTGCTGAACTTAAGGAAAGTGTATCAAGCAGTGATCCTCCCGCAAGTACTCCATGGATGCTCGGCATGGTACATACCAGCAGGAGAGGCGAGCCATAGGAAGAAAGTGGCAGCTGCATCAACGATATAGTTGATGCTTCAGCTGTGACAGCCGATGGATCCATCACGCATCGGTCATATCTGGCCGGGCATCGGAGGTAACGTTTACGCGGCCGAGCTGAGAGGGATTCTCTCAGCACTCCAGATCGCATATAAGAAAGCCCACAAGGCCGTCATAGTCTTCACAGACAACCAGGCAGCAATCAGATCTGTGGCCAACCCAGACAGTCAATTCGGCCAATATATCCTCCTTCAGATACTGTGGATGATAGAAAACATGAGACGCAAAGGGATAGAGCCAGAGTTACACTGGGTCCCGGCTCACACAGGCATAGAGGGCAACGAAAGAGCGGACAAGGCAGCGAAGGAAGCCACAGGCTGGCGAAGGATCAGGGGCCGGGAGCGGTCAAGGGAAGTTGACACCGACCAAACTGCTTACAGACCGCCAAGTTATTCGCTCGTGGCGACAATAAGAGCAGTCCAGAACTCGCTCCTGCTTGTCGAATGGAAGGAGGCTTGGACAAATGAAAAGACAGGACGAGAGCTCTACGGGATATGCCCAGAAGCTACCTCAAAAGTCCTTTTGCTACACAAGTCAGTACCCCGACTATTCAGCTCATTAATAGTACAGATGCGCACAGCAAAGATAGGCCTCCGGCAGTTCTTATATCTTAGGAAGGTGCTGGATGTGGATGATGACAAGTGTGAGTGCGGAAGAGGCCCCCAAACCCTCCTTCATGTCCTCTTCTGCTGCCCCTTGTATTGTGAACTACGGCAGGAAAAATGGGGTAGAGAGAGAACGAGGGGTCAGTAGGAGCTCAGGAAAGTACTGGGAGCACCAGCTCTCGCACTAAAAGTAGCGAACTTGATGAGAAACACGGGGCTTCTTGGGCAATTCGAAGCCATTCAACAGGAAGCATAATTACGGGCAATGTACTGGGAACCATTTAGGGTATATTGAACTAGAAATCGGACTGGAATGGTGAAGCGGGTAGAGGGGATGAGATGCTGGAATCATGAGAGCCAGGAGAAGCTGAAAGTTGAAGGTATGTATATGCGTACCTAGTTTGTGACGGTCATGCGATTTCGGCGCTGACCATTTATGCCGTATGAGCGAATTTTGCGGTCGCTGGGATCAGACTACGAAAAAATCAACCCAGCTTTTCTTTCTGCCGAACACACACAATCACTAAAAACAAATTGACCCTTGATCTACAACAACGGTGTGATCTTCTCTATAACCACACAAGCCCACCAACAGGAGAATAGTCTCCTGCGAAAAGCTGGCGGAAATCAGCTCTTCTCACAGACCAACAGGCTCCCACAAGCCTGTTGGCGTCCTGCCACAACTCACTCGACCACCATAGAATGAAGGTCAGTTCAACGCAATGGTCCAGCGTCGACCGTTATCATATCTCATCTGCAATTCACGTCAAAACTGGATCTTCCAATTGACCCGTTGCTTACACTATGTTTCAGAAGTGTTTGTTTTTCAATCCCAAGACCATTGATTTCAGCATCCCCGGAAGTAGCGCAGCATTCCCTTGAGATCTTTCCCCCAATACCGTTCCTTTCCAACGCAACCCCGTATTGGCCAAAATGCAACGAGTATTCAACATCCTTCGCGCTCCAGGCGCAAGACAAGAAATCGAGGGCGCTGCACCAACCCAAGTGGTAGCTAACGCAGAGTCAGGTGAGAAAGAGAAGGATGTTGACGTTTCTGTCGAGAATGAAAATACATATACGGTTTTGGCCAAGTCGAGGCTTCTGGATCGCTGGCTCGATAAGGTTGTGGAAGTGTCTGGTTCCGAGTTCGTCTACTTCACAATTATCGTTGCTCTCCTTGTATGGGCATTCCTGGGAATCCCATTTGGCCGGTCCAACACTTGGCAGGTCACCATCTCTGATGCTCAAGCCATTGTCAATATGGTCTTCGATGCCTTTCTTATGCGCCAGCAACTGAACTCACACGACTCTCTGGTTATGGTCGCCGCCTCCCTGAGATCCCGCAGCACTAGCAACAAGAGGATGCTCAAGCAACTAATTGGGAGTGGAAAGTACGAGAAAGTTGGGCCGACTCGATTTCAAGAGTTACAGCAGACAACATTCGCCTCCGAACTCCCTGCAGAAAATTGGTTGGGTCGACTCTCCACCGCATTATCGGCCTTCATGGGCCATCTCGCTACAGTATTCGGCTTCTGGGTCTGCATCTTCATCTGGATTGGATTTGGCAAATACTGCAACTGGTCTACCACCTGGCAACTGTACATCAATTCGGCTACGTCGGCATTGATGGTCTTCATCCTGGCGTTCCTAGCAAATATTCGCGAACGTCACACCAAGTACATGACAAAATGCTTGGAATCGATCTGGGAGGTCGATTCTGCTCTCGAGCTCAGACTGCGCACTATCACAGGCGATACAATAGAGAACGCGCCTATAGTCATTCCCGCTCCTAAGCGAAGCAGAATCCAGCGTGGAATCGACTATTACTCAGATCTTGTTGGTACTCTTCTTGGCATCGCAATTCTGATCTTTGTGATCATTGTTTGGGTGGCAATCGGTCCAGCACTTCACTTCGATGCCAACTGGTGGCTTCTAATTGGCACTTATGCTGGGTTGATCGGGTTGAATGATGGTTTCGTTCTTCGCAATGTCTGCACGGTACTTGGAGACTTTGATAATGAACAGTTCACGCAGGTGGAATATGAGGACATGGATATGCTTGCCGTGATTGGTGTCGAAAAGCTTAAAGAAGAGCGGGTTGCAGACAATTCTCTCACCTGCCGGATCTCTGTTCGAGTGGGTGATATCTGCTCTCATGAGTTGACGGTAGTCTTAGGAGCAATCACCATCATTGGCTTGATTATTGGAGCCAGCTCCATGGGTTGGAGTGTAACTGGACAGCTACTTTGCAATGTCCCTCCTAGTATCATTGAGTCATTCTTCACCATGATCTTGATCACTGGTCATAATATCGGAGATGCCAAGAGACGCGTTGACCTATTCAATATTTACCTTAGACGATTGAAGCTTGTTTCTTACATCGACATGTTAGCCAAGGCCGAGCAATTCGAAAAGGCGGAAGAACAGGGCCGGGTTGGTGAAGTTGTGGAAATTGAGGAATAGTTAACTACTCCTTTGCCCTTCGAGCCGTAACTCAGCACTGATTCGAATTGCCCAGTGCACAGGAGTGATTATGAGAGGAGACTTGAAGTAGACTTGCTTGTGCTTTCATTTGCGCATATCGATCTTGCTTATGCATTTGCAGATTTTGTTCCATTTTTGTTCTGGTTTTTTATGTAGAGAACGTAGCGCGTTTATGACTTATAGTGTCCAATGATTGAGGAACATAAACTAGACAGCAAAGCCATGATTAGATAGCGTAATAAATGTTGATTTTTACTAAAGCGTTCGTTGAGTGACCGTTGGCATGAAGATAGAACAATGTTTACCAAGTAAACCCAAGACTTAATATGTGAACGTGAAACTTTCATTTTTTGTTTCCTTTCTCTCTTTCCAAGTTCAGCTCGAATTCCAAACCCACTCCACCTCCATATCGCAGGAATCAAGTCATAGCAAAACCCCCGCTATTCTCATCCTGCTGCACCCGCTTCTTCCTCTCCCGCCTAAAAATGCAATAGTAAACCGGCCACATGGCAAAAAAGACTAGTACCGCTAGAATAGCGTAAATTACCACAAATTTTCTCGACGTGCTAGCGAATTTCATCCCACTACCCCATTTCCACATTAGCTTCCCTTCCACTTTTCTTTCAAGTATAAAATTAGGAAAAAACAAGAAGAGTGGAGACTTACATTCCATTATTGACAATAAGTAAAAGCCAGATGAGGCGAGCAGTCCAGGAATGGATTGTGGAGAAAAGCAGGCTCGATGATTTTGCAGGCGGGGCGAACGTATCAACATCGATTTTCGAAGCTTTGTTTTGTAGTTGCCGGGAGTATATGCCTAGCCCTGCTATGAATAAGAGGCCGAGGATGGAGATGAAGCCGATGATTTGGTGGGGGGTGTTGAATGTTTTGGACTATTTGCGAAGGTTTTATTAGTCTTATATCAGGTTATATTTGAACAATCTTTTTTGGTTTTGGGAGACCTTGAACTTGAAGACAGGTGTTGGAGATACGTACCCGATTATACTCGGTGCTAACGTAAATGCCAAGACCCATAGAGGTGATTACGACGAGGAACGAAAAACTGGAGATGAGAATGTGAGGGCGCATCCACTTGCACACTCCGACGATAATCACATCAAAGGGAATCAGGATTAGCGCTACTATTATCATCAATATCCCGTGCGTTGGAGATGCCTTGTCGCCATCTTTCTTTAAGGAGCCAGCAAGGGCTGCACCACGCTTGATTGTCGAAGCAGCAGGTGGGACGCTGCCTGGACCGGTGGCTTGAATCATATCCATTGTGAAGTGGCCTTCTTTTCATCAGCTCCATCTCGATTAGCTCAGATATAAAAAAGAAAGATCCTACCGAATGAATAGTGTCGCCGTAACCCAAGTGTAGGAGAGTCAGATGAGGCAATGATATTCGGTCCAAAGGCATACATGAATGGCTGTACGGTTGTATTCAAGTTGAGGGAGCCTCCTTTCCAGGATCTGCAGCCATGACATAAGGCGTTCAAGACATACAAGTTGTTTTGGATAGACGTTCCATCGAGGACTTCGACTTGAACGTCTGTTGTGAATGTGGGTTCGGTGTGGCCACTAAGATAGGTTGATAAGTAAGTGAACAGTATATGAGGGAGGGTAGAAAGAGTGTTACGTTGCGATGCGAGGACTGATTGTGATGCCTATAGTCCTCCCCGTCAGTCTAGGCCATCTTTATAAGAAGCAATCGAAATATGGCGTGCAGCTTACCTTGGGCATCCGGCGAACCATAAATTATCATCATCAAAGACCCAGCCATGTAATTGCCAGCTCCGATAGCAACCCAAGAATAGGCCGGGGCCGAGAAAGAAAAATATACATCTGTAGAATTGATGGGGAGGTTTATCGAAAAGCTCATTTGGACCTCATCGTCATACAGGTTAGAGAACGCAGGGGTAGTCGATTGGGCGGTTGCGAGGAGAATAGCTTGACATTTAGTTTACAATAGGCCATTGCGTTGTCGGTTGAACTTTGTGGAAAAAGCTTACCAAACGTAAATGCAAGTGCTGAAAGCACGAAAGAAACCATTTTGAAGAGTTGTTTGACGGTGTTCAAAAAAGACTCTTCCTTTACATCTTCGAGAGTAATTTTGTATTAATTATATAAATGCGTGATACAGAGAAACTGCCGTCAGACCCCATAATCCGTATTTAAAACAAGGCATTGAGAGACGATGATTGGGTAGACGAGTGATGAGCGGTTAAACCCCAGGTCTGGTCTGGTTGTGTGGCAGGACAAGTCCAATGAGATCTCGGACGCTGTAGTCGCTGGGAAAATCCCGCACCCCGTGCGTCTTTCACACTCAGCAAGTGGGTTTCGAAGAGGTGATTTGATCAGCCAACAGTGGCAGTGCTCGTCCCTTCATGCAACGTTCATAGCTGGTGTCGTACAGCAGTTAATAAAGGTGAAAGCTTGTTGTTGCCCTGACGCTTGGTCACCACTGGCGCTGAATTACCCTACCGGTCAACCATAGCACTGGATCAATTGCGTTAAATACCTGAAATTCTACCTCTTCCCCTTTTTATGACTCGGATGCCATTTTGTCTACCCTGTAGGGCTGGCGATTCGTCGGCGTCTGCTCGAATGCACTCCCGGTTTCTAATCAGCTGGCTTATCCTTTTTCTATTGCTGTACGTACATGTACAGTACAAGCGACCCCAGTTGAGGCCAAGAAGGGAAGCTATTCGCGGCTTTCAACTACATACGCGCACATAAATAAAAAAATGTCTTGTTATCTGCTTAGCGGCTTAAGGAAAGATATTAGCCTAGGATTCCTTTTTTCTATGCGCCCTATATCATAGCTTCAAATTTACGATCCGCCCGAACCGTGCCCCGTTGTGTCCGTATAAATATTGGAGCGAGTGGCACCCGAGCAGGCGCCGACGAATCGCGAGCCCAACAGGGTAGACAAACTGCCATCCGAGTCATAAAAAGGGGAAGAGGTGGAATTTCAGGTATTTGGAGTATTGATTATACCTAATAGCAGAGAAATTGTAAGGAATGTGCTGCTTGGAGATTATATAGAGATAAATAGGGGCAGTCTAATCAGGTAGAGAAAGCGTAATTTTCATACGTCTATATATATTATAAAAGTACGAACTACTCGATTATCAAAAGCTTTAAATATCACGATTTTTAAAGCTTTAGTAGAAATACCCTTATACGCGCTTATATGTACTGTACAAGTAGAACACGTAAAAAGGTGGCGATTCTAAGGGTAAGTAGTACCAAATGTGTGTTTGTAGTATTTAGTAAAGTGTTCAAATGCTGTAGTATTGAAAATAATTAACTTGATATATTTATTATTGCTTATAATTTTATTAAAACTCTTATGAGAAGATTATTGAAAACTAAAAGTATTATTTGATAAATTTGATAAATTATTAATAATTTTAATTTTAATTTAATTTAAAAAAACTACTTTATCGCAACTAAGCTTTATCAATTCCTTTATTTGCGTAATTCTCGAAAATTTAATCACTCTTAGCCTAGTGTAATACCGCCGTCTGTGAGAATATAGCGCCGGGTTCCTCGGGCTGCCAGTAAGTTCGTAGGATCTACGCAAAAGTGGGTCAGCTCTACTATGGCCCCCAAATGCTTTGAAATCACAATAATATTTCATAGAATCCCGTTTATCTGATAAGCAGAAAACCCTTGCAAGGGTATGCTGATCCTACGAACTTTCTGGCAGCATGAGTAAGGGTGACTAAATTTCGAGAAATAAAGAATCTCACGCTGGTAGTAACGCAATAAGGAAATCGATAAAGCTTGGCGGTGGGGTTGCTGTCTAAGCTAAGTCCTGGTTAGGACCATTGACATCGAAGGAATCCGGACGAGAGTCGCTCCGGAAGGACTTATAAATAGCCAGTAGTACGACAAGAGCTTCGGGCTTGGATGAAGTATGACTTGAACACACCTCGCAAGTTGCAGCTGTCTTTCTACTTGACACACCTGAACTAGAGTTCACCGGCCGCAAATTCTCAGAGACAAGCGTTCTTCTTCTCAGCTATTTGCAATTGTGCCCGAGCATCAGACAGGATGTCCTCGTACGTTATCACTGGAGCCTCGCGAGGCATCGGCGTAGGACTCGCCCAGTACCCTGATCACACGAGCATCTCTGACTCATACATTGGAACAGTTCGAATTTCTACGACAGCTCTCAATCAATCCAGCAAATACCGTCATCGGCCTGGTTCGTGGCGTCAAAAGCACTAAAGCCAAGGTGACAGCAGAGATAAACAAAAGCAATGTCCATATCATTCAAGGAGACTTGGACAGCTACGAGTTGCTGAAGGCAGGTCTGGGCGCTCTTCTAGGGATATATTACTGATTGACCTTCAAAGCAAGCAAGCGAAGCCACCGCGAGAATCACAGGCGGAACCCTCGACTATCTTATTGCCAACGGAGCTCGTCTTCCTGAAGGTTCTGCCTTCGTTAGTTTTGGGGAGATGTAAGTGCCCATTTTCCATGCTTAGGAGCATTCTGTTGCATCACTGTTATACAGCGGCATTACTCAGGCTTACGGGAACTAGGGGGAAGAACCCTGCCGCTCTGGAAGAAGAGCTCATCGCAAATTGCAAAACCAATGTTGTTGGGAACGTTCATCTGTTCAACCTGTTCATGCCATTGATTCTCAATGGCCAGCAGAAGAAGGTTATTGCCATCTCTTCGGGGCACGCCGACCTTGATCTGATATCAAAATACGAGATTGAAGTGACTGGGCCTTATGCTGTCGGAAAAGCTGCCACCAATGCCGTCGTGTCGAAGTTCAGTGCCGAGTATGCCAAGGATGGGGTGCTTTTCATGAGCATCAGCCCAGGAGTGGTTGAGACTGGACATTTCAACCCTGCCGAACGTAAGCTACTGGATCCCTGCTTTCCCTTCCCGAATTCGACCCATGGCAGTGAGACGAAACTAATATGATGCGGACGAATAGTGACGGAGAAAGAGCTGCAGATTGTTGGTGCATTGGCAGCCAAATTCCAAACATATGCACCACATTTTCAAGGTCCGATGACCCCAGAGGCATCTGTCAAACAGGTCATCTCAGTCTACGAGAAAGCGAGCCTCGCAAATGGAGATGGAGGCTCCTTCGTTTCTCACCTTGGAACCAAACAATGGCTTTGATTTGTTGACAATGAAGACCGTTCTGCCACTCTGGCAAAGTCGACTTGTCAGATCAAGTGTTGTCAACTCAAGGGACCGCGTGCTCCACGAGAAGCAATGCCTTCTAGAATGATGTAATAAGACAAGCGGACAATTTTGGAGAAAGTTTGTGGCGGTTGAGCAGGGTATGTGTATTGCTTGCAAGTATTCCAGGTTGAGCCTCCTTTTTGTGTCTGTACCGACCTCAGATAGTAACAAGTAGAGAGAAATGTGAAAATTTGGTTACCTAGAGTGACAAGATTCGGTGCCGCCTTGTTACAATTGAAGTATCGATTAATGTTGTTGCACTTTGCCACCTATTGCGCCAATTCTGAGCCATTCAAAATCATTTCGATCAGCCCTCTTGCAGAAGAGAAAGACCTAAAAGGGGAAAACAAGAAATCTCGGCGGGGCATCATGATTTGGTGGAGCAATTCCACTCAACCCTTCGCACAGCTTGTTTGACGCCCTTGCGGTCCGATCAAGGAGGGCAATGTGCAATGATGTTGCACTGATCAAGTAGACTAGTCTCTAAGGAGTTTTCCACTGCAATCAATCAAAAGAAAGGACGAGGAGGTCATATAACTAGTTGTAATTGTCAAACTATATATCAGTACAACCTTGCGAATACAGGATTTCCGACAATATCTGGTAGCACGGGGCAGTGAAGATGGACGGTATCCAAAAGAATTTTTGCAAAATGACCGAGGAATCGTGCCAAGATGTGAGCGCCAAAGCGATAGTTATTCGCCTGAGTCTCGATGTATAAAACGATTTCGTCCGAGCATCGGGAGCAGCGATTGCGCCCATCGTTGTTTGCCAGAATACTGACTCTAAGGAAGAACACAGCGCTAAAGAAGACGAACATAACTGCTGCTCGGGTTTCTGCAAACCTCCATCAGCTGAACAGCCGTATTTTCGAGATCCACTTCCGTATTAGTAGTGCAACGCAGCACAATTTCCAAGAAGATCTTGATTGACAACGCTATTGCCGTAATATATGCCTCTCCTGTGTATGCGGTACTGTTCAACTGGATGGCTATATCTAGGGACTTGATAATGCGACTAAGGCATAACTGTTCACTGATGAGGAGCTGTTTGTTTGGGACATACGTATAATGCAACGCAGCTACCTGTTCCGCATTCGCGAGGATGAGATACGCTGCTTTCTTGGCAGGGGCGGAGAACATCGTGTTGAAGATGCCGGTCTTCTCAATTGTTGTCAACAATGTCAAGTCATGCCGAGTGAAGAGAAGAAGTCCCTGCAAGGTTGTTCTTGAAGAAATACTGAGCTTTCCGAACTTACCAGCCTACAGGAGTGTACGAACCGTGGAATTATATGTGATATCCAATGTGTGGGTGGATTATTTGAATTTTGGGAACGAATTGTGATGATCTGGAGGAGGCCGGAGATGTGGATTTTCCATGCTTCAATACTGCCTAAAATTTGCTATTCGAGACCGTATTATCAGCAAGGATGCAAGTAAAGCCGTTGAGGCGTGGAATTATATGGCGAGACGAACATCGAGAACTGTAAGTATGAGTACGGCCGCGACGAGGCTATCGCTGAGGCCATTGGACCCATGGTTGGGGCGCTCCCTCACGGATCGAATTGCCCTGCCTTTGTACGCATCCACAACGAATTGAACTGTATGGTGTTACCGTCGCGCTGCATAGACATATCCAGCAAAGTACAGAGAGACATCGAGCATAGTAGGATCAGGAAGAAAGTGAGCCCAGTCAGATTGCATCACAGCTAAGGAAGTGTCTAGTGCTGGCATGTTCGTAACTAAATGGAGCTTTCCCATGGCTTGCGTCACTATGCGAGGGTCACAAGTTAGCTACGAATAACGATAAAAACGACACCATTCCATGTCTAACGCACAATGGTTGATGAAGAATGCTTCTTTTGGATTCAATTTTTGGTCCAAGCCTGGATGACTGAAGATGGGGAGCTGAATATCAACTATTTGGTCACGATTCGTGGTCTGGCCATCTTCCTCGACCTGTAGAGGCTCAACGCTCGCGGCACACTCTTTTTGAGCAGCATATTCCCGCACCAGGCGCAGTCGTCGTCGTGTAAAATTGGCTCTGGTAGTGTGAGCCCCCACTGCTTTCGCCCTGATATTGTCAAGTGTGGGCCCGGTTATGGACACAAATGTCAGATTTGGAACAAAGCCCACCTTGTTGACAGACATGTTGATTTGATTAGAGATGCGTCAAGTTTAAAGCAATAGAAGCTGCAAGCAATGACTTTCACACAAATTCACTCGAACTTGAATATGGTCGAAGTTGCTAAGTTTGCTTTGCTTCAGAGCGTTCACCTAGAGGCGTAACGCCAAGCAATCTTGTTTTCTTATAATAGTCTAGCTTTTCATCCCTGTATTTCACGCATTTAGGTAGCATAAAGACCTCAGCTGATATCACGTGCCATTATTATTCAGGACTAGCCTGCTTTGCGAGATCACCTCTTTCTTAGACTGAGAAGTCTGTTGTTAGATAAAGGAATATACACATATTACTGGTTATCCTGGACCGAAACAAGTTGACAAAAAAAGGTAGGTGCGAAAAGAAATATCCCCGAGCTCGATACTCCCTGGATAACCGGTAATAAAGTTCTCTATACTTCGCGCCGTTAGTAAAGCTGTATGACAAGAACAATGAAGGCAGTTTACTCAATTGTCCCAGACTCCGGTGTGGAGTACTGCAATAGCTAAGTCTCATTCCATTTAGCCTGAAGATAATCCTCGTTCAGGCCGAATTTGTGTGGAATGGCTTAAATCATAAATCTGGTTCCCCCACATGATACCAAGACGGTTAATATGGTAGACTAGAATGGGGGCTGACCCGCCTTACCCTATGATGCCTTGTAGATTTCCCCGTTCGTATTTGCGTACACAATATCTAAGAACTCAACAACAAGACATTTATCTACTCAAGGGATTGCACACATTATTTACACTTCTCCTGATACAGTTAATACACTCTCTGCACGTACAATCTGGAACGTCCTTCACTCTTTATGATATGGCTGTTATAAACCGACATATAAACCAGGCTTAACACTTGAGGCAAAGGCCGTACGATTTACATTCTGTCTGAAATATAAGGACTGGACTCTAGAGGATTTGAAGGATGTTATATAGACCGATGAAACGTCTGTTACAATAGGTGGCCAGCGAGGAAAGATAAGGGTATAGCGTTTAAATTCTGAGGCTTATAATAATTACTATATTTGACGGTGTTGGAAAGGCTTTAAAGAGTTTATATTTTAGAGCAGTTTCTCGTACGATAATAAAGGGCCTTGCCATATATAGCAAGACGAGACTGAAAAAGAAAAGAAAGAGTCAATCAAGTGGTTAAAAGAGCAGAATAAGTAGCGTGAGCCCTTATGTAAGGCTAATTGGGAGATTGAACAAGCTATGCGTCGATTACGGATTGCTCGACAATATCCTGAAAGAAAGCCAGTTTGGAAATAGATAGCTAAGAGTGGAAAGCTTGAAAGGAACTCAAAAGGAGGGATTGATTGGTACCGTTATAACAAGGAGATCCTACAGAAGAAGCTGTTGCCCTTTACTAAGGAGTGTCTGAAGGATCGACCTAATGCAATTGTTCAAGAGGATAACGCATCCCCTCACGCACATCATTATAACCAGCAAGTCTTTAATGTCTGGGATATTCAGCACATGCTTTGGCCACCTAATTAGCCAGATCTAAGTGCTATTGAGCCTCCCTGGATGTGGATGAAAAGAGAGACTACTAAAGGGGGTGCACCTACCTCAAAAAAGCAGCTTATTAAGGACTGGGTAAACTGTTGGGGCAATATGCCACAAGAGAAAATACAGGCATGGATTGAAAGGATTCCAATTCATATTCAGGAGGTTATTCAACTTGAAGGAGATAACGAATATAAAGAGTCAAAATCAGGGAGAAAGAGACACTCAGACACAGTGCATTAGTCAGCAGCAGCAGGACGCATTTAAATTGAGGGGTTCCAGGTATAAATTGAGTATAAAATTATGCTTAGTGCTTCCCCTTGTCGATTTGACACACTGGTTACCACCCCTGGAGGCTAATAATTTTTTGCCTTGACCTCCGTACGTGGTGCGAGCTGCGACTAGCGGGATGCTAAGCGACGATACCACCAACCTGCCTTTGCCTCCCTCGTTGAACTTTCGACAGCGGTATATACGACAACGTCATCTAGCACACTCGGAGGGATAGAAACCGGCCGAATCTGTCGAATTCGTCGTGTTTAAATCTCAGTCCTTGCTCAACCTGTCAACAGATAAAATCTTTGAGAGACACTATGTCCTCGATCCAGCTACTTTGATGAGCCAAGTCAAGTGTCGCTTCTAAGCTAGTGACAGGGTCCAGGAATAAATAAAGAGTATAAATACCTACGGTTTACAACCTGCTAGTGTGAAGTTCGCTGATCTGCCCGGCTAATTATTATTAGTCTCTATTACCTTAAGGGACTATAGATTGGAATTTTTCGGCTATATAGTAGGTACCTGCTATAGGAGTGGTAGGTGCAAGGTCACGATTTATTGCTATATATGCCTTACTTCTCCGAGTACAGGTTATGCCGCTCGGTTATCGGAAAACCCACAAGAATACTACTCGCTTCTGCTATATGTTTAAGACAAAAAGACCACTCCCCCGAGATGTTTATATTTATATATATGAGGTAGTCGACAGTGTCTAGGCCTTGTTATATGATCGACTACTATTGCAGATTTTGATCCTTACCTCCAACTCCTTGACCAATATATTGTCCGACTTGGAGATGTCCGGCCTATAAAACGGATCGTCATCGGACCTGCACTTGGACTGGACGTGATCTCTTATATCCTCCTGGTCATTGGCAAATATATTGTCCGACTTTGAGACATCCGGTAGCCTATAAAACGGATCGCTATCAGACCTGCGCTTGGAATGGACGCGATCTCTCATATCCTCCAGGTCTAATTCTCCGCCGTCAATAGTTCTCAGATGACTCGATGTGCCCTTACTGCTAGCATAGGGCTGCCGCGACCCGGAGGGAGACACCGTGTTACGGGTGAGCTTAAGGGCGCGCGAGAGGTTAAGCTTGGTGGCGGCGATGGTGACGACAGGGAGGAGGGTGGGCAGGCAGGCAGAGATGATGCCGACGCACATTTCGATATCGGACCAGACGAGGAGAGGTGTTAAGGTATAGGGGACGTCGTTTTTGGAGTAGTTAAAGAGGACCCATGTCCGGAAGGCGGATGCAAAGACGGCGCTGCCGGGTGTTAATATACGATTAGTATAATCATGTACCTGAACTTACAAGAAACCTAGGCTAAAGACGAGCGTCACGGTGATCTTTTCGATCATCTTCAGCTGTAACTTCCACACCTGCGGCATAGGCAAGCACAAGATCAAAATGTCTGAGAAGATGGTCGCGCTCGAATTCGCCATCCACACGCCTAACTGACTGATACAGTGGCCGGGAATATCAGGCTTCCACAGCTTGTGGACAGGCACGCAAATGAACGTGTACAGGAACGAGGCGGTAATAGCCCATATGACGACAAAGGACCCGACAACAATGGCGCGAACCTTGAAGTAGCGGAAATGGAAGATTCGGTAGTACATGAAGAGTAGGGAGAGTTTTGTCCAGCACATATTCCAGAAGTAGATGATCTCAGTGACGAGGAGCCAACGCTCGATGTTGATTGTAGCCTCGGCGGGGAGCTGCCAGGCGTGGTAGCCGGTGCCTTCGATGAACATAGCGAAGCCAATGCCGACGACGACCCAGTTCCAGACCTAGACGATGTGAGCTATGATGTTCCTAGTAGGTAGATTACTACGAGTTGATAGAAGCGCGGAACGGTCGAAATAACATGGAAAGAGCGTTTCTTACCATGGAAAACAAGATCAGGTAGTCATCCCACCACAGCTTCTGCTTTTTTATACGCCGACTGACCAGCCGCAGTACAACACACAGAAGAGCCAGTATCGCCATCCACGAAACGACGAGAATGAGCCACACCCGCATCGCGCCCGGCGAGCCATGTGGCACGCCAGATACGTATACACCTTGGAGTTGTTCGACGCCCATCGTTCAAGCACGAGAGCGGACAGTACTGCACACAGTAATTAGTGAGTCGGTCGTCGTCACTTTTGTTGCTTTCGTTGTCGTGGTCAGTGTTGGAATTGGCGCCCTGAATCCCGCCACAGTAATCAGCGGCATGCTACGATCAAGGTAGCAGAGGTTGAGCACACGTAGTAGCGATTAAAAGATAGAAATAAAAGGGAGCGGGATAAACGGAGGGAGAATAGAGCCAGGGAAGCCATTTATCTTGAAGCCACCAGACCAACTTGCCCGCTGTTGCTTTGTTTTTCACACATATTAGAGCAACGGCAGCCAATTGTAGTAGGTTCACCACCTCTACACGCTCTACCCCGTAACGCTTCAGGTCATAGCACTGGTCTTCCTCCGTATAGCAAAACGAGAGACCCGGGGAACAGTCTATTTTATCCTTCACACGTATTAGAGCAACAGTGGCCAATTGTAGCAGGTCCACCTCCGCTACACGCTCTACCCCGCAACGCTTTAGGTCATAGCACTGGCCTTCCTCCGCACAGTGACATGAGAGACCCGCGGAGCAGTATGGAGGTAGGCCACGGCTGCAGGGCTGCAGGGCTGCGGCGGCTCCAGGGGATCTCAGACACTTTTTGACAGGCCATCTTCTTTAGAGTTGCTACTCTGGCATGCTCCCGACGTAAGACGTCAGATGTTGGGCAGGAGCCAAAGCCGCCTATTGCACGTCCCCTCCTCTAATACCTTTCATGGCAAGTGGCCGCCCTGGTTGGACCAGAGTTGCTTCCATCTCGCGCCCCTTACGACATCAGACGATGTCCTGGATTGCTAGCCTGGCAGCGATCTTGATCGCCGTTGCACATGTCACGACAGCCCAGGGCCGATGTATAAACACCCTTGGAGCCCATAAGATCTCAGCCCGTCTAATTCCCTCTAATGGCATGGGTATGGCGTTAGTTGCAACTCGCACCCGACTTTTGCCGCCGAAGAAGCACCTGTGTGAGGATGGTCAAAGCGCGCAGCTTTGTAGACACGAGAAGAATAACTAACGTTTTAGCATGAGGCACAATGCTAACCACCTATATCAGGTGAGGGATGACCTAAGGAGGGTTTGTTTCCAATGCCGTTTTCCTTGTGTGGTCAACAGAAGTCGGGTGAGGGATGAGTCCAGGAGAGTTTGGTTTTCCAAATACCAACTTTTCTTGTGTGGTCACTAGAAGTCGGGTGAGGGATGAGCCGAAAAGAGTTTGGTTGGCCTGTGTGGTCGGCGACTACGTATCTCCCTCGCCCGGCTTCTACTCCCCCCCCCTAAACCTAAATAATTGTAATAGTGGGCCCCCTGTCCTCCTGTACTTACAAAATAGCCCTACGACCAGGGGAACCCACTGTTACAATTAATTGGGGGGAGGGGAGGGGAGGTATTGATCACACGGCGGCCACAACTAGGCAACAATGAGCAGGGCTCGATACAGGATTATGTCAGGCACCTTCCCTTATATCTGGTAGCATAACCGCAGAAAATGCGATGCGTGCAGTAACCTATGCCATCTTGGACGAGCCAGCACCTAATCTGTATAGCTCAGCTTATTAGGCGGAACAACCTTTCCCTACTGACGGACATGCCCTATCATCAACGGATTAGTATCGCAGCCTAGCAACATCGACAATAAGTTTTTCGCGTGTAGCCCGCCCGACCAGCGGCTTAACACGTGCGGTAGGACTCAACCGCTCTCTCTCACACAATATGCGGATGCTACAATCGGAATAGAAGACCTTAGCGACTCCGAGCTTGCTTCATCCCCTTGAAAGACACTACAGCCAAGTAGACATTAGACTTCGATTAACAGATGACAAAGGGCGAGGCGAACATTACATCGAACGTCGTCTTACGCCGCCGAATAGCACCAAAACGGCCAAGCTAAAAGCTCACCGATATTGGCCGACTCGACGAGTGGTCTTAGTCCACGCTCAATAGCGAATACGACTACTGTCCAGTTTACCAGCGCTCCTGCGCTGCAATCACGTACGGTATCAAACAGAAGCCCCGCCCTATCACGTAGTAAGCGAAAACCCTAAATCGAGCTAAATTGCTGCCTCCTAAGACTAATCAACTCGTTGCGGGAGTCAGCAACGTACCTATATCAGACCGGACCGCAACGTCCTCCGCTTCCACGTGGCGCGGTCTGGGAACCCTATTCATCTTGTTCGTAGGATTGAATAGAGCCAGGGGGCGGCAGCTGGAGCGTTGTTGGCGTGTTGTAGCGGTAGGAGGGAAGATAATGCCACGCTTTGGTTAGTGCGAGCGGAAACGGTATTATATACTACCTGGCTAGGGGTATATAATTGGCAACTCCTGCGAGACGCGGTCGGCCTTGTGGTGAGGAGAGATCTGGCAGGGTAGCGCGAAGTAGTTCACAGCTATAGGGCGTGGCGTATAACAGAGGCGACGGTTGACACCTTCTATACAGCCCGAGAGGACGGATACGCGCGTCGGTTTATAGAGAATACAAGGTAGTGTGGTAGGGATCCAAGGGACCACCACTTATTTACTTAGTTTTTACATTTTCACTGTACTAGAATTAGCACGTGGATAAGTGGAGCTACCTGGGCATATAAGCTCCTGGCACTCACTCTCCCTTTTACACACGACAGGGCAAGAGCACGACAGTCAACATGCGATTCACCACAATGCCGCTGGACCAGGGAGAAGCTGGCCAGTTAGAATAATTCCGAATACAAACCCAATTTGCTAATACTTACATTAGTAACTGGATCTTGTGACTATTAGTCGTCCTGGAATGCTACTGCCTGGGTACGCTCTGAATATTCATCCTTTTAAAAGAACATTAAACTATAGTTTAGACTTCTTTGGCCAGATGACTAAACGACGATAATCCGACACCGCGTCTATCGCCCAATTGATACCTATTACCTTGACTGCAGTCTTTTGGTTGTTTTATCCACGATTCCTCCTGATAATCCTAAAGGTCCTGTCTGCTCCTCTACACTATAGTATTTAGTTACTAAAGGCGATAGTATGTAAGATCGTAGCTAAGTATAGGGGCGTAGAGCCTAAGTAACCTAAAGTAGAGAGCAAAGCGAGGGCGAGTAGCGCCCAAGTAGAGCGGCGATACGAGCTAATTATATTAGAAGTAATATAAGTTAAGTTTCGGCGTAGATTCCCGCAGTTATATAGACCTTAAAAGACTGTAGAGTGTAAATATTAATAGTGTTATTATCTGCTACGTTTCCATATCACGCGGCCTTCCCCTATTTTCGTTGAGACGTAAGTAATATAGATGCTAAGCGGGTTCACTTTTAAAATAAAAGGGTATAAATCCAAAATCCAGCTCATAAAGGCCCAAGGGTATCTAAATTGAGGCTTCTACCCACTCCAATGTCATTCAAATAGTAGTGTCTGGATGGACAAAGAATGCTATAGCAATTATGAAGTACCTAAAAAGGACACAGATTACTAAATGTATATTTCGGAGGGAAGGGAGTGACTTACGTGCTAACAAGCAAGAAGCCCTCAAAATAATTACTTCGTCCATCTCGAATCAAACAACTTACCACTATGACTGCCATAGAAAGCACAGTGGTTTGGAATGTGTCAAAACGCAATGACATATTCTTCCCAATAATCCAGCCCACAATCACCAAGAATGGAGTGACAAAGAGGGCGATCTGTAACGTGCTTTCCACTATTAACTTAATGGCAAAATTCATATTGTTCTTTCTTGCTTGGTGAATTGTTGCGACAAACTCGCCAGCGTTGCCTACAATGGGCACAATAATGAGGCCGATAAACGCCCTGCTCACGCCAAGCTTCTCAACGAATCCGTCGACGCTGTCGACTAAACAATCTGAGCAGACTGACACTCCCACGGTGGCCGCTAGCAGAATAAGGCTCGCCGCCCAAGGATCCAGTGCAGGGCTTTCCGGCTCCTCCGCTTCAGGGTCGGCAAAGATATCGGCATGAGTTCTGAGCTGGAAGACAAGATAGACCACGTAGAAGGAAAAGAGAATAATGGCCGCGATATGTGATAGAGTCAGAATGTAGTCGTTGCTAGATTCCATGCCTTGTGCCGATAGGTCTGCAAAGTAGCTTGCTGACGGAATGATCAGGGACGCTGCTGAAACAATCATCAAGGAAGACATGACCCCAATCAAGTCCACGTTAAAATTGACAACCTTCTCTTTGTAACCAGCCGTGAAGAAGCAACTGCCTAGGATCTGGACGACTATTAACATGAATCGAAGGCGTCTGCGTCGGAGAGGTGGGAGCTTACGAGCAAAATCGACGAGAGGATGCTTCCAATCATACTGGATTGGACGATGCTGAATTGTTCTTGGCGTAACGCGGTAATGCCCACCTGAGAAAATCATCTTGTTGGCATAGGATACAGTAAACGGGTAGTAGCAGGATAGAGGAGTAGAGAGAGGGCTTAACAGCCATGGCGCAGCTTACAATCATTTCTACTGCGTTGCCCATAGTGGCATTTAGCAATCCACCCAGCGTCTGTCCCACGCTTCCTGCAAGCTGCTCCGTCGACCATGATAGTAGTTCGGCGAGTGGAAGAATGGCCAGGAAATTGAGGAGGAAGACGGCAACGGGATTCCATTTGAATTCGGCAGCCACGATAGCGGGGGGGACTAGGGCCAAGAAGTAGTTTGCCGACGAGCACAACAACGTTGTTTTGATTGTGTGAGAGAGATATTGGGGAATCTTGGCCCAGTGTAGATGCGGAGGTGGAGATCGATAACCATTGCTTGGCCCCAAGGCTTGTTCCTGCACCGAAGCCATGGCGGTGGAATTGGAGACACGCGTGTAGAGCCAGAAGCGCGGGAGGATCGACGGCATGAAATCGTGGAGTAGATCAAGGAGGTATTTCCGTAAGTCGTAGGTAGGTGGGTAGAGAGAGAGTTGGTCTAGTAGTTGAAGCTACTTAGACGCTCAAGGAGGAAAGCCGAGCACAAAGCAATAGGAGCCAAGCGCCAAGCACGCCAAACATATAAGATCTTACCTAGGTGCAGTAGTCTGCCACCGTCTCACGGCCCACAAGGCGAGCCGCGCCGCAGCCGGCCCCGCGCCCTGTAATTGTGGGCACCTAGCTGGTCTACCAGCCCTGCCTACCAGCACTCGAAAACCTTCATCAATGAATCCATCTTCAAGGCGTCCGGCGCCGCGATATCCCCGCCGTCGTGAAGGCAAAGACACCCGTACGGACCGCTCGATGTCGAACCAGCCGCTTGACCGACAGGCCCACTCGAGCTCCGTCTCGATCCTGCCCTCGACCTCGAATTCGAATTCGAATATTGTCGCGCACGAAGAAGGGGAGCAAGCCTTCCAAGTCTGGTGGCAACCCTCGAATGTCGATATGCGGACGCTTTTCTATCGCCTCGTGCGCGCGAATTGGCTGCTGGTGATGGTGCCACTTGGTATAGTTGCCGCGATATTGGGCTGGTCGGTGCTGGCTGTCTTCCTTGGCAACTTCTTGGCTTTGGTTGCGCTGGCGCCGTTAATGACTGCCTTGGTTGAAAAGCTGGCGACAGTTTTCGCCGGCACGCTTGGCGGGCTCCTTAACGCAACTATGGGCAACGCGATGGAGATGATGGTAAGATACTTCCTTCCCCTTGGTCCTAGGTGCCAAGCCACTTGCTCTCACTTACTTTTTCAAGCTGGGGATTATGGCTGTGGCCCGAGGACATCCTGCGATGGCTCGAACGAGCCTGCTCGGAAGCATGCTATCCTATGCCCTTTTGGTAGGCCCAAGCTATTCTGCTTTGTATCTATCTTTTGACGAGAGTACTGTACACCTAGGTCCTTGGCACTACCGTTTTCTTGGCTAGCTACAACAAAAAAACCCTCAAATTCAACGGACCTCTGATGCGTACCATGTCTTCGATAGTGATGGCTGTGTCCACGACACTAGTCGTCCTCACAATCATGGCCGTTACATCTCCAGACTCCGACGAAAATAGTAACCTCCTTATTCTTTCCCACGGTACCGCCATCATCCTACTCGCCGTTTTTGCGATATACCTCTATTTTCAACTGAAGACCCACACATGGTTCATCGACACTCTCAAAGTCAATAATTCCACAACCGAACCCGACGAAATCATTGCCAGAGAGCATCCGAGTTCCACGCTTCGCCTCCATTCTGCGGGCAGCGTTGGGGTCATCGCTACCCTGTGTGCCGTCGTATGCGCCTTCTTTCTTGTGGCCAGTATTGAAGAAACAGCCTCAGTTCTTGGCACCAGCAAAACATTCCTTAGTTTAGTAGCCATCCCCTTTCCCGGCTATGCTGCGAAAGGCATTTCAATAATCTCCCTTGGGCGGAGAAACCGCATGGACTATGTCATCAAATCTATCATCGATCATATTTTGCAGATAATTTTGTTTGTTTTCCCTTTGTTGGTTCTGCTGGGATGGCTCCTTGTACAGCCATTCACGCTGAATTTCAACATTTTTGAGGCAACGACTTTCTTCTTAGTAATGATCATCACGACTTCCATCATAAGGGGTGGGAGCTCGAATTATTTTGATGGGATTATGTTGGTTGGAACGTAAGCATCATTCTTCTTTTCTTTTTGCGCCCCCGAAGATCCAAGGACTTGACTGACGACGCCTGTAGATATATACTGATTGCTTCTGCGTTTTTCTTGCGCCCCTTCGTTTGAGGGATGGTATTATGCTAGGAGTGGATAAAGGCCATGGTTTCAAAAGCATCAGAGAAATTAGCTCAAAAATAATAAAAGATCAATTATAATTAGTTATATGTTCAAATCACATTTTCAAAATATCGTCCCCCCCATGTTTTCAGACATGTTCCTATATATCGTCACGTAAAAAGAATGAAAGAGCGATTGCAGCATATCTGTGCCAAGTCGTTAGCATTTGACTCGTACTCACCCACTGTTTTGAAGGGGGACTTACAGCCCTACCAAGACGGCACCATGCATGTACGTGTATTTCTTATCCTGAAGCAGATGGTTGACCAACAAGACTGAGAAGAAAAGCGTAACGGTCTGGAAGGTCTCGAAATAAAGGTTCATGTCTTGGTGTATGACCCAGCCGAGAGCAACCAGAATAGGCGTGACAAACAATGCGATTTGTAAGATGCTGCCGACGATGACTCCAACAGCAAAGTCGATTCGGCCACTACTAGATGTTGTCACAACAGTTGCGCATTCAGGAGCGTTACTTGCGATCGGGAGGAGAATGGTAGCAATAAACGTTCTGCTGATACCGGTGGCTTTTGAGGTATCATTGACGCTGTCGAGGAGCAGGTGTGCACAAGCCATGATGGCTCCTCCGGAGCAAACGAGAGTAGCAGCAGCTGTAAAGACGCTGCCGGGTGTTGACGCGCTGATAGGTTCTTCGTGTACTTGGTCCGATAGTTCGATTTCATGCTCCATGTCTCGCTCGGTATCCTGTCGCATTAACCGGCGAATTTCCGGCTCGGTGGGCACTCCAATTATGTTCGTATAATCAGCTGACGCTCTTCCGTTGGGTTGTTGTGGGTCGAACAGGTGCTTATGGCTGACAAGCTCGAAATAGAGGTACGCAAAATAGAGAACTAGTAAAACCATGGCCGTGCCACGAGAGAAGGCTAATATCTGGTCATCCAGCCCGGCCGGTTTAGCTGATTCGAACGTAGAGTACAACGCGGTTGGGAGTATAAGAGCCACGGCTGTGATGAGCATCAGCGAAGACAAAGTATCAGTGACAGCAGTATTGAGCTTGAGGATAGGTCGTCGCCAGGCAGCAGAGAAAAAGCAGCAGCCAAGGACCTAGAGCACCTTGTTAAATATAATTGGTGGAAACTGGAGAAAAACTAACAAAAAGAATGTCTGATAAAATGCTTCCTAGCATCATTGACTGTGCAAATTTTGGGTCGTTGTGTATGACAGCGAGAACGCCAACCTGTATAAAATATAGTCAGCTCGGGATACCTCGTGCGGTAGGCGGTTTCTGACAATCAACTCTGCGGCATTCCCTAAGGTTGCGTTGATCAATGCTCCAAATAAGTCTCCGAATTCATCTGCTAATTTATCTGAGGAGTCAGACACTACCGCCGAAAGCGGGATAATGGCCAAGAAATTGAAGATTGAAACCAAAATCGAGTTCCATTTGCAAGGTCCAGCGACCAGGCCAAGCGGCACAAATACCAACAACACATAGATGCCAAAGAGCTGGAGCACAGCGACCTTCGCTGCGTTTTGAAAGCTGAATGAACGTTGGTGCCAGGGTCCCGATTCCGTGGAGTCGTGGGGATGGCCGCTATCGATGTCGCCGTCGACATGGTCTTCGAGGAGGGCTTGAGTCTCGTCTACATGTGGGCCGTTGGCATCCGTCATGGCGGCGGGGTGGGTAGGTAGAAAATAGGCGCTTGAGGCGTATTCAGGAACAGAGTGGTCCGCTGAACTGGAGCCGCAAATTCTCATGGCAATCAGTCGAGGTTTACTCCACTCGCAGTGGGGAAATCCCGCCTGACCGCCAAGCATTTATGTCCAGGTTGCTGCCGGGGCACTAGTCTCAATGGGGAACCAATCAGTTTCCAAACTTGAGTACCCCGGAGAGGTCCCTGTACTATCAGCGGGTAGGGCTGAGAGCCAAGACTCGTCAAATTCTTCATCCCACCGAGTATCATTCCACCAGCAAAAGTCCGACCTTGGTCTCTTTGCTTATCCATCACCCACCAAGGACCATCCATCTGTATATCCCTCGGACTTCTGTGGAAGAATTGTGTTCAGGCACTACCTATCGTGGAGGCTGAGCCGCGGCAGTATGTCACTAGTGCTGAGTGAATGTGCGCGATTTTCCGTTGATTGTGTCACTTCAGGGTATGACGCCTTGCCTATCGTGGTTTAGCGTGGACCAGCTCCTGAGATGGCCATCTGTCAACACACACCTTAGATTTAGTTCTACAGTTATTCCAATATATTCAGTGGTTTCAGCAACTTCCAATTGCCTCAACTGCATCATTATTATCTGATCCAACAGATCGCTTGCTTATATTTGCTAAGCCTCTAGCCTCCAGCCTCCCTGCTACACTGAACACCACTTTATGCCGCAGTTGCTGTAGGGAACGAGGGGTCGTAATATTATATTAAAATCTACTCAGTACGGAGCACGAATTCGCTAGTCACTTTCTCTATAGGAACGAAGTCTGTGTGCAGGGGGATCGTAGCGCTTCAATATTTCCGCGACGATAGGGGACCGGAATATCTTCGACAATCGTTCAGCTTTCGGAAACATAAAAGGTTGTGCTGGAAATGATATTGTTATCTTCATTTAATATCAAAATCCTGACGCCTATCTCATCTCAACCAGCACAAGAGCCCCCGCACCCGCACCCGCACCCTCACCCTCACTAGAAATGTGCATCCGAAGTCTGGGAGTCATAATTTTCACGCTTTTGAAGAAGAACAAAGACCGCGGGGACGAAGAGAGGCACCAGCCCGAGACTCCAATCCCGCTGGTGAAGAAGCCGGTTCCTGAAGGTGGATTGGCGACGCCTCCAAAGGTCGTCGTTGTTGGAGGATCACAACAATATTAGTTTTGGGGGTTGTGGGGGGGACGGAAGAAGGATGGCCGGTGCAGGGGTGGAAGGCGTAACGCTATCTACGTCAACATCAACGAATTCAGCTTGGACCTAACAATCACATGTATGATCTGACAAGTCGGAGGAAAGAGCACATGTATTCAAGGCCGCTGGATTCTAGCTCTCAAGAATACCAACTCTTTGTCGTCCAGGATAGGCTTTAGCAATAGGAAAGAGAGAAGCTAACTATTGCAAAAGTATAGCAAAGCAAAACAGTCCACCGTTTCATCTTGCCTTCTTCTCATGTTATATTTCTATCAATTACAACCCAAACGTACTTTAACCACTCCACTGTGGCTTACCCCGTGAGACCCGGGTTTAGAAAGGGGCCAGGATCTTGAAGCTTACGGATCGATCCGCAGGCAAAACGAGCGCCAAGTCTCAGGTTCGACCCACGATATAGCTCCACAGGGCAGTGCTCCGAATGCGTCTTTAAAAGTCCAAATTACCTCATGATTCTATCCTTTTCTCTTCACAATCCGAATCAACTCTATTCTCTTCTACAAATATCATTCGATTTGCCTTGTCTTCGATTTTGCCAAAATTTCAGCAACAATGTCTTTCTTCTCAAAAGTGGAGGGTATGTTCAAGGATGACAAGAAGGAAGGCCAGCCAGGACAACCAGATGGGCAACGTGGTGAGTTGATGTTCCTGGTTACTTTCGTTCAAATTGTTAATCCCACGTTCTTGCAGGTTTCGAGCAACAGCAATATGGCTACCAACAACCGCAGCAACAAGGATATGCACCACCTCAATCTCAATACAACACCTACCCCCAACAGTACAACACTCCTCCACCAGCCCAACAATACGGCGCCCCTCCACCACAACAATACGGCGCCCCTCCACCACAACAGTACGGCGCCCCTGCGGGCCCACCTCCACCTCCACCTCCCCAGCTTCCTCAAGGCTGGATGCCACTTTGGGATCCTGCTGGTCAAAGATGGGCATACCTTGAACTTTCAGTGAGCAAAGTAATCTGGACATTGCCAACTGGTCCCTCATATCCGCCACAAGGCGGATACCCGCCCCAGCAAGGAGGAGCATTCCCGCCACAAGGAGCACCAGCATATGGTGCTGGACAAGATACTAGAGGCTATGGTGGCGGGCCTGGTGGCCTTGATCAAGGAAAGCCGGCCAAGGACAACTCGAAGAAGAATATGATGCTAGGAGCTGCTGCAGGTGTCGCAGTAGGTGCAGTGGGGGCAGGTTTGATTGCAAATGCTATGGGTATGATTTTCATTGTCTATCCTGTTGCAATTGCGAATATCCGGTACTGACTGAACTCTAGATGACGATCATCACAGCGACAGAGAGGAAGAGCGGAGAGAGGAATATCAGGAGGAGCATTATGAGGAAGAATATGGCTCTGATTGAGTAAGATCTACTGCGTGATGCCGCGGATGGTATTACTTTGTCGCCGCCGCTGCGTCGGAAGACAAATATGTTTGTGCTTGTACTTGTACCACAGGATAGCAACTGGACATTCACCAAGTCGACCATCTTCGATTTCTATTTTAAATCTATACACTAAGGTTTGATAGCTCCCGTCTTCCATTTCACAGCCCACTCAACCCAACCAAATCCTCGTTTTCATCCAACACCTCCTCCAACCCCACAGAATCCTGATTTCCTGCTCCCAATACGTCCCTACCATTGCCTTCACCGCCTCCTAATATCACTCCTTCCACATCCCACGGCCACTGCTAGAGATCAACTGGCTGGCAATGCCGCCCAACCGCCAACGCCCCCCAGATCACCATTTCCCACTAGGGGCCGGCCCCGAAAGCACTCAGCATTCGGCCCTGCTGCCACCGTAGCTGGTGTTATTGCAGGAAGTATCGTAGGCTGGTTGTCTGTTCGCCGTCTTAACAACAACGATGAAGTTGAGATGCCTCTAATATCTAGATTGCGAAGCGGCTCTGATCCAGATGATGGTGACGGACTTTACATATCTGGAGATAGGAAGCCAAATAGGACGAGGAAAGGCGCTGAAGAACTCGGTATAGCCAGCGAGGAGGTGAAACCTGGGGAAGGTTAACATGGAGACTGGCCGGCTGCAGAGGCAGCTGCAGGTTTTGACAACTTGATCGAAAATCAAGCCAAGGCTTTTCTCGCTACCTCCATGAATAGCAAGCAGCCGCTGTAACGTCTAATAGCCAAATAATCTGCCCGCATTACTGTACCTGAAACACTGCCCTCCGGTTTTATTTACGGCTCAGAATACGGATGGCTCCTCCCGCGCCGATCATAGGGGACCCCTTAAATTCCGTACTGATGGGTAAATCCCGGAAAGGCACAGTGCAGTACTCATACATGTGTTTAGTGACATTTTCCTAACAACATAACTCTGTACTCCGTACAAATACAGGATAGAGTACCTAGGTATGGCATGTATTAAGGGGAAAGGGGTGCATAGATTGCATCGAAACCTTATGCACCAAAAAGGAGTACCTTGATGATACGCCGGCGATAACAACCTGAACCTGGAACCCGAGAACCTTACGACAGGCGACTCTGGTGGTCAACAACAAGCCGAGAAACCCCATCACGACGCGCAATTCTCACATATATACCTATATACCTCTATATCCGTCCATGTCCTCAGCGTAGCCTCGACTCATATATATAATGCGTCCCTCATCCTCATCCTCCCCACCTCCTATCGTGTAGATCACCTGGGCCCGTGGTAATCAACTTAAACTTCTGATCTCAGCAGCCTTCCCCTTAGGCACTTTGCGCGGTTGAACCGACGAGCGCTAATTCTGCCTAGTCGATCAACCTTCCAGGGCTCCCGCGAGAGATCCACGCTCTCAGCGATCTGCCCATATTGCTATGCCGCATATACAACCTCTCCAACTCGATCTCCTATTATGTCCGATAGCAATGGCGCTATTGAAGAGATCCAAAGCGGCCTTGACTCACCTCCGTCTTCGCAATCCTCAATGGCTGAATACGCCACCTTTGTCAAAATGAAGACGGGCATGAGCAGGAAGCTGCAATACCAGCCGACCAAACAATACCGCCTGCACAACAGCATGCTCGCTGGAGTCGGATTTCTTGAACTGGCCAACGTGGGAGACTTCGCGGCGAACGTGTGGAACGAGATTCCCATCCCCATCTACGCCGCGGTGCTGATGGGGGTGGGTGGTACGCTGGCCCTCGCCATTTCGGTCTTTGCCGTTCGCGATGCGATCCTCAGTTCGAGGAATATCGCGCTCCTCCGAAAAGAACGGTATCATCTCAGAACACAAAGAGAGGCTCTGGCAGCGGGTGTGGAGATTACATCTACATGTGCGCGAGGCATCGAGATGCAGCTCGACGTCAACTTCCGGGAACTGGGCACGGAGCTGGTAGATCGTTTCGGGATGGATATCACTATGGGATTTGGGGCCGTCATGGTGGGCGTTGGCACGTTGATGGCGCTGGGCGGCGAGAACCCACTCGTCTTTCACGCGAGCAACCTCCTGTCGGGATATATTGGGAACTCACCGGCGGCGCTGTATGGTCTGTTGAATGGGATTTGGTCGTTCTACGTGTTGAGGAGAGCCATGCGACATGGCGCGGCGGCGGCGAAGGAAGTGCCCGAGGAGGGGGTTCTCGTTGTCGTGAAGCGCCGGCTGCGTCGAGTCCGGACGCACGCGGTGATCAACGGCCTCACAGGTATCGTGGCCGGGGCGGCGTCAATGGTCACCGCGACCTACTGGTACGGCTACCCCGTGTTAGTCCCGTGTATCCTCTCCGCCATTTTCTGCAACTACATCTGGAGAACTCGAATTGGTTACGACCGTCCCTTGACGATAAAGGGCCCCGATCTCGACAAGGCCTCTCTGCTCGAGGATCTCACCCATGCGATCTCTCTTCAACAGGTGCTCGCCGAAGGCCCCGCCCAACCCCTCGCACGCCTGGTCCCTTCGCCCAAGTCTATCACCTCCGTCGTCGACTTTATCCAAAGCAACGATCTCTTCGAGGACTTCTGCCATCGGCTCTTGCAGGACGAATCGTTTGCGCGCGCTGTGCTGGGCCCTCCCGCGAACGAGAACGAGAACGAGGAGTTGATCCTCGAACCATCCCGTCTGCTCGCAGACAAGACGCACTTCCCACGCTTGACTGAGATTGCAGAGACGACGGTGCGGGAGATGGGCCTGACGCGGTTCAAGTATTCGGAACGGTATCTCGTGGAGGCTCTGGGGTGCTACTTGTGCTGTTCCAAGGAGGCCACGCCGGCGACGTCGCAGGAAGCGTTGATATCGGCGAGGGAGGAGAAGTAGAGCTTCTCGTCGCTGCGACCGATTGTATACTATAGTATTACGAACGGGGGAATGGGGGTTTTAAAAGTTGCATCTTTCTCTCCTCGGGGACGGGATCTTGTCCGAGCTCGAACGTCTCGTCGATGGGACTCGTACCTGCCGCTGATCTGGATCTGGATCTGGATTTGAAATATATTTGAACTGGAGGCGAGACCGAGGACACCATGTATCGATCTTCTCACGGCTGCTAGATAGTCGTGGTATCAGGTGCCCACTACTCTAATTAATAAATACCTACCTTACGTACCACGTATACGGACGGTGCTAGATAATATATCAAAGTATGCTGTACCACCCATAGGTGCGAACGATGAAATGCTCCGTACTAAGCACTCCATATCAATCACCAAGTTCCAAGCCCCAACTCTTCTATAGGTACCTAGGTACCTACCGCCTCCTCGATGTTTCACATGTGCCTACTTCGTACTTCCTACATAAATGCATTTCCGGGGTCACGTCACTGATTCTTGGCGCGCATTGTTCTCCAGTGGCTGTAACTATCCTCGGGCAGGCAGGGATTATTCAGTGCTGAAAACCGGTGGCTTTTGCACTGCCCCTCGCTTGCCCTGGAAACCGCGATGCTTCAAAGCTTGACTTCACCACGGCGACATGGGTATTTCCCGCCAGTAATAACAATGTCGCAGCAACGATAGCGACAACGACAGCGACGGCGACGGCGACGGCGTCCGAGATGGACCGTGTTCCACGATCCCCCTTCTCTCGTCCCATCCACACCGCGGCAACCATAACAATAACATCAGCGCCGACGACAACACGATGCAACTTATTGCGTAGAAATAGAGCCAGACTTCTCGGCTCGCATGCTAAACACGCCTGATATCCCCACCTCTCGATTATCCTATGTGCTCCCTCTCTCTGCGCTGCGTGTCCGCCCACCATTTGCGCCTGTGAACGGTAACCCAAGCCTCGGATTCCTCGCCAGTTGACCTGCGAGTCTGGTGTTCGATTTCAAGCAGAAAGGCTGGCCCGCTGGCGGTCTACTAACAGTGTTGAGCCGCGGTGGGCGGCATGGCGGACACCACAAACGGATCAAAGGGATACGGGACGATCACCTCTCCTTCTGCTAGAAATGGCCCAGCACGACAGTGGGCGCCGACCATTACCATTGATACATTTGCCGTCGGCCCTCCGTCAAATGACCAGAGGACGACGTCGGGGGATCGGCCTCCATCCCCGGCCTCCTCTGCCGCCAGCGCGATCTCGTCCACTGCGCGACAGCGTTCCTTGTCCCTCGAATACCAGCCGCTCCTCGCATCCTCCTGGAGACCGGCCACCTCGCAGAGTATATCTTCGCACACCTCCGAGCCACGTGGTCTCTCGCCGGATGGGAGCCACCTTGCGGTTCCCGATATCCGCTCTAGGGCGAGCTCAATCGACCGTCAGTCCCTCTCATCCTATGGTGGAGAAACTCATTTAACAACGCCTTCTCTGTCAGATCCTGGCAATTCCCGAGCACATTCGAGATCTGGATCGCCGGTCGCGGCGGGGAATGACGACCCACTTAAACCACATCCTGGAGAGGAAGCGGATTTCCATGTCGAGAACAATGTTTTCGCCTTTTCGCCTGGGCAACTCAGCAAGCTCTTTGACCACAATGGTCTTGGCGCCTTTTACTCTCTAGGGGGCTTGGAGGGACTGGTGCGGGGTTTACGGACGGACAGCGCCTGCGGGTTGAGTCTGGATGAATCTAAGTTGGAAGGGACAGTTGATTTTGAAACGGCCACCGGGAATGCGCCGACGAAGACTAAAGCAGGGACACCGCATGAAGAAGATCCGTGTCCTCCACCAGTACATGCCCCGCATCGTGGGAGTCCAGAGCCGTATGGAGACAGAAAACGTGTGTTCGGGTCCAATCGACTCCCAGAGAAAACGGGGAATACTCTCCTACAGATCATGTGGGTAGCATTCAATGACAAGGTATTGATTATTCTCACTGTGGTCGCGGCTATCTCCCTCGCTTTGGGTCTCTACCAGGATTTTGGGCAGTCTTCTCGATATGGGGGTCCGAAGGTTAGATGGGTCGAAGGAGTCACCATCATGACCGCAGTGGTTATTGTCGTCATTGTTGGCTCTGTCAATGACTTTCAGAAGGAGCAGCAGTTTATCAAGCTAAATAGAAAGGTAATTTATAGAGTTTATTCTGAGATTCGGCATAACTGATACGGGTGATAGAAAGCGGACCGTGTGGTCAAGGTAATTCGCTCGGGGAAGTCGCTTCAAATCTCGGTGTATGATGTTGTAGCTGGAGATGTTTTACATATAGAGCCAGGTGATCTTATACCTGCTGATGGCATCCTTATTTCCGGTAACAATGTCAAGTGCGACGAATCTTCCATCACGGGTGAATCCGACCAGAAGAGGAAGTGCCCAGGAGAGAAGGTGGTGTCGAGCATCGAAGGAACACAAAGCACGACTATCCATGCAGGCCCATTTATCATCTCTGGCAGTAAGGTTTTAGAGGGTACAGGCACGTATCTGGTCACCTCCGTCGGGCTCAACAGCAGTTATGGGAAAATGATTATGGCTGTGATGGACGATTCAGAAGCAACTCCCACTCCGCTGCAGACCAAGCTGAGCATTATGGCAGAACAGATCACCAGGGCCGGCTGTGCCATTGCTCTGATTCTCTTTATAGTACTCTTTGCTAAGTTCCTTGCCAACCTTGGTAGCAACCCCGGGACGCCTGCCGAGAAGGCGCAAGACTTCTTGCAGATTGTCATTGTTACGATTACGATAATTGTCATTGCCGTTCCCGAAGGACTTCCACTGGCTGTCACCTTGGCATTAGCTTTTGCCATGACGAATATGTTGAAGGAAAACAACCTGGTGCGAGTTCTCAGTTCGTGCGAAACTATGGGAAATGCAACAACTATCTGCTCCGATAAAACTGGAACGCTTACGACGAACAAAATGACTGCGGTTGCAGGGCAGTTAGGCATGGATTGCCGTTTTGCCTCGAACACGAAGACACCAATCCGACAGCAGGAGGCTTCGAATATTGTTCCTAGGGATGCCGAGCCCATGGCAATGAGCGAGGTAGCTCCTTTACTGTCTTCCGAGGCAAAAGACCTTCTCGTAAAATCTATCACCATCAATTCTACGGCTTTTGAGGGGATCGAAAATGGTCAATCCACCTTCATTGGTTCGAAGACGGAAACTGCCCTTCTCCTCTTCGCACAGGAACATTTGGCGATGGCATCTGCCAGCGAAGAGCGTGAAAAAGCCACTGTCGTGCAGGTGTTTCCATTTGACTCGGCCAGAAAATATATGGCAGTGGTAACAAAGCAACCTGATGGCACCTATCGCATGTACGTCAAAGGAGCTTCGGAGATCTTGTTGGACACCTGTACCCGGGTTATCACGGATATTACCGGACCCGTCCAGAGCACTCCGTTGACACAAAGTGCCCGCGACAGTCTAAACAGGACTATGGTTGAATATACTACGAAATCTCTTCGGACGATGAGTCTGATCTATCGCGATTTTGAATCCTTTCCGCCCCCAGGAGCTAGAATCCTTGAAGATGATCCCACTCGAACGGCTTTCGACGACGTTCTCAAAGATATGGTATTTTTAGGCATTATTGGCATTCAAGACCCAATTAGGCTAGGTGTCCAAGAAGCTGTCGCCAAATGTCAACATGCTGGAGTGGTGGTAAGGATGGTAACGGGCGATAATGTAAACACGGCAAGTGCTATTGCTCAAGAGTGTGGCATCTATGATCCACGAGACGGAATCCTTCTCCAGGGTCCCGAATTTCGAAGACTTCCAGAGCCAGAAATGGACCAGATAATACCGAAGTTGCGGGTGCTTGCTCGGTCAAGTCCCGAGGATAAGAGAGTCCTTGTGAAAAGACTAAAAAGTCTAGGTGAGACAGTGGCTGTCACTGGTGATGGTACGAATGATGGGCCTGCTTTGAGGGCAGCTGATGTCGGGTTCTCGATGGGAATCTCTGGCACGGAGGTAGCGAAAGAGGTTTCGTCGATTATCCTCCTAGATGATAATTTCTCATCTATTGTCCGGGCTTTGGAGTGGGGCAGAGCAGTGAATGACTCCGTAAGGAAGTTCTTGCAGGTATGTTTGCCTTAGAGAAGGGTTCCATGACATAGCTAACTTTTTCTTCTAGTTCCAGCTGACTGTCAATATTACGGCAGTGGGCATTACATTTGTGTCTGCAGTCGCCGATCCAAGAGAAGAGCCAATTCTTACTCCGGTACAGCTGCTTTGGGTGAACTTGATTATGGATACTTTTGCTGCTCTTGCCTTAGCGACGGACCCCCCTACGCCGAGTCTTCTTGATCGTAAGCCAGATCGCAAAACGACACGCCTTATTACTCTAGACATGTGGAAGATGATTATTGGACAGTCTATTTATCAGCTCATTGTCACCCTCGTGCTTAATTTCCGGGGCAACGAGATCTTTGGCTATACAACCCCCTTTGAGCAGAGCCGACTGGAGACGTTGGTGTTTAATATCTATGTGTGGATGCAAATATTTAACCAGCTGAAGTGAGTCATAACCCTCAAAGGCGTTGAATACCCCTCTAATTCTTAATAGCAATCGGCGCCTAGATAGAAAGTTGAACATATTTGAAGGCATAAGTCGGAATTGGTTCTTTATCGGCATCAACATCATTACCGTCTCCGGACAAGCCATCATCATCTTCGCCGGCTCCAGCGCCCTCTCCACCATCCGTCTCGACGCCAAGCAATGGGGCATCACCCTCATCTTCGGCCTCATATCCCTCCCCATCGGTATCCTCATCCGTCTCATCCCCAACGAATTCATCCGCGCCTGCATCCCTGCTTCCTTCTGTAGAAACGATACCGACAGGCCGCGGCCAACTCCCTCTAATGAAGAGCGCTTCGAGTGGAATGATGCTGTTCAGGATATCCGCGACCAGCTTACGCTGTTTAAACATATCCGCGGCGGCCCCTTCCAAACTCTCACAGCGGATCTGCTACTGGCTTCGCGACAAGGCCCATCCCTGGCAAAGCGGGATACGGATAAGAGATATGGAGACAAGTCAAAGTGGAAGAGGTGGATGCATATCAGGCCGAGACAGAGAAGGAGGTCGAAGTCGGTGCTGGGACCAGCGGCGGCGATGGCGGGGGTCGTGGCGGGGAGTATTGCTGGTTGGGGGTCACCGCCAACAGAGAGGAGTGTGAGTGGTGGTTCTGATGGGAGTAACTCTCCCCTCCCACCAAATCAATCCTCTACGCACCCTCCTAAATAGATCCCGAGGGATTGTCCATTATCTGCAGTCATGTATCTCTAAACAAATTGAATATAATTATTCCCAGTGAAGTCACCGAAACTTAAGCTGCTGTAAAGCTTCAAACGATGTGCATGTGACTCAGCCAGATGGTCTTGGAGGCGTCTCGCTCCATGCTGTCCAAACATTCGTCATCAACATTTCTACTCAATAACAACCATACTCCTTCAGAGTGTCTTCGAGGCTGGAATCGGAGTCCAATCTCCTTCGAGAAGCAGATCGGCGTGTGCAGGCTGACGAGAGGGCTCCTCCCTCTTTGTATAGAGCAGATTTTACGATGCGCGTAACCAAAAAAATGAAGTCGATATCTCATCTGGAATTCGCAATTGCTGCAGTTGAGGTGCTTGTATATTGCGTGACGTGAGACCGAGGAGAATAATGCGTGTCATTCTTAAGCCCACCCGCTGGCCGCTTATGGCGACACCTGCTGAGCCCACCCTGCTCTGAGACAGAGGCACCACGCTTTTCGTGGCTATGGAAGTTCCGTGCCTCCGGTATAATCTTCATAGCAGAATTACCCGGACGTTACCTTACCCAGATTGACATAAAGATTGAAGGGAATGCTGGCTCTTGAGATAGCTCCCAAGCTCTAACCTCCCCCAGCAAAAAATAGGAAATTAGTATGGAAATAAGCTTACCAAAGGTACTGGCTGCGATGCCAAGTGGTACGAAAACCAAGACCACACAGACCTTGTTGAAATGCAATGCTGCCCTCGCATGAGACGACCACTAAAATCCAATAGTATATTCGCCGTTACGTTGCTGTTGGTGAGAATGTTGGTGAAAATGTTCGCGGTCTCCGTTGCGAGGCAAGCCCTCCGTCTCATCTACTAGCCTAGTTTAGTCGTCATCAGCAGACATGAGTGCAGAGTTCGAGTTGGGGCCTATTGCTGGACTCGCCACCGCGCGCTCTATGCTAGATAACTGTCTCAATTGAATAGTCGAGCTTGTAGGTTGGACCATTTGATCGAGAGACAGCTTGTGGCAGTATAGGCTATGAGACTAAAGCTCGCTCGCTAATTGGTTTGGTTCCGTCATGCCTCAGGCACCTCCGCCTTGATGGGTGCAGTACTCGATATTGTTACGATGAAATATTTGGTTGATTCCTCTTGCTCCTATCCTGCCATCTTCTGCCATACTTTGCCATACTTACAGTATCTGCCTATGCAGTGTTGGGCAGATTGAATGCCCAAGCACCAGGTTTCCGCGCACCGTGCAGGGCGGTAACGAGTAGGGGTGGCAGGCAGGGGAAGGGCAGGTGGGCTTGTTTACACTGCCTCAAAATGTTACTGCGCTTCGCTGAACAAGCTAGGGACCAGGGACAATTCACTCATATCATGAAAGACGATCCCATTATCGTCATGCGAGTCCGCTAGACCGCTTCTTCCAGTCGCGTCCCAACATTCCTTGGCAGATAGGATACCATGCCGGTCTCCTTGGCGCAAATTGACGAGAAGGTTGAAGAAAACAACACTGCGTGGAATGGCAACGCTCAGCGGATCACGCCTGGCCGTGCCTTGGGATCAGAGCCTGATGAGCTAGATAGAGAACCATGTCCTACACTGAACGACAAATTCGCCTTCTCACATACGCAGCTGGACGAACTCGTCAACGAGAAGAGCCTAACTGCATATCGAGCATCGGGTGGCCTTGCTGGCCTTGAGAGAGGGCTGCGAACAGATCGTCGGTCCGGCTTGAGCGTAGACGAAACTATACTCGATGGCGGTGCGGTATCGACACCAGCTGGACGAGTTGGAAGGCCGTTAGACGAATCTTTCGCAGACAGAAAATGTGCCTTTGGGGACAATACCATACCTCGGAAAAGGTCCTTGAGCATTCTTCGGTTGATGTGGATGGCCTACAACGACCCAGTACTATTCCTCTTGACAGCGGCCGCAATAGTCTCGCTGGCTATCGGACTATACCAGACTTTCGGAACCGTCGCCTCCGCGACTAACCCACGTGTAGAGTGGGTCGAGGGAGTAGCCATTATAATAGCAATCATTATTATCGTACTTGTGGGGGCTGCCAACGACTGGGAGCGACAGCGACAATTTGCAAAGCTGGACAAGAAGAAGCAGGACCGAGATGTGAAAGTCATCCGATCAGGAAAGTCTCAAATGATATCTACCTTCAACGTCCTTGTTGGCGATGTCGTTCATCTTGAGCCAGGAGATGTGATTCCTGCCGACGGAATATTCATCGATGGATATAACGTCAAGTGTGACGAGTCTTCAGCGACGGGAGAGTCCAGGCTTATTCGCAAGCATCCCGGAGAGGAGGTTTTCCGAAATACCGGAAAACAAGGACAGGAAGATGTCCTTGAGATGGACCCCTTTATAATATCGGGAGCGAAGGTTGCTGAAGGAGTTGGGACCTTTCTAGTTACTGCGACAGGTGTGAACTCTAGCTATGGCAGGATCTTAATGTCTTTGCACGATGGTCCTAGTTTTACCCCGCTACAAGAGAAGCTCAACAATGTGGCCAAATTCATCTCTAAGTCAGGTGCAGTAGCAGCACTAGTCCTCTTTGCCGTTCTTTTTATTAAATTTTTGGTACAACTTCCACATCGGACCGATACAACACCTGCAGAGAAAGGCCAAAACTTCTTGAATATTCTCATCATTTCTCTTACGGTCCTTGTTATTGCTGTTCCTGAAGGTCTACCTTTGGCAGTAACTCTTGCTCTGGCCTTTGCATCTAACAAAATGCTGAAAGATTATAATCTGGTGCGCCAATTGAAAGCTTGTGAAACTATGGGCAATGCTACAAGTATATGCTCCGACAAGACCGGTACATTGACACAAAACAAGATGACCGTTGTCTCCGGGACTTTTGGGACCAATTTGCAGTTTGATGAAAGTTCCAAAGCCTCACTGAGTGAGTCGGGTCCGGACAGTTCATCGTCGCAGGAGAAGAGCGTTCACCCCGCTACTGTTGCATTACCTACGAGGAGAAGTGTTGGAAGCCTCGCAGATAATGTGAAAGAGGTACTCAAGCAGTCAATTATCCTAAACACCACTGCGTTCGAAGGCGAGGTGGATGGCCGGCAAACCTTCATTGGATCACAAACAGAGACCGCCCTGCTTGCTTTCGCTCGAACCTACCTAGGAGTGGAGGCCCTTACCGTCGAACGCTCAAATACAAAGACTATCGAGGTCATCCCCTTTGATGCCACTAATAAATCAATGGGGGTTGTCGTCGCACTGGAGTCGGGCTATAGGCTCTATGTTAAGGGCGCATCAGAGATCATATTGCGCAAGTGCACACGAGTGATCCGGGATCCTAGCCACGACTTCTCGAGTATCGGAATGAGCGCAACCAGCACAGAATATCTGAGCCAAATTATCACCGATTACGCTTCCCGCTCATTGCGAACCATTGGCTTAGCGTATCGGGATTTCGATCAATGGCCTCCTTCGTCTGTCAAACAACTCCAGATTGCAGAAGGCGGTGCAACTGAAGCCAACGCTATTTTCGAGGACCTTGTCTTGTTCGGCATTGTAGGCATTCAGGACCCTTTACGTGAAGGCGCTCGCGACGCGGTGCGAGATTGTCAAAAGGCAGGCGTCATCGTACGCATGGTAACCGGCGATAATATCTTCACAGCAAAAGCCATTGCTGAACAGTGCGGTATTATTGATACCTCTGCTGGTGACACTGCAATGGAAGGCGCAGAGTTCCGGCGTTTGCGAACGACTGAGATGGATGAAGTCATCCCTCGTCTTAGAGTTCTGGCACGATCCAGTCCGCAAGACAAACGGACACTCGTCACGCGGCTCAAGGAGCTGGGTGAAGTAGTTGCTGTGACCGGTGACGGGACAAATGATGCTTTGGCTTTGAAGGCTGCCGATGTGAGCTTTTCTATGGGTATTTCAGGTACCGAAGTAGCAAGAGAGGCCTCTTCTATTGTTTTAATGGATGACAATTTTGCCTCGATCGTAAAGTCGATCATGTGGGGAAGAGCAGTTAATGATGCCGTCAAGCAATTTCTACAGGTACGCTCTAGTATACTCCATCTTTCTCACAAGCTTTTGTTAACTCTACCTCTAGTTTCAAATCACAGTCACTATTACCTCTGTGATACTCACCGCCGTCTCTGCAATAGCTAATTCGGAAGAACAATCGGTACTCACCGCCGTTCAGCTTATGTGGATCAACCTCTTTCAAGATACTATGGCAGCTTTAGCGCTTGCCACAGATGCTCCAACACAGAGCGTCCTCGATCGGAAGCCGGATCCCAAAACAGCCCCTCTTATTAATACCGCAATGTGGAAGATGATCTTCGGTCAATCGGCGTATCAACTCGCCATCACCTTAATTCTCTACTTCGGAGGGGCAAAAATATTATCCTATCAAACACCTCATGAAACAGCTCAACTACAGACAATAATATTTAATACCTACGTCTGGATGCAGATTTTCAATATGTATAAGTACGTTGTCTCCTGGAAATCTCACCGCTCTCTGACTAATGTTGAACAGTAATCGTCGGCTGAACAACAAATTCAACATCTTTGCGGGGTTGGGGCGCAACTGGTTCTTTATTGCTATTAGCCTGATTATGATCGGAACTCAGATCTTGATTGTCTTTATTGGCGGAAGGGCATTTTCTATAACAAGGCTTAATGGGGCGCAATGGGGTGTATCGGTCGTACTAGGCCTGTTATCAATTCCTGTAGGCGTTATTATTCGCCTGATTCCAGACAGGTTGTTCTCTAGAAGGATCTGGGGGCTTAGGGACATCCGGTCTGCATTTGCGTGCTGCGGTAGGCGGCGAGTAGTCGATGTTTAGTTCAAGTTCTGTAGCACGTAGTCGTTTTTGGGGGAAAAGTAGCATGAAGTGGGTTCGAACTACTTGAGGGAGGGTCTATAGATCCTGGCACTGATCATTATCTATGGTATTATTATCTGGCTATCGCCAATGTTGAACCCTACTGTTCTCATCCGCGAAATCATCAGATGTCTCGAGGAATCAGAAAAGGCGATCTGCTGCAATAGATCTATTTGCGTAAGAGGCCTCTCCAGCATTCGATCACTATTTTTTGGCGAGTCATGATCGCTATTCCTTCAGGCTTTAAATCCCGCGTTGCACGTCCCACCTACCCCTGGTTCATACGAGCTCAATCCCTGTAGCCGAAGCCAATTACTCGAGTATATCCAGTCTACAGAGTAGAAGTTTTATATTTCTCTCCGTATACCGAGGTTCAGATTCTACTTCCCTCAATTTGATATCTCGGGGCTCGGTCTGCATAAGCCCTCAGCCTTCCCCCACTTCTGCTCATGTTTGTGAGGCTGCACTGATCCCTGCAAGCAGCTGACGCAGGCCGCGTCCGCATAAGCCTTATTCTTTTTCATAAGGCTGCGGGGATGGTAAAAGACTATTAAGGCGTGTCACGGAGGCCTTTGCGATAATCTTTCCGTATCACACTTCTACAATGGAGTCCAGATGGCGAAGGCGTTGTGTCGACTCAGCCGTTTTGGCGATAATCCTTCTGGCTGGTCTGAGTAATGGTGGTACGTATACCTTCTTCGACCCTTCTATCGTGGCAGATTCTGTGTTGCGGGGGAGGGCAGAGGCTGACAGGTTGTGGCAGATAATTGTACATCGCCGAGTGGCTTCACCATTGAATCCCAAGCCGCCGCAGACGCGTTAAACAACTGTAGCACCATCACTGGAGATGTCAACATCCAGGGCAACGACCTGACACAGATCACCCTGAATGGCATCGAAAAAATCCATGGCAACCTTGCCGCCTCATCCTGTGATGGATTGCAGACCATCTCGGCCCCAGCCCTATCAAAAATCTCCTCCAACTTCACCCTCTCTAGCCTCCCACTTCTCGCGAGCCTCAACTTTCCTTTCCTAGATAACGTCAATGGGGGAATATACTGGGATACACTGTCGGAGCTTACGGATGTTTCGTTTGGGAACTTGACGGCGCCTTCACATGAATTACCAGGGACGAATGTGGATGGGGATATTTCAATATCAAACACGGGTATATCCAGCCTTGCATTCCTCAATTTTACACACTATTCCAATCCGGCCACAATCTCGATCAAAGGCAATCAACGACTCAGTAATGTCAATCTTACTGGCCTCTCCTGGGGCAGCAATTCGTTGGCAATTGTCAACAATGGACTATCGGCACAGATCTTTCTTCCGGACTTGAGATCTGTTGGCGCTATCACAATCGGCAATGCTGGCCACATCTACATCCCATCTCTCTCCGAAACACTCGCGAGTATGGAGATGTCCAATAATACGTTCAATGTCTTCTCAGCGCCGAACCTCACGAATATTGGTGGGAGCCTCATTGTCCGTAACAACGATCTTCTGGATGATCTTAGTATCCCACTTTTGACCTCTGCGAAAGGGGGCATCACAGTTGCGAATAACGCAGCCCTCCATATGATCAACGATTTGGGTCAGCTATGGTTCTGCCAAGGGAACATAACCCTTTCAGGCTATTTTTCAAAGTAAGAACCTCTGCTCTTTTCCTTCTCCTGGGTCTTCTCAAAACTAACATCGCATTTTCAGCGTCACATTACCAAGTCTCCGTAACATCATCGGGGGCTTTCATCTCAACAGCTCGAATCCGGACTTCGACTGCACTACCTTCGACAAGCTATCTGATCGAAGCAGTTGGTCCTCTTCCTTCTATTCATGCGGTGCCTACCTCCCAGGCTCAACCAAGGATCTAGCAAAACACTACCAAGCTCCCGACCGTGATCTCGAACTCTCGAAACCCGTCAGAGCTATTATCATTATTCTATCCGTTATTGCGGGACTATTTCTATGTGCTCTTTTGATGCGATTATATGTGAAGAAGACGAGGGGTAGACGAGGGAGTCTGACTAGGAGTGGGAGTCGGACTGTAGCAGGAATTGGGGCGGAAGGGGATATGGATCTTGAGGAATTGGGAGTTACGAGGTCGGTTGAGGGAGATGGGTTGCCGAAATATCGGAGAGTTGGGAGGCCAGGGGAGGTCCCGCCGGGATATACTCCAAGTAAGAATGTGGGTGCAAATCAGGTGGAGACTGGGAATGTGAATACGGAAACGTTGAACACTGCTCGGGTAGAAGCTAGGAGAAGATGGATATTTTGGTAGATGGATATTTTGGTAGATGAATGAACGAATTGCCTTTTTGCTACAGTGATCCTTTCACGAATTTATGGCCGACTTATCAAGGCAGCCTACAGCCGCTCAAGTGCTATCGATCTCTAGGACTTGCTCGAGGATCGTCCGCCTCCACCCCGGGGGCTAACGAAGTCAAAGTCAAACCTGTGGATCTTAACATGCAAGATAAGGACAACTTAATCCTTTGCAGTCTAACAATTCTAGGTTTTAGTCTAGATAATAAGTTGTAGTAGAAGAATCCTATCTGTTAGCAAGAGGTTTGTAAAGCTGATCAAATCACATATAGTAGAGTTCGTAGTTGACGACATCGCCAAGATTAGCTAGGGCTCCGATCGAATTCCCGATTTGTTCGATTCGGGCGAATCGAACCCGAATCGAATTGGACTTCCTAAATTCAGATTCGGCTGAATCGAACTATTTTTTAGCTAATTCCATTCGAGAAATTCGAGAATATTATGCTATATAGTATATTTATTATAAACACTAATCTATAGCTATTTAAATATTTCTTATGTATTATGATGGAAATAATAATAAGAGAAACTTTATTATTTATATATAAAGGCGGTAAAACTATTTTAGAACTAAGGGAGCTGTATCTATATATTTGCTCTTCGGATCCAATTATAAGGACTACCTTATATAGTTAGCACTAAATTTCCGAATCAAATCGAGTCGAGTCGAATTTACCTTAATTTAAGATGAATGGAACCTTTTTACTGCTAGTTCGATTCGGCTGAATCGAATCTTAAGGTACTCTATTTCCTTCTCTAATATTATATTTCTGCAATGTCACGACTCTACCTTTGTCACGTTATTCGTTTAAGCCTTTTCTGCAAAGCCATGAATTCCTCCCTTAACCCCATGACTCCGCCTCCAAGGCCGCTGCCAACATCATTCCCATCGAGCTCTACGACCATAGTTACTATGTCTAGCAAACTCCTTATCCTAGACTCCGTACAAGAGGACCCCTCTTCGCTATTCCTACTTTCGTCCTCATTCTCTTCTCGGCCTGCTAAGTTCGTGTCGTCCTGAGTCGCATTCCAACAATCATTTTTCAGCCTATACCTGCGGGGCACCCCCAGAATCCCCTCGATTCGCGTGACGAAGTGGACAGAAATCTCAACTAATATCTTGATTTGGATGTTGCCATAGCTGTGGAGCGAGAAGCCGCCGATTTGAAGTGGGGATCTGGCATGAAAGTCTGGCGGTGATTGAGAGTTTTTTGGGCCCGGGCTATACTTTGGCAGGGAGGAATCATTTGATGATGCTAACGATAGGTATTTGTTGATATGGGAAAATAATTTGGCGTAGATGGAGGCCATGCGAATGTAGCACGACAGTATTAGGAGGATGGTGGGAATATCTAATTGGCAAAGGGGAAACTGTTGTCCGAGGCGAGGCGAAATATCAATAGGAAGTAAGGAAACGGAATTTGGTCCAGGGTGGGAATCATATTCTGAGAGTTCGGCAGATTGTTTGACCGAACGTGAATCACCTACTTCCTTGTCTTTGACGCGCTTATTGCTGTTGCTTAGAGATGTGTCTGGTGGCTTGGGAGCCTCGGCATGCACAGAGGTTGGCATTGAATATAGAGGCTCAGGAGGTTGTTTCGGTGGGAGAAACTTGCTCATAAGCACAACGAACTTTTCCGAGCTGCTGAGAATATCACCAACTGGCTTTGTAGCGTCTGCCTCTGTTGATGTGCCAGAGTTTGAACCGGATATCAGTGAGAGGGATGGCAGACAGCAAGCCCAGGAATCATCTCCCAAAGCTTTTAGCTGAAGATATAATGATTGATTTAACTCAGACAATTGCTGAATATATTTCCCGTCCTCTGCAATCTTCGTTGACCTGTAGGTAGGTGGCGTAGACTGGTCGGCCTCGAGTGGGCGATCGGCTGCCTCCTTTCGACTTGCCGTTTCCGATGGCGGGCGGCCATGTAGTGAAAACCACTCCTGATTGTCTCCGAGCCGATGAAGTTCATTTATTCCAAGACCCTCGCTGTATGGTGGTGTAAGATCTGAGGGAGGGACAGGCGCCGTATTGGGTAATGTGGTACGGAAGTGTGGTGGTTCTCCATTGTGAGGATACTCGAGGCTACTACTTCCTATGGACGGGTAATTTTCAAAATGGAAACTGCTAAAAGTTGAAGGCGGCGTCGCACCACCGCCACTCCAGTACTGTAATGAATTCGAGGTGTCAATCGGACGATGGTTGTTTGATGAAGGCTCAGGCGAGTAAGGGAGGGGGGCCAAAATCTCAGAAAGATCTTCAAAATCGATGTGCGAACCAGCTGAAGATGCCCCAATACTCTCTGCCGTGTCCTTATCTTTTAGATAAGTTTCCATTCTTGCACGATTAGATTTTATTGTTCGACGACGACCCATGTGCATCGGAGGACTGCTAATGCACTCGACCCGAGCTTTCTGGCAGCGTCTACATGAGCGCTGGCCTTCGCCCTCCCTTAAGCAACGTAGCTTTTGTCCACGACACCTATCGCAAGCTGATCTGGAGTCCTTGTGGGGCGTGGGGCCTCGCGATTGGTTGGACGGATTATTGGACATGTTGCTATCCTTTAGATGTCCAATACAGTGAATTGTCAGCTTGCGACTAGCTCAATTACTTGACTTTTGGAGCAGTGTTGGGATTTCAAAGAAATTAGAAACATGGCCAACGTGTAGAGATCAGTAGAGACACAAATATAAGCTCGACAGATTCAAGTCATATTCTTTCTGACTTCAATCCTATTCTCTAGAGCTAACGCAAAACGCACGTCCGATCTGTAGGCCCCTACCATAGTTCCCTACCATAGTTCCCTGCCATACGTTGCAGCCACTGCAGCAAGGAAATAGCATATGGCTACCTCCCTCCACATGGGGCACGATTGGGCGAAATCGCAAGCTGAGCCGGGTGAGCTGCATTCAATTTAACAAGAATCGTAATGCAGTTGGGTCTCTTACTGAAATTTCTCCGGCCGGGTGGTACAGATTATCATCTTATCATGTCCAATTCATATTCTGCGGCCCAGTCTGCAGCCAAGTCCACAGATGTTGTGCCTACGATTGATAACGGGTACCCTGAACCCTCCCCAGAGGGAGACGACAGCATGCAAATGCTACTCCCATAATACGAGGCCCTCGCTCGAGGGCTTCTTCTTTCGGATTGTGTCATAAACGCGGAAACTGGTCAACAATGGCACTGGGAATTGCAGGATGGAGGAGCGGGACAGCTTACAAAGTAATACAAACTGGGGTCTGACTGCCTGTTTCCCGGCTTCACGAGGGTATGATCTTCGTCTGATATACTCGAGTTCACAGGCTTGCATGTTCAACCCCCGGGGCTAGAAGCTCAACTATGGTGCTACAACCTCTCTGGTACGACATACATGTTTGACAGACCAAGTTACTGCATAAACAAGCAGCATGGTGATCACTTGATCGCCAGCGAAGTACCACGACTGAAGGAGGTGTGTTGGAACTGTCGAGGAAGCTTGGATATGGTAGAGAGATAGACATAAACTTAAGGAAGCATCCTAGATGCCCAAGGAGCCTGGACATGCTTAGCCGGAAGCACACCCGCCAAGGTGCAACATAAACAGCAGCTGAAAATATTTCGTCGGACCGGTAGCGCGCACCCCGAAGTGACGTTTGTTCAGATTCAACTAACGTGACAATACAGAGGCTACTTTTGAACATGGTATGGGCGGTTTTCGTAATACAAAACTGTGTAGAGGACTCTTGAGGGGTTTACTGGCCCCGTTGTGGGAGTGATGCAAGACCAAGCCAGCGCCATCAGTGCCTAGTCGGATGGCGCCAGCACACCCTAAATCCCACTGGGGTGATAACGATGATCCTAGTTGGGCATGCTTGGGGTGGAGTACGGGGCTCGTAAGAAGGGTACTGCGAGAACAAGTCTTGGAGGTGAAAACGGTAGGAAGTCCAAAACATAAGCAACGGCGAAGTCGACAAAGCTTATAAGGCGCCCCAGGGCATTCCGACATGGGCGGATCTTAACTGTATTATTGAAACATGAACAGTTGAACAGAATGCTCGAATATTAAATGGATTAACCCGCCTTCCGCCAAACGTCGCGACCGTTGCATCCACAAGATCTCGACCGCAAGCTGCTCCCGACACTCCCCACTTTGAGTGCAACAACAGCCGCGAATTTGAAGTAGCTGTACTTGTAACTCGTCGAATAGCTTTAGCCAAGCGGGATAGTGGCACTGCTCGATTTCTGTAAGTTCTGATCGTCATTTTAAGCGGCGGCGACGTTACCTGAAAGGCTCTGACTAGAGTATCCTATGTACTGTGTACCGACCTAGGAACCTACCAAGCTAAGTGAAGGTAAGGTGCGGAGGAACCCTAGATATATCATTATGTAGGATTTGAGCACGGAGGAACGTCAGTTCATGGCTGCAAATATGTTGTTTTCGTTTGGTTGGATGTGGAAGAGGAAGTAAGCCAAGACCACTCGAGGATGAAATAGCTTCATCTTATTCAGCCAAAAGGGGATGAACCACAAACACCACGACGTCCATAAAGGATGAGCCGATCAACTCTATTATAATGTAAATACGAGCCAACAAGTTTTGAAAACTTGCTCCGAGAAAATACTACGCACGTATGTAGTACCAGAGAAGAATGCATCACATGACATGAGGCAGTTTAACCTGCTTACCTAAGACAATCCTGACATTCAACGACGCGCTTCCTACCCCTTATCACATCTCTACCATGGCCGGCCATTTCTAGCCAAAGGATCACAATATTCGGCATAATATTTCCCCAGCACCATGGTTCGGCCTCGCACGCTCTCTACGATGCCTCCGAATTCGGTCGGGCCATGTTCAGCCTCACTTATCGTATCTCATGGTCATTGCCTTGTCCTACCTTCTTCATTCTCCCCCACCGAATGTCAATACTAACAGGTCCCCCTTTCGGAAGCGGAAGCGGCTGAATATGGATAATGGCCATACCCAGGGAGTATCATGGATAATGGGGGAATGGTGTTATCTTGATCGAATTTACGATGAACTCGCAGGCATAGCTATACCCTAAATCGGCTTTGTCGAGACAAGGGGCGAGAACGCGTCCTCTTTTGCGTTATTGGCTTTAGTATTCAACACTGGCCTGTTTCGAAAGCACCCCCAACTGCCACTGTTCAACATCAATGTCTTTGCAACGGGATGAGCCAATTGCCATTATTGGTAGTGGCTGCCGATTTCCAGGCGATTCCACAAGCCCATCAGCGCTATGGGAACTTTTAAAAGAGCCGCGCGATGTTCTCACAGAAATCCCCGTCGAGCGGTTTAATCCGGCAGGTTTCTACCATGAAGATGGAATGCATCATGGGAGTACAGATGTTCATGAATCATATCTGCTGTCAGATGACTATCGCCATTTTGATGCCCAATTCTTCAATATCAACCCCATGGAAGCGAATTCCATGGATCCACAGCAGCGACTATTACTTGAAACAGTCTATGAGTCTACCGAGTCAGCTGGTTTGCCCATAGATGACCTTCGCGGGTCACCAACGGCCGTGTTCGTCGGATTAATGTGCGAGGAGTATAGCAATCACCTGCTTCGAGATCCTGAGACGACACCGATATATATGGCCACAGGAACGGCACGCAGCATCATGTCCAACCGAATTTCCTACTTCTTCGATTGGCATGGGCCTTCAATGACGATCGACACGGCATGTTCATCAAGTTTGGTGGCAGTACACCTGGCAGCTGGGGCATTGAGGTCGGGCGAGTCCAGAATCGCTATAGCGGCCGGTGCAAACCTCATCCTCTCGCCAGAGCCCTATATCGGGGAGAGTAAGTTGAAAATGCTTTCTCCTGGAAGCCGGTCTCGCATGTGGGACGCAGATGCTGATGGATATGCGCGGGGAGACGGCGTTGCGGCAATTGTATTAAAAACCTTGAGTGCTGCTCTTGAAGATGGAGACAATATTGAGTGTGTCATTCGATCGACCGGCGTTAATCAGGATGGACGAACTAAGGGTATAACAATGCCTAGTGCAACAGCCCAGGAAGCTTTGATCCGTGAAACGTATGAAAAGTCTGGACTAAATCCGAGGAACAGGCAAGACCGCTGTCAGTACTTCGAAGCTCACGGAACAGGTACTCCAGCTGGTGATCCAATTGAATCCGAGGCTATTAGCCATGTTTTCTTCGACTCAGACAACTCATGCGGTGCCGGAGAAATTGACGATGCTGTTAAGTTATATGTCGGCTCTATTAAGACTGTTATCGGGCACACGGAGGGTACTGCTGGCCTTGCAGGCGTGATCAAATCAGTCTTGGCTATTAAGAATAAGACTATCCCCCCCAACATGCTATTTAAAAAGCTTAGCCCAGCTGTTAAGCCATTCTATGACAATCTCAAAATCCCAACGGTAGCAATTCCTTGGCCCGTGGTCCCAAGCGGTTGTCCTCGCCGGGCAAGTGTCAATAGCTTTGGGTTCGGCGGTACAAATGCTCATGTTATACTCGAAAGCTTCGACCCAATCCTCGATAAGACACACGCCACTATCAAAGAACTCCACCTGCCACTGCCGTTTGTATTCTCGGCCACTTCTACCCAATCACTAGCTAGGATGGTAGCCGCATATTCTGCCTATCTTAAAACTCGCAACCCACTCGACCTTCGAGATTTGGCACATACATTATATGCTAGGAGATCGGCATTACCAATAAAAGCTACATTTTCGGCATTAAACCATGAACAACTTTGGTCAAAACTTGATAGCGCCATTGCTACATCAACCTCTGATATTGGCACTCGCTCCTCTACCAGCTCGCCTCGGATTCTAGGAGTCTTCACAGGCCAAGGTGCGCAGTGGGTTGGAATGGGGAAAGAGCTACTTGCCCGATCAGCTCAAGTTCAAGAAATTATTTCTCGACTTGATGAAAGACTTGCATGTCTTCCTGCAGAAGACCGGCCTTCATGGACATTGAAAGGCCAACTGTTGGCTGAAGCATCGGAGTCAAGAGTCCACGAGGCCGGGATATCGCAACCACTGTGTACTGCGATCCAAGTAGCGCTAGTTGACCTCCTGTATGAATCTGGAGCCAAGTTTGAAGCGGTTGTGGGCCATTCATCAGGAGAGATTGGAGCTGCATACGCTGCGGGCTATATTTCTGCCAACGACGCAATCATAATTGCTTACTATCGTGGCCTTTATGCCCATCTTGGCAGCGAAAAGGTACCGGGAGCGATGTTAGCTGCTAGCACTTCCATGGAAGACGCCATTGAACTCTGCGAGTTTCCCGAATTTGAAGGGCGTATTGTCGTCGCTGCTTGGAATTCTTCCTCAAGCGTGACTCTATCAGGCGATGCAAACGCCATCGAAGATGCTAAAACTATTCTTGAGGATGAGAAAAAGTTTGCGAGGCTGTTGAAAGTTGACACGGCTTATCATTCCCATCATATGGTACCTTGCGCTGATCCGTATGTAAAGTCTCTAGAATCAAGTGATATCAAAGTCAGTTCTCTGACAAATACTTGTTCTTGGTTTTCGAGTGTGGAAGATGGTGAATTGATGGGTATTCGCAAGGACCTCGAACATACTTATTGGAAAGATAACATGATCAAGCCTGTTTTATTCTCAACTGCGATTCAGCGGGCTATTGCCATGAAAGGGCCATTTAGTATTGCACTGGAGATCGGGCCCCATCCGTCACTTCAGGGCCCAGCCCTACAGACAATTCAAGAATTGACTGGACAGACAATACCTTATGCTGGCCTTTTGCGAAGGGAGAAGGACGCCGCCGAGACCGTCTCAGATGCTTTGTGTTTCGTATGGCAAAATCTTGGACCTTCAGCCATCAATCTTTCCCGCCACATAAGTCTATTCTCACAAGATCAAAGCACGCCACGGACCTTGAAAGACCTGCCAACTTACTCTTGGGACCACGAGAGGATATACTGGTTTGAATCCCGTGCCACAAAGGCATTTCGGACAAGATCCCAAGGTAGTCATGAGTTACTAGGCACGGCATGCATTGACAACACTGAAGAAGCATGGAGCTGGCGTAATCACCTACGACCAAATGAAATATCTTGGCTCAGTGGCCACAAACTCCAGGATCAAATGATATTTCCTGCGGCTGGGTATGCTGTTACCGTCCTGGAAGGAATGAAGGCATTGGCAATTACACGCCCGGTCAAGGTTATTGAACTTCGAGACTTTTCGATCGGTAGGCCAATGTCCTTTGAAGAGGACGATGCAGGGGTTGAGGTTGTTTTTGCTCTTACAAATATCGAAACGCAGAATAATGGAGAAACCACAATAATGGCAGATTTCACTTATCATGCAGGCTTAGGAAATGACCCGGATAGGCTGACGCTTATGGCAAGTGGCCAGGCACTTGCTGTGTTTGGAGATCCAAGCCTTTCTTTGCTACCAGCCCGACCCCCACTTTTACCCAATCTCGTTGATGTCGAGAGCGATCTGTTCTATGAGTCTCTTAACAATCTAGGCTATGGGTATTCAGGCCCGTTCAGGGCTTTATCCGATTTAAAAAGGAAGTTGGATATAGGCACGGGCTTACTTATAAATCCACATTTTGCGGATCCCAAAATCGGACTTATCATTCATCCTGGGCTATTAGATGCCACCTTTCAATCTTTATTTCTTGCCTTCTGCTGGCCAGGAGATGGGAGTCTCAAGGAGCTCTATGTGCCCACCAAAATCCAGAGCATCAGGATCAACCCCTATTTATGCGACCGGCTTTCTCAGGATGCACAACTATCTTTTGATTGTACGTTAACACATAGAACCTCTATGCTAGTTCGCGGAGATGTGGCTCTGTATCCAGCCAACGGTGGACATGCTATCTTGCAGGCTCAAGGGGTTTCTGTGGTGCCTTTTGCGCCATCAACCGAAGCACACGATCGTCAGCTGTTCTCGCGCATCGACTGGGGACTCGCTTCTATAGATGGAGAAGCGGCCGCGTCAGACGATCAACCTACCGTGGAGGAACAGCAGTTTGCATCTGTTGCAGAGCAAACTGCGTTATGGTATATTCAGAAGCTTCTCGACGACGTGACCGAGGAGCAGTGGGCGAATTCAGAATGGCATCACAAACAGCTCCTTCATTATGCAACCGACACTGTCTCGAGTGTTGCTAGTGGAAAGCGCAGATTCGTGCAGAAAGAATGGTTGCTCAATTCCAGGGAGCGTATTGTTGACCTAATGCAAATGTGAGTAGATTCAGTAGATTCAGTAGTTTCCTTGTATTTCTAGTTGGTTATATTTGTCTCTTTCTAAGCGGCTATACCCTTCTACTTCCGAAATCAAGCGTATTAATTTCATGTTTATTTCTGTTCTCCTGATTGTACCACGTGCGATTAATGGTTATGTCCGACCGTACGCAATCTATAACTGACTTTAATGCTAGATACCCGAATAGCTTTGAGCTAGAACTTCTTCGTGCCGTTGGAGAAAATTTGGCCGCTGCGGTTCGAGGAGAAACAAATATCCTAGAGCACATGATGCGCGATAATATGTTGGAGCGGCTCTACGCTGAAGGCACTGGAGTCGGGAAGCAGACACTTTTCTTGGGCCGCATGGTTGGACAGCTGGCTCATCGATACCCACATATGAAAATCCTTGAAATAGGTAAAAGTTGAATTCTCTAGCTTTAGCCAGTTGCTAATCTTCCCTATAGGTGCGGGGACTGGTGGGGCTACCAAGAGTGTTTTCAAACATATTGGTCAAGCGTTTACTTCCTATACTTTCACAGATATATCCACTGGCTTCTTCGAGAAAGCCCAGAACATCTTCGAAGACCATAGGTCGCGGATAATATTCAAGGCGCTTGATATCGAGAGGGATGTTGACGCACAAGGATTTAGCCAAGGAACATACGACTTGGTTATCGCATCCTTAGTCCTTCACGCTACAGCTAGTATTGAGGCGACGCTAATAAATGCCCGCAAACTCTTGAAACCAGGTGGCTTCCTGATCATGTGCGAGCTAACAAATCCCCCTCCTTTGAGAATGGGATTTGTATTTGGCGGGCTGCCTGGGTGGTGGCTAGGGGTGGATGATGGCAGAACCCTATCACCATGTATTAGCTCTGCTGATTGGCATACATGTTTGAGAAAAACTGGTTTCTCTGGGGTGGATACCATAACTCCGGAAGGCGATGGTTTGGTCCGGCCTGGCTTCGTCATTGCGTCTCAGGCCATCGACCAACGGGTCACAGCCATACGTCGGCCTTTGGTATCTCGAGAAGGGGTGCCCCAAATTTCCGAGCTATTTATCCTTGGAGGTACCGCGCTACACACTTCACAGCTTGTCGATCGGATTCTCGAGACTCTGCGTCCATATTCCACGAAAATCACAAAGGTCAATATTCTCGAGGATCTAGACTGGGGTGTTGTTTCTTCAATGAGTGTAGCGCTTAGCATCACCGAACTTGATGAACCAATGTTTAAATGTATGACGAAGGAGAAGCTTGAAGGTATCAAACAATTGTTTGACCAGGCGAGGTCAGTGCTTTGGCTTACTCGAGGCTGCCGGTCAGCAAATCCTTATTCAAACATAACTGTAGGGTTTAGTCGTTCTCTGGTGGAAGAGATGCCCCATGTCCGACTCCAGCTTCTAGACATAGATCCTGAAGCACAGCCTGATCCTCATTTCATCAGCGAGTCGCTTCTTCGTGCACACATGCTGGATGTGTGGGAAGATGACCGGTCTCAGGGTAGTCTGTTATGGTCCAAAGAACCGGAGATGGTGCAAGAGAAATCTAAATGTCTCATCCCTCGACTAATCGCTAATAAGCCTCGAAATGATGTTTATAACTCCGGCCGGCGAGTAATCACCAAGGAGATAGACCCGAGGAAGTCAAAAGTTTACCTTCACCATACTGGGTCAGGTTACGAATTGAAAGATATTCAGAGTATTAATGCCAAGGGAAACACCAACGACGATAAAATGGTTCACATTGCTGTCACACATTCATTGGTTTCATCGATACGGTTATCTTTAACAACGGTTCTCTTTCTCGTCCTTGGATCGAACCTCAAAAATAATAAAACTGTTCTGGGTTTAGCTAAGACGAACGCGTCTATTGTGGAAGTTTCTTCTCAATGGGCATTCGATTGTGATATCGCGCTAGGTAAAGAGGTAGACTTCTTACGTGTGGTAGCAAATGAGCTTGTGGCACACTACGTGGCATCTGAAGAGCTTGTCTCCACCTCGGTGGTAATCCATGAGCCTCACCCAGACATGGCGGCTGCACTCTGTCGGCATGCATTGCAAAACGACATCAACATACTATTCACCACTCATGACGCCGAGAAGCAAGGATTGACTAGCCCTTGGGCCTATATCCACCCGATGGCACCTGGTCATGAGATTGCACAAGCAATCCCTGATAATACCTCCCTATTTGTCAATTTTACATCAGATACACAGCCGATAAGGGGTGGCTCTAGCATCCAACCATGTCTTCCTCCAAGTTGCAAGGTCGTAAACAGAGCGTCGCTTTTTGGTGCTTCGTCTCAATTGCCACCAAAGGCTGCCCACGGTTGGATACCCGTCGTTCTCCATAATTCATTTAAAATCCAAAGAGACCTGGCATGCGGCAACAAATCGCATATGATTGGACCGACGTTCTCACTTGAGCACGTCTTGAAGTCTTCAAGTATTGAGCCGTTGGCCGTAGTTGATTGGACGATTTCGGATACCGTTCCCCTAACCCTTGAGCCTATTGACTCAGGAGATCTATTTTCCGCAGATAAAACGTACATTCTCTTCGGACTGACGAGCGACCTTGGGCAATCTCTATGCACATGGATGGTCCAGCGAGGAGCAAGACACGTTGTTATGACAAGTCGTCACCCGAAAATTGAGGATGCCTGGATTCAGAGTCTCCAGAGCCGCGGTGCAACAATAAAAGTTTTCTCAAAGTATAAACTCCGCAGTGCTCCTATTAGAATCGTTAACTGACTCCCACAGCGATATTACCGATAAGAATGCTTTGCAGATGCTTGTTCAAGAAATCAGAAGCACCTGCCCACCAGTTGGCGGTATTGCAAATGGGGCAATGGTCCTTCAAGATATGTTAATAAACGATCTTGACATTGACAATCTGCTCAGAGTCCTAAAACCGAAAGTTGATGGGAGCTTGTACCTCGACGAACTGTTTCATGATGATAACCTTCAATTCTGCATATTCTTTTCCTCACTTGCTTGCGTGTATGGGAACCCTGGCCAGGCTAATTATGGCGGTGCGAATGCGTTTATGTGTGCACTTGCGTCTCAGCGCAGAAGCCGAGGCCGCGCAGCCTCAATTCTGCATATCGGGGCAGTTATGGGGGCTGGTTATGTAACCAGAGAAGGTACCCAATTTCTTCTTCAGTCGTTGTCCAAGGCAGGATGGCTGTGGCTGTCTGAACGTGACTTTCAGCAATCCTTTGCGGAAGCAATACTACTTGGTAGCTCAGACTTTGAACAGAACCCTGAAGTACTTGTTGGAGTCCGGAAGGTAGAACCGGAGGAGGGGGCTGAAAAACAATGGTATGATAACCCCAAGCTCTCGCACTGCGCCAACGAGCAGGACAACCTCGAGGTTAAGAAGAGTGACACTGCTACCGTCGTATCTCTCAAGGCCAAGTTACTGGGAGCAAATACCGAAAACGAAGTTTATGAGATTTTAAAAGGTAAATTCCAAATGCTCGTGACACAATGAGTTAGGGGGCTAACAATCCGTAGAATCGTTCTTGGCTAAACTTCAAGTTGTACTACAACTCGACTTAGAAGGAAAAGGAGACTCAATTATTGAGAAGGGTGCCGATAGCCTAGGCATAGACTCATTAATTGCGGTTGAAATACGGTCATGGTTTTTAAAGGAGTTTCTAGTTGACATCCAAGTTCTCAAAATTCTTGGAGGCGCCACTATCGGTGAGATTCTCGACAGTGCGCTGGTAAAACTCCCTCGTGAGTTGATTCCCAACGTAACTGCTTCTGATGCACCTGCGACGACATCGACTCAGGGCCACGGAGAAATCCCTCTACACCCTGAAAGACAAGACTCGACGTCATCAGCCTCACTAGTTACTGGCACATTAAGTCGGACGCCGACATCTGCGTCGTCGTTCGTTAAGATCGAAAAATCCCAGTTCATTTCAAATACTGATTTTATGAGGAAGGAAGAGATGGGTTTTGGTCAGTCTAGGTTTTGGTCTCTGAGAAGCCTTCTTGATGACCAAACAACTTTTAATATTGTGTGTTCTGGTCGCCTCAGTGGCCCCTTGAGGGTAGAAGACCTTGATAAGGCGATCTCAAAAGTGGCTCAGATGCACGAAGGCTTACGTACAGCCTTCATCGAAGAAGGGCAAGTCTACCGCCAAGCTATCCTCCCTGCGTCGACAGTGCATCTCGAACGGCACACCATTGCCAACAAGGAAGATGTCGCCCGCGAGCATAAAGCTATGAGTGATTATGTTTTTGATCTCGAGCATGGCGAAACCCTTAGAATTATGCTTCTCTCGCAATCCTCCATTAAGCACTTCTTGGTTATAGGGTACCACCACATTGTTATGGACGGAATTAGTCTTGAGATATTCCTTTCGGATATCTCCAAAGCATACAATGGAGAGATACTGGCCTTCAAAGGCATTCACTACTGTGACTATTCTATTCGAGAGCGAACGAAAATCAAGACCGGTCAAATGGACTCCGAGCTCTCATTTTGGCGGAAAGAGTTTATTGACGCCCCCGTGCCGTTGCCCCTATTGCCATTTTCGGCCATACGATCTCGTCAGCATCTTACGGATTACAACTACAACGAGGTTAATCATAGAGTCGATTCCGGAATGTCCTCTCAAATAAAAGAAATTTGCAAGGAACACAAAGTCACACCCTTCCACTTCTATTTGGCAGCTTTCAAAACACTTCTACTCCGACTGCTCCCCACTGAAGACATATGCATCGGAATGGCAGATGCGAACAGGGTGGATAATGATATATTAGAGAGCATAGGAATGTTCCTCAACCTCCTTCCTTTACGGTTCCGGACATACCCCAAACAAACATTTGAGGACGCGTTGAAGGAGACTAGAAGAAAAGTATACGCAGCATTGGCCAATGGTAAAGTTCCGTTCAACATCCTCCTAGAAGAGCTCGATGTCCCACGATCTGCAACGTCCTCTCCTATGTTTCAGGCTTTCATCAACTACCGTCAAGGCGTGCAAGAAAGGAGAGCATTTGGTGACTGCCAAGTGGAGGGCCTAGAGTACCAGGTCGCGCGCACTTCATATGATATATCCTTAGACATCATGGACAACCCAGGTGGAGATTCCGTTATCACTTTTATGGTCCAAAAGGCCCTTTATCCAAGCCGAGAGGCCAATATTCTTATGGAATTCTTTCTAAGCCTGCTTGATACCTTTTCTAGAAATCCTCGGATCGGGGCAGACTCGGCCCCTCTGTTCAGCAATGAGAGTATCCAAAAATCACTGAAGCTTGGGCAAGGTTGGTGCACCGAAAACATACAATCAACACCACTAGTTTCCAGATAACTCATACATGATAGGACCAACGCTGCAATCAAAGTGGGGCGCTACCGTGTGCCACCAGATTGATAGCATTATTCACGAACGAGGGTCTGCCATCGCGGTAAAAGATGGGATATCATCCGGTCTGACATACCAGGCGCTTTCAGACCGGTCCGCTGCTATATCTGCTGCTCTACTCCAAAGTAACTGGCGGGACGGCTCAACGGTCGCCGTATTCCAGGAGCCTTCTTCGGACTGGGTAAGCTCATTTCTTGCCATCATGCGAATCGGTGGGATATATGTTCCTTTGGACCCAATGAATTCCCCCCACCGGTTGGCCGCCGTTGTTGCGGATTGCAAGCCTGTAGCAATTCTCGGCCACGAAGTGACGCTCACCGCCGGAAGATTCTTAGCAGTGGGGGATACCGCGTTAATAGATGTTTCTTCCCTTCCAAAAACCACCGCCGACCATGTGGTAAATACCGCACAGCCTGAGGGCATTGCTGCGATCATTTACACCAGTGGCTCCACAGGTGTCCCCAAGGGCATCATTTTAAAACACTCCGGCATACTCAACGCGCTAGAAGGAGCCAGTCATGACCTCTCACTTGGCTCTCCAGTTGTCTTGCAGCAAACTGCGTTTACTTTCGACATGTCCCTGTTGGAAGCACTTCTCGCTCTCCCCAATGGCGGGACAGTATATGTTGTACCCAAGTGCAGCCGCAGGGACCCGATTGCCATCACAGAGATCATCGTGAAAGAACATATCACACTCACATTCGCTACACCTTCCGAGTATATGAGCTGGCTTCATTATGGAATATCCTTGAAATATTCGAGCTGGACAGTGGCCTTCTCAGGTGGAGATACATTTACTCCGAGTCTAAAGCATAGCTTCCAAACACTCTCGAAGGATAATCTACGCCTTTACAACATATACGGGCCTACAGAAATTAGTTTCACGAGTCATACAACGCAGCTAGATTACGGACAAAGCTCAAGTTCTGCAAGCAGCTCTGAACGCATACCTGTAGGCTTTGCCTTCCGGAATTCCTCGACTTATATCGTGGACGATAAGTTGGAACTTGTACCGGTGGGGTTTCCAGGCGAGGTGGTAATTGGAGGAGCAGGGGTTTCCCCAGGCTATCACAACAATGATGACCTCACAACCCGAACCTTTCTCGACGACACATATGCTTCCTCCGAGTATCTCGCTCGGGGGTGGACGAAGATGCTCCGAACAGGTGATAGAGGTCGACTCCGAGATGATGGTGCTTTGATAGTAGAGGGCCGGATTTCTGGGGATACGCAGATAAAATTGAGGGGCATACGGATCGACCTCCAAGATATCGAAGCCGTTATCTTGCAGAGCGCGAATTTAGCACTCCGAGATGTGGTGGTCTCATTCCGTTCCGAATCTCAAGCCATAGTTGCTCATGTGGTGTTCCGTCCCGATTATCCGGTTATCAGGAGGGAGGGATTCCTAAAACATTTGTGGTCTTCCCTCCCTGTGCCACATTATATGCGGCCAACATTTATCATTCCATTGGATAGCTTGCCTATGACGTATCATATGAAAGTCGACCGGATAGCGATTCAAGCTATTCCTATCCCACGATCTGAGCAATCGAGCGAATCCCAAGCCCTCACACAGACAGAAAGCCAGCTGAAGAAAATTTGGGAAAGTGTCCTCTCTACCGAAGCCCTGAAATTCCATACTCTTCATGCCGACGCGGACTTTTTCTATGTCGGTGGAAACTCTGCGCTGCTCGTGCGATTGCAATCATTGATTCGAAAATCATTTGATGTTGTCCTACCCCTCTTTCAGCTTTTTGAAGCTAGTACACTAAAAAGTATGGCATCGAGGATTGAAAACACCATTCCAGCAGACACCATAGACTGGGAAAAGGAGACGTCGCTACCGTCTTCTCTCCCTGGCTTGTCAGCTATCAGCAAGCCGGGAAATATTACATCAAGACACCGCACTGCCAAAGTAGTACTCCTCACTGGTTCGACCGGTTTCCTTGGGCGATCCATTCTGCGGCTCCTCGTCGATGATGCCCAAGTCTCTAAAATACATTGCGTAGCGGTTCGACAACTGGATCCTCAAGGGGAGCGCACTTTGCCGATTACCTCCGAGAAGATAGTCGTGCACCTGGGAGACATGACAGAGCCACTTCTCGGCCTTTCTGAGACAAAGTTTGCGAACCTAGCACAAGAAGTCAATATCATTATCCACAACGGTGCCCAGAGGTCATTCTGGGAGTATTATCAATTGCTGCGCAACGCCAATGTCTCAAGCACCAAGGAGCTGGTGAGGATGGCAGCATTGCACAAGATTCCCATTCACTTTATCTCATCAGGTGGGGTATTTAATTTTAGTCAGGGTGAGAATAACTTCTCTGCAAGGTCAGCTACGGATTTTCATCCTCCCACGGATGGATCGAATGGCTATGTCGCATCAAAATGGGCCAGTGAGAAGTGCCTAGAAAATGCTGCAGAAGCCTTTGGAATTCCTGTCTGCATATATAGAACCATCCCCGCTGTCAAGAGGTCTTCATCCCCTTCAGCCATCAAACAGGAATTTCTGAGGTTATCTCGCGAGATGAAAACCCTCCCAGCATCAAGTGGATGGACTGGAGAGGTAGACCTCCTGCCTGTTGAGACCGTTGCCCAAGGCATCTGTACGAGCTCTGTGAAGGACGAACATACTGGTAACGCTCCTTCTATAAGGTTTATTCATTACGACGCCCAAGTAAAGTTACTTGCAAGTGAACTGTCGGAATACCTAGAGAGCAACTGCCACGAGAAGGCAACCTTCAAACGGATCCCTGCTCTTGAGTGGGTTGGAGAGATTAAAAAGCTCGATTTTAAGTACCTGTTTGCTTCGCAGAATATCATCTTAGACTCCGGGGATGGCTCGGCCGACAACCATCTTGTTTCCAGGAGATAAGCGGACTGTTATGGGTTATCTTACGGATTACATCTGTTTCTATCAGTCCGGGTTACGAGTAGACAATTTGTGTGTACAAATAATTTAGCACATGTGCTTGTCCAAAGCGAGGATGCCCTGCGTCCAACACGACGACACCAAACAAATGTATAAAAACCTTGAGGTTTTGCCTGATACTTGTGTGTCTTGTATGCGTCAGAACAGAGTACAGATTACATTACTCGTACTCGGATGTCGACGGCCCGAGGCGCGCATCATAATATCATAGTATCATGATGCTCACCGAATGAAAACCCGACAGGGTGTATAAGGGTACAACCGGGTTGCCACTTTCCGAATCAGGATGCACAAAGTCCACACCATTTCGGCGTCATCGAACACCTTGTGCGCACAACACTTAAATAGCATGCCCTGTCTATCTAACGCGCACCGGGTATTTGGGTGAGATGTGAATATAAGTAAGGCGCCGCTCCCGGCGCAGGGCCGCAGTAGTGCGAAGGAGGCGAAATATCAAAACAATAAAAATATACCACGGTTTCAGGCATGGCAGATGCGAACGAATACATTGAGGATGGCCGGAGGGTCGAAGGAGAGAGTGGCGTGAGCGCCACTAGGGATACTATTGCACATGAACCTCCGCTAAACTCTACTTTCACTCGTCTAAGGGAGAAGAATAACAGCAATGAGGAGCCCACGGGTGATATTCAGCCAGACAACAATGAAAGCGATCCCAAATCACAGCGTGGTATCCGCTTCTGGTGCATCATATTGGCTCTTTGCGTCTCTGGGATCTTGTCGGCGCTCGAAGGAACCGTCGTGTCGACAGCATTGCCCACAATTGTGCACGAGCTGGGCGGAAGCGGACTTTACATCTGGACAGTCAATGGATATTTCTTGACGAGGTCAGTAATCCCAAAGGACTCTTCGAAACCTCTGGACTGGGGTGCCATGAATCTTATTCTTATGTGGATCACTAATAGATGAATCCAGCATGGTCTTCCAACCCCTTTATGGACAGACAGCAAATATTTTCGGTAGACGTTGGCTTATGATCCTAGCTATAACACTCTTCATCGTCGGCAGCGCTATTGGCGGCGCATCGCAAAGTATCTCGATGCTCATCGCCGGAAGGGTTGTGCAGGGCACTGGAGGTGGCGGGATTACCGTCATTAGTAACCTAATTATTAGCGATATTGTGCCCCTCCGAGAGCGAGGCGCTTTTATGGCCATTATATTCGGCACTATTATTGTCGGAACCGGTATTGGACCTTTCGTTGGAGGTATCATCGTGCAGAATATTAGCTGGAGATGGGTTTTCCTGATCAACCTACCGATCGGCGGACTCGCTTTACTTATCGTGGTTGCCTTCCTCCAGGTCACCTACAGGAAGGAAGCGACCGCGATGGCAAGGATAAAGCGTATCGACTTCCTTGGAAACACCATTTTTATAGCATCTCTTGTCGCTATACTTCTTGCCTTGACGTGGGCAGGCTCAACTTATCCTTGGTCGTCTTGGCGGATCCTTGTACCACTGCTGCTCGGGTTTGCTGGAATTGGGATATTTTCTATCTATGAATCCTCCAGGTTCTGTGTGGAGCCAACGATGCCGCCACATCTATTCATGAATCGTACCAGCGTCGCGGCGTTTATCCTCACTTTTATTCAGACCGCCATCCTGTACTGGGTTATGTACTATATGCCAGTATATTTTCAAGGGGTCCGTGGATCTTCGCCATCTCGGTCTGGTATCCAACTATTCCCAACCGTGCTAGTTATGATTCCGTTTGCAGCAATTGGTGGCAAGCTTCTCGCCATCTTCGGAAAATATCGCCCTTTCCACTTTGTTGGCTTCTCACTAATCGTGACTGGCCTGGGCTGCTTAACTCTTTTGCGTTCAGACTCGTCTACCGCATCCTGGGTCTGCTTCCAGGCTATCATAGCAGCAGGGCTTGGTTTCGTGTCAAGCTCAACCCTTCCGGCGGTTCTAGCTCCGCTTGAAGAGCGGGATGTTGCAACAGCAACAGGTACTTGGGGATTCCTGCGCGGCTTTGCTGTCATCTGGGGAGTTACAATCCCTGGGGCTATTTTTAACAATCAATTTGACCACCTCTCTTATCGCGTTAGCGATCCTGCGACGAGAAATCTGTTGACTAGTGGCCATGCTTACGAGCATGCTACTAGCACTTTCGTTAACTCCTTGCCGGATACCATCAAAGGTGAAATTATCAGCGTCTATTCAGACACACTCAAGCTGGTTTGGCAAGTGGCCATTGGAGTTGCTGGGGTTGGGGTTTTGCTTGTGTTTATGGAGAAGGAGATCAAACTGCGGACTGGGCTCAATACCGAGTTTGGAATGAAGAGAGAGGTTAAGCCGCGTTCGTCGCCAGACGTTTGAAATAGAGCCAGTATGAATATACGAAAGTCTATCTTTATTCTCGAGGCGAAAATCCATATCCGTGATCTTACTGGTTCACGAGCATGTTATCTCAGAAGCTAGGCGCATCGATTAGCGGATCTAACGGCATTCCCTTCCGGTCTATTGCACGGGACCAAGCCACGGGATGCAAGTTGGTGAGCTTCAAATTTTATGTACTGAGCTTTTGTATAGAAGAGGCGTCCAGCATGCTTAGACCTTACATTTTTGCATTACGTCACACTTTACTGCATTATACATAGCGGGCTACATGGGTACAGTTTCATTCGAATCCACCAGACAATTGATACTCCCAAATACCAGCTATCATCCGAATTGAGACACCACGGCAGCAAATATGAAGAACCAAGCAGGAACATCAAGCACCCACAACCGTGGCCCATTTAACCCCGCAAAGTAAGCCATCGCCGACGATACATCCGATACCTTGCCTTGATTCGTCCACAAAGCCTTCCTGACCCGTGCTGCGTATTGGTAGGGAAAGCAGTGGATGACGGTCAACACAAATCCAACGGTATACAACTGCTTAGTCTGCGTACTCATTGTATCCGCTGGGTCTACTAGCAAATTAAGACCCAATAAGGCGATGGTTGCAGGATAGGCAGTGCCGCAGACCCATATCACTCGCCATGTATAATTGTATAGCCAGAGCGGAAGAGTCTCGTTGGCTGGTTGTCGTCCGCCTGAAAGTGCTTCGGCGAATGTTGAGAAAGCTATCTGCTGGTCGAGGACGCCAGTTATGCTAAAGTACAATCACAAGTATTAGTCATTGATCCTTGAATCATGAAATAGAGAAGTCCTTTTTTTTATTACAATGCTGTAGATGCAACGAGAGGCGCGAGCCGAAGAGATGTAAGCGCGGGGCCGTCAAATGAGAACAATCCGAGCGACATTTCACTGAAGATAATTCTGTTCTAATGGGACCAAAATTGTGTTTTCAAGAAATCCCAAATATTCGTTGTCTGTACGTTTGCCGCTGGATTATAAGTTTCATAGTTTTTCGGTCCTTCTATGTTGTCCATCGGCGCCGAGGGTGTAATATGACGCAGTCAGCTTGCCATCCTTACACGTAGGAATGTCCCCGAACCTGCACTCTCTCCGAAAATACAGCGGCTTCGGTGACTGTTACTTTATGCAATACTGTTGATGGGTACGCACCATTAAACCGGAAGTTCTTGAGAATTGGAATATGCCGGGGTTGTATACGCTGGCGTACGAAGGAATTAACTAACTGCTTTAATTTTATATGATGGAGGTAGCCTTTTCCTTATATTTCATCTCATTTCTAAATAATAATTATCTAGTAGATAATTGTCATGGCTTTCAAATCAAATGTTTTACTGCTATTCGGAGGCCTTTTCTTCCTCTCCTTTGGATTTCGCAATATCTCTCTACTTTTGTCCAAACGTAGGGCATCTAAGAAGTATGGCTGCAAACCGGCATTCCAGGTTCCCCAATCTGAGACTATTATCGGATACGGTCTCTTGAAAGAGCAATTGAAGGCGATGGATGATAAAAATGTACTTGGTTACATGGCCAATCGGTTCCGCAAGTATGGCAATACCTTCGCTGCGGAGATGATGGGAGAATCTTTCATCGGAACTATTGAGCCTGAGAACATCCAGGCAATATTAGTGACAAAGTTTGATGACTTCGGAATTCAAGGAAGGAAACACGCGTTTGGGCCCCTACTTGGGAATGGCATATTCACCTCGGATGGCGCTCAATGGAGACATTCCAGGGTACCAGCAGCCCTTTTGTTTCTTTTGGGCTTATATCACTATGCTAATCTTGTGGGCAGAAGGCTGATATAGTTGTATCTAGGCTCTCATCCGCCCTAGCTTCGTCAAGTCACAAATTTCTGACCTCGATATATTCGAAACTCATATCCAAACACTAATTTCCCTAATTCCCCACAATTCCGACACCGTGGACTTACAACCGCTTTTCTTCCGCCTCACGCTCGACAGCGCGACCGAGTACCTATTTGGCAAATCTGTAGCGTCACTTCACAATGTTGATGGACCTGAGCGAGACTTCGCAACCTCCATCGACTACGCGCTCAGTGAAATACCAAGAAGATATCGTTTTGGGCGGTTCAACTGCTTCCGCCGAAATAAGAAGTTTATCGAGGCTTGCAAGACAGTTCATGATTATGTTGATCCATTTGTTCACGCAGCATTACAGGGGCAGCCAAAGGATGACAAAGAAAAGGGGAGGTATACGCTTCTCTACGAGCTTGCAAAAGCGACACAGGACCCTATTCAATTACGGCACGAGTTATTGAATATTTTAGTTGCTGGACGAGATACTACTGCAAGCCTGCTTAGCAGTGTCATTTTCATTCTCGCTCGACGACCGGATGTCTGGGCGAAGCTGAACGCGGAGGTGCAAAGATTAGGAGGCAAACGGCCGGACTACGAGACGTTGAGACAGATGAAATATCTTAAATATATTGTTAATGAAGGTATGTGGATACTGGTAATTCTATTTTCAATATCATCCCCATACTCATATGCTCTTTTTAGCACTCCGGTTATATCCTGTTGTGCCTGCCAACAGTCGATATGCCGTTCGCAACACTACCATTCCCACCGGGGGCGGCGTAAACGGAAAATCTCCCATATTCGTTATAAAGGGCCAGATTGTGATGTACTCAGTAATGCATTTACATCGAAGGAAAGATATCTACGGTCCAGATGCCGATGAGTTTAAACCAGACCGCTGGGAGACCCTCCGGGCTGGGTGGGCATATCTACCATTTAACGGTGGGCCACGAATATGTATTGGGCAGCAGTTTGCACTCACTGAGGTGAGCTACATGCTTGTAAGATTTGTTCAGGCGTTTAAAGGCATAGAGAGTAGAGATATGGAGCCATGGAAGGAAAGATTAGGCGTTACGCTCTCAAGTTTAAATGGCGTGAAAGTTGTTCTAACTCCACGGTAATAATTACAAGTTGTGCCTAGATAGCTAGCTCTGAAGTTTAATTTATTTTACTCAACATATATTTCCCTTTCCCTACGTATTCAGAAGCAACCCTTTCTAGTTGGAGGTTTATTGATGGCAATCACTTTAGCCACTTTTACCTATATATATAAGGGGTTACAACTCCATCTTTCTTACCGCCATTAACCATCCTAATAGTTCTTTTTAGCAGGTTGAGGGGCCCTCCAGACCCTCAACTATACCCATGTGACACGGCAGGGCGGAAAATGTGCCTTATATGGATTGTAAAAGCGCTACGGCACTTTCGATCCCTACTTCAGTTAAGTACATTACTACAGGGCCTCTATTAGGCACGATTAATTCGGCTTGGCATCGATTCCTCTGGAAAACCCATTATAATTTCGGCATTGAGACATTGTCGGGGGTCTTTATGCACCTGGGAATTTACCCCTGATGGTCCGTAGCACCGAGTCCGAATTGATAAATTTCCGAACCCAGTCATCCTGTCTCCGAATCCACCGAACAAATAGCTGCACAATTCTCCAAATAGGAAACGCCCATTTATCACAATATGCCACAGCCGCTACGTAGCTAGGACGTATCCTGGATGGGAAATTCTGAAAGACAGCTCCTTGTTTAAGTAAGGTAATCTGGCAATTTCACTTCACAGCCAACGACCTTTCTATAGCAATATCGCCATAATTCCAGCAGCAACAGAAATGCCTGATCTCCCTACCACCCATACAGCGATCAAGCAGGGTGCTGGGGGCATATTGAAAGTCCAAACCGCCCCCGTTCCCGAACTCTTTGAGCCTGGTATGATCCTCGTGAAAACCATCGCCGTCGCCCTCAACCCTTGCGATTATAAGATGCCCACCCGGTTTCCCACGCCAGGCGCAACAGACGGCTCAGACTTTGCTGGAATTATCGTGAAGATCGGGACTGCTGTTCAGCGGACAGATTTACATATTGGTGATCGTGTTTGTGGTGCAGTGCACGCGTCGAATCCGGCATGTTTACAGTCAGGCTCGTTCGCCGAGTACGTTGCCACATATTCGGATCTAGTGTTAAAAGTACCGACAGATATGGCATGGGAGAATGCAGCCGTAATAGGTGGTTGTGTCCATGGGAGCGTCGGGCTCTCCCTTTGGAACTCACTTCATTTGCCCGGCCACCCTGATAGGCCTACAAAAACTCCTGAATACGTACTTGTGTATGGTGGGTCAACTGCCAGTGGAACTATGGCAATTCAGTTGGTGAGGTGGTAAGTACATTCTCAGCAGTGCCCTTTTTGATACGCGATGCGAGTTTCTCGCTAAAAGAAAGGGGGTTGATCAGTTAACAATTGTTCAGCGCTGGAATGAAATGTATCACCACTTGCTCACCAAAGAATTTTGACCTTGTAAAGTCGTACGGCGCTGAAGAAGCATTTGATTACAATGACCCTGGGTGTGCTGAGAAAATCAAAGCCTACACAGCGAATAGGTTGAAGTACGTTTTCGACATTATCACAGAGACAAAGACTATGAAATTGTGCTATGGAGCCTTGGGCCGAGTAGGAGGAAGGTACACAGGGCTGGAATATTTTAACCCAGCCCTCGCGGAAGGCCTCAGAAAAACTGTTAAGGCGGATTGGGTCATTGGGCTGGTCCTCCCTGGAAAAGGAGTTGGTTTGCCCAGTGGATATGGTCGTGAGCCTGATCCTGAGGCTCGGGAATTCGGACGTAGGTGGTTCGAGACAATGCAGAGATTGGTAGACGCAAAGAAAATTAAGTCACACCCACCTCGTGTGATGACTGGCAAATTTCAAGGAATCCTAAAGGGAGTAGAGATCATGAGGCGGAAAGAGATTTCTGGGGAGAAACTTGTCTACTTTATTAATTAAAGATGACCGTATGTAAAATAATACTTAATGCTAAGGAAAATGGAAGCATTAATTGGTCTATATTCCATCATTTGCTAGTATATCCCACCATTTGACCCCACAAGAAATCAGAATAAAAGTGGAAGAAAACTATTCAATAAAATAGTATGGCACTGTTTTACTCAGCCCCTACTACTAGTCTATTATGTACACTTTCCAGAAAACCTCTAAGCCAGCTTTAAAGTACCATAATGTCCAAACACCCGATCAGGTCCCTGAGAGAAAGTGTTGGACAAGTTCGTTAACCAAACCATGGAAGGGCTTACCACTTTAGTGGAATTTCCTATTAATTACCTACAGTACTAGACATTAAGTATTAGCCTTAAGCGAAAAATACCATTTTCTTTATAGAACTACAACTATTAAACTTTTCAATAACTACATCAAAATAAGAGCAATTCGTATACAAAGTAGATGAAATTAGTCGTAAATCAAATGTAAACAATTCTACTAATCCAAATTAGGCTCTATCCTCCCTAATACTTTGTATGCTACCCACTTGCCTCAATATAGGCCTGAATCCGCCGTGGCATATTCTCAACAAGAGACTCAAAAAGAGAGTCGGGTAACGCTTCCCAAGTTGCCTATAAAGCTTCCTCTAGGTCCTTCCGATCTTGCTCCGACTTTCCTGTAACTGTAGCTAAGTGTGGGAACATTGTAAATACTATCTTCTTTAAAGCCTACCAGACGTTCTCAATTAGGTTCAGATCAGGAGAGAAAGGAGGCCAATCAGTAACGTCTATTCCGTGTTCTTCGAACTATTCCTTAACTTTCTTTGCAGTATAGATAGGGGCGTTGTCTTATATGAAAATAAGATCGTCTGTATAATAGTCGAGGAGAACAGACTAGAGAACGTCGATATAGGAAGCCGCTGAGTAGCTATTCTTCTTGGACTCAAAGTCACGGTCCATTATATAGAGCTTTGTCTTTTGCGCATGTCCCCAAAAGGCAGCCTATACTATTACTCTCATCTGTTTTCCCTTCTTATATGTTGTAACCATCTCCGGCTTCCATTTGTCGGCAAGGACCCCAAAGACCTATTCGACTACTTTACCCCGTCCTCGCTCTACTGAACACTCATCACTCCACATATATTTCCTCCACCTTTCCACGTCCCAGTCCTTTCTAATTCGACACTAGAGTAGTCGAAGGGCAGCTACTTTTACAGTAAGCTCCGGTCGTTTCTTCGTACGCCAGTGGTGTATACCGTTTGCTCGCGCAAAGTTCTTGATATAGGAATTGCTCATTGTCAAGCTAGTATCTTCTCGACGCTGTTAGAACGTCAATTTCGGATAAGATCGGATATTTCGAAGTATAGATCGACGGTCCTGTTCGTTATAGAGAATTGGCCGGCCAGATCGAGGTAAGGAGGCTCTATTTGATCTTAATATCTCCAGGGCAATTGTACCCTTAATAGCAGGGCGAGAGACCTTCATTTCGAGCTCAATCTGGCGGGGGGGCATACTAGCGATACGCGCGCCAATAATACGCCCTCTTTTATAAGGAGTTAATTCAGGACCTTTACACTTCCTATTCCCATCAATAGGGCCTAGGGGAGAGCGTAGTTGTTCCATAGCTAGTAAAAAAAGTACAGAGGAGGAAGAAAGAGAGTCGCGAAAAGTCGCGCTTTTACGTGTTTCGGCTAATACTTAGTGTAGGTAACTGTAGGTTAGGTAGGTAATCAAAAGTGTATCCTATATAAATTAACAAATAATATTATTCCTGATTCACGGCCCTTTGCGAACATCTCATGTGTTTTGTAATGTTATTAAGTTTTTAAATTTTGACGGTTTTATACTTTATATATTTAATTAATATCCTTTCCTCCTACAATCGATATTTACAAGAATATAAATTGCCCTTCTCTTATGCGACATCTTAACGCCTATATAATTTCTCTTAGTTATTTATAGTCTTATAATTATATGAATAGTAGCTATTAGCTTGGATCTTTATACACTTCTATAAAATTTATGCTTGTGAGGAATCTCATGGCAGAAAGTTAATACACACGTAAACCTTTTACTTCATTTGTGGTCATATTGGGGTACCGATGTTCTATAGGACAGCCTGGAAACTAATTCCAAACTGTCAACTCGGAAATCATTTATAACCCCCCACAAGAAGAGTGTGTCTGGTCATCCAAATCCACGGACCATAAATGCGATGACTTCAGGATTACTCGGCTCGCATTTCTCTCACTTCTTTCGGATTATCCATTATCGAAGAGAATTTGGAGACATGCTCCCAGAGAAAGTGTAATGGGTGAGAATTGAAGTGGCGCCGATCACTTGAGCCTACTCGTTGTCGATGTCGCCGATAGGGGGGGCGGCATGAGACATATTCGGTTAAGGCGACTTGACTACCACTAGGAAGGGTTCGGCGGGAAGCGAAGAAGCGATCACGTCGACCACATCAATGAAATCCTCTTCCTATGCTTGGCTATACCTTGAAAATTCTGTTCTGGGCGTTGTGCAGCGGTGTTATTGGGGTCAAGCTGACTTCGATCCCCACACTTTCCAGGGAAGCTGGGAAACGCCCGTCGCCGCTGCAGCAACCTGGCTGACTGCTTCATGAGAAGAACCAGTAAAGCCTGGGTGGACAGCTACTAAGATACTAATGCATTGGAACCCCTGGTGCAGGACGGTGCTCTAGATCAGTTCTATAAAAAGTGCCAAGTGGTACTGGTAATGACCTCTTGAGCAACGCTTTGGAATAGACATAGGACTGCTATCGTTCAAGAACCTGGAATGTGTACGATGGTTAAATTTCCGCAATGCCATGGTCTGTGTGGGGCAATTGCTGGAAATCTTCTTCATTACTTGAGGGCCATTTTCATCTGTTATAGATGCCTTCCAATATTAACTTTTGACCTCTGTCTGTTATATTTGTGGTCATTATTTGAAGTGCGATTGACACTAGCTTGAATTATCAATTATCTATTAGACTCCATTATAGTTCTTGAACACCACTTCCCAATTCTGCGAAACAAGACTATTAGGATAGCTTGGATTAGTACAAATTTCCTTCGACGCATGATCATGCCGGAATTGCCATTGAAGATATGCTACAGCCGCCTTAGCATACTTGCCGCCATTCGTAGCCTGGAAAGTTCCATAATGACCAGCATCAAGATTAGCTTTGAAAGCTGGCACCCCTGGTCTTGTAAGGGGATAATCTTTCTCCGCCTGAAGAGAGATGAGGTATTAGCTTTGGTTCGTCCAAGTCAAAAGCAAAGGGCGATCATACCAGAACATAACCTAAATCCAAGAGTCCGCCCATAAACCACGCAATGGGCACCTTGATCTCTTGGAGGAGATATCGTCTGGTATCTGAAAATATCCCAATATCGAACATCAGAATTTGCTTAACTCTCTCGTCGTGATACGCCATCGATAGGGCCTCCAGTCCACCGCAACTATGGCCAGTGGCTGCGATTTTGTTTCTGTCGATTTTACCGTATTTTGATGCACCTCCGCTCATTGCCCAATCTACCGATTCCCTCGAGTGATGGACGAATGATAGGGTACCGTTGATTCCACCGGGGATCCCATCAGCAGCGATCACGTATCCCCAGCTTGCGACTTCCGTCAGGAAATACCGATATGTTGCTCCATCCATTGCACAATCACCATTTGCCCAAGACAGGAACGGCATCTTGACATTTCGAGGACAGTTTATGGGCGCATAGACGGTGTGATTGGGAAGTGTAGGGTCGGTGTACATTTTTGCTGGATATGGCCCAGAGCCCTGGGTCAGCACCCCGCTGCCTGGGGCAGGTGCTTCGGGACCAGGTGTTGGAACTGGGAAAGTTGGATATAAAGACATCATTTCATCATGGCCGCTTGCAAATATCCCTCCGATAATCGTGTTGTCGCCTTTGACAGGGAAGACGCCTGGGGCAGGGACGAATTCTTCTTCTTGCCCAACGGCAAGGGCAGCAAATGCCGCCAGAAACAAAGATATATACAACATGATTGCTCAGAGCTGTTTGATTTTGATGGTTAGCAAGTACGAGGAGGCGAGTCGCGAGCCCTCTTATACATCTCTGCCCTGCATGATGTTTGACAAACTACGTATGTTATTTCTCGGCAGATGGATAGTTCCTGCAGAATATGAGTGTTTGGGGAGGATGCAGCAATATTCCCCTCTGTCAAATGCACAGTGTACATACGGTGTGCAGTTCGTCAACCAGTTCATGCATATTGAACGCCTGGAAAGCTGTGATAATGCAAGCCGGAACTCTCTCAACCATTCAAAAGCAATGGTGGTGCATATATGCCTGCCTTCTGAGCAACTTTCTGGTAATGCAGAGGTGGGGTCACTGGGGGTAGAGTAAGAAGCGGCTCTCGCGGGGATGGAGCCAACCGACTAATACTTTCGAACCTGCTTTAAGGAATAACAGCACAGCAACTTCTAATAGCAAAATCTGCTGAAGTAGAAACGTAACGCACCCCTGATCTCTCAGTTTGCTACAGCTTCTGAGCTTTTGGAGTTCGGTGGTGGTTCAAGGAAATGCTTCCATATTGCCTACTCGTACGTTTCTATTTGGTGTTGACTTGTCGACCGGTGAGCGGGGTATGGAGCAACTGCAACGCTGCAACGCTGCAACGCTGCATGGCCGGGTACTTACTAAGTCTTACTTGGATCCTCGGAAAAGCTCCCCCAGGCGAAGTATTGAAACTTCAGTGGCCAATCCCCAATCGAAAAGGTCCTCGGCTCATGGATATGGGCAGGCGTTACGTGAATAACATAGCCAGGCTTGAGCCAGGCCTGGTATGGGTTCCTTGGCTGTTTTCGTTGGGACTAAATATGCTTGTCCCCATAACTTGGAACGGGAACGGGCCGCTGATGTCTTCCTTTGTCAGATACTAAAATAAGTAAGATGTGAGACAATCTGTCCACGTTTCTAATGTTCAACTAGTTGCGATGCGGGTTCAGCGTACTTCGTATACGACTGAGAATTGGAGGAATCATGCCAGGGCCATGGTGGCGGATATGGGTTTGCACGCCCGTGCGTTTGCTGGGCTTTTCGGAATTGCCAGCAACGTGGCCCGGAGCTGTTGTAGATATTTCTGGAGCACGTTCTAAGTATAGGTATCTAGTAGTGGACAGGGACGGAGTATAGCCATCTCAGTACGATCGCCACCGTCTGAATAATTTTGCACACTTTTATGCCTCTGGAAACTAAAACCTCGTATTTTATTACAACTAATCCATATTGATTCCGTGGAGACCGTCGCCTAACAGCCCTGCTTCAGAGCGTGGACGTTCCAATGGCGATTTCCCTCCTTTTCCACCAATCTTCAAATAGTTCTACCCGGAAACCTCGTCTTGCAGGTAATAATAAGGAATATACGCCGAGAAAACCATATACAAGAGGAATTGTATAATATAGAAGAAACTAGCGTCAATCAATCTACTTGATCATCTGGCTTGCACCCCTTCTCGTCGCAAGTCCACTTCTGATAAGTGCCTCCCTCCTCGGCGTATTTTGGTGGCGGCTTCGCTATATTCTTCATTGGTTTCACGACATCCTCCTCCTCCACCGCCTTCGTCGTCTCCTCCTCCTTCACCCAGCACGTCCACGTCCTCCGCACATGCCCTTCCTCCTTGACGAGCTTCGGACACCGGTCGCCCAGCTCGACGCTATCGGGCCCGACCACGCAGTCGGCGTAGATCTTGCCGTCTTTCGTCAGCGACGCGGCGGACGCGCTGTAGCCGGTGAATTGGAGGTTGGCGATATCCTCGGCCCCGCCATGCTTGAGCGAAAACGGTCCCGAGCCCAGGACGGTCGTGGCCTTCGTGCAGAACTTAGGACTCGGCAGCCATGCGATCTGGTTTGTGGACGATGGCGTCGTGAGCTCGCCGATGTAGATGGGTGTGTTGGGAGGCAACGTAACAGCAACAGCTGCCGTGGTGAGGAGCGAGGCCGCCGAGAGGCTTGTGAATGCCTTCATGTCGACAAATATAAACCTTCGTAACGTATCCAGCACAGGGAGTTTCGTGATACAGCTGTAGAAACACCAGGGAAGCCGATTGCGGGTATTGGGTTGCACATCTTCAAAATCAACAGCGACACCTACCTTACCTATAGTTAAGAGCACCAGGCACATCCAAAAGAACAAGCTGTCCAGAACTACATCTAATTGAGCCTATATGCGCGACCCAGGCTTCGATGTGTTCAAAGAATGCTGTTTCCACATGGAGATTCAAAGCTATAGCTCCGCGCAAGGCAGAAGCCGGAGGGTACGGCTCATAGATTAATATAGTTCTATTTATATCTCGGTACCATCAGGTCGATATCTTGTCCATATCTAGAGGGCTTGGGAGTCGAGACAGTCGCCTCTAAATCGCCACGCCTTGCGCAGTAGACCACGAGACGTTATATTCCCATGTTCAAAGATTGCGAAGTAAATAGTAGATAGGTAGCTGCTGAATGCTAAAAACTTGACCCATGGCTCTTGTGTCCCACTCAGCACCTGGCTTGGTGAGCCCCACCAATGCGCCAATTTGTCTATGATGTTACAACAAGTAACTTTTAAACCCTCTCAAAACCTAAATCGTACTATCGCTTTGTTTACTCCGAAGGACTTTCTTTTCTAGCGATTTCTTCTCCGAATTAATTTGCCCTGTTGCTATAGATATAAAACACATTTTCCACCACGCACTTCGTATTGGATTCTTCGTTTCACTGAATCCTGCCAAACTGGCCAGCGAGTGGGAGTTTGGCATCAACTCCTGCCACCCAGCCACTGTCACAACCAACAGAAGGAGCAGGAATGCGCAAGTGCTTGCATCACGCGGCCACCAAGCCGTAACTGAAACAAACAGTTGGTGTTTTAGATGCATGGCAGGACACACTGGGCTGTGTTGGGAACTGGTGGATTAATACGATGCCTTGGAGCTGAAGGATTTGGGGGCTATGATATTGCAAATGGCAGATGTTGGGTTCTGAGATGTATTTATCACTTGCAGCAGTGCCAAAATGGCAAAAACGTAAGTGGCACGCGAATTATAACCTGTTGTGACCGAATGGTGCTCCAAGAAATAAAATATGGATTGTTTGTCTGGTTGTTCCATTAATTCATGAAGTTGTGCACCTGTAGACCTTGTTTGCCCCTCCCATCCGATATCCCTAAGACTATCTCTGCTATTACAAATGAAAAAACCCAATTTCGGTTCCTCCCATGTCTGATAACTGGTTGCCCAAGCGGCAAAGGAAAAAGCTCGAGGTTGATCTAGTTGGCACGCGTAGTGGAACTTAGATCATAGAGCGCCAGTGTCACTTTACATGAACTGAACACCTCCATTCTTCGCTCCCTTCTTGATCTTCTTCCAGTCCTCCTTGCTAATAATGGTGGCGAGTTGGACAGCGAGGGTGGTGAAAAAGAGGAGACTGAGGGCAAACTCCATGACGAACACCTTGGCATATGCTTTGAAAAGTCTGAGACGAGCGGACCAGTCGAAGGTTGTCCACGCGTCGAAAATGCCAACAACACCGGTCCCACCAACGATCTCGGGGACAACCTTGCCGTTGAAGCTGCGGTCGAAGGGAACGATGGTCTCCTCAGCATCAGACAGGAGAGATGCCTGGACGCGAGTTAAAGTTACGTTGGCTGGGATGACGAGAACCACAAAGAAAACTAGAGAAAGAGCCGAGAACCCCAAGAGCTTCAAGCTGAGCATTGAAACTTCATGTGGAGTCATTCGTGCAATTTGCTCAGGGCTCTGGTGAAGGTTGCTCCCAAGAATGAGGTAGAGAGGAATGAGAACGGAGACCTGCTCTGCAACGGCGGCCAAGGCAGTTGGTAGTGCGACCTTTCTCCATGTCTTCATGGGCGGTAGCCGACGGAGCCAGGTCTTTGGGCTGGGCTCTGAAATCACGATGTGTGTCCAGGCGAGTGAGAGTGGTGTGCAGATGACGGCAGCAATAACTGGCGCAATGAAGAACCCTACGAATGGCAGGATGGAGAGGAATTGTGCCAGCCACTGCATAACGACGACGTTGACTATAAAGATGGAGATGCCACGGAATCGGGCTCGGAAACCGCCCTTGGATTTAAGCAGGCGGATGGATGACCGGAAGCTCGCGGTGATCGGGGTAGGCTTGACACCCTCAATCTCGGGGGTGGTCTTCTTCGGACTGCTATCATCGTCTTCGGTCGCGAGGGGTTCGAAACGAATGGCTTCGGGAGGGGATTCGATCATCAAGAGGGCGGGGATAAGACGGCCAAAGGTGTATTCAATCTAGTACAGCAGTCAGCAACTGTTGGTGTCGGGAAACATCTCGACTGTTTGAGAGGCAGCCTTACCATGGTCGAGGCTGCGACAAATAACACAACGGTCGTTCCTATCAACAAAATTCCCCATAGCGGCATCTGGTATGCGTCTGGAGATCCCTTCTTGGAGGCTGCGGCGTCCATGCCTCGTCGCATGAGCGAGCCTACGAGGGCGGTGGACGACGACATGATTGCGCTGTAGCAAGAGAGCAGGGCAGTCGAAGTAAGGTAATGATCGGGGAATAAAATAGGTGCAGATTCGCAAAAGCTGATGTGTTTGAAATAAGGGAAGAAAGAGAAATTGTCGATCAAAAGAGGCACGGAGGAGAAGAAGAAGAAGAGTGAGACGGAGGTAGAGGGGGATTATGGTATCATTAGTATCAGGCAGAGGTTGCGTATTCCTCCGCACTACAGCGTTGTACGTACACAAGTAATACGCAAGTGCGGCCCTGGTTGGTTGTTGGTTGTTGGTTGTTAGGGGGCTGAGCACGGCGTAGTTTGGGCCTGGAACTGGTCGCCACTGACGAGTCACAATGGAAAATCACTCCACCACATTCGGAGATATATTATGCATTTCAAGCTTCAAACACCTACAAGAAATCAATCCTGATATTTCTCATATAGAGAGGAAAGCTGGAGAGTTAAAACGGAGCTAGGGAAATATAATAACGTCTCGCAATACGCAGTATTTGGCACCTATGCCACCATTTCTTTGGCCAACAAACCTATCGTCCCGCCTGACATCTTCGCTGGTAGGGCTGACTTTGCAGCCCCCAAAACAATCTATCAGAGGAGTTGTAACAAAATACCAACACCGGGTAAAGCCAAGCAGCGGCCACCAGCCAGTCCTTCGTATAGAACTCGAGTACGTGCGGAGTAAACAAGACCGCGGCGGAAACTTCCTCCATGTTTCGTACTGCTGACAGCGAATAATATCCGACCTCCCGGTTCCTTATTTATGTCGAGACACTCCGGCGTTTAAGAAAACGGCTCGTGGAAAAGAAACATCGGGATGACACTCCGTAGGGCCAGGCCCGCAGAAAGTGTGCCAGCTCCTCCAAATTCATCTCGAGCCTCGCCAGCAGGCGATGGTGTGATTTGTGCCATGTAGGAGTGGCAGCACATCGTGAGAGGCTGTGTATTGTCAGGTATGCCACGAAAGAGAAGGCCGACTCCCTTGGAATGTTGGCTCAATGGCCAACATATCGGATATTCCCAGAATAGCATCTCCTCGCTGTTAAGAGTTTCCGAGAGAACAGCCGGGCCGTAGCCCTGCTATCTCCGTCGTTTGAAAAGGGTGGCATCCAGGAGTATTCCTCTAGGCATTACATCATCCAATGACGGAGGTACCTACTCGAATCCAATAGCTACCCACGTCGGCCTGGATTTGAAGGTTTGAAGATCTTCCATCGGCAACCGAGACTGTAGATTCAAAATCTCTTCGAAACGAGGAACATAGTGATATGGTAGAAGCTGGCTTGACTGAAAGCATGCCACCAATGATTATGCCATTTAGTAGCCTCTATAGATCTATTAGCATTGGCTATATATATTCATAGCTTCTTTGAGGGCAGGAGGAGGCTCAAGCAACACAAGTACTCCGTAGAGTTAGGATTCGAGGATGAGGCTCCGCCGACTTATAATTGGTATCTTTCGTAAAGTACGTCGTGGCATGGCGGAATGGCGAATAGCATTATTGCATTCTAACAATTCTCGCCCCGGTGCAGGTTCCCACTGCAGGTCTTGGGGCTCGCGCATCAAGCCGAATAAAAGGGTTCAGAAGCTATCCCTGTTGCATGGCAAGGTGCAGAAAGCAATATAAAGAGGTACCTGTCAGATTTGTATTTTATATCGTGGCGGTCGTCGACGTAAGCAAAGCAAAAATAACAAAAGAAGCACTATTGACTTGGACAACACCATAAAAAAGCACTGTGAGAGCACAGACTTCGACGATAATATAATGTATAATAACAAAACATATTAACCAGGTACGGACCACATACTACCCAGGTAGGTACTTCGTATCCAAGTACTTGCATATATTATTGTCTCAGTATTATGGCACAAGACTGCTGCAGCCGACCGCCACCTCCATCACACGACATCCTCCTCGGCATACGACTCCTCGTACAAGTGGAACACGTCCTGCGGCCCTAACCGTACCAAGATCAAAAACAGAGGAAACGCCGTGTTTTCCTCCTTCTTTTGCTGCGCCTCCCCACTCCACTAGTTACTTCTCCCATACGAAGATGTTACTTTGACACGAGACAACAAACTGTTAATAGTGCTGGCTGTTGTTTTGTGTCGCGCCTGGGAACACACTCGTTACATTGACCCGGATTTGCATGCGTTTCGCTCTTTTCGAATTTCAACTACTTTATTAATCGACTCCCGATAAATACGATGAAATTACGCTCTCTTCGACCTGGCTTGCTTGCCATACTGGCAGCGGTGGCGCCGGTTCAGGGCGACGACTGCAAAAAGGGATATACCCTCTGTGCTCCCGCTGGCGCATCATCGACAACAGCACCACAGATTGGCAGCCCCGAATTCCAGAATCTGCTCACCGATCTAATATCCTCCTCCCTCCCTCCGTCGTCGTCGAATGCGAAGCGCGCCTCGGCCTCGCTCTGCTGCGTGTCCACTCTCTCCTGCCTGACTCTGGCCAACCTTGCGATCCCATTTTGTTATGACAGATTCACCACAAACTTCCTGCTTCCCGACAATAGTTTTGGCACAGTTGCAAGCGGCCAGTACAGCTCGAATAATGGCGACCAGGCCAATCTTTTATCAGGAGACTATACATTGGCGAATGGGCAGAAGGGGAATATTTATGCCGATAACCCCTCCGCGAAACCGAATACAGCGACGTTGGCTCTTCCATCTCAGTTCACGGCTTCAGGAGTAGGGAGTGCCATTCCCGCCACCGCTTTAGGGGGGTTGGTAACCCTCACCTATACCACCACCCTTCCAGGGACCACAATCCCGGGGACAACTGTCTCTCCTACGACGATCTCTGAATCTATTATTTCGACTACGACGGTTTTGCCCCAAACAATTTCAACAAAGGTGGCGGATTCTTTAGTGGTGTCTACGGTGTTAGATTCATCGACAATAATTTCTACTGCTGCCCCAACTACAATTCAGGGAACGACCAGAGGGGCATCTACGATCCCAGGCGCGGTGACTACTGTGACGACGACCCAGCTAGCTCCGGCAGCTACTACAAGCAAGAAAGGCGGCGCTTCTATGGCGCGGGGCGATGCCTTTAACTCTCTAGCTAGCCTTGTGATTATGATTGGGCTACTCCTTTGCTACCCGTGAAGGGAATGGGAAGTGTGCTGCCATGGACTTTTGATGCTTACATGAGATAACGGACTGATAATGATATAATACATAGAGAGCTTAATTATTGCTGCAATATGGATTCTACTGAGATCCCATATCGGACAAGATAGTTCTTCCCTCCCAATATGGTTATGACCGTACAGTCGTCATAACCTCTTCCCACCCAGCACTAGTTCCCGGAGCTTTTGAGTGCGACTCGCACTACATATCGTCGGCGAAATTTTCACTTCAATACGTGGTATAATCATGGCAAGTTTGTCATACCTAATGCAGCATCTCGCGTCTCTCCGTTCGCCCCGTCACCTGATATTCTGATATATGTCGCGTCCCCTTCTCCTGTTATGCCTTATGCTGTGCCTTATGTTATGCCTTGCTCATCATGGTTAAGACTTTATACACGAGATGTACGTAGCTATTCATCCTCTGGATACCCGTTGGCTCCCAAGTTTAGGGGTGGTTGGAGAAAGTTGGGTAAGTTGAAACATAGCCTCGCAGCACTGCAGCTAACTGCTTCCTTCGGACATTAATTTGCTGTCATGGCGTCTTGATCCTATGGTAGGCAGTTGTTTAACACGAGACATCTCCCGAAACCATTTCTATGATTGTATTGTTATCGTTTTTCGTATCAGACGAAGAGCTTCAGATCTCCTCAATCATGGCACACTAGGACCAATATTTCGTCCTTTTAAGCAACGAGGATGTTGTTGACTTCAACGATGCCGGATTGCTGCCGCAATCCATGGAGGATATACTTGCGATTCAGCAATGGCTGCGGCCTACCAATTATGCATCAGAGTCCAGCGAGTACAATAAACACTTACAGTCGTATATTGCTGGTACCGGAGAATGGATACAACAGTCTAAACATTATCAGCAATGGCTACACTCCCCAGACCGCGGAGCTTTATGAATTAAAGGTACTGCTGGTGCTGGTAAGTCGGTCGTTGCTGCTCACATAGCGTCGTTGCTCGTGGAACAAAATGTCCCCGTCCTATACTTCTTCTTCCGGCAGATCATATCGAAGAACCGAACATCTTAATCGCTGGTCTGTGACTGGATTTCGCAACTACTCAAATACTCCTCCTTGCAAGCAAACTCAAAGCTCTGCTTGACAATCAGCGGAGCCTTGAGAGCATCGCTTTTGACGAGCTCTGGGGGCTCCTTGTATCTGGGATATCTAGTTTCCCGCGAGCGTACTGCATCGTGGATGCTATCGATGAAATGGACCTTGGAAATGAAAGATTTATGAGCAGATTGGTTCAGCTAGGGCAACAGAATCCATCATCGCTCAAGATTTTGATGACAAGCCGACCTCTTCCATACATTGGGAAAGCCCTTGGTGATCCATCAGTCTTACAACTTTCTCTCTGACCTCAGCTTGTTGATCGGGATATTGCCGTATACGTTAGTAGACGACTAGATGCCGCCAATTTCACAAGAGAGTCAAGAGAGGCAATCGAGGAGACCCTGACTACAAGATCGCAGGGATTGTTTCTCTATGCTCGTCTCATGCTCGATCAGCTTCTAGAATCAGGTGTCACTGATTTCTCGACTAGCGACTGCGCCCTGCAAGACTTGCCTAGTGGGTTGGGTGATATGTACGATCAAATGCTCCGCGACCACTCCATCCGTTCAGGCACACCACAAGAACTCCAACTTCTCATATTGAAGTTTGTTATCCACTCCTCACGACTCCTGCGCCTGCTTGAGCTATCCACCGCTATAGACTTTGTTAAAACATCAGCGGAGTTTGATCACCCTATGCAAAATACTCTGTTGGCTAGCGATACAAGGGCTCTTGTTCGAGCTGCCTGCGGACCTTTACTTGAGATCCTTGAGGACGAGACCGTATCTATCATCCACCATTCGCTTACCGAATTCCTGATCGACCCCGAGAGAAACAAAACTGGTTCGAAGAGCGATCAATTCACATCTGTCGGTCTCTGCAATGCCCATCTGGAAATGGCAAAAGGTTGCATAAACTATTTGCGTTCCGGCGTTTTGACCGGAGCCTTCAGCTACTCTGTGAAAAATGAAGAACGCATGAATCATCCATTCCTCGACTATGCGGTCAGCTTTTGGCATTATCACGTTGTCAATTGCGGGAAAGCTGCAAATGAACTTTCTCCTTTATTAGAAAAGTTGATGGAACCCAGCTCAGAGCCGTATTCACGCTTGGTGGATCTCATGGATTCCAGAAGTTCGCCTCACTGTTATCCACCTAGCAAATTTCCACCTCTCCACTTCGCGGCCTCGACAGGACTAACTTTATACGTCCTGCATCTTCTCCAGCGTGATCAAAACATAAATTCTCTCGATAACGAATCCCGCACACCACTTCACCGCGCTTCTCAACATGGCCATAAAGATGTCGTTGAAGCTTTACTGAAACACGGTGCTGCAAACAATATGGACGATGAAACAGGGTTAACACCTCTACATCTTGCTACGTCGAGAAATCATGCAAATATTGTTAGACTTTTGCTTGGATATGGAGTTGATCCTATGACGCCCAAGACTCGCGAGACCCCAAGAATGAGTTGCGTTGAGGAGGTCGAGGAGGTGCCAACAGTCGGGTTAACGCCGGTCCAGTATTCTTGTCAATTTGGGCATACCAAATCCGTCGTGGAGTTTCTTCCTCTACTTGACTCCGACAATCTCAGTAAGGCACTCTGCTGGGCCGCGGGCTGTGGTAAAACTGAAACTGTTCTTGCTATTCTAAAGAACCCAAATGTGGATATCAACAAAACCCTACAGGGTAAAACGCCGCTCTTTTGGCTGCACATACTCATGATCTGGTATCTATGCGGAAACTACTCGACCTCGGCGCAGATGCCAAGATCAAGTGTAATAGTGTCTTCCCTTTCAACCGTAATGGTAGCACCTATTGGCAATACTTTGTCTCTAGCGATACCCCGAATTACTCCCTTTATATAGATTTATAAAGCATATTGGACAAATCCCGCTAGAATCCCTTTTCAAGGGTATAGATATGCTTCTAGATGCCGGATGCGACATCAATGAGTACGGTACAGATTCAACTCCCTTCCACGAGGCTCTTCGCTGTATAGCGGATAGCCCTGATCCCATGGTCGGCCCCGAAGTCCTTCAATTTATTTTGGAAAAAGGTGCAGATCCCTCTATGCTCACAAAATGCGGCTCTACTGCGCTCCATCTACTTTTTGGGCATTCAAGAGCCGTGGCTAAACTGCTCATTGCCCAAGGTTTGGATATGGATGCACTTGAGGGTGGCCGTACGGCCCTCGTCCGTACCACAAAGCCAAATTACACGGACCGCCACCATGATGAAGCATCGCTTGCCTTTATCGAACATGGCGCAAAATGCAATGCACAGGATCCTGATGGAACCACTCTACTACATCCGGCACTTCAACTCTAGTCAAACCCCTTCTAGATTATGGTGCAAATCCCAATATCCAAAACAAACGTGGAGAGAGCCCTTTTCATCTATTGAGATATTGGGCTAGAAGTCGCGATATATTGTGGCTGTTAATCACCGCAGGTGCCGACCTAGAGAGCAAGACTAACACGAGCTTAACGGTTCTGCTCAAGGGAGTAACGTGTGGATATGCTGTCGACGACATTCAACATCTAATCCACGCCGGAGCACGCATTAACGCCCAAGATCCTGATGGCAGGACGGTTTTTCACTGTTGTTTCGAGAATGGCAAGTGTGCCTCGATAGAGGTAGTACGGGCTTTGGTAGCATTGGGCGCAGACCCTACCCTAACAGACTTTTCTGGCAACACATTATTTCATCATCTTGCCCGGCTGCGATCGGTGCCATATCGCCTAGAAACGCTACTAGAGCTGGGGGTTTCTCCATCAAGGCGAAACAACGCTGGTCAAACCCCTTTTCATATTGCTGAGGCAACGAAGGGAGGTGGCACAGGATTGGATAGTACTCACGAGGGAGACGTTTACGCATTCCTCCTTAGCCACAAATGCAACCTCGACATCAAGGCAGCCGACAACAGAGGTATCCAACCCATTCATATAGCCACCCGTCTTTCCCAATATCAGGTTCAAGATCTGTTAGACTATGGTGCGGACCCGACTGCCTTGGCTCTTGATGGCTAGTCGGCCTTGCATATTTCTTCTCAAATCAGGCAAAGAAATACTGTTGGCTTGCTAGTCGAACTATATATGAAGACTGGGCAATCAAAAATGGTTGATTATCCTGACAAGGATGGTAAAACGGCGCTGCATTATGCTGCTCAGTCAGGGCGTGCCGAGAGCGTTGCGATTTTACTGGAAATGGGACATGCTAATCCCAATGCCGAAGACAGCGACGGCCTTACACCCCTAGATATATGTGCCCGTTTCCAAAGAGACAAGTTCCCTTCTCAATCTGCCAAGGTCTTGACCATCTCCTCGGAAAACCATACAATCGGAGTCCGCCAAATCATCAAATCACTGGTATCTCATGGTGCCGACATATCATTCATGTTTTCCAGGGACCCGCCGGACCTTTCTCGACAACTTGCTTCTAAAGCTAAATATATTACTCCTATAGACACTGCCTTGGAGCTGGGATGTGAAGTGATGGTCGATGAGCTAATTAAAATCGCAAAAGCTCGGCAGGCCAACAGCGGGGAGGAATTGGCTTTGGAAGAAAAGCCGAACGAACTGATTCTTGACGGTCTCGTGAAACCCGGCCAAATCAACACTGGCATATTTAACACTCTACTCCGCACCGAAAGTGAATGGGGAATTGAGAAGTTCAGATCCATAGGAGGAGATCTGCTTCGACCACCTCCTAATGGCCATTCATGCATCACGCTCATGGTAAGGTGGGGATATGCCTCATTCTTGGAGAAGTTCGGCGACGAAGTCGTTTTGATGACCGACTCTTGGATCGAGAAAATTGGCAAGGAATGGCGCCAATTCAAGCCTACGTCAGCTTTGTATGTTGCCTGTAGTAGAGAGCTTCCCAATCTTGAAGTTATAAAAGTCCTGGTTGGGAAATTTGGAGTGAATATCAATTGGCAGACGAGAGGCTGGACTTATCATGGGGAATCTGCCCTACATGTTCTCGCAGAGTCGCGCTCTTGGTGGAAAACCCACGCCCTGGAGTATCTTCTTGATAATGGAGCTGACATCAACATTAAAGACAGCGATGGTAATACGGCTCTGCATTCCGCACTCAAGTACAAGACAGCAGAGCCGTTGACATTTTGCTCCGGCATGGATCCGATCTGACTACTCTCGATCGGAAGAACCTCACTTATCTGAACCATGCCAGCTGGAGCCCTACACTCACTCGCCAACTAATTAAATACGGGGCGGACATACATGCTGGGAAGGGACCGATCCTCTTCAACCTCATAGATGGGCTTGATATTTCTACGATAAACTTCCTAGTTGAAATGGGAGCCGACCTCAATGTCAGAAATGGCAAACCTATATCGGGGTTAATTCCCTCTGAGCCACCGCAGAGCGATTCCTCCGCGGCCAGAACGTCGTACCCAATCCACTTTGCTGCCAGTGGAAATTCCAATGTGCCAGATATCAAGCAAAAGATGATCCTAGTCATTCAAGCGCTATTAAAAGGCGGTGCAAACCCATTTATGACGCTCAATGAGCATGGTGACACTATTCTGCACAATATTTGTGAATTTTCAGGAATCATAGTGCCATTCCTCGACCTGCCAAACCTAGATCTGGAATCCCGCGATTCCCAAGGTAGAACTCTTCTGCTCGCAGCTTGCGGTTGCAGAGATGGCTATTCCAAGAAACGCCAAACAGATCCACAAGCAACCGCTGTGCAACTTCTAGAAAAGGGGGCAGACATAACTGCTATCGACAGCAACGGCAGAAACGTACTGCACAGCCTTCTTAACAAATCTCATTACAAACTTTCTAACGAAACAGCCTTCAACGCTATCATCTCCCATGATTTGGCTTCGAAACTTGTTACCCAAAGGGACAAATCTGGCGCGACCCCAATCCATTATGCCTTGAGCCGTTATCATATGAGGGCAGCCGAAGCGCTTCTTGCTAAAGGGGCAAATGCTCTGGAACCGGACCTTGACGGAAATACAGCACTTCATCACCTCGGTCAACTTCAACTGGGTTACTGCGGAGACAGCGACGGAGAAGAAGACGGCGGAGAAGAAGTTGAGGGAAGGCGCCCCCCCCACCCCCGAACCTGTAGCTCTCGTCCAAAAATATATTGACCACGGCGTCGATATCAATGCGCGAAACTCTCTGGGCGAAACTATTCTATTTCCGTTCCTAGGCGGTGATCCTATTTTTATAGACATTGTACGATCGCTTGTGGAGCAGGGTGCAGATCTAACCGTGAAGCGAAACGATGGTCAGAGATTGCTACATGTTGTTGCCCAGGAGTACGCGTCTGTGTTTGAACTAAAGATAGTTTGCGAGGCACAACAAAACGCGGTAGAGGAACAAGAAGCTATGCGTGAGGGATTAGAAATGTTTTCTGTTGACGCTTTTAAGTATTTGATGGAAAAGGGGTTAGATCCTATGATGGAAGACAATAAGGGCAAGAGTGCTTTGGATTGCGCTACGGCAAGTTCGAATGCTGATATCCTCAAGCTTTTCAAAAGGGAGGAATAGCGAACATGGGTTCTAGTACAGTAATTATATTATTAGTGAGACTGCCTAACACCCACTGTCTCCTCGCAATTTCGCACAAACTTCTTGCTGGTACCCACCATCGTACATACTCATCATTACTCATCGTCGCCCTCATCGTCCTCATCATCACCAGCAAACCATCCATTATGTTGCTTGTCCATGTGCCTGTAAATATCAGTCTGAGTGCTCTTCTCGCCGCAAAACCAACACCAGGTTGTCCCACAAGGACAATCCATATGTCCACATCCGTATGACTTTTCGGTCAAGACCGTGCAACCTGGGCAGCACTTGAATTGCCCGACCTTCTTTATCATCAAGCTCTCAAGCCTTGATCGCTCCATGGCTGCTTCAACTTCAACACGCCTCTCATAATTGAGCCTGCGGCCCTCGACCTCCATTCTCGCCATCTCTGCCTGTAGAGCCTCCGTCTCTCGCCGGGAAGCTTCCTCGCGAATCTGCCCGCAGGGGTCACAGACAAAGTTACTAAGCTCTGTGGGAGCGCCCGCAGCACATACACGTTCCAGGTACTGCTTCGCCCTGGCACAGTCCATACACCAAGCATAAACCCACTGTCCAGCGTTACGCACTGCCTGTCCCAGGTCTCCAACAGCATGTATTCCCATGCCATATCCATGCAGTGTCTTCGCTGTTGGGGCACGCCTACAGAATGGACAGCTTAGAGCGGCAATGTTGATGATACGGCCAGCGCCATTGAGACCATACCACGCACATAGGCAGGCCCGACATACTTTTTGGTCGCAACCACGTCTACCGCATGCAGAATTCAAATCAGCTTTTCGAAGGTCTGAGAAGCACAGGGAACAGGTCCCGGATTCCGTACGCCTCCGAGAAACCCATGATTCCAACTGTTTGACCAAGTCGGGATAGTTCTGGATGGTCTTCCCGTCCAGGACGACATTTTGCTTGTCAGGGCTGGGAAATAGAATAACTCTCTCGCAAAAATCTTCTATTCCAGCTTCAGTTAACTGACGGAAGAGAGAGCGGCCACCGAGTGGCTCATTCATTTTATCCTTCTTGTTTTCAAGTAGCCAGTTCGTGCCATTTTCTTTCGAAAGCTCGTTTGCGTTGGTTTCGACGTCAATGACAGAGCTGCGATCATTTGAACAGGCGACACACTTAAATCGAGAGCTGCTGTGAGAACGATACTCCTTGGGAAATATGACACGGTTCAGACATTGGTCGCACTCGAGATAAGGAGTCGAGTCGTGTTTTGTCTTTGCGCCTGCCGTGGTTGACTGTTGACGGCAATAATGGCACTTTGGAGTGACATTCAACGCCTCAGGGTGATACACAACGTATTGGGCTCGGCACGTTCGAACGCGGCATTCAACCCATATTGCCTCTGTCGCCTCATTGTCATCCTTAGTCACACGATGTTCAATCCATGCCTGCCGTTCCTCTGGGGTTGGGAAATCGGTCGCTATGCAATTGCCGCATTTGCCTTTTGGACCCATAATGGTGACGGACCTTGGGTATTGGCATGATTTGCAAACAACAACAGGCCCAATTGGTATAGGAGTCTTCTCAGGCCTCCATCCAACTTTAGCAACGAGTGATGTCTGTAGATTTAGTTCTAGCATCTTGTACGAGACAAGACGATCAAATAGCTTCTTATCGGTTTCTCGCAATAGCCCCTTGCGATTTGTTTTGGCGATTTCAGACTTTTCACCTTGATGCCTATCACTGTATGCCCGATCAGCGTCCAGCAGCAAGGACAGGCAGCTCACATTCCATGTTTCAGGGACCTCGATATTGTTCCACTTATCCCGCCACATCAGCATTTCAGCGCCAGCAGCTTTGGACAGAGGCTGAATCCCCAATCGTATAGTGAGGGCAGCAAGCAGAGCTGCTGGGCGAGCAGACAGCATAGTTCCGGGGACGACGATATGTAACAATATCCTCCAGAACTTGTGGCCGAACTCTTTGGAGGCAAGCGCCATTGGGATCCGTGTGACCGTATCTTCAGCATTGGCAATATGTGCAGGAAGCTCCTCGCGGGTGTTGACAAAGGTTAATCGTGTTAGGACCCTCCCAAGGCGTCTGAGGATCCGGTAATCACATGAACGGCTGATCTCGAGGAGCTCACCGCGTGTAAATTCAGTAATTGGGCGGTTATCTTCTTCCTCCTGGCCGTCATCATTGTCGTGGGTGTGGGTAAAAGCATGAGTCGGGTCCAGATACACACACGGGAATTGCTCATATTCAGGAACTAAACCAATTGCTTCTGCAACATCCGCAGAGTAATCGTAAGACTCCGCAAGCCAGCCCGTCATCATCTCTTTCAAGGCAGCGTCCTTTATACGATCAACCTGAAGGCCGAAGGAGGAGATCAGCCCCTCACGGTTGTCGTTAGACCTATCATTGCAAACTGCTCGCCAAAGGCTGCCGAATACCGGGTTCAATGAGATAGCGGAGACATCTTGATCAATGATCTTCTGTAGTTGACTAGCAACTAGAGCCTTGTAGGAATTATCCGAATTGTACCGCAGGGCAAAATCCTGGACTGGGATCTCTCTCTTGGGCAGGAATTCTTTCAGGCATGCAGAGTTCAAGGGTAGCTCTTCACTGCCCTTCGAAGGCCGGCTCCCAGGTTCTGCCTCCTTTGCCGACTCCTTTGTTACATTCTCCAACGCACTGGCATTTTTGAACCTCACTCCCCATGCAGCGACTGGTGTAACTGCAGCACCTTCTTTTTCTACTCCCATCCATGCCAATAAAAGGTCCACAGTTACCTTGGATATATCCTTTGGCTGAGCTTTGTCGAGATAGAAGCAGGCGCCGCCAGTTACAGTCGAAAGGAATGTATAATAAGTGCCATCATCTCGGGACATAGACGGTTCCAGGAGTGAGAATACCTGTGCTCGCTTCTTCCCTTCCTTCAAGGCCATCGTCCTAGCGCCCCTAACCCAATCCGCAAACAACGGACCAAACCCACCATACGAGTCTGGTTGCTCGAGGGCTCGCTGTTCTGACCTATGGTTTACCGAGCCACTGCCAGCTACGGTGTGTGGAGGGGCATCGGTATAGAGTAAAATCACTGTCGTTGCATCTTCTCTCATGACTTCGTAGGCTTTCGCCAGGCCGGTTTTAGTTGCCTCTGGATAGTCTCCACCACCAGTTGCTGAGAGAGTCTTGGCGGCCGCAAGCAAATCCACGGATGGCTTATCATCCCACACTGCATCTTGAGGCATCCATCCCGACCATTCGATCAAGTTACTGTCGCAGTAGTCCCGGTAGGCAAGGAGGCCGATGCGTGAGAAGGAGCCAGTCAGAGCTGATATTGATATGATTTGTGGGAGGGAGGTTTGCAGTGAAGTCAAGTAGCTACCCATGGAAGCTGTGGCATCCACGAGGATGATGAGATCGTACACCTCTGAAGGTCCAGCCATGATGGACAGGAGGAAGAATGAACTTCCTCGTGTGGTTGATTTCGTGTTGTTGGCACAATAAAACAGTCACGATGATATGGTTGTGAACTTGTGAAGGTTGTTTGTCCTGTCTATTCCAAACGTGATGAGAGAAAGCAGGAAGAACTGATCACGGCAGCGGGTGAATTTGGACGTAAAGCAGTGCAGCTTCAGCTTGCCTTATACCCCGCTCTTGCCTTCTTATGTACCTTGCCAGCGTACATGAGGATGTTGTGTCAGACCGTTTGTAATTTGTTGACTTCGGTTGTGACTCCCCGCCGCGATATATGAGTATTGACGATATGGTACCTAGGTACATTACCTTATTAGGTGGTGGTGGCGGAGCGCGGGGCGGGCAGCCGCAGGATCTTGGCGCCCCCTATAAATAAATATTTCATATAGGGGATGAGACCAGCGTCGACATTGATTTGCGATTTCTCCAAGTATTCCTATCATATACGACAACAAATATAAGGTAAATATCATTTGGCAACCAGCATAGCAGCTCGCCAGCCCGCCGGACGAAAGATATCCTGTGGCACGATTCTGCAAGCCTTGGGTAACTCCGTTTGTTGTCACCGGGGTCATTGGCTGATACTCTGCAAACACCAACAGATATGAGAGGCAGAAGACCGAAGACAGTGTCATGGGCTTTGCTCAAAGCCATATGCTCTGGATTCAAGAGATATCAAAATCTTGCTCGTCACCCAAAATCTCTCAGTTTCCCCATGCTATCAGTGCTTCGTTTCGGGTGACCACCTTCTCGAGTGTGTTTTGGTACGCAAATGAAACAGAAACATAATGATGCACGCAAAGTAGGAGGAGAGTAGATACGCTGATTTGAAGGTGTAAGGTCTCTAGGATACCTAAAAGTAGTTTGTGTAAAATAGTACTGCTCTCTAAAACTGCCTAGCAAAAGCATGGACCAAGTAGTTCAAGCCCAGTGGCATACATCGCGAGTGCAGCTAATTGCAGTTCTTCCTTTACTTATATTTCCATTCGGCATATTAACTTTTGCAATGTCCCTACAACGCTTATTTGGGACCACAAAGCGGTCTCTGTTCTAGCGCGCGACGAGCCCAAGCTCGATCCATGTTGTATTTCAATTAAGTGGCGCCATGGAGCACCGAGAACCCGCTGGGCGTCCTTTAAACCAATTCAGGCCAGCTAAAGTCCAGCGACCGAGTGTAATGTTAAACTTGAAAGCTTCCCATAACTCTAGTGCTTGAACTTAGGACCGTGGCCCAGAACAGGTCCCGAATCTTCAGCGTCACCTTGATGGTAGTAGATTCCATTTTTCAGCTTTCCTATCCACCTCAACACCGCCGCAGCTTCCTGATGGCGTTACTTTTTGTTCCAATTAATTCTTGTTCTAAGTTCCGTCCGGTATTGAAATGTTCTTTCACCTCTTACGGAGGGCACTCGTGCCTCCAGGTGCACTTATTCCGTTTATTATTCTATTTCTCATATACGTCTACTATTCTGCACCACCACGTTGTATTCCACCATATCGCCCATATCCCCCTCCAAAAATGCCATGGCCAGACAAACCTCTCCCAGTTACCGAATCAAATACCTATCCTTTAACTCCAAAACAACCGACTCCTGAGCAAGAAACGGTAACTAAACTACGGGAAGAAGGCATCCTCGTAGTCTTCAAAACGGGTGCCCAAGAAATCGCCAAACTCACAACTCAGGTTGCTACTACACTCCGCTATTTCACCGACCGTGACATTGTTTTCTTTTCTGATCATCAAGGTTCGATCGGGTCGTTCATTATCCACGATGCTCTCAGAAATGTTAACCAAGCCGTCCAGTCAGACAATCCTGACTTTGATATATATCGTGCGATCAAGCAATATCAAGCTACTGGGCGGGATATCGAATTGTTGAAGGAAGAAGATAGCAAGGAGAATGACCGTGATGGGTGGAGGTTGGACAAATACAAGTTTATCCATATGGTCGAGGAGACTTTCGAGCTGCGACCTGACGCGAAATGGTATGTTTTTATGGAGACGGACACCTACATGTTCTGGGATAATCTCGTGAGGTGGTTGAAGACACTCGATCACGAGAAACCTACTTATCTAGGATCACCAGCGTACGTAGGAGATAGAGAATTTGCCCATGGCGGCACTGGATACGTGCTCTCCAATGCGGCAATGGATCTACTTGTTGGCCCTGAGCAGCCTCAAGGTCTCGCTGCCAGTTGGGATTTCAGAATACAACATGAATTTTACTATGGGGATTTCGCGCTTGCCATGGCATTGCTGGAGAAAGGTATACATGTCACGGCTGGTGATCCATATTTGTGTGGATATAAACCATCGAGTCTCCCTTTTGGCCCTAATAATCGATGGTGTGAGCCCGTGGTGACAGTACATCATATGCGGTCGCATGAAATCAATAATGTTTGGAGGTTTGAAAGGCAGAGGGAGAGATTCCAGTCAAAGCTACCTGTATGTTTGAAGTCACTAGTAGCTTTCACGAAGCTAACCAATGTCGTAGGTTACATATGCCAGCTTATACCACCACTTCGTTGAACCTTACTTGAGGGAACATCTTAATAATTGGGATAACCTATCGGACGATACAACATATACCAAAGTGGATGATCCAGAAGTAAAGGAAGACGACAAGGTCGATATACATGGACAACCCGATGATTCAGATAATCCCGATTTTGATGTTAGCGCCGGACCTATGGAATATGAGGAAACATCAAGAATTGATAATGGGGGCCTAAGGAGGAAGAACGAATACCCCAGCACCAACGGATTAGGAGGAAGGAGTGAAGGCGAAAAAACACACCCATATACCTCCTTCGAACACTGCGGGAAAGCGTGTAGCGAGCATGAGGGGTGTTTTCAGTACCTGCATTACGACAACACTTGTAAATTGAGGATGTCTTTTTCTCTAGGAAACTACAAGGCCCCAAGTAGTGATGGTAACGTGATTTGGAGATCTGGTTGGATGGTGACTAGAATAAAGAAGTGGGTGGAAGAACATGCTTGCGAAGAGCACGTGTGGCCTGATTGATTTTGGATAATGTTAAAAGTTTCCACCTCTACCTTATCGCTGAGAAGTTGTACATTCATCAACTATCACACCCGCCCGGTATTGAAGTTGGCCTTTTCTTGTCATGATCTTGCGCAACGTGAATGAAGAATTCCAATATACTGAACTTGTTCCCAACCATCCATTGGAGTCGCTGTTGTTGGTCTCAGAAGCGGTCATGGCCCCTCCAGGATTGCAAGAGACAGCTCTGAAATCTCCACAGCTGTCCAAGGTCTCCTACTAGAAGCATCCAGAATTTGGTAGAACTTGGCAACAAAAGATTTCTATATTTTCGACCGTCGAACCAAAAACTGGAATGGTAACATAAAGTTTTAATTTCTGCTCCCGGCAAAGATTATTGTGCTACTGACGTCCACACCAATCCAACCCCTTCTATATGCCTAATGGTCGCTTAGAGGATGACTATATTGTATTTGGAAAATATGTGTACCACGGGCCAGGGCCGATCTTAGGCTGTGCTAGACAATACTCGCCGCCATGAAAAATAACCCTCAACCAGCAAAAGGGGCTTCGTCGCGGAAAGCATGCTCCCAGCGCAACCAATATTATCCAGAGCACACATCCCAATAAGGAACAATATGATCATCAACGTATGGACTGTAGCTCTGGTCGTGCCTTGATACAAGATATTATAGGAATCTCTCGGGAGGTTCTGGAAATGTAACATGGATCAATAGTCTGATCGATTCGTAGTGCCGAGATATAAAATCTAGTAGATGTGATACTGAATTATAAAACTAGTAAAGCATGGCCGTACAACTGGGCCCAGTATAAGCTGGGGGGTAGGGATGATGCTTTTCTAAATTATGCTATTGAGGCGAAATCATCTATAGCATAGAGCTAGTGAAACTTCAAGTGCATCTACTAAATGCAGCTTGTTGCCGTTTTTGCATCGTGCTCTCGACGGCATTGTCTAAAAGACAAAGCTCTTGACCTAACAAACTTTAGTACGAACTTTAAAGTGATATAGTTGCGCTGAATTACCTGCAAGAGTCCACCGCTTATTAAAATATTGCAGCATTTTTCTCAATGCTTCAAAGTCCTGGATCCACTGCTCATTTCCAAAGTCCTGGCACATTAAAATATGCTCCTGGGCACACTGTACGATGTCTGCAACGGATGGAGGGAATGTTTCGATGTCAAACGTATGGCATTCCTTGTTGAAAGCGTGTGCAATGTCGATGACCATTCTAGTAATAGTGTCGAGAGTGACCCTGATTGCTCCTACACAATCTGACCGGTGGTCGATATCAGTCGCATTGGACGCAGCCCGGTTCAATGTGTACATAGCCCTATTAGATGTCAGTATGTGCAACCTGCAAGGCTATAACCACATACACAATCAAAATCTTCGTAGCAGGACTGTAATGACACCACCGTCCAGTCGGCTGATTCATATTGGCAGTCAAGAGGTTTTGCAGTTCACGGCCGAGGGTCATTAGAGTCTCCGCATTTACTTGTCGCTCATTAATCGCAAGTCTAACCTTCTGTAGCAAGTATATCGCCTGGGCTTCACCACCGAACATGCCTATGCGAGGTAGAGTCGATGACACAAAATAGCGGGGTTCTAGGTTCATCAGCTTAGTAGCATGGGAAACTAGCTCATCAGCTTCCAAAGGCAAATAATCGTTATGACGAATAGGGCGCCATGCTAAAGGACGGCCGGCCATTCGAGGGTTGGATGCAATTATACTGCGAATATTAGTGGGAGAAATTAAATCCACGGCAAGGAACTTACCTATCGCATATCACGAGCCCCCACCATGTGGAAAGAACTTCCTCGTCATGAGTCCAGGAGTCACTACCAAGCGGCGCTTCTGAACACTTCGGATTTTGCATACCAATCGCAATTGCCATTCTTGCACATGTGCCAATAGTTACATACCCAGCGTCAACCATGCCATTTGCTTGCTCATAGTGAGCGACGATGATTCCCGCCTGGATAAGACGTAATGATGACGGGGTGAAGCTTTGCGCCTGTGCCAAAAGTGTCTTGGTTGCGAGATAGAGTATCTCGCGATCCCGATCATCATCAGGATCCGGAGAGGGATGTTGAATTATCAGCCGCATGGCGAGCAGGAGAATCGAGAAGTCTGCCATAGGTGCGGTTTGTGATGATCGAAACATATCATAAAATCGCGTCTTCGAAATGATCGGAAGCCACCCATGAACTCCATTAAAATACTTCGTGACGATGTCCTCAACGTACTGGCCATCCGCTCGAATGATGTTGCAGACTTGGGAGTGGAAAACAGCATCCGTCGAGATAGGGAGACTAGAGCCCTTGGGTTGCATTACATCTGATATCGAGTTCATCAATAGCATCGACAATTGGATACAAGGATTCGATCTTGTCGGTATAGGTTTTGGGATTGACGTCCAAGAAGTCGAAGAGCCACTGGGTTCTATAGCAGGGACTGCCACCACGATCTCATCGCCATATCGCCGTGGTGAAGAAGGTTCGCTGTATCGACACACTGCACGTCGTCTATCCATAGGTTAGATGATATTCGAAGAAAATATATGGGACCATCGCCGCTTCGAATTTGCCGAGACAAATAATCAATGGCACAGATGTCAAGAACCAGCCACTCACTTGATGCATTGGCTACACCTTGGCAGCTTTTTATCACAACCCTTTTTGATACTCTTGCAGTGCGAGCACACTTGAAGTGCTCGTATGGGCGCATCGGTGCCTTCGGTATGTGTCCCAATCGCCTTGGGTGGTTGAAGGTCGACATTGGCGGGACCCATAGTCACAAAATGAATTGTTGAAATGTTAATTTGGTTTCACTATTCAATGGAGCGCATGTAAGAAGTATATACCTACCCGTAATGGGACCAATTGACCGGGAGCCACGAGCACGCCAGCATTAGTGGAATCAGTCAGCCCTTAACTGCACCAAAGATACTAGTCAGCCCAAAGCGAATGCCTGGACCCGGCAGAGGCATCCCGATTGGACTTATAGCCCCAGGCTCACAGGGCTGAAGATGCCCCTTGCTAACTGTGTCGAAGCCCGTCACCAAATATTCAATACAGAACTATAAAAGTCGACCACTAGTAAGCATGGTAGACTTAGGTAACAAATAATGTGGCCAAGAGATCTTCCCTGTGGCCAAGAGATCTTCCCGCGGCTGGCTATGTTACGTGAGAATTGACCATGATAACTGTGGCGGGGGAGAGTGAGACAAGTGGTAAGCAAAAAAGGGGCTAAAAGAATTGTACAACGCATCCTCTGACGAATCAAGACGCCAGAGGCTGGTAAATCTCACCTGGGGGCGGCTAAAGAGGCGCCATGTTGATTAGTGAAATCCCCCATCTCGGGTATGGGAGTTCCCGATGGGCATGGCCACAATTCAGATAGACGCTGGGCGCCAGGAGACAGGTTGTCGGGTCCCTAATACCGAATATTTCTGGGATGTGTGGCGCAGCTTTTTCGGAGCTGGCGGCCTTTTCTAGATATTACGCAATGGGCGTAAGCACACGGCTATTCCGCGCATAGACTCGAGTGCTGCTCGCTTCAAGCGCCTAGATAAGAAAGCAAAGAAGCGCGAGGCGGTCAGCTCCAGAACGGCACGGTCGTATAGGGGTTTGCATAACTTGGACTTCGGCTGACGAGCATGAATGAAACTGGAATCATAGAATCAGCAGCCTCGGCAAAACGGGAGTTTGACAAAGCGATGAAAACAAAATGTTCTCCCTGATCCCAGGCTGATTGAGGTACCAGTGTTTCATTTTTAATGGCTCTTCTTTTTAGGTTCTGGTCATGCACAATGAATCATTAAAGTGTGCGCTGCGGGTATCTCAAACCCCGTAGAATTGTTGGAATCAGTATCCGGGTACCTCAGCATACAATTCACGACCGTGCTGCAGGCGCATCCATTCCCAGCTCCTTCTGCAATTTGACCAGATCTCCCTTCGAAGCTTTGGTCCAGTTGACTTTCTTTCCCACACCTTTCCCAACAAACAACTCTTCAGCCACAAGGTTCCTAATTCTTGGAAATGGGTGGAGGAGCATGCTCGACAACTTCTGAACAGCTTCAGGATAGACTTCCATCAAACCCCCGTACACCTTAACAGCAGCTTCGAGTTTCCGAACGTTGGATGTTTTGAAATGAGCTTTCTGGGTAAGGGCGTACAGTGATCGCCATCTGGTGGTTTGTTAGCATCAAGATATTCTGATTAAGTGTAACTGGTACCTACTTCAGTGGAGTCTTTTGAATAATATCCATATCGAAGAGGAAGCTAATGACTTCCAGTGTAGGAACAAGGACTCTATCGTTTGATATATTGTTCTTCAGGACTTGGAACAAGGCAGTACAAACGGTTTCTGCATTTCCTAGCGGACTTTGCTCATCGCAGAATTGGACAAGCGCAGCACGGCTAGTACGCACAAGGTCCTGAGACCCAGTATCCGCCGATAGAACGTAGCCTTCAAGCAAGTCAATCAGCCATAGCTCATCATATCGCGCAGTATATTGTGCCCATGAGTGCTTTGGTAATTCCAAGAGGTAGCGAAAGTACTGCTGGGAGGTGGGTGGCATTGATTTGAACGTGTCACGCTCCCTATGATACGTTAGCTGGAATTCATCTTGGTGTGTTGTTAACAAACCTATTCCGTAGTGTATAAGTTATGGATACTTGTGCTTCAGCTCGAACTTTGTCCAGTTTCTCAGTTCCAAGCCTCAAAAGTCTACCAAACAGACAACGGAACTTCTCAAAGTTGGCATCCTCAAAAAGGTCGAACGCCCTAGCCAGAGCTCCTACTGCTCCCAAAGCTTCAATGCGCACGAGGGAGCCAATATCACCACGATTGTCAGTGGTATAATCGTCAAGACCGTCGGTAATGATATTTAAAAAGCGGTGCGCATGGGTCAGAAGTGCAGCGCTCCTCGCCAGGCATGCCAGAATTGTGGTTCGGGTTTCAATATGATGGCCCAAGTCCCATCGCCATTGAATGTGTTCAAGGATTTCTTTTTGCAGGCCCGATGAATTCGGTGAACAGTCTATGGCCAAAGGAAAGGTCTTAAACAGGGTATGCAAATATGCCTTGCCCACTCCGCTACGACCAGATTCCGCTTTCGCTGTAGCAGCTTGAATCCATTCAAGGATAATTGATGACCTGTCGTTCCTGTCTAGTAAGAACGTGAAATTGGCAGCAGCTTCAGAAACAGCATCAATGGTCTCTTTTCGTTTGAATTCTAAGAATGCGTTCAATAAATTCTTCATCGTAGAGATGATCCGGTCATCTAAGGAAAATCCAGCCTCAGAAACAGACTGCATAGAGCTTAGGAAAACAATTGGGTCGAGATCCAGGGCACCATTGGTCAACACCGGAGTGCGAAGTAGTTGCGTGACGGTCTTATCCATGTCCATGGTATCACAATTCTCTGGCAAAGGTAGCGACCGGTCTGAAATAACAGCTGGTTTTGGTGCTCTTAATGGATCTTCCTTGAGAGTTCGAAACCAGCGGAAAGCGAGATCTGCGCACAATATAGGATATATTGCAATCATCAGGCGACCCACAGCTTCTGCCAAAAACTCTTTCCTTCTCTGGGTTTCCATACAGCTATCGAAGATGGAGTGTACTTGGGAAATTAAGGCTTTAACTAAGCCTTCGAAATCCCTATGGCCGTGTTGGACTGCCGATTTCATATTCGGGGCATGCAGATATGGGTGCAGCCCCGTAATGGTAGATGACAGGCAGAGCAGTAGTCCATGTGCTTCGTCGATTTCTCGTAGAGGTAAACGTTCAAGCCGCGCTGCAAGATATGAGATGATACGCTGAAGCTCCTCATATGGAATAGCCCCCAGATCATCTAGCTGCAGATTGCCCCACACGATACTTCCACATGCAGCGGCAATCATACGCCGGACAGAAGGATCGTTATCTCTCACACCACGCCATCCAAGCAAACAAAATAGAATGCCATTGAAATAGAGCTCAGAGAGCTGGGCTGCCTGGACGGCAACTTGCTGGACTGCTCTCGAACGAAGCGCAATTGCGTGGTAGTCAACCACCTGAACAAGCTGGATACCTTGTATGATCATATCCGGATGCCTCCCGACAAGCTCCTGAAGGGCAGCGGACGCTCCTCGTCGGATATTCCCAGCGGAATCCAAACAGGCTGAGACGACGAGCTCAGTGGCAAGGCCTTGCAGCGCAGGGCTGTCTAAAATAGGATTCCGCTGCAAAGAATTGACAGTAAATGAGCCACTGAGAGATGCAGTTTTGATAGTGACAGAACCCAACTCAGCTGTTGTGTACCTTCGCGCAAGGGCCCAAATTCCGAAACATGCTGCATCCCGTACACTAGTGCCTAGGGACGCTCCCAAGGTAGACCGCTGCTCGAACGAGAGACCAATGGCAAGATAAGGTAATATCGGTGAGAGTCTACTGGCAGGCAACGAGCGACGATACAAAAGATGAGACAATGTTAGAATAAGCCCATGCCATTCAAGTGCATTAGCATTGGATAAATCAAATGCTGTGTGATTCCCCTTATTAGCCTGCCTGCCCGTGTCCGGCCATGACACTCCTCTTTCGAGATTGCCAACAATTGCTTCGACCACCTCGTTGGCCATGTCAGGATCTAGCTTCAATATTATTATACTCAAAGCTTTGCTTGCAGCTAGTCTAACAGGGGTTGCTAGGTCCGAGAGGTATTCTATGAGAATACCAATAGTGGACTCTACCCGCTCCATAGCCGCCATGTCCGGGTTACTTCGAAGGTCAAGAGTGGTAATAGCGCGATAAATCTTGATAGTAGTCTTTCGAGCCACTGCAGAGTCATGAATACTTCTGAATACAGGACTTCCTTCGGCGGATATTTGCTGTACAAGATGAAAGATGTCTCCGAGATAATTATACATGGCGGTGGAGCCGGCGGATGAAACCAGAACGCCAGCAAGGAATGAGAGAAGGCCAATGTAGTAATGCGCTGGTTTCACTACATCGGGGGCAGCCTGAAAACGAGAAATGGCCCAGCTGACCAAGGATTGCAGAAGGCCAAGTTCTTGCATATCACGACGCATAGCAACACGCACAAGGAGAGTTTTCGCCGCATCTCTCTCCTTCCCGGCCGAAGAGAGGTAGCGAATTGCCAACGGGATAACTCGTAAAGCCACGCCGGGGACATTACCTGGCCAGATGAATCCAGGAATCCTCGTTAAATCTTCATCAATATTATCAGATGACGAGATGGATGCAAGGTCGAACGGAGCCAGAAGAAGCTGCGACAACCAGAGAAGTGCAATATATCGTTCCTCCCACGACCATGTTCCCGATGCCTGAGCAGGTTCCTCCTCGACTGGATTGCCACTTTCCACGGCAGAGAGCAACAACTCCAAGTATCTTGTCTCGGTACTCAAGAATCGGACAATTACCTTTTCACCGCGGATTTTGCAAAAAGCATATAAGAGCTTGCATATAGCACTCGAAAGGGACATCAGCGGCGGGGCAGAAATGGCAGGCGCATGCTTTGGTCGTGAGGCCCATCGCAGATATGTAAGGAATGCTTCGGACAGGCTGGGGATTATTTTGTCGAGGTGTGGATCGAGGAGTTGAGGCAGTTCCTGGAATCGCTCGAGCTATCTCAGAGGTTAGCAATAGAAAGAGGTCGTGGAGATAATCCATTGTGTGTTTGGGAGTAAATGGGGATTATTGGTACCAGATCAACAAGCCTGTTTGTCTCCCTTATCCGCACCCCCCTCCTGATCTGGACCTTTCCGGAAACGGTGGTCTTCCAGAGGAACGGCTTCAGGGAGGATTCAAGATCTGCGAGAAGCTCTGCTGAGGACCTTTGGAGTAGCACATCGCGGTCATCCTCGGGGGCGTCCATGGTGGGGGGGATAGAGTCAAGATGACAAGTTACTACTGCCAAAGATCAGGCCAGCATCAACATCATGCCCTCCAGCTTACGGAATATATATCAAGTGTTTGCTGCTGCGATATCGATGTCTACCTAGGTAGCCTTATGTTGATGTTCATTGTCTCGTCCCACAACCGCGTTTTCGGAGTTAAGTTAATCCGCCCGAGAATAACGTTATCCGAAAATTAGCCGACAAAAAAGCTTAACGACGTTATGCTTAAGGTGCGGTATGCAACAAAATACCCCCTCCTCATTATTCAGGCATTCGTCAGCAGAACCCCTTTCTCCACCCATTTAGCCATCACCACCATCCACTACTACAAAACCTCCCACTGTCGTTTTTTTAGGATACACAATCGGTTATATTTAATACAAGTGGATGTCCAATATTTAGTAAGCTTTAAGGCGAGGCAATAATAAATTCTCTCTGATACCCAATTATAAAATGGTTCTAACTTCAATGTATTCTTCCAGATTAAGCTAAAAAGGGGGGAGACTCGCTTAAGGTTGTATATTAGAGGACAAGGTCAAATCTTTCTAGGTGTTAGTGTCACCTGCTGTGCCATTGGTAAAGATCTTGATTATGTGTTTTTATAGCGTGCTACGTGGGAGTTTGACCGTGCCGCAACTTCCTCGGGAATACCGATTAGATTCACCAAGTCACCATTGCACCAGGGGTAAGCATTGAAAAGGGAAAGAAGTACTATATTTGATTATGAAAGTCACACGTCTTACTTACGTTTTCCGGCAGTATTATTCAATTGCTGCCTGTGGTCCAAAATGAAACCATCACTACGCCCTCTCACCACAAGGTCACTGCTGTCTCCAGCTCCAAGTCCACCCGTCATCATAACCATCTAGCCATTCTTGTATCACCTCGTAGTAGCATCCATCGTTTACATGGTGTACTGCCCTTTCGAAGTCGGCTTTTACCCAGTGCTTGTTCACCTGTTCCTCCCAGTCTGGTTGAAGTCGCTGCGTCTCAGCCACGTATAGAACCCGTAATTGAGAGTCACAAGTGTCGTCGAGACAGGCCTCCAGGCATCCTCGCCATAACGGCAGTGCAGATATGCACTCCCAATCAGTAATGGCTGAGATATCCCCAAATTCATCAACCTGAATATTAGCCAGAGAGAGATTATCGTGGCGGAGAAAGGTTGACTCCGTCTCGTCTACAGGGAAAATGCTAGGTAACAATTCTAGAAGCCGCACTGCAAGACTCATGCGCCTCTTTAACATCCAAGCTTTACCGCCGTCGCGTATTGATTCTTCTATTTCACGCTCTTGGGCGTTGATAGTGTATGACAATCTGTAATGCAGCCAGTCATGTGAATTTTTGAACGGCCCTGCGGGAACTTCGGGCCATGGACATCTGAAGGGAGTTTTGGAAACCATCTTGCCCAAGATAAATGCGGGCTCACTAGATTGCGCTGACTCTTGTGGGGCGGTTGAGTCTTTGGTCTCAACGTGCGGGGTCTCATAATAGAGATTTCCAATGCCTCCAAATCTGTGATTGAATAACTTGGCTTGAAAAATTGCCAGCTGTTTGACCAATTTTATTTTTTCAGGCGATTCAATTTCTTTCCAGTAGTCATGAAGCGGTCTACCGGGCATGAGCCCCATCAAAATCCATTCGAATCCGAGCTCATTATCGCTCGATGTATCAAACGTAATTACTTTGGGGACCGAGATCCCCACCACACGCCGAACGAACTCGAGCGTAGCGACGTGGCTCGCGGTCTTGAGATAAGGATCTTTGTGTAGGGATACTCTCATGAGAAAGAGCCAAAGTACGTGCATATTTTGTAAAGTCTGTGGGAACTTCCTTCTGTATACAGCTCGACTTCGCAGCGTGCTTCATTGTCCAAGCCGATATTCTTCCGCGCAACTAATTCAATAGCTTCGATATTTGGCAGTATCCTACCGTCGAAATTGAAGTACGGCACCTCGCCAAATCTAGCGTTTTCCCATGGAACAATATCCATATTTCTTATTTCTTGAGAGGATAGACTATGTAATTGTGGAAATATGTGTGGGGCAAAGTGGCCAACTGGGATTTAAATAGAACAAGAGAGTAACATGATATGTGAAAACAATGGTGACAAAGAACCTTGAAACCAACACCCATTCATTGACCTTGAGTAAATTCTGTACTACACTCGGGATAAAACTAGAAGACAAACGCCATATTACAAATGAATTGTTCAATTTGCATATCAGCTGCTGTTATAGGGAATAGCGGGTGGTCAAAAAGATGCGATGGGTTTGGGCCTGGTGACTGGGCTGAATTGCTCCCGACGTAGGCCACTTAGCTCAAAGAGATTCGGAACATAAGGGAGAACAATGGCAATCCCTGGGCGGGCCACGTACCTGGCTGTAAGGGACTACCATAGCCATGGATATCTGAATCGCTACTGACAGTGCTTCAGACTCCTAAATCTGACCTCCACCCTCATACCCTCACAGTACAAACTTTTGTTTATATATTCGGAAATAATGACACTACCATTATGGCTGATGTTATATTGTATCTACTGTTAAGAGACTCCGACACTACTAGAAGACTTACAAATAGCATTTAAGGTACCCGTGTAACTCCTTTGTGGGGTTCAAATAACCTTTAAAAAGTATGTTGTGAGTAGTGTATACTAGATTTCAGAGGCACTAGTCGTCAAATCCTGCTTCCTGGTTAAGATGTTTCCCGAGCACAACTTGATTGCGTCAGCATGGATTGATCTGAACAAACTCTTTAAAAATCCTACAATCTCTCTCTCAGTGTGGGAGAAATATCAAAGCTGTGGAAGATTTCATCAAGCCAATGCTAGGCTTCGGGCTCATAGCTCACAGACCTACTTAGCACCAGCGAAAGCGAGCAAAGATATATAGAAATTTCGGCTTGAATGCACGAAATTCTTAACCATGTCTTAACTTTATCTCACTCGTATCTTCAGGTTTGCTAATGTTATGCTGGTTCTACTAAATAGTTAATCAATGGCAATCATCTTAAGCATTCTATCCACGTACAGACCAACCGCAGTACGATAACCAGTACGTTCAAGAACGATGCACTTCAATATGTAACCATCGCCTCATTCCTATCAATAGAAGCTAGACGGGAAGACGGATGAAGGATGCCCTTATTGCAAAAATATGACGTTCAGGTCGATGAGACGGGGCAAGGAAGGGCGAGCCCGCTTGGATCCCTTAAACGAACTCGGATGTGGGTTGTGTTCATAGCGACAGCGCTTAGAGACCGTCTGTGGATACCGGCATTGTATTTCTCATGGAGCTTGGCTATTACTTCGTAGCAATAGGATACCTGGTGCCGGCCAGCCTAGCCAAGTAATTGCAATAGGACTAGCAATACTCCGCAACTATGTCACTCAATGTCAGCCTCATAGTCATCTTGACACTGCGGAAATAAATCTATATTAGGGAGACACGAGTGCGGAAACCTGGCAACGGCTGGCTGTACCAGGGAAAGAGTTTTCAAGCCAAAAGAAAGCACTCGTAGAAAACGTATTCCAAACACGGGAAGCTAAAAGAGGCAGAAGTGAGTACCCCCCAAGTGGTGCCAAGGTGGAAGAGTAGTCCAATACGAGTTAGAAGTAAATATAGAAGTAAATGTAGAAGTTGGCTAATTCGTACTACTAAGGAGAACTTTTCTGTGTGGCCACTACTGTTATGCGATACGGAAGTAAAAAGCTTGAGCTCAGGCAGAAGGGTAACCGTCGCCCAAAGTTGAAACTATAAGCGGCGCGGGAAAAAGGGGTGAGGAGGGAACGCCTTGCCAAGGATATGTGGGATTTACCTGAGTTGGTTGGGTATCGGGAATATAATTCGAGCACGTCCTAGCACATTTGCACCATATCCCTATGTAGGTACATGTGCTTTCGTACTTACCATAGCGTTATTACTATCTATTCATAGTGATGGGCACTCACTCCTGTTCATGGCCAGCAGCGCATACTTCGTACTTATCATATTCATATCGTATCCGGTACCGAGTACCTTTGCCTCGACATAATTTGGATAATCCCAAGGCAAACGAAACCAGGAACGACGCAATATCGCAGCCGCGCCACTGGAACTTCCAGGACTGGGTATTATGCGGCAGGCGCGGGCCATATAAACCGATGATATAGCCTCAGCTTGGGCAGCTGCCAGCAGAAAGGATTCGAGAACCTTCTACGCGCCAGGCAGTCTGTCGGTGCGATCATCCGATCTGCGTTGTGGGCTGCACGTCGCAGAAGGGGAATCGCGGGTTCCAAGTACCAAGTACCAAGAATCGAACATCGCCAATCATTCCTCCGATGTCGCGATATCGTGGACCCGGATAGAGAAAACGCCGTGGGTAGTATAGGATACATGTATATGTGAGACGCGGTAAGACCTTATCTATGTATTTATGTATGTACTGCACGTTGGTTACGCAAACGTGTCGTCCAAAGGTCAAGTGTTGCCGTGTACGAGCACTTGGCCGTCAGCACAAGTGCCACTCTCTGTACAGTACCAAGTACGTACGACGCAACGAGAATAGCGCTGAAACTTTCCGCAGGGCAAAGCCACATTATTGAACCCCAGATCGGAAATCCCTCATCCTTCGATGTTTCGTCCACCTCGCAACTTATTAACTTCGCAAGTCTGGCCGCTATGACTATTGGCGGCAGGGCTGCCATCATATTGCAGGGTAATTGCCTGCGGATCGTTGCCTTTCACCGTTCTATCACAAGCTTCCAAAGTTCCATGGGCACTGGGCACAACGCCGCAATCCCCACGTTCCCACCCATCTCCAATGGAAAGGTTGGCGGCGTATCACAGCTGATGGCCACCGCGTGGTAGCAGGGTCTTCAAAAGCAATCTGCCGTGTGTGCCACAGCACTGGCGCCTAGGGTTGCAGCAAGTCCTTCGCCCGTCGCAGCGAATCTTCAGGCTTCAGTTCCCGCTAGCCCGGCAATCCACGATAACTACTCGTGTGCTCTCTCTCGATATACATGTGACCGACGGATCAGAGGAGGAGACCAAAGAGCGAAGAACGACTAAAATACGAGTTGCCGGAACATGGATAAGCCTTCAAGCAGGCATCAATGAGCTCCTCATTGCAGTATCAAGCATGAATCGTGAACCCGGCACGTGTCCCTAGCCTGGGTTAGTGATATCATATCGCTATCGCATAGGCCCGAGATTTTGCTAGGCCGCGCCTTGGAATCCGACGAAGCAAATTGGGATCATGGAATAATAGGGACGAGCACGAAGTACGCGGTACTCGTACATATGTACAGTACAGCTCTCGAGTCTCGGCCATCCTACTGCCAACCAGTATCTTCGAATCGGTTTGTTACTCGGGGTTGAGGGACTATTTGCTGGTGCTATCTAGACGACGGCAACCGTTGGCCTGTGAAAACTCCGAAGGATTCTGATATTGGCTGACGGACGGCCTTCCTAATGTTTCTTTTCCTGGTTGCTACTCCGCCCTAGGGGCCCCGCTGTCCGCCAATTTATATGATTATTAGCCAGACCAACCACCCAGCCTTCTGGTGCAGTCGCAGTGCGTGTGTGCCGCAGCTCGTCCACCACTCGAGCCAGCTCCCACAATCCCCGAATTCCAGCTCTCATCCCCCATGAGATGCTCACCGTCTTATTTATTGGGGCTCACTCCGCTTTCTCCACCTCCGCCTCCAACTACGTACTCCTCGCCCCCTTCCCTTCATCCTCACCAGCCTCCTTTCTCGCGACAGCATCCTCCTCCAGACTTATCCTCCGCATCGCGGCGTAGAGACAAATTGAAACGGATCCATTGTCGAGCCCGGCACGTTGAGGATCCCGTTGTTGTCTCACTCGAAACGCCACAGCGATTACTATCGGTTCTTTTAAATCCCGAGTACACTCGCTACAGCAATCGAATCCAGCACTTCGGCGTCATAAGGTTGGTGCGACCGCGCGAACGATCCAACTTTTCGAGTCCTCGAGTCCTGTCATGCCACAGTTCATGAGAGCGACGCAACGACACCGTCTCCTCTCGTCCAGGAGTCCTGCGCACTATGCGCTCAATTCCAAATCACCTTACTAATGGTTAAACCTACCCAACCCCCCCCCCCCCAAAAACACCACATCTCCATTGCGAATCCCGCCAACTTCCCCGCTCGTCCCCTCTACGGAGGTAGGCGGGCGTGGCCGTTCAGGTCCAGCAGCTCATCATGAGCATCTACTCGTCGCCGCCGCCCGCCCGACCCTTCCACGATGATAAGCCTACTCTGTTAGTGTGTTGGTGGTGCACAATTTTTGCGGCGGTCGTGATAATATTTCGCATATGTGGGCGATACATTCGGACGGAAAGATTATTCAAGGAAGATTGGCTAGCATTTGCGTGCCTAATACCGTTGTTTTGTCGCATGGCGTTGGTTCATATAATCCTGCTCTATGGGACGAACAACGTCATTACGGACGGCCTCACTGCAGAGGCCATTCGCCGAAGAGAAATCGGGAGTAGATTAGTATTGGTTTCGAGAATATTCTACGCGGCAACGTGCGTTACCCCAAACTTAACTCGGTCAAGCCATTCAAACAAACAAACACTGACAGTTCCTCCTAGGCTATGGATGCTCAAACTAACGATCAGCGAGTTCTTCAAGCGCCTCATATCGAGCATCTGGCGAGATGCCTACGAACGGGTGCTAGTGTCTATACGGTGGTTTCTACTAGGAACATTCATTGTTGTCGTGATTGTCGACCTTGCCGAGTGCCAACCATTCACACACTACTGGCAGGTCGTGCCTGATCCAGGACCAAGATGCCGACAAGGTTTCGCCCAACTACTCACCATGGGGATTGCCAACGTCATTACCGACTTCCTCCTGGTGCTTTTCCCAATCCCCATCATTATACTATCCAGGATGTCGGTTACGAGGAAGGTTCAGCTGGTGCTCCTGTTTGGGGGGTCGCTTTTACCCGCAGGAACGACAATGTATCGACTTCCCCACATCATCGATCGTCATGGCAGCCAGCAATATCGCTCTCTGATGGCCTCTGTGGAGATTTTATTTGCGACCGCTGTTGCCAACGCCCTGGTGCTTGGGTCCTTTATTCGCGATAAAGGCGTAAAGAAGCAGAGATGGAAGCTCGGGTCCATTAGCGACAGCATCGAGAGGATGCCGAGTAGAAGGGGTCCAGCGATGCGCCATTGGGGGAGCGACGAAGACCTTGTCCGAGATTTAGGTTTAGGCGTGGATCCTGAATTAAGAAGTGCGAGGCCGGCACCTCGTCCTGCTCCAATGGCCACAGCGGGAAATGTACCTGTAAAGGCACACAAGAGTAGAGACATGAAGGATTGGCAATTTCATGGCGCCGGACGAAGTGAAGCAAGCGATGAAATCGTCCTGATGAAGATGGCCCACGGTGGACTCGGTCCAGATGAAATTTCGCCCGTACACTCACCGCAGAAGGTTTCGTTCTTCGACGTCGGCGGGTTATTGGACGATGATCAGCCCCGAACCACCAGCTCCGACAGGATTACAGACACAGATGGCGAGAGTTCAATTCAACTTCCACAACATGAGCATGGGCTTTCACCCACGCCGGCCCGCAGGGGTTCCGCAGCGTTGCTATATGACCTAGGTGGATTTCTCAGTCCAAGAAAGGAACGAACTCCACAGCAACCCCGAAGCTACGAGCTTCAGACAATGCAACAGCAACCTCAGGGGGGTCGGCGTGGGTCGGCAAGCCCAGCCAAACCTGAGCGTCAACCGACAAGGCTCTCATTACAGGATGTAGGAGGCCTGTTGAGCGGTTTTTCTCCGCAATCGCAGTCGCAATCGCAATCTCTGCAACCCAGGGAATAATTATGACATATATGACCTTATTTGTACCATCTATGTGATCGACACGAGACGCGATATGATGTCGGTATTGGGATTGATCGAGGAGTTCTGGGAGTACCGGCTTGTGGTTTGATGGCTTCTAATATACACCATCTATTACAAGTGCTGTAATTATGGAGACACGATCTGTTTTTTTTTGGGAAGGAATCGGGATTGGGAGGAACGCGAATGCTATATACCAACGGTTAATATATATCTGGCGCCAAGTGCTTTTTATCTCTCGGAGGCTATTTTACTTCTTGCGTATCTGCAGAGATATGGTAGGCGCTAGTTATATACCACAGCGACTAGTAGTACAGTCGCCGATTCTTTTGGCCTAAGTTCTGTTTATTGATGGAGGATATAAAAATAGAAGTTATCAATCGAGGAACCCTTCGTTCTGAGGGTAACTTAAATACCTTATCATAGACTTGTTTTCCAGAAAGCCAGGGTTTAGCTGCCTTGTGCAAAATATTTCCACATCACTTCGTGACAGACAAGCAGACGAAGCATGAAACGCAATGTTTATGTTTGTTGCCAAAACCGGTTTCTGTTCCGTGTAAAGTGGTTCCTCGAGAAGACATGAAAGAATTCGAAGTTTGCTCAGCCATGAACGCAACCTCCAGGGGATAGAGGCCGAGACAAGTGCCTCGGAGTCTGCACACCGTACTTTTCAGTGATAACAGTATTGCTTTCGTATTCGGGTTTTGTTCTCGAAGAGCCTTACTAATACAACTTTCGTATTCGTGTTTGTTAGCGCTACCAATCAAAGATCCCCATTGGAACTCTGTTCCCAGAAGTACAGGGGATACATCATTAAGAGGATCATCTAAGGGAAAATACATGGCTACGACGAATGAATAGGCCATGATTATCATCGTAGCCACGGGATTGCAGCTGCGGAGGCTAGGAGAGGACCCGGAAGAGAGCCACTGGGCCGCGTAGGCCGTGAACAAAATCACTTATTATGCCTTCTTCCCTTTCCCATATTCAGAAGGAGGATATTCAAGTCTATCCAACATGGCCGACCTCGTTCATATAGCTGCCTATGTGGTTGCAGCGTTTCTGGCCTCCATTATCCTCAATATTGTTCAACAGTTGTTTTTCTACAACAAAAATGAGCCTCCTGTTGTCTTTCACTGGGTGCCGTTCGTTGGAAGCACCATCTCCTATGGCATGGAACCATACACCTTCTTCACAGCTTGTAGGAACAAATACGGTGACATCTTCACCTTCATCCTGCTAGGCCGGAAAACCACGGTGTACCTTGGCCTCGACGGCAATGAATTTATCCTCAACGGAAAACTGAAGGACGTCAATGCCGAGGAGGTTTATGGTCCACTCACTACACCAGTCTTTGGCTCCGATGTCGTTTACGACTGTCCGAACTGGAAGCTCATGGAGCAAAAGAAGTTCGTGAAGTTTGGCCTGACCCAAAAAGCTCTCGAGTCGCATGTGCAGTTGATTGGGAAGGAGGTTCTCGACTACATCAAGACCTCCCCCAGATTCAAGGGTGTCTCGGGAACCATCGACATCGCCGCTGCTATGAGCGAGATCACCATATTCACAGCAGCTCGCGCACTGCAGGGAGAAGAGGTACGCCAGAAGCTCACAGCCGAGTTCGCCGAATTATACCACGACCTAGATAAAGGATTCAGTCCCATCAACTTCATGCTTCCCTGGGCACCACTACCACACAACCGGAAGAGGGATATAGCCCGCGACACGATGAAGACTATCTATATGGACATTATCAACAACCGCCGTAAGAATGGAGCAGAAAAGGGCTCCGATATGATCTGGAATCTCATGGGATGCGTATACAAAGACGGGACACCCATACCAGACAATGAGATAGCACACATGATGATATGCCTCCTAATGGCAGGCCAGCACACGTCTTCCGCATCCAGCTCCTGGATCATGCTCCGTTTAGCATCTCAGCCCAAGATCGCAGAAGAGCTCTACCAAGAACAAGTGCGGAGCCTAGGAGGTGGCAACAACAACAACCTCCAACCCCTCCAATATTCCGACGTGGCCAAACTCCCTCTTCTTCAAAACACCGTCAAGGAGACATTGCGTCTTCATGGCTCCATCCACTCCCTCATGCGCAAAGTCAAGAACCCGCTTCCAATCCCGGGCACATCGTATATCATCCCCACCAACCACACCCTCCTCGCCTCACCGGGCGTAACCGCACTCAGCGACCAATTCTTCCCCGACGCGCACACCTGGAACCCACACCGCTGGGACGACAGGACCGAAGAAGAAGAAGATGGGGATATGGTTGATTACGGATACGGCAGCGTCAACAAGGGCACACGAAGCCCCTATCTCCCATTCGGAGCGGGTCGACATCGCTGTATTGGCGAAAAGTTCGCCTATGTGAATCTAGGCGTTATTATCTCGACTTTGGTCCGTAACTTCAAGTTCGAGAACTTGGAGGGGAAGAAAGGTGTTCCGGACACGGACTTCACATCCCTGTTCTCTCGGCCTATGTTGGGTTCATATATTCGGTGGGAACGACGGTTTCCTGAGGGTGCGTGAGCATGAATACCTTTATGGTGTGTTCTGAAAATGTAAATAGCTGTGCACTTGTTTAGTGGGGTATAAATAGATAGTAATAGAGTAACTAAATTAGAATCCACGAACAATCTAGGAGAAAGAAGCGCAACAGAGTCAAGTTTTCTACTTTTCCATTCCATCTGCATAGCCACCCACTCCTGCTTACAACACCTCTCATCAAAAGCAAGACCGCAAAAAGCAGACTAAATAGCAAGGACTGTTAATATCCTATCAATGACAACTCATCTGAACCTGACAAACACTTACTTTTTCCAATTTTACGTGCATCTTCCTCTACCAAAACATCGCAAAAAACTTAACACACAAGCTAACACAAATCCACGGACAACATTTCGTTATTTCGTACACGACGACACAAGGACTCCAGTCATAGGCACTGTGGGTATGAACACACGACAGCACGCCCGTGTTTGCCGGAATAGCAGCAGTCTCCTGGTTAAGAAAAGGGTTTCTAGAATGGACGGCGCTTGGGCTTTTATAGACGGGGGAGATGAAAGAAATCTTTACATGACGAGGGAAATGCCATAGGGGGTGGTTTGAGAAACCAAACTATTTTGAGACATTAGCATTATCCACGCGGTAGATGGAAGATATTTTGCATAATAATGAAAATACTAAGGGGGGTGGGCGTGGGAGATTGGACTGTTTTGAGACATTATTGGTATTTTAAGAAAAGTTTACAGAATGGACAGTGTGTAGGCTTTTATACACGCGGTAGATGGTAGAAATTTATATGACAAGGAAAATGTCAAGGGGGCGGTTTGGGAGATGGAACTATTTTGAGACATTGGTATTTTAACATTTTGACATTTTGATTACTGCTCTTTAGCAGGGTCTTGTGTAGCTATAGCGATGCAACGACGACGCATCATCTCTACCACATCTCTTACCTACCTTAATCTAGTGCTTTGATGCACATCTCAGCTGCCCATGTGAGGTTAGTGGCATTCCATTCCACTCCGTCTTACTCCAACACTCCATTCATCAACTGCTTTCTTTCATCTTTCATTGTATCTATCTTTAAAGTACTGGTTCTGGTTCCTGCCCACCTGGAGCCTCGTCCATCTCGAAGGTGTCACTCTCAGCAGCATTAATTCCGTCACGGCCCTCGCCCGATAATGGCTTTCCCTGCTCATAAGTAACTCTCCTCCAGCCCGAAACCTCGGATGGATCTTTGATCCATTCCATGGTCGGGAAATAGTGCTCGTTCTTTTTCATGGTGATAACCCATGGGACGTTGTCAAAGGTCATAGCTTTCAGGCGGAAATCTAAAGGAGAGTTAGCGATTTCGATTCGAGGGCTAAAGTCCAAGAGAAATGTCGGTCAAACTTACAAGTATTATCTGGGATTCCCACCACAGCCTTCAAAAAGCTCTCCAAATCAGGAGTCTTCTTGCCATTGACATGGGTAATGAAATTGGTCGGAGCCAGACCATATTGATATGCCGGGCTACCCCTCGTCCGCGCAGAAACATACACCTCGCTATAAAGCTTGCTGATCTGCTGTCTGACGGCGTGATGAGGCCGCTGTATGATCGCACCGCAGAAACTGATCGCACGATCGGTTTCGAGGTCATCTGCAGGCACCGTGGGCAGTTTGAGACTCATCTCGACGCAATCACGAACGATGACGGCGTCGAGCACCTCGTGGTCATACATGACGTCGAGCTCGTTCACACGGGTGATGATTTTCCCATTCAAAGTCAAGATCAAGTCTCCTTCCATGAGTGCACCAGGTTCGCCACCTCGCTCAAAGGTTCGTTTCCGGACCATGAAGAGCTGATGACGGGAGGAGTTGTCCTCAGCTACCTTCTTAATCCACTCTTCAGAAACCCCCATAATACGGGCTTGGCTCATTTGGATTGCGTTGAACTCAACACTGAGCATGCGCAGCTTAGGCTGCTCGCCTCGTTGGATCTTTTCAATCACAGGTAATAGTGTCGGTGTCGCAAGACCAAGATGGTAATCTGTGTCCTTCGATGTGGCAGGTGATCTCTCGCCAAGGTATGTCAACCACAAAGCTTGAACAGTTCCATCCTCCCCTAAGAGCACACCGCTCCCGCATTGCCCACTTAGACTTGTGTCAACGGTTATAGCGTCTACATTGACAGCACGGTATCTTGGCGCTCCAGAGTTTGCTGGTATTGCGACGGCTGTGATATCAGTGACAGTTGTCTGCGCAATCACCACACGCATGTTCTGGTTGAAGCCAACGAAGTAAGTCGAAGCTCCTTGGGCAATGTGCGAAGTGCTTAACTTGGCACTTTGCACAGGAGCATCAACTAGTGACGGGTCGTATTGGATGATGGCATAATTCTGAAGAGGGTGTAAGAAGATGACTTTCCCGTCGACAATAATGGAATCGGCAATGGTAATAGAAATGTCGCAGAGCTCGTAAGGGACAACCGCTCGAGATATAACCACCAAGCCCTTCTCTGCGTCGATGACAACTCCCATGCCCCATTTCCGATTTCGTGGAAACCCATCTAGTTTTACTGGCATATGGCACAAAACTCGAACGAAACTGCGGACGATGTTGGCTGCGGCGGGATGCTGAGTCTCAAGTTGAATGAAACTGGCAGACCGGCGGACGGGAGGTAGAGCTGGTAATGCATCGGCAAGATCGGTGAAGTCCCAAAGGCCAGTTTCGTCATTTCTGACTGCTAGTCTCATCTTACTTGACCAGTGGCGGTCAATATGTAATATGCTGGTATTGAGCGTATGCAGATCTCGAAGATGTTTATATGTGACCACAACCCTAGCTTTATCTGGGATATCCTTCATAACGGCGATGAACGTATCCAGATCAGGGGTTTGTTTGTGATCAACTGTCTGGATGATCCAACCATTATCCGTGCTTTCGAATCTGAATGATCCAGTAGCGTCGCAAACAAATACACCTTTGCAGGCGACAGCGTATAGCCGTGCTTGCTGATATGAAAGGTTGTGGAAGCTGGCCCCTGCTACAGAGACGAAGCGATCAGGGGTAATGGCATGGAGGTCCCCCACCTGGACTTCGACCTCGATATCCTCACCACCGCGTTGTATGAGCAGCTTCACTTTCCCACCGACATTCGAGTCTAGCGTGTCATCAAGTCGGTGGAATTGTGTCAGCAACTCGCCGTTAACTTTGATGAGGACATCGCCCTCTTCAATTTTCGTGTCTGATGGTCCTTCCGGTAGGACGATCTCTGCTACCAGCATACCGGTCTCCTTGGGAAAGCTATGCCTAATGGCAGACTCCCATTCGGGTGTCAAACCAAGCCTGCGACATTCGTCAAAGGGCTTGATCATCCATTGACATTGTATTGTCCCTCGAGTCACGGGCTTTCCTTCTTGAATGCACTTCAGCGCTCGCAAGGGTCGATCTAGAGGTAGGAAATAATCGGTTGCTGCACCATCACTTCTACCTCCGGCTTGCAGTGCCACGGCATATCCATCAATATTGACAACTGGACTGCCGGAACTTCCCCCGCTCGCGGCCGCCGCAGCTTGTATGTAGTTGGTATTGAAATCGCAATAGCCATCCCCATACTCTGGTGCATTTCTGTCCAGCCTACTGATGACACCCGAGAGGATACTAAGTTTCTCTCCCGCGTCGTTACCCACGACTCTAATTTCCGATCCAACTTTAGCAAGATCTGGTCGAAGAGTCAGGGCAGTGACCGGCATATATTTAATGGCTTTAGGATCGAATCGAAGAATGCCGAAGTCGTGGACGGGATCGCGATAGACCGGGTAGGCATCGACCTCTTCATGATTATCGAAAATCACGAAACCCCAGAAGGGACCGGATCCGACGACATGACGGTTGGTCATGATGTAACTACATAGCACCCTGTCAGCGATAAACATCCCAGAATCGGAAAAATAATTTCTTACCCTCGTTCCGCATCTACCACGAAACCAGTAGCCTCACTCGTCAAGGCCGGATCCGTATCGAAGGAGCAAGTCTGGCAAAACCTGATCGAGACGACCATTCGAACCACCTTCTCGATAGCTGCTTGCCACTCCGCCGTGTCCGCCATGGCGGCGATGATCCGGGGCTCCTCCACCTCGATGACATCCTCAAATCCCATGTTCACATCGGGCGTGTTTTCTCCCGCGGACTCCTTGCCATTTAATATCCGATGCTGTTTCTGCGGACGTTCGTCGACTTGGCCTGGAGCTTGCTTCCGCTTTGCGCGGATCGTGCCATTGGTGCCGCTCATTGTGGAGGTGTGGAAGCTGGAAATGGACAATGCGCTGCTGGTAGTAGGTTGGGAGCTTCGTTGAATGCGACCACGAGCGGAGGTGATCTGGTCGAAGTTTGAGTTGCGCGTGAGTTTAGATGTTGGTAAAATAAGGCTGCGGCTCTGAAATGGGGAAGAAGCCAAGCTCGCAGAGGCTTCCAAGCACGTTAAAGAGTGGCGTCCCAAGCGTCTCATGCACCTAGGAAGAGCTGTCTTCATCCAGCGGCGATGGACGGCTAGCGGAACAGAAGGGAAAGCAAGGGAAGGACGGTGACGGTGCTGATCAGCTGAATGATGAATCAAAGGGCAAAACGAGAGAATGTCTCAGCAGAAGCGAGGCTAACAGGCCCGATGCACGTCGTTGGTATAGCGTCGCAGCAGCGAGTAATGCTTCGGGGATTGCGCCTGGAGGGCGAGGGTGAACAAACAGTGTTGTTGGATGGAAGCGGCGGAAGGCTGTGTATCATTAGTGTAGGGAAGTGAGTAAGTGTATGGGTTTGGGAGTTTGGGTTGGGTTGGGTTGGGTTGGGATTGGATGCTGTGTAGAGGTGGCCTTAGTCAGCATGTTTACGAAGAGTCAGGGCCTGCAGGTGCAGATGACCTCCCGAAGCCTCGTCCATTGTGCGACGTTCGACGATCTACGGTACAGTACAAGAGAACAAAGAGAACAAGATAATAAGAACAAAGATACGACGTGCTCGTACAACATCACCCCACGCCAAACTATCAGAAAGTATTGAGTGTGGTAAGTGTGGTATGCTAAGTCATTGCCCAGGCAACTCGGAAAGTTTAAGACACGGGGATACTTAGCAAGCCCATTTATTGTCACAAGATACGTAAGCATATCGCAACTCAATAGTCCAAAGAGGGGCCATGTTGGGCTGTACGGGTACCTTAAATTGTTGGAATTGCCATGAGGTTAGGGATGTTGTTCCAACAACTGATCGCTAGGGCTCCTCTCCTGGATCATCATCCCCCCAGAAATATGGAACGACACTGTGCAACGAGGGGATATTGGTGAAAGCTGTCTCGGACTGATGGAAGGAAGTAGGAACTTGGGGCAGTAAACAGTGTACCAGCCACTCCAATGTAGGGGCTAGAGCATATCCCATATCGTCGATGTGAGCTCCCACGTTCAGTACCCAGGTTGGTACATAAATACGGCAACGATAAGGTAGGAACGGAAGACATGTAGCCCACCACGCCCAATTTGAGAATATTAGGAAGCCACCAAGAGCAGGGTTCTAAACTTATTGTCATAGGATGCAAGTGCATGCGAGAATATATAGTTGCTTTGCTTAATAATTGGACACTTTTATTAGCATTGGATTTTGACCTATGGAAATTATCAATCACAATATGGAAATATGCCATAGTCACTTAGAGCGCGCACTCAATGTTGTCTTTATTCCTTTGTTGCTTACAATGAGGGATTCATCTCGTGTGATTCAGGGGCCCTAGGGACGCAGAGAGCCAGCTACCGATAGTCTTTCGTATACCTAGCTAAGGTCAGGTTGTATGGAATGCTCTTATGTTATTGTTGCTACAATGCCAAACTTTTCCTTTCACAGCAGGAGAAACATTGTGCCTAGCCAATTTAGATATTTCTAGGTAGCAGAGGTACAAGCTTTTATATCCTAAGGATATGCAACCACTTCTGTTATTTTCTTAAACAAGTTGTTTATTTTAGGCAAAAGCCAGCTTCACATAAATTGGAATCATACCTGCAGATAAGAGAAACCATTAATGGTTCATGGACCTGTCGGTGTGATTTTGCCAGTGTGGTTCACTCTATGTCGCATGCCTCACCAATATGATTCTTGATCAAAGATCAAGACCAAGAAAATTAATTTCCTTATAGATGCCGTATATGTTCACAGCGATGTACAGGCTTTGGCCTGGAAAATGCGCTTGCACTCTGATTGCTGCATCTTCATTGCTACGCTCACAGCTACGCTCACAGCACTCCCACCCCACGTCCGACCAGCTGTCCGTATAACCAAGAATAACGAAGTTACAGGTAAAAAAAGTCACCCGCCGCCTTGCTGTTTAGCTCACTTGATTCCACACTCTTCAGTTTGCTAATTCACTTAACAGTAGGACAAGAGAACCCTCTTCCAGAGCGTCGAGGGCAATTTAACAGGTGTCGGACACAGCAACCGTATCTAAACGGATGTAAGATCATGTGTATCCCCACCCGGCGGCAAGTTGGTATAGACAGACGGTACGGCCGCCTGGGATACTAACAGTTGGGGCCGCGAGGTCGTAGTAGATATTTTTCGTTGTTTTTATGGGGGGGGAACCCGGGAGGAGCGAATGCTACCCCGGCACAAGTGATGCTCCGCCAAACAAGTAAGTAGCATAACTAGATTATATGTGTTAAGCTTAACTAACATTAACATAGCAGTCAGCCCAGCTTAGCACCGGGGTTCTTCCCCTGCTTCACAAGTTAGGGACGAGGACGAGAATGAGGACGAGGATGAGGACAGGGAGAGAGTGAACAAGCCCGGGGCCACCGGGCATGTGGCGTCTTGTTGTAAGTAACATTCCAAACATCCCCCCAGCAGCAAGGCGTGTGTGATACCAAAAAAAAAAATTTCGCTTTTGGATTTGCTCTCTAAGACGTGCTTACTCCTGAAGAACGTTACCTAACCTTTGGATAACACGATTTTTTTTAGTGACCTTGTCACTTACGTACCTATCTTAATATCCGCCCAAATTGAACATCACCCTTTTCGATTCCTTCTAAAACCTAGCCCAAGGAGTGACTACTATAATTGCAAGAACATGTAAACGTCGAGTCAGCCTTAGATCGAAGCTCAATCGCCATATATGGTAGTTACATACCGCCATCTTCATTTTCTCTTGCCATAAATCCCCATGGTAACCGTTTCAAAAAATCTCCATAGAGCCAAAGCTAGGCCACCTTCATTTAATTCTCAAAGACACATCCTCATAACGCACCCTTCTATCCCTCCCGAAAGTAGCGCGCCAACCAATCCTATTAACCAACCCCCCTATAACACAATAACAAAGCCTTCACATTATTTACTTGAACAAACACTAGAAAGCTCCTATTCATCTCTCGTCTTCCCCTTTTTTAAGCGACACCTCTTAGGTACACATCAGAGCCAGAGGTAAAATCAAGACTCGACGTACCTAGTGCTCAAGATTTAGATATTCCGTACAAAGGACAACTTGCAATCCCTCAAGCGAACCTTTCTATATAGGTAGAATCTGGTCACCTCTTGTATCCTACAGCTTCATCGACGTCGTGTACACGTGACCCCCACCCTTTTCATTAATCGAAGTTGGCTCACGGTGAAGCTGTTTGCATTCTACATTTCATCTGCTGCCAGCTCCGCAAGAAGAGCAACCGAGTTGAAAAACAAGGCACGAAAGAAGTCTAATATCATAATCACATTACTACCTGTATATTTTGCCTTAAGGGTATCCCGATGTCCTCCGCTTTAAACCAAATCCCAAACACAAACCCCCCCAAATCCCATACCACACCTTCCTTTCTTGCCCAGATATTCCTTTCTCGTCATACCCCTCGCATCCTTCCCATTGACGGTCGTAACCGCATAGCAGTTGACCTTCTGCCCGGGAGCCCCCAGATCCTTGGCCGGGACATCAGCCCACCACCAGAAATCGTTATTCTCAAATGCGACGTAGTCCTCTTTCCGCCCATCAACGCCGTTGATCCGGAGAACCATGCAATATGGCTTTCCTTGCCCGTTCTTTTCGTGGTCCCAGTGCTCGCAGGCTTTGCTGAATTGGAAGCGTACGGTCTCGCCAGAGTTAACTGGGATTTTCTTTTGAGGTGGAGCGAAGGAGGTTGGTGCCAGACCGTGGTCTGACACTGCGCCATATTGCTCTACCTGCTCAGCACCAACCGGCCCAACAATGTACTCTTCCCAAGTCAGAACCCTCCCATCGCTGCGGAAGAAGTTTTCTTCATCACTCGGGAAATGCTTTAATCCGAACTCATCGTTCGGCGCCGTAAAGTAGGTTGGCGTAAACTTCTGCTTGTATGCTTTATCCGACAAATGCCCAGCGCCCCAACACGAGTCCAGCAGCTTCCACTCCCCGCCATCGATACGGACCGCATTCCAAGCGTGTCCCGTAGGTTTGCAGGGGGGAATTGGGTCCCCTGGTTTAAGAGCGCTAAAGCCATAGCCCTTCCCATGGCCAGTTACCATAACAGCCTCGAGTCCTGCTTTCAGTGCGACGGCCGTGAAGACTCCCGCATACCCACCACAGACAGCAAGCCCTGATCCAATTGTATCGGTAGGTGTAGCGCCATAGTTAACTGTACGGGCAAAGAACGCCACAGTATCGTACGCGATGTTGTGGTGAAGCCAGGTAAAAATCGCCCGTGCTTTATCTGTGGCTGATTGAAATGGGCCACAGAGAACATCAGCCAGATACCCAGTAATATCATGTGTCTTGGGAAGAGATTGGCGCGGATATTGAGCAGCGACTCCGTCAGGACCAGAGAAATCCCTGCAGAGAAGACATCCAGAAGATGGCGGAGGGGGAGCTGCTGGCCGAGATTGCACAGCTTGGATTTGGGACCTGGATGGTTTAGAGCTTAAATTAATAGGTGGTGGAACTCCATTCGACTTCGGCCCATCAGCAGCACGGATCCCGGACTTGCCCTCCAGAAATTTCGTCAGATACGCCAGTTCGGGGTTAAAAGGACACTTCTGCGGCGTTTCGCTATGTCCATCGAAGTAAAGCATCGTGGGGTATTCTTGGATGTCGAATCTGCTCATGAAAGTCTTGTGCTCATGCACATCTATCTTCGCAATGACCAATCGGTCATGTGCGAAAGCAAAGTCCTCGCCGAGTTGCTTCCATATTGGCTCCAAATCCACACAATATTTGCAAAATGGCGCGTAGAAATCAACAAAAGCGGCTTTTCCGGACATAACGACACTGTCAAAGTTCGCAGCATTGAGCTCCTGAACTACAGGGCCTGCAGGTCTGGTGAAAGTTGGCGTTGGTCTCGGGGCAGGGTTTGGCGTCTCTTTATTACCAAACCCCATTGAAAGTGCAGATCTCGCTATAGCTGGTGGCGGAAGCCTTCGCGGAGGCTGTTTAGGAGCTTTCTCCTCCTCCGTATTATTTCTACTTGTTGGTCTTGGGGGCATTCTCGGTGATCCGCCTGGTCTGGGGGGCATCTTCGGGGGTTGATCACGGTCAACAGGCGGTGGGGGTCTGAGAGGTACATTAGGCGCCGACTTCACGGATATCAGCGGTATTTTCGGTGCTCTTGCTTCCTCCTCTGCTTTGCGCTGCTCAAGCTCACGCCGAGACGGTGGTAACGGGGGAAGTTTTGCCATGTCCAACGGTGGTGGCATCTTCCTCTGGGACTCCACGGATGAAGTGCTAGATGGTGCCTGACCCAGGGATAATGCTGATATTGTAGAGCTCAAGGACATCGTTGAAGCATTGGAATCTCTCCGAACCATCTGTGTAGAGCCATGTCGGGGTGGTAGAGAGGGAGAAGGCTCAGTAGCCTTTCGATTTGGAAGACGTGGAGGACCACTGGGGCGGGAGGGCAAAGGGGGTGTATTTGCTGCATTTCCCGGACTTGAAGGGCGGTTTTGGGGGCGGTCTCGATCGACGCCCGGAGGAGGTAGAAGAGGGGTGCCCCTCACGCCAGTTGGCAGATTGTTCGCTTGCTTCGTACTCGACGACCCATAGCTAGCAATTGGGGGGTTATTCGCAGTTTGTGTTCTTGTGGGTAATGGAGGTCGGTTCGCAGATGGAGGAAGTGGAGGAGGGGGTCTTTTGCCGGTGGTCTGACGGGCGCCGCCAGCACTCGTTCCCACGCCCTGCTGCTTCAACGCCGCGATGCGCGCCGCCAGCGACGTGAATTGAGGTTCTTCAGCCTCCGTATCGGCCATTGTGCAAGAGGGAGGGGAAGGGTTGATGTGGGAGCGGGTTTTCGCTGGTTAAATTCGTGAAGAAGTGGTCGGAGGGAATAGTAGCGAGTGTAGCATCAACACGACATAGTGTCTAATAAACAGACGGGTATTGAAGAGAAGCAAAAAAGTTTGGAAGCATAATAGAAATCCATCTGCTATAGAGGTAGTTGCTCATCCATGTACATACCTTACCCTACTGGCGCGAAGGAAGTGGCGGGGTGTGGCTATAACTGGAGCCAAGGATAGCATTCCGGTTGAGATGAGGCTGTGTTGTTGTTGTGAGACGTGGCAATAGGTTCGTTCTTATTGCACTTACAATTCCGATGCGCCAAAACACCATCCGGATGGCTTTAGGTATATCTCTCCTCGGGTTTTCTTACTTAGCCGCCGTCAAGCCTACTATCTTACTAGCAAATACAAATACTGTGACGGTTCTGGAGCGACACCCGACACGTGCGCCCACCTCTCCAGCCGATCACGTGGATGATCACATGCCTTGCATCACATGACATTTAAATTTTCAGATTACTGTATATGCTTCTTTATTTAGATTCTATAATAAAGTAAAGATATATTAGTTATAATTTAAATTAGGAAGTAAGAAACTATTTAATCTAGATATAGATTATTATACTTAGTATTAGTATATTATTCGGTATAATAAAGTTATCACATAGGAGGATAGTAAGGGGAAAGAGGGTAAGGGCGCGTCGATTTAGGAGCAGGTGCAGCTTTTATAATAGCTCCTTGCTAGGATACTGATTGTAAGGTACGATATCATTAGTAGGGTGTAAATTGATTGAATTCCAGAACAAATTAAGGTGATTCTGCATCACGACGACGAGGGCGTCTCTAGCAGGCCCCTGCCATAGCCCCTACTAGCGCTGTGTACTAGCGTGCCAGTCCAAGGGATAAGGTACCTAGGTACCTTAGCTAGCTCGTTACCTGCTCGACACGTGGTACCTAGGTACTTCTACGCGTCGCATTCCGACTATGGCCAAGGCAAGCTCCTCCTGTATAAATTACAGTAGCAAAGGCTGATTATTTGGCACACAGGAATACAGTTAATTGAGGTGCGCAAGCTGGCAGGCAGGCAGGCAGGCAGGCAGGCTAGATAATATAATACTGTTGCTATTATAAAACTGTTTTATTCGGTCTATGTGATCAATTTGCTTGTATTTACTTAGGTAGTAGCTAAGTTGATACGATCCGTACGTATACTATCAAATTGATATTATTCGCCGACACGCTGTCAATTTGATACGGATTCGCGCCGGATTCGTGCCGGAGGCTGCGAAAATGAGGGACATAGGCCAAAATGGCGATTCGTCTATTTGATCAAAATGATATGATACTTTACGGAAACACAGATGATGCTCTGGAGCAGTTGTTCGATTCTCCAAAACAAAATGAACAACAAGCAGGGGTTGGGTACTTGTGGGGCGAGTACGTCTCCAAATTGGGTTCGTGCTTGCCCCACAAGTACCAAACTGATCGTTCATGCATACTCCGTAGTCAAAGCCACTGATACAGTGTCTAACAGAAAAGAGGTAAGTGCCCCTGTTTCGGTTATGTGGCTGGGCGTACGAAGTACTACTACTACCTATTACCTAAACGAACAGACTCTAAGCAAGTATGCCGAGTAAGCAAATATATCAAATCGATCAAATAGAACAGTTTAATAATATTAGGGTAATAGTAATTATCTAGTCTGCCTGCCTGCCTGCTTGCGCACCTCAATTAACTGTATTCCTGTGTGCCAAATAATCAGCCTTTGCTACTGTAATTTATACAGGAGCAGCTTGCCTTGGTCATAGTCGGAATGCGACTCGTAGAAGTACGACGTATCGAGCGAGTGAGGTAAGCGAGCTAGCTGCCCTTACAAGTTATTATTTAATAATTAGCTCTAGCTAAGCAAGGTTTACGATCAGATCAATTTAATAGCTAGCTCTAGATAAGGCTTGCGATTTAATTAATTTGATATCTTTTCGCTAGTAAATTGATCAAAATGCTCGATTGGCTGAGCCCCCCTTTTTTTGATGCCAACGAAAACGCAGATGAAGTTCGCTATAATTGCTCTAATTTGACTATAGACTATAGCTAGCAAAGGACTCTAGAATCTAGATCCTCCAAACTTCCTTAGTCCGAATAGCCTTATACTAAGCTACTAACGACTTCCTCGACTCGCAGCTATTACTTACGCTAGCAGGGGCCCCCCCTTAACGCACGACTCCTACTGGGCTCCTGCGTTGTTTACTAGTATTATATAAGCACAATCTCAGATTTAGCGGAGTAATAACGTGATTTCTCTTATCACATACCCTAAAATACTCCCCTGCTAGCGTAAGCAATGGCTGCCAAAGGAGGGGATACGAGTAGTAGTTAAGTATAATAGTCGATAGTGATTTGGCTGTATACAGTTAGGTTAAATTGCTGTGGAGCCGTCCTAGGATAGGGGCTCTTTGCTAGCGATACCTATCACGACTGTTGTACCTCTGTAGTACAGAACGTAGCTAGCTAAAACACTCTCCTGCCCTATCTCGTCTGGGGCATCAAGCCCGAGCTCTCGGGTCGGCGAGGGTGGTGCGTGGAAGGTGGGTCCGCTACCGTTGCTGACCTCCTCCTCGGTTTGCGGGGAGAGTCTGAGTGGAGCTGAGCAATTCTAGGGCTCGGATCCCACCGGACTTATTTACTACTGTGGTAGTTTCAAACAATTTGCCACTGTCTCACTGCAATCATTGTCTTTACGTACGTACTCCGTACTGCTTTCTCCGCGTCGCCAATCACACTTTGGCCCCGCGGAAGTAAACACGTTCACACACGCCATGGGCGTCGTACCGCTATACGGACATCCATACTGAGCAGTAGTGAGGTAATATGTACAGATGTATCTACATGTGTTCCATGCACGTCCTTCCCGTCCGTGCAGGTCTTGAACTGTACATATGCATTGGTCAACGGCCATGCTTCCATGCTTCTCTCTCCACCATTTCCCCGCCGCCAGGTCTTCTAGAGCCCTAGGTCGCTACCATCGAATGCATAGATTTGCGCAAGGGGGATGGTCGTTCGGAACTTGCTTCGTTCTTGCCTCTGCCCCCTATCCCAGGCTGTACTGCTGCATACTTAAAACACCGATGACCGCCGAGTCAGCGTGTTCATCCTCACATCTTTCGTGGCCGATCAACACCCGTTAAGTTCCTAGGACAGCTGGCGGCATGAGGTTCCCTCCCCCGGAGGTTACGGCGACGTGGCCGAAGCCAAACTATATCGACCCAGAGCGAAGAGGACCAGCGAACTTGATTGTTCAGACCACCCTTATTATAATAGTCACTATTTTTGTCGCCGTTCGTCTCTATGCGAGGCTGGTTATTACTAAAGCTGGCCTTGGCTTGGATGATGTGACTATTGTTATTTCCTGGGTACGTTCGATAGGTGGCTTTCGTCCGGGACAACCGCAAAGCTAATATTTCCTTTAGATATTCGCGATCGGTCTTACTATTTGCGTCGTTCTTGCTAGTGTACAGTATGGTTGGGATGTACATATCTGGGATCTCCCTCCTGAAGATCGAGTTGCTAGTCGGAAGGTATAAAACCAATATTCTACTTGTTCTATATAGCTTTAATCGCTCTCTCGTTATTCGGGGTTATCTATCTAGTTTTGCTAACACCTTTTTAGGTTAGCTGGATCGGCTTAGTATTTTACGCTGTATCTGCAGCTCTGTCAAAAGCTGCTATACTCATCTTCTACCTACGAATTCTCGTCTCGAGATTCGACAAGATAGTCACTAAAATTGCTCTAGCAATTGTAATGATCTTTATGGTCTTTACTCTTCTCGTCCTCTTCTTCGAATGTCGGTAAGTTGACGCTTCCTTCTACCTCCAAGCTTTAGCAGAGCTCTAATCCTACCTAGGCCATTCGGCTACTACTGGGAAATCCTCGTGCCAGGCGCCAAAGGCACTTGCTTGGACGAAACTGCATATATGGTCGCCATTGGTGCTGGAGGCCTCGTCCTCGACATCGCTATCTTTGTTATCCCCTTCCGGTCGCTCGCAAAATTAAAGATCCGCCTGTCCCAGAAGCTCCAGGTCCTCGCACTCTTCTCCGCTGGCCTCTTCGTCATTGTCGCCTCCTGCGTGCGCATCTACTACAACGAACTCGTCTTCATCAAGACCTACGATGTGACCTGGCACGGCTACATGACCTGGATGTGGGCGGCCATCGAGGTGCACGTGTCAATCATCTGCGCGTGTGTGCCGGCCTGCCGCGCGTTCGTTGCCAGCTGGAATACCACCGCGAGCAAGGCCAGCAAAGCAAGCAAGGCGAGCAAATCAAGCAAGTCGAGCCGGACGGGCATAAATCCAGGTCGTGCCGCGAAGAATTATAATCCTATCGATGAGGATCTGGCGGAGTTAACGTCGAGGAGCCCCCAGAACGGATCCCATGCGAATGTCACGGTGGGGAGTTTAAAAAGCGGGAGGAGTGCCGAGTTTGGCGATGGTATAGACGGCGGGGTTACGGTGCAGATGGAGGTGTTGCAGTATAATGAGAATAGATTTGAAGAGCGAACGGGCAAGAAGGAAGTTAGTGTAGTGTAAGGTTTCCTCGAGGTCATAGAAAGCGTTGTTAAAGATCTGCCCTCACGGGAGGGGCTTCTAATATAAAAATAATTACCACGAAAAGCGATACTCTGCTCCGGGAATCATCGCGAATGATACCCCCAGCTCAAGAGAGACATGTACCATCACCACAAACGCCAATTGAATTGTGGGGAAGAAGAATTCTGGGTAATGGGTCACGAAAGAATTGCTCAAAGATAGTGATTTAGATACTAAGAGCGGCTGTTTGAACTCACACCGCTACACGTTGAGGGGGAAATGGGGGAAATGGATAGTTTTTGTGAAACGATGATTTGGGGTTGATAAGGAATAAAATTGGGATAGGGTTGGCTCAGTATAAAGAAAAAGAACTTAGATAGAAGCTCTCCGGAATAGATACCATAAGTTGAAACAAAAGCGCGAGCAGTTCGAAAGAATACAGACAAGGAAAATTGCCAATCTTGCCGATCAAGACGTCGGTGCGGAGAGCAAGGATAAAATAGTAGGAGAGAGTGAGAAAGGGGCTGACGCGGTCGTTCTTGGGGCCATTCGTACAGCAATTATGGGCGCTTGAGAGCGGATCGCGGATGTATTCTCGAAACGTCGTTCGTAGGTTAAATTTAGGTTGGAAATGTAGATAAATAGCAACCAATGTAAAACGAGCGGTAGTAACGCAGAAACCAGTGGTCACCCCTTGGAATCTTTACCCACTGGACCCGAGTTACCCCACAGGTGCCAGATGTTTCGATATAATGGTCGCTTTCTAGGTTGATATAGGGATATTATATAACTAATATACTCCCCTAATTAAGTACTACAACCTTTCAACGCTTATCAAATTCGAAATAAAGGATTATATAATCTCTCGAATTATAAGATAATAAAATATCAGACGGCAAGTCTTCGATAGGCTCTTTTTGCAATCTTTCGTTATCAGTTTGTTAAAGTTAACGGAAAAGTGAGTTCTCGAAGCCGTCGGCACCAACAAATTTTTCTCATAAATGTGTCCGCCCCAAAACACTAGATCCACTTGATATCAATAGCGAGGAAATTAAACCCGGCGTCGTTGTCACTAGGGCGGAGAGGATAAAGACCTAAGCTGCCGATTTCGAAGTTTATATAGATAGTATCTATATTGAAGTTGATGTATGTCTTATCGATGTCGGCTGATAGCTTGTATTGTCTCAATGTCGTAGTGCGTGACTCGTGGCATACCCGCAACAAAGATGGGTTCTCTTGTTTTCTAGGATAACGTTCAAGTGCAAGCGGTGAGGAATCGGATATAAGGAGTGCTCAAATTTTAGTAAGGGTTAACAGAAAAGGAGAACACTTTATGGCTGACCTTGAATTAGATCTATGGTTGGAGATTATACTATACGATTTGTTAATATTGTGCCTTTTATTTCTCTATGGGCAGAAATCATGTGCATCAAAGATTTTGCATAGGCCAGTTTTTAACTTAGCGGGCGGCCAGTTCTAGACTAATGTAGCACATGCAACTCTTATCTTGTAGCGCCAACGCCAAGTCATATTTGGGGGTGAAGCCCCAGAGGAATCGGCCGCGGAGCCAATTGAAGAATTATGTATGCTTGATGTTTTCCAGGTTCGATTTCCCTTCGCGCATGCCCGAGAGCGGAAAACCTGAAATTAATAGAAAATGTAATGTAAGCACTATAGATTTATTAAAACCTTAGCTGATGTTAGCTCAAAGACGATATTGTAGTAGCCAAAAAAAAAAAAAAAAAGAAGAAGGAAATTATCCTTACTTATGACTAGGAGTATAATATTGAAATTCATTGTAAAAAGGATGTCCGAATCCTGGAACAAAATGATATCAGTAAGCAACATATCTTTTCGTCGCTACCTAGACACTCCTAAAATCTGAAAGAGCCCAAGGAAAGAAGCATATAAGAGACGCAAATATGTTGGCCGGTGGTGGGGTGGGTGGCCGGGAAATGAAATATAATATGTTTATAAAAACTAGAATTAAACTCTGTTTTCTTTACTACTCAACCTCCGTTCCTCAGGTATAAGTTAGCTATATAATACTCTGGATATACTAGAGTATATCACCAAGTGTCTTCCCATAGCCTGAAATATAGTATACTAGTATCATCTCGGCCTCGTCGTACTTGCCCTGGCTCTCGAACACTTCTGATAAGTTATTTATACTCGCTACTATGTCCGGGTGCTCCTCCTTGAGCACCATCTGCCTTAGCTCTAGTACCCGGCGGTATATCACCTCGGCCTCGTCGTACTTGCTCCGGGTTACGAGTATAGCTGCTGGGTTGTCCATACTTGTTAATGTAGACGGGTGCTCCTCCCCGAGCTCCGCCTTCCATAGCTCTAGCGCCCGGCGGTTTATCACCTCGGCCTCGTCGTACTTGCTCCGGGTTACGAGTATAGCTGCTAGGTTGTCCATACTTGTTAATGTAGACGGGTGCTCCTCCCCGAGCTCCGCCTCCCATAGCTCTAGCGCCCGGCGGTATATCACCTCGGCCTCGTCGTACTTGCCCTGGTGGCTAAGTGTACTCGCCAGGTTCATCATACTATGTAGCATATCTGGGTGCTCCTCCCTAAGTACTGTCTGCTCTAGTACCCGGCGGCACATCGCCTCAGCCTCGTCGTACTTACTCTGGCATACGAGTACAACCGCTAGATTGTTTATACTTATTAGCGTGTCCTGGTGCTCCTCCCCAAGCCCCGTCTGCCTTAGCTCCAGCGCCCGGCGGTGCATCGCCTCGGCCTCGCCGTACTTGCCCTGGTAGTTGAGCACAACCGCCAGATCGTTCATGCTCACTAGTGTGTCCGTGTGCTCCTCCCCTAACACTGCTTCACGAACGGTCAATGACTTCGTGAGCCTGCTGTGAGATATGTTATACCGACCTTGCTCGGTGTCGTATCTGGCCAACTTTTGCAAAAGCTCTGCATATTGCAGTAAATGAGAACCTGTCGTAGACGTATAACCGACGACCGCCTCTGCATGTGGAAGAAGAACTTCACATTCATTCCATGTCTCGTATTCACCACTCGGAAATCTTCCTGCTAATAGGCCTAGTGCTTTAGCCTGCCATTTCGCTTTTGTACCTTGCAACTCCAACCAGTTTTGTGTTGATAATTGCACGAGTCGATGCATTTCATACTTTGTTCCTCCCTTCTCAATGCCGATCAATGAGAAGGCTTGCAATGTTCCAAGAGCAGTAGTGAATTCGATCCCTTGTTCATTATCATTCTGAAGAAGTGTCTTTGGGATACCTTGCCGATCCAGAACAGACATAAGAGAGAGAAGCTCTGCAGCTCTTGGCTTTTGTCGGCTTATCTGATCAAAAGATAACTTCCATGTTCTTGTAATAGAGTTTTGTGTATCCAAATCTCTTCTAGGATCTCCTAAATCTTGACTCAAAAGCTCTTGCAACTCCGAATTACTAGAATAAAAGGCTTCTAGGTATTCTACCACCGTCATAGTATTCTCATTGATAAAAGCTGCAGCTTGAGTGATAGCAAGTGGTAGATATCCTAGGGCATCCAGAAGCTCCTTTGATTCGCTTTCTTCTGAACCACTCTGGATTGGGACGGTCAAACGCAATAGATTATCCGCTTCTCGGTTTACCATAGGCAAAACCATAATTGTCTTCGCTCTATCTGCCAATCTGTCACCAATCCTCTTGTCCCTTGTCGTGATTATCATAGAGCCATCCGGACTTCGCGGGAGAAACTTAGCAAGGGGTATTGCCGATTTACCTCTTACTTGTGACGTGTCAGATGTAGGACCGAAAAACGTCTCTATATCATCGGCGTTATCTACCACGAGTAGCCATGGTCCATGATCCTCATCGCATAACCATTCAAATACCATTTCAAATATATTAGTCTCTGGATTGTCACAATCAGCTAAATGTAGCTTTCTCGCAACGCCCCTGTATGCTTGATCCAGTCTGGCCTGGGTACTGGCATGCATCCAGATAACATGCCCTTGAGGGTGTCGTTCGTGCCATTTATAGCAGTATTCAATAGCTATCTGGGATTTCCTATTAATGTCAGTAAATCCCCTCTTTTACTAGGATATACATACCCCACACCCCCGATGCCAGCAAGAGCTACTCGACGCTGATTGTTGAACCTGCTCTGTATCTCCTCCAATATGTCCCCACGTCCAACGAAGCTCTGATCTCTGTCGAAAGGCATTATAAAGCACGGCTTTGATGGCCGTATAACTAGCTTTGCTGGACCGGTCACTTGATGATATGTGAGGGTTTGTACGTATTTGTGCAATTTCGAAGTGATTTGCTCAACCTTCTTCTCTTTGCCTACACTCGAGAACGCCCTCATGCCTCGTCGCCATGAAGAGTCTCCTGGCTTAGGAAGCGCCTTGACGAGTGTGCTGTCAAGCAGATCTACTTGAGAACGGCATCCCTTGACGACCGGTAAGAGTGCCTCTTGGGTCTCCCTGCTAATATCCCCAGATTCTGCTTGTGCTTGTGTCCGTTTGAGTGTGTCGAGCAACAAAGGCAGCTCTACCTTAATGTCGCGGAAGGCTTTCGGGACCTCGTCCACACTCGAATGGAAATCTTGGAGCCTCTCGACAATCTTTGAGCTGAACTCGGCGAATTGAATGATGGCAGCAACAAGGCCGACTACAGCAAAAGCTTCTGCCATTGTTTGGTTCCGTTTGTTGACGTGGATGTGTTACCGTCCGACGGGCATCTATTGTCAAGCAATGCCTTGAGTTAACACTGTCCATCTGCAAGCGTAGAATAGGTGACCTAGTACTTAGGGGTCTAGCTAGGATTTGTGATGCTGGAGAGGAGTAAGGCTGAGTCGACATTCACGCCAAGCTGGAACTACACGCCCATAACCGCCAAGATCTGCCCCGTTTTCTAGAACTCCACTTGTTCTGGGGGCTCGGCTACGGGCCGCCGCATGAGCCTATTTGCCTTCCCGAAATGCGGGTTGATCCATTGCAGGGGCTGGGATGCCAGCAGCAGGTGGATATTCTGCCATTTACATACAGTGGTAGCGGAACTACTATATTTCTCACTTTACAGTTCTTGACTTAAGGGGGAAAATGCTATATACTAAGATAACCACCTGGTTGCTTTAGATAGGTAGTTTCTCGTCTATAGAGACTTGTTATTGCGGGAACATTCCCTCTCCCACAATAACATCTTATTATCCTACGAGAAAAAGGCATTCCAAGGTCGGGGTCATTAGAGGCATTCACACAAAATTATATTAATTCTCACCAACCGCCAGTAGTTGAAAATGCATAGAAATAGCTTAGCTGCACTCTGCTATCCTTGTGATGCCATCTCGCAAAACGGAGTAAAACAGGAACGAAAAAATATGTATCGTCTCATATCATCATAAAACACGCTCCCCCATTGTACCAAGCAGGGTAAACAAACTGCTTTGCCCTAAATCCGTCGCGCCTCGCTCATGAAAACTCCATGTGGTGCCTGTAAAAGCCAAGCCATTTCATCATTTCACGCAACACGAGCTTGAACCATGAATCTCGATACCGAAGGTATGTGTTATAGACGCCCTCCGATGACATCCTTCTCGAATATCCTCACGCCGACAATGTCATGGAACCGAACATTATCCACGGTCTCAATCTTCAAGCCCAGTTTCCCTACCACTGGCGCCGAGTCGTCGTCCTCGTCTGAACTCAATTGCATGTCGAGTAGCGGTCCAGCTAGGGCACTGGGGCCAATTCCTGCTGTTCCGGAGTTGTTAAGCACTCCGCCATCTGGCCACGTACCGCCTGGCCCCAAGATCATCTCGGCAAGAACCTTAGAGTTACTAGCTGCCTTACCTTTGCCTTTCTTATCCACAGTCGCCTTCTGCGATGCGTTCGCTTTCGAACGACGGACCAACCGGTCAACGACTGTATCGAGAGCAAGATACTCAAGCTTCATATCCGGGTTGTGCGCCACGTTATCAACAGTAAACTTGCGGAACTCGCGCATAACCCACACACAAGTATCTTCAGTGCGGAATTGATTGGTGTGCAAGGCGCGGAGGGATGTCAATCCAGGCATGAACTGAAGAAGAGTATGCTAAATGAAGCCCCTGTTAGCCATAGTTGCGTTGAATAAGCAGAAGGAAGATAACATACCATTGACCTAGTGCCAAAGCTCACAGACAGCTCTTCCAATTGCTTTGCACGAAGACATAAGAGCATTGTTGTCTTGACATTTAGATCCCAATCCGGGCCAGAGTCGTTCTTCATCATCAAAACTTTCAAGTTGCCAGCGTGTTTCTTCAGTACAACTTTTCGAATCTGCTCGATTGTCACGTTTGTCTTGGCAGCAGTGCTTTCGACTCGGCCCTTTTGCTTCTCTAACAACAAAAGCTCCGTGACGTTTTCCAATTGAGAAACAAACGCCAAGAATTGTAATGTGACATTGTCCGTGTAGATTTTCTTTAAAGGCAATGGGGAGATTGTATTTTCTTTAGCGAGGGCATTCCAGAATGGGATTTGGGGACCGACGTTGAGGAGCGTAATGTCCTCTAGGACGTTGAGGTCAATGGCGCGGGAAAGAATATGCGCTTTGACGGGAATTAGGTAGATCGCAAGAGTCTTGAGCCCCAGTCCCCGGGTGTTACGAACATATTCGCTCATCTTGTCATTCCCTAGTTTCTCTGGCCTACCCAACGTTTCCTCCACCTGTTCATCTAACTCCTCCATACTGAGTTTAAATTCCGCCATTCGATTCGAAACTTTCTGGAACTCAGACTCGGTAGCAGAGAGTGCCTCAAGATCGGTGGGCGTGGGCGTTGTATCGATCATCCGTTCTCTCAGCTCGTCCAACTTCCTTTGAAGCGAATCGGCTTCCTGCTCGATATCGACAAGTGTAGAGTGGAGTGATGTTGCTCGCACCATAAGCTTTCCTCGACTTCCTTCGGCAAGGGTGGCTTGAGATTCCTCGCCAACGCTAGACTTCGCGCCTCCCACGTCAGCTCGGCTCGCCTCATCGGTAGTGGCAGCTTCGACTGCTGGAGCGTCAATTTCAAGCGTAAGTTCCTTCCCCTCTGGCTCTTCTATATCAATATCATCCGGGTTTGCCACTTCCGGATCAGCATTTGCAGTCTTCTTTGGCTTTGGCGGCTTATCGTCAAACAGACCTGCTTCCTTAGTAGCGGCATCACCGCTCGTGGGACTGTCCTCCCCGGCTAAGACATCTGCACTCGTCGTGGAACTAGCTGAAGTTTCCTTCGCACTTCCACCATCACTGGCAGCCTGGGGTTCTTTCTCTTTGGCATTTTCGACACTATCGAGATAGGTTTTTGCGGCTTTCTCAATCATCTCTAGGACCTTCTTCCCTTCCGTAGCCAGATAGCCTCCAGACTTGACTTGTGACATTAGCTTAGCAGCAACGGGTTCAAGGTTTTTGATGAAGAGTAGTTTAGGATCTCCATCGTTCTTAGCTGACGGCTCAGGGTCGGATTTTACCGTAGGCACGGGCTTTGCCTTTTTAGCAATCTGGATTCCGAAGATTTTCTGCAGCACGTCGTCTTGCTTCTTCTTTTCCTCCTGTGCCTTGATAGTCTTAGATGGAGCTGTGGGGTCATTCCCGCTTGATGCGAAACCCGGCGGTGGCGGCCCAGGAGGAATGATCTGCCCAAATTCATCATCGACTTCCGAATCGGTGTCCGAGTGGACTTCTGGTGGAGGTTTCCTCGATTTATTGGCCAATAACTCGGAAAACGAGATCCTCATGGTGGTGAGGGTGGATGATGAATTTCGGATACAAGCGCGCAGTTCACTAGTATAGTCGAGTGTATCCATATCCAATATTTCCAACGTCTTCAAATTTTTGAAGCCAGAGAGGGTCGGTGGTGACCTTGTAATTGGAGGAAGTAGGTTCTTCAAAGCCTTGGTCTGTATTCTGGAGGCATACTTGTTGCCCATGGCGAAGGAATTAGAGCTTGTCGGTGGATAGTGGTGACTTGCCATAGAAGGGCCATTGTGAGAAGGGATTGAGACAAACACGGGAGGCGGAGGGGGACCCTGTGGCCAGCCACTTGGAGGAGGTGGGAGGTGGGGAGGCGGTGGGGGTGGCCCCAAGGAGTGGACCGGACCTGGTGCTGGTAGCGCTGGAGGTAGCGCTGGAGGAGCTTGATATAACGAGGGGCCGCTGTGCATTCGAATCCGGAGGTGTTGGAGCGCTCGAATCTGATGTAGTGCCCGGAAGACCGGACGGCTTAACTCGACACGGATATCCCAGCTGTAAACTGCGTCAGCTCCTCACCCGACTCTGTTGCAAAGGGGACTAAACTCACAAGAATGTTTCCAGTGCGGGGGCTTTGCGCAACGTCAGGAGAAAGAGGGTATTCATGAACTTGCCGCAGCCCGTGTCATACGAGTAGTCACGATATGCGCGCTCTCCCTTCTCACCGCCTGCCACGGGCTCCATATAGATATCTTTTAGATAGCTGCCATAATCATATTCGCTCGAAACAAAGGTCTCCAGGCCGGCGGCTAGAACGTCGATCGGGGACCCCGTAGAGGGATCGTCATCGTCGAAGAATACAATAGAGAAACACCGGTACAGCTGCTCCGCCGCAAGATGTCTGAAATGTTTCGAGACGAGTGAGAGGGCTATAAGATCGTTTCCCGATGCCTATTTCATTGGGGGAGCTGTTAGCCTTCACTTGTGTGGCAGATGTTGGTTACACTGGTCTGGTCCAATGTGAGATTCGAGAGGTACAGGAATTGCATACATGCTTGAAGATTTCCTTCTGGGTCTCCACGGGCAGATCGAGGATCGACCGCGGCCTCTTCGAGCTTGAGGCTTCCCCGAGTCCCGGCGTTGCTTCGGGCGTGGTCATTGTCGAAACGTCTGGGTTCAAGTTCGTTGAGGCGGAAGCGGACGAGGATGAGGATGCGAATGCGGAGCTGGCGGACTTTGTGGATGGCTCATTCAACGGCTCCAAGCCCATGACATCTAGGGCGCGTTTCCAGACATCTGCCTTGTTCTGTTTCTTGCTGGGTGTAGTTCCCCTTCGCCGATTTGACTTTGGTGGAAGCACGGGCATGATGGAGGAGGAGGCAACGCTCCATGCAGCATCGGAACTGGTGTTCATGGAGGGTCGAGAAGCTGCTGACGCTGACGCGACTCGTTTATAGTACCTATGTACCAAGCTGGGGGAAACCCTGGGGCAGTCTTGGGGAAGTCTTGGGNGGTGGCCTGGGGGCGGTGAATTAGGGGCTCGATAAGCCTAGGTTTAGTCTTGGGATAAGGGCTAAACTAAGGGCTGGTTAGGGCCCAACTGGGGTTGACCGGTAGGCCCGGGAACTGGCGGTCAGGCCCTGTAAATTGGCGGGGAGAAGCCCCAGAGGCACTCTAACAAGCGAGCAGATCGGGGTTTTCTCCGACGAAAGCTGATGAGTAAAGTGAAGGGAAGCAAGGCTGAAGTTGAGGGACAAGCTGATCCTATTATCCTCACAGTTGGATCAGATAAGACTGGTCTCACCGGAAGGCTCGTGGCAGTCGCGCGGCGGAAGGCGGGAAGCAACACAAACGTGCTGATCCGGGTATCGACATAACCCACAACAAATTGTAGTGCCAGTTAATTGAATGGCCGTGAATTGATTGAGGGAGGACGATGCTTCTATTGCCCCAGCTAGTGGCAACAATCACTTTACTTATGGGTTAGATTTTGAATTAGGATCTTCCTTTTCTTTACTCAAGTTGAAAATAGGTCCAGTCCAACTACCTGCTAAAGATTCCCAGGTCTGCTAGATAGGTATATACAAACCCTACGCAGCCAATTGCAGGAAATAGATGAACGAACTGGAAACTCATTCTCTGTTATTTGCACATCTAAGCTGGATATGTTTGCTTCATGTTGGCTCCTTCCTATCAACTTGAAGAATGCCAGAAAAGTTTGCTAATCCGGTCTATCTTTTGCCTTTGTTTTCAAAATAGCCAACGCGGGTACCAGCATTTTACATCATAATGTATTTTGTCAGCCTCATCTCTCCATCGAGTTTGCTCAACTCACCTGCTGAATATACTATCAAGTAAAATATTAATTTCAAGATATTTATATGGGATTAGCTACGGCCCACTGGCACGGTTTACTGGTTGCTTCTGTTAAGTTTTCACCGCAACATGTTTCGTGCCTTTTGGGTCATTGCGGTTTCTGTTAGACAATGTCTGACTATCTATTTAAACAGTAAACCGGGTATCAAGGCCAACATCGCTTAGATCCTTACCTTAGGATTGTTGGAAAGCTCAAGGTTTCAATGATTTTATTTAGATCCGTAACTATTACCCTAACACGTGACAAAGATACATGATCCACATCGTTTTCTTCTCTTCCTACCTCTTTCATCTGTCAATTTGCCGATGTTTGTCAAACCCAAGATGGTTGTCAAGTCCGCAGTCCTTGAATAGACTTGGGACATGTGCTTTTTCTCCCACAAGATATCTGCTACATAAGGCGTTGTTTGGTTCTATATGTCTGGATAGTACTACATATTAGCAGTTCTAGATAGGGAACCTCAAGGGGAACCTCAATTACAACCGTGTATCCGCTCTCTTAATCCCATCTGGATTCAGTAACTTGGTCTCCAGATCTAATGTGAAAATACCTACATTCTGTTAGTAGTTGTTCCTCTTATTACAAGGTCAGCTAGCAAGCCTTGCCGCTTCTGCTAGGATTCTATTCAGCTCCCTCGACCCAATTCTGCTCACCATACCATCAGAAATCGGCAGCATTGAAGAGACTCAAAATGACCAAGCCAAGGATCCCAAATTTGTTACCACAGTACATTCGCAACCTCGGCCAGCCAAAAGTCATTGGAAGACACTTGTCGTCATCCGCTAGTCTGCTTGTCCGCTTTCCCACCTTCTTGTCTACCTTCGATTCCATTCCAGATAATTATATCCGCGCAGACACAATTCTGCACATTGTAAATACCAAAAGAATAGAAGTATGTTAGGAATGCTCGGATCCGAACATGCCCATCTTAGGGGTTAGGGAGTCGAAGCCGTATAGGTATAGGTATCGCACGTGCATTACGCTTTCACCGTGAACAACCACATCTCAAGGCTCAACATCCACCGGGTCAAGCTTAAACCCACCTACACACCCCTTCTGAAACAAGCCCTCCGGATCATATCTCTTACTTACCCCCCGCAAGAAGTTCCAGTTCTCCTTGCCATAGCTAGCAAATGGCCTCTGCCACTCCGCGCAATAATTCAAGTACCGATATCGATGCCCTGTTTTATTAGCCGCTGCAGCGGCATCAATTTGCTCGACCACCTTCCGCGTCATTGTTTTGACGAACTCGTCATCCCGGCTTTCGGCCCAGTTGACTGTGAAGCTCACGATGACGAGAGGGACATCAGTGCAGTCGTCCAGACCTAGCGGATTAGCATCGCCCTTGGATACCCAGTCTGGCAGGAGCGGCTGCAGTACGAGCGTCCAGACCAATTCCTTGACGTTGGCACGGCGGAACGAGGCGATGGCATCGTTGTAGGCAGCGTGAGCGGCGGTGAGGGTGGCAGCGTCGTTCTTGATAGTAGTGTTGGCAAAAACTTGGCGCCTGCCAGGTGGGTTGAGCCCGTTCATTTCGTCCGTGGCGCTGGTTAGAGTACGGACCTTGCAGGTGCTCCAGAGGCGCCAGAGTGATGCAAAGGGGCTGCTCTTCCAGCAGACTGGCCATTTCTTCTCGTCCTCAGGGGGTTTGGTGTAGACGAGATTCACAGAGATGACCTGGGCGCCGAGTTGATGGATATAGGAGAAGCAGGTGATGGGGCCGGCAGCGTGATTGTGGTACGTGGTGCTGGGGCCGCCTGAATCTGTTCTGTTGACGCACTCGTGGAAAGCCGCGAGGACCTTGGAGGCTTGGAAGCGAGGCATGTAGAGGAACCCGCTCCAAATCTTGGTGGAGGGGAAGCTACGGGCCGTGAAGCTTGTGACGATGCCGAAATTGTTCGAGCCGCCTTTGAGAGCGCGCCAGAGATCGGGGTTGGTTGTTTCCGAGGCTGTGGTGACAGAGCCAGAGGCAAGGACGAGTTCGTAGCTGAGGATATTGGAGCAGACTAGGCCGAAGCGGGGGGAGAAGAAGGAGAGTCCACCTGTGTATGCCTCTATGTCAGCTCTGGAATAGAGTCATGGTAGATATGCTGGCGGGACATCTGTATCCCATTATCATATAGACCCTAGGGGTCCAACTCGAAATTGAAGCGAGGGCGAAAGGGGGTACGCATCTGAAAAGTAGAAACTTACCTCCCAAAGTCAAGCCGCCAACCCCAACAGCAGAGTTCCTGCCTCCAACAACAGCGAGAAACTTCTCATCTAGGACTTTGGAAACATCCGCCCACTTGGAGCCAGCTCCGATGACCACGCTCGTTCCATCCGCAGAGGGGTTTACCTCACACAAGCGGCCGAGATCTATCACAATGCCTCCCTTGATGCTCGCAGCACCAGAGACCGGTGAGTGACCACCGCCACGGACAGCAAATAGTCCTTCGACTTGTTCCTCACCAGTTTGTTTTCGTCGTTCATCGAACTCGCGCTTGAGGATCGTGACAGCGGTGCTGAGCTGCTGCACATCGTGGGGCCGGACGACACAGGTTGGAACCACTTCGCACTCCTGCTGGGCCCAGTAGGAATTCATCGACTGCTTGAAGGCGGCGGCCTCGTGTGGGAATATGACGCTGTCGGGTAGTGCCGATGCAAGGCTTTTGCTGAGCATGGTAGGCCCCGATGGGCTGTCGTAGTCATTTTCGTGGGCGGATTTCTCCCCAGCTTGTACAGCTTGGGAGGATGAGATTCGCAGACGGCGCAAGATGAGGATGGAGATGGAGATGATGATGAGGAGCGTCGTTGCGATAGAGGCGGAAAGTAGCGGAGGGATCATAGTGGCTATGACTGTTTACACACTGATCGAGGAGAAGGTAGATCCATCTCACTGGGACAGGAGGATGTCTAGCCTCTGAGGAATTGGTAGTTAGTGCTGACGGTACTAACATAGTAACACAAGGTTACAAGCGGGTCTCCGGTTGAGGGATCGGCAAGCAGTGGGAGCAATGAATACTCCTTGCTGTGCGGGACTTAAAGGCTAAGGATTTACATTGCATAGTTGTTGAAGTGATATGAGGACACTAGCAATCATACATGGTGATCGATTCCCTCAGCCTCGCAAGCTATATGCGGCACCAAATATCAACCTCGGCGGGTCTAGGTCTAGGGTAAGCGAGCTCGATTCCCCCTGCCAGGATTAGACTGGGGGGTCGGCCCGGGTCGGATAGCCCCTGCAAATAACGTTCCTTAAGGCTTATGCCCCACAGACTTCGACGACTGATATGAGCTTTTCGAATCACAACAGTAACACATACCATTTGGAATTATCAAAAAGGCTACAATTGTATCACACGATCCCTATATTGCCTGCTTTTTGGCCATGGTGAACTATGGAATCTCAAAAGCATGCCAGGAATGCAAGCAGAGAAGGAAGAAAGCACGTTCTCTCGAACTTTAAGTCAGTTGGTCGATCATGCTAACAAGAAGGTGTAGTGTGATGAGACACGCCCAGTAAGTTAAAAGATCATTCAAGAGTTGCCAATCATCAGGCAAGCGCACAATAACCCCGACCTGGGGTATACAAATCATTGGGGCTAAATTCATCCCTACATATTAGTCGTGCCTCAGATGCACCAGAGGTAGACGTAAATGTCCCGGATATCGACCCGAGAGCGATCTCCTCTTTCGAAATATTTGCGGAGAACCGCATCAACAATCAATACGTCAACATTCTAATGAGACTGATCAACACGAAGCGATGCCAAAGACAATTCTCCCATACGAACTGGGAAATCTTAATTGGTCCGAAATAGAGAGCTTGGCCTTTCAAACATTCATCTCCGATTATTGTATTTCTTCATTAAACCGCACAGTATCTCGTGGATATCTGAATGGTCTTGAATCCCTAATTGAGAAAGCCGGACCAGCGTCAACTGTTTCACAGTCATGTAAGATCATCTCTTTGGCAAACCTTGGGAAGAAGGCATCTAGTCCTATGCTTCTGCAGAAGGCTGAGACGTTGTACTTTGACTTTCTTCCCTCCTTTCGCTCGACTATTTCCAACGAGGGCAAGTCCACGACGATTCAGTCACTTATAACTGCTGTGCTATTGGGTCTGTATGAGGTGAGCATTGCGTCCGCACAAGTTCTAAATACTTTATTTGACGTTGATAGATCATTACGATTACTAGTAGCGAACTAGATTCGCATGTGGCTCATGCGCGAGGGGTATCAGCCATTCTCATGAACAAATACTCGCCATATGACTTAGTTTGTGGGGTCCAACTCTTTCAGCTTACCAACCCTCTCTCCAAGGATTTGAAGGGTTCGGACCCTAAGAATATAGCCACACCCACTCTCCAGACATCAAAATCTTTTAGTATTCTTTGTCCCCCATTAATACATTCCCCATGGGCAACACTTGATCCTATCTTTGTCAAGACAATCTCATTAAAACGGAAAGCGGAGAAGTTGTTGGGCGATGAAATAGAAGCAACAGTAATCGATGATCTCCAGCTTCTCAAGCAGGAGGCTGAGCTAGTAAGGACGGATTTTCAGAAGTGTGTAATGGGCCTTTCAAAAGAATGGAGACCGAGCCTGATTGGTATTATACCTAGCAATCACAATAACACTAGGTAAGTCTATCGACTACAGTTGCAATTCTAAGGTAGCTTGAGAGATGCTGCAATCTAGGCTTGAAAAAGTTCGAATCTTTCTCGGCCATACCCGAAGTTTTTCGACCTTTTTATCCACTTTCTCATTCATAGCTAACCTTGAGATATGGAAGACCTGAAGTAGGCTACTGGCCAGGACCTGTTTTAGGCTACTATGATCGTACGCATACTCTGGTCTCAAATCCACAATATATCTACTAATTATTTATAGCTTATGTTGCTTGCATCATAAACTCCTACCACAAATCTCAACTTTTAGTGTTGGACATTATAGCCCGCTGTCATCGGGCCACTACAAATTTACCGCAAGATGCCAAAATGGACCCTTGGATCTATCAGGAAGGCCAAAAACTAGCACTGAGCATTACAGCGTCTATTCCATATTTCCTAGCGGAAAACGTGCAAGTATTTTTTAATCAATCTCTAGCCTCGGATATGACATCTATGACGATGATCCCTGGCCCGTCAGTAGGCGGCTTGCTTTCAATGCACACTCTATATATGGTATCGAAAATGTCCGTGGTCGATCCGGCGCTAAAGGTCTATTTGAGCGACTGTCTGGCGTGGATTGGACGGAATATGGGAATCGCTCAAGCTACCATGCTATCGGAGGTAAATTAATTGAAAGTTACCTTTGATTGAAATATATTACTAACCGAATCGGTAGCATACATCCACGAATCTGTCTGATTATGTCAGGCAAGCGCACGTTTTGATCTGGGCAGGCATGCTTATCTAATAGGTGGATTTTATCACGCGGCCGCTCCTTTTGTAATATATTTGCTCTTTTATTAATGCATCATGCTAGCTATGATAGCTCCAGTGTTGTGCTTGGTAGAGGTGTCAACACTTATATCTTGTAGCATTATATAAGAGAGTAGAGTATTACAATTTCAAGTCTAAAGAGATCCCCTAGTACTAGAGAATCTTAACAGATTTACAGAATAAGGAGAATCTAGCTGCCTACTAGGTATGGAGTTTGTTCGTATAGGTGATCAAATCACGTTCTATTGTAAATCTCATTCTCACTCTCAAGTCCTTGGCCTTATTCGGCTGGTCGGCATTCTTCAGTGGAGATATATATAGGTGACTCCGAGCACAGTGAACCTGGTTTTAGCGAGTTTCTCCTATAAAGAAAGACGATAGTGACTTTCTAAAAAGGTATATATCTATATTCTACAGCTAATAGCCGCCATCTAACGTGTCTACTACACCTCCGGCCGCAGCTTAGCCTTTAGCGGTGACAGCTTCTCCGTGCCGTTAATGATGTATGGCCGATAATGGTGCCACGCCATTGACAGAATCTTAGACGGAGGCGGTTTCTTTAACAGCTGCTACTTTGACAATGTTTCAACTCTTGTCGGATCCCAATTCCTAGGCATATTTTTCAACTGTGAGGCAGCTATCCACCGAGTACGCGACATATCTACGCTATAACTAGGTTGAAAATGTATATATTAGCTCAGGCGACTTTAGCTACGATAATACGTCTTTCTTAAGCGGCATTAAGGGTAAAAATATCCCTGCCGCTCGCTGCTTTGGCAACTTAGATTAAGAGCAGTGTGCCTGCCAATGCTGAACGCAGTCTGATACTCAGCCTATTAAGTTTATTAACTTGAAACTATAAGGCGTTATTACATAGTGCACGATAGCTATTTATATACATATTTGATTGATTTGAACAATTGAATAGTACTTATACCTTGGAGACCGATAGAGTCAGTATAAGATAGCTCGTAGACTTGCTTGTTAATTCACTACTCGCAATTAAGCAAGTAGTTAACACTATTTATATTCTTTACCTGTAGGTCACAGATATCATATCAGATTTAATCGGCCCCAGCCTTAACCCCCAACAATTTTTCCGCATTTTTGAAAGTAAATTTCTCCAAATCTTCTCCTACAATCAAGCCACTTTTCTCGATTTCTTCCACAAACTCCAACCCTGTCTTGGTGGTAGAGAACGGATAATCAACGCTGTATAAGACATGATCGATCGAAGTCGTTTGTAACAAGCAAGCTAGAGGAGGAAGTGTAAACATCCCGCTAGTCGTGACCCAGATATTGTTCCTCCACACCTCTCTGAGACAACGCTGTCTCTTTGCCCACCTCTGCGACCCCACGATAATGCGCTCGAGCTGAAACGGAAGGAGTTCTCCCATATGGCCAATGACAATCTTCAACCGTGGGAAGCGATCAAAAAGACCACTAGCGAATAATCTCAGGATGTGCAGGCCGGTCTCCGAGTGCCATGCCCATCCATAAGCACCTAACGCGACCGCAACCGAATCTTCATAGTTTCCTTTATAATAACCTACCATGTTTTCAGCTGGAAAGCAAGGGTGGATATAGATTGGAACATCCAACTCCTGCGCAGTTTCAAAGACGGGCCAGAATCGCTCGTCATCGTAAAATTGTCCATCAACGTGATTTTCCACCAGCGCACCTACGAACCCAAGGTCTTTAACACAGCGTGTTAATTCCCGTGCCGCAGCTGTCGGTTGACTCATGGTGATCATAGCAAAGCCGGCCAGTCGAGTTGGATTCTTAGAAATGGCAGCTGCCAGATCATCATTGGCCGCTGCACAAACGGGCGGGGTCGCTTCGCCAGGGCCGTGAGAAATCACTTGCAGAGACACCATTCCTTCATCCATATCCTGGATCCGCTCATCGCCAAGAGAATCCAGCTTATGGAGGAGATGTGGAGGAAAATTGTTATACAAGGCACTTATAGTCTTGTTAGATTCAAGAACTTTTGGTGAAGAATAATGTTCCTCGAGAGTGATAAGGGGCGGCATGGTCGAAAGGCAAGAGGTTAAGGTTGATGATTTTTGCGACTTGTGGTAGTAGTGGTGGTAAGAGGTAGGTAGAAAGTAGACTGAGAGGCCGAGTACAATCAAACTGACAATGATGATAATTGCGTCTTTGATTCTTCGATTTTGTATTATGGGGGTTCGGATTTAAGCTATTTTTGAATGAAGATCAAGGAAGAGAGACGCGGCTTTGAAATCCGTTTCGGGTTAGCTTTGCGCCCCAAATGCTCCTCTAAATATAGTTAGTATTGTGCCTGTAATAATTCTTGAATGAAGATCAAGGAAGAGAAACATAGTATTAAAATATATTTCGGGTTAGCTTTGCGCCCCAGATACCCCTCTAAATACAGTTAGTATTGCGCCTCGAATAATTTTTGGATAAAGATCAAGAGAAACGTGGTATTAATATGCATTTCGGGTTAGCTTTGCGCCTCAGATACCCCTCTAAATATAGTTAGTATTACTCGCACACCTCTAATAATTTTTGAATGAAGATCAAGGAAGAGAAACGTACATACGTAGCATTAAAATATATTTCGGGTTAGCTTTGCGCCTCAGATATCCCTCCAGGCCCAATATGCTTCGTAACGAGTATTGCGCCTGTGATATCTACTATAGATTGCATGGCACGGACAAGGAGCTGTTCAGTTACAACTCGTGTATATAAAGGCTGCCAGTTTGACTGGCAGTTTGTATTTCGCTCTCTTAATTCCTTATACATTACCGTCTTGCAGACCATCATGAAAACCAAACTTGTTCAATCCGTTAGATACACCTGGCGAAATGTCCTGCCGGCCGCAGCGCCTGGATGCTCACAGGGCACTCCGTACTCATTCTGGGTGAAAGAAGGCAATCCCACCAAGGTCGCCGTTATCTTGGCCGGCGGCGGCGCATGCTGGACGGGCGAAAACAGTGCGTTGCATGGAAAAAGGTTCTACCGGCCCTATGCTGGCCTTGACGAGGATCCGAGTGATTTGGGCGGCGTCTTCGACAGCGACAACCCAGAGAACCCGCTCGCTGACTATACCACCGTCTATCTTCCCACTGCCAACGGCGATGTCTTTCTCGGCGACTCGGTCACGGTCTATGACGTGCCTGCAATGGGTGGCCAGCCTGCGGGCAAGATCACTATCCTGCACAAGGGCTACGACAATGCAGCGTCTGCCTTGGATTGGGTGTTCAAGACGTACCCGGAGCCTACAACAGTCGCGGTGATGGGGTGGAGCGCCGGGGCTCTCGCATCGCCCCTTTATACTCATATCATCGCACAACACTATCCGGACGCCGCGGTCACCCATTTTGCTGATGGCGGGGGCGCCTATCGCGTGGGCGAAAGACTGGCGCCGCTTTTCAAAACCTGGGGGACGGCGAACGTTTTGAAGAGGGTTAAGGGCTTCGAAGACTTGAGCGTCGACAGCCTGTCATTGGAGGATCTCTATATTCGAGCGGCCGAGCTCCATCCTGAAATTGTCTTTCACCAGTACAACGAAAGGCATGATAGTATTCAGGCCCTTTTCATGCAGCTCATGGGCGTGGCCGCCCCCGATGTCCCGGGGAATTTGGACGACGGCCACGCCTATATCCGCGCGAAGATTCCCAATTTCTGCACCTATACCAGCTGGGGGCACGACGAAGGTATCATCGGCGGGTACTATGATGGGGTGCTATCAAAAAATGCGTTGGACAATCGCGGCCGTCCCCATGTGCTGGATAGGTTTTACACTCGTCAGACCAACGGTGTTCGATTCCTCGATTGGTTTACTGCAGCCGTGACGGGCAAACCGGTCGAGGACGTGGCTTGCGTGGACAGCGAGACCCCTGAGTACCATTGGACGCGCCCCAAGTTTCCTTAAAGAAACGTTCGTGAGAAGAGACATGTGTGAAGATACTCGTACTACTGAAGGGGGTTGCTATAATTATTGCACCACAGCACCTCGACCCTAAACCGTCCTGCCGAAGTCTTTCTGACGGAGTTTCCTCCAGCAAGTGTTTCGACTGGAAGGAGCAATCAACATGTTTAGATGTTTAGGTAGTCTGTAGGAATTCGACTCATTAAATGGCCTCCGCGATAATAATCGCTTTTACTCACTTTTCTATAGCCATCGCTTCTAATAACATAATGTATCATACTTCCTCCATCGCTCACCTGCCACCCTCCGGAATACCTTCCCACCCCCCGAGCATAATACAGCTGACTCAGGGCTCAGTCGGGTTAGAGCAGCTACTGCTCTGGTCCAAAGACGGAAATGGACTTTGGTGAGGTGAATGGTCGTCGCAGATTATGTCGGCAATGTTTATACGTATGATAAGCCAGGTTATAGTCTATAGATCCCCATACCTTGGCACTATGTGCTGGGGGGAGTTACGGTGAGATGCAGGAATTGACCGGCGCTCATCGCGACAAAGACTCATAGATTTCAGCCTTCAAAGGGTGATCCTACAATATATAAATCCCGTTGCGTCTTGTCAATACCAAAATTCTATTCAAGAGCTGAGCTTGTGGAAACATCCTCAGGTAGCGGCGTTTGAAGGTTCAACCCTTCAAGTTCGTAAAATGTAGAACCCGGTGAATCGAGAGCCAGGGTATCGTTTCTCCAAACCGGGACAGGACTGCAGAACATTTGGTTTTGGTGTTGCCGATTTCTGTTGAAATATGGGCGACTAACACTACCTCCTACTGCCACTCTCTTGGTGCCGGGCTGCTCTTTGCCAATTGGGGCATTTGGCATCAACTTACTGGGATTCTTGGCTTCATGAACGAGATATGGGTGCTCTGCGTAATTTAAAGACTTCCCATTAACTACAAAGGTTAAGCAAAAATAATCCATGGATACTAGGCAAGGACCCACATATCCATACAAAGTTGTGGCACCATCTCTCTCTGTACAACGGCAGCTCAGGCGAGATGGTAGTATCCATCAATTTCACCTCTGGAGTGATCTCATCCACACCTCAGTGCCTTCAGTCGCATTGATCCAAGCACTTCACGATTACATATCTCCAAACCGTCTGCTAATACTACGAGGGCACTCTAGTGTCAAACCATACCTCTGCCGGTACCCACACTCTCGCGTTGTCATAATCTCTTCCTTCATCTGTCCCGCATACTTGCAGGAGAGGATGTACAATCAACGTGATTTGTCTGCCTTTCAGCTGGTCATCATGGTCGTCAGGATGGACCATAGTATGTGGCTTAAGTCTCGAATTGTCCACATTAAAAGTTGGGCTTCCCATATCACTTAGCGTTACCAGTCTCATTGCTGTCTTTCGTGTCCAAAGCATGTATGAAACTGATGCGGCCTCTTGATAGATGGAACTAAGCTTTTTGGCGTTTGCCTTATTAGTATCGATGAGATACCGAGCAGAACTGGCGGCGAAGCGGGAAGCATGCAGTTCAGCCACCTTAGCAATCATCCCCTTAGTACGCTCGTGCAAACCCTTCTCCCCATCCGTATTGCCTTCTCGTAGTGGGGGTAGAAGAAGCCTAAGGGTTTGAGACCGCCATATGTGTGCGTCCTCCACGTTTGCTGAAATATTTAGCAGGTACTCTCCGTCACTTGATGCTTCCCACTTACAACCTAGTGCTAAACCGTAAATCTTGTTCAGCGAGTCGTCCAGTCCATCTCCTGCTGGTCCATACTCAAGGCCATCATTGAGAAAGAAAAATGGGCTCCGAAAGAGTGACGTATAAACATCGTGTGCCAAAAGAGCGTTCAGGAGAAGTGAAGGGCCCTTCGGTGTCGATAATCCGCGTGGAAGCTGGTTGTTCTCAACTACTGCCACACGAGACAAAGCAGCCAATAAAGACGCACGTTGCTCTTCTGCAACGTCCTGTATTGCTGCAATATTCTTGACAGCTGCACCTTTTGCCCACGTTCTCATCTGGGTTCTGATTCTTTCGAAGTCCGCTAGAACTCGGCCTTCTTCCCTAGGAATCCAACGACCCGTTTCCATCTGTTTAAATGACTCCTCCTGTTGTCTTCGAATGATCGTATTACATTTCTCTTGAATTTTCTTTCGATGCGATGCAAGTTCTTGGACTTGTACTTGCAGATTCTGTATTGTATCGTTCTTTTGAGACCCGATCTGTTGGTAGTGCTGCTCAATTTCTTTTTCCCAATGCTGCCATTCGTCTTGAAAATACCGTTGTTGATGCTCTTTATCCTTCATATGATTCTCTGACACCGATTTTATAGCATCTTCTTTCTCGCGGAGAAGCATTGTAAGGTGGTGTATTTCATCTGCTTGCGTCTTGAGCAGTTGTTCCGCTTCGGGCTCGATTGAATCTGTTCCAGTGGTTCCAGTGATCCACCGGAAAAATCCCGGTGACTGTTTCTTTGGAGTGGACTGTTGTTTAGTAGATTGCTGCTGGCGCCGGTCCAGTGTCCCGGACGGTTGCTTTGCAGGTGGTTGGATAACTGATGTACGACGCCGATCCGAGCTCATAGTTGGGGTTGTTGATTGACGGGTATGAGCGATATCTCGTAGAGGACTTCGCGAAGTAGGGTTTCCAGGGGGCAAGTATCTCTCTGGTGGAGTATCTATGTCAAGAGGCCCTAAATCTGAGACCGAAGATATTGGTGAAATCTCCCTTTCAGATTTCACTTGGCTGCTTGAAGTTTGATGCATTATCGTGAGACGGGTGCTTTCGAAAGATGGGCACAGTTTCGACAGTTTTGAAGTTTGTGGAAATTGCGATGTCTTGAGAGTTGAGAATGGCTGGATGGTAACACCTTTCCCTAAAGGATGCTGCGCGACTTTCTGGTTGTGCGCAAGATGTAGGGGCGCTTGGAAGACGTATCACCCAAAAAGGTGGTTCAGCGTGTCAACGATCAGCCAGGAAGAGGGGGACGCATAATGCAACCTCGATGTTGGAATATTTGATCACTCTATTGGGTGCTATTGAATGACCCTCAATCGTCTGAGCCTTGTGGCTGCAGCTGTTTTACTTCGTAGCAATCCCGTATACGCACCAAGAGCGGGCCATGAAACACCCAACCAACACTCTGAGCTGCAGGTGACATGTGGAGGAGTCCCACGAGTCATTGCGAAGGGGATCCTGGCGGCAAGAGCATTCCCCTGCCTTCATCGTGATCACACGTCTTAACTCCTAACTTAACATAAACAAATTATTGGTGCAACTGCGGTTTGCGATACACAAAATTTACTTTCTTTGCACAAAATGTTTGGAAATCGACCAATTCATCAGATTTTGGAGTCTGTTTCCATGACGGAAGGCAATGGCCATAAAATTATCGTGGGAATTGATTACGGGACAACATTTTCAGGTACAGCGTTCTAATACACCGCTCTTAAAGTATTCTTCGTTTACTTCTCTGTAGGGATCAGCTACGTAACAACAGAAAGGAGTGAAATAGACGACATCAACATTATCTCCGCTTGGCCTGGGGAGTCTGCCAATGCCCATTGGAAGGTCCCGACACGGATTGCATACACGAGGGAAAACCCAAAGCTATCCAGGAACAAATGGGGTTTTGAGGTTCACCCTAAGTTCATATCGTACTCTTGGACCAAGCTCTTGCTCGATAAGAATGCGCTTGTGGGAGAGTATGACGATCCTGCTCTTGCAGATTTGGCGGGCCAGGGAATGATGAAGTTGCCAGACTTTCGTACAGCTGAAGAGGTTTGCGAAGATTTCCTGCACGAGTTGTATATACACTTGACGTTGAAGTTGAGTGAAGAAATGACCGAGTCAACATATGACGCTACCCCCATGGAATGCTGGATCACACTGCCAGCAATATGGTCGGACGAAGCCAAGGATGCAACGCTAAATGCTGCTAGGAAGGCAGGGTTTGGGAGTCGGCCTGATGATTCTATTTTTACAATTGCAGAACCAGAGGCGGCAGCTATCGCAACCTTGAAGAGGTATTCTGGATTTAATGCGTTGAACCAGATCAAGGTATGCATCCCTTCAAAGATACAGAGTCCACAGCTAACGAGATTAGCCAGGCGACCATATACTTATTTGTGACTGCGGCGGTGGGACTGTTGATATAACCACATATACGATTACCCAAGTTCAGCCGTGTCTGGAGTTTGATGAACTTTGCGTTGGGGTTGGTATGACACTCTATGCGATTGATATCCTCAAAGAATGACCCCCCAAACTGACCTATGTCTTGATTTCCAGGCGGAAAGTGCGGCTCGACTTACATCGACCGAAATCTTCACTCTCTCCTCTCAAGGCGGTTTGGAGAACCGTTCGACACTATCCCATTTTCAAAGAAAGGCCCGGGGAGTAAGTTCATGATATCTTTCGAGACGGTTAAACGAGATTTTGGACGCGATGATGATGATGATGACATACGAGAACTGAGCGATCTAAAACTTGACATACCGGATTCTGAATTTTACGATGAAGAAGACCAGGTTGTGAAACTTACTTAGTAAGTTTTGTCAATATTATTCCACGACCGACTCTGATGATGCATAGCAAGGATATACAGGGTCTTTTCGATCCCGTTGTTACAGAGATCTCTAATCTAGTCCACCAACAAGTCAAAGAGGCGAGGAGGAAGAAGGGCGCAGCGATTGACGTAATATTTCCGTTCCTTGACTTCCACAATGGCCAGATACTGACCTTGATGATTCAGCGAATCATTCTTGTTGGCGGCTTTGGTGAATCGCCATACCTCTACAAGGCTCTCGCAGAGTGGGGCAAAGCCAATGGAAATATAAAGTTAATGCGTCCAGAGCACCCGTACGTTCTATTTATCTTTATAGAGTTCTCCTGTTCTACTAGCTAATAATTTGTCGTGAAGGCAATCTGCTGTAGTTCGCGGCGCTGCCCTACGTGGTCTCGAAGGAATTGCTCCTCGCATGAAACAATCTCGACGGCATTACGGTATTGGTATTAATATGCCCTTCAGGGAAGGCAAGGACCCAGAAGAAAAGTCTTGCCTTGAGAAATTCGAAAACAAAAAATATTGTCGTCACAGAGTTGAATGGCTTATTTCTAAAGTATGTAGCAGTCACATCATATCTGGTAATAAAATAGAGATTGATAAAGATTAGGGCGACAAGATTTTCCAAGACACTTCCAGGAAGGTAACTGTTGTGACCAACTATACTCCTGAGGAAGCTGCATCTACAACTATTATATTATATTCAACCGCATTAAACGATCCCCCAGATTATTATACGGAATCAAGTATGCTTCACTGCTCGTATCCACGAATACCCATTCTGGTGATTTTCAAGGTACGAAACTAACGTGCCATAGGAGTTGAAAAAGTCGGAAATGTTGTTTCGACATTCCCCAGAGGGTTTGATTTCGGTCGAAGTTCTGAAACAAAATTCAACCCTCGTCTTAATAAAACCATCTATCAGATTTCTCATGAAGTGGAGGTTATGTTCGGAAATAAAGGAGAAAATCTTACATGTAGAGACATTTTGAACGGTCAAGTAGTAGGGACAGCAACGATTCAGTTCGATCGTCATTGATGTTGATGTGTATGTACTTGTACTAGCAGCAGGTTTTTATTTGCGGCTCTGAGATAAAGCCTAGAATGAGCTCTTTGAGGTCTTTAGTCTATGGCTTTACGAGCAAGGAAGGCGTTAGCTTAAATAAAATGAAATGAGTTTGGAAGTCCGTTTGACAAATGTCATTCACTCACCGACAAAAACTATATTATTCTCCATGTACATGTACAGTACTTTGGTACGGTTCCATCAGCCATGCTGTATGTCAAAGGGATTCACGGAATTTGGGATGGAATCCGAGGGGAAGAGGCCTCAGCTGAGCTGCACATCGGGGATTGTAAAACATCTGGAGCACTGAAACATCACAAGCCATAGTCTTTCTGGCGTGTCGCTTCCCCCTTCCCGCTTCCCTCGGCACGGGTAAAACCAAACCAGGGCGCATAGAGATATGCAGTCAGCCAGAAGGGGCACGTCTGCAACATGGAGCCAACATGAGCCCTGTCTGTCACTAGGTAGAACACCAACAGGTTGATCAGCTTGGGCCTTCATAGCCCGGAAATCGAATCCGCGTTTTGCAGCTCTAAGAATCACTTTTATTTTCATCACCTTGGATGTCGAACTCCCTGAACATGACTCCAGCAGAGGCTAGAGCAATTGTACTTAGAGCTGCCAGGAGGAACGGATGGATCAGTCAGGAGGATCGTGACAACTCAGCCCCCGGAACATTAGAAGCGCTTGAAAACACCAGGGAGCAGCTCGGAGATGCACTAGAAATGTATATCACCTTCGAGCATTATCCCAACGTATTGCATTTTACTAAAATTGACGGCCTAGAATTTCTCACGATCTTAGCTCCGCAAATGCGCGTTTCGCTTTGGAATTAGTCCAGAATGCCGAGGACAATAAATTCACTCGAGCACAACAGCTCGGCCAGCAACCTTATATCAGGTTTAAAGTGCAGCCCACAAGTATTGTTGTGGAATGCAATGAGGATGGTTTCGTAGAGGAAAATGTCGTTTCGATATCCAGGATTGGAAGGAGCTCAAAGAGCAAAGATCGCGGATACATCGGCGAGAAAGGGATCGGATTCAAGTCTGTCTTCCAGGTCGCAAGGGCAATTCATATTCAATCGAATTCGTTCTCTTTCTCGTTTCGGTGTGGAGAAGGTGCCACCAGAGATAAGCTTGGGATTGTCACCCCTATTTTAGAGGACGAACTCATTCCTGTCGACGCACGTCCACTCACCCGAATGACTTTGACTCCCTTCCAGGCCGAGGAAGCCATCCCCTACGCCTCCTTGGTGGCTCAGTTCCAGCAAGATATTCCCGACAACCTTCTATTATTCTTATCCACACTTACAAAAATTGAAATCCAATGTCGGCATCTAGATGGAAGAAGCACCCTAACAACTTTCAGGAAGATAGAGAGGGATGATGGTAGAATGGTCCACTTAGTCAAGTCTGTGGAAGATCTTCACCACTCAGACGACACTTCGGTTACGGAAAATCCACCAGATCAGTATTATATCACAAAAAGAGATATACCTCAACTTACTTTGCACGCGTCTCGACCTAATATTCATTCGTGCGAGGTGGTCTTGGCATTCCCTGTGGATGAGGCTTCTCGGCCACTCATATCAATGCAATCTTGCTTCGCTTTCCTTCCAATCCGTAGAACTAATTTCAGTGTGAGTTGCTACCATATTAAGAAAGTTCATTACTAACTGGCACTAGTTCATAATCCAAGCTGATTTTATCTTGCCCGCGAATAGAGAAGACGTTCTCAACTCAGCTCGAAACACAGATATTTTACGGGGTGTAGCGGAGACTTTTCGAGATGCCGTTCTCCAATTTGTTAGCAGTGATTCTCCACTTCGTTACAAATGGATAAAATACTTACCCAGTGGCCAATCACTTGGTAGAGTGTGGGAGGTGCTACCAACCGAGATCATTAGACTTCTGCGTGTGGAAAATATACTCTATTCCCAAGAGTTTCCAACACCCTGTCAGCCAAATATGTTACGGATTTTACCACCGACTCATCTGGATTCTTCTGGACTACCTTTATTTCATGATCGGCCCGAGGTAAATAGGAAGTACCTCTCCCTGCGGTATGACCCTGAGGATATTGATGTGCTTCGCGATGTGTTTGGTATCCATGATATCAACGATATGCATATGTACCACAGAATAAAGCAAGATTTAGAAAGTGGCAGTTCGAAAATGATGTGTCGCGAGACTGACGACGATTGGCATTCCCGTGCGGCTTCGCTCATATTATCAATTCTGTCTAGATCCTCGATCGGACTCATAAATATGATTCGAGAATTGCCCCTGATTCCCATGAACAATGGGGAATGGGTGGACGCCTCGGAGGAAGAACTGTACTTCCCGGCGGCAATTGGACCTGAGATACCTGGAGATCTCATCACCACCGTGGATCCTGGTGCGTCAACGAATAGCTCTCGGAAAGCCTTGTTCACAGCACTTGGTGTTACTGGTATCCGGTCCCAAACAGTGGTCGACCAGTTGTTAAGATATTATTTGCAAAGTGGTGGAGCGTCCGATTTGTCCTTCTCCATGACACATGTCAGCTATTTATATTGGCATCTTGAGAACAGAGATGACCCCAGACTCTCACTAGTTTGGCTCTACGGAACAAATGGTAGGCAGGTAACATCTCGGCGGAATTTCATGTACTTCCAAACTGCAGAAGAGTATGGTTCATATGAGCTTCTAAAAGCTTATGAACACCCAAGAGATCCCAGCAGAAACATACCCGAGTGTGTCGTGTCATTTTTGAAATCTGAATATACGACTTTGTTCCCACCATCTACCCGGCGACATGGTTCATCATGGTTGAAATGGCTAGAGAAAGGCTTGGGAGTACGCCGTATACCAAGACTTAAATTTGACGGCGGATCCCTATCAACTGAGTTCCGACATATCATACGATATCGACCCGATAAGATTATCGGCACGTTGAAGAAGCACTGGGATGATTATGTTGCCGATATGAGCCCTCCAATCGTGGATACCTTATCCCAGTCAGAGGTCACTTGCTTAGGAGGGCAGCTCAGAGCCTTGAAAGACACATACCTACCACTGCAAGACTTGAAAGACAGGGCTCAAACGTTAGGCATTGGCCAAGAGTTTCCGTTCTTGATGGTATCAGGCGGTTTAGAAGCGAATACGGTACTTCGAGATTGGATATTTCTTGACGAATTTGAGGTGGGATTTGAGCCGGATCTCAATTTTTACGTAGAAGTTCTACGGCAGCATAAAACACGCAGATACCTTACTTGGGGAAGTGAGATAAGAGAGAAAATATTGAAAACCTACGAATTAATCGCAGACAACTGTAGTGACAACCAGAGAGAAGGGTTGTGGTAAGATCCCGCTACCATCAAGAACATGAGTGTTGCTAACAATATGCAGCGAGGAGATCGACACACGAAAACTGATATTAGATCCTTGTTCATTTCAAGAAAATGCATCCGGTCCCACCTGGATTGATATCCAAAGTTGCGCCTGGCGTGGTCCTGTTGATTTGCTGGCGAAGAAGCCGCTGGCAGAAGTTCCGGAATATCGAAACAACAGAAAACTGTGTAAATTCTTCCGTGAAATTCTTGATATTGAAGATACAACTTGGCGAGACTATTTAGAAATGGTTTCAAATCTTAGGAGACTGACAAGATCGTCTCCGAATCTGCCCGAAACGGCGTTGAGGCTATATCATCTCTTATTGAGCGACGATCGAAGCACGCCGAATTGGACGGAAATTAGGTACGTAGTGATATTTCACGGTCGATATTATCACTAAATTTTTGATAATAGCGAACGCTTCCAGACTGAAGGATTGATCTATATACCGTCAACCTCGAGTTGGGTTTCACCTTCTGAATGCCTCTGGGACAGTCCTGTCCCAGTAGATGGCAAATCACTTATTCTCCAGTCTTATCCTGAGGAGCTCAAACTTTTCTTCTTGGAACGGTTACAAATATGTCCAGCTTCTTTGAGCACGCTGGTAGAAGAACTCTTCGCTCTTGCGACACGACATCCTACAGTGCAGAGAGTCAAGCAATTAATCTGGGCAATCAATGGGATGAGACCAAAGCCAAATGATTTAGATATCCTGTCAACATGCAACTTTCTTCCTGTGAGAGTTCCACAGCCTGGAGCAGCTCACCAAATAGAGTTTCATGCCTGCCATAGCGACTTCGCCATCATCGACAGAATCAAACTCGCAGAAATATTTGAAGGCCGCGTAGAATTTTTAGACTTTAGCTTGGAAGAAATCCTACAGTTGGAACCTTTTCTGGGATCGCTGGGTTTGGGTAGCAAATACTTGTCTCTGATTTGCCGCGAAGAAACTGATTGGGAAGGAGAGAGCTTTATTGACGACAGACTAACAGCAGACTTCCATGGCAGGGCGTATGATCTTCTCAGGTGAGCCTAGCAGTCTTATAAATACGAAATACTTACCAGATAATAGGTGCGCAGTCTCATACCGGAGTGCAACTGCAACATTAAACGCGCAGACCATGTTAAACCAACTTCGCAGTGCATCTATCCTCAAGACAAATGGCATTTTCACAAAATACACAATTCAACGGTCCGGGGAAGACATTACAATACAGATTCCCAGCGGTAACGTACGTATCAGAGAGCAAGAAAACAGGTTGAATGTTTCCGTGCCTGAAAATAGGAGAGAGAGAACACTGTGTTATTCTTTGTCATTTCCCAAAGCGTTGACTAAACTCTTCCAAATTCCACCGGCTGCCAGAGAGATTATCAGCAATGTACTCAACAAGCCAATCTACATACTTGATGATATCTTGGAGGCTGAAGGTATAGGAATGGTACCAGATATTGCTCCTCCGCCTCGACCAGCTGCTGAAGATTCATTGGAAGAAGGTACTAGCGAGCAGAACGTCATAGCCGTTGAGGATACTGTGGCTTCGTCTAGGAGTTCACAAGCTCAAAGAACACCGGCTTCCAGCGTCAGGCGCTCGCATTCACCTCCTCCTGCAGACCAAATCCATGGCCCTCCAGAGCGGCTTAGTCCGGAGATCGCTGATGGGAGGACCTATTACTCCCCTGATGCCTATCGAGACCTCCTTGGGAATGTTATTCGGCTTGCAGGCCAAACCAATCTACCACATCTTAATTCTAGGGAAATAGTGGGTAATACCCAATTCCTCCAAGGGTTCGACCGTGTGAGAACGTTCGGCATTCGTAGTCAGGGACAAATGAATCATGACACCAAAATCGGTGCGGCTGGAGAACTATTTGTAAGCACAGCTCACAATCGCCCGTCCAACTCAGAGCTTAACATATGTAACCACAGGTATTTGAGATGTTATCCACTCTTGGTCTTCCACAGCTTGACTGGTCCAACTGGTCCAACTGGGAGAGCACCATCCGTGGGCTTGTGGCAATCCATCCTAGGTATACCGGTATGGAAAACTGGCCAGGCAGAGAGACCGCCGATATTACTTACGACGACCAGTCGGGCGGTTTAACAGCGATACTTATTGATAAAGGATACTTGGACGGGCAAGTGTGGAGGGACGCCAGGCCGAAATACTTCATGGAGGTGAAAACAACGACGGGCGAGTGCGGTGACAGACTTTACATAAGCAACAATCAGTATCAATTGGTATGTAGAAAACCAAGTCACTCTTGTTCAAAAGCTAACAATCCCAGATGCTGCGCTACACGTTCCCACCAGGTCGATCAGTTCCGAATGTTTACATTATCTTCAGGGTGTTCAACCTCGGTCGCAACAATTTGAGTGTGAAGCTCTATGTAGATCCAGAAGCTCATCGGCAGAGAGGCGATTTGGTATTTGAATCCCAAACATGGACCGTTAGGCCCCGGGTGTAATGAGTGCAATTTGAAATTTTAAGCTATTGTTGTTGTTCTTTAAGCGACAAGCTTCAATGTTTATCAAATGTGGGAGAAATGGTGGTCGCTGTCTCCTCAACATGTATTTTTTGGCAACGGTAGTTCTCTCATAATAAAATTTAGTAGACAAATCAAAACATCTACAAACCAGGTGATATTAGTAGTCCCTCTTATATTTACCTAAAGTTCCCTCCCTAATTAAAGGGGTAAGCTCTCGGTTAAAGTCCCTTTTAAAGCGGGGCATTGTGGTCACCGGAACCACAATCCCCTCAGCACATTCCATGCGTTTGAACCGCGTCTGCGAATCACCCTTCGTCTGCAAATAAGTGGTAAGAGATGTCAAATAGTGCTCTAAGTCAATCTGTTATTTTCCCAATATTCACCCCGGAATCCTGGGCAATGGTAATTTGGTCGTAAAGTGCCATCATGCGTCTTAGCTAGCTTGGTGAGTGCTATATAGTTACAGGTATAAGAAACGTAGGGTTGTATAAAAAAGAAGCGTAATTGAGGCTGTTAGGCCTCCCATCAACAGGCCCCTAAGCCTGACAAAAGGAAGCATAGTCGCAAGTACCACAACAACATACGAAAGTACTGCCCATAGAAGGAGCGTGACCAATCCCAACGAGGTATGAATGTAACGAAAAAATACCACATTACCTCTAACGAATCCAAAAGATGCCATTTTCTCCAATCTACATCACCGTCCTCTGCCCCCTTCCCCCTCTTAGGCTTTAACGAAGGCAACTTTTCTTGACGTACTTTCCCACTTGTACATTTGCGGGGCCATGCATGTATCGAGTAATATATCCGCCCTATATTCATTCAAACTTGAGCTTATCCGTGATGTACGCAAAGTCAGTTGGCGAGCAATTTGTAAGACCTTCACTTATCATTGCGAGGGGACTACTGATATGTCTTATTAGTCTAACGGGAAACCATTTGCCGTTCCGATGACCGACCGCTGGATTGTCTTTGTATCGGACACTAAACAGCTAAAACGACTAGAATGTGAACCGGAATCCGTATTATCAATGGAAGAGGCGCTGCAAGAAGTATGGTCCCCAAGTCTCGTTCAGCCCGGATACGGCAATAGATGGACATTGCTAAGCCGCAACAGCTTGCATTTACAGGACCAATCTTGGGCCATCATCAAGTACCTCGTGATAATAAGGGGCCCAAGAGTGAAGCATTTCGTGTTATGGTTGGTGTGATAAAGAATAAGCTTCGGTCGAATGTTCCCGCAATGAGCGATTCCCTTCAGATGCGGATTAAGGAGGCTATAGCTTTAGAGGTGGCACCTCCAGACGGTATAGCACGAAATGATCGGAACGACATATTCCTACCTTTGCAGTATCCACGATACTACTTTCGGCATCCGTAAGTAAAACGCAGATGATCGTCGGTACGGGCGGAGTACTAGGGAAATATCGTTCTTGAAATCTGAACGTTCTAGGTAGGGTTTCACGTCAAGATCCACGTTGCTTTTGGTACGTCAAGCGATCGGATCTCTTGTCACTGCAAATGTAGGATGTTTCATTCGAAGAGTATGATCAAGTGAAAGTGAAGTCTCAATTACATACCGTACTTATCAAATGATGGTGTGTCTAAACGAGAAAAATTACGGACCGAAATTCATGCCAGCTGTCGGCGAGCTGTTGGCGGTGTGCAGAGCTGGCATGAGTGATCGTTCTCCAGATGGTTGCACTCGTCCTTTAGACATTCAACGCAGGAGAAACATTCGTCACTTCCTTCACCCCTTCCCCGGACCCGTTTTCCTTCTCGCCCTCAATCTCAGGCCGAGAGGCGGGGGCGGGTTGATTATACTCATCCTCGCCAGACAACTCCTCAAGAGTCTTTCTAGCGGTCTCCAGAATAAGGAACGTGGTGAGAAGACCTAACACCGCAAAGAGTGCAAAAACTTGTATGACATGGTTCAACTAGGGAGAGCAAGCCGGGCCAGAGAAGGTGTTCGGTGCCCCGTGAGTACGGAGGGGTCCAAACACAGCTTGGGCGAGGATTGACCCTACTTTGCCGGCCGCAGCAGATATGCCGTGAGAAGCTGATATGTACCAGGTAGGGAAGTATTCCCCAGGGACGATAAAGGTGGTGGTGTTTCGACCTGAAGATAGAAATGGGAATACTGTCGATCTGTACTATAGTGGATGGTCTTACTACATTCAATAAAGAGCTGAGCGAGTACTACGATCCCAAAGATTGCATGCGATGAAGGTGGTGGTAGGCAAATCCAAGGATGGTGAAAAGGATCGTTAAGATAACGAAGCCCATGGTTTGGATCGGCTTTCGGCCAACTGCATCACACACAGTGCAACAGTAAACCAGTAGCCAGGAACGGTTCCTGCACAGACAATAATCAAATTCCCCACAGGGTTATTAAATAGCACTTTGTAGACGCTCGATCCTCCCGAGTATCCAATAGCTGTGAGGATGACAGAATTGTTGAGACCGAGGCCACAGAACGCAACATCTATTAGGATCTTTGCATTCTTCCCCTTGCTGTAATAATTCATGAAGTCCTTGAAGCTGGCTTAGAGGACTTCGATTCAGTGTGCATCCTGCTGAAGTGCTGGACTTGTCGAAGCCCATTAACTTGTTCTTGACTTTGGCCAGAAATATAACCACGTGCATCTGCTGTACCTCGCTCGATATCTCGGGCGACATCGAAGGTATACCGAGGGGTCTCCGGAATAGCCAGACGGTAATTGAGAGCAATACAACCCGGGACAGCACCGAAGCCGACCACAACTCGCCACATCTAGTCTGCGGCCTGCAGACAAGCGGGTTACAGCTCGCAGACAAGCATGGTCGCATTTGCCAATTTTGGGAGACGTGACTAGAGAGTTCCTGAAGCCGACCGTCACGATCAGCGTGATCAAAGCTGCCACCAATTGTCCAATGCCCTGCACGGCAAACACTGATCCGACGCCACTTTGTTGTAGCAAACCTAATTTAGTTAGTGAAAGAAACACAACATTTAAGGATGGAGCATACTCTGAAGTGATGATGGATGATAACTGGTGGTCACCGGATATCCGTACAACAGATAAATTCGCATAGAGGTGATCGTACTAGAGCTGGCAAGAACATCAACCTTTATATATTCCAAGACGCTATATAGTAATTCGTTTTCGACTTTGCAACCACCATCTCCCTCGCCTTGTACAAAACCACTCCAGAGGCGGAAGCCAATCTCAATCATGTCGACCCCTCTCTTATTACGTTCACGCACCAGCTCATATGCCACATAACATTATGTGGTCCGGCTATCGGGCTGGCTGGAGCTCGGGAGAAGGGATTCAACAGGGCAAAGAGGATTGACACCTGGTGCGGATAAGGACGAATCGTATGGAAGGGCAGAGAAGGCGCGGAGAGCCCTTTGAGGTACAGAAGAGGGGTCGAAAGGGGACGTCGATTGAAGAGGTTCGAACAGCATGTCGAACTCGTCCGCGGAGAATTGTAGAAACGGTTCTGCGAGCATTTCATCTAAGCCATCGGGCACGCTTGCTTCGTCGGCGGTTGGGTTCATAGCTGCCGACTTTCGAGACATCAGCACGAAGACCACATTGATAGATTGCCATTCTACGGACCTACCGGGTTTTCTTGCGCTGTTTCTAGGGAGCTTTGCAGACGATTGTCGCTATCTGCAGCCTCGGGGTCTCCACCCTCTGCCGCGAGATGATTGTCCACCAAGGGCGACACCACCCTCCAGGCCCAAGACAACCGCATCATTTGGCCACAACTACAACAACAACAATGGGAGAAAAGAAGGCGATGATCTCGGGCTTTGGCACAGTTGCTTAGACATGGTCCTTTTCTATAATTTTTGAAACCTTGAGCTTCCCCAACCCAAGCTGCGGCTCTGGGAACGGTGACATATCACCCCTCCTAATTATCTCCATGGCCCACTCTTCCCCCGAAGAGGCGGAGGTCTATTATCTCGGTCTGTTGTCCATTCTCATGCAGACACAACAATGAGCACAACATGCGATTCTCTCCAGGATGCTGAGGATCCATCTCCCGCGGTTCCCGGGCCGCCTGACGGTGGATATGGCTGGGTTTGCGTTGCCGCATGCTTTGCCATCAACTGCTTTACGTGGGGTGTCATTGCTGTAAGATTGTTTATATCCATATCCAGCACAACAACACATTCCTCCTCACCGGATTGCTAATCGTTGGTGCACAGTCGTACGGGGTCTTTCTCGGATACTACCTCGAAAACGGGATCTATCCAGCGGCAACACCTACGGACTTTGCCTTCATCGGAGGACTGAACTTTTCCGTGGCGATGCTGGCCTCTCCAGCCGTGACGGTCCTGGTTCGCCGCAACCCCTTCGGCATTCACCTGCCCATGATCATAGGTGTAGGTTTGCAAACAGCTGGTTTTATTACAGCATCATTTGCAACATGTATTTGGCATCTTTACCTTACCCAAGGGGTTCTAGTTGGACTGGGGGTCGGCTTTACCTACATTCCCAGTATCGCCGTGCTCTCTCAATGGTTTCTTCGGCGCCGCAGCTTAGCAAACGGCATCAGTGCTGCGGGATCTGGTATTGGCGGGCTCTTGTTCTCCTTTGTGGTGCGGGCAGCTATTAGCAACACCTCTCTGGCTTGGTCACTTCGCATTACTGGGCTCCTTAGTGGATTCATGAATATTCTAGCAATAGCTGCCATTCGGAGCCGCAATCATATTATTCAGCCAAAACAACACCCATTTGATAGGGACCTACTTCGCCGTTACGATGTCATACTAGTCCTTGCCTGGGCCTTTGTGAGTATGTTTGGCTATATAACCTTACTATTTTCCATGTCCAATTTCGCAAGCTCAATAGGTCTGGATCAATCTCAAGCCGCCACTGTTACAGCCCTTCTGAACCTGGGCACTGCAGTTGGAAGACCGTTCATCGGGGTTATTAGTGATTATTTTGGTCGAATCGAGTCTGCGGGATTCATTACTCTTCTATGTGCAGTATCAGTCTTTGCAATTTGGATACCAGCTATGTCATACGGAGTTACAATTCTCTTTGTGATTGTCAATGGCGCAATCCTAGGTGTCTTTTGGGTTGTAAGTCATCTCCTGGCCCGCCGCTCATGCCTCAGACTGACCTCACATGGAGACAATTGGGCCAATATGCACAGAAGTCGTAGGACTTGGGGAACTACCATCTATGCTCTCGCTGGCCTGGTTGGTGATCGTGTTACCAACGACCTGTAAGTTTGGCCCTGTTCCAGATCTGAAGGGTGATGCTCACGTCGTTATACCCATTTTGTAGTCTCGGAAGTCATCGCACTCAAACTGAGACGCCCTGGATCTGGAAATGAGTTCCTCTACCCTCAGATCTTTGCCGGGCTGGCGTACCTCATCGCTAGCATTATTACTCTCGAGTTATGGCGAGTTCGCCGACGATCAACTGTCGTCGAATATGCTTCAAGTCAGGGAGCCCCTGAAAGAGAAACTAGCGTTGCTTTGACAGCCAAGCATAACCCTTAGCCAATATATATATTGGACCAGATGACTACCGCTGAAAGTAGATTCATCTTCGTTTGCAATGGAGAGGGGGCTTGCACTATGAGACGTTTAATAATCGAAGTGGGTTGTAGCAATGGATACAGTAGAGTAGCACGAAGAAGTGGAGTTATCAGCCACCTGAGTACTAGCCAACGAGGCAAGTTGCAGTACTGACAATACATTAATCTCTCATCTATTTTGCATGCAAGGGTACGTCATCTGCCTTAGCAGCTGTTTGGATGTTATACTTGGAAGAAAGGCACGCATTCCACCTCAATGCAGATGGGCTGCGTCGGGCATTGCGAACGTGGTTTTGGCCAGTTCCGGACACTTTGCAGGCTATGGGCACAATCACTTATGACATGACAACGGGTCTGAGAGATCGATACGTTTATTGTACAAATTTCGGGGTAGGAAAATCTTCCTATGCCCATAGGAGGCAGATCTCCTTCCTCGCCACGCAGAACAATTTTCTCGGTAGGGCCCAGCCCAAATCTCCCTACTTCTCACGTATAAAAATGTCATTTTCAGAGCGACCACCATACATTCCTCTCACTTCGCCAAAACCACCGGCAGAACTTACACTCCATATGAAAACTCTTCGTCTTTGTACTCGTAGCCTTTTACGGCCAATAAATTTCAATAAAACGGCAGCTCAATGGGTTCTTATGTTTCTCCAACGCGGGAGCTCCGAACATTGGCACAATGTCCCCAGCTGGCTATATCACAAGCCAAAGATGATCCCGACATCAGAGCCAGATACCGTCCCTTTCTGCTAGATGCAGAGCTCGAAGCTACGGATTGGATCTCTCAGTTGGAATTAGCGACTGCAATTGCCACGGCGGAGGAGAATTTAGCAAAGACCGAATCCAGGTTAAACGTTCTGGTGCTCTATGGAAGCTTGCGGAAACGGTATAAATCTTGCCCCGGAGCTTGAAATGATAGGTCGATTTAACACGTATCCAAGCTCCTATTCCAAACTAATGGCCTTCGAAGCCTCCCGCATTCTTCACCGTCTCGGCTGTGACGTTCGCATTTTCAACCCGAGCGAACTCCCTATTCGCGACTCTGTCGACGCCTCGCACCCTTTGGTTCAAGAGCTACGTTCCCTATCTCTCTGGTCCGACGGGCACATCTGGTGTTCGCCTGAACAGCACGGAAACTTCACTGCTGTCTTCAAAAACCAAATAGACTGGATCCCTTTATCGACAGGTTCGGTGAGGCCTACGCAAGGCCGCACACTATCCGTGATTCAGGTCAACGGTGGAAGTCAGAGCTTTAACGCTGTTAATAGCTTGAGGATTCTGGGCAGGTGGATGAGGATGTTCACTATCCCGAATCAGAGTAGTTTGCCCACTGCGTGGAAGCAATTTGAGGATGAAGGGGGGGGGGGGGTGGTAGTGGGAAGGCTAGGTTGTTGCCGAGTGGGAATCGGGATAGGTTGGTGGATTGTATGGAGGAGTTTGTTAAGTATACTATCATTATGAGGCCGCATTTCGAGTTGTTTGGGGATCGATTTGGTGAAAGAAAGGAGAATCTTAACAAGTAGATGAAGAATTTGACCGTTAAAAAGGGCATTATAGACTAAGATATAGATGTCTCGTATTACATCGAAAATATACGAGGAGCGTTGGGATATGGTACTCCTACAAGTGCCTTGTTCTCTTTTAGGGTCTGTATTAAGGAACGTCAAGCTATTAATAGTGTCAGTATGCCTTCTGATTTCACAAGTAGATTTGAGAAATTTAGAGAATTTAATTTTGCTAGTATTAAGTATATTAAAAAATTTGATAGATATTATACCCATATCAGGCTTGAGTATTATCGCTCCAACTTATGTTTTAACAAAGTGAACTTCAAATCTCATGTTAGAATTGTTTTCAACTTTAATTATACCTCTCCTCTCATTTCGACGTTTTATTCTCTCTTAGAGATTGATTTATAATGCTATCTTTTTTATTTATTATAATAAGAAATAAGAAGTTTATAATTTATTAGAGATTATAACATTGTAGTAGGGCAACCCCAACCTGTTACTATTACATTGTGTTTTTGCACCTAAAATTATATTAGATACTAGTAGTCTTATTATATTCAATAAAACCAGAATTGAATTTTTTTAAATTATATTACTAGTCGTATACTCATATATATGTGCCGTTCCAAACCCTATTCCGTTGTCTTTTCTACTATTCTTAACGGACGCCTGGCTATGTTAAACCCCATATTTTGCTTTCTCTACATTCGCCACGTCTTTGTTGAATATATACCTATAACTGGTGTGAAAGTTTCATCATTATCCCATTATACCCAAAACTCCAAACCCATATCCCGAAATATATATATATGAAGTAGTATTATTCATTCCCAGAAGAATTCTTCAGGAATTGGTTATAGCAAGCTGCCCGAGCTGGGGAAGCCTGGCATTGAAGGAGAAGTGCCATTTTGATTGGAATTGGAGCGATGGACCTGCGGAGAAGGGAGTTGTCCTTGCATCGTCATCGGGAAGGAATCCCTCCCAATCGCCCCACCCTGAGCTCGGTACAAGTCGGCGCATCCCTTCGCGACATGCATCGCCTGTTGCGTCTGTTGTGATTGCGGAATCCCCGGCGTGTGGGAGTCATTAAAAGGAATACGCTGTGTGGCAGGGCCGCTCATACCCAGGTTTCCCTTAGCCAGTTCGTGATCAAGCTCAGCGAGCATTTCAGCCTCGTTGAAGTTTGAAATCGAATCATCGACAGGAGATGTGTCGGAAGGAACACGATGCATGGACTTGAATTTCTCCAGTAGCTGCACATCGTCTGCAGCCGTGTTCTCAACCCCCAAGATCTTGCGTGCTTCCGCTTTGAGTGCTTCATCACTCGGGAACATGCCATCGACCATTTCGCTCACCATAAACTCGTTGAGACCAGTCTCCAACTCCCGTGAGCAGAAAACAGCTGCAGGAGGTTGGTAGCGGGTGGACATGCTCTTGAGAAACTTTTGGGCGGTTGTGGCTTTGATATTGTAAACCCTGTCTTCCATCCGGACTGACACATCTTCCACATACGACGCTGGTGGCTCTTTGGGGTGAAGGTAGGGTGGATAGAAGCCAGATCCTCCGAGTGATACCTGCCAGGAGCTGTTTGCGACAGGAAGACCGGGGCCTTCCTCGGGAGCTGCAAGCCCGACATCTCGTTTAAATCGAATAAGCCATTCGGCATTGTCAGCTGCAGTCTGATTCCAAGGATCGTCATCATCATATATGGTCCAGCGAGCATGGTTTTGAATCTCGGCATCTGAAGGGACCTAGGCAGGGTATTAGCTCATGTAGAAGGGCGGGACAACGAAGCGAACTTACATGTCGATTCGGGCTGTTGACCGACATGCAGGCAGTTACAAATCTCGAAAGCTCTCGAACCAGGCGGCCATAACAGTTTGCATCGTTTAGGAAATACCCAAGAGGTTGGGTTGGGTTAGTGTTCGTGGATGGCTGGTTCTGGACGAGAGTATGAAGAGGCTTGTCGAAGTCTGGTGTGCCGGAGCCATTGGCACTGTTGCCACCAGTATGAGAGCCACTGCTAGGGGATGCAAGGTTGATGCCTAGTTGTTCCAGGTCAAAGTGCAATGTTTTGGGAGATGGGGCCGATGGAAGGCAGTGTTCTGTTGACTCTTTGAGGGGTGGCATGTCGGGGCCGTCTTCATTTTCCGGTGCAAGATGCTGCTGCCGCTTGAAAAGATGTAAAATCACGGGATTATCCAAAGCAGTTTGATTCCAAGGGTCATCAGTTTTGTATACAATCAACCGAGCTTGGCGTTGAATATTATCGTCGGAAGGTTTGATACCTTGAGCTCGCTGTAGGCGGACCCAGGCAATAAGTTCGTTTTCCAGCCGGTGATGGTTGTGTATACTATAATCAATACTCTTATCATCTGTCGACCGAATGTGTTCATCAGCCATTTCTGAGAGCCGCGGTAAATTTGCCCGTCGTCGGAAATCGGACAGCCAGTTGTGCGAGGCAGCTATCAAATACTTGAACCAACCAAGACCTCCTTTGCACTTGAAATTAGCTGCAGGTTCAATCTCATCTAGAATGCGACAGGCTTCCACCTGAAGTTCAGAGTTCGTGGGGGTCAATCCCAAAGCCTGTTTTCCAATAACGAATGCTTTTAATGCCCTCTCCTTGCGACATGAGATAGCCGACAAGTCGATGTCCTTATGAGGAATGGCTCCGATTGTAACGTGCTCATCGGAATTCTTTCCAGAAAACATAATCAGATCCCGGAACCACGACACTTCATTGTCTGGGGCGGATGTGTATAAATCAGTCTTGCGGACTATTCGCTGAGCTTCCTCGAGTAAATCTTTATCAGTGGGGATAGATTCTTTGAGAACCCGTGCATGGATATAGTCAACAAGACCAAGTTTGATATGATCTTCCAGGGTCCGAGTCGAGGCTGCTGAATCTTTTGAAGCTTCATACGGCTCCATGCTATTTCGTTCGTCGTGAATTAGATATGGAGGCATTCCATTTTCAATTATATCCAAAACTTGAGGTTCGAAACCCCAGTCACCCTTCCAGTCAGCCATACTCTTTCCGCCCTTGAAATGCTCTGCTAGGTGATCGACTCGAATAGTCCAAGAATCCATGACGATGCCACAGAAACCGCATCGAGAACGGATCTGTGGCGTAGCGATTTTCCACGATTCCATTGAAAACCCCTGGAACTTCACGTCATGAACCAGATTTAAGTGCTGCCGAAGGTGGTCCTTGCGGTAAAAGGTCCTCTCCTCCAAGGACCGATCTGCACAACTCGAATAGTTGTGGATCTCAGCATGTCCAGCTGGCGGGTTTGGCAGGCCACAGAAAACACATCTGTTGTGATCATAGTCGGAGCAAAACTGAGTCGGACCATCAGGGCAACACACCCAGCGCTCAAGTGATAAATGCAGGGATTTCTCATGCCTCTGCCAGTCATGCTTTGTTTTAAAAGTCTCGGTACAGAAAGTACACTGGAAAGTGCGAACAGGACCGTTGGTGACGGGGACTTTGACCGCCTTGGGGGCTTGACGACGGCGTCGTCGTCCTCTATGGCCAAACGACCCGAAGGAACCAAATGAGCCCTTTGACTTGTGCGAAAACGCCGAAGCAAACGAGCCACCACTCGAATGCGAAGTGCCAAAACTGCTCGTGGAAGACACGTTGGCAAGAGATCGATTCGACCCGTCGTCAGTGTGGTAATTGGAGGTATAAGGACTCTCTCGACCAGACGAGAAAGTAGAGGAAGTAACCGCCTTAGCAATAGCAGTCACGGAGGCAGGTTCGTTCTCAGGGGGCGAGTGCTCCCATCGCTCCATCGGATTCATGTGCTCCATAGCGGGCGTAGATCGCCGAGGAATGTCCATGGCCTTGGTATAGTTGCTCACACTCGGGGAGGTCGATCGTGGTGCCCGAACCTTGCCTCTCCGACGAGCATTCGCTAGCCAATTGGTGATCTGGGTCTTGCTGAGGCCTGTTTCCCTCTTTAAGCTCGCCTTCTCCTCGTCAGTGGGGTATGGGTGGCGATGATGAGTCGATAGCCAAGCCCTCAAAATCCGAATTGAGTCTCTCGAGAAACGAGCACCAACTTTGGGATTTTCACCAGCAGCCGCGTTGATGTTTTCCTCGGATGACCTCACACTGACTAGATTGGGGTTTGATCTGCTACGAGAGAACCCCTGGGTCAATTCAACCGAGGGATGAGGCTCATCCGCATTCATGCTTTCATCCATCCTGTAAGTACTGAGGTCTTGAAAGTCGTTCTGGGTGGCGTCTCCCGACAAGTGTGAGTCCTTGCCATCAACAACCTGACGAGGCCCATGAGTCAAGCTACACGAACGTGCCAGGGCAACGCAGCTCGTACACGAGCCTCGCCGGAGACCTTCCTTGATGATCTTGCAATGAATACGCATCCGACTACAATAGGAGCATGGATTGGTAGGGAAATCCATTCCATCAATCCATCTTGGAAAATCGGTGAAGTCGTGAGGAGACAGCATGGCCGTGTCCGTCATGACACCGTCTGTATCATTTTGGACCTGCCCCTCCAAGGCGGAGAAGTGCTGCAAGCAGGTAAACGAGTTCTCATCATTCTCAGGCTCGGCAAAGGCGAGATTGATATCATAGGGTCCGGATGGAAGATTTAGACCTGTAGGGTCGAAGTCGAGATGAGAAGGTAGCGGATGGTCAAGGGGATGTGCAGCGTCCTCGAAGTTGAAAAACTCATCCATCTCCTCAATGGTAGTCATTCAGAGGGCGTAAGGTGACCAGGGCGTTAAGGGAGGTATTTAGTAACCAGCTAAGTACTTAGTCCAACCAGAGTGGCGGCCAAGCAAGCCGAGGTACCTCGATTGTTGTACTTTGATAGCTATGACGGCGGGGGAAGCTTCAAACTCCGCCCTTTAGATGACTGATGCCCAGTACAGGTTTGTACTGTACTGTACGAGGTCTCGTCTGGACCAGCTGGCGCCGGTATGCTGTTGAGACCGGATGCAAGCAATGTGTAACTACCGCCAGTCAATGGAAAGGCGTAATGAACTGGCAAAATTGTATGAGGATGAAGAAGGGAGGAGAGAACGAAAAACGCGGATTGAGTAATGAGTAACTTGATAAAACCCATGATGGACTAGTCAGCAGCCGACAAACGGCGACTCCTATTGGTTGGTGACTCAGACTCGACCAGATTGACGAGCGCGCCCTTCAACCTCCCCGATGCGGACTAGCGTCGAGATGTCTACACCCCGCAAAATAGAAACGCCGAATGCTTACTCCGACATCGGGAAACCTCCAAGGAACTAAAACTACGGAGGGACTAGTAATACGAGGCCGATGGAGAGTCGTTGACAACGAAGTACTCCGCAAACCGTCCAATTAAATTGTCCGCCTCCCAACGGCTCGGACAAAGTCCCAATCCTTTGGAATAAGTCATTCTACCTTCTGCATTAGGTATACAGGTATACTCATAATAAACAAAAAACATGCTTTAAGTTTATAAGCTCCAAGAATATCCTATTCTGTCGGCTTTAGAAGGTTAGTGAATGCTGAATATTACAAGCTCTTAGGTACCGCTCTACTCTAGTAGGGGAGAAATGTCTAGAAAATATGAAACAAAACAGCTATAGTCAGGGATAGCTACAAGTCACTTAATAGTGTACTTAAAAATATGCACTCGTTCCGACAGTAAATAACGTACTGTGGTGGGGCGACTCCAACCACTCATTATTACTTTGTTTTTAACTTCGTGGATAAGTGGGACCAATTGGGCATATAAGCTCCTGGCTTTCATCCCCCGTTTTCCACACACTTGCGACCACAGATCAGAGTTACAGCTTCACAGCTGGACCAGGGAAAAGCTGGCCAGTTGGTTAAATACCAATACAACTGAACTTTCCATACTTATATTAATAACTGGATCTTGTGACTATTAGTTGTCCCGAGTACCACTGCCTGAGTGCGCCCTGAATATTCACCTCCTCTGAGAGCACTAAGCCCATGGTTGAGACTTCTCCAGCCACATGACCATCTGACGATAATCCCACAACGCGACCATCGCTAAATTGATCCCCATACCTTGACTATGATCATTTGGTTGTTTTATCCATGCTTCCTCGTGATACTCCTCAGGGTCCTCCTTTCTCCTCGACAGTATATGCTGTGGCTTGGGCCTGGTGAAATCATCTGTAAGAAAATTTATAATGGGACTGTACACTGAAGCTTGCAATCGTGCGGTTGTCTACGTAGGATTTTTCTTTAGAGGACAAATGGTTTGTATGGGGATGGGCTAATGCTTGCATGAAAATTGATCCGAGCAAAACCTCAATTTGAAGATGACCCAGGCGGAAGAATGTGCGCCAGGTTAATCTCCCCCTCGACACATTCATTCGCATCTGGGATCTCCATTCTATACTTGATGATCAATCCGTCCACCTCCATGACGAATTTGTAACCGACACTGTAATATTGCTCAAGGGTAGGATTATCATCAGTAGGTGAAGCGGAGGATTCTTCATGGTTCGGTTCTGGCGACGGTATAGATGGCTGTCGTCGTTGCGAACTTCCTGGGGTATTTTGTGATGAAGGGGTATCCAATGAGCATACCCCTGATGGGGATAATTGAGGGCTGGAATCATCTCCAGTGGGCCCGGAGATATTCTGGGAATCAGAAGCCTTGGTGGTGGGAACCCGCTTCCGAGAACTCTTTCGTTGTGCGCCAGAGGGTCCCTGAGGATGCTTGCGTGCGGGTCCCCGAGTTCGACGCTGCTTTTCGGTCATTTTGACTAGCTTGTCCCTGAATTTCGTCATGTCAAGAGTGAACTCGACCTTCTCTATTTCCACATGATCTGGACGGGGATGAGAATGAGAATGATAGCCACGCATTAAGGTGGCGGATTCAACCTACCATGGTTTTTGGCATGGTCAATTGGATAGTAGTCATGTCTATTTGTATTCGAGGAGTATACCATCACGTACAAGGTGACGGTGTCTTCATTCACACCAATATTATGATGAAGTGTTCGTTCTCGCAGCACCTTTGTGGGGGGGATTATCTCGCCCTAAAAGATTCAGTATCCCAAAGCTATAATAAAAAAGATACTAACCAGTTTAAACATCCAGTCCAGGCAGTTACAAACATATTTTTTGTTGACGAACCTAAAATTTTCTGGCGTGGCATTCTTATGAGCGGCAGAGCTTTTGTCATACTCTATGCTCGTGGCTATTCCAAGACTCGACCGACATTTTCTAGGTGCGCCATTCTTTTTATCCATGGATCTTAAGGTGGCACCGTAAGCAATCGCAATATCCCTGGGTAAGAGTGTTAGCTGGCTAGTACATGGATAGGAGGGCTTGATATTAGACGAACGGCGCATCTGGCACGAAAAAGTCGATTGACCTCAGACTGTGCTTGGCGACCCAGCCGTTGAGCATTTCCTTCAAATACCCTCGGAGTCTTGGAGACCCTCCAAAGCCTCCGACTAAACACACTTTCTGCAACTTAGGGTCAACTAGGTGCAAAATATGTGGCTGACAATAAATACTAACCTGAACCGCAAAATTCTCACAGCGAGCACTTTCTAGTTGAGATTGTATGAGGTCCCAGACTTGGCGAATCACAGGGTCAAATATAAGATTCAGGCGCTCACTAAACGAGTTAGCTAAAACCATTGATAATAAAATCCGTAAAGAGTGAACTCACGGTGTGAAGGTAATAAGGTCGTCTCTGAACTCGTCGTCAGGATTTGCCATCAGCCGTGGGACTGGCGCATTATATTTAAGGTCTCCTTCTCCCTCAAACGTGGGCTTGATGAACTTCTCAAAGTGGAGGGTGACGTTCTTTGCTATCTGAAGTTTCATTTCTTGCGACTTCTTGCCATCAACGAACTTTGCGCGATCTAGCCTCTGAAGCGTCTGCTCAAAACATCCTGAGTTTAAGTAATTTGATCCGCACAAACCACCTTGCGGTAATTTCTTAGTAATAGGTAGATTGATGAGGCCATGGGGTTAAACTCACCAGTACCGCCAACAGCCTCCTGAACTCTAAGGGGCTTCTGATTGGTAACAGTATATGTAATTAAATCCTATCATTGCAGTGAGCTGAGCATCAAGTATCCATCCCAATCCCAATCCCACTCACCACTGTCCCACCTCCTGCATCACAAAGAAGGATATTTTCACCTTCCTAGATTTCCAATGTCAGCTCAAACCATTGTGTAGAATAAAACTAAGTAGGGAGCTCACCTGCAAATGCCAATTTGGATTCATCTTCAGAACGTAAGATGCGGCTGCTTCAGGCTCCGAGACGAACCAGACGGCTTTCCCAAATCCAAACCCGGACTTCTGGCCGGCTTTATCAATAGCTATCAGCATCTTTCGTCTCGCCGTTTCTTTCCATATCGCCGGAACCGTGCATTCTAGCTCGATATTGTCTCTAGGGTCGTAGTCGCCATTAGCAGTCATAAAGTTCATGATATGCTTGAAGAACGGGGTGAGGAAATCCACAAGAAGGTCAATGACCGTTTTGTTCAAATGTCTGATGTTGTCTAGCACACGCTGTCGATGAAGGTCTCGATAAACCTCATCTGTTAGCTCGGCTTCGTCTAGAAGCAATTTGATCATGTCGACGAACGTCCCTGACGGAGCATCTCCAGACTCTTCGACTAGCTTTGCATCCCAGCCCCATCGTGTACAAATATCTTCGTAGCGCAATACAGTTGGGACCTCACAGTGATTGGCCCGATTTTGGCCGGTAGCAGCTCGGTAGAGTACCATCTTAATATCCGACGCCAGTAGGCGATTGTTCGAGGCGGACAATAAAACAAATGTGGCAGCTGAGTAGGTAGAGCCGAAATCAACCCCAACATTAAAACGGTTAGGTTCGTATTCGACGTCGTTCCGATTAAGCTGAGGCCGGAATGGGATTTCCATACTGAATGGGGCTGATGTAATCCGTGCGAAGACTCAAAACCCACAAAATAACGAGTCGGGAATACAGCCGTTTATAAACCTGCCAGACTACCTGGGTACTTCGTAAAAGGTTGGCAGGTCGCGCAAGGCTGGAGGCTGCCTCGCCCCCAAGAAAGTAACCAAACGTAAAGCACGGGGCGGACTACAAGGGCCATTCTGTACCATATCGCCGCATTCTCAGGGATCTCGGGAAAGAAAAATGGCGGTCCCGCTGCATCTCCAGCAGAATGTGATCAAATTATGTTGGTACACTTGTTGGTGGCTGAGACTTCTGACACATTGATAGGGGATGGCCGCCTCAATGGCCGTCTTGGTCGGCTTGTTGCGGGAATCAATGGCGGAGGGTGGGTGATATTTACGAGTAGCCAGAATAAGTCCCCAAAGCTCTGAGGCTGGAAGCTTTTCACCTCAACCATCTGCACGCCATTGCCAGCAGAAAATGTCGGCCATCGAGGCCACAAGTCATGGTCGGTGGTATCGTGAAGATGTAATATTGTTACTATCTTCGTTGAACCTTCACATCTATGAAATCCAACAAGAACTTCTCGAAGAAGAAAAACATGGAATGGGCTTTGCGAGAGAACTACTGAGCGACTGCCTTTCCAAGGGATGTACACCAGCTCGAGTAGGCCGTAAGCTCTATAGTATATGGGATGGCAAAGGCGCGGAGGGATCCAAATTGGTCGACCTATATCGCCACGGCGCTTACCCTAGGACACTGCCATTTCTAGATCCGACTCTGCTGCAGGAAATCGCAAGAACTGTAAAAGACATGCAAAAGCGTGTATTCCCGACCATTCTATAATGAAGCCGAGCTGATCAAGTTTATCCAGATCATCCCCTGGCAACAAAAACGAATCCAAGGCTCTGTTAGGGAACGACAATATTCGACGATCGGAACGAAGAGCGCTGGTAAATATCGACGACGACCCTATTGAGTGTAGATGCACGTTTAGTCACTATGCTTCCTCGTGCATCCATTGCGATGGGTGTGCCACTTGGCAGCACATTTTCTGCTACTATAAAAATGATACCGAAGACCCAGAAACCCACCTGTGTGACCAGTGCACAATAGCTGAAGCTAGTACCTTGCGGAGAGGGGCTTCTATCTCCAATTCAGCACAGGAAGACTTAGTCAGATGCATGGCAAGACTTGACATTCATTTCGATGATGTTGACGACCGGATGGCGAAGAAGATGATCGCTTATGTTGACGACGATAATAATGAAAGCCGCACCGGTACTTTGGACTTGCCTAGAGATGACGGAGAGCCTTGGGGTTTGGATGACTCTGAGGTCTCTAGAGTAGTCCATCTCGTGGCATACCAAATCGGAAGGCTTGCTGATTCAGTCCCAATTGATCACTTCAGCAATTCCACGCTTCCATCAGCATTTCTAGATGCCAAGGAGGAGCTCAAGCAACTGCTCGGAATTGTTTTTGGTGATGATATCGAGAAGAAATCCAAGGCTGTATTCACAGAAACCATGGATTCAAAGGCCCTCGCCACCCTTCACGCCTCTCTTTTCCGAGCTTTGTTCTCAGCGGCGGTTCAGCAGTGGGTGTTCTATTCACGAATATCGGATATTCCATCCATCAAGGCCGTGTCTTTTGACGTTCAACAGAAAGTTATACTAGCAAAATGTAAGTATGAGTTTTAGCTCCTCAAGATAAGTGGATTATAATGATACGTCTCAGATGGGTTTAGTACCCTTAGAAATATCCATCGCGCCACCTGGGTGTCGCTCATGTACGAAAACCCAGAACAAATTAGGCATGTCTTCACCAGCGAAGCAGCGGATTTAACCAACCGCTTTTTGACTACCCTAGAACCTCTGATCGTACCTGTAGACGAGTCGAAACATACGCCAGCGATCGATGACTGGATTAGCTCTACTCGGGATGGTCAGCCTGGGCACAGAGTCGTGTTACAGATTTTCACCGCCTCGCTAAAGCTCAAAGCACGACTGCCGTTGACAGAACAGTACTACGAATTTCTCTCGCCTGTTTTAGGAACGTCATTCTCCAGAGACTTGATGGCAGTGGATGGAGAAGATGTCATGGATATGGATATTGCTGATGACTCAATAAGCCAATTTAGCATCATGCCTGCAATCATTGAGTACCCCATGAGTGTATTTATAACCGAAACGGAGGATGAGGCAGCGCTCTTTGGACCACATAACTTCGTCAGAGCTACTGCGACCGAACGAGAGAAGGGGAGAGTCGTCTGTCCAGCCATCCTAACACTTCAATAGGGCGCGCCCTACGGGGCTACGGATGAAAAGTTGGCGAGCTGTGCGTTGTTAGCCAGATTAGTGTGTCAAATTGAGCTTGATCCCACCAACTACCTTTATCTTCGCTTCAATGATGAATTTCAAAGTTAAGTTATAGTCACGTGTGAGAATGCCCTGTAGTTTATGTTCGACAAGGATAATCAAACTTAATGCCTCGATAAATTTATAGTTCCTTATTCCTTCTTTATGTACCTTCCATGCTACCTGTCTGTATCTACGCTGCCCGCTAGTTGCCCAAAGGCCTAAACGTAGCCTTAGTGGTATCAATTCCGCTGAAGTGTAAGGGAAATCCCTAATAACTGAAAATGCCCGTCTCTTCCCATGTGTCAGTCGTACAATATCATACCAAATATCCATGTCCCTTCTCCTTCCCATGTCTCTAGCGTGTGGGGTAGTGTGACCCGTTCCTCCCACCATATGATATGCTCCTAGATTTCCTTCCCTTCCTTTCCCAGCCGTCCAATCCGCAACACCAAAAATATCCCCCCTTCCTTCCAGCCGCCGCATAGACCCAGGTCCAGATAGAATTTATATTAACGCATATTTCGTCACATCATCAATCCTCTATCCATGCCGACTGCTGCCTCGCCTACTGCTGCCGCCCACAACGCCTCCGTAGGCCCCCGAGTCAACCGTCCTGAACCCGCTCTCCCTTTCATCACGTGATCTTTTAGAGCTCTTCTTCCGCCGCGGCGGGCTATGCTCCTCAATCACAACCACTTCATCACTGACTCGACTCCTTGAGGGTACCCGCCGATGATCGTCCACAATAATCGTCTCGGTGCGGTGGGTCGAGGGTTCGCGGACGATGCGGATGGGCGAGCGATTGCTGCGGATTTCTACTGTCTGGAAGAGGGAGGCTCCGTTAGTGAAAAGGCTCCCCGCAAAGCTCTTTATGAGTAGAACTGAACTATACATAAAAACAAGAATATCACGCAAATCGATTTCAAAAGGTGTAGGCTAAAAAGCATGGGAAATATTAGAACGTACCTCGCTGGCCCTCCGACTTCTATGGCTACCGCCATGATGGCTCTTCCTCCGCTCCCGCACTGCAACGGTCTCTGTCGTATAGGCAGACTCGGCGGAGCTAGCTACGCCAACGTTCGCGCATTGGTAGAACAGCCATAGAAGTAAAAGAAATCCAAAGACTGATCCGAGGACGATACCCGCGATCGTTCCACTACCCGGGCCACTGTTAATGCTGCCGTAGGTTGTGGGTATTATTGAGTCTGTGGTCCCTCTTTCCGAAAGGATGCGCGTCAAAAGTGGTGTAGTGGTGCGCGTAGGTATAGGATTTGGATCTGGATTTGGGTTTGGATTTGAGGATGGGATGGAGGGAATCCGTTTCGCGATGTTGGCAACCGCGGAGGATGTGAGCGCTGCGATGGAATCGAACGATATAGGCGCCGGGATTGGAGCCATTGCGACTGCGACTGCGACTCGGGTTGCGACTCGGACGTCGGATGCCACTCACGGCGTTCTTGCGATGTGCGACACCAGGTTTTGTAGCTGATTGCGACGGGAATTGATGGGTGTGACGTGATGCAATCAATGGTGGTTGGGCTGAGGGAGCCTGCCTGATGTTTGTGTTTATCCCAGGCCCGAGCTTAGTTGGCTGCTGATTGTCGGATCGCGATTGCGATAGCAACGGTTGCTCGCTGACACTATCGCCGGCTGAGATCGAGGGAGATAGGTTGTTGAGGTACGAAATTGTATTCTGTATGATGTATTTTTCTTCTGTTGTATCTTGTCGTAGTTGGAGGGGATGGGAGAATCAAGGAAGATGGAGAAATCGAAACGGTTGGAGGGGGAAAGGCAGGGACAGGCACACTTCACGCTCTTCACGTCAGCCAAGGAACGTCGTTGTGCAGCAGCAACTGGAGGGTTCAAAACATGGCTGGACACAAGGCTAGACACCGTGCACGGAAGGATGTCCTCAAAATACGTAGCGTTATGGGCCAATTGATTTGTAACTTGAAAATAGGGGGTTGGTTGAGCACCAAATCAGGGACTTTAGCCGTTGACGAACGACAGAAACTGCAACTTGTAATTGACGAGGCTGGGAGAGGCGTCTGTATTTGGAAGCAATCCCGAAGTATTTTGAACGATAGATAGGTCGCTATACATGTAAGGATACTGCACATTCGCATGGTAGATATTTGCCCAAAACGAGCAATAATGGAGATGTACTTAGTACGAAGTAAGAGGATTCTGTCCTGTGTCTACCCTGGACTGCCAGGGAATCACGAAGCGACCAGCTAAATGACGATGATATGCATATCGGAACTGCGCAAGAACAGGTAAAGTAACATGGCATTGCATCTTTATAACACATATCAACCTTCATTTATCTGTTTTTCCTGAAGCAAAACAGAGGTTATTGATGATCTCAAAACGGGGAATGAATCATGTGATCTCCAAATCTGATCCATTTCCGGACGGGGATTACGAGTCCATGCTCAGCCACACAGAACTCAGACTTGTGGCGCCGCCGAGACTCGTAACGTCGGAGACACGAGGAGACAAGACCGCCGAGAATGAGCAACGATCCTTCCGTGTCAACTCTTTGTAACTACTACACTTCCTCTTCTTCCTGTCTTAATTCTTATATTTTCCAGTTCCAATACCACAAGCTCTTCCAAGCCTCTCGAGGAAGTTCACCCTCGTATAATCAGAACCACATCGTGTGCGACTCGGCAATCACTTCGAAGTAATCACCGTTCGCCCCCGTCTTACAGCGACATTCACGTCAACGTGGCGGCTTTGAAGTTTCAGAATATCCTGCGATAATCCCGTCTCGAAATCGCCTTCTAACTATCCTTTCGATTCTTATTTTGCCCACCTGTGTTCGCAAATCTCAAGGTTGAATAAGGAGTGCAGTGAGTACGCTTAGCAGCCAAGCCGAAACCGAATTACTAGAGCAAAGAAACCAACAACACAGGAACGAGCCAACCTCGGTCCACCTCGACGTTCCTCCTCGCATTCCCTTCACGAATCCTCCGTCAAACTCTTGAACGAGGACATCTCCCAACCCTCACATCTCAAAATGTCCCAGAAATTCGACCCATCTTCCCCGCCAGCATACAACCAGAGCAGCCACCCCTCGCAACCGCAACCCGCTCACGTTGGCTCTCCTGCCCCAGCTGGTGCATCAGGAGACTACTACGGTAACCCTCCCTACCAACAGACGGGATCCCCAGCGCCAGGAAACTATGGGCCTCCACAACAACAGAACGGCTACTATAACCCCGGCCCCCAAATGGGTTATCAACAGCAACCGCAATACCCACCACAGGGCCAGTATGGCGCGCCCCATCCGCAACAGGGATATTATGGCCAGCAGCAAGGTTATGGACAGCCGCAGGGATATGGACAGCAAGGCTATTATGGGGGACAGCAGGGGGGATATTCTGATAACAGGGGACCAGGTGCGGGGACTGGAGTAGCGGGAGGACTGTTGGCAGGTTTGGCATGTTGTTGTTGTTTGGAAGCCTGTTGCTTGTTCTAAGAGTGGATTGGCAGCGGGATGGCGAGGAGTGGTGGGGATTTGACTCGCTAGACGACATGGGACAGGCTGAAAGCTTGAAAGAGGATGGTCTCGAAGATGGGGTGGGCGAAATGGATGGGCATTCATGAGTGGATGTGTCATGGGACAACCGGTGCATTATACGGCGTCCTGGTTTCACGTACTCTCTGTACTTTTCTTTAAGCCATGGATTTCCGGTTGGCGTGAAATGCAACTCGATTCTCGAGTCTCTTTATATCAGTTCCTAATACAATCAGTTTCCTTTTCGGCTGAAATTACTACTTCTTCTTTGCATTTACAGGGAACAAACACAGGGTGAGATTTTTTTGATATTGAACAAAGTTTTCTACTTAGACTTTTCCGTAAATGGCTATGATACAGTTTACTCAACACTCTCGATCCTCTGTACCACGATCGCCGTAGCCGCACCACCTCCATTGCAAATAGCGGCAACACCATACTCGCCAACCTTCAATTGATGCAGCAACGTTGTCAGAATCCGAGAGCCTGAGCTACCAAGTGCGTGGCCTAGAGAGATAGCACCTCCAAGCGGGTTGACGTTGGCGCCCTCCAGCCCGAGGATCTTCTCGTTGGCCTTGATAACCGCCGCAAACGCCTCATTGAACTCCCAAACAGCAACATCCTCCTTCGTGATACCAGCCCTCTCCAAAGCCAGAGGCACGGCCTTCGCAGGCGCGACGGGGAAATCAACAGGATCAATGGCCGCATCGGCGGATCCGCAAATCCTAGCCAGGACTCGAGATCCTTTACCGAATTCTTGCGCAATAGCCTTGTTGCCCAGCACGAGTGCACTGGCACCGTCGTTCAGGGTGGACGAATTGGCTGCTGTCACGGTTCCGGTGCCGTCCCGGACAAACGCTGGCTTCAGCGTTGCGATCTTATCGAACTTAACATCTAGGAAACCCTCATCGGTGTCGACGATCGTATCTCCCTTTCTGCCCTTAACCGTTACAGGTGCAATCTCCTCCTTGAACGCGCCATTCTTCCATGCCTCCTGCGCCCGGGTATATGATAGTTTGGTATAGTCATCCTGCATCTCTCTGGTAATCTCGAACTTCTTTGCTGTGGCCTCCGCGCAGTTGCCCATGTGGAATTTATTGTACACGTCCGTCAGCCCGTCTTTGATTAGCCCATCCTCCATTGTGACATTGCCGAATGCAGGCTGGCCGCTGGCTCGAGGCACGTAGAGGGGCACCTGGGACATGTTCTCCATTCCTCCGGCGATTTGGGCCTCCGCCAGACCGAGCTGGATGTTTTGAGCGGCGAATACCACGGCCTTCAGTCCAGATGCGCAGACTTTGTTGATTGTGATCGCCTCGACGGTGTTAGGTAGCCCAGCGAATATAACGGCCTGTCTGGCCGGAGCCTGTCCGACGGAGCCTTGTAGGACATTGCCCATGTAGACATCTGTGATTTTGGAGACGGGGACTTTGGATTTCTCAAGGGCGGATTTAATTGCCACTGCACCGAGTTTGGGCGCCGAGACAGTTAAAAAAGATCCATTGAACTATAAGATTGAATTTATTAGTCAAAAATCAAGCTGGAAGACAGTACGGGACACAAACCTTTGCTGTGGGCGTTCTTGAGGCGCTCAAGATATAAGCATCCTGGATCTGTTGTCTGGCCGAGGTAGTAGCACTGAAATGCCGTTGGACTTGACCTAGTCTTTGTTTTGGCGCTGAGGAATTACGGATGGCGGACATGGTGTACCGTAAAGACATGACGAAGAAGGAGTAAGCAGAATGGGTATTTAAATTTGGGAAAAGCTAATAATATAATGAGGCCGGACGATGTAGGAGGGAAAAAGAGTTGGGAGCGGATAGGAAACAGGCGGGGGATAGCTCCGGGACGATTTACAGCTGAAGCCCGCACTGCCTAGGTTAATCATCACGTTTTAAGCCGAGCGGTGGCGGGCACGGACGGAGCGGAGCGGAGCGGGGCGGAAGCGACAGACAATCTCCACGTGACCTGGATCCCTCCTTGCACCCCCTGCCCGCGGATTCTCCGCGTCTTGGCGCTTCATGCGTCTGGATTTGGGCGTCAACGAACATGTCATACATTTACTCAAGGACGAAATACTCACCAACAAACTTTATGCAAAGTCCTTTTTAATTGTAACTGGTCTGCTAGTCTCCTTGAGAAATAACCATCCTCCTACGTTATTAATCTCTCTGGGCTTACTCAGCTTCGATTCGGAGACGGGCCCTTGCAGAATCTACGGATCTTATCTGCCAGCTGCCGCTACCGGCAACTCGCATTGTTACGGTGATCCTGACTCTCTCGCTGGGGCGTCTTCGACTTGTACCCCACTACCACAAAACACAAACACACGCAACAACCAAGAACCAACAAGCAGAACGCGACCTTCACAGGTTCAACGCTCCCGACTATCTCCCCATACTCCTCACCCTCGAATCCAAGTCAGCTCAGCCAGCATGTCTACTGCAGCGCGCCGTCGATTAATGCGTGACTTCAAGGTGAGTGGCAATCAAGATGGGTCCTAGCACTCGATGACATGCAGTCTCGATACTGATGGCACGAAAAGCGCATGCAAACAGATCCTCCTGCTGGAGTATCTGCATCTCCGGTGGCTGATAATGTTATGACCTGGTACGGAATTCCATTCTAAGGTGGATTCGTCTTGATCGCGACGCAGGACTGACCCCTATTGCAACAGGAACGCCGTCATCATCGGACCAGCAGACACCCCCTTCGAAGACGGTACCTTCCGACTCGTCATGCACTTTGAGGAGCAATACCCCAACAAGCCTCCCGCCGTCAAGTTCATCAGCCAGATGTTCCATCCAAATGTATACGCGACCGGCGAGCTGTGTCTAGACATCCTGCAGAACCGCTGGAGCCCAACATACGATGTGGCCGCGGTTCTGACCAGTATCCAAAGGTGCGAAAACTATTATGGAAACGCATTGGTACCCTGAGATCACGTCTGCTAACCAACCTTGCATGACAGTCTGTTAAACGATCCCAACACGAGCTCTCCAGCCAACGTCGAGGCATCGAACCTGTACAAGGACAACAAGCGAGAATATACTAAACGCGTCCGGGAATCGGTGGAGAAGAGTTGGGACGACTAATAAGTGTGTCTGGACAGTTGCAACTGCGCTGGAAGAATTAAATCTGCACATGCATTATGACGGGACGGGCGTCTTCGGTGACATGGTCTCTGGTGATTGGTCTGGCCTGGCTTTTTGAAATTCAAGGAGTAATTTATAGGGGAAGGGTACTTTTGGTTGGCCTTTACAACCTGCATAGCGTTCTATTTAGCGTCATTGAAACCATTACTCTGACATTGTTATTATCACGATGCGCCGGACTTGTGACCTGTGCATTCTTCGTCTTTGTCTTTCGCAGTTGAAGTGCAAAGCACTGTACTCGAGGACTTGAATGCTCGAATACTCGAATACTCGACTACAAAGCACAGCACGCAAATCCCAGGCCGCAGAGTGGAGCAGACAGCAGACCGCATTCCTGTTGGTCCACGCTTTGTTCCTGGGCAAATTACTCGGTACTTGGTTCTGCCACGCGAAATCGACTGTAATGCAAACCTACGCGAGAGTGCCTGAGTGTGTCAACAAGTTGCAATCTCAACCTCCCCTTATCGCCAGATGCCTCGCGCCCCAAAATCTGCCACGCCATCTCCATCGCGACCAAACGCTCGACCCCTTTCCTGTGTACCTACACCTGTGATATGATCGTCTCCGGATAGCCCACGACTCGCGATCATGTCGAACAGCATCAAGGTCGTGGCGCGGTTCCGCCCGCAGAACCGCACCGAGATTGAGCAGGGCGGCCTGCCAATCGTTCAGTTCGACGCGGAAGACACCTGCACTTTGGATGTACGCAGCCTGCATATAGAGATCGTCTCGGGTGAGACAGATGCTAACGGTTGCGTGTAGTCAAAAGAAGCCGCGGGATCTTTTACCTTTGACCGCGTGTTTGATATGAACTCGCGACAAAAAGATGTCTTTGACTTCTCCATCCGATCCACGGTCGACGACATCCTCAACGGCTACAATGGAACGGTTTTCGCGTATGGTCAGACGGGTGCGGGAAAGTCTTATACCATGATGGGCACGGATATAGATAACGATGAAGGCCGAGGTGTCATTCCTAGAATCGTGGAGCAGATATTTGCTAGTATTTTGACGAGTCCCGGCACGATGGAGTACACGGTACGCGTCAGTTATATGGAGATTTATATGGAACGAATTCGGGATTTACTGGCTCCCCAAAACGACAATTTGCCGGTGCACGAGGAGAAGAATAGGGGTGTATATGTGAAGGGCTTGCTTGAGATATATGTCTCGAGTGTACAGGAGGTGTATGAGGTGATGCGGAGGGGTGGGTCTTCGCGGGCCGTTGCGTCTACCAACATGAACCAAGAATCCTCACGGTCTCACTCCATATTCGTCATTACGGTCACGCAAAAGAACGTCGAGACAGGCTCGGCGAAGAGCGGGCGACTTTTCTTGGTTGATTTGGCTGGTAGTGAGAAGGTCGGCAAGACTGGTGCTAGCGGACAGACTCTTGAGGAAGCCAAGAAGATCAACAAGAGTTTGAGTGCCCTGGGTAATGTCATCAACAATCTTACCGATGGCAAATCCCAACATATCCCGTATCGAGACTCGAAACTTACTCGGATTCTGCAGGAAAGTTTGGGTGGTAACAGTCGGACAACGCTGATCGTCAACTGCTCGCCGAGTAGTTACAATGATGCTGAGACCCTGGGTACGCTGAGGTTTGGTATGAGAGCAAAGGCGATCAAGAACAAGGCCAAGGTCAATGCCGAGATCAGTCCTGCGGAACTTAAATCAATGCTTAGGAAGGCACAAACGCAAACCGCAACCTTTGAGCAATACATCCAAGCTTTGGACGTCGAAATCCAACTATGGCGGTCTGGAGAGTCGGTGCCGATGGAAAACTGGACTCCTGCCCTGGCTGGGACAACTGGAACTAAACTTGAATCTCGACCTCAGCGACCCTCTACACCATCAAGACTTACCACGGAGAGCCGAGCCGAGACCCCGGTTGCTTCGGAACGGTCAGCTACGCCATCATTACCTTTGGACAAGGATGAGCGAGAAGAGTTCCTCCGAAGGGAAAATGAACTTCAAGATCAGATCGCCGAAAAGGAAACTCAGATCGCAACCCTGGATAAATCGATCAAAGAAATGAAGGAGGAGTCGTCATACTTGAAGGAGCATGATAGCAAGACCAACAAGGATAACGAGAAGCTCACTGGCGAAGTTAACGAATTCAAAATGCAGCTGGAGAGATTAACATTTGAGAGCAAGGAGGCCCAAATCACGATGGATGGTTTGAAGGAAGCCAATTCGGAGCTCACAGCCGAACTCGACGAAATCAAGCAGCAATTACTCGATGTCAAGATGAGTGCAAAGGAGACTAGTGCCGTCTTAGATGAGAAAGAGAAGAAGAAGGCCGAGAAAATGGCCAAGATGATGGCCGGATTTGACCTGGGTGGCGATGTGTTCAGCGATAACGAGCGGTCCATCAAGGAGGCCATTGATCAAGTAGATGCGCTGCATGAGCAGAGTGCGGCTGGGGAAGCCATTGCCCCAGACGAGCTGCAAGATATCAAAGCAATATTAGTTGAGACCCAAGGGATTGTTCGACAAGCTGAGCTATCCCTATATGGATCGTCCAACGATGCCAGCGCCAAGCGCCGCGACCAGCTTGAAGATCGCCTCGTCGCAGTCGATCGGGAATATGAACTTCTAGAAAGAAACCTCAGCGAAGCCGATGTTTCTGAAGTTAAGGAGCGTCTCGCAGAAGCTTTATCAAACAGACAAGACGTGCAAATTGAACTGGTCGAAGATCTCAAGGCAGATTTAGCACAAAAGTCGGCTGAGATCCAGAAATTCAAGGCCGTAAACGAGGATCTTCAGCGGAAGGTCAAGAGTGGTGTTGTCGCCAATGGCTCCTCTGGAATGGCCAATGGCAAGACCGTGCAACAACAAATCGCCGAATTCGATGTTATGAAAAAGAGCCTCATGCGTGATCTTCAAAACAGGTGCGAGAGAGTGGTTGAGTTGGAGATCTCCTTGGACGAGACGAGAGAGCAATACAACAATGTCCTGCGCTCGTCGAACAACCGTGCCCAGCAGAAGAAGATGGCCTTTTTAGAGCGAAATCTCGAACAGCTTACCCACGTGCAACGGCAACTTGTTGAACAAAATGGAAGTCTGAAAAAGGAGGTCGCGATTGCAGAGCGCAAGCTTATCGCGAGGAATGAGCGGATACAGTCGCTCGAGTCTTTGCTACAAGACTCGCAGGAGAAACTAACCGCCGCGAATCACAGGTTTGTTTTATCCAAACCTATTTTATTTCGCATGCAGTACTGACATGTATGGCAATAGATTTGAAGCACAACTCCAGGCCGTCAAAGAACGCCTGGAAGCTGCTAAGAGTGGTAGCACACGCGGCCTCGGCTCCCCTAGTGGACAAGGTTTCTCTTTTGTAGGTGCAGGCAGTAGAATCGCGAAGCCCCTCCGAGGAGGCGGCGGAGCTGGCGAAAGTGCGAGTATCCCAGTTATAAATGGTCTTCAAAGTGAAGCTAGCAGCGCTACGAGCAACAAAAGGAGCTCGTGGTTCTTCTCTGGAGGGCAGAAGTAGGGAAAAGGTATTGGCAGAAGGGCGAATATGAGAAGACACCAAGGAGAATAGAACGCGATGAGCCATGTCATATGAGTATACCCACGGTTTTTTCTTTGGTTGTTGGGTTGGTCGAGCGCACTTACTTGGAGCAAGATGCATAGACGGAGGGCGATTGGTTGGTGGCATAGTATTTTATAGTTACTTGCCAGCTCGGAGCTGTGTGACTGGAACTGGTCGGTTGGGTACTCATAGTTTATATAGGTAGGCGGCGTTGATTTAATACATGCCCACAGTCCTCACTCTTCTCTCTGGTTCAAGGCTCGAAATGTTAGCATATTATGGTGTTGTTGTGTTGTGTTATTAATTCGAAGCACTTAATTTATATCCCTGACACCGGGTCGCTCTCACATGCAATTGTTAACCGCGGCGGGCAGTGACATCATCACAACAAGCTTAAATAAACTCGCGGAGGTCCCTTCAACCACGAAATTCCTCCCATAGATCAATTAACCCAGGGATTTACTTCTTCTAACGAACAAAATGGATCACCCAAGTCAGTATAAATATCTTCGCAACTCAAAACGAATCACTAATCAATCTGGTACGTAGAAAAACAGATTTCAAGTGTCATCCACAGCCTATGCGACGGATCACCAAGCGAGCAGAAAGCCGCCCTCGACACGTATTTCCTCCCTGATGCATCATTTACCCATCCATTGTGCCGCGTACCGAGTTTCTCGAACCTGTCACTCCCATTAATTGGGGAAATTAATTCGAGATGGGTGATCTGGATGGTTTACCGGTGGTATAAGATCCTGTCTCCGCGGATTGTGCTGCACGTGGAATGTAACGGTACGCATTATCCCCCTCCCCGAATAACAAAATCAAGCTAATTAATTACCTTATTTAGAATACAATCGAGAATCCTCCATCCTCTTCGTTGAAATCCGGCAAATCTTTACGTTCTTCTTCTTCCCCTGGTACCAAGCGGATGCGCATCTCACCACCAAACTAAAGCTCGAGCATGTCGCCCAGGACAATAAGTATTATATCAAGTCCCAGGAGGACATGTACCAGTCTAACGAGGTGGTGAAATTCTTTTGGCCGGGTGGTTCTACGATTATTTGGCTGGGTCAGCTGTTTGCTACGGCTATGTGTATTTTGGGGGCGTTGCTATTGGCGCCTTTGACGTGGATGATGGAATCAAGATATGAAAGCAAGAAGAAGGTTAATGGGGTGAACAAGAGCTGGTAAGTTGAATGGGGAATACATTTAGGACTTGAAATGAGGTTGGAAAAGGTTGGGAAATGTTACGAGGGGCTTAATAATGAAATCTGTATGTCTTGACGCTTGGTGCTATTTCGAAGGAATTGCTGGCGATACGATATTCATAAGCTATCGGAATTGTGGTGAAAGGAATAGTCAGAGCAAAGTTTCATACTTACATCTATTCAACAGATCATTATCTATTATGGGCAAGGCTCAACACCGCTCGTCCTCTGACTCACTCTTCTCAGAATATCCCCTTTCAACATATCCACCGCCTCGTTTACCGCGTGAATCACATGGATGTCGCGTCTTGTTTGGGTTATATATACGGCTGGAACTTACCGCCTTTTCCTCTATATATTCTCTGTCCACAACTCTCTTTCTCTCTCTTTCAGGTCAGACCAAAACAATCACCTCCAGGCTGCCTCCTCATCAACATCCACAACCACACCCACATCCACATCCGCATTCACAACTACAACTACATCTACAACTACAATCACCTCTACAATTACCTCAATAAGACGCAAATATTCCATCTCGCAACATGTCAGCTCCAAGCAGCGACCAAGAACATCCACCACCACCTCCACCTGACGAGAGCTCATCAACCATGAACTCTCCAGACCGCAATCCTTTGCTGGACCTAGAGTTCACGTTCTCTGAACCCCTAGTCTGGAGACCTTTTCCGAGGCTAGAGCTCAGGCTCTTGCGCCCGCCACAACCGTTAGGAGGCTGGTCACTAATGGAGCTCTACAAGCACTCTAGAGAACTCGCTGGGTTCGTCGAGTCGGCGAGCGAGGTCGTGAAGACTGCAGAGGCTGAAAAGAGAGCTGAAGATGGAGACAAAGGCCTGGGTGATCTGTTGTCGGTTCAAGACAGAAAGCATATTGAGTATATCCGAAGACGCCACGAACGTGTTAAAAGACGCTACAACCGTGGGAAAAAGAACGCGAGAAAAGACGGAACGAGCTTGATAAAAAGGATTGCATCGCAACGAACGTTAGAAAAAAAAGGAACGACCGTGAGAAAAGACGCAACGATCTGGAAAAGAGGAATTCTAGAGGAATACTGAATAGGTTGCTCACTAGCGAAGAAACAAGAGACAACTTGATAGAGAAGTTTAGAAAACTGAAGGAGAGGTGATTGAAAGTGAGGCCCCCTTTCCCAGCCAGGGGTCCCAAATCTGTTTTCACTGTACGCTCATTCCCAGACAGTTATCCTGTCTGCCTGTCTTCATACGTGGGACCTCTTTCTGCCTTCAGGTTGTTTTACGCCGTCCTCTGCGTTTTGCCTAGGGCTACGTATTCTATAAATGACCGGTTCCCTCTTGTCTTCACCTCTCTTCTCACCCATCTTCTTACCCATCTTCTTACGGTCTTATCTATCTTCTCACATATCTTTTCACACACCTTCTCACACATCTCCTCACACATCTCCTCACACATCTCCTCACATATCTCCTCACTCATATTCCCTCCCCCTGCTCTCCTCTCTCCAATCCCTCTCCCATTTCTCCAGGAAGTCCTTCTGAAAGGAATGCCAAGGACAGGCCCCCACTGTATCAATCCTCAAAGATTTTGCCTTCGTACTTCTTAGCTTGCTAAAAGAAGAAGGCTACTAAAAAAGAAAAGAACCCAGAAACCTTTTCAGGCCAGAAACAAAGAGACCTAGTCCAGATTCGGTTAAAGTTTTGATTTACACCTGTCAACGCTTCGCTCGTGCTCTTCTAGTGTTTTTCGTCCGAATTCATTTCACATCACGTGATATCTGCAAATTACGTTTCACACAAAACCTAGACATTTTAAATCTTATAGAAGAGTCTAGAGTCTTTTATGCCGTAGGTTAAGTTCGAAGGGCTTTTTGCGAGCGGTAGGCTAGCTCTCTAATTTGAGTTCATGTCTTCGGGTATACTAGTACTATTATACGAGTAGCTATCAATATTTTAAATCCCTGCATTCGCTTACTTCTGCTCTTTGATGAGGAGCTCCTTCACTTCAGCTGGTTCGAGTATCGTTTATACTCAACCCGAAACCTTTTTCCTGTTCCTAGGGCCCGCTAGCAACCAAGTAGACTCAACTCTGGCAGTTTCCATGGCCTCAAAACCCAAATCAGTGCTTTTTCTAAGTACTTCAGAGCACGGCCAAGCAAATGTATCTCTAGCAAGCGCTCAGGCGCTGCTACAATTCGACTTCGAAGTCAAGGTGCACTATGCCTCCTTCAAGTCGCTACAACCGGCTGTAGAAGCTGTATGCGCTTTCGCCAAGGAGATGTCACCTCATTCTGGCCACCATATAGAGTTCCACGAGATAGTAGGAAAGCCATTATTTGACGCTCTGCATATCAGGCTCGCCAAGGAGGGATACTCATCTCCGTTCGATGTGCCGCCAGCTCGATCCGAGTCTGCCCGTATCGTGCACAGCCTCGTGGCTGGAATGTTACCATGGAACGGACCCGAATACGTCCAGATATTCGAGTCACTTCGGGAGGTCATTGAACGAGTCAAGCCTGATATCACGGTTATTGATAGCAACTTCGGCCCCGCATTGGCAGCGTGTTGCCATGTCAGAGCGAACTACATCGTGCTGACGCCGCAGACACTGGTCGAAACGCTTGCTGGGCAACAAACTCGTGCAGAGGCATTATGGAAGTTCCCATTGTATGTGTAACTTCCAATATCCCAAGTCACGGATGCCGATTTAACGAACTGCCTACAGCAGCGGGTCAGGCCATAATTATCCTGTCCCATGGCACCTGATACCAAAGAACATTCTCTATTTTATATGGCTTATCGTTGCAGTGATATTTGACAGTCACGCTCGCTCTGTAAGGAGATACGTTAAGGCTACCTTAGACGTGGAAGCATATAGCCTTATGGATATCTTCCGCCCGCGATGGAAAGACATGCGCATGCTTGTGAACTCTCGCCCTGAGACTGATTTACCACTTGATGTAAGTCCGCATCTACACTTGCATCGTCTCACTTTCTGCGGACCGATCGTTATGGACGTTCTATCTGTGCGGCACCAAGATCCCGAGCTCGATATGTGGCTGTCGCGTGGTCCGACTGTCCTTATTTGCATGGGTACACACTTTGAATTCACTGAGGAGCTCGCATTTGAGATGGCCTTAGCAATGCGTGTGATCTTAGATCAAGGAGAAAACAAAGGGTCTGATCCGAAATATCAAGTATTGTGGAAGATGAAAATACCCAAAGGTGACAAAGCCTTTGGTATTGACGAAGGCTCGAGGATCTATTCTGTGCTCAAAGCCGAGATCTCTCAGGACAGAGTGAGAATCTCAGAATGGCTAAATGCCTCGCCACAAGCAATACTAAAAACAGGTCATGCCATTTGTTCTGTTCATCACGGAGGAGCCTCGTCTTATAACGAGGCGCTTTGTGCAGGGGTCCCTCAAGTCGTCCTCCCGCAATGGCTAGACACGTACGATTTTTCTTATAAGGCAGAGTATCACCGAATCGGCGTGTGGGGGAGTAAGCATTCTGCACCGAAATGGACAGCAATGGAGTTGGGGGCGGCGCTCTCGAACGCAATTGTGGGCGATCCTGGAGTTGCTATGAAACGAGCTGCACAGGAGTTGGCTGATATATGCAATACAGGAGACAGTGGGCGAGTGGTAGCTGCTAAAAGTATCCTAGCTGCTATTAAGGCACCGCTCGAGCTTAAATAAGCGGTGCAGGAGCTGGAAAGCGAGTAAGAGCTCTATTCAATTTAAATTGTTATATTGCGTATGTCAATTCGAGAGTCTGTCAATTACTAGATAGATGTTCTTCCCCATCCCTCTACTACGCGATCTTCACGCTGGCAACCAAGGGACTTTAAGAAGTAAGATTTAAATGAACGCAGGTACAGTAGAATTCGAAATCGGTTTCATAGCCGGACTCTCAAAAGACTTTTGCCTTCATACTCTTAACTCGTTAAGAGAAGAAGGGGCTAAAAAATCCTTTACCGGAAATCCTAGTAGACCGATCCACATCATGATATGAAAGTGGGCGAGTTGAGCACTACTGCAACAATCTCTGTCGCGGCATCTTCCCATGTCGTTTGACCCACCTTATGTTAAGCAACAGCAGGAGCTGAGCATCACCACAGCTGTTGTTGCGAAAGCGTTTATTATACAGCTTGGCTCACAAGAAATGAAAATATATAGTAGAGGTATCACGTGATACTTGCAAGAATACTATCCCCTATTTATACTTGATTCCCCTAAATTAACGAAAATAGTAAATATTATCTCGTCGCTAGTAAGCTAGACCGGCTTATAAGCCTTAGATCTATTTCTCTAAGCTTTCTCCTTCTTCTCCTTGATATGAATAAAATAATAATAATAAAATAAAGCATAATGATTAACTTTTCTTTTTCTAACCACTTCACACCTGCCCATGCCATGGCCTCTCAATCAGTTCAGCTTGCCACCGGGATGCATATGCCCCGTGTTGCTTGCATGGCTCTCTTGTTGAATCTGGCTATGACAACTCCTTTGGCTCAGTTTCACAGCTGCATGAATCCCATGACAGGCAACACATCGTTCTACTCCTCGAGGTTTTAGATCCTGTGCTTCATCTCTACGAACGTGTTAGCGTCGTTCTATGCCCCCTTTCAGACGCCGGCTTCATGGCAACAGAAGTTACATCTGTTGAGATTATTTGATGAATGGTTTAAGCTGATGTAGTTACAAGAAGGTTCGATGTACCTGGGTAGTATTTTCGTCTCTTATCAGTCGTAGAGATCAAGATGAGTCCATAATTGATAGCGCAAAATAGTCTTACTGTCCGTACACTCAAATTGCATTAGTTAATAGTTTACTCCCTTTCTAATAATCTGATTTATTAATACGGAATGAAATTGGGTTTCGGGTATGATATGCTTCTAAAGTAACTAAACTTGCACTCACATCTCGGTTTTCGCACGCATCTTTTTGCTATAATTAAGCATGGTTAGATCATTTTATCCCCGCAAGATGAATTCCAAGACGGGAGAGAAGATAGAGAGGAAAGTTGAGAAGGCGAGAAGAGCCAGCCATTCTCCCTATCCTATAAGTTTATTTACAGCCTACTCGAGTGTCGATAAACCAATTCTAACATCCGTAGCCCGCTAGGTCTGCGGACTCTCACCTTTGCCCCTCCCCTCCCACTCTACTACCGCTAGCTATAGCATTTTGGTAAGCTACACAGCTATAACTTGTAGGGCCTATTTACTAACCATAACAGACTCGCTACCTGTACTGCAATAGTCACCATCGCTAGCCTCCTCGCCGGTCTGCAACATCGTCCTGCACGCTACCCGTCCTATCAACCTAGAGTACTACAGCAAGAATGCCTGCCCTTACGACGGTTACGTTGTGGTTTCTGACCTGCTGTCTAATACATGTATAGCCTGCCATTATGGCAGTGAAGGTGGCCCGATATTTCCTCCATACGGATCTGACTCCATGGATGCTTTACGTACCATAACTTACTGGTATTGGCTAATCTCCACCCAGCGACAACCGATATACAAATGGCACATATAGTAGGGGAACGTTTGATACTTGGCAAGGCAATAGAACTTGACAGACATTTATGATTTGGCAAAAGCCGATGCAACTTGACACTAGTCTACTACTTAACAGCCAAATTATAGAGGGATAGCTGTACTTAATAGGAAGTATTAAGCAATGCTAAGAAGCTTGGGGCAACGGGATTCCCTATCATGCTTTAGTGGTCGTCAATTATATCACTAGTTCGAGATTATAGTTCTTCGCACGATCCTTGAGCTGGGTCTTCCGATGAAAGACGACTGTTTGGCAGACTTCTTCAGCGAACTTCTTAGGCAACGCAGGATTTTCGGATATGCCTGTCTGTGAATACCTCGTGAGCATTGTGCATACCCGGGTCATAGGGGCTGCTCAACTGTCAACTGAAGATTGACTTTGAGAAATTGGCGTAGTTGTAATATATCATCTACTTACTTTCCAACATCTCCCTAGACATACAGTACGAATCTAATGGATAGCAATGCGAGGAATCGGAGGTGGGGTCATCGTACGCACATTGAATTATAGACTCCCTGAACCTGAGTACAAGTCAAACTATAGAACACTAATCAAAAAACAAAACCTAGCAGTAGCATATTAATTTCCATCTGTTTCCCTTAGACGATCTCGACCTGAACAACATCCACATTTGCCACGACGCCATTAAACGAACATCCCGTATCACAATCCCCAGTCTGATCAATTCCGCCGCTTTGGAGAGAGATCAAGCTCGTCCCATTCTTCCAAAGCGTATCATTCCCCTTCAAAATAACTTGCAAACCCTCCGCCTCATCGGGATTCTGAAATTTCAAATCTGGTGTAGAATCTCCTCGGATAGAACTCGCCATTATTAAAGGGAATGAATGCTCCACGCTAAGCACGAAGTCGGTCAATTGATTTCCACCGTATGCAAGGCTCTTCTTGAATTGGAAAGCCGGTGCTGCGCATGAGGCCCATGTGCCTTCTGTTGATGGATCAGTACCATCGCAGTCCCATGATGTGGTGCATTGAGTACGCCATTGTCGATCTGCTGCGTGGCCGAGAGTCAGGGGACCAAGAGTTGCCACGGAAGGGTTGAGGATGTAGAATGTGTAGGCTGATATGCAGGCCCCCTGGACGCCAGTGGAACCGGAGGAGCGGATAAGGGTATAGTATATTTTTAAGGGAGCAGGTATGAATTGTGAGATGCTTGGTTTGAGATCGATGGCTGTGGAGGAGGAGAGTAGAAGGCATTCTAAGCCGTAGTCTGCGGTACTTTCGCAGTGGAAGTTAGGATACGCATAGGTATCGGCTGAGTTGAGGGAGAGTGGAGTCCTTGTGATGGTTATTGATGGTGGCGTTGAGCTGGGGATGTCAGTGAGTGATAAGCAATTACAAGATATCGGCTCTTATGAAAAACAGCTTATATTCGGGCCTGAATAAGGGGGAAACTTCGATTGACTTGCCTGTTATCTACATCAACCTGGACAATGTCCAGCGAAAAGCTCCCGGCATCGGTATAATTCACTACCCGCCACCTAAGCATCTCATTGTGGCACTTATTCCACGCTCTTGGATACCCAGTGGGCGTCCAGGTGACCGTTGAACAGCTTGTTGTGTAATCATCCTGCTTGATATTGAATTCGAGGGAGCTGGTAGAGTTGGCGTTTTTCCGCGAGGCGAGGGAGATCAATTCCCATTGTGCAGGGGATGTTGTGGCCGAGGTATACAGGATGAAGCGAGCCAGGTGGATCAGGATGGGAAAGAAGGAAACCAGAGACTTTTTGTGATACATGTTTTATATATATTTCCAGTTTTGGGATTGATAGTGTTCGGCCTTGCTGCGCACTAAACAATTGTAGATAGTAAAAATTTGATGTATAATTCGAGAACTGCAATTTCCAATGCGGAATATCAAAACCGAGGGAATCCTTCAGAGGAATGGGCGGATTTATTCGAACCATAGCTGCAAAACTGTTGACCTTTTCCCCGCGCCATTTAATAAGAAAACCATGATTCTATGGGATTCCTTGATAGTGCAGGAAAATAGATATCGTGAACTTGGGCCACTCGGGTCCGTAACGGACTTCCTAATGGATTTCTGCATCAACATCAATCTTGTATCACATCGCAAATTAAAAAGAAGGGTAGCAGATAAATACAGGGGAAAGGATCCTGATAAATGATATTCGGCGAATCCCCAATAACAATAAGGATTAATTCGGTGGAAGCGTTAATGTATTCTGTAGAACCTCCGAAGCTAGTTTCCACAGAAAACATGTTCCCCACGATGACCTATGCAATAGGCCTTTTCCCGGAGTAGTAGGTCATGCTCTCATGTTGGGTCCCCGAAACGTGCGCTATGCAAGGAACAGGCCGGGTAATTGGGATGGAAATGAAGTGTAACAATGAAATCAAAACGGGCCAACCCGGTGTAGAGTTGAAAGCGGACTGAAAGTTGAAGTTGAAGATCCTTGTCCCTCCACAGATTATAGTAGATCTCTAAATTGCTGAGTCACTGCAGCAACGCTCATCATCAATCAACCCCTGAAATCAATCGCCGCCCACTTGTAAACGGCGACTACTCCGCACATAACACAACATTTTTCATCTTATAAGTCAATACTTTGTATTCAACCCTTCAACCTGCAAGATGCCAGCACAAGCCCTATTGAAGCGCAACCCCGCACTTACAAAAGAGCAATTCTCAGAGTACTGGTATAATAATCACGCTCTATGTGTTGTGCCAATGTTTCTTCACTGCGGGGTCCAATCCTATGCTCAGGTCTGCATCGGCTTCCCTTTCCCGGCTTTCTCTTGTATCCCCTTCGCTTTTATTATACTTACATGCCCCCTAGGTCCATGGGCCGCTGCATACCAACGATCCAGAGCTCAGTACCACACTCTCAGAATGGGACGGCGCCGCTGAGACCGAGTTGACTCCTCTCCTTCTTGCAGCGCTGACCGACCCATCCTCTGTTCCGAAATGGATAGTGGAGTACCACCACCATGTTATGCTTCAAGATGAGAGACAGTTCCTTACCAGCGAGGCAATGCAGCATTTGAAGCAAGTCGGGGAGGGCACTGTGACGGGGGTGAGGAAGGTTATCATCGAAAATGGGAAGTGTGTTGTTGAGATTCCCGAAAGTGTGTGGAGTGTTTGGAGGGAGTATGAGAAGAAGGGGAATGCAGAACATAAATTTTAGTATTTTGAGACTGGTGATATTTTCAGCCAAATGTGCTAGCACTAAAGCATATGAGCCTTGGAGATAAGTTACAAGTTTGGGAGAAATGAATGAAGAGAGGTCCGCTGTTGAGTTTGCACTATCCCCCCCCCCATAATCACATGAGTTTATTACATTTGCTTTTGTGCCCTAAAGATTTGGAACCAAAGAAAGATCTGCTGAAAATCGGTTAAGGACTTGCGTAAACTTCTAGATTATTAGAAGACATCAATTTGAGTTTCCGGTTGATATATTAGCGGGAAGTCGTTGGGAACGAGTGCTGAGGGTTTATTCTTTTCTGACCCTATATATCGTATTCACTTGAGAACCAGAAGTTTTAGAGTAAACGAACTCGAATATATGTGACAATGCAGCCTATAGGGATATGATTTGGCCGTGAAGTTTCAAGGCATTTAAGCGGTGGTTAGGCATCTCAGTTTGTTATCAGCAAACTATTAATGAAGCGATGAGATGATTTAGGGTAAATAACGGCACTACTATTTGACACGGAGCAACTTAGGATCTTGCACGGTCACCTTAGCATCAAAATCCTCGACAATCAACTTGAACTTGACATCCTCTGTGACGGCACTAGGCTCTGGCCACTTAACAGACCCTTCAGCAATGACAATTTCTGCAATTTGGATATGCTGTCCCTGGTATAATCCAGGTCTTATACCTACAGAAGCAAACATCTTTTCCCCGAGCTTCTTAGAAACATAATCAGCAGAGTTTATTCTGAATAACACGTTTAGGATTTCCTCAACCCCGTGGCCTTTTAATGGCAGATCCTCAATGTGCGCTCTTGGGGCGGTTGTTGATGGTGCGAGGAATACCATGAACTCCGTTTGAAGGATCGAATTCGAGAAGGCGATGGCGGTTCTAGACGTTTCATTTAACATGATTTGGTGGCCATCATGATTCTGGTCGGATGCTGAATGAGGCAATATGATATCCCGGTCTTGTCGAACTAATGAAGGAAACACTGAATCATCACTAATCCAGCATTGAGTAGCCTTAAACCCCCGGGATACCATGGAACCAAATCTAACCAACATGTTGGAAGGGAAGCTGACGCCGGGCCCAAGCGGGTCTCGTTGTTGGATGTATAAAGTTTTCTTTTTGAATTTCTCTCTCCAATCTTGAGTATCGAGTGAGATGGTGAAATTCCTATACCTGAAAGCGGACTGAGCGTCCCTATCAGCGTATATATAAATTGCCAAGTTGCCCGGTCTGTTGATACGTCTGCAATTGAGTAGCGAGATGAATGTGAGGTCGAATACATCATCCAACGGCTTAACAATGTGCTCCATGCGTAACCCCTTGCTGGTTATCGAGTAAGGGGGCCTTTCGTCGGAGAGGAATCCGGGAATTTGCCCAACCACAACGTCTCCACAGTTTTCAAACGCAGATGGTGAAGTAGCAAGCAGTCCTAAGGAGCAATCTCCGTTTGTCCATGCAAAGATTGACTCGTCATCTGAGATATTAATAATCTCTCGCTGAAGCCTGATGAAAGCCTTGTTTCCCTCGCCGTAAATAATTGGCATATGAATACCAAAAAGGCCCATTAAGCAATATGCAAGGTCCTCAGGTCTAGAAGTTTGCCTTTTAGCGGCCCAAGACATCTTTTGTGCCACAGATGCTGATTTGAAGCCCGCAAAGTCTTGAATGCCGGTAATCATGGATAGCAACTTCTGCATGCTATTTCTCGACCCGAGATCAGTCCATCCTTCATCAAAAAATATCACTGCTGCAGGGGCAAGAAGCTCCTGCAATGTCCAGCCTCTACCAAACCACTTGCTATTGGAGAAGGCCCAATACAGGTTATCCAGATCTAAATCGGCGGATGGCACATCACTTAGGTACACGTAACACACCTTTGCGTCCGAATAATATTTGAACATCGAGTTGATGGCTTCGGAAAGCTCAGAGCTGCTCGTCTTGTCGATGCAACAAGAATCAACCCACACCCACTCCCATCCATCCCGTACTGCTTGTGTACAACATCCTGTTATTTTGGAGTAGCCGGCCATTTTAGGTCCGCGGCCCTCGCTCAGATCTTGGAAGCTAACTTCTTCATGCTCCCACCGATGTGATAGGATCGCATATGAGGGGACAGAGTCGGCAGAGAAGTCCTGAACTCTAAAACTGGTGGTGTTGAGTAACCTCATTGTTCTTGTTGAAAGCCGTGGTGGGTTGTGAATCGCACGTGTTTTGTTAATAACATGGCAAAGCAAGATGAGAGCATCAGCAAAATACCCACATCCTTTCCAAGTGGGAGTCAGAACCCATCAATTTTATAGGCTTCAAGTAGACCGGCCTTCTTACGACGTATGCCTTTGTCTTCGCCCGGCCAACCATGGAGAGGTGTTTACAGCCACCACCATCAGCCACCACCATCAGCCACCACCATCAGCCACCCCCACTTCTTCAGATTCTTAAATTTGGACTCGGCAGTACTCGTAGAGTTGTACCAGGGTAACATAAACACAGCACGAGGGTCTGCTTCTAACTAGCAATAAATAGTTGTGTTTCAACCTCCCACCCTCTACTACGCCATCCAAGGATACGAGTACCTCGCGGACAAAAGCCTGGGAGGAAAAGCTTCAAGTAATATATATTTTCCGGATTATGACCTGACCTGGCCTTCCAAGCTGAACCCCTCCGAAAAGCCTGGAATAATAATTTTTCGGATATGGCCTGACCTACTTCCTAGGGTAAGATCTTGCCAGCCAAACCCCTGTATATAGTATCTCGGATGAGAATTGGCACAATAAATTGGCAAGAGGGCCAGAAACAACAAGCACTTGAGGAATGACAAGAGGATAATAAATAGAAGGACTTTGAGCATGTTGCCGTGCTTGTAGGTTTGAGCATAGTTAAGTATATAGAGGGTTACTCCCTAATATATATACAGGTAAGGTAGGGCCGAGATTCGCCCAACAGGATGCGTCCACTCCTAATATCCAGTGTCCACCTAGGACGCGGTCCAGTATCTTTGTCTCGCCGCATATTCTCGGCCACAGAGTCCAAGAGCTGGCAAATGCATGTGTTCGTGACTGGCTTAGGCTTTGCCTGCTGTCGTAATGAGACCGATTCAGCTCGCCACGCGAATCTGTAGGTGGTTTATAGACTTCTGGAGAACGATGCTTTTCAACGCGTTCTGTCGTGGGGTTTAGTCGGCGATGAACGTGGCCATCAGGAAACGCAGGATACATGACTAAGTCAAAATGCGATGACCCTACAGCGATAGAAGCTCAGATTGGGGAAATATTTGTGCCAGCAAGGCCTCTTCGAGGGAGCTGGATTGTAGTTGCGGAGGCGCATAAGCGCAAAGTTGATTGCTCAGATCCCGTAATCCGAGTAACTTGGAAGTTGTAATCGATGAATCGTTATGTAGAGGCAAGGGTAGTCATGGCCTTTCTCGGTGCCCGAAGAAGCTGATTGCAAGAGGTTGAGTTTGCAAACCGCCCTCGAATGATTGAATAATCCCATAGGAATAAAGGTTTGCAACCACTTTATAGTGGTGACCCCCGGCTCCCATATTTCCACTGGGTGGCTGATGTAGTGGGCCAATACACGATATGGAAGCGAAAGGATGCATGCTACTCAGAGATGCCAAATTTCTGCTGTTGTTCTTGGTCCCAGAGGACTCGAAGACGCTTCGATTCATGCTGCGGCTGAACCGTGATAACAAGTACAAGTGACATCCACAATACGGATAACCATTTTGCCCTCTAACCCATGTCGGGCGGCGCCTTCCTCAACGCCAAAGTGTCCCGACGTAACTCTGGCAGAATGAGACCCGGACGGCATCCTCAATTCTAGTCTTCGAATTGGAGATGATCGAAGACATCTAACAGGCCGCTCGACCTGCAACGACGTTTCACTTATCCTTATCCTTTTGCCCCTTCCAAATTGGCTCACCGTCTGATTCGTCGAAGGAAGCCCATTCGAAAAAACCACACCCCTCCTTCCCTGGGATATAACCGGCATGGCACGTCCAGTAGTACTTCCCGCAGTTTTCTACTCTGCGGTTCACTACTCTGAGCACGGTAGGAATCTCGCATTTACACTTCGGCGTGAGCTTAGGGTGCAAAGAAGGTTTATATTGACGGTATGTGATGTTGATCCGTCTGTTTCCAGATACTGGATGGGGATCAATAGCTTGAGCTGGAGCGATACTGTGCTTCCACTCCTCTTGCATCTCAGCATGCATCACCAAGAGGGAGTTGTGCGGTAGATGGATCGCTATCTGGCCTTCCGCATCTGAATCCGATGCTTGTTTCTGTTTTCCTTTCCTCTCCGAAGTCTCTGACTTCTCTGAATTTGAGTTTGAAGACTCATTTTGGGATACAGGTACAATGCGCCGAACGCGGAATTCTCGAGCAACCCCCAACGAGATGGATCCGATGACTGGTCGAGGTCCAAGATACGTTAGATGATCGCTGTGGTAGCCAACACTCTCAGCAGCGCCACTGTAGCAGTTCGCAAAAGCTGCATTCGGCTTCCACCGATGGGGAGATTGGTACTTGAGCTTCTGGCCATTGGGGTAATGGTTCTTGATCCGAGCAGCGATCTCCATGTTCACCGCTTCCTCGACCTTGGGCGCCACTTTCCGCATTTCTGGCGTAAGTTGACGGACATCCTGAAAATGCCCAGATTAGCTAACATTCCAACCCAGAAGTATATATCATTCCATAACCGGACTTACTGTCAGAGGCGCGCCATTGTAGACGTACTCTTGATGGCGATGCATCTCCTCCATCCCGTCGACATAGAAGCAATTGGTATGAGGACTCTGGACCACATTCTCAAACAACTTGAACGTCGCCCTCTCAAACGTTTTGGCTTCATCGAGAAGCTCTTCTAATAGACCCGTGGCTTGCTCCGGATCAAGAAAATTGTGGATGATCGAACACGGGGTATGCTGAGCCACATCCTCTGGGGAGAATAGATGCAAAGTCTTGCCTTTCTTGGATAATAACTTCTTTGTAGGTGTATTGGAGGCATTCTTCGAAGCAACAAAGCTAGAAAGGGAGCTTTGGTATCCCGTGGCAGCAGACACTTTTCTCCGAGGCTCTTCAGGGATATGTTCGATCGTCAATGAAGCAGATGCTTCTTCCACAGAGCCATCACTAGCCAAAAGGACATCCAAGAGCACTTGCTGTTCAATATCAGGATGCAACGATGATAGCAATGCTAGCTTGAAGTCGGTAGACTCGTCGTCACCGGCACTTAGACCACTCATCTCGTTTGTTGCCGCATTGGTCTCTGGGGATAGGAGCCTTCTCTTCTTTCGACGAATGAAGTCGTCCATGCCTTGTTCATGTCAGGGGCAATTCACGCTCTTCGATTTCGATATCCAGGGACGACATTTACTTGTCATGATAGTTATTATTCACAACTACCAACAGCATCTGGTCTCAACAGCGTCGCTGGTCCCACGCCTTGTCCATTACAAGGCTGACTCATCAACTGTCAAACACCGGTACCAACCACGTGACCCACCCTGTGTGCAAACACGTGACTCACACCTCGGCCCCGGTCTCGGTGTTTGCTCAGATAATCCCCGCGGCGACTAGCATCGGTCGTTGATATTCAGAAGCTTGTGAACTTATATCTCTCTGACGCCCTCGGGTTCCAAACCAACTTCAACTTCGACCATGCAAGGTCCCTTGGTACGTGTTCCCCCAACTCCACAGGCTCTTAGCTGGCCTCTATACCTTGCTACAGCTTCTATTATCTCACAGAGGAACGAACTTGCTAATTGCGCGAGGAACAGGCTACTTTATAAGGACTTCGTACCGCGTCGCAAGCCGAGCTGAGCACCATGCTTGAGTTCAAGACCACCGGCTTCAACGGCTATGCCGTCAAGTACTCTCCATTTTTTGACAACAAAATTGCGGTTGCAGCAAGTGCGAACTTCGGTCTCGTTGGCAATGGCCGCCTTTACATCCTCCGGCTCACCCCGCATGGCATCCAAGCCGAGAAGTGGTAAGTTTATTGTGAATTTGGGTGACAAGCCATGGAGCTTACTTCTCTGCTAGGTTCGACACGCAGGACTCGGTTTATGACACTGCCTGGTCGGAGGGTCATGAGAACCAAATCGTCGCAGGCTGCGGTGATGGCTCGGTCAAGCTCTATGATATCGCCCTGAATGAATTCCCTGTTCAATCGTACGAAGAACACAACAGGGAGGTTTACGCAGTTCATTGGAACCTGGTTGCAAAGGATACTTTTGCTTCCAGCTCGTGGGACGGAACTATCAAGATTGTATGTCCCACCTACCTACCGCGGATTCCATGGAATCCTTCCTTGCGATCGTATACCCCCGCGTTGATCTCGATCTCGAACATATCTAACATGTCACCTAGTGGTCACCAATGCGTACCGCATCTATCCTGACCTTGCCTACCCACTCCTGCACCTACAGCACCGCCTTCAGCCCTCACTCTCCATCCATCATCTCCTCGGTCACCTCCGATTCCCACCTGCGCGTCTTTGATCTCCGCACTCCAGCTTCGGCTCGCAACCATCTGGTCAACCTGATCCCCATTCATGGCCAGCCTCCTTCGTCCAATAATCATGGACCATTCTCGCCACCATCCGAAGCTTTGACTCATGATTGGAACAAGTACAGAAACACAATCATTGCCACTGCAGGTGTTGATCAGATTATCCGTACCTTCGATTTGAGAAACCCACAGGGCGGTCCGGTTGCACTCTTGAGGGGACATGACTATGCTGTACGCAGAGTTGCATGGAGCCCTCATCTGAGCGATGTCCTTATAAGCGCCAGCTACGATATGACCTGCCGCGTCTGGACAGATGGCACAGCTATTGGTCAGAACGCCCACCTTGGAAACACTGCTCTTGGAGCTGGCGGACGTGAGCTGGGCCGGATGGGTCATCACACTGAGTTTGCCACTGGTGTAGACTGGTGCCTTTTCGGTTCCGAGGGCTGGTGCGCAAGCACTGCCTGGGATGAGCGTGTGTTGGTCTGGGATGTTCGCTCCTTCATGATGGGATGAAGGATGGACGACTTGTCTGAGCTGTTTCTGTCATTGTCAAACTATGGACGGCAATCGACAAGACTTTGCTCGACAACACCCTGAACAATGACCGCTGAACTATGGGATGAATCACTTGCATTACGACAGCTGGCACATAACAACCAAATTCTCTGCTCACCCTACTTGGGATAAAACTTGTGGGAACAGACGAAGATGGAACGAATTAACGAATAAATTATGGGTTTCTAAGATACCAGGCGTTGGTAGATGGAAAATGTACCTAGCATTGGCGACGTACTGGGCCTCCACGTGTACCATAGCAAAGCGTACCACTTGTACCATAGTTCCAATTAAGAGCCTCAAGAATTACTTGCCATTCCTTTGCTTTTTTTCCTAATTAGTGGCCACCATGGTGGTCGCCATTGCCATTGTGACCGGGGTGAGGATGATGGCCTTTCCCAGTATTATTCTTCAGGGCCTCTACAACGCCATAGTATGCTGGATGCTTGGTGAAGTTTGCGAAGTACAGAGTGGCTGATCCGAAGCCGGTGAAGACATCTGGAACCCAGGAGACCTATTTCAAAATAATTAGCAAAACTGACAGGTTCTAGTATCCATTTCCATCTGCTGCCACGAAAAGGAGGGAAATTCCAAGAACTCACCGGATCCCAGAAATCCCAAACGGTAATCCCAACACATCCATCAACTTGCATGCAAGCCCCCACGGAACTCTTATAATCAAGGCTCTGCTGCGCTAGGTTCGCCGCCGTCTCAGGCTCCTCCAGTCTAACATCCAACTCGGTAATGGCGACCTCCATACCCATCTTCTCATACGACCTCATCGTGCTAATCTGCTCGTCAATAGTCGGCGTGCTCCCCACAATGAAATGGCTTTGCAACCCCACACCATCAATCTTCACTCCCGCCTTCTGCAACATCCCCACGATGTTCTTCCTGACGGAAGCACTCTTGGCATTGGGTGACTCGATGTTATAATCGTTGTAGTAAAGCTTTGCATGTGGGTCGGCGGCGGCAGCTGCGCGGAAAGCTATTTCGATGTACGAGGGCCCGAGGACTTGGAGGAAGGTGTCATTGCGGTAGGTGCCGTCTTCGTTGAGGGCTTCGTTCAGGACGTCCCAGGCGTAGCATTGGCCTTTCCAGTGCTTGGCTTCCGCGGTTACATGGCGGATTAGCGCTTCGGTGAGGTTCTTTTTGGACCAGGTCAGGGAGTCGACTGGTGGTTGTTTGTTAGTATCTTGGTGGGCAGAGGTGAGGTGGGAAGAGGGGAACGTACCCCAAGGAGCAAGCTGCGAGTGCCAGACTAGGTTATGGCAGCGGAGCATTTGCTTGTTCTTCTTAGCCAACTTGGTGACTACCTCGCCATAGGTGAAGTTGAAAACACCTAGTTCGGGCTCAATGGCAAACCACTATTATTCATTGTATCATTAGCACTCATTCATTGTCATTGCTCCTCCTTGGGTATAATCCAAGCGGAGGGAGGAGCCATAAAAAGGTTTGACAACATACCTTCTGCCCATTGGACGGCACAAGCTGTCCAAACTCCTTGGTATCGCTAAGAATTTTGACATATTGCTCATTTCCCAACTCGCCATTATCGGTCGCTGTCCCGAAATACAGTTTCCCTGCTGCTTTCGCCAACTGGTTCAACTGTGCTGATGCGAGGAGAGGCAGAGCCGCAGCCGCCGCTACTGTGGAGAGAGAGAAATGCATATTGAGATATAGACTGAGAGCTACTCTGTCAACACCACTTCAAACAATGAAGAATTTCCTAGCAAGTTCTCATCCAGGGACACAACGAGTGGACGACTGAGATGAGAGAGGGTGAAGAGGAATTATATACTTTCTGTCCCAGCATCCCAAAATAACAAAATTGCCTATCCGCCAGGCCGAGAACCGTACATGTACCAGGGATATCTAGATCTCCAATCTGGACCTGCATCGATTCAATTTCTCCATCCCAAGCAGACTGACGAAACAAGGCCATCCGTCACTCCCTGTCGCTATCAAAATCCCCACAGCCTGGCCACTGATCATAGAAACCAGCACCGGGTAAACAGAAAGTCTTGTGCAACGACAATTATTACGAATCAGAAATCATAATGCGGGGTGGAACCCAACAGACTTGTTAGTTCGTCCCATATTGTGGCTTCGTGTGCCATTTCAGGAACAGTTTGACCGGCACGCTCCACCGCGGAACGTGGATTTCCATATACACGACCCCAAGTCACATCTAGTGTGCATATACATAAGGCGTCGTCGTGTCCCAAAATGCGATTAGATCAACGGAAATATCAATTGACGCCTGGCTAAATGCAGAAGGCATGGGGAGATTGCGGGAGCGGGGGAGGGAACATGGAGGAACTTTTGCGCGTCTTCCCCATCACTAAAATGAGAGATCTAGAAAGACTTGCCGCTCTTTAGAGTTTGACGAGCCGCTTCCACCGGATAAATGATAAGTGTGAATATAGCGGGGAGCCCAAGACTCTAATTAAGTTGATGTAACAGACTACAGAGCACAAGAATGTATTAAGCATTTCAAATTGCTTAGGGCTGGGGAGCCGCTTGGTCTTGGCCTTGGCTTTACCGCGGGAATGGGAGCGGGGTGGAAAGAGCGGAGATGAAATTGCTGGATATATGTATTTATATGGACCAAACATCATGACTTTGAAATAAGCCTAAATGCACAAATCTCCTCTATCCACCCCCGTCCTTGCAAGTTCGAAGTGGTTGCAACCCTAGAATAATCCATGAGTCGGATGCTGCCGAAATTCCACATGTATTGCACGTGTTGAAGAAAAAAAGTCAAAAGCGGATTTTTGTTTTCAATTCCAGAGAAACCTGGATGAGAAGAGTGTAGAGTAGAATTATCATCATGGTCGATATTCAAGACCATGATTTAGCTATCAAAAGATAGACTTTTCCAAAAGGCCCTTCAAACGCTCTGCCATCCATGATTATATGTCGCATCAATGCCAAAGCCAAGCAAGACCCCCAGAACTCCGTCTAAGCTACTCCTACATACCATCGTCCTTTTTTATACAGAAGAAATGAAAGGGAGAGACCCTCCCGAAACCAGTTTAACGTACAGCCGTAAAGATCCCAGTAGCGTTTAATACAAGCCGAAGTTGCTGCTCTTGTCGCCGTATCCACCATCGCGATCACCACCCCGTCCTCTGTCGCCGCGATCACCACCTCGTCCTCGTCCTCCATCTCTGAAGCCACCACTGCGTCCTCCACCTCCGTAACCACCACTTCGTCCTCCATCACCGAAGCCACCGCCGTGACCTCCATCTCCGAAGCCACCACTGCGTCCTCCATCTCCGAAACCACCATTACGTCCTCCGAAACCACCACTGCGCCCGCCACTTCCGAAACCACCGCTTCGCCCTCTGCCTCCAAAGCCGCCGCTCCTTCCATCGCGGTCTCCATAGCCTCCTCCTCCACGACCCCCACCTGAGCCAAAGTTATCACGGCGTCCAATATTTTTAACACCTCCAAGTCCAAGTTTGGATGCCAAGGCTGATGATATAGCAGGAGGCTCTTCCCATCCCCATCCATACTGTGTCCATCGATTCATTGCCTCAAGGCCACCCGGCAGTTTTCCAAGTTGACCGATAGCACCCATATAGGCAGCGCTCTTTGTTGCACGATCCACCATCTTTGTTGCATTTGCGACCAAACTCAAGGTATTTGCTACTGAGGCGGGTAGTTGGGCCTCTTGCGACATATCGATCGCCGCAGTTTCGAGGCTGTTGTCGATCTTAATAGGAAGACCGCGAAGCAGACGTTCAGACTGGCGTCTCTCGGCCTCGTGAATGATCAAGAACCCGTCTCCTGCCTTGTCGCCTCTGCCGGTTCTGCCAATACGATGGACGTATTGTTCACGGTTGGTAGGTAGTCCAATTTGAACGACGTGCGTGACATTGGGGAAATCCATTCCTCGAGCTGTAACGTCAGTTGAGAACAAAATGGCCGATTTAGACTTCCGGAATCGCTCAGACGTATAGGTCCGCTGGGCCTGAGTTAGTTGACCATGGATGCAAGATACTTCTGCTGGGTACAGGGGCGATCTTCCAAATCTGCCACCAGTTTCCGGAGTAAGGTTGTCAAATATTCGGTGGGCGAGTACGACATTGGCCGTCGATTGAAAGTAAACAATGGCCTTGAAAGGATTACCCTCGCCCTTGGCAGCTTTATCTACCTCACGCTTGGCCAGCTCATAGAGTGCTGGCATGAAATTCTCAACACCAGTCGCAGCGATCAGATGTTGCGGTACCTTCTCGTGGGTTGCGAGCTCGCCCTCCTTGACGGTCTGTACGAAATGGAAGTTTGGCTTTAGTGTGGCGCGAACAAGCTGCATAACCTCCTTCGGTACGGTGGCGGAGAAAAGAAGTGTCTGCCGGTCCACTGTATCCCTATTGGGTAAAATATTGGAGATTTCTTTAATTTCCTGAGAAAATCCATCATCCAAAAGTCGATCCGCCTCATCTAGAACGAGTGTCGTCAGATTTGGCGCTCGTACTCCGCTGTATTCGTCGGTCAAAAGATCATATAATCTGCCAGGTGTGGCAACGAGTAAATGGCATCCTTCTTGTCGGGTCTTCATCAGCATTTGGCGTTTGCTATTGCCTCCAACGGCGACTTGGACTCTCAAATCCGTATTGTAGGCCAGCTTATTAGCCTCTGCTGCGATCTGTTCGGCCAATTCGCGAGTTGGTGAGATGATGATGGCTCGGATATCCGAAGCTCTGGCTTTAGAATACCGCTTCCGCACTGCAAGTTCGGGGCTCTTGTTGAGAATATTTTGGATGGTTGGGACAAGGAATCCAAGAGTCTTTCCAGTGCCGGTACGTGCTTGCGCAATGCTAAATAACGTAAGAATGGGAAGAAAATGGCACCACCGTTGAAAACTTACATGTCAACGCCTCTCAAACCTTCGTTGATAGTCATCGTCTGCACATCCGTCATGGTATGATGGCCCATTCCCTTGGTGATAGCTTGAACGACATTTGGGTGCACCAAATCGTGCTCAAGGAGTTGATCGAACTTAGTGATCTCATGGGCCACCTTCTGGTTCGAAAGGTTACTCTCCTCCGTTGATATTGCCTGGGCGGCTTGGTTCCTTAAGCGCGTCGATGCGTGAAAGCATCTTGCCTCTAATGATGGCGCTGCGGCATTCTTGAATGTGAGAGAAAGAAGAGTCGGTCTTGTGGCGGGAATTCGAGCAGTTGAAGTTGCAGCGTAGAAGGCCCTTGATATGGAGGCAGGGCCCCGTCGACAGACGTTAAACATCCTAAACACCGGGTATATAATAGTTCCTTCTGGACCAAATAATTAAAAGGAAGATTCGAAAGGATGAATGCGAAGAACAATGAATGTAGATGGCGGATGGAGAGATCGCCCTTGATGGGTAAGTGGTTTTGAAGAGGACTGAGGAGAGATTTCTCTTCGCATCAACGGGAGGCGCATAAACTATTTTTTAAGACTTCCACGCTAAGGCTAAAACGAGCCGATCCAGCCGCGCTAGCACGTGATGCAGCCCCTTTAGATCACGAGATCACGGGATCACGAGAAAGGGGAAATTTACCTTAGGTAACTTCGGCGAGGAAATTTGCTGTATTAAGGAGACAATTTGGAACTTCGGCTTCAGAAATAATCCCAAAGTTTGTTGTATATTCTATCCACAACATAAATAACATATGCCTTACTCGTATCCGGCCGAGGAAATCTATCATTATCAAGCAAAGCAAACCCGGGACGCCGTATATCATTTCGGGTATCACAAATCCAAATTGCCAAATCCCCCTCCCATATCTTGTAATCATCACTTGTCCATGTCAATATTAGCATCATTACCACCTCAATATCGCATCGTCCGACTCCCCTCCATTCCTTATGGCCTCCAACCTCCCATAACCGCCATCCCCTGACCCACTCCTTCATGGATGCCTCCAGTAACGCCCTCGACAATCCACGCCAAAGCACTTGTGATAAACTGGCCAACTTTCCCATCACCCATTCCATATATAGTGCCTGTCAGGTTGATCCCCTGTTTCCCGATCGTATCGACAGTCTCAATGCAATGGCAAAGTATCCGTTCGGTGATTTTGTGTTCGCGATCGTATGTATATGCAGCTTGGAGGAAGTACTTTATATACGGGAATATGAGGCGGAAAAACACAAATAGCTGGACGATGGTGGATGCAAGCGTGCGGTGGAGGAGCGAGGGTTGGTTTCCAGTGTGACCCTTGGAGGTTGCGTACTTGCGGTTGTACTTCAGTTGTAAAGGCTGCACAACTCCTGGTGGGAGGGAATTCCGCACAGTTATTTGTTCCTCGGGGGACAGATTGGGAGGGAGGGCTCGAAGAAGGTATGTCAGGGCGTGGAGGTATAGCTGTCTTGTAAGGTTTGGGTCTGCCAAACTGCCATCCTGGGCGATGACAGTGGCTTCTTCGGCGGAGAGACCAAGGAGGGCCATGCCTGTGAATCCCACGCATTAGCATAATCCAACACTTCCTCATGGATAGATATAGGTTTAATCTTACCTTGGTTTGCAGATTTCCACGCAATCCCACTCCTCGTGTCATTTATCTCCATCACCTGCGCACTGCCGCTGGATGTTGAACTGGACCCGAACTGCAATGCATACTCCTTCAATTGTACTGCCTCAGTAAAATAATTAGGCCCAACTTTAGTTGTCGTATCCGTAGCTTTAGGGCGAGCTAATACAATCGCGGTTGTGGACGTGTAGGCGGGAGGCGGGGTGCTGGATCCGGAGGTACTCCTTGATTCTGACCCTGATTCTGATTCTGCAGCCTTGCGTTTCGAAGCAAGTCCCCACATGCCGGTATTCACAGTGCGTCGGAACGAAGGCACGCGTGGGATTCGGGATTGGACTACTGACGGGAGGATTGAGAAGAGCATCGAGGATTCCTTGCGGCCTGGAGCAAAGTCTGAGGGGAGGGAAGGCTGATGGCCACCGGAACTGCGTCGGAAAGGGTTTGCCATGATTTAATAGCGAATTGGATATCAGCTCGCAGAGAGGGAAAAGATAACGGATAACGGTGGGGCGCGTAAGCTCGGATACGAAGTATTCGAGATGCCAGGAATTGAATTGAATTTGAAGACTTCAAAGGGGGGTGGACTACTATAGACCAAATCGGAGGCAAAATCTGAACAACCTCTGGTTATATGTCCTGGAGGCAAAAGAAAGAAACGAAAGATTCCAATTCCAAGACGCCATTATTAAGAGGGACGAGGTTCGGCATGCAGAACATAGCGGTTGTTGGGCCTAGGTAGATATTGTGCGCCAAGTTGTTAACGGGGAGGAATTCCTGGTGTTGGAGAGGCGACGGGCCAATGCCAGAGCGAGAAACATCCCACGCGAAGCATGTGAAGGGAGGCATGTGAAAGTGTGAAAGACACTAATAATAGACAAGAGAATTCAGTCGGCTTACCTAATTAGGAATATATAACCAAGGATCTGCACCAGCTAGGCCTAGGCATTTATTACCTAATACTCCTGGATTAATATAAAACTCTCAACAAGTTGCCTGGCTGTTCAACGTCTGTCAACTGCCAACTATCAGTCAACTTTCAGCTGTCAACTGTCATGACGCCGCCTCTACCTCCGCGGCTGGGGAAGACCCCAATCACAACCACCTCCGACCCTCAGCTGGAAAGGTATCTAGGCCATTAGATCATCAAGTATCTCGATTGGTTTTCTGTTTAGGCCGAGGGCTCATATTTCTTCTGCTATCCTCCTATTATTCATCGCCTATCTCCTCGGCCCAGATTCGATTTTCTTCCAGGTTAAATAATACATTGCTACTCGACTATGCTTCAACCTCAATGTTTATCTCAAGCGGGCAAATCAATACACGTCAGTCTTTCTCCAAAGTCATATATGAATTATCAGCTAGTGCTTAATTCCTTTTATAAAGAGTGACATTCCAAGTTGTTATCTCCTGCCTCGTAACTGAAAAGCAGAGCTGTGCCCAAAGCGGGATCAAAGCAAACAAACATCGCCAACATTCAAACATCAACGCGATATTTAGCCAACAGCTCCTTTACCCTATCAACTGGGAATCCAGGCAAGTTGAACCCTTGGTACCCAGTCCTCCCCGCCCTTCCACCAACGATGGAATTCAAGATAGCCTCCTCTGTGACCTCCGAGGCTGCAGCAAACATAACATCCATGCTCTCATTCTTGATAGCCTCAATGGATTGCGTCTGGACCACCGGAATCCCCATGACCTGCGGAGTATCGACTTTCTCGTTCAGCTTGTTGGCCGTCGAGAGCGCGACGATGATGTCTCCTGAGAAATTCCTACCTACGCCGTGGCCGCCCACTTGAGAAAGGCCCACGGCGCAATGGCGCGCGAGTCGATTGAGTTGGTGAGGAAGCATTGGGGCGTCGGTGCTTGGTTTGGTTAGTCTAGAATATTTTCTTTTCCGCGCAGTGGAATGGGAGACTCACATGAGGATGACGACAATACTCCCATCGTCTGCTTTACCAGCCGGCAAATTCGTAGCCTTCTGAGACTTAGTCGTCTCGCCGTCTTTCATCAACAGCTTCCCAATTGGCACACCACCAATTTGCAGCGCATACTTATGGCCATAATTCGTCTGGCACAGAATCCCGACTGTATAGCTCTTCTCTCCATCACCCTTCACAATTCTTGAGCTCGTTCCTGTGCCCGCGGGGAATTCGTGGCAAGTCATACCCGCACCACCACCATGTTGACCCTCAAGAACCTCCGTCTGTGTCTGCGCATTCTTGAAAGCCTCAAACACATTATCGGCTTCAAGAGCAGAATTATGCACATCATTAAGGATCCAATCCGCCGTCTCACCCACAACAGGCGTTCCGTAATTATGGCCAAGCTCCTCAAGGCTCTGACCCTTCTCTCGTGCTCGCTGAAGCGTCCATTGCCATACGGCCTGGACGACGATACCCAAGCTACAGGAATTCGTGAGAGCGATAGGCTATCATATTCTAAATTTATCTTCACAATTGTTCAGGCCGCGGAGCACCAACTGTGTTTGTAAACCCCCAGTCTTTAATCTGGTATGAGCCCGTCACCTCGCCATTGCCGTTCAACGTGTGCATTGCCGCGTAGCAAGGGGTGTTGATGTCATCCGCATGGCGAGGTAGGATGACCGTGACGCCTCTACGAACGTCTTCACCATCTTCCCCCACGGTGACTTGGCCGACATGCACACCTAAACGCATTCATCTGGATTTTAGCAATTGGTCGTTTTTTCAGGAAGGGGTTTGTTCATCTTTACCTTCAACATCAAAGATTGAATTCTTGGGTCCGACGGGGAGGCGTCCAGGAGTATACCCCAGATCCCTGATGGTCATGCGCGTCGTCATTAAGTGGGAATTTCGGGCTTTTTTGATGGTAATTGACTAGAAGCCCAAGGAAGTTGGTGAAGTTTTAGACGTGGCGATGTGGCGATGTGCGCCTTCTTCTTATACAAGTAAATACTTCAAAGTTCCTAGTAACTGGATATGGTAAGAAAATAGTATGTGTTGCACAGCTCTTACTCGGTATTTACCCCGCCAGTGGTAGTTAGCCCCTCTATACAAGAAAGAGGTGGGGCAATTAAAATTTAACCCGTAAGAGTCACGCCGGGAATTAAATATTATATACCTTCCTCTTTGAGCCGTGCCATAGGAAATCTGGGTTTGAACAAGGAAAATCGTGATATAGAGATAGTTGACTAGAAACGGTTTGATGCTGGGTATGGAAAGGTCACAGTAAATACGAAAGGCTACCTAGATATTTATATCTACATTTTTGGAGAGAAAGTAATAATATCTGCCATGAGATAATATTACTCTTCAGACATGAGTTATAGCTATCCGAGATATTCGAGCTACCTACTATATTATCAAGTTTGCTTTTCATACCTCCTAAAGTAAATCACGATATTCCGTGAGAGAAATATCATAAAATACCACCAAAATCCGAACCATATCCCCAACAATGCACCGTACCAACATCCCATAATTCAAGCAGGCACTTCATACTCTGGTGGAGAATCTTTATAATCCCCCTTGGCAACCTCAAAGCTGCCCCACTCCACCCCATCTAGACATCTCACGTTAATGGGCAACATATTCTGCATTTTCTCATATATCGCCTTCAACTGCTCAGGGGTCATTTCTTTCACTATTGGGTTTGGGTGCAAGGAGAACTCCTCCAGGCTGACATCGGGGAGCTTGCGGGTGCAAACCGGGACGCCACAGACGGAGCAGAAACGGTGTTCTTGGTAATGACGGCCGAAGCGGTAGTGTGTCAGGGGCGCGGACGGGGACGTGGAGACGGCGACATGGGAGGCGGGGGGGTAGGCTAGGCTTGTTCCGTCCTGCTCAGTGTTAGTAAGGCTGTCTGAGTGATTCTTGAAAGCGTTGCGGGATGGGTTGGGTTGGGAGATGTAATAGGGGCGGAGGGGAGACATACCCTGTTGCAGATACTGCAATTACACTCGTGGACTTTCTCCTTGCCTTCGGAAAAAGCACCCCTCGACTTGAAAGCCATGGTGGTCCCGCCGCAGTGGCAAGACCCTGTATAGAGCTTGCCATTCTCAACCACGGCTTCTGGCTCCGGGCCAGTGTATGGATGAGTGACATAAGCCGGCTCGATAGCTGCACCGTCGAATCTACAAAGTAGTACGATATTAGCGCTTATCGCTTTATATGGGGATATTCTAATTTGGGGATCTTGAAAAAAGGGGTTATTGCACTCACGTATTGACTTTGAGAGACCAGATGTCGAGATCGTTGATTGCTCGGACCTGTTTTATAGATTAGTTTGGAAAAAGGAGGGAAAGGGGAAATCAGACTTACATTAACGGCGATATCCATTCCTGCCGGTGCATTATGTCTCTTACCCATAATGCCAGTGCCACAAGTTGGACAAAACTATTTGATGTCATAATGGTTAGTTTTATGTAACTACCTGGATACCCATCCTTCCACCTAGTATCCCAAATAACAAAAATCGCAGGACCTGTTTCACAGCTGTAAAACCCACCTCATGAACCATAGACTTTCCTCCAAACTCATATCCCTTCATTTTTTCACGGCCCCTGCCCTCTTGGAAAACGAGACCGCCAACGGGTGGGAAGATCCAAGCATAATTTTTGCGGAAGCAGATGCTACAATTACACTCATTGATCATAGTGATAGTGGGAAGAGTGAGAGTGAACTTGACCGCGCCACAGTGGCAGTTGCCGTGGTAAGTTTGGTTGTCTTGAGGAGCTGTGTCTGCCATTATGGATGTTGTTGCCTGGGTATCTCGCGAGGATAGGGATATGGGTTGAAGAGAGAAAATAGGAGTTTGATAAGGAATATGTCTTGGTTATCAACTTGATAGTAGATGTCTCTTTTTGTCCCAAATAAAGGAAATCCATCGGCTTTAAATACCTACCTAGGTAATAAGCAACGTGCGGCTGTCTCATATCTCCCCACTGCCTATCCCCAATCATGTATAAATCCGCAGTTTCTTGTCACCTTGCAGGCGCCGCAACTAGGATTCGATACCTCTTATCCCAACAATACCGAGGTACATAACGCCATCTGACTCATTTATCCCCGCACTAAATTGCGCCGTGGCTGAATATTAACTATGGGGAAACGGGACGTAAGCAATAGCGACTCTCAGGCCCTAGCCTTACTCTGTGCACATATGTATCATTGGCATCAGACTGACAACCAGTTGATTGTTGAAACAGGAGCCGGACTTTAGAGTTCAGCTCCGCATCTCAACAGAACTATCCCCTCAACTATTCAATTTCTAATCATGTCCGATTCTACTCATAGCTAGCGAGCCGGAGGATCTTTCAACCGGCTGCGAAGAGCATCTGTCAAGATATTGGTAATACAGTTTTATGTACGTCCCTACTGGACTAACGATCCTCAAAGAACTACTGTACACGTACGAAGTATAGCTATGTTTGAATGTACTTCGTAGTCGAAAGAAAATCTGTGATTAGTAAACAATACCCAGCCAGGGCAGTCTCTTACCACCAAGATGGACCCCAACCCCACGTTCTCCCAATACCTAAACCCAAACCTAATCCGCTCACAGTTCCTGTTGTCCCTCTCCGTACGCTTGGTGCAATGCTTCTCAGCGTGTCCGTACCGACACTCCTTTTGTTTCTCAAAGCCATCTCCAGAATTCTACCTCTATCGTCGTCGACATCATCCATTTTTTGCCGAATCGCTGACATGGCCTTTCCAGAACCAGTGGTATCTAGAGTAGATGAAGTTGCATCGGAAGAACTTTTCCGAGTAGGTGTGAGATCTTCTTCTGCGCTGTAGTGATCACAGGTGAAGCCACTCCACCCTTCATTATAACAGCGGCCACGAGAAGTCTGGCGCATTTCCCTCCAGATCTTGCGAGCTGGGTCCACACTATGCCCTCTAATCTTAGGAGGCGGGGGGAATTGTATGAATGGGTCCTCTAGTTGTTCAACCATTTGTGATTGCACATCAGAATCCATCGGGAGGGCAGGTCCAATAACCAGAGGAGAATAAACCGCCGAATCTGCTGTGGTAGCAGCGGATTTGGCAACTTGATAGCCGCTCCCTTTACTAAAACTACTAATCCCGCCCATTCGTTGATGAAGTTGGAATGGACGTTGTTCATAGGCTAATCTCCTTATTATTTGCCTGGCTTGATCCGTTGGGAGGCATTTTTCAACAATTGCCGTCAGAGGGTTAGAGACAGGTCGGCCATTTATCGATTGCAAAATCTGCGGCGACCATACTGACTCCAAATCGTGTCTCCTGATAACTGCAGTTGCATCGGTTTGTAATTGAGTGGTGTGTAAAGCCCCTCCACCACAAAATGATACTGGACTTTCGTTATCCGGGAATCCAGAGTGTTTGTAAGTAAGTCTAATAGTCAGGTAAGTAGTAAGCGTGTCCCCGAGGTGCTTTTCCAGATCAGAGAGGAGCTCCTCGGAAAAGGGGCTGGTTAGGTTTGGGAAGAAATCGCATTCGCCAAGGCTTATTCTGGCCAGTATAAGACGTGTTTGATTGGCTTGAAATATACTTGAATCGTCGAGGTCTCCAATAAGTTCCGTAATGAAACAATTGTGGGCGGGCAGGAGGTCTATGCGCATTGAATGTAGATATCCATATTGTCCCGGCCCTGGATGAGTGTTAGAACATGGGAGCCACATTGATTCACGAGGATTTTGTTTTACCTGATGATTGAGCATTTATGAAGGTAGTAGAGCTTTCAGAAAGTCCATCATCAGGCTTTAAACGTCCATCGGCGTGTCGAACTACGCCACGGATCTCGATTGCAAGCCAGAAGCTACATTTATCTAAATCCACACTTGAAACCTCCGGAGTAACTACCACTCGAGGAGAGAGGACCAAGCTCTCTCGGTATCGAAGACGGTGCGCATTATTAGATGAGGGGGGAGCGGTGGCTAACTGTCGACCAGAGGATATTCTTGAATTGACTCTAATATCTGCAATGTCGCGGCTGTCGAGTTCCAAAGAGTCGTCGCCAGGAATACAAGAAGCGCTACCAGAAGTGGACGAGTTCCAGGGGCTCCTGTCCCTATATCTCCCCCGTGACAACCGACGAAGAAGTATATTTATGGAGCCAGAATCAGCGGATCTGCTCGACTTATGCTTTGGTGGCCCACTACGACCGCCGATGGCTTTAAGAAGAAAGCTTTTGGATCTAGAAAATCGCCTTTGGGGGATGTTGGCATATGGCATTTTCTGGCCGGATATGGAAGATGCTGATACGAAGCCCGAGTCCGAGGAATTGGAGCCTCGGGCACTTTGAGCTGGATATTTGTTTGGGTTGATATTGTAATCTTTAGGGTAGGGTGCTGGTTCAAGAACACCCCAATCGCTCGTAGTTGTCGATATGGCCCGAGCCGCCTTTGGTGTTATTTCAGAGTCATGTTCTCCCTGGACAGGTTCTATACTTCGTTAGCTAGTATCTCACCCTCCGAGAACCTTTAGGATCTCACCATGGTTATTTGTACCTAAACTGAACATATCACTAGCAGGGTTGGGTATCGAGGAGCCATCAAATTTGATACCCAGAACGCTCCCCCTCCCTTGTCTCTTCTTGCGTACAGTCAAGGATCGGTCCGCGCCCCACGGTGGACTCCCATCCCTCTGGTCGGACGAACTAGAGGCTCGGCGTCCTCTCCGGAGTGCCTTTCGGGGAGCTGGGCTGCCGGAAATGGTCTGGCTACGCTTGACAATTCGAAGGGGTTTTGGCCTCGAGATATCGAGTTGGTGAAGCTCCAGAGTAGACGACTCGAACGGTTGGGATGCCATATTCGCCTTGGACTATATCCAGCCAAACCACCGTGATCACCTTCACTATAGGATTTTGGTACTCCGGTTTGCCCAATAAACGTGCTGTATGCCTGGGCGCTGCGGCCACTATGAATGCTTTCGAGATCGCACCAGGAATCTGCGTATATCTGCGTTGATGATAAGTCCGACCGTTTCTGTTTCCTTCTATGCGTGTTCTTTCCTCTATGAGACCAGGGAGAATTGTCCTCCCAGATCCGAAGGAAGTATTCGAAGATAGATTGGAAACCACGTTGCGTCTTGAGGGCGATGAATGCTGCGGATGCTGCGATGACAATTGGTACTAGTATAAGAGCACTAATGGCGCCGTTACTGCTACTCATAGCCAAACATGAAGTGATGTTGATGCTAGATGAGACTATTCATAGCGGAGTGATTTGATGGGGATGGGAATCAGGCAGGCTGCGTGAAGGACGTATTGAGTGACACCGGGAATGAGGGAAGGAGCGACCACAAACGTCAAGCTTTAGCCAAACACCACCGAGCGATACTGAATATTTTGTGGAAAGTATTCTAACCCATCTTCGCACTGCACTCCCATCATTAGGATCCTTCATCTGGGGCTGCTCGAATAGCGTCTCCAAACCCCTTTTTCCTAGCACAGCTAGGTATGATCGATTATAGGTCGCTCTCTTCCGTACACAAACCGCGATAGGGGTTTCTGCTAATTATCTGAATACCTAAGTAATTTCAGATATCTCTTTGAGATGAGCATGCTCCTATGACCTCGCTCAGCGGCCTACACAATGCCTCTTCTCTGTGGCTCCACAGGTTCCAAACTTCTTCGGATGTTGTCTTGGATGGTCTCGATTTGCTCCTTGTCCATGTTTAGAAAGTGTATCAAATCATCCCCCGCCGACGAACCAAATAACGCTGCATCGGCAACACTAGCATCGACTCCTTTCTTCACCCGGACTTCCCATACACCATCCCAATTCCACTCTCCTGGTTTCCTAGTAGCAACGGCTGCTGGTGGATTGCCCGGCGATTTCGGATTTACCTCAGGGCCACCATGAGGGTTCTCCACATCATCAGTCAACCCACCCTGTAAATTGGAGTTCTCTTTGACTTCAGCAGCGGAGAGTTTACCCAACTTGACACGATGAGTCCGCCATGCGTGCCATGCCCCTGGGTTACCCGCAGCTTCCAACTGGACGCTATCAAGGACTTGGTCGTCATCAAATGTGCTCCGTATATATCTCAACACATCGCAGATGGAAAAATCAACAGTTGTTGTATCATTCCCAATACTCCTGTCACTGCTGCCTGTATTTTGTCCGGGAGTTGGACTTGCACTGATGGCCGAGACCACAGAGCCAGGGCTATCAATTCCGCTCACTACTCGACTCGGTGTCTGCATATTGCCGCCTGGGGAACGGCCGGCAGACCTTCTGCTAGCTCGCCCAAACCAACCTGGAAACCCATGGCGCAAGGAAAATCCGCCAGGAGGTAGCCGCTCCTCGTCAGTCGCAGATACCGTGCCAGAGTTCTGGATATCAGTTGTGTACATGTACGTCGTAAGAGGCGTAATTAGGGGGTGGAATATATCTGTCGAGAAAGTAACGAGTGGTGGTAACGAGGGATAGGCGGGTGGGAAGGAGATTTGGAAGCGGAGGATGGCGGGAGCATATGGCCCTAAGTTGCAAGGTCAACATTGCTGCTCTACTCTTCAGGATAGCTTGAATTTCAAGCCGTGAATTAAGCATCTTCAAGTACGTACCTTTCCGCACAAATATTATGCCCGACCAAAGGGTTGGGTCGCCAGGTGTGAGGCTCACGAATACCCCATGAGGACAGGCATATTTGAGACTGGAGCTATAATAGTAGGTTAGGAGGGTCGCATTGGGTACTAGAAAAGGATATTTTCGTACAATTCTACTAGTAGATGTTGCTTCCGCACAGCGGATAGCCCTGATAAGCGTTGCGACACCATTATTAGATGATATAGTAGATGTCGAGGAGTCGTGAAGTTGAGACAATCGCGCGGTGAGATTCTGCCGGCCGTGTTTCGGGAGCAAGTAGGGGGCTTGGACAGGCATCGTGGAGCATCAAACAGTTCCATATTCAATTCTATATAAAACCATGGAACTCACAGGTTTATTTAAGGTATTTGATCGCTAGGTATGTACTGGCCAAATCATAAACTCCACCTTAGGCCACGCAGACTAATAAGTCATATTGCGCATGTCCTGATTTCATGTCTCATAAGCCGCTCCAAATCAATCGGCTCTCAGTCTGGCCTCGATCTTCTGCTTCTCCCGTTCTCTGATTTCTTCTAACTCCTCCTTGGTAGTATCGTAGCTCGCAGAGACCTGGTTGAAAGGATTCTCCCCGCTCTTTTCGAATTCCTTCCTGACCCTGTCTTTCTTTTGATTTTGCCTCAGGCCTTGTCCACTGCCATCCTCATCCATCTCGGCCAACCTCCTCTCCTCAAATGCAGCATAGGCGGCTTTGAATCTCCTTTCCGGGTGTTTCTCTATCTTGGCCGCCGCTGATGAAGACGTCAAAGATAGCGCATCCAAGGCGTTGTCAATGCCAGAGGCATTAAGCGCCGCTGCATTCTTGGAGCCTCCAGAATCCGAATCGAGTTGCGATAAGTCGAGACCCCGACTTTTTTTCACGGCTTGTTTGGCACTCTTGGGTGCTGCTTTGGCATCCTTCTCCTCCTCCGCTAGTATCGCATCTTTCTCTGCCTTCTTCCTTGCCGCCTCTGCCTTTTTTGCAACTTCTGCCTCCCTATCGCTCAGGGTTATCAGTATGTGTAGCACCGGTAGTGGGGTATAATGTGGGGTAGTTCTCTAAAACCACAAACACTCACTTTTTTGCATTACTCTTTGCTCCTTTACTCCATTCTTGATCCTCTATAGCCCCCTTCTTTGCGTTTTCAGCGGCGGCCCTTTCGGCGGCTGCTTCGGCTTTCTTCGCATTGCCGGACGCTTTCTTCGAGTTCTCTCCAGACGCTTTCTGCCGGGCCATAGTGGAGTGACTCTCTCTTTGAACTGGTGGGTCTTAAGCGTGCGGCCAGTAATATCAAACGTGTAAGACGGTGGTAGCTGCGTACGAGTATATAGGCTTTGTAACAGGTATAATGGGGATGAGTTGGCAGATCGTAAGTTTCGAGTTCGAGTCCTTCGGAGTCACAACCTGTTCAACTATAATTGCCCCGCCACATACTTCGTACGATTTGTCCCACCAGCTCCGGTCGGTGGGCTTACTAACCCTCATGTTGGCCTTGGTCGTGTCCCAGGCCGTCAGGCATTAATATACATTCTATCACGTGTCAGGACCTCGCTTCGTCCGTCGCCCTGCTATGGAGACTGAAACTCGACCTCCATCGGCCAAGTACCTTGCATGGCATGTATCTTCCCTTCGGGACCCAATTGTGAGCATGGACGCTCCTCGAAGATATGGTCAATCAATGGCGATCAAGTAGGGTGGATAGGAAATTCCCGTCAATTATGATCTATCAACAGCTACGTACATAGTGCAGTGCCACTTCTAGGATTCGGAAATAGCTCGTTTCCCTGCCAGCTTCCATGTTATGGTGAACCGCAACTCCCTGACACTAGTCGAGTACCTAATGAAATGGAGTCATCAGCTAATCTCGCTCTAGCGTCGCCTGTCCACATGTTGATAAAAATAAGCAATCAAACAAATATGGTCGGCGGAATTCCCATCATGTCTCGCCGAATCCAAGCCTAAATATTGGACTTATTTGCTCGTCTACACCTACCCATTTCCTTCACAGCGCGACTGTTGTGCGCCAATGGGTAGCAAGGAAGTTAGAAGTTTGCCGAGATCACCTGGTATGATATCAGTTTCTGGCATCATATGACGCTGCTGCCCTGCCCGCCTTGGAAAAATGTCTAGGTGCTTCTCCTATCTACCTATGGAAGGATTCTACAGCTCCATCCATGTAGGGCCGACAGGCGCCTCATAACACGAGGTACTCATAAACGCATCTCCAGGGCAAAGATATTGTCATGTTAGTATTGTTGGTAGCTTCAACATTGATACTCCTGGCAGTTTAACGAGCTAGCCGCGAGCTACACTGACGAGCCAGCAACAAATAATTAACATTATATCTTGCCTTTGGCCTTCTGATCCAAATTTGGAGCCAGATCCATGGCTTTACCTCTTGTTAATCCTGAATACCGATTCTTGGTCGAGTGTCGGAACCCTGGATGAAAACCAAGCCCTCTTCTGTCACCCATACAGCAGCTGCATTGATCTCTGCAAGGCTACATCCGACTGTCTGGATAAGGTACATGCATCTCCAGGGTCCCCACGCCCGGACAATACGATCGCCAACAATCTGCAAGTCTCAAGTGGGATCCCAGGGCTGTTACGATTGACGAAACGCCGCATTTATTGGAACAAATTGCATTGACGATAACCAGGATCGAGAATACAAAAAGCTCGTGAGGTTCGGGGCTCAGACAATGCCCAATGTCACACCGAACGACACGATAATCAAGACCCTGCTATAGTGCAGTGCGACCGGGCTACCAACACATGCTTTGTGGCCGTTGAACACTGGCATCCGACTAGACGATAAAGCTGGAGGCAATTAAAATGAGATTTGCAGAGATTAGATAAGATGAATGAATCTGATGATTCACATCTGTTGGAACTTGGCACTTACAATACTTACTGGCACCAATTGAGTGAGAACAAGCACCAGACGCCGGGCGCGCCAAGACCATATCATTAAGACGCCCGGCCTGTACTTCGTCGGCTGCCCGCAGATGCAGCTCTGTGTGGAGCAATAATGCATTCCAAGTTGTGTTACATAGTACGTGAAACAACATTCAAGCTGGGAGGTCTACGGACAGTGGGTTCCGATTGGCTTCAAAGCTGTGGGCAACGTCGGCCAGAAAGAAATCGATGCATGATCGGTCGCGGCAGTGTGGGTGTTGGTTGGGGCTCGTTTGCTCTTGAATTTTTTATTCTTACAGCTGATACGAAGTACCTCGAGCTGTGTGTGGCATAGAAGTCTAGATTCGAAGCCACAATCGACTTGAAAGTACTTTCTGGTGAGAGACTTAACTACCGGTCGGACCATGCGCCACAATCAATCTGTCGGGCCCGGGGATCGGAAAGCTTCCAGCAACCATGGAGTGGAGGTTCCTCCGAACTTCAGCCCATCCATCCAAATTGACGGGCCACCCACCCACTCACTAGTATCGCCAATGACCCATGCCCTGCAGCTCCAGATTCTGGCTGGGGCCTTGGAACCAATAGATCGGAATCCTGCCGGTACGCGTTAAATAACCGTTGTTTTCGCGCTTTCTCGTGGTAGCACCACTCTCAAACAGGCAACATGAGCAATTTCCTTAGGAAAAAGAAAAGGAAAAAGAAAAAGAAAAGGGGGTGGAAAAATCCCTACCTACGGAGTGGACTGATCAGCTACAAGTGAGCAGCTAAAAGCGATCAGCACCTTTGGGATTAAAAAGCACTTTGTCAACACCCAGGAGCCTGGAACGATAGGGGCTGATGACGTCGCGGAGAAACCCCCCTATTTGCGTGCTGCGGATGTACGGGAAACGACTCCAGAACGTTAGTCATGGGAATGCTTTGCCCTGGCGTGGTACGTGGAGGAGCGAAGGATGTGCCATGGATGGATGGTAATAAATAACTGGCCAATTATGAGGTTGTCTCCCAGGAAATCCCATCACAAAAGAGTTCACCGCAGCAATCAACCAACTTTTCTAGAAACTTGCGCAAGGGATCGACTCCCTGGGCATGCCAACTTTCACCCTCTCCGGAGTCCGTAGTGCCTAGAGCCAAGGCCCACGGTAGTGGTGTGCCTCGTCTCGGATTGATTTATCACACTCCTTGCCTCCTTAGCAAAACTTCCCACGATCCGGATAGAGCGAATAGCGAATCATTGCCTAAACCCGCTTAGCTTCACGCCTAGCTAAACTTACCTCACTTCCCCGGTGGCGCTTAGGTTTGGAAGAAGATCCGCCACTCCATCACGAAAAGGGGCGCTACTCACTGCAGACAGCCGCACTACTCCTATGTTCGGCGCGCAAGACGGAGGTGGCCGCAACAACACATTCACGACCCAGCAGTTGCAGATTTCCAGTCTTTTTTTGGAATCATCGCAGCCATTTCAGCCACAAAACAATCGGCAACGGGTTTCCCATTCCAGGTATCCAACGAGCAATTCTCGTTCGTATTCCTGACTGGGCGAAAATGATGAAACTGGCCTCGCGATGGAACGTTCGCCAGGATTGGCAACTTTGCTAGCCGATCCCCACATAGGACATCTACGATAGCTTCCTTGTCCATGTGCTAGCGATCCCGATTCCGCGGTCGGCGGCTCGGCCGGCCACGCCCGATTTAGCTAATGGAGGTCACGAGCGGGTCCTCCAGCGGCGGGTCCTACAACGTACTGTACCTAGGTCCCAGGTACGGAGGCAAAGGTACTCGTACAGCACATTACGCAGTTCGTGCAGAGAATAGGAGATCAACCAACTTGATCGTAACTTTCTCTGTCACAATATTATTACCATGGCGGTAATAGCACTTAACCTTGCTGCTATCGACAGCCTCTCAGGATTCAGGAGGAGGTCTTGTGACCGTATCTCGAAACCAACCCAACGCAGCTTACTCTGACGAGCTGACATGCTTTGCGCGGGAGGCCGAGTTGCAGCAAAAGTGAGCCCACGTCCAACATTTGACCTTGCTGAGCACCTGTCAACGGCGCAACAGAATCAGTGCACAGCCTTAACAGCCTCAATATTGTCGAAACGCTTTCCGACTGGCCTATCCGAGCAAGACACATAACATACGTAGGGCGATGTTGTGCGACGGCGCGCAAGCTCTGAGTGCAACGACGGGGCCATCGCTATTTCTCGATACCTGATAGTCTGGTGTTTCCAGGGTCCTACTCGGTGCCCCGTCCGGGAGATACTTCATACTCCGTCTTTCGTACGTACGGGGCGAAGTCCCACAGTCCCACATCGCCATTTCCATGGCGTATGGGCATTGAGTGGCTAGCTCTGGACGACACCGGATTGCCACGAAATGATCGGTCAAGGGCCAAAAGTCACTTGACCTTCTCGTCGTCCGGCTCGCTTCCGGGTGCATTTGGGCGCGGGGGGGGTTTGGGCCCATGAGCTAGGCCTGGGGCCGGACAAAACGACTCCCGTGTCTCTGGCCTTGGGATGGCCGCCAGGGCTATCCCAGAGAGCTTCTCGAATAAATCAAGGGGGCTTACAGTATAGCGTGGTTCATGGATCCCGATAGCACCGCTACCGCTTCGGGGGGACAGGAACTGCGGAGTGCTTCGTACGGCTCCTCGAAATGGCCCTCCACCCGCCGTCCACTAAAACAACTCTGCTTCAGCTGGCTAGCTTGCTCCAGAGTAGCTTTCCGGCTACGATGCATTATGGCAGCGGCGTCTTCCAAGACTGCCGCCTCTCCCTCTCATCAGCCGTGCTGAACCAGCGGCCTCATGTCTCTCGGACATTTTCCCACGCGTCCTGGGACAATGGTCCCACACCCACTGCAATCCAGATGTGACACCAAGCTCAAAAGGGCTGATCGATCTTTCACAGCATCCTTGCCCTCGTATCAACACCCAGAATTTGCCCAATGCCCGCTCGCGTGCCTTATTCTTGGACTTGGTTGCTTCGATGGGGGGGATATAAAATTGACGGAGTACTTCGTAAAGTACGATCTTCATCTCCATGGCTCCCTGGATGATGGCCACACCCCTGAGTGCCTTTCTGTTAACCCTGTGGTCAGCGGTCGCGGGGGCCAAATTGACAATTGATGATTGATCGCCTCGCAATCTGCTCCATGCGATCCGGGTGGTAGTACCAGCGACTGACCCGGGGTCTGTTTGGTCATGATGATCTGGTGCTGACTCTGCTGGTGACGATGATGTCGATTTGCGCTCGGAAAATGCTCAAATGGTGGCACCGGTAGTGGGCCTACCAATCCCAGGCCCAAGCCAGGAACCGTGTGTGCTACCTTGGCTGCGCTTCGCCGCCGGACGGCTGCATTACAAAGTCCTCATCGGCCTCATCACGCAGGGCAGCCAGATGGGATCTGGCATGATGCGATCCCAAGTGTATGAAAGAGCACCTGCTGACTCAGGCCGGTGCCGTACGCAGACCGTGTACGAAGTACTAGTTGCCTAGCTCTTCGAAGAGTAGATAGGACACCGCCCAGGAGGAGCGGCAACACCTGGCAGCTGTACGCCGCGAGCTCCTCACACCGCCGCCCGCTCTGTTCGCTGCTCGCTCCCCCATCGCGGAAGCTCTCCAGCGACATATCCCAGCCCTAATCCCACGCCAACAAAAGCCGAGCCAAGACGGACCGGGGAGCAGTCCATGTGCGCTACCTGCAAACAATATCTCCCCAACGCCTACGCCTCCTTTTCAGCACCCTCAGGGGCCTCAATGCCCTAGCTCGCTCACCTTTTTACATCCTGGTCCTTGCCCCTGAGCCTGAACCCAAACTACGAAGTACCAGGCCGAACGGGCCACGGAGCCAAATGCCGGGGCGCGAGTGCACACTATCATACTAGATCAAACTTCAAGGCAGTTCGTAGCTTCTGAGTTGCTGGACGGCTTCAGGCGACGACGACCGGGCACCGGTGTGGAGGCCCGCGCCCATATTGCCCAGGGCCCAGCACTGTGGTGCCTCCTGTCCGCCCACTCCTTGGCACGCTTATAGAAGATGCTGTTTGCAGCCCTCGGGACGTGGGCCCTCACAACTCCTGCAAATCAAGGACCAACTGCCCCAAAAACCAAGACGCCAGAAGGAAAGAAGCAAGAGCTCAGGCTCCTAGCATGCTTCTAGCCTTCCACGCCTCGTCACCGCCCCCCATCAAATTATAATTACTCCGTATGATAATTTACGCGGCCGCTGCTATCCGTCCTAGTCCTTACCAGATCCAGTGTCCAAGGGAGTCTTAGCACTTAACGTAGAGTCCACCTGCCCTTGTTATTTATTTCCTCTGTGGCCTCTACAACTCTCTCCCTTTCTAATCTTCTCGTCTCTTCCTCATTCCCGTCCTCTGACCTCCTGACCAACTTCTCCCGCATCCTGCCCGAGGGCACATACATACGTATATTTATACTTGACTATTGTGTCGACCACATCCATACTGCGTATTCCCCCGCTCAACTGGCATCTCTTCGTGATACCATTGAACAAATTGCCCAGGGCACAGAACGCATATAACAGCTTCATGGTCTCTTGCCATAAGCTTAGCTCCAGCCACCACCATCACCCACAAATACCACACCTGAAACCCACAACTCCGAGAACATCAACTTACGGTTGGATTGCACTATCAAGGCAAAGTCCCAGAAGATAGGAGCGGCCACATTTGCCATGTCTGGCACACAGCATCCAGGCTCGGGGAAGCCAATTCCCAAATTCCCAACTAAACAGATGACAATTCTTGGTAAGTCGGCTACAAGGGGAGATACATCTAGGAGGGTTTGCTGATGATGGATGGTAGCACTATGCCGAATCTGCGAGCCCATCGCCTTCATGTCGATCTTTCCGTACATCTATTACATGATACGGGATTTCGAAGTCACCAACCAGGAATCCGAAATCCCTGTGTATGCTGGAATGGTCACATCCGCATTCGCATTTGCAGAATTCTCGTCTGGAGTCGCATGGGGAAAGCTGAGCGATAGAATTGGTAGAAAGCCAGTGCTTTTGACCGGGCTTGCCGGAACGGCGCTCAGCATGTTGGTTTTCGGCTTTGCCCCCAATCTTCCTGTGGCATTGTTGGCTCGCGCTTTGGGGGGGCTTCTGAATGGGTATGTAGGCGGGGGGGATTGGCGCGCTGTGTCACTTCCGCTTGGCTAACCGGGATCCAGAAACATTGGCGTTCTGCAAACCACGGTTGCCGAGATGGTCACAGTGAAGGAGCACCAACGTACGTGAATCTGATATATCATATTCCCCGTGGCCTGTGTGGGCCGTCATACTGACAAGTCGTACAGCCCGCGCGTATACTATTATGCCATTCGTCTGGTGTCTTGGGTGAGTGTTTATGCCATTATCCGCCCCATAAACAAATAGCTCATCGGTTTTAGGTCAATTGTAGGCCCTATGCTAGGAGGCGCTCTGGCTAAGCCAGTCGACAGTTGGCCAACTGTTTTTGTGCCAGGGAGCATCTGGGACCGTTTCCCATACCTTCTACCAAACCTGTTTTGCACAATCGTCGTGACTATTGGAGTCGTAATTGGAATATTGTTTCTCGAAGAGACACACGAGGAGAAAAAATATCGACACGACCCCGGGTTGGAAGCCGGCAAATGGATTATCTCGAAGTTGACGTCATGTGCAGAGACGAAGAGCTCGAGAGGCGAGAAAGTTACGGATGTTGCTGAAGTACTCTCATTATTGAGTGAGGACGAACAACCGCCTGGGTACCAGACGACTGAAGGGTCACCAAATCTTCCATCCACCCCGTCTCCCGAGCCGGAGGAGTTGTTGGATCTGAATGAATCTATCTCTACGCCTAGGCCAAAACCTACTACATCCAAAGCCTTTACCAGACAAGTGATCTTGAACATCGTGGGCTATGGCATCCTGGCTTAGTAAGATATACATAGGTTTTGTTTGTTGTGCTATTTAACTAACAGGTAACTAGCCATACGATTACTTTTGATTCGATGCTTCCAACCTTTCTCAGCACGCCATCCCCATCCGGTGACGAGATTGTCCCAATAGCTCTGCCGTTTAAATTTGTTGGTGGCTATGGACTGGATACAAGACAAATTGGCGTGGTCTTGTCAGTACAGGGGATATATTCCATGATTGCCACTGTTTTCCTTTTCCCTATCTTTGTGCGACGACTTGGAGCTCTCGGACTTTTCAGGTTAATCGCCATCTCATACCCGGTACTCTATATCACGACTCCTTACCTAGTTTTGCTCCCAGATAGCCTACGGATGGTGGGGGTATACGTGGTTGTCATTTGGAAATGCACCTGTTCAACAATGGCTTACCCAAGCAATGCGATTCTCCTCACAAATTCAGCGCCTTCTCTCCTTTTATTAGGAACGATCAATGGCGTAGCTGCATCCACTGCCAGCCTCTGCCGGGCCTTTGGACCCACTGTGTCTGGATGGCTTTTCTCAGCGGGTCTGAGTCTAGGTTATTCGGGTTTGGCATGGTGGTGCAGCGCTCTCATTACCGTTGCTGGTGCAGTTCTCAGCTTGAGCATGACCGATAAAGGAGGCCGAATGGATGTGGACGAAAAGAGCGAAGAGGATGCGGAAATGGGCTTTGAAGACCACATTTTGGATCACAAGGCCCTTGACTCGGCGCTCGCAGCAGCGGAACCCAGGCCAGCGGACCTGGAAGACGACGAGACGGACAGGGTCGTTGTCAACTGACTGTGGTTTTCCCTTGCGGGAACGCTTGGACGATATCACGAATTTTATAGGCTTCAGTTTTCGCTTTGCATTGGGAGGATATGTGTATAATATAATGCGCTTGCGGTTCTGTTCGCGTCTTCGTTTCTAGATATCCCTGCCTCTAGCGCTATCAACGCTGATGGCATTTTTTGATTTTGAATTTTTTTTTGGCGCATGGGCCTGGATATACTTTTATTGCCCCCAAGGGAATTTGATCGTCAAAGATGGATAAGAGGGAGCTGATCACATCAGACTTACTGGGACGGAGTTCATTTTGGCTGGAAGGAAAGACAAAATGAGTTGTGGGTATGGCATGGCATTTCCGGCGGCGTTAAATATCCGTTTTATGGATGTAGGGTCTTAAAAGACCTGCTTCCAGTGCGCCGATTACCTATCACATATTTAGAGTGTAGGTAGAGAATCAATCCATTATGGATTAAACGGGCTCCCCATAAACTTTGTTTGCTTGACTGTAGCTGCATCGCTGGGCCGATAACTGTGTCAGCCTCATACTTGCTATTCGATCGCTGTAACATAATATTATGCTATAGTGCAGAACTCATACAGTAGAGCAGTAGCACTGATCGTCGTCGCAGGAACCCTCTAATTCGCTGATTGTCTTATCAATCGGTATCTTGTGGGGGGAATTGAGAGCCCGCAGAATACGGATCGCGAACCCACGACGCCAACAATCTTAGAGTGGTACAAGATTTCTTTTTCTTCTTGCGCATGCCGTTCAATATTCATGGCGCATCGCAGCGCAATACCGACTTCTCTTGTCTATGGCCTTCGTCGAGTTGATTTTACCTTCTCAGCTGAACAACTGCCGCGATTTCTCTATTGATTCCTGCAGAAGGGTAGCGCACCAAGTTCCACGGCATTGCGGTACAGACAGCTATGGTCACCGATAAGGCGCATTCTCTCCCATTTGTCCTCTGAAGTATAAATAACAGGCGGTGGTACCGGTACCTGTCGAGCAATCCAATTGCTTCAAGGGCTTCAAGCGCAGCAAAGAGTCTGGGTTCTAGAGGCTGGTGGGGGGTTGGGGCAGCTACAGTAAGGCTTGTAAGCTGCGGGGGAAACCATAGGAATGGAGATGAATTTACATCCGCGCAGTCCTCCCTCAAGGTCCTCGACCAAAGGCGGATATCCAAGCAAACGCGCCCGACATACCTCGCCCGAGCAGACAATCACCGGTACATCGACTATTGGCAGCCCGCCGACGGTGGAGGATGTCGACACCCCAGGCGCAACGGCGTCGGTGATAGATGGAGGCAGCGGGGGCGGCAGTGGAACAGGAAAGGCCACGGTCAGCAGCAACTTCAGGAACGTGAGCGCCTGCAATAGGTGTCGATTGAGGAAAAACCGCTGTGATCAACAGCTGCCGAGCTGTGCGAGCTGTGAGAAGGCTGGGACGAGGTGTGTGGGGTATGATCCTATCACAAAAAGGGAGATTCCTAGGAGGTGAGTCTCTAGCATTTCTCTTCTGCTTGGTTTAGATGGCAATGGCAAGTCGTAGGAAAGCAAAGCCTGCGTAGAAGCCCTGGAGACACATTTTCTAACTAGCGACTTCATAGTTATGTCTTCTACCTTGAGGCAAGAATCGGATACCTAGAGAAGGTCCTTCAAGATAGCAATATCCCATTCGCGGCCGCCGACGTCCTCAACCATGGCGTAAAACCTGCCCCCGATCCGAGTATCATCCAGACACCGAGCGATGATGGCCGTCGAGCATCATATAATGGCCACGATACCTCGACCATTTCTCATAAAGATTCGCCGCATAATATTGCTGGGACGAAGAAGGAGGAGGAGTCGGAAAAGCTGGACAAGCTGGAGAAGCTTATCTCGAATGTTGGAGGTGTGTCTGCACAGGGTGCTTCAGATTCACGGTATTTAGGTTCTGCGTCGGGCATCTCGTTCGCCCGGGTAGTCTTCGCTGCAGTTAAGTCCTCAGTCTCCGGCACGGGTAGTGATAAGAGCGGAACAAAACCCTCACGGCTACCTGTGAGTAATAAGGGTACGGCTGCAGGAGGAACGTCGATGAGGGATTCATTCTTCGGGTTACACACAAAACCCACTATTAAACAAGCTCCGTTCCCTTCAAAAGATCTTGGAAGACGACTGGTCGAGTTTTACTTTGAATATGCCAATCCCCAGATACCCATTTTGCACCGGGGCGAATTCATGAAGATGTTCGAACTGGCGTACACCGATGTTGATTCGAGGGTGAGGACGCCGAGGGAGCTGTACATGTTGAATATAGTCTTTGCAATTGGTTCTGGGATATTCTTGGAGGATTCTGGCAGTCGGGAGACGAAGCATGAAGGAAATGAGGAGAGGAAGAACCACGGGCTAGGGAGGCAATGTCAACCAGAAGAGTATCACGCTTCTGCCATTGTGCACTTGGAGGAGTGTCTTAGCTCACCAGCCACAGTGGACAGACCAGATGGCTTTGGAGGGGGTCTGGAAGAGTTACAGGCAGTCCTGCTACTGGCTGGGTTTGCACTGCTACGACCTGTTGCCCCGGGATTATGGTATATCATTGGTGTCGCCGTCCGGCTGGCTGTGGACCTCGGGTTACATTATGAAGATGGAAAAGATGTCGATGACGGGCTCGAAGAAGGGCTGTCTGGAGACATGAAGGGTGATAGTAGTGATAGTATACAGCAACAAAAGGAACGGGCCACCCGGCAACGAGGACGTCGAGAATGGGTCCGGGATTTCAGAAGGCGGTTGTGGTGGTGCACGTACTCACTCGATCGATTAGTATCAACCTGCGTTGGTCGCCCATTTGGTATCACCGACCAAGTGGTTACCACTGAATTCCCATCTCTCCTAGATGATAAGTATATCACTCCAGCAGGGTTCCAGCAACCTCCAGGAGGCGCCGCGGAGCCTTCATACAAACGAGCGGCTCACCACTACTTCAGGCTGAGGTTATTACAATCCGAGATCCTACAGGTACTACAACATCAACAAGCCCAGCAAGCTCGTGCTGGGGGTGCAAACCGGCGAAATCCTTACATGCATACCTCGTTGCCCTCTCCATTCCTTTCCAAGTTCGATAGTTTCCGATCTTGGCGTATCGATATCGACAAGCGCCTATGGGAATGGAAGAGTTCTGCGCCTACGAAACGGGAAACGGGCGTTGCATTCTCTGTCGAGTTCCTCGAGCTAAATTACTGGCAATGTGTAATCATGCTCTACAGACAGAGTTTGAGTGTGCCACCAATGTTCGAAGGAGAATTCAGTACGAGTGACGAGGTTAACAGTCCTCCAATGTATAATGTTGAGCTCCGAGAAGACCAGGAGAGAGTTTTCTTGAAAGTTGCGGAGGCTGGGCAAAGAGTCTTGAGGCTGTACCGGCAGTTGCATCGTGTGCATCTAGTCAACTACACATTTTTGGCGACGCATCACTTGTTCATGGCTGGTATCTCATTTCTCTATGCGATTTGGCACTCGCCGATTGTGAGGAGCCGATTAGTAAGTCTTCAATAAATTCCAAGTTGAGTAAGATACATGGATGCTAATGGCACTGCTCCTAGACAATGGATGAAGTCGACTTCACCATTCTAGCTGCAACTTCCGTTCTCGGGGATCTCATCGAAAAATGTCCTCCGGCAGAAGCATGTAGGGACGCGTTCGACCGAATGTCTAAAGCCACAGTCCAAATGTGCATGTCGACAACTGGATTCAGCACCTCTACCCGAGGTCTAAACTCTCGGGAGCGACGGCCATCCCACCACCAACGTCCTCAACCACTAGACGCAAATGGCTCCCAAGTCCGTCATCCACGGCCAATACCCCCATTCGATATGGGCCTAAATGACCTTTTAGATCCCACTTTAACTTCGCAGAAATCTGCCATGCAAACACCATCGAGTCATTTCCCCGCCACTTCTCAGAATAACATTACAAAAGGGATAAAAGCCGAGTTCGATCCATACAGTGCCTCAGCAACGCCATCTACGACAACCAGTATGATGCGTCAAAATATAAACCAAGCTCAATCACAATCCCAATCCCAATCGGGGCCCCAGACAGCAATGCAATCACCCTCCAACTACGCCGTCTCCCCACCACTCTCTTCTCTAGACACCTCTGCTATCGACCCATCACTGCTCCCCTCCCCTCAATCAGCATACAACAATCCCTCTACCTCAACAGACCAATATAGCTATCAAGATCCTCAGTTCCCGTTTCCCAACGCGCAAGGCATGGATTTCCTCCAGGGCAACGGATGGGATGTTCCAGGCGCGGACGGCAATGACGAGACGTTGAACAGTTGGGCGGGAGATTTAGGTATGGGATTGGGCTGGGATGGGATGGACCATGATTTTAGTGAAGGGGGAAATGTGGATTTATTTGATGGGTTTTTCTTTGGCGGAGCTGGAACTACTTAGGGCGAGATGATATGAGTTGAGATGGAAAAGTCACCGCTTATTTATAAGTGTTTGTTTAATACATTTTTGGCTATACGGATAAAAGTAAGGAGAAAGGGCATGTGTATTGTTATACTGCCTTTGTATAAGGATCAATCATAGATCTAGATCCAACGATTATGAATTATGGCTTGATAATTTTCATGGTGTCATGGTCATAACCTATGAATTTGTGCGTCATGCTACACGCGGCGAGGTCTCTCCGTCAATGTCTCATCTATATTTGGTCGTTCAACTACACAGTACCAAGGAATCTCCATCGTTATGTTATCTAAACGAGACGCCACTTCTAGGACCTATAAATACCGCCGGGGCGACGGGCTCTAATACGGGCAGAGTTAACGATACTGCACAATGCAGGTCCTTGGACGCTCCTTCGTAATCCATCATGTGTCTTGTGTGTTTTCCCACAATACTAGGAAGCAGAGCTGCTGATATTATTTGGTGTATGTATGTGATTGACTGTAACCATTACTAACTTTAGAAGGTGATTTGGTATGTTTTGTACAGTTGGGTTGACACCAACGAGAGGTTTGACAGCGAGAATTAGGTTGATAGCAGTAATACAATTAATAGAAGGAAGAAAATTGACAACAGTATTTTCACAATTTATCTTAACATATCTTAACGTGCCTTGACATATCTTGACATATCTCGACGTATCTTTAGCTACTACTTTAACACCTAGTTTTATCACTCCAAAGCATGAATTGGTCGTCTGGTTGTAACTGACATCCATGCTCTTTGGTAGTTGTAACTGCGCCTCCGCCAGTAATAGCTTTGCTAATCTTGGCCTAAACATGTCTCCATTCGCAGACCATTTGTCCTGTTTACTCAACTTGAAAAGAACATTGAAGTAGATCTAAATGCCTCATCTGCAGTAGATCATTACGTCAGTGGATGCATGACGTGACCAGCTACAAACAAATGAGCACTACTGGTATGAGTTGGTGTTGGTGGCTGAGTGATAAGCGATTCTAAGATATACTTTTAGTCATGAGATGCCTGGACATGCTGTGGAGATAACAAGTGATAATGTGCCTGGCAACATTACTGGATAGATGCTCTGAGACATTTAAAGCGGCCATTATTACCTGTTGCATAAAGATATCGAAGGGTCGAATGGAGAGGCTGGAATTGAATAGAGGAAATGGAATATGAGACACTCTGTTGGTTGGGTATCTCATTATCAGGGTAGGACATGGCAGGTAAGGTGTTTGATAGTTACTGGGGTAAAGTAATATTCAAACGTAACACATAAAAATGGCAAACGAGGACGAACGATGTGACAGGGTTTAGTATGTGTTCCCATTTCTCAAGCCTGGCTGCTAAGCCAAATATCAACTGGGCCTCAATCTGACCACCCAGGCGTATGTGTACTTATATAGGGAGGAGGGTATATAGAGATTCCAGCCTTCTATATATAAAGAGATATCAAACTTCTCATAACACTCGTTGAAACTGACTAAAGCACTGGCGCCGGTTTACATGAGTGACGGCCACGTCCCAAAAACGCCCATTGGCCATCATTGCGGGTTAGAAAAACGAACGAGGCCCGAATAAAGAGGGTTCCGCGCGTTCCACGACAGAATCAGATCTCCTCCACAATCCTTGAGTTGCTGTCTCCCGCCACTCGTTTTAACAGGGCGCTAAGGCCTGCGATTGGTGGAGTCTCTAGAATGTCGATATCTTGCTTCAAAATTAAGTGCCGTGCGAGGATTTGTGCGTGTGCAATCCCAGCTGAGTCTGCAAGTGTCAATAGTCTGTTGATAACCCACCCTCGAAGTTGATCTGTCGCTAGATCCATCGCACCAACAAGGTAGAGCGGCCAGAGAATGTACCATTCTCGGGTACCATCTACCGGAACTTGTTCATGCATGTAGCTAGTAGTCGCCGTGTACTGAGGCACACTTGCGAGAATATCAGCTTGGGCCTGCAGCAATATTTCATTAGAACTGGCCCGTTGAGCTATGGTCTCATCGTTTGTGAGTATGGGTGGAGTTGCTGCTGAGTCGTATAGCAGCTGATTGCTGATGGTTTCGTGGGCCATAATCCTGCAAACCCGTACCCAGTTCCTTATCTGTGGAGTCCAATTATTTTCGTATTTATGATAGGTACCGTTCCATATGAGATCCGGGTCCTTGTCCGTATATAGTGTCCGATACGAGAACTCTTTAGGGAAACCATCGTCTAATTCAGCGAATCGTCGATCTATATCTAGTGCCGTTTCAACTATCTGACGACGACCCATAGTCGATCTTCGGTAGGTGGACCGAAAGGTGGTGAAATCGATAATAACTTCCATTAGCTTCCATGACTGCATAGTCTTATCTAAGATTTTTCCAGCCTCTTTCCGTAACTCAATCATCTCAGGTGGCACTGGGACTGTACGTTGTAGACAACTCAGGACAAGATTGCCCATTACCTGAGTATACATTCGTTGTCCAGCGTCGGTATAGAATTGATCCATGCCCCGAAGCTTGACAAGCGCTGCTGCTCCGTTGACGTGCTTCGTCCAAGCACCAATTGACTCGACATCAGTGCCAGTGATGGTCTCAAACATGCTGAGCACCATGACAGCGAACAGCGTGCTATCCTTCTTGACCTGCGACGGAGATCTTAGGGCTGAATTTATTAGCCGAATCGCAGTTAGATAGTCCTTCCGGGCTTTGACCATGAGACTCGGTGCATGGATGGACTTTGCGAGACTGGCAAGTCCGACTGCACTCATGCCAGCGAGAAGATGCTCATCTGCATCTGCCTGGCCACATAATGTACACAAAAGGTCGTTGTTTTGAAGCCATAGCGTAGGGTTGGAATAGAAGTAGCCTAGAGCACGCTCTTGCAGAGTTGGCTGGAGATTGTAGGATGGTATTATGGAATTAGAAAACCCTCCATAATAACCTTGGGCGGGGCGTAAACTAACGACGAGGTCATTCTTGAGGGCTTCGGCCTTAGTAGCCTCACTGGTTTGTGGTGAGACCTCGCTCGATGTGTAGGATGCTGGGGTCATCGGCGTCGCTGATCGTGAAGAACTACCTTTTGACTTTGCTTTCAACTTTTCTCGAGCCTTGGCTTTCTCAATTACAACCTCGCTTTCATTGCGAAACATGAGATCCAGTTGGTTGCGATAGCCAGGACAGGTCCTCCGGGCCCGAATGCATTGGGTACATGATGGGGTGACGCGGTCGCACTGGAAGTGTCAGGACTGGGTTTGACAAGGACGGATGGCATTCTTGGGTGAAATCTCGGCAGGCATAAAGGATCGTGAAGCTGCGAGTATCTGGGAATAAAGCCAGCACTTACTCGGGTTTTCTTGTCTCTGCATGATTGGCATCCCGTCGAAGGCTTTCCACAATACACCATGTTGGTGAGCAACGGCTACTAGACTCCAGAGCCTATGATACCAAGCCCTTGTGCACGCAGTTTCCGAAAAAAAATTGACGTACGCTCGGTGTTTAATGCTTGAATTCTTATTTTATTTCGCTCACACTTAGAGGGTTGAAGAAGTTGTATGAGGCTATGCACAAACGCCACATTAGCTAGATGTTGGATTGATGACGACGGGCTACCCGATAAGGGAGATTGGAAGACGAGATTTAATGCTCGCGGCTTCCAATCGGTGCTGTGCTGGAGCGGTATATGTATGTAGGGCTGGAATGGCGGCACTTCGTAGTTTTGTTGCCATCGATTTGCAATATCATAGGCCAAGGTACGCAGGACTCAGCCTCCCTTCCTACGCGGCGTCGCCAAGCTAATCAAACTGACACCAAATATTCGTCCCAGGCGAGTCCTTATGACGACGACTGATATTGAACGCGCTGAGGCAGAGTCATTAGCAGGTGACTTGCGTAGTTTTCCATGGATTTTTCAGTGTCGAACATTGGAGTGACCTGTCACGGGCTGTCATCGTCGGCGATGCTTACGAGTCCTATACATCTTTTTAAGCTTTGGAAATTCGTAAGCGGACTGGGATAGACCACCCAATCAGATAAAAGAAAATGCCTAATTGATGCCACGTGACATAGAATAAACCCATCCTAGCTGTCGATCACCAGTGGATAGCCAAATCAGCAAAGAATTACCGGATATAGGGTTGTAGTTGAGAGATCCGTCAAATACAAAGTATTGAAGTTCATGCATCTAGGGTTTTTAGTTTGCGGTTGGCCTCACGGTCCTGAGAGGCAGATGATATCAAATGTTTGCCCGAAAAAGGAACCCGGAATTTCCATCTCCGTTTGATAGTGTCATCATCGCTGTTTTAGTTCTCGCTCTGTGCCTCATCCAAGCCATTAAACCAGAAGCTCACGCTGAAGCTTGGACTGAGACTTCTAACATAATGCCACCACCCTAGCGGAATGTAGACACACTCCCCCTCTTCCAAGATACACTCGAGGTACTGTGCCTTAGAAAATAAGGGAAATTCCTCGTGCGCTTTTACTATCTTTTCTTCGGTGCCATCCCATCCAGCGAGGACGCCGACATCTGCTTCACTGGTATTGCTCATGTCCACCCCTCTATCTTCAATGCCTCTGGCATATAGCTTCCGGCTTTCTCGTGGGGCATAAAGCCTGACATATTTCCTGCCTACAACTTGGGCGAGGATGTTGTGATACGGATCAGTGTGCAATGGGCTGATTGTTCCACCGGGCCCGAACCATGCGTTCAACAGGGGGGTTTCCAACTGGCCGACCTGGGAATGCTGGGCAGCCTGTGGGGAAGAGTGATGCGGTGGTGGGCAAACTGCATAACAGTAATCTGGAATCGCAATATCATTTCTCAGCGAAGGGATTTGAGCAAATAAATCATGCTGTGCGAGGTAGCCGATACCGCTGCTAGACAGGGTGGGATCGTTCAACATATACTGCTCCATAAACTCCCTGCAAGAGATAATCGTCTGTCCCCAGCCACTGTCAACGTAGCTTCTTCCCAATTCTACCGGAACCAGCCTTCGTCCACCGATAGTTCTGGACATGAGATAGGCGGGACTACTCCACGGCCGTTCCGTACGAGCAGGCCAATGTTCTAGAGCCCATTTGATAATAACTGGCTCTGGGCCTATATCGTCACATTTTGGATGCAGGATATACTGCTGAAACTTTTCAAATGATGGATTGACTAATTCCCGCACAGGCTTGGAAATGGATGGGATGAAGGATGACAAGGAAGGAAACCGATCAACAGTCAGGGAAATATCGACTTTCCGACGCTTCGGCGCTGACGGTTCATTGTCATTAGTAACGCTATCCGTACTCATACCAACACTGCGTTGGAGAGAGCTGGCATGGATTTTCTCTAGGAGTTCAAATATCCGCTGAAGGGCATCTTTGGTTTCCTGTACGATAGGAGGGCCTGCCACAATGAGAGCCATGTCGATAGTCTTGACAATCTCATCGATGGCGTCGCTCTCTAAAGGGGGGATGCTTGCTGGAGGATAGTTTGATTGCTTTGTGAAAAACAGTGAAGGGATTTTGCCCCAGACTGCCTTCATCGCAACGACAGAAATTTTGAGAAAGCTCGCAAATCGAAAAAGTTCCCCCCAACAAAAAGGAACATCCTTGAATGGGAAAGCGTAGAACTTTTCATTTGCGAGGGTAGCAAGGTCATCGAGTCTCTGAATAATATAATTGTATGAGGGGATCTTTTGCTCAGTGATCGCGACGCATAGGTCCCGGAGCAATTGAAGAATAGGAACGCCACAAGGCTGAAGAGATTTCTCGTAACTGTCGTCTTTAGGATGTAGACGATCATCCTCTAATAGAAGAACTTCTAATGACTTTAGGTTGCAAAATGAATCCACGCATACTTGGATAAGCTTTTCTGTGTCGCTTGGCGAAGGAGCAGTTTGTGAACTTGAGCCAGGAAGAGGCAGGTCAGGAGATCGTGTTCTTGCGACGACCGGACCCATAGCTTATTAGCTGTGCTGGGTTTAATGCGTAAAGTGTTATTGCGAAATGTATATGTACCTAGGTAGGTAAGGTAAATACACAACTTATGAGCCCAAGCATGAGTGAGTGTCTTGGAAGGTTTGTTTTGCTCCGGACGGGTTTAAGCTCCGTCACGCCTCAGGCATCCAACCACCCCTGCACCAAAGTCGCGTCACCAGGATTCGGGACCGCGACTTTGGGCGCCGCGGTTCTCAGCGTAAGTACCAAATACAACACCACATCACAATCACAATCACAATACAATTACTGCTGCTTTATGCGTTTGGGACAGCACCAAATTGCAATAGTCTACTCATATCTATACTTATAGTTAAAGGAACTGCACTGGCAACCGTTTTCTACCATATTACTCGACGGGTTCCTCATGCCCTTCTTCACCCAATAGCCCGGCTTCACACGCGTCTTCCGGGTCCCACCAAGCTAAACCGCGGATTTTTGAAGCGCCAGTTGCAGCAATTGCATTACGCATTTGTTCCTTCGCTCCGTCAAAATATAATATGCGGTTCGAATTCGACGCGTCGAGATATCTCTGAAAATGTATTTACCGCGGTCCCTTATCGCCCTCCTATATCAACACCTTCAACGAACACACCACCCGCTCTCCCCGCCAGTTCTCATCCTCGTCGCCCTTGAGCCCGATGCATTATGCGGCTGCCGAATTCTTACCCAGCTGCTCAAACGCGACTACATACCCCATAAAATCCAGCCCGTGGCCGGATATGGCGACTTGGAGAGAGCAGGCCAGAAGGTCATTAGGCCTATGATGGAGAGCCAAGGAGGAGCCGGGGGAGTGGTTATATGTTTGGGGGTCGGTGGTATGGTGGACCTTGGAAGTTTATTAGGAGTCGACTCGGAGGAGGACGAGACGACCTATGGCGGAGTGGAGGTCTGGGTAATTGATGCGCGACGGCCGTGGAATTTGGGGAACGTTTTCGGCGGTATTCCAAGGTTACCACCAGCCAAGGACGGTTCTGAAATTAAGGAACCTGGCGTCGATAGCGGAAAGATTCAAAGGAATTATAAGCCTGGGAAGGGAGGTATTATTGTTTTCGACGACGGGGATATTGAGGAAGACCTGGATACTGAAAGAGACGCATATTTGGCCTTGGTGGAGATGCCAGAAGTTGATGATAATGGTGACGATAGTGAAGGACCCGAATCAGAGAGTGATGATGATGTCGACGATGCAGAACCACGGCCTGGCCAGAAGCGGAAGTCTTGGTCAGACCGGGATCAAGAGGGTGAGAGTAGCGGAGACGACGATAGGCCACGCCAAAGGCGGAGAAGCAACTCGGTATTTGCAAGAATTTTAATGTTGTTCTATTTCACCCGCTAATAGTTTCCAGTCGAGTCCAATTCCAGAGTCCCCATCTCGACCCAAACAACGGGGTCTAATGTCCCTTAGTGGCCCCCCTGGGTTAGGATCCTCAACATCTCGCTCCGTCTCACCAACCCCCGCCCAACCCCCAAAAGCTATCTCAGCACGAACATTACGCCGACGGCTATTGAAGCTTCGCAGGAAGCATGAAGCTGTTCTTCAGGCATACTACTCGTTAGGCTCATCATACTGTGAACCAATATCTTCCATGATGTACTCCCTGGCGTCAGAATTGGGTCGAGAAGACAATGACCTTCTCTGGATGACGATCGTTGGAGTTACTTCAATGGAATTGTACGGGCGGTCCTCAATAGGTGTTGCTGTATCATCTCGAAAACCGTCGGCAACTAGTTCAGGCTGGCTAGGAACCCGTGGATCACGAATACGACAGCTTCTACGTGACGAAGTTCGACGTCTGAACCCCCCCGAACTCTCCGACTCGAGTTTCAATGCAAATAGATTGCCTGAAAACAATGGTGTAATCCCAACAACAGCACGGAGCCCTACTGATACTAGTATTCGGCTATCTCCTGAACCCAAATTTCTGCTCATCAGACATTGGAGCTTATATGACAGCATGCTACACTCACCTTACTTGTCTGCGCGATTACATATCTGGTCAGACAGTGGAAGGAAGCGCCTGCATAAGTTACTTGCGAAGATGGGGGTCAGTCTTGTCCAATGTAAACAAAGCTATACCCATATGGATATGGAGTTAAAGCGAGGGTTACGGACAAAACTTCTAAAGTACTCTGATATGTACGGTCTTGATGAGTTGGTCCCGTCCGCGGATACAGATGGGAGAGACAGAGGCGGAACAAAGGAAGGATGGGGGTTCGTAAGAAGTTGGGGCTGGCGAGCAACTCTGAGCGCACAAGACGTCGGCATTATTGTTGGTGCAATTCTTGAAGTTGGAAAGCAGGCCGCAACCGCGCTCCAAACAGCAAACTGGGATCGGGGAAGGGAGGGGAAAGAGATAACAGATGAAGCGGGTACTTTGGAGAGCGAGGAATGGGTGGGACGTTTCTGGGATGCATATGATGCCCTGGAGAAGTGAGCACCCCGTTACCAAACGATATTTGAGTTACGCTAACACAATACGTAGGATCGAAGAACTTAAGGCAGCCTTACCCACAGCTCAGCATCTTCATCGAGCGATCCTTCGCACAGGTACTTCCCTAATCGAGAAACGGCAAATTCGCCATCTTCGAGCATTCCGCATGTGCGTTGTGAAGGATGGGCCTGATGTTGCACTATTCACCCACCCTGCAGCCCTCACAAAACTAGCTCTATGGGTTGGCGAAGCCATCTCAGAACAAGAACGCGAGAGCAAAGGAAAGCTGGGTCACGGTGGACGAGGAACACCCCTAGTTGTTGCCGGCCTAAACGAGAACAGAGGCGTGTACGTCGTTGTAGGCACTGGGGGAGGTGGCGGCGGTATGGGATTCGGTGACCCAGTTGCGGCTAAAGAGAGGAAGGAGAAAAGAGAAGCCAAAGCCAAAGCTCGTGAGTTGACGAAGAAAAATAAGGAGAAGATCAAGGAGGGGAAGAGAGAAGCCCGAAGGCGAGCCGCTGCAGATAATGAGGAAGATGAAGAGGATGAAACCGAATCTGAAGATTCAGACTCTTCATCCGAGGAGGAAGATGATGATGAAGAGGATGAGGCTTCTCAAGCGAAAGGCTTCGGCAGGAATAAATTCGGAAATGCCTTCCAACTAGTGGTGGAGGAGACGAATGCGCGAGTACGCATTGATAGTTTTGAACATTGCGTTGTAGAAGTCAAGAAAGAGGACCTGGCTGGGTTTCTAGAGAGTCTGAGTATGAAGGCTGTGGTTGGATGAGACAAGCCTACGAGGATGTAGATACGTGTTCATGACCTGGCGTCTAGCTTGCTTGTTGGGATTGTTTTTCACTCCTGGGCTATGCATTGGGTTTTCTTGGAGTGGGGATTGCTAGGCAGATATGGCTCTATATAGGAATGAATGATTGCCTAAATGTCTCTTAAGTACCGTTTATTTGAAATGTGATAATGTAGATTTCCGGTAAGGCTAGGCCTTTAAATAAAATGAAGCTTATTAACATTCCGAGTGTTAACCCGTAGGCAAATTGCAGAAGCCATTGATGATTTACCCAAGTCAAGTTGGCTACTTAGTCGACATGTCCCTTGGGCAAGCATTGCACTTTTGGCTAGAAAGTACTTGTCATGATGGAATCTTAAGATTTCAAAAGAAGATTAGGGGAACGATACAAACGCTCGAGAAGTTGCCTTCTACTATACTAGTGGGCGTGACTACAAGATTGTTCATACAGGAACACAGGGTAATCGCCATCTCAATCTAGCTTCCAGACGCCACCTCCCATGCTTTTATCCCCAAAATTAACGCCCACCAACTCCATATCGCATAGACCATATCAAACCGTATCCAAGTCCATGCCACCTAGACGCAAAGCCTGTAACTGGCATATCTCCCCGCCGTCTCACTCATCCGGATGATCTTAACTACCTGGCCCCTCCTCAACCCAAGGTATCTAGCAACCGGATCGCTCGTCTGAACACGCGGAAGCTGTGTATCCTTCAATCGATACCTCTGCAACAGCGCGGTCTTCTCCTCCTTGCTCAGCAACACATGTTTGGGCACCAAATCATGGTGGGTGATGTTGACCAGCAGATCCTGCTCCAGGAAAGTCTCAATCCGTGTATCAGCTGCCACAGCTGGGATAATCTTGAGCGCGGCAGAAGTGATATTGACGGTTGTAATGAGGATGCCCGTGTGGAAGTTATTGGAGGAGAGATGCTGTGCGAAGTTCCGCATCTGCTTGATACCCACGTTGCTGTCGGGGAGGAACTCAACCCAGATGGTGCCGATATCTGGAGGAGCTGGGGTGGGCTCGCGATCGGTAGGAAGGTTTGAGTATCGCTTCATCATAGCATCGCTGGGATTGGCGGAGAACTTCATCATTGAGCGGCTGTTGAGAGAGTCGTTATTAGTATGGAGAAATCTTTGGCATGCATCGAGACCAAGAAAAGTGAGAAGATAGCAAAGAGCAAAGAGCTCTTACTTGATGCTGCCATCTGCGCCGGTGAACTGGCTCTTGAAATTATCAAGACTGATGGTAACTTCCTCCTCAGTTAACGTATAGCCTCTGTCCTGAAGCATCTCATGGACTGTCCGCCATGCGCGCCAGAGTCGCGCAGATTCTCTGCTTTCAGCCTCACGCGCCTTTGCCTGGCGGTCTTCTTCAGTTGACATCTTGCTGCTGAGGGGACAAAGACGGGCGTTAAAGAATGGAGAGCAGCGTTGTGCAGTTTGAGATGGAGAGTGGGACGGTGGAAGGCGTAGCAAGAGGTTGTCAAAGCGACAGCTTCTTGAACTAATGGATGTGAAGGAGAATCTTCAAAATGTTCGCGAGGTTGCGCGGGTGGTCTGTGCCCGCCGCCGTAGATGGATTTTTTGGGGATTCGCAGGTCCTCGAGGAAATCTGTCCCCGGATTCACTCTGGACACTTCTTCACACACAAGATATTTCTCTTTGTTCTTCAAGAGGACCACTCTCCCTCCTCATCTGCCTAGCTCCACAGGCAATTGATTCCTACAGAAAACAACAATCAAGTGTTGTTGTAGGAGAAATTAGCAATCATGGCGGACGTCGCAACCCCCTCTGCTGCAACCATGTTTGACGGCGGTGCTACGACCGACAAGAAGAAGATCGAAAAGCCAGAGAAGCCCGACGAGACTGCCTACAAGGCCCAGCTTGAGAAAGCCCAGAAGGAACATGCTGATATTATGACAAAGCTTGTGAGTCAATCCCCATTCACAAACTTAATACAATCAATCACCTTTGGCAATCTGAAGGACTATTTACTATATTCCTGAAGGGTATCCTATCTCCCAGCTCTAGCACTTAGATATAAATATATATTTACCACTGAAACAATATGTTAATAACTAGCTAACTTTGCACTGTAGGGTGCCGTTAGAGCCAAGTTGGACTTGACAAAACCTGCCGCCAAAGATTCGCCTTCCGCAAAGGCACGTGCCGACCTCCTGGCTCAATTGAAGGAGATTAGGGAGCAGCAGGGAGCTGGAAAGGCAGGCAGAGGACAGACTATGGACAAAATCAGGAAGCTGGATGAGAGCGTGAAGACTGATTTGGCTGCATTAAAGACTGCGCGTAGCCGGGTTGCATACAAGGGTCTCGACGATGTCGATCGTGAAATCGACCGATTGGACAAACAAGTCAACAGCGGAATGATGAAGTTGGTCGACGAAAAGAAGGCTCTGACTGAAATCTCCAATCTTCGAAAACAGCGCAAGTCATTTGCTGGATTTGACGATATTCAAAAGTCAATTGACCTCAAGAAGGCTGAAATCAAGAAACTCCGGGACACTCTTGACGACCCAGAATCGAAGGCCCTCAGTGACAAGTACAACAAGCTCCAGGATCAGCTCAACGCCATCAAAGCCGAGCAAGATGAGGCTTTCAAGGGCATTTCCTCCCTGCGAGACGAACGCACAAAGCTTCAAAATGAGCAACAAGAAAAGTATGCGGCGCTAAAGACTCTCAAGGACGGCTACTACGCTCAAACACGTGCTGTGCAGAAATATGAATATGAAGCACGTCAAAGACTCCGCGAGCGAAGAAAGCTAGAGCAAGAGAGCTACGTGAAGGAGAAGAAGAAGGAGCGCGCTCAACAAATGCTTGCCGAGGCCAGTGAGAAGGCATACTTAGATGAGATCCGTCGTGCTGAGAGCCTTCTCCGCTTCTTCGATCCATCATATGTTACAGAGAAGGCACCACTCCAGGCCAAGTCTGAATTTGAGGCTCAGGCGCAAAGAAAGGTTGACGACTCTGGCATCAAGGGCATGAAGGTTGTTAAAAAGGAGGAGGAAGATTACTTTGCCGGCGCCGGGAAATCTGGCAAGAAAGGAAAGAAGAACAAGAAGAATGCTGCGCCTGCCGAGTCACCTGCTACTCCAACCTCCTTCAACTGCCCCCCAGCAGTGATGGAAGACTGCTCATCAATGGGTATTGAACCTCCTATGAGCGCCGCCGAAGCCGCCGAAGTGCTGGAGAAGGTCAAGGAGAAGCTAGCGCACTGGAAGGCCAGCCAAGAAAGCCAGACTCAAAAAGTAAGTAATTATATTTCCGCCATTCCTTCCCATATGGCTAACGAATCCTTTAGAACATTGCCAAGGCCAAGAAGGAACTCGAGCGCCTTGAAGCTGAAGAATCTGCCCCTGAAACACCAACCACCGCTAACGGCACCAATGGCAACGCCGCCGCTGAGGGCGAAGATTCCATCGCGAACGAAACCGAGCTGATCAAGAACGCTGCCTCGGACATCGTCGCTGATCTCAAGGGAGCTTCTCTTGAGGACAAAGAATAATTGCATACGCTAACTAGCGGAGCAATTGCCTTGCCTGTTGGATCCATTCTGATGGGGTTAGGCTGTGGATTCCAACTGTTACACTCCAGTGGCACGTTGGATCACATTTTGCACCCGGCTTGAACCTCTCCCCTCTGAAACTCCGTCACGTAGCCTTTCAAAAGCATGGATGGTCCCTTAATTTTCCAAAAAGCTGGGGAGGGTTTCGTTTCTTTTTATATTTTAGTTTTTCTACGTGGCATGGCATAGGGAAAAACAACTCGTTCTCGATTGATCCAAAAAGGGATGGGCATTAGCTTTGCATATTCTTGACCTGTATTTTACGAAAGCGATGCATTTTTTTGACCTATTTTTCTGCGCGGCCTTTTCGTTGATAGGTTTGAGTCGAAAATGCAGGTGAGGGGATACTGCACCCTCAAGACATGTGTGTGTCTAGAGTGTGTAACGTGGAGGTGGTCACGGGAAACAACGTCTCCAATAGTTGGTAGTTGTGTCACGGTAGCTAGAAAATGAATTATCGACATCTATGTGCCAGTTGTGATAAAATTTCTGATCGTCATCTTAGTTCGTAAATTAAAGACAAGAACTGGGAAACTATAGCCGCTGAAAATTTCCCAAACGCTGAAATCCTAGACTCTATGCGCCGGCTCCGCTATGCTTCTTGCAATACGCAATTTATGTGCCTCGTGTCAATCCCATATCTGTATGAAATCCGCGTTAGCCAAGGAGAAATTCCCGGATGTGCTTGTATATCCGCATCTTGGTTTAATCATTAATGGTTGTGCCCGTGGGCGAGAGGCGAGGCCAGGAGATATATATTCTCCACTGTGGTGACTTCCGCGCTCAATAGCCAGGAGGGCCATAACTATATCCCGTCCCCGGCGCAAACGCTGTAGCCGGTCTGCTAGGAACCCTCAGGGGCGGAGGGGGCGGGGCAACCGGCCTTTCCCGTTCCCTATCCCTCTCTCTTCTTCCCATACTCCTCCTCTCCCTCTCCCTATTCATCTCCCTCTCCACTACTGGCTCCCTCAGCCTAACCTTCCTCTCCCTCCCACTTCCTACACCCCCCAACGCACTTAGTGGAGGGTCCCTCACACAGGTCTCGTCATCCCCCGGTAGGTTCAGATCCACTAGCCCGTAAAAGTATTCTAGGACTTCGGGATACCGCTGGACGCTCGCTTTCCAGTCATCGTCAATCCCGCGCTTCAATTCTGCCTCTGCGGCGGCGATTTCGGAGGGGTGGGGGCGCGCATTGTAGTAGTAGGAAGCGCGCTCATGGATGCGTTGCATATGGGAGGCGTGGTATTCTTTGCGCCGGGTGGTGAGCATGCTGAAGTAGGATAGGATGTAGTCTTGGGCGTGGCCACGGACCCAGCTTCTATTCCAAAAAGTGCACATTAGTCTCTGAATTGGCGGGAGGAAAAGGGATAGTAGCTGTCTCTTATACACATCTAGATGTGTATAAGAGACAGGGGGAGGGGTTACCGTATATCATTAAAGACAGAAGTCATCATCTTCTGCTCCGCTTGCCGCACCGCTATATCCAACCCTTTGGCTTCGCACTCGCACTGCGCGATCGCAGGCTGGCTGCATATGGCGCAGTCGGGGTCCATTATTCTAACAGGTCTTTTGTACCTGCGACTCCTCATCAACATGACCTCTGGGCGTAGTATGTATGGCATTGTGGTATATGACACCGCAGGAGCCGGTAGGAAGGATAGGGAAAACTAGAGATGGGGATATGACGGCGGGCATCAAAAGGAGCAAAGAGAGGTTCGGAGGGGTTGTGCTTTTTGTAGCATATCCCAATAGTACAAGGGAACCCATGATGAAGGGGCATGATATACAGACGGCCTAGGAGAACGTTCACGCGAAAGGGCGATAAAGCGCTGGACAGACTGAGGTCACTTACCAGTTCAAGAGGTGCGGATGTTGAGATCACGCTATACCTGAATGTCTAAAATCGCAACGTGCTCTCCACGACCGGCGCACTCGAGAGATGGGGTTAAAAGAGAGTGGATTAAGCCACTTCCCGGGGCAGATCGTCCCTTATGCCGTGGGGAGAAAGGTCCGAGTAGAGACGGAAAATCAAGGGAATGGGCATGAAGGCATGAAGGCATTCAGACCGTAACAACACAACATAACATGTCGTTAGAGCAAGCTTTCCGCCGTCTCTAACTTACAGCGGGGACTCGATGTAATGGCCCGGGAACGAGCGGGAGTCTAGTTCTTTGCTGTTGTCGTGGCTCCTGTAATAGTGCCTCCCACGGCGTGGGCGGGCATATATGCATGGATGGACAGGTGTATCATATCAGGAGATCCGGTTGGTGAGGACATCATGTTGACTTGTAGAATTCGGCCATCTGGTCCAATGGCACATGAGCAAGCAGACTCGGCGCCCCATACGAGGTGCGGAGTGCGTCTTTAGGTGCATCGAATAGAGGCAAGCTGGCGCAGAGGCATTGGGGAGACAGCGAGCTCGCGTCTACACCGCTCCTATAGCGGCAAATTGGAGACAAGAGGCTGATGAAGCACTCGATCAGGGTTCGGTAGCTGAGATCTCACTCGATTTGGCGATGGATAGAAGTAGCTTCGTATCTCCAAACTTTGCATGGAGACGATATTGACTTTGGAGATGATATTGTACAAGCCAAGTGACAATGTCACGATGTCCAAAGTCTTAAAAGTGATCGAGACATTGGTGAACATGATCTCGTGATCTCCGGAGACGGAAAATCCCTGGGAGCGTCGGCGTTAGCCTGATTTGGATATACACGGTTAAGCCCGATGGATACGGTGACCGGGAAATCTGCTAGCGACGGCAGTATCAAAGTCCAGAGTCTAATAAGCAACAGATTCTTCGTTCTTCGACTTCTTACAACTGTCTTCACTCTTGAGGCAGAATGCCTCCAAATTGTTTAGCCATATCAGGGACCCTCACCCCATTCTTATACCCGTTCGTATTTTCCGCTACAGCTAGAAGAAGCTCGAGATTCGTATTCAATTCCCTCCAGCGTCGCAATGAAACCACAAACGCGACCACGATCACAGCGACGGACGATTCCTCCCAGCCAACATACGAAGAAGGTTCTCATCTCAACCCTCCTCCCAGCGACTATTCCCGTACTATTTTCACCGATAAAGCAACAATAAATGCGCATGCTGGATCAGGCGGACACGGGTGCATTTCGTTCTTACGCGAGAAGTACATCGAGGCAGGACCTGCGAATGGAGGCGACGGCGGCAGTGGAGGCAATATATACATCCAAGCAGTTCGCGGCGAGACAAGCTTGCACAAGCTTGCGCGACGCAGTATATTGAAGGCTGGTCGTGGGAAGAATGGGCAGGGCAAAACTCGGGGTGGCGAACGAGGCGACGACATCGTTATCCAAGTTCCGGTCGGGACTGTCGTGCGGGAAATTGAGAGAGAGGACCCTGTGTTTATCGAGGAGCAGAGGATGAAGCTGGAGGCTGGGAAGCGGGATGGCGAGGATCCCAATGGGCCCTGGAAATGGAGTCGAGATAAGTGGTTGCTTTATCCTGCCGTGACACCGGAGGATATTGCTACCGCAGAATTTCCTACTCTCCCCAAGCCTAGGAGACCAGCGCTAGCTGTCGCCCAAGTGAAGTCCCCTATTTCCCTCGATCTGAGTGTTCCCATGGACAGGCCAATTCTGCTTGCTGCGGGAGCTGTGGGTGGGATGGGAAATCCTCATTTTGTCACCAGGACTGTACCCCGGCCGAAATTCGCTACAAAGGGATCAACGGGCATGAGGGTCATGTTGCAACTGGAATTGAAGCTTCTCGCTGATGTTGGGCTTGTCGGGCTTCCGAATGCTGGCAAGAGCACGCTTTTGAGGGCTATGAGCAAGAGCCGAGCGCGGGTAGGGGATTGGGCATTTACAACTCTACAGCCTAACATTGGGACTGTAGTCCTAGATGACCATCAGGGCAGACCTGTAGCACGATCAACGCTGGAAACCGGTGAGCCACGAACAAACTACACGATCGCCGATATTCCCGGACTCGTCCAAGATGCCCATCTTGATCGTGGTTTAGGAATAAGTTTCCTACGCCACGTCGAGCGTGCACGAGTCCTCGCCTTTGTCATTGATCTCAACGCCGGCGATGCAGTACAAGCCCTGCGAGCTCTCTGGAAAGAAGTCGGCGAATACGAGCGAATGAAAATCCAGGAAGAGACGGAGCTTACAGAGCCACTCGTCGAATGGAGTCCATTCCGCTGCACAGAAGATGCTTTGAATAATCGGCAGGAGACAATAATCGTTAATACTGGACCGACCTTTGACTCCCCGCTAGCTCCACAGGTACCAAGTATTGCTGGAAAGCCTTGGTTCGTGGTTGCTACTAAAGCAGACTTACCGGAAACGAGGGAGAATTTTGAGAAGCTACAGATATATTTGGATGCCGTTGGAAAGGGGGAGTGTGAGCATCCAAGTGGACAGAAGAATTTCTGGGATCAGAAAGTAGAGGCCATCCCTATCAGTGCCATCAATGGGCATGGGACCAACAAGATCACCGATTGGGTTGTGGACCTTTTGGATCGGTAGGGCGATGTTAAACTATTGTACTATATATATGGGGTTTATCCTGGGCATGTGGAAGGGCACGTCATCATCTAATTGAATATACCCTTTTGGATTCTATTGCGAAGTTCGCACATATCGAGTCTCGAACATGTAACCCTCTCCAACTCTCCCTAGTCTTATGTTGGGCCAATTTCTTGTACACTTTGGACCACAATGACATGTTGAAATCTCTGAAGTTCCGCTGTTTCTCGGTTACCCCAGTCGATTATTCAACCCACGATAGGATTGATATAGTTTTTGGGAAGCAATACTCTGTCGACCGCGTCGCTCAAACTCGGGCACATCGGCCTTCCATAATTGAGTATGGCCTTCGGCAATCCGAAACTTGTTCTTTGGTATATTTATTTCCGTCGCTATCTCGTTCTATATTGTGCCTTTCCTCTTCGAAGATGCTCGTTTTCTTGTCAAGGACTCATGTCTGCGGGCACTCCATTCTCTGGACTGCCATCGGCATCTCCCGTCTCCGAATCACCTCCACGGGAATGCTACCCACAGCGTGCCACTCGTGATGCAGGAAATTTTAAATTCTCTTCACTCCATGCATCCTTCACAGCAGTCGACAATAACCCTCCAATTACCAGTAAAAGTACACTGGAAGGTCAAGAGAACGTTTCCTCCTTCCATAGGGCTGTTACATCACCCTGTATGCACCCTTTCGGCACGGGCAATATCCAATCGCTTGCATCCTACTCTACTCTAATTATTATCTCCGGTATATATATTCCCCAATTAAGAATTAATAAGCTAATAGTAGATCTCAGCGTCGAATTGGGAGAAAATGTGGGGAAGTTCCGTGCAGCAGGTTACATTTTACCGCGAGCCGCGAGCGGCAAAATCTTAATATGTTTCGTATCGCAACGTAGCACAAGGATGCTACTTAAGTCCCCATCTAACCTTTGTGTAGATCTGCGGTTCGTCGCGTATACATTGTTTCACATCGATTTGGAATTTGTCCTGTGCTGGGGCGGCAGATCTACAGGTGGAGGGTTTAGGTTGGGAGAATGACCGGTTCAATCAAGTGGCTAGATTGCACATCTCAATCGACCAGATCATTTCCATTTTTGAGGCTTGTCGTCCAGCGAAATGACTTTAGTTATTGTTTTTATTTCCCATTTTCCATGTTTGACGCGTCATCTTTATCTTCAAACATTTCTTGGCTCCTTTGACCTTTCGTTTAGATGCACTTGCAAGGTCAAGAAGTTTCTCAGTCAATAGAATAGGAAGTGCCGTGTACTTCCGTAGCTTCGCGTTCAATATGCCAATATCGACTTTGTTGTTGATCGTTACCTTCAATCTTCAGGCAAAAGAGTTACCTCAGGAACACCCGAGCATTGCGCTGAAAATCTTGCTCCAAAATCCAATCAATCCCAATGTACCTGAAGAGGGGCATTGTATCTTTGGTCCGGACATGGTTATTTGTCCGTTACAGCTTGCTTATCACCCAAAGTGGCCACGTCCACCAATATCACTATTCCAAAACGCATAAATCAAGATCCTGCCCCGTCCCCTAGCCCCTTTTCCTCCCTAAACAAGCACTCCAAACCAAGATCAACCATCTCACTTCCAGACTCCGAACTACTTTCATCACTTAGCCACTGAATTGTCGCTCTCACAACCTTAACCATGGTTTCAGCATCCTCCTACCTGGTTCCCATAGCATCCTGCCTCCTCGCCCCCTCGGCCATCATCTCCCTCGCCATCGCCGCACCAACAGCACTCACCTGTGGTGTAAAAGGATGGGACAAAGCAGGATCCACCCCAGCATTCCTTGCCATAGTGAATGCTACCTCTGCCAGTCCAGCACCCTGCAAAGCGCTGTGTACAGAGAATAAATGTGGAAGTTTTGCAGTCGGAAATGGCACATGCCTTCTCTATGTGGCCGATGTCGCTACACAGTTGAATCCCCAGAATGCGAGCACTTATACGTATTATGATGCGGGCTGCACCGTTTAAGCCCGTTTAGAGGTCTTCCGGCCAGAGGCGACTTTTGTGTGGGTTGCTCCCTTGGCTACGCTAGTTAATATTCTGACTGATTAGTGAATTATCTAGGCATTCGTTTTCTTGTCCAACTCAGGACCATCTGCATATTGACGGAGGTGGGGGTTCTTGAGTTAGACGGAAGTGGCAAAGGCCTGATTGTGGAAGAAGTGGTGGGGTCATGTAAATATGTCCTAAAATGAAAAGAGTTTTGTGTATTCCGCAGTACTATAATTAGCGACTTTCAAAAGGTTCTTCTCCTCTTGTAACTACTAGACAACCGCCATAATTCCATTCATATGGGATTTAAGCCTTGTTACCGAGGTAAAGCGCTTAGACAATCCTAATCTTCTCGTAAAAGAAATCCCATTTGGTAAATATAAATGTTACAACTAAATATCTGCTATAACAGGTAATCGTACATCGGAATGTTCACATGATATTTTTTCCATATCTGTCTCTGGGTCTGAGTAGTGGACGCTCTACACTGAGCTGAACCCTGAGTAGGTAGTGGGCGATCACTCCTGGCCAACCCCTCAGAAAAAGCTAGAACCATTCTATTATTAACCTATTAAAATAGTAATATTGGTTTACAAGGAATCCATTCTAGCATCCCTATCGATATTTAAAAGAATTTCTCTCAGAGTCAGTTTCACCTTGGTATCTGGTGTGGGGTATCAATATATATCAAAATAAGCAGAATCCCCTTAACAACTGGAGACAGGCGACTAGGACGCGGTGGTGCAGTGGTAAAACCACTGCTAACAAACCATCGCTAAAAAACTTCCTCGGAAGACCCTGGACCCTCCGCTAGAGATAACAAGAGGCTAGGGGGTAGTTGGCTCAACGTTTCTCGGTAACCTACGATTGAGTAGGTATTTCTTTTGCCATTTTTTTCTTTAATTGCATTCTATTCATTCCTTTTTTAGGGCTCAGTTGACTCGCTTGTTGTGCTCAACTAGGCGATAGCAAGGCTGGGTTTGAATCTCCGAACCAACGCCTACCGATCCTTCCATTTTGCCAGACTCCAAATATAACTCAGTTTTAAAAATCCAAAAGACAGCATAAACCTTAGGAAGTATCACGTCTAATTCTCATTGGGAATACAATCTCTGGTACCTTACCAAGGTTTCGACTACCCAAGGAGCAGAGCGCAACGTAGATTCGGCAGTAGAGTCAGTACACATGTTGGTTGGCTGTCACGAGATCGAAGGTAGGGCACAAGCATGTAAGCTGCAGGGAAACAATATAGCAAAATACGCTAGGATTTGACTGTTCTTACCTACCTAGGTAGGTAGTTTCTAGGTGATGTAAGGGTAGATAAATACATGTATCGAGATCCCTATTACCTCCAGAATTGCCATTGATAGACCTACATGTCGAGGAGGTATCCCATGGCCACCAGTGAAAATGAAGGGAAGCCGTCTCTTATAGTTTGGCGGCCACAGTTGTTTGGGGTCGGCAGCTGGTGTGGAGAAGAAGGCGGACTAGAGACCCTTGAAGGGTTTCAAGCCCGCCATCTGAATCTGCAAGATTCATAATAAAAAATAATGTAATAAGAGAAACGAAGAAATCAAAAGAATAGCCTTGGGGGATACCGAGAAAACAGGATTTCGGGCCAGGTTTCTTGGAGCCTACTAATGAAAGTGGCTGTTTCTAGCTGTGAAGGTGTTAAAGTTGAAGTTCCCACAGGTGTTCTACTTAAATGCATTGCTATTCCCAGGACAGGTAATCACGTATCATCACAGTACTTAATCATGAATATCAATTTTAAATATCAACTCGAAAGACATGGACGGGCTCCGCTCTATTTAATTTCGAGCAGATCTCTATGGCATCACGTAGATAGTCAAATATTTCTTCGAAACAGGTCGATTGCAACACTAGTTATAATTTATTTTTCTCATGCAGTCGTAAAGTTGGAGATACCGCAGTGGAAAGCCCTTAATACAGAAACCCACATGCTAAACTTCCGCTCAGCGCAAGGTCGCAAGCCTTGCGATAGTGCGCGTGGCGACATTCTGCTCATCCCAAACATACGTAACACTCTTCTCCTGGACCACTGCATTTGCCCATTTCCAGAAAGCAGGTGCCCTAGCCTCAAGAGAAGTCAACACGCTTTTTGGAAGCAACTCCTCGTACTTTGGGAAAGAGAGAAGCCGGAGAATAAAAGAGCCCGTTTGCACCTATTATAATCGTCAGCAATTTTGTAAGATGGAACGGCAAATATACTTCAAAAGCCGCAGGATTTCGTAGAATAGCAATAATATTGAAATGAACTAACCTCAGCAAGAGTCAACTTCTCCGATCCGCCAAAATACGGCGCGGCATCTTGTAGCAATGGCTCAATCTCCTTAACAATGACATCAACTATCTTCCCAGCCTCAACCTCCTTCTCCCCTGCCTTCAGCTTGAACACCGGGTACGACAACGAATTAACTTTACTAAACCACGTATCAACAAAGAAATTAATATTTGCTCTTTGTAGGGCTCCTCCTGGCTCAGAGCTGGTCTTCTCCAGATGTGAAGGGTGTGAATCGACCAGGAATTGCGAGATGATGCCTGATTCGGTTATAATTGTACCGTTGTAGTCCAAGGCTGGGACGAGGCCGCGAGGGTTGATTTTGAGATATTCAGGGGTGCGGGGTACAGAGAGGTCGACGATTACCGTCTCGAAGGGGAGGCCAAGCTCGCGAAGGGCGATTTGGGACCGGTGAGCCCAGGGACATAGATGGCTGGTGTAGAGCGTTATCTTTGGGGTTTCAGTTTTGGAGGCCATCGTGACTTGGTGTGGTTTGTTGGGGGCCAAAGTGGTAACAGGGGAGAGGCGGGGTTATACACGTGACTTTTATCTACCTCGATTTGGGGAAGAATGATGATGAAATAAAACAATGGGCCACTACTGTGGGGATGACAGCCCTTATGTAGGTATGTTATAATTCTTCATAGTTGACCCGGATTACGACTACATTGCTTTATTCATGCAATCCTACGTCGTCATGATGTGATGATGGCTTATGGCATCCAGTATTTTGGATTTCAAAGCGAACGCCGAGCAATCTACCGAGCGGAATTAGCAACGCGTCAACTCCAAATGAGTGGGGTAACCCCAAGCAATGATGTCGGATCTGGGTAATTATTAAGTTGAGCCCGGAAATCGGAGAATCGTAAAGTTCCGGAATTGTGCTGTGAGATAAAGGTAGGTATGTGCACCTTTTTTTTTGTCTTCAGAATGGAGGCAAGACTGGCATAGGAGTACGGGTAAGATGCTAAGGCAGCTTCACATAGTGAAAAGATGCAGAGTGAGGAAATAGAACTTTCTTCATGCAATTGACTACTGCAGGTTTGTGGAGAGAATGAACTTCGTATACATGTAGCAGAAGAAAATATGAATACTAATGATGCACCTAGCACGACAATGCATTTATTTCTTCCCATACGCCGCATTGATATCCTTCTGATAACGCTCAACAATATTTCTCCTGTTCACCTTCTGAGCAGCAGTAAGCATCCCCTAGGAATATTTATTAGCCCTGCCATACTAATCCAAACCTTGGGTGAAGGTGTTCAAAAATCTGACTCACGTTCTGACTTGTCCAGTCAAAATCCGTCAAAACGACTCCTCGAACAATTTCCGCGCTTGCGAGTCCGACTTTGCGAGCGGTATTTTGTAGCTCTTTGACCACCATGTCTTTTATGGCCGGCTTTTGAATAAGGCTGCCGAAGTTGTCGTCTTCCAACCCTTTGTTCTTGGCGAGCGTTTGTAGGGCTGAATGTGCTGGGACGATAACTGCGATTGGATTGGTTTGGTCTGCTGCCGCGTAAACGATCATATTTGAGACGACATTGTTCGTGGAGTATATTGACTCGAGCTGTATCCATGATATTAGTCAAGCATATTGTGATATAGAGATGTGCGCATTACCTTTTCGAGTGCGATATATTCGCCGTTCAAAGTTTTGACAAGGTTTTTCTTTCGATCAATAATCTTTAGGTGTCCATTGGGTGCCCACTCCCCAATATCGCCTGTCCGGAACCATTTATCGGGTGTAATTGCCTCGGCCGTTAACTCGTCATTCTGGTAATAGCCATCCATGACAGCATCACCCCTGATCAGAATTTCACCTTGGGGAGGATCGTTCGCTGCGCAGTACCCTGCTTCAAGGTAGTCCACTAGTTTAATTTCGATGCAACTTGGAATATCTCCAAGAGTTTCATCGTTCCATTCTAATGGATCCATGAGAGCTCCCATTCTATTTTGCACTTAGCAGCCTGCTTTGCCAAAGTAGGGGAGTTGAGAATGAGAAACGAGACAAAGTTGAGAATAGAATAAGTACTTACGCGGTGGTTTCAGTTAATCCATAACCCATGAGCAAGGGCGCAATGGCGAAAGATATGAATCTTCTTGTTTCCTTCCCAATTGGCCCAGCGCCATTAAAACAAGCCCTTAGCCTCCCGCCAGTTTGTTTCTTGACAGCATCAAATACCAAATAATCCAACATGCCTGGACCCGGTAATTTCCAGCCACATAGGAAGGTTTTCAATCCCATCGCTCTCCAGAAGATAAAACTTTGTAGAGTCCCTAATTGTGAGATTTTCTGCTCGATGCCTTTGCGTATCATCTCCCAAATTGCGGGAACACCTATTAGTATTGTAGGTTTGAATTCTTTAATATCGCCTTGGCAATTTCGCATGGAAGTATCGGAGAGCGTTCGTGGGTTTCCATAGCCCATCTGTATGCCCCAGTAGAAACATACATTCTCGAAGGCGAATTCGAAGCTATGGGCTAAGGGGAGGTAGCAGAGAACGGAATCGTCGGTGCTGAGGTAGGGCGTGAAAATCGAGTCGAGTCCAGCGACTAAATGGGTGTTGAGCAGCTCCTTTTGTGATATTAAGGAGATTTTATAAGCTTACTAGCAGCTATAATATTGCGGTGCTTCAGCGGAACTCCTTTTGGTGCATCTGTTGTACCTGAAGTATACATTAGACAACACAAATCGTCTGGACTGGGAGGAACCGGCTCGACTGGGTTGTTCTCTCCCATTTGGCGAACGTCTTCAAGACTAAGGATTTTGATTCGGGGATTGAGTCGTCTCAGATTGTCAAAATCTCCCTGTTTGATTTGTCCGTCGTCATTATAAATGAGGGCTTCTAGATTCTGAGCCTTTTGTAATGGCTTGAGAAGTTTGGGTATGAGGTCTGGATCGACGAATATTGCCTTTGCTTGAGTTTGGAGTAGCGATACCTCGAGACCTTTTTCTCCGAGGGTTGCGTAGGATGTGACTATCGGAATCGATTGAGTGGCTGCAGCTGTTTGGTGTCAAGAGGGGTGACTATTTTGATATTTTATAATTAGGGCGTACCGTGGGCCGAGAGCAGCCAGTTTGCACTACGAGAGCAAAATTAGTTGATATTCTTCGCAAAATAGGATTCTAACTTACCTCGTGGTTGCAAAAACATGAAGTTTATCCCCCTTTTGGAGACCAAGTGCACGGTAGCCAGCGCCAATTTGCAGCGCTTTGGTCGCATATTGCGCAAAGGTCAGGTACTGATATTCACCCAACTCATAATATGTCCATTGTTTCTCATCATCCACTACCTGCCCGTCTACCATCTTCTGAATTGTTTTGGTTTCATGATGAGTTTGGATGAACTTTCTTGTTCCCACCGCTTTTAAATGCGCATATTTTTTCGACGCTCGGTGTAAGATATCGTAGACGGTTTCTATTCCAGGCTCTAAAAGTGATTTTAGTTTATCGGGATGTGAAGGGTTTCGGCGGGGTATTGTTTCGCCAGCTACTGGGCGGTAGTTCGGTGCTTCGACTGAAAAGGGGGGACTTTTGTAGCAGCCTGGCTGGAGGGAGGCGTGTTTCCAGTCCATAATAAGGAGTAAGGCGAAAGGACAGGAACTCGAATGCTTTGGTATTTTTCGTGGGCGCGATGTAGTAGGTTATATGGAACGTAATTGCTTGACGTCATTGTAAGTCGTACCATAATCGTATTTGGCGGCACGTGATGTTGGTCAATATTCGGGAATGCTGAAATGGCCTGACTTTATCCGGGTATGTATATCTGTGTTTGTGTGCTCTTCGGTCGTTTGTAGACATCAAGGAAACCCCTCCCTAGCCATCGGTGGAAGGTTGCGATCAAGGAAACGATCCGCAAGGGGTTTACATGCCTGATGTGACAATTGGCGACGACAGAAAGAAACACACGAAACGAGAACACAAAGATGATTGCTGGATGTCGAAGCCGGAACCACAAGTAGCATAACTCCCACCACCATGCTTAAACCACTGCCCAACTATACCGTTCCTTCCTCCCTGCTCCCCAAGCGCGTCGATCATTTCTCAGTTCCCAGGCACAACGACCAGCGTTGTTGCTCAATACTGCTGCACCACCATACATCCTTAGGCGGTCGGCGTTTTCATGTATTATAAGGGGGCCAGGGTCGTTCTTGCGCTGATATAATTTCACCGGTTATAAGGCACCACAGGTGATGAATGAAGCGGGTGGAGTGGTCAGCTCCATAACCCCCTCAACCAGCCCATTTGGTCTGCCAGTCTTCGTCGAAGACATAATCCTCGTATTCCTCGAGTTCCCGGATGCCCTCATTCTGAGGGTTGAAATATAAAATATCCCTATACACAAGGAATACGTCCTCACCTGGCGAAGTATTAGTCCACGCATTGTCCGGGGGACCGATACTGGATGTCGTGGTTGGTAGCCCCAACCAAGCGATCATCGCAGCGAAGGCTACGACCCCGATAAGAAAGAGTTGGATTGGCCATTTCGATGGACTCGATGGCCGCCCCGTCGGTATAACTGGAGTCTTTGACTCCTCCGTCTCCTTCTTCGCGATGGCCTTCTTCGCCTGCCGCAGTTCCTCCTTCAAAGTTTCTACTTCCGCCCGGGATTTCTTCACCTCCTCCTCGACCTTCGTAATCCGGTCGTGTTGTCTGGCAGTCGGTGGTGGTGCAGTATCATCCCTTAGGGCCCGGATGAAGATGTCTTGTCGGGATGCAAACTCGGCTGTGAGCTCCCTCCTCGCCCTCTCCACTCGAGAATTCACCTCGGCTCTAACGGTCTCCTCCACAGAAGGAGTAATGGGTTCCGGTGCTGGTAATGGTAGCTTGCGAGGGGATCGTAAAGTCACCCGCTCGCCCCGGATCCGCTTGACATCGACCGCTGGCTGTAATAAGCCGGCCTCCGCCCTCGTACGGGCCTGCTCCAATTCCCCCTCCATCCGCTCACGCTCCCTGGCGTCCGAGTCGATAGTCGACTGCATGGACTGAAGTCGCTCGCGTTGCTCCTCCATCGCGCAGACCTGTGCCTTAATGGTCGCAAGCGCTGCTTCCAGTTCCTTCCTCGAGGCTGCCGATTGCTCAACAGTCCAATCCTTCTCGTCTTTAACGGCCATTAATTCGGCCTGGACGGTAACGATATGCCCCTGATATAAGTCGAGGGATTCGTTCAGCTTACACTCGCGGCTTTGAAAAACCGCCTCTTTCTCCTGCTCGGCGTCTCGAAGACGAGCTTCGAAGGTGTCGCGGAGGTTGTTAACCTCCTCCTTGAGCTCACTATTGTCACGCTCGAGAGCCTCTGCGCGAAGAGTGAGTGCATCCGTGGTATCGTCGCTTGTCGAAGGTTGGATCGGTTCTGGCTGGATTGCGATTGGTTGGGTTGCCTGCTTCTCGGACGACACATTTTGTGTTCCGGAGCGCTTCCCATGAGCCCCTCGATCAGTTAAAGTTGGGCGACTGTGTTCTGTCTGCTTACGCTTCAATGCCCGAGAACGGCGGTAGATCCGCGCGATATATCTCGCATCCTTCTCAGCAAGAGCGCGTGTGTTAGTCGCCTCTGCCTCGGACTGCTTGGCATCTTTCTCAGCAAGAGCGCTCGCATATGCGGCCTCTGCTCCAACTCGCTCTGTCTCCCATTCTGCAAGAGCGCGTGTGTAATCCGCCTCTGCCGTATCCTTTGCTGCCTTTAACTCTGCAAGAGCGCGTGTGTAAGTCGCCTCTGCTTCGGTTTTCTCGGCCTTATTCGCTGCAAGAGCACCCGCATGTGCGGCCTCTACTTCCTCCCTATAAGTGTCCTTTGCTAGGCTATTGGACTGGGCCTGTTCAAGTTCTTGCTGCCGGATTCGTACGGCCTCCTCAAGGCGACCATTGGCCACCTTCAGTTCCTCAACGAGCTTGCTCTGCTCGTCGAAACGGCTCGCCATCTCGGCCTTCGCAGCCTCTAAGGTTTCTTCGTAACTTCTGCCGAGGTTACTTGACTCGACTCGAACATCCGCTAGTTCGCGGTTGAGCTTGTCGATTTGGCCACCTTGTGTTTTTGAGAGGTGCTGCGCTGCATTTATGTGCTTTATAACTTCGGAGCGTTCTTGCTCCAACTCCCGATTTTTACCTTCGAGAGCCCCAACTTGCCCTTCTAGAAGTAAAACTTTGGTCCCTAGGTCGGAACTAGTCTCCTTCTCCTCCTCCAAAGCATTGCTCACCTGCTCGAGCTCGTCGCTCGTGGCCTCGCATGACATGCAGGCGGCCACGGTTGACCGTCTAAGCGGCGAGCTCGAGTTAAGGCTCGCTCGGTAGCTGGATGCTCTGGCGGGGGGAGAGCGCGAAGTTGGTCTCTGAAGAAATGAGTTGTCGCTCGCACGAGGACATCTGATATATTGCGGAACAGCGGAAGCTGGAGCTTTACCCTTGCCAGGGGTGTTATGCTCCATTACTGCATCCATCTGCGCAAACAGCTCGTCTTCGTTTGGAGTTCCAAACATCTCTTGGTCGGTATCAGCAGGAGACCGCTCCATTTCCTCCTCATCTTCCATTTCCTCCTCCTCGTCCATTTCCTCCTCATCATCCAATTGCTCCTGTTTATAGTCATGGATGGCCACATCCAACTCTGCCTGCAACATGTCGTCAGCCCCGGCTGGCCATCCATCATATGACAGCAAGTCATCTGACTCCGAGCCATCCATTCTGGAGGTGGAACCAAGTTCCGAAAGATCTTGCCCGAATGTAAATGGGGCATGTCGAGGACGGGTTGGTGGTGGCTGGAAGTCGAAGTTGAAGGCGGAAGACTCGCCGCCATTGGCAGGGGATGTATAGGAGGAGGAAGTCACCGGGTGATGGGATTGAGAGGGTGGATCCCGTGGTTGAAAATCTTCTCCCAAAGACTCGCCTTTGCGCTTTAAGTCGTTAGAAGACATAATGGAAGTATTGAATGAACAACTTTAACACTAAGCTGAACAAGCGTATGTAAGGCGTAGACGTAATGCGCAGATGTAGTGCGTATATGAAATAGACGGCTTTAACACTAAGTCGTCGAATAGTACCTTATGTACGGCGTGGATGGATTGGGCAGCTTTAACACTAAGCTGGACAGGCGTATGCAATGCGTGGATATAATGCCTGGATGGATAGACGGCTTTAACACTGAGTCGTCGAAGAGCACCTAATGTTATGTAAGGCGTAGATGAATTGGGCAGCTTTAACATTAAGCTGGATAATCGGATGTAATTCGTAGTTGAATAGACGACTTTAACACTAAGTCGTGAAATAATTCTGCAAGCAGTAGGCTGCCAGACAAGTTAGCAGAGGTTATGAATGTTGTTGGGCAAGGCGGGGGCGGTAGAGATGATACAATTCCAAAGGTAACATTGAAGGGTTGCAGGAGGACTTACCAAGCAGATGTCGAATGAATATTGGTGACCAGAGTACCGAGTCGGAAAATAATGGGCGAGAACGTAAATATCGAATTTGCAGTAGAACGTGTAGGATCAAATTATCACTTGTGACAGAAACGCCGGACCAGGGTGTTTCGTTTGTGAAAGATCGTATTGCGAAGTTATTAAGTCTAGAAGAGTCAGCATCGGTAGCCATGATATGCAGTGGAGGAAGAGCATACCAGAGTATTGGAATCGCTGTAGCAGATCGAGCAATATGATATCAGAGCGATATGATATCGAGAACAGGATAATCGCGTCAAAGCGATCTATTTGGTTCGCCTTGATTGTAGACTGTTAGCGAGAGAAAAGATACGCTTGCGTTGATGACTTACAATAGGTTGTCGGAGTGTGGGACAAGAGCTTCAGCACCAGGCTAAAGAGACTCCGTAATGGTTGATAGAAAGATCGCGTGAACGAAAGAGTATGATGTTCGCTGTAGTAGAGCGAGCAGTTTGATATCGAGAACAGGGTAATCGCGCTAAAGCGATCTGTGATTCTACTTGACTGTATACTGTCAGCGAGAGAAAGATACACTTGCGTTGATGACTTACAGTAGGTTATCGGAGGGCAACACACTTCAGCACTAGGCTAAAGAGACTCCGTAATGGCAGAGAGAAAGATCGCGTCAACGAAAGAGTATGGTGTTCGCTGTGGCAGAGCGATCGTATAAGATCGAGAACAGGATAGGCAAATTGACCTGTTTGATTCCTCGACTGTATACCGTCAGTGAGAGAAAGACGGGCTAGCTTTGATGACTTACAATAGGTTATCGGAGTGGGACACGAGTAAGAGCTTCAGCACCGGGCTGAAGAGACTCCGTAACGGTTGTTGGAAAGATCGAGTCAACGAAAGAGTATGGATTCGCGACGTCTCACTACTTGAGACCCACGGAACAACGACTTGCTTTGATAGCTTGGCAGAAGAGAGAGCTTGATTGCACGTAACAACAGATAGCTTGATCAGTTTGATGTAGCTTGAAGACGTTGTTGGGGTGCAGAAGCGTTTTCGTCGTGGGACTGGAGAGGAGAGGAAAGAAAGATGGAGGATGGAAGAGCGCGAAGGGTTTTGTGGGCGTGGGCTCTCTCGCCTAAGGGCGGTGTAATGGAAAAAAGGAGGCAGTGAATTTACAATAGTATACCGCTAAACTTACCGCCCTATTGTTGTCAATAGCAACGATAGCAAGGCTGGCAAGCGGACGGTTTCTGCCCTATTGACGTGCTCCAAGTTCCACACTTTGATATAGCATTCCGGGCAACTTGATTCACTGGCGAGTAGACTGTGACCTTGATGAAGGTTGGGAACAACACTCGGTTCGCTCGAAGTCAACCTTTGTAATTGTAACTAGCAACGAGTTGGATCTATGCTTGAGCTTACTGATCACGCCTAATATCTCTCAATACAGCATGGGTTTGGAACTTCAGCTCAAGCTTTCACATAACTCAATATACAGGGTTTCATTAACGTTTATGCAACTTTGGGAATCAACTTGGCTAGGGGCCACCTCCGCCATGTACATGTCCAATTGGATAGGTAGAATAGGTAGAATATGATGTCATTCTGCTATACTATTCTGTTTCCGAACAATACTTCTGATGAGAGTTTACACTCCTTTGTAGAAAGAAACAAATGACAAGGGCCCAAAGCCACACAAGGAGAATGTGACCTCAGGACAATAGCCCAGCTAAACATTGTTTGCTTGGGAAAATCCCTGGTCATTAAGCCACATCAATTGACTATGCTGGGTTGGATATTTCACCACAGCATAGATGCCACTGAGTATAATTAGGTATGTATAGCGGGGTTCAAGGCTAGTATGAAGAAGCTTTATACAGCGATTCAAAAGAAGATTCAAGCAATGTGTAAAGAGCTTGATCTACTCCAACCTATGCAGAGATGATGAAATGGAATTTCTCGGATTATCCCCATACTGTGGGAGTAATCCCTAAAAAGGAATAATAACAAGTAGATAACTATGCCGCACAAGCGTGATATCATATAATGAAACCCAAATATAAACGTCAAGGTCTTGGGTAACTATACTGGGCTTTCTTGTCTTATCCAAGTTTGCGACCTCGAGTTCCAGTCCAGATGGTGTAGTGCACATTCAGTATTTAAGAAGAGAGCCATCGTCTTCTAAATTAGTTCCTAGAAACAGAATGGGACTAACGTTGGGGCGTTCAAATGCTTTTCGCAAGAGCCACTTGAACTTAATTGCAATTTACAATGAACCATTCAACATTTGCAAAGCCAACGGTTTTAGTAATTATCATGGTTCAGACAAGCAAGGACACGATTGAAGGGTTAATAAAATACACGGTTAAGATAAAGGGAGGACAACAGAGCAAATGCAGCAACGATCAATTCAACATTTAAGCAGTGTTAGGTTAGAAGTAAAACGGTCAGAGGGGATCAGGGGACCGGTCAGGCAGCAGTATTATCCCACCAGCACTGCTGGTATGTGTTCCAAAGTGATATGCTCCGGTACGTCAATGATGCCACCGAAGCGATGAGACTGCCTTCCTGAAGAGGACATGCTATGATATAATAGCCAGCTCAACCTGTCAAGATTGTCTGCTTGTATGCAGCCAATACGTTGTCGGTTTTCAACTGGTAGGCCATTGGTGACTTCCGGTTCCGATAGCCTCTTTACGATGGGCATCGCTTGAAGAGATGCAGCTCATCCATCTCAGTCGACATCCCAAGTATCATGGCATAATGGAGGTGGAACTGGTCATTGTTAGGTTCGTGTGTAGGCCACAATTTGTATCATATGGGATAAAGACTTGCTTGATGTTACCAATTCATAGATCCTATCATATCAAAGGGACACATCCTGAACTGACAGATATACCAACAAACACCTTCAAAGAAGTTAGTGGTTAGCAACGACCTTGAGCAAAACTGATGCGTACAGTCAGAGAACCTATTGCTAGATTTAGGAAAGTTAGGAGATGAATAACTCTCACCTATAAATGCAATCAGGATTTCCACGAAATATATCTACTACGCCGTCCTGCGTCAACCATTGCGAATCACACAGCTAACGTGACGAGTAGAAGTGCCTCTTAGATATTATTTATCATTTTTGGCGTTCCACCATCTTCAAGGGCTGACTGTACAGGGCCATCCGCCCTAGAAAGGGAGTTTTGGCATGGTGAAATTCGGGAGCCGGCGTCGATATGGTCATGATAACTTGAAAAGTGGGAGTGCTTGCTGCATGGTACTCGTGCAGCTCACGCGAGATCATGACGGCTGATAACAAGAATTGCTAGGAAATGCCCATTTAGGTAAGTGGCTTTAAGAGTAGATAAAATTCTTCCGTAGCTTCAAATAAGTGGTACTACTAATACTACTAGTTACTAGATTCCGTTGTGAGAATTCTGAGTTGAGATGTAGATGGATGAGGTTGAAATAAGATGGAATACAGGGGCGGCGGCCCAAGGTCTTGGCGGGCGGATTTAGTCCGCTGAGAATCACGTGAGTTATGGTCCTGATGGTCTCTAAAGAGTGTTATTAAATTAATGCCGTATTTATCTGACTGCTTTACTCCAGGATTGACCAAATTCTTATTGACATAAAGGGACGTTTTGCTAAGAAGCTGATATTATTGACGTCGGTAAAGGCCGAGGATCGAGGGGCACCGGGAATTATATTGCGGATTTGCGGGGCAGCCGAGGCCTACGGGGTTGTGTTGCGGGCAATCGGGAACCACGACAAGTAGTAACGTAGCTGCATATCATCATCCATCGTGATATCAAATACAATGCTGTGAATGGTCTGTTTTAAAACAAGCATCATCCCGATTGATAATCGGAAACAGGTAATTGGGAATAGCATCTACCGAGGTGCGCCTTTGGCAGGTATGACAATGAACTACTTCGTATCAGTTACTCTGATCGATTCCCCACGCTTGGCGTATTATTCCGCCCTCCGCTTCCCCACTTGTGAAACGGGCTTGTATTTCCACATATCTTCTGTCCATGTCCTCTGTCGTTCTATATCTCTTCATATATAACAAACACACCATAATCATATTTAACTAATCATCAGACGACAAACAGAACAATACAACTTACAAATATGGCTCCCCCATCAGCAACCGCAGTCCCCGAGGATACCGCAGGAACGGCAACCCACGAGCCAGGTGTCGCGAAGAAGGAAACTATCACACAGCAGGCCTTCCCCACCGCGCCGACGTTCGAGGACAAATATAAGGAGCGGGAGTATCAGAAGGGCCGGTTGGCGCTCGCATTTAGGATTTTCGCGCACTTGGGATTTGACGAGGGTGTTGCCGGACATATTACTTTGAGAGTTAGTAGTTTCCCAATGGCCGTTGCTTTCCGGCCGGCGTGAAATGGAACAGAAGGTATTTTATTAGGATTTAAAGCTAACAGGAGGCCCAAAAATAGGACCCCGTTGAACCAACAAGTTTCTGGGTCAATCCCTTTGGTGTTGCGTGGCCCATTCTCAAAGCGTCAGATCTTATTCTCGTCAATAAAGATGGAAAGGTCGTTGATGGTGGACCTTGCCGCCTTCTAAATACCGCTGGTATGCACAATTCATTTCATATACCCTTTACCCTTTAGCATCCAAAATCAGAACTAAGACCACGGAAGCATACATGATCCACCACGCAGTCCACACAGCACGCCCCGAAATAAACTGCGTTGCACACTCCCACTCAATTTACGGCCGCTCATTCTGCGCCCTCGGCCGCAATCTCGACATAATAACCCAAGACTCCTGCTCCTTCCACAACGACATCGCATTATATTCGGCCTTCCGAGGCATCGTCCTCGCCGAAGACGAAGGCAAGTCAATTGCCGCGGCGTTAGGCGGGAAGAAAGCGGCGCTGTTGCAAAACCATGGTCTTTTGACGTGCGGGAAATCTATTGAGGCCGCGGTGTTTTGGTTTATGAGTTTGGAGAAGTGTTGTCATGCGCAGTTGTTGGCTGATGCTGCAGCTGGAGGGAGGGGAGCTGAGACTGTTAAGATTGACGAGGAAGATGCAGCGTATACGTATAAGACTGTCGGTACTGAGATGGCGGGCTGGTTTAGTGCTAAGCCGACTTTTGACATGATGGAGAGGTTAGGGGGCGCAGATTATAAGGAGTAATGTTTTGAGCGGTCCTTAATTCTACCATTAGGTTGGGGTTGCATTAAAAGGGAAGTCAGGCAATGATACTGATTGTACTTATATGCACTTAATTATACCAGCCCGAGCTATCACTTGATCAACTCAGGTGCAAACTCTAGGGGACTGAGCCATGGTGGCACACAAGGACTTTCACGATACTTTCCGTATTCAGATTACTTCTCGGTCACCCTAAGGTTTCCAAAATCAGCCAAAAGGATTTGTTCCCCGCTCCAACATACTTTATAGTATGTCTAGAATCCATGTATATAGAAAAAGAAACAAAAAAACAAAAAAAACATACAGCAGCAGGTATTCGTTGGTGGCCACCCACTCAACTATTAATCTGTCGATCTGAGGCATTTCACTTGCTTTTTACTATGGCTGGTGACATCCGGCCTAGCGGGTGAGCGTCGCCGCCTCAAGTTTTCGATGCCCTCACAATGATCCGGTTGTCCCCCTGGACAACGGGAGATGTGGCTCTCGTATTGAGATGCGATGGATGCGATGCACCGCGACTTTGGATGGCCATGATGATCTGAGGTGAGCGGGTGAGCGTGGGCGAGCATGGTGAGGTTTGAAAGTAGTATAAAGACAGACTCCCCACCACCTTCACTTTTCGCAATCTGCTATCTACAACATTATCTACTCCTTTTCAAGGATTCTGCTACAATAAGACGAAAGGCACTCTCCTTACAAGCTTATATTGATCTAGCACAAAAGCAAGAATATTTTATTCACAGTTCATCTAATCAACAGAATGTGTCGACCCAAATTTAACAACATACTCTCACTGACGCTACCCAAAACAAGCACGTAGATGTAGGAAATATATTCCAAGAGTACGTGAGACTTGACACTATGTACAGAGCTATTAATGGCGATATCAGGTTTATTGCCGTGAAGGGTCTAGAGGAGGCGTCCCTACAGCATGGTTGCGCCCTATACAAAGACTTTGTCGAATACTATACTTCATCACGGCCTGGGCAATGCCTCAATTAGTCCGTTTGTCCCGCCAGCGTATGAGACAGAGAACCAGCCAAAATGGCACCATGTCACAGCTCTTGGGTTATAGTCGTGTTATCGTAGAAAGAATAAGAAGTGGTAGGATTATCAAACATTAGAGAAAATAACCAAGCGCGTGCATATACCAGTAGACTAACAAACTATCATCATAAAGAATCCCATCATCACAAATCCGTGCAGTTCCTCCCAGTGGCGCACCCGTCGGGCAGTTTTGCGTGTCTGTGGAGGAGGATGCGACTTGAACAGCTTAACGAAAAAAGCCTCTCGCCCCATGCGGAGAACTAGCCGCCTAAAGGCACACTCCCCGCTAACATATATAGACGATAGCGCTTTCAATAGTCAGAACGTGGAAGCGTTTTAGACCGTTCATCTACTGCATCTGTCACGTCCATAGTAAGTATCATCCCAAGGATGGCTCTTTGTGGTTGAAATAGCAGCAAATTTACTTCTTTCCATGCTGCTACTAGGATTCACTACGATACACGCTGTATGTATTCCTGCCTGACACGAGATCCGCTCAGCGCTATCTACGCCTTCGCTCTAGAACCCTTCTCAGTAAGTCGCTAAAGAGATTTTTTAGTAACACTACGTACAATATTAGCCCTGTTTTGTAGTGCATGGGGAAAATGGCCGCTGACCTGAGAATAGTGCGGGTTGAGGACATGGCAGCTGCCTTGCGCACAGCTCGTAGCACCAGTCCATCCAATACCTCCACTTCCCAGCATGTTAGTAATGTTAATTGGTTTTGGAAACAGAGTAACATACCACTGGCCATACATTAGAGCACCATTCGGGGTGGAAGGATTTGATGTCGGAACCACTCTTGATGTTGTGGGAGTCGAGTTCGCCGGTTCTACAACAGGCCACCCATTTGGAAAAGAAAGAGGATTCCATCCCAAAATGGTCTGACCATCTCCAATACCAATGTTTGTATTCACTGCTGCCCGTCAGTTAAAGCCTAAATTTGAGGTAGAGCTGCGCATACTATAATGATAGTACAGAACTGGACCATAAGCTGGGTCGTTTATGACGCCTTGCCCACCTGGAGCGTAAATATTATCGTGACTTTGTAAGACAATAGAGCCACCACCTGCCGTACACGATACGCCATTTTGATCGACCTATTTGATTAGCGCTTGTCATACCAAAAATGTAAAGTATGATTTATGAGACTTATACTAACGTAAGGCCCGCTGACAGCATTAGAACGACAGACTTTGATCACTATAAAACCGGCGAGTTAGCATTACTTAATCTTGGTTAAAGTAGGAGGGATTTGTGCTTTGTGGAAGAGTAAGACTGCATCAAATTCAATGGAAATGGTTTAGGAGGTGAGAAAACTAGAGCTAATGGTTCCTTACTATACTCGCCACCAGGTGGAGGTCTATTCGTGTTCAGACCACAGCACTGTCCAGCTGACCAAAACATGTAAAAATAGTTTCCATTCTGAAAGGTAAAAGCTCCCTCTACGGCATGGGATCCAGTGGGATTGAAGATCATGTGGAGCGGATTACCAGTTGGTCGTGTCAAGTCGGTGCTCATTTGAGCTTGGTATATATCCCCCCAGAAGCTTCCAAAATTTAGATAATAGCTGTTTCCAGATTTCACCAAATTTGGATCAATAGCATTATAAGGTGATCCAGGGGTTGAACTGAGCCCGATGCTGCCGTGGTCGGTCCATGATCCTGGCTCCAAAGTTGTTGATGTCGCCAAGCCGATGCCCGAGTTCTGGCTTCCAAATGAACTGACTGCATAGTACATATAGTATGTGTTACCAACAAAGGAGACGTCAGGAACCTAATGCTGCGTCAAATAATGTCTTCGGAGTGGTTTAGAAGGCATACGGACCCAAATATCGTTGCCTTGCGGCAACTTCACAGGGCCAGGCAACGCCGCACCTCGTTGAGTCCAAGGACCGGCAATAGAAGGGGCGCTTGCAACTCCAACATGTCCATTTGTTGAGAACAAAAAGTAAGTCCCGTCAGAGACACGTCGTATGAGAGACGGATCGTGCGTGCCACAAGCTCCAGAGCAAGGCCCCGGAGGTGGGACTGCAATTGCAGCAATAGCAAAGCTTGAAGCCCAGAAAAACACTTTGGAGAGCATCGTTATAATTAAGGATTTGAGTGAGGACAAAGTCAAAGTTTTGAAATATACCCTCTCCTTATATATTGGCACGGAGTGAATAATCGGTATCCCCTGCCAAGTCGTTCAGTACACTCGTTGGCTGCACCGGTCCGTCGGGAAGTGAATCTTTTTCCTGTAGAGTCAATAAGTTGGTGTAGCTCGCAAGCAACTAGGTATATGTACAGCTTGTAATAACTTGGAATTAAAATTTGTTATTAATCTATGGTCTAGTATGAGCCAAGCTGAGCGGGGTTGGGCATAAAACCACGTTCACAACATTTCATGCCGTTTTGGCCACAAGCATCCAGGGGAAACCTGCGGAAGGATCATTACCGAGTTCCTAAACCTCCTATAACAGATCGGCCACACGCCCCGCGCTAGAACGAAAATCAACTTATCAGCACATTCACGAGCTTAGAGAGTAAGAAACAAACGGTGCCTGCACTCGGCCTCCCGGCCCGCGTCTTCTTGGTAATCCCATGAGAAAAATCCGACCACTAACAGCGTGGTGAGCGCCACCCCAGCAGTAGCTGAAGCAACGCGAACTCATCATGTCCCTGCGGCATGGCCAGCTTGCGACTGTGTGGAAATCAACTGCGTAGTATTGGTGCGCCTAGCGGATGAGGGTGAGGTTGTCCTCAGATTTGGAATATCATAATGTCGAGGCTATTTCAAGCGTGCATCCCCCTAGAATAGTACTCGCAATAGCATGGCACATCGTTAGAAGTACCAGTCCAGCGAATGCGGCGTTGAAGAGGTACAAGCTGCTCGACGTGTGACCGCGTCGAAATTCTCATACGTTAATTCCAGGTTGACTGCTCTAGAGTACCCGTAGTATCGAGCTCGAATGTCACGGTATGGGCTGGACTGGACTCGGAATACGTCATATTATTATATGTAACATTTACCCTCTTAACACGCTCAACGCTCCTGGTACCGTTCACTCCAAGCATATCTATTGTCCATAGGGCCGTAGGGCCGTATTCGACATTTCAAAGCTACAGGTCCATCTTACTTATATCGTCAGGTTAATAGCTTGGTGGTCGCCCCTACTAGTACATCGCCCCAGAAATCTGCAGACAGGACCTATCGGATTCCATCCCGCTTGTGCATAGGAAAGCTGTAGTCTGTGCTTCGACCCCTTGGAACCTCTCATCTTGGGAGCCAATCGGCGCAGGCTTAATATATACATATATATCGAGCAAGATATGCATTAACTTTGGACGATTCAAGTTTCTACTTAATTAGATCTCATATAAGGGAATATCGGGGTTTTGTTCGGTAGAGCGTGCGCCGAAGGGCTCCGTTATTGCGGGGTTCCCGGGGGGGAAGGGAGGGAGGGCACAGACAACAGAGCGAAAGTTCCGTGGCAATCTTTAGCAGACTCGTTTTCACCAAGAGAATCGCGGTGGAGATCTCTCCGCCAAAGATTTACACTGCCTTGTCGAAATAGATCGCGCACCTTTGTATCGCTGTCATTCATTTACGGAAAGGGATAGTGTTGATGGAGCCAACTACAAACAAAATGTACAAACGGTAAAAACCACCCCATCGTTTGACTACCTAGGTATACTGACATCTTTCAGTCCACCCGAATATACCATCGCGTGTGCAGGATTTTGTTCTGAAATAATTAGGGCGGAAGGCCCGCATAGCCATGCCCTAGGTCAAACTGACATCAGCGATGCAGAAACACAATGGCAGCAACCCAGCTCCTGGTCTCGCGACACAATCCCCAAGCATATAAAGGAGGCAGGCCTCTCGTCTCCCTCCTTCGAATTCTCAACATCCTATATTCTACCTATACTTGTGAGGAGAAAGCATCACGATGAGACTTATCAATTCTGACATGAGCCTGATATCGGCAGGCGTCGCGTTGCTGGTGTCGGCGGCGGTTGTCGATGCTGCGGCGACTTGTGCTCTTCCCTCGACCTACCGCTGGAGATCAAGCGGCCCACTCGCAAACCCCAAGCCAGGATGGGTCTCGATTAAGGACTTTACGCACGTCGTGTATAACGGCAAGCATCTTGTTTATGGGTCGACCTTTGACTCGAGAGTCTGGGGCTCGATGAACTTTGGCCTCTTCTCGGACTGGCCTCAAATATCCTCTGCGAGCCAGAATGGGATGAGTCAGGGTACTGTTGCGCCAACACTCTTCCTCTTCCGCCCAAAGAATATCTGGGTACTCGCCTACCAATGGGGCAGTAGCCCGTTCAATTATAAGACGACAAACGATCCTTCTAATACAAATGGATGGTCTGGGCCACATACGCTGTTCACCGGAGCTATCTCTGACTCTCGTACTGGCGTTATCGACCAGACACTTATCGGCGACGATACAACTATGTACCTCTTCTTTGCTGGCGATAACGGCAAGATCTACCGCTCAAGTATGCCGATTGGAAATTTCCCAGGAAATTTTGGCAACGTATACCAGGTAGTTATGAGCGACTCGGTCGGTAACTTATTCGAATCCGTTCAGGTCTATACCATCCAAGGCCAGAACCAGTACCTCATGATCGTTGAGGCTATTGGAGCTAATGGGCGCTACTTTCGCTCCTTCACCGCAAACAACCTCGGCGGGTCGTGGAGACCCCAGGCTGTGACCGAGGGCAATCCCTTTGCTGGCAAGGCTAACAGCGGAGCCTCCTGGACTGACGACATTAGCCATGGCGACCTGATCCGCAGTAACCCCGACCAAACAATGACTATCGATCCATGCAACCTACAGATGCTCTACCAGGGAATGGCTCCCGGTTCCGGCGGCGACTACGCCTTCTTGCCTTACAGGCCTGGCCTACTCACCCTACAGGGCGCCACGGGGACATTGCCAGGCGGTCCAGGTACTGGCTCAACGCCGCCTCCTCAGAGTGGCTGTTCCGGCTTGTACGGCCAGGTATGTTGCACTCTTCCTGTTCTCCCTTAACTTTTCGTGCTATATTCTAACTATGTACTTGCTTTTAAGTGCGGAGGGCAAGGCTGGACGGGACCACAATGCTGCTCGCAAAGCACGTGCAAATTTTCAACTAACTGTGAGTGATGACACACCTCTATGCAAGGCGAAGAAGTAATGTTGTACTTTTCTAACTCTGCGCCCTTTTCTAGGGTACTCACAATGTCTGTAAATACGGTTTATATAGCGAAGGGAGAATATACCCTGAGTAGCAGACTAGAGTATTATATTGTGGTAAAGGAGACGGTTTAGTTTCTTGGACTGGAATCGGACCAACCACAAATATTGATATTCATAGTCAGTTCACGAGGGACTGTCGTCGCGCTGCAACTATGGATGACGAGGCTGGCGGCAGTAGAGAAGTGTGGTGTTGAAAGCACACTGTGAGGTAGCTCCAGTTGCGGTTCTCGATTATTTATAAATTCTAGCATTCCTTTGCCCATATAATTGCGGAAATAAGACCTTTCGTTACACATATTCAGACTTGCTTCTACATTTAACGGGTTCTAGGCCAGCATATGTGAAATTCTAAGAGCTATGGTCATCCTGTACGGTATCTGATCAGACCTGCTCGAGAAACAAGAGCATAAAGCCGAGCAACCTCATAGCAATGATGCAATTCTCCAGGATCAGTCCAACTAGCCGCGTGATTCGACATTCATACGACATGAAGCTTGCCATACCTCTATCTCTTTAAATCACAAGATGACATGATGTGATGCGTTCTTCTCAGCATCGTCTCCAAAACTGTTGACATCCCAGCGGGGCTTGTCTATGCAAGGAGCAGGGTCAGTGACATGACCTATGGAGCCGAGCTTAAAGCTGGGAAAACTCACTCGCAATGAAAGGCGCATTGTAGCGTTTCTGTACTTTTCCAACACTCTCAACTTCAGCAATATCTTGCGGAGATAATATAACCTCCTGAAAGTTCTCGCGAATGCACGCAGATATGACTGACTTGGGGATTACACTTTGTCCACCAATCTAAGCCCACGCTAGTCTGTAGCGAATACAACAATTATTTGTTGTTCGCACAGAAAAGCGGTAAATCTTACGAAACCTGAGCTGGTGTGACAGTCAATCGCTTCTGCTCAGAGAGTCCTTCAGCAACAGTTTTAACCTACCTCCGGGCGGGTAACTAGCAATGGGGCATCAAACATGTTATTCCGGAAAGGCTAAATAATAGCCACGCTAGCTTGGATTTAGCGGATAGCTTTTGGATACCGTGGAGAAGATACCGAGTACGCGATGATGTGGATATTTCTATTTTTACAGTAGGCAATGAGGTCGTCCTGTCTCAGTAAGGGGTGGTGCTCGACCTGGTTGGCGGCAGGGGCTACGCCAGCAGCGTTGATAATAGTCTCAAGCTGTAAAGATGTCAATATCAAGGCTATCATAACGACTAGGAGAGCTTACATGTTGGATAGTGAAATTTGACACTTCAATTGATCGGGTCTTGCTCTTGGGGAGCATCGTCATAGCTATGATAGAAGAGGACGTATGGGTGCGGAACGATTGCATGCCGGAATTACTTGCAAACTTACCTTCCCAGGTGTCAACAATTGACACGCTATCGTCAATTGCGACATCACCCTCAGGTTCATTTTTTCCCGTGAGAGGGAACAAGTCTTCTCCCACGTTGCGAGAACTAGCCACGAAAGAGGCAGGGAAATGAATAAGGTAGAGCTAGAAAGGTCAGTGTCATTTATATGCAAAGGGAGTAGCGTACGTCCAGATAGTCTAGACCGAGCCCCTGTAGACAATCGTCGAGAACAGCTTTTACGATCTCAGGCTGATGTTGACTAGAGCAACTTAATGAGAACTGGGTGATGCATGGTACCTTACTTATACGACTTAGCTACTATAGACGACATATCTAACTACTACAGCGATTTAATTAATTGTATATACTTACGTATTTGATATATAGAGTCTTATTAACTTTGTTAATTAATTTGATAGTTGATTATTAAGTATTAGTAAAGTTGTTGTTGTATTTAGTATAGGTTTGGGGGGATTGGGGGATAATTGTCGGTATTTTAATAGGTTCGGCACTTAAGTGGGACAACGAGTATACCTATATATGGAAATAACAGAATAAACTATATGTGTTAAATGAGTGAAATGTGTCCAGATCTATGCTCTCCACGCCTTGTCTGACTGAGATCATTACCCCTTTTCCATACTAATCACTAGTGTATTAGATGCTTGAACTGGTTGATCTGTTAGTATCACTTATTTGGGTGATTTGTCTCAGATCACCGGTTTTCCAGGAGATTGGTGTGGTGGCCCTGAGCCTCAACACAAAGGTCAACGTCCAGTCACCCATGCCTAATGGAAAGCCGTTGTTCGTATCAGCATTCTGGGGTAGGCTTGGATCCACCTCTTCCCAGGCTGGGCGGTATAGCGGATATGACTTGCCGTGGCGTACATCGCGCATCATCTGGATCACGAGTAGTCCATCGGTGCTATGCAGCTTGGGAACACGGCCATACGACTAGTGGAACGTTTCGGACTTACAAAAGAATAGTAACAAATCCTCAGAGGTCCACGAGTCGTCGTCAGCTAGCTCTACCTAGCGGTCATAATCGACAGCTAGCCCTTGAATCCACGCACCAACGTTGATAGCTCCACCACCTGACAGCGCTCGTCCCGCCCATGCCTTCTTCGGCCTCCTGTCGAGGTGCTTCTGCGGCACCGTGTCATAACTGTAGTCAATACGGGAGCCACACACCAATAACATATACTTAGCGTATTTAGAGAGGCCGAATTCCGACTTATCCTTGCCAGCCTCGATGAGGAGGATAGAGGCAGATGGGAGTCCCTCACGCAGCCGAGATGCAACGATACCGCTCGAGGCACCGGCACCAGCTATGTATAGTCGTAAGATTCTTTCGTCAAGTCCATGATGTGATTAGAGGTAAGGTTATATATTGAATTTATGTCGTAGTAGAGGTGGTGGGCTTGCCTAGGCTCTCGATTCGCTGAAAGGTGAGCTTACCTCCAGAACTGTGTCGTCTGAATCCTGGGATACACCAGTGTCTGCAGAGGGGCGAATGAATGGTGGCCATCTGTGGTATTTTATAATGCCTCTGCTGGTCCATTTGTAAAGCATAGGTGACAATTATTGCTTGTTAAGGAGAACAGCCATAAGAAGATGAGGATGACGAAGTCTGGTATAATTGGCTTCCCCTCGATGTTTCATGTTCCATGGAATAGATCTGCCCCGGTCCCTGTGCCAATCCCTGTTCCGACCCCTGTTCCGACGATCCCACTTCCCATTCCTGTTCCGGTCCCAGTCCCCACGTTCCCCGCATCCCCACGTTCGAGATGTCAGGGGTTCTAAAGCAGACTAGTCTGTTTGCGAAACAAGGAAAAGGGCAAACCCAGAGTTGTGAGCTGATTCAAGGGAAAAGGCAACGGGACTGGGAGCAAAGGTATGGAAAATAGCCTGCCATTGCTGGGCCAAGGGGGCTCGATCAGTTCTGCACACTCCCCTTCGGCCTCAAGAACACCACACGCGAATTCCAGTTCTATATTGAGCGTGTCTTGAGGAAGACGAAGTACATATCCATATTGGCGACATCTTCATTCACTCACTAAGCCGTGCGCGATGCGATACAGTTGAAAAGAAGGTCGTCCGGAGACTCACGAATGCGCATATAAAGGGTCTTGTATCGCTGCAATTCGCTCCACCGATCCAACTTCATTGCTAAGCTCCATCAACCTTGTACTTCAATCAAATCCGGATAGGGACCAAGATACTTACAGCAAAATATCGACGCAGAAGAAGCTGCTCGCCACCCCTCAATGCCCTCCCGCTAGTGTAGCTGATCCCGTAGCCCGATTTCTATATACGGTACTACGCTGGTAAAGGATTTTCTGCTTAGAATGTAGTCATAGCAGCTGGTATGGCGAAGCGGAGGGAGGCTAATCGACCATGACCTGGGGGTTAGATTGGGTAGTTGCATTGCATGAATTTAACGCTGACACATCCCATCACCTGGCTTAAGAGATTATATGGGTAGCTAGGTATACTAAGATACTACAGGTTGTAACCATTACACTGATTGCACATATCAGTAAAATTAAACCAGAACTAAAGCTCCCCTTGAATACTTGGAATTCCTTGTTTCGCACGGAGAGATTCTCCACCATAGATGAGATAGATGAGAGGTAGCAGCGTGAGAGCGTTGATGCCTGCAAGCAAACCGAATGCAGCATCATATCCAATGGCCTCCGAAAGAGGAAGGGCATAAAACCCAGTGTTAAAGGCGTAAACTTTATTGAGTCAGCATTGTCACATATAGGTCGTGGTTAACGTACGAGACTTTATCAAGTTGATGACAGCACCAACCTCCCCAGATTGAGGCTTATACGAGTCCGTGATGTACGTATAAACAACTGTTGTCGCCACCTGGGAACCGACTCCCGCAACAGCACAAGCTACCGCAGCCATGATCCATGGCTTTTCGTTTTCAATGCAGTACCCATACACTGATGTCCCAATGAATAACAGCGAGCAGAGCGGCAACAACCAAAGCCTCACTTCCGGCTTTCGATAGCCATTATGCCTCGCCGCATAGTTGTTGATGATCAGATCGCTAACCCACCCCGCCCCGAATTCTCCGATGGTACATCCCACTGTGAGCGGAATGCCCATGAACATGCCTGTCTGACCAGTGTTGAATTTGAACACCTCGGAGGTGATTTTAGCTCCGGTAACAGCATATAGAATGCTACCGTACGTATTTGCGGTTCCGAAGTACAAGCAAGGAAGCAAGACCGCCCCATACTTAATCATACGGAAGGACGCGCCGAAGTCACGTAGTCGAATAGGCCGGTCAACGATCTTGCCGTGGAAAAGGAGTTTTTTCAGATACGACTTCTTCTCTCTGTTGCTAACATTTTCACCGTTCTGGGAGTAGAGGGTTTCCGGGAGTGTCAGCACGGTAATTATCCAGAGGCAGCCTTGAAATATCGTTGGGATCCAAATGCACCACCGCCAGCCGATTTTTTCAGTGACGAAACCTCCGATTATAGGTGCCAGATGTGGCCCGTTATTAACTAACAGGACGTATATGCCCATGTAAAGCCCTCGACGCTCTTGTGGGAATAAGTCACAAATCTGGTGAGAGTTAGGACCTGCAGGATTGCAACAAAGCAGGCGCTCTTACAGTTGACGGTCCCAGCCCAAGGGGAATACTTGAGCCGATGCCATTAAATACCCTACCTGCGAACACACCCCCGTATGTAGGAGCAGCAGCAGAGCCAATGTTGCCAGCGACTGCAATAGCACCAAATATCTACCAGCTCAGTTAGAAGTTGCGGAAAGCTTGACCGCACGCCAACGTACCACGTAGAGAATCCTCCTCCCGTAGACATTACTGAAAGGTACAACGAACATCGGGACGACACCACCAAAAAGAACGAAAACAGTTGTGAGGTAGGACGCTTGTGGCACGGTTACCCCAAGATCCAAAGACATGACCTTAAAAGCTGGGTTGATCAATGCAGAGCTTACTTTAAGAAGTTAGTATTATTCTTCGCGAGATTGAAGATGACTTACACTGTCCAGAGAACCCAAGGACTGAGATCAGCAGAGCTATATATTGCCGTTGCCAAAGGGGCCAATTCTGTAAATTATGAGCGCATAACAAGAAGATATAGGGAATAGAGCATACGAGCGGATGATTAACATCGTGGGAGACCTCTCCCTGAATAGGTTCCCCATCAGGTTCTGTCTTTGTCGAGATCTGGGAGCCTTCGATATGTGAACAATTGTCGGGCTGTTTTTCACAGGACTCTGGCATTTTGTCGAGGGCCAAAATTCCCGGCACGAAAAGTTGTATTTTCAATAGTCTCAGGGGGGGAAATAGCTTCGAGCATGAATGAAGACAGCGGGGAATTAAGTAGGGTCTGGGGAAGTTTTATATCCTATTCCACGGATAGTATAGTAGCTTGAGTAACATTAGTGATCGATCTAGGATATACAATGTCCGCTCATTACCCGACAAATCCATGTAGAAATTATTGTATCCGCTAAATCCGATCCTAGAAAGCAGGTTCGTCGGATCACGACCCGATGATCTGGCTCAACCCCTGCCGTACTAAAATTCACAGCCGAGTAGTCGGCCAAATCACAGCTAAAGTACAGAAAGTTCCAGAGATAGAACACTATTTGTGGAGACACAGCCCACCAACAGTACGGATCGTTCCCCCTATCTCCACAGACCACTTAGTCAGAATGTTGTGGTAGGACATGGGCATTGCTTATCGCCGCCTGTTTATTATATTACTTGCCCTTGTGTTCGAGTGAAAAGCAGCAGTCCAATGTTCCTGCCCATCCCTTGGCAATTCTAGCCTCACCACAGAGCAACTTGAAGTTTCTTGTTACCACACAACCACATCGCTCGAATCAACGTTGCCCGAGCGTTTCAAACTGGTCATGGACACGACTCCGCAGGGCTTGGGTCCTACACCAGTCATGGTCGAGCAAGAGGCTACTTTGCGACAATTGTACCGCGATTTAATCACTGGCTCCCACATCTTACATTATCACGGGCAAGTTCTAGTCCACGCAGGCCTATGTAAACTCCGACTAATTTTTCGCAGTGTTTTGGATGCCTACGGTCATCTATCAGTGCGGCATCCGTACCAACCCAATGTGTTCATCATGTCACGAAACATCGCTCCGGGCACAATATCCTCTCCATCAGACATCATTGCGTACCACGTCGACAACGCTGAGCCACTTGATCCTAAATCATCCCCGGGATACGCCGAGCGCTGTATACATAGCGAGATCTATAAAATGTACCCGGAGACTCAAAGCGTCATCCATAGCCATTCAGATGCTGTAGTTCCCTACAGCATAACGGGTGAGAATTCTAGCTCCTCTGCTGTTGCTCTCTAACTCAAATTTTCTTAGGTGTTCCTTTAAAGCCTTGCTTTCATATGGCGGGCTTCTTGGGGGAAACGACTCCTGTATTTGATATAAGGAAGCACATCAAAACAAGCGATTGCCCCGATATGCTCGTCAGGAACGTCCATCTAGGCGCCAACCTTGCCACGCATTTCTCGAGCCAGGACCCGGGGAAATCTAACCACGCGGTTGTCCTCATGCGAGGCCACGGCTTCACTGTTATTGCACCAGATATCAAGCAATGTATTTTGCGAGCGATCTACACGCAGAAGAATGCGACTATACAGACAACCGCCCTGATAACCCGAGCAGCACATTTTGGCGCGGCGATAGATAATGCGGCCGAAATATGTTACCTTAGTGGATTAGAGGCAGACGCTTCAACAGAAATGACCTCTTGGTCCGTGCAGAGGCCATGGGAACTGTGGGTTAAGGAGGTGGAAGTGGCAGGTCTGTATGTCAATGCTGCTTCACCCTGAAGAGGTTGTTCATGTACATGTCCAGTTAGAAATACTCATGTAGTGAATAGAGATGATTTTTACTCTATTGAGCGATTTTAATTCTCAACATACTACGAATATTTGCCATGAGCTGGTAGCGTACAACGGTAAAATAGGACTTGGGGGAATAGCAAAGATGGCTTTGTTTATAAGTATAGAGTCTGTTTACTTTTTGCGTTCCCCATTATTACTTAGTGAAATACGCTAAAAATCCCAAGTAGCCGGCCGAGGGATACACATTCGATGATATTAAAGAGACGAGAGTGAAACGTCCGAAGAGGTAATCACAGGTATACCCACGCGGTTTATACCCATCATCAATCTTTTGCTAGAATACCACGATAGACATGGGACTTGGTGGTACAGTACATAGAAGTTATAATTAGTGTGAATCTGGTTACATTTCGTGCACAGCTAGGTAGGCGGGACACGGAAATAATTTAGGAAGTCCAAGTCGCTCTCCATCATAAACCCACCAAGATCCATACCGGACCTGGCCTGGTGAGATCCAAAGTCAGGCATACTCATCTGTGGTATAATGGTAGATGACGAGCTCGGCAGATCAGATGCGAGATGCTCTGCGCCCATCCATGGATATCTTACGGTGCTGGATGGGGTTGACACTGCGACATTTGACACTGCAGTCAGATCAAAGAATCGCTTGAAATAACGGTTTGAGGTGTACTTACCAAAATATGACAGAAACTGAGCTAGTCGACCTAGGTATCGAGCACACTTCTCCACGACTTTGTTCCCATTGTCTAAGAGCAACAATGCATTTACAGCTACTTGCAGGGTGTGCTCTGCCGTGGCCAACGACTCCGATAGAGAATCCCGGGTGAAGCCAACTGTCTGATTGACAAGGGCGCATGCAAATATGACAAGCCCTGCGTTGAAAGCTGGCAAGGTTAGTGTCGTGTATAGAATGAACAATTTCGCATCAAAGAACCACGAACTTACTAAAGTAGAGCGAAGACCACCAAGCACCCAGCAAGCCACGCCGGGTACCTGTAGACTGTACGATGAGATTGGCGATCGTGATAATTTCTCGCGACGATTGAATACAGACTTCGATGCTTGGCGACCCAATTTGTTGAAGCAGTGCCAGTTCTCGATCGTTCCTGTTAGCATCTCCGCAGATCTGGAGGAACCTGACCAAGATTGGTCGATGGGCGAGGATTCGGAGATTCTGGTAACGCAAAGTAAGTATGACTCCACATTTCTCCTGCAGATCTGGATCTTCGTGGATCGACTGTATGTCCTGCAAGGTCTTGAGACCCAAGGTTCCCGGGACGGAGCGTTCCCACTCAACTAGGTCCCGTTCGAGCTCAATGAGACACTTTCCGGTATCGAAAATACTTATAGAGGTATCGCAGCTCATGTTACCATCGTAAAGAGTATCAATTACTTTCCACATGACTCGGTATAGGCAACTAGTCTGGCGTCAGCGTGTCACACGTGTGGGAGGTGGTGACTAACATCGTTGCGTTGAACAAGTCCACGCCATTGCGTTTTCTAGTATCAATCTGTGACAAAGGATGGTCGGTATCAACAGCGACCGGGAGCTCTAGACGGACATATGACTCGGGTATCGAAGCAGGCCGTCCAAATGTCATGCTCAGTGTCCTAGTTCTCGTGAGCATTGAACTCGGAACGAGACTGTTAAGAGCTAAAACTCGCCTATCTAAGACCACACACCCATACCATATCCGCTTTCTCATCTCGCGGTCGATAGGTGCCAGAGTCTTTGAACGCTCAGCAGAATGTAAGCCGACTTGGAAGGCTGCTTTTACAGCAAGGCCATGTATTATCCATGTCTGAGTGAATTGCATCCCTTGAAGGTACTGTCCCATCAGAAGGAGACATTGCACTATCGAACGAATGGTAAGGCTTGTGTAATTCAGAGGAACGTTTCGGTAGTGTAACAGTACTTACCGAGTTCTACTGTGCAGCCCTGCCAGATCTGTCTTTCACAGAGGCCTAACGCCCGCTGGTAGTAGGTGTCTGACATGGCTGCACGATCTTGAGCACTCCAATTGGCCGAAATGTTCATACTCGTTCCGACTGCAAATACCACGTTTAGTATTGCAAGCCACGTCTTCTGCGGATTTCTCCAATGGTCTCTTTTCATCGCCTCGTACGTCGCCCGAAATGTCTCTTCATGGAGGTACGGAAACAGCAAGCCAGTATCTGCAAAATACATATCTATCAGAGACATCGCTTCGACGTCGGAAGGTCGCTCGTATAGATTGACCACATCCTGTGCTATTTGAGGCTGGCTTCTCCAATTAGAAGCTGCTACTTTTGAGGACGACAGGTGGCGAGCAGATTGGGTCATGCTGTCGTCTTGGAATGGCTGCAACCTTTCCGGATTCCCTGTGCCTGCACCAGTCTCTGGTGCAATATAGAGCCGCAACACAGCTCTAGATATGTGCCGTGTAAAGGCCGTGTTAGAAGAAGGACCTGAGTTGGTAGTCAGCATCTATATTTGCTGCTCCCCATCGTCTAGCATACCGACATAACCAATCTCAATCTCATCATCATCCTCGCCCCTGGCTAACTCTACAGGGTCGATTGGTGCCTGATCAGTGCCTCCGTTGACTTTCAGTGGTAAGGACTGATTACCCTTGTTACCGCCTGGCGCGTTTGTGCACAGCACAGGTTTAGGGCTTTCGCGCAGTTGGCCTCCAGGACTTTCGCCTAATGGTAACTGCTCCTCCGGAGGTCCCTGTGCCTCAAGCCTTTCCAGCCTCCTCTCAACCGAGGCCAGGCGACCCTCCATGCTTCCCAGATATCTGAGCTGTTAGCTGATACCCTGTCATATCTCCAAGGCGCTTACTCCTTCCCTACAATGGCATTGGACATTGAAGCAGATTGCGCATAGACACAATCATAGTTCAAGCTACAGCACATCGAGCACTTTGGTCGTTGACCGTCGCACTGCCCCATGCCCAGTCGTCAGCAGATCTGGTACTTTGTTGTCCCTAGGTGCAAACTGGATATAGCAGTGGCTGGAACGAATCGTACCCGCGATTTCCTCGTGCGACATGCGCGGCAAGCCACAGCAATTCGCCGCCTCTTGCGGCCCTTGTCGTTGGCGACAATGTCATCCTCCACCGAAGATGTCGGAAGGGAGGCCGGCCATTCCATAATAGATTGGGCAAGTGCGGGGATGGCAAGGTAGAGAAGGCCAGAACAGAAATAAGTAATGGTCTCAAGAGAAGGAGAAGGGTGGGTAGGGGAAACAGCGGAGTTAACAGTGGTATAAATCTACTATTCTCTACCCGCTAGAGCCCCGCGGGACACAGGGACACAGGGACACTTAGCAACTTGGCGTTCTTGGATTTTCGGGTTCAACTTGGCACTTCTCCAGTTCTTCAGTTCCCCACACCACACCTCCAAACCCCATGCTTGGCGGCATGGAAATGGCTTGGGCACGTACTGTACTCGTAAGCATCCGATCTGTCATGTCTAATTTCTCCATTATTCCCGAAAGTTTAATACGGGGTATGCTCCACTGCTAAAGCCTAGTACTACGAGGAGAACCCAGCTTCTCGTGATGCGTCCGCGACGGCCTTCAAGTAGTCATCCGCCCACTCTTCACGGACTAGTCGAATCGACATACGTAAAACAGCGCAGACCAGGTTTAACAAATGGTTACAGTACGGAAAGCACCAGGCCAAACTCATTATTGAATCCAATAAGTAGATCTGCCATTCTCTTACTTATATCTTTTAGTCTAACCAATAACAGCTAAGTTTATCGTTCGCATCGCGTTAGGTGTTCTCCGCTCCCTCAACCAATCTACATGCTTCAATCCTTCCGAGGCTATCCTGAGCTAGTGTTGAGGGCCGTCTGATCACAATAGTGCGTTGCCACAGTCCACATGGCTGCTTATGCCTTAGATCGGCGTCAACATAGAAAGTTTGTCTCACTTTCTCACGCATCTAGGCAGCTGGTAATGTCCTTTCCTCAAGGGCTGAAGCGTATTACCGTATACAAGTAGTATCCAAAGTAAAACACAGCTAGTACAGGTGCATCGGCATACCCATAGCACCTTTTTTTGGCTTGATACCCTTACAAACAACTAGTAATGGCTGCGATAGAACGACACAATTGCCAAAGTCGCCGCAGCGGGTGCCTCCTCAGCGATAAAGTGACCGACGCCCTCTTCAAAAGCCTGGCCTTCTAACTTCCCACTCCCCATCCAGGCTTCCCATACCTGTTTCACATCACAGCTACTGCCCAAATATGCCGCCGAATAAAGCAGCAGCGTATCAACATCCAGCTTTCTTCCGTCCTTCTGATCTTGCTCCTGCCGCTGGATATCCTCCTGAGCACCTGCTCGGTAGTCTTCGCATGCAGCGCGGATGACGGATTCATATTTGAAAGAATTAGCATAGACGTTCACAGCGTCGTTTTCTTGGAGGGTGGCGTCCCCAGCAGGGTTTCGACCAGCCCAGCGTGAAAATAACATCTTTGTGAAGACGTCGCCGCCTTGGCTTTTGATCATCGATGTTGCGACCTCGACGTTGGCAAGGAGCGACCAATGAAAGGATCGTATAATACTCCCTGGATTCGTCATGCGACTCCATTGTTCTATGGTTGGGATGATGTCAAGTAGGATGGTACCTTTTATGGGGAGGCCTGTTGGCTCCTGGTTGTCAACGCTGAGGCGGTGGCAGATGCGAGCACTGCGGTCATGCCCTGCGAGGATGATAGGATGAATGCCCTTGTGTGGTATGATGGAGCGTAGCGTTTGGAGTATCGCTTGGCCGGCGTTGTGTTTGTTATTGGGGACTGAGAGCGGCGCTGAGCGACCGTAGCCGGGGAGCTAAGACGTTAGATGGAAATGCCGAATGGTGGGGGAGATTTCGTACATCTGGAACGAAGATAGGAATATCAGATGGGAGGCGCTGAATGACCTATAATACGTGTTAGTTGGGGTCTTTGAAGCTTTATTAATTGAGGGTTCTTACATGTCTCCACCTGTAGCCCAGGAGTTAGAGTCTGATCAATGAGCCGAAACAAAAATAATATCCTGTATCTAAGGGAAAGGCCTCGTTAAAGTACGATTTTGAGAGTATGAGTCAGAACACAAATACGAAGTACTCATACGCACATGAAATTCCTGCCTCGACATCAGCATTTTACAACGAAGGCTGGCATCAAATAAACCTACGTCTGGGGATATCCATGGAGGAGCACCAGAATTGGCACTGCACCTGACAGGCTCGATATGCCACGCTGGTAGTAAAAAAGCTTATCTGCAGCAGCGGTGCTTATGTTGCTCTGGAGTCCCAAACTCGTCATGTAATCCACATCTGCAGTTGACTGCGTGATACAATCTTGATCCCATGCGGGCTCCATCTTGACCTGTCCTGTCTTGGAAGCTCAACACTAGGTATGTATATAGGAAGGACAAGAGAAAAGGAAAACGGAAGGGCAAGTCGCTGCGGTATCATGACATATACATGAACAACTTGTTCTTGTTCTTGTATTGGCATGGGTGGGGCAAAGGGACAGGGGCCCACTGTGGAACGTAACTTAATGATTCAGGTTAGGAAAGATCAACAGACATACACTGGCTATCTGTAACCTGTTATAATTGGAACCGGAATCAACAAGCCGTGGGTGGATATCACTGTTGTGTTGCTTACGTGGTACAGAGCTGTAGATAGGGGCGGGGAATGTGGGGTTGAGAGCGCACGTGCACGATCACGGGAATATCGGTGAAATATTTTGCCGGACCGCAGGCCCTGGTCAATTGAGAGCTTCATTTTTGTGCGATATCTTCGTAGGCCAGAAATACCTTCGACACTATCACCCTCCAAACAGCACCACCACCGTACAGACCCAACAATTGTGAAAGTATGGGTCGTGGAGGCAAAAGAGTATGTTCCTAGCACCATTGAATGATCTTCAACCGTCCTAACAGTCTGTAGGGTCGTGGACGCGGCGGCGGTCGTGGTGGGGGTCGCTCTCGCGGCGGTGGCGGGGGGGAAGATAACCGTGTCAGCTTTGAAAAGGTCCCGAAGAACAATGAGCGTCTCGAGAAATATTACAACGATGTTCTAGGCCTCTCAGAGGATGAGAAGAGTGATTTTTGGGACGCATATAAAAGGGAATTACCAAATAGCTTCCGATTTGCAGGTTCTAAAGGGTATGTGACAATTCCATGGATATATCAATTGCTCCCGGCGCACACAATGAATGGCTACTAACAATATAATAGACATGCCCTGGCAGTGCAGCAACTCCTCAAAGATAGATACATCCCACAGATATCGACGATCTCGCATTACGATGGCACGCCGGTTGAACCCCCCAAGGCAGTTCTCTGGTACCCAGATGAGCTTGCCTGGTGGATGACCACCCCAAAAAATGTTGTCCGTAAATTCCCGCCATTCGCTGCTTTCCAGAAATTCCTCGTATCCGAGACAAGCGTTGGAAATATCAGTAGGCAGGAAGTCGTAAGCATGATCCCGCCTCTAGTGATGGATCTGAAACCCGGCATGACTGTGTTGGATATGTGCGCGGCACCTGGAAGCAAGGCTGCACAACTGCTCGAGATGGTACATAAAGGAGAGGAAGCCCGCGTCCATGAATCCCTGCGGAAGTATGCCGAGGAGGATGGTCGAGAGGTGAGCCCCGGGCCAGATCTTAAGCTCGAAGATGCCGAAGCGCTGGAGCTAGATTCGAGTGATTATGGACGAGCCACTGGTCTTCTCATAGCCAATGACTCCGACTACAAGCGCGCACACATGTTAATCCATCAGCTCAAACGACTGTCATCACCCAACCTTATTGTCACCAACCATGATGCTACCATGTATCCGTCTATCAAGCTGCCACCTACCGCAGATAATCCATCTCACAACCGATACTTGAAATTTGATAGAATCTTGGCGGATGTGCCATGCTCTGGAGATGGTACACTGAGGAAGAACGTCAACTTGTGGAAGGACTGGCTACCTGGAAGTGCAATTGGGCTTTATATTACGCAAGTTCGCATCCTGGTCAGAGCTCTTCAGATGCTCAAGGTCGGCGGTCGTGTGGTATATTCCACGTGTAGTATGAATCCTGTTGAGAATGAAGCCGTGATTACATCTGCTATTGAGAGATGTGGCGGAGTGGCCAAGGTTCAATTACTCCCAACCGACGACAAGCTACCTCTCCTGAAGCGACGTCCAGGTCTGAAAAATTGGAAGGTCATGGACAAAGCGGGAGACGTCTGGAACTCATACGAGGATGTCGAAGCATCGCGTGAATCAGAGGGCTCAACCACTGCCATTGAGAAGCTTGTCCCAGGGATGTTTTCGCCGTTGCCTGGCTCGCCTGAGTCCGAGGTTCCTTTGGAGAGATGTATGAGAGTATATGCGCATCTCCAAGACACTGGTGGATTTTTCATTGCCATCTTGGAGAAGCAGTCTGAATTTAAAGCCAAACCCGAATCAGATTCGAAGAAGATTGAACCGAAGCCACCAGTTTCTGCAATTATCGACGAAATCGAGTCACGGCCTCCACCAGTTGACGGTGGCAGTGTTGCCCCTCGAATTCAAGCAGCCGATGCCCTTCCGTCTAGCTCGGTGATTGACAAAAACGAAGTAATCGAGGAAGCCTCTGCTGTCGCCCGCCAAAACCAAGAACTCCCTACCATGGATGCAACTATCCCAGCGACGAAGCGAACTGCGGATGATATCGCAGAGTCGGAGTTGGAAGGTTCCCGGTCGCCCAAAAAGATGAAAACGGGGTTGGCCGACCCCACGGATGATCTCGTAGCAGAGGACCTCCCTGACCGTTTAGTTCACTACCCTCCGCCACCAGGCGCCGAATTGGACAACGTAACGCGACCTGGTGATTTGCGAGGCGCGCCAACACCTCAGGCCCGTCCAAACCGAAATAGACCCGGCCAACAGTTTGAAGAACCCTTCAAGTATATTTCGGGAGAGCATCCGGAAGTTATCACTGTAGAGCAGTTTTATAAACTATCTCCTAGATTTCCCCGGGATCGATTCATGGTCCGCAACGCCCAAGGCGACCCTACGAAGACGATTTACTATACCTCAGCATTGATCCGTGATATTCTCACCGAAAACGAAGGGAAAGGCATCAAATTCATCCACGGCGGTGTCAAAATGTTCATGAGACAAGACGTCCAAGGCGAGGGGGTCTGCAGGTGGCGTATCCAATCCGAAGGAATGCCCATCCTTGAAGGCTACGTCGGGGAAGAGCGAGTTGTCCGACTCCACAAGAAGGAGACACTCCGGAAGTTGCTTATCGAGATGTTCCCCAAGGTCGCTGACGGTGGCTGGAAGAACTTGGACGAGATTGGAGAGCGTGTCAATAACATCGGGATGGGATGCTGCGTCCTACGAATTGAGCCCACCGCCACGGAGGGTGGGTTTAACGAGCGGATGGTGCTCCCATTGTGGCGAAGCTTGCACTCGCTCAACCTGATGTTGGCGAAGGAGGATCGAACCGCAATGTTGCTCAGGATATACAATGACACCACTCCTCTAGTCAATAATTCTAAGTCATTCCCAAAGGAGAAAGCAAAGGCAGATGCAGATGCGGAGGCGGCCAATACTGCTATTGATGCAGCCACGGAAGCTAAGCCCGAAAATGGTGTTAGCAAACTCGCAGCTGAGCAAGTGGAAGAAATGAATGTCGACAGCCCACTTACAACTGCAGTCAGCGGACCAGGGAACGAAGGAGCCGCGTACAACCCTGTCGACCCCGTCCCTTATGAGGGTGTTGCTACTGCCCCAAACGGATCGGAGATGGAAACATAGCCGGATAGGATGGAAGCTAGAACATAGGTATCTGAATGAGACTGGTGTTGGGGAGCTGGTTTTGACGAAATCTCATAGTTAGGGAGTTGGGTTTCGCGGGGTTATGCTATTTATATGGTAGCTGCCAGCTTGCGTTAGGCAGTTAGAAAATGTGCGTTTGTATAAAATTAAGACATTGTCACCTACTTCCCGTTTTGCGGCTGTGAGACTGAGAGTGTATGTCGACATGCTGCAGTCAGTTGTTCGACAAGTCCGACTTCTTTTGTCGTCAAGGTTGGGTAAGCTTACTATGGTGCCACGATTCTACAGGTATCTCCATGATATCCCATCCACCAATTTACACTTGTAACACTTAATTAATATACCTCGAACTCCTCATCTTTCTTAAATCGTCATTTACCACCACTAGCTTTACTAGATGTGGGTTGGGGAATTTCAGTTAGCTTGAATAGGATGGTCCCCAAGTGCTAGCTAGAAATCGACGATGAAATTATCTGGTATTCCATAATAGCAATAACCATTTGTTAAAATACATCCAAAGGACTCCCCATCCCAAAGTAAATGAATACCATCATAACAGCATAAAGTCCTATTACCAAAAAGAACATCAAATTGAGGGGAGACGAGACTACATATTATAGATGGAGGGAAGCGACCTGCTACCGTTCGATACTCAACGTAAAACATATCAAGAACTCCCAGCATCTACTTTGCCTTGATTGGCTTTGTCCACCCGGTCAAAAATCCCCATCGTATGCTCCCACACAGTCTTGGACGCACCTTTCTCCCGATACTCGTCCAAGATCTTATTCCCCGTGATCTCGCCATTCCAATTCACCAGATACCCACCACTGCCAGTCTGTCCATCTCCACCTTTCATAACATTAAGGGTTTTGGGTACGGGTGTACCAGTGGCAAAAGGCGAGCCCTCTACCGGCTTGGCAGGTGGGTAGATGCCACTCGTAGCAATGAACAGCTGACGAGCCCCCGTTTCATCCGCACTCACCAAGAACGGTGATAACAAGGGCGTGAGTACCTTTAAGGGAACTCTAGCCCAGATAGGCAACCCCCTTGCAAGTCCAGTATTGACGCCCGCTGGAAACGAATGCACGAATGTGGTACCAGGCTCGCGAGATGCGAATTCGCCGGTCATAAGATCATTCATGAGGACTGTGTGATTAGCACACTTCATACCCGAATATGAATTCTTTAACTCTAGATCATCGAGGTCGACACGGCGCTCAGAGCCCGGGCTGAGGACACTCAGGGTTCGGGAGAAATGTGGGGGAGATGCAGCACCGTTTCGGAGGAGGGGACGTAAGTTGTGGATAAAGCACATTCGAGAGTAGTAGTTCAGCGTCATTTTGCGGTCGAGGCCTTCATCATTTTCTACACGTCACGGAAATCGAGAATCAGTAAAGTCCAGGTTTCTTCTGATCAGATATATCTCCTTACCCTGTCTTCCAGCGAACGTAAAATTCCCCTGGGTCTGCACCAGCAGATTGAGCGTCTTCTCTCGCGTCCCAATCTCCTTGCAGACGCGGTCTACCTCCGCCAGCTCTGTGACATCGGCCTGCAGAAACTCGACCTTCCCATCTTTATTCAGGCCTTCGCATTCTTTTATGATCCGTTCTGCGGCTGAAGCAGACCTGCCGACGAGATAGACTCTGGGAGAGATTGTATTCTGCACGAATGCTTTTAGTGTAAACTCCCCAATCCCACTAGTTCCACCAACTACATCCAGTCAGTTTAGATTCGCGAAAATCTCCATTGGAGAAGTAACAGGCACCTACCAAACAATGCGACGAGTCCAGGACCTAATTCTCGCAACTGAGCGTTGGAGGCGTGGACAATATCAAGGGCGACCATCTTGAATAGCGTCGGAATACACAACCAAAGGTTCAAGAATAAGGCTATGTAACTCCAGTGGAGAGAATTTGCACTTTGCTTGTTGTGTCGTTAAGTAAATGAAGAAACATCGCAGCAGATGTCAAGTTAGTAGGTTACCACGCTACTACATACCTTAACTACAATATAGGCGGAAGTGACGCGAATCGCATTGTCGTTCAGCGAGACACTTGCCCCGCCGAGGCACGGTGCTAGATAAGACCTACATAAAGCTTATCTCAGATCTACAGTAAACGAACCCCGTATTCGCCTGCGCGATGGGACGACAACAACACTATACAATAAAAAATATCTACGAAATACTGTGGATTAAAAAGAGTCGGAAAAGAAAATAAAGAAGGGCTACCAGCCGGACACTCAAGGGCCCTTGCACGATGCTTAGACACCGATTCCCCCAGCAACAACCCGGTAATAGATGATGGATTTCGCTTTCACTACGCCATTGCTAGTTCAATAGATATTCAGATAAGCACATGGTATCTTCGCAAACAAATCCAACTCTCTCCTATCAATTATTCCCCATCATCTCTCATCCAATCCAACTTTTACCTTCCAAATTACAGAGAATGCAACTTCGAGTCCCGTGTCCTAAGTCTTAAACTCTTGCCCCATTTCAAGAAGACAATCGTCCCGATCAAAGTAAATCCTACGCAGAGAGCCATCAGGGTCATGACAGGAGGAATGAACCCAGCTCGAACCGCCCAGTCATTGAAAAAGAAGATCATACCGAACTAGGAGCTTATATTAGCGCAAACTGGCTTATGTGGAATGGAAAACGGGCAGGACCTACGCCAAATGTATTCTTCGCAATGGTAGCGGTCACCATAATTTGGCCTGGGATATGCTTATAGCAGTCGACAGCATACTAAACAATGGGGTTAAAAACGAGCCAACTGGAATCTGCGGACTGGGACATGAATGATAGTACTCACCGAGATGACAATTGCAGGTATTGAGACAACCTCAACGCCTACAAATCCATAACCAACAACGACAATAACAGCCCAGGGCCAGTGTCGCTGGTAACCTACAGCAGCAATCTACCCTCTATCAGCTAACATTCAGATTTCCCGAGAAGAAAGGAGTCTACTCACAGTCATGCCCACCAAACAGATTGCAATATATGGGATCAAGACCCAAAGCCTCATCTCTGCCTCCCTCACCCCCTTATTTCTCTTCGCCAGCAAGATACTCACCCAATCACTCACCGGTCCAGCAGTGCATAACCCTATTATCCCGCCAACCACAAACGCGAAATTCACAAACCCTACCTGGGCTGGTGTGAAAAAGTAGGGAGGCGCGGCGAAGACTTGCGATTGGGTGAGGTTGAGCGCGAGGAGGCAATTGGAAGCAAAGCCGAGGGAGAGAGCAGCCCATAAGATGATGGGGTACGAGATAATCTCAATAGGCGCGAGAATATCACGGACGAGAGTTTCTCTTAACGCGCCATAGATTTTGGGGCGAGGGATGAGAGAAAATTGGTGTTTGGCAGGACGGCCTTTAACATGATCGGTTGCTGGATGGGAGTGAGCATGTCTAGATTCGTGATGCTTCGTGCCAATCTTGACATTGTCGCCCGTCTCTAATCGAGGCCCTTGCTTCAGCGCTGTCTCACAGGGTATTGGTCCCTCAAGTTTGGATTCTTCGTTGGCAACATCTGTACTGGATGTACTATTGGGAGTGCTCAGCTCAGGACGATGGTATCGTGTCTCGGGGAAGAGGGCGACCATCATGAGAAGATTTCCCTGTGTAAATTGTAAGATATCTCACCATCAATCCTAGAATTACTGAGAACTTACTGCTTGCAGAATAGTGCAGACCCAAAAGAACCATCTCCATGAAATACTAGCAGCAATGCTACCAGATATAATGGGTCCAATGAAATTCCCAATAAAATATGACCAGCTTAGAGAAGTCAGCTCTGGCATGGTTCGGTGGAAAGATCCCTCACAAATAAAGTCCCATCCAAAGCCCTCGCTGATGCAAAAACATAACATCTGCCACAACCATAGGCATAATCGACTCATTCGCAGCAGCACCCAAACCACTAATAACACGGGCCCCAATGAAACTGGGGTAGCTGGTTGCCAACGCTTGCCAAACATTCGTAAGCACGCAAACCAGACCGCATATTAGTGTTGTAGGACGACGACCGAAGACGTTGCTGAATGGGACAATTATGAAGTTTGCATATCCGAGAGATATAGCCACTGCCCCAAACTGAGATATTATTAGTGCTATCCCAGAAATATCTGGAATATGCTTCCTTACTAGCATATTTACTTCTGGAAGAGTTATGCGGAACTCTTGCATGAAAATTGGCGTTAGTGGCGCGATTGACAGAGGTGTTAGAACGCTAATGAAGACGAAGATAGCTTGGTTGACTATAACAATTGCCTTCCATGTTGGACTCCAGTTCTTTTACCCAAGCAATCAGCAAATATTGTCCCCAACCATTTGGGAATCGTGAACATACCAGAGGATCATCAGGCTGGTCACTTGGTTCGGGAATCAGGCATATCTTCTCTACCGCCCCCTCTTCTGAGGAACTGCCTTCCTCATGGGTCAAGAGAATTTCCGTTCCCGGCAGTGTATACTCCACTTCCAAATGCTGTGTATTTACCATTGTCGTTATAAGTTTCCTCTGATTTGGAATCAACGGGAAGTGATAGAAGGTGTCCAAAAAGAAGCCAAGCAACCAGAAATTTATGACCCAAGACGATTTATATCTCGACGCTCAAGGAGAGGCTCACGCTTTTTCGGACAACTTTACACAAGTACCGCATCTTCCACGTTCCATATTCCAAAAACCATTCACATAGGTCAATCTGAAAGGGGCTTGACGAAAACCGATGGCCGACAGCTCGGAGGTCCGAATGGTAGCTGGCCCAAAAAGTAGTGTGGATTCCCGTTCTGGGTGTTTGAGGTGGAGGAATGCAATATTTCAAAAGCCAAATGCTCAAAATTCGCAGCCATCTAGTATCGGCTATGTGTGTGGAACCGCATTTAACTATCCCACTCAGTTCGAGATTTTGTGTCACAGAATTCCAATCTTGCAATAATCCGCCCAAGTTTGTGGTTTTCCCAAAAGCAATTTTAGTGCCTTCAAATCATCCCCCAAAATCGGCCGTCCGACATGTTCGCCATTTTCTAGACCAGTCAACGCATACGGCCACAGTTTGACTGTCTGGCGATAACAAGCGAAACCATTTGCATAGACAAATACCTAGGTACCTTCAATTCCTAGAAAACGGCTAGGTAAACAGGAGTACCTTGCACAACAGAAAGCCTGATCGCCATTGCTAGGTTTATCATAGCTGATAGCTCCTAGATTTGCATTTACTTTTGCTTTTTGAAGCAACTGCTGAGAAACTCTACCAGTAGCAGCTCGTAGCTCATATCGCATCTTACTGTCAGCGGTGCTGTCTGCAAGGCTACACAACAGCTTTAGCTCGGACGTCCGTGGAACAACCCCCAGATATGCTGCAACTTCCGGCAATGGTACCTTACATACTTTTCGTTCAAGGACCCAATAACATTATGAGAAGAGTAATCCCCACAAATGAGATCCGATCGAGACTGTAGCCTAGTCTACAAAGACATTCCGAGCCCGTAGTCTTGCTCTCCCAGCAACGATCCTCTCGGACCTCTCCCGAGCTCGCAACTTCGGAGCACTGGCTTTGCCCCTAATCCGCCTAACATAAATCGAAAACATATCCCGTTTTACTCGACTAGACCACGATGGCTCGGTGCCGCTTGGAACAAGGTCATGCAATATTGTTTTATCGTGGACGGCTAGGAACTACCTTGGCCCGGTAGCACTATATGGAACTTCTAGGTCAAAATATCACGTAAGGCTTCTCCTCATGTAAGGCTCAGAATAACGTATTCGAATGAACGCACTAATAACTCCGTTACAACGGATAGAAAGGACTTGGGCAAGAATGTTTCTGAATAACTTGGCGAGATCTAGGAATTGTCATGTGTGTACGAAGTAACATCCAAATCAAACTTTCGCCCCTAAATCCGGCATGTCACGCCTAATAATAAGCGGCTGGGCGTGTTGCTAATCCCGACATCAGGGGTTGAACGCATCATCAGACAACAACATCAACAACAGCAATCATCGCCAGATCAAGTGATGCAGTCCAAAGACAGGCCAGCCTTCTCCTCTGGAATTCTATCAGCTGTTACACCGCTCTAGTCAGCAGCGCATTTGCCTAGACTCTAGGTGTAATCTGACTTCAGCTACTGGTACAACTCCTCTGACAATCAGCACCAGTGGCTGATCCTTGGTTCGCGGGGGCTGGGCTGAGCTGGCTTGGTTCAACTTGGCTACCGGTCAGGCAGATCGGTCCAAGATGCAGGGCGAGTTTGAAGAAGGCTGAAAGGTAAGTGCTCAGACGAGTGATGTAAGTTTATTACTTCCTTGCGCCTGCCCCATGATTGATCGTCTTGAAACAACCTGCGTATTCGAAAATAATATAGTCTCGCTCCTTCTGCTTTTCCCTCGAGTGTCCTGTTCTTGAAGGCGCCCCCAACTGCAACAGTATTCAAAGCGTTATTTACTCCTTCACCGATACCCCACAACGCAGCATAGACAACAAGAACAAGAACTCCTCTCAAATGGCACACCTATTTCAACAGGCCAAATCGGCCACTGCCAATGTTAGAATGGCCCATACCAATCCTTCTGCGTCGCCGGCCTCCTCGCTGCAAGAGCGCGCGCGCGTCGAGCGCAGTTTTATCAACACCGAGTCCACTCTACCAGACCTCAAAAAAGATCCTAGAACCGACGAGAACCATTCGTTCTCAAACGACCTCCTCTCATACCTCGGGCCCTGGAATCCGTTTCCTAAACCAGTCACCGCCACCGATACAGTCTGGCTCCTCGACAACACCGCCTATCGCTTAGTCAATAAGAACGGGCAGGTCGGGGCATGGCAAGCGGAATTCATAGCGGCGGTCTTCGACCAGAATTCTGGCGGCCATTTAAGCGTCGTCGTAGCAGATATTGCGGAGAAGCTGCGCATTGGGAAGGGTGATAAGGCTGAAGCCACGATTGCGAAAAGGCTGATGCCTTTTGTACAAGATATTCTGCCGTCGAAGGTTATAGATACAGAGTTTGGGGGAAAGGATGTGTTGAGATTAGGTCCGGGTGGGAGAAGTGGGATCAGTAGCGATCTCAAAACCCTACCGCCGCATAATGGTGGGGAGGTTATTGATAGTGTTGCAAAAGTTCCCAAGGGGGTGAACGGGATCTTGGAGATGAAGACGTTTTATGCTGAACCGGAAGGATGGGCTGTTATATCTGGTAAGCAGAGGAATACGTATATTCCACAGATTGTGTACTGACAGTAGGACAGATATTGACGATACCATCAAAATCACCCAAACCAGCGATCCAATAGGCATCCTGCGCTCCACCTTCGTCTCGGAAGCTGAGCCCGTCCCAGGAATGCCCGAGCTGTACTCCTACATCCAATCCCTTATCACGCCGTCTTCGCCATTCTTTTACCTTTCCGCATCTCCTTACAACCTATATTTCTTCCTGCACGAGTTCCGGCAAAAGTTCTACCCCCAGGGAACCATGATCCTTCGAGAAGCAAGCTGGAGAAACCTCTCCGGTCTACTCTCGAATCTTACTGTTGGAACTGAAGAGTATAAAGTTGGCCGCATGAATAAAATCCACTCCTGGGTTCCAAAGCGCAAGATGATTTGAGTTGGTGACTATATACAGTCAGACCCTGTGATTAATGCCGACATGTACCCCCCCCCCCCCCCCCCCCCCCCCCAATAAACGGTAACGACTTACCGAGCTAACTCGTACCTACAGATTCAGAAAGTTCCCAGGCTGGGTCCGTCTAATCCTCATCCGCAAAGTCACTGATATCGCAGCTATCGGCATCGAAGATAAGAACGAGCCGAAGCGGTTCGAGAAAGCATTTAAGGGGGTGCCGAGCGAGGCGTGGCAGCTGTTTGAGACTCCTGATGAGTGCCAGGCGATTATTGAGCGCGTGGTGGGAGGCAAGTAAGTTTTGGGGGTTTTGTTGTAAAGTGGTATATGATAAATATGATAAATATGGTTTACTGGTGGGCTTGTTTTCGCAGGGCGTTGTGCGGTTAACTTCAGTTTCAAATATCCATGCAAGGGGGGCATTGTTTGCGTGTTTATGGCGATCCAAAGTTTAGTATTAGGGAGGTAGTTTTCATGCAAGAGCAGGATGAATATTAATATGAGAAATTATGGCAACTGAACCCTTGAGGAGGTTCTTATTTATGTGCTAACTTAAGGGTTATTACCACGTGAGGTGACCAGTCCTATGATGGATTAAAACCAAGGCATAGAGATTACTGCGAGCTATTGATTTCAATGGGTCTATTGGATACAAGTACGGATATTGGGGCGGTTCATATGGAGAAACAATAGATGCCTATTATCGTTGTAGCCATGAGTATATAATTTCTGGCCACAGGATCAACTGATGTAATTACTCTTTCAAGCCTAGGCCTAGCCCACTACCCAACAACACCTCCGCCCTACCTGCTCGCCTTCTCATTATCAATCTCCGCCTGCACCTCAGCAAGCACCTGCTGCCTACTCCTCAAATGCTGTTCCAAGCCCTCCACCTGCTCCCTAACAGTCTGAATCTCATCCGCGACACCCTTCAAACTAGCTCCCACCTTGCTCTTCCCATCACCCACCTCCATATCCCTCAATTCCTTCCTCTTGTAATCCAACAACTGCTCTAGTTCCCGCTTCACCAGAGCAGGCGTGGTATCCCGTCTCCCGCCATGTCTCTTGGTCGATTTCGCTTCCACTTTCTCGACCTTAGCTTCTAGCTCCGCGAGCTGTTTCTTGAGCCGTACTTCCTCCCAGTCCTCTGTAGTTTTCGTGGTCGAGAAATCGGTTCCGGCGGGCCGGTAACTGCTTTTCCCTCCTACGCCGATGCGGCTAAGATATGTTTCCCCAAACTTGGCTTTACGGCCTGTGCTGGTTTCCTCGCCGCCTGTAGCGCCCCATCTTTGCGCCGGGGACGAGGTGCGTTGGTTGTCGATTTGGTAGTCGATTTGATTGCGTTCGAAGCTGGAGCGCAGCGAGGCTGGCACTGTTCGTGGGATGCGGTAACCTTCGTGCCGGTTGTTTAGGATGTGGAGGAAGGCGAGACAGGCGTCTTTGGAGATTGCGGGGGAGGCGGAGGGGTTTATGAGGTTCCAGGCGGAGCGGACGTCCGTGTCTGGGACGTCGAGGGAGGAGTAGAGGGTATCTAGGGATTCAACTGTGCAAGTATAATATCAGTAGCTGTTTTATAGCTTTTGTGCTTGGGGAGGGTAGGTAGGCACACTCACAGGTAATTTCTCCCCTCCCATCCCGATTCGCATCATAGATCTCCTCGTACTTCGCCTTGTCCGATGGACTCATATACCAATCAAAGCCATCCTTCAGCCCGGGAGAATCATCGTCGTCTTCAATTCTCTCAAACTGCACCTGCCTCCCCGTAAGCGCCCTATTCGCCTGCACCAAATGCGCCTTGCTCTCCGGCACCAGCCAGTCTGGCACCTGTGGTGGAACGTCCGCATACTCCTACCCACAAAAGATCCGTCAGCACATTATCCTCCCTTCACAAGTTCCGGCAAGCTATCTTGTCTATACATACCCCATTGACCAGATCAAAAATCAGCCGCATCGCCACGCAGAACTCCTCGAAATCCAGATTCCCGTCATTATCCACATCCGCGAGATCCCATATCCGCTCCAGCTGGTCATCGCGCAATTGGCTGTTCTTCAACACAGGCGCCGCTTGCGCGCCTGTTAGATGTGTGCCGCCATTCGAGAGGGATGCGAAGATCTCCCAGTACTTTTCGATTTCCGCTTGGTCGATCCGTTTGTTCGACATGTCGCTGACGACGACGTAAGCCCGGAAGGCTGGGCTCGCGCGGGGATGTTCACGCTGAGATCGGCCGCAGAAAGAGGACGGGGTTTTGGGGGATTGGATAGCTCGGATCGTTGGCTATCGTGCAATTCCGTGATATGGTCAATGGTCGTTGGTATGGACGGGGTATGCTTCACAGCTTGATACAGGATAGATAGTTGCAAGACAGCTGGAAACTGTGGTTAGGACCAAGGCTAAACTTCGGGGTTACTCTTGATCCCTCCCCCCTTAAAACTAAGCCCCAAAAGGGGTACTACTAGGTAGGATCGATATAAAATTAATAACATTGGCAAACTCCTCTAGTGACCTGCGCGTATTTGGAACTAGTTGGTGTACAAATAACTCGAAGAAACTTTTATCATATAGCTACCTACGCTTTTGTGAAAGCTGATGTTTAACATCTAAGTCTAATATTTCATGTCACTGGACATGTCCATTAGCATTTCTGTATTCAAAACTCAATCACAACAATAACTCATACATAAAACCACTACTATTCACGCGTGCTATTCTCTATTTGGCACGGTTACGTGGTTTGACAACGTGGTACTAACTGAACGAACCCTTTTCCCCCTCCCCCAATGAGGCTCCAGACGAAATCCCATATGCGAAATTTCCATACATATTTATTATCACCAGCAGCAGTATCATCAATAGAGTGATGTCTTTCATATTAAGCTATAGCAACGCTTGAACTACTCCGTGTCCCCATGCAAAGCAAGTTATGTCGAGCCTTAGCCCTGCAAACGATCCATTTCCTTCAACCTTCATCTTGGAGCCGCAATGATGCAACGGATATCACATGATGGGAGCAAAGGAATCCGAAAACACATGGTACGATTTAAGCAATAGGCTTCTCAGCATGGTTTTCAGGCAAGACATCCGCAAGAGTCTCGTCCGTGCCAGCAAGATCTTCCTCAACGCTGACGTGATCCTTGACCTTCAAGAAGATGACTGGGGCGGCGCAGAGAAGAGAGAAGCTGAGGAGAGCCCAGTTGGAGGCGAACTCGGCCATGAAGGAGATCTTGCGACTATCCAGAGCCCACATCACGGCGGCACCAGCGGATTGGATACCCTTGTAGAAGCCGACATAGTTTGCTGAGCGGCGGCCAGAGTTGGAGAGTGCACCCATATACCTATTTTAACTGTTAGTAAGTTTTAAGTGATGTAGGAAATTGGTTGCATACCAGTAGACAGCGGCTTGCCAAACCGAATCATAGAACCCGTAGAAAATGTACAGGAACATGGGCCCCACGTATCCTTTGGTCTTCCAGTCGGTGGGGACATATTCTGGGTGGATATCGGTGTTTACGTCGTCGCGATCATAGAGCTTGGCGTAGGCAAATCCACCACCCCAGACCGCCATGGTCAGCCCGAAAAGGAAGCCAAGGGAAATCTTAGCACGCACGGAACGGCGAACTTTATCGATATCCATAGCATAGCCGAAGATCAAGGCACCGATAATCTGGGCGAGATAGTAAAGAAGGGTGTTGAGGGCCTTGGTGCGAGTGCTGAAGCGAGCACTGTTGACGGCATTGGTTTGGTAGGTGACGAACCAGTTCGAAGACCAGAACATGGGGAAGAGAAGGACAACCATAGGCTCATATCTAAGCGTCTCCCACAGACCGACAAATTCGGACTGCCAGCTAGGGTGCTTCATCAATACGACCTTGCTTCCATCTGATCGGACTACGTCACCAGCATTGCAGAGGCAAAGGGCAAGGCAAGCTCCGCAGAACATGAGAACGATGAAGGCAATATAAGTGCCAGTCGTGACGTCCACATTAGCAGTGGTGTTGTATGTCTGGGCGAGAGGAATCTGTACATCAGGTTAGCTCAGTAAGCGATAGGTTTAGGAAACTGGGCTCATTAAGCCCCGAGGACTACGAATTCGGCTGCCCATTCAGCAGGGCAGCGGTGGGATGACTTACCAAGCTGCCAATAACTGCTCCCAAGTTGAAAATAGCCCAGAACCAGCCAAAGTACTTGCCCTTAGAACTCTCATGAGGATACGAAATCATAATGGTTCCTTGAGCGGTCCACAGCAAACCTGCGCAGATACCGAGAAGGGCGCCGGCAAAGATCGGGAAGCCAAGCTTGGTTGTGTGGAGCGAAACGAGCAAGCTGACAGCATAGATGCAGTAGCCAATTCCTCCGAAAGCCAAGGTGAGCTTGATACCGAGCTTGTTGACGAAGGTACCGCCAAAGAAGCCGAAAACGGCGAAGGTGCTATACAAAGCGGTATTCTGCGTAGGAGAGCCATTAGAAATAGATCTACGCGGGGAGAGAAGATATACGAACCATGTCATCGGCCAGGGTCGCGTCCTTTCGTCCACCCCCTCCGAGGCCACCGAGTGCGTTGAACATGCCCGGGCACAAGAAGCACACAAAGGAGACCATGATAAGCTGGACTCTAGGCGAAGCATACCACGGGATTCGGTGACCTGCAACGCGGCGGACTCTGTACTTCCAGCCATCCGGCAGCGGTGCTCCTGCTCCTCCGTCGACTACGTCCATCTCGTTATGGATGGGGACCGACTGCTTCACATCCACCGGCGCGTCGGCTGCCACGGGGTTGGAGTTGTTGTCCGCGGTCGCCATAGCTGCGTTTGGTGCTTGGTGTTTGGGCTTTCAGGATTCGGTTTCTGGTGTTTGGAGTTTTGGTGTTTGGAGATCGAGAAGGATAAAGGTGACTGCGCGTAGAATTAATAAGGAGCCGCGGTCGAGGACTCGGAAGCACCACTTACGCTGAGTGGGAAGGTGAGGGAGCGAGTGCTGTCGGGAGGCGGGCGACGAGCAGCGAGCAGTCACAATCACAACCGCAAGCACGTAAACCAGAACACAATAGACCACGAGTTCAGCTCTAGCAAGCTCTCGAGACACAGACCCTTTGGCAATGCGATGCGGTGCGGCGACTTGGATTATCTTCACGGCAGAAGACGACACTGCGACAGGCTGGCTGCAGCTATATATGAATCTGAATCCTCCGCCTGCTCCCTGGCGTCCCTGGCTCCATGCCTTCGAGATTCGCACTTAAGCCGACCCTGGCCCTGCGCGCTTCCATGTTAGCACGACGAGCAGTATGGAGTACGAGTATGGAGTGAGATGCTATGATGTTACTCAGCGGCGCACTGGCTGGTGGCATGCTACCCAGCTACCCATATGCTGGTCGAGTTCGTGCTTCGAGATAACGTTAAACCGGCCCCTTTAGGACGGCCGTGGAGGGCGGACATCATTGGCGGTCGATGGCTTCTGCACCGAACGACTTGTGGGGAGGCGACTACGACCCGGCCGCCTTCCTTGCGCCCTGGGGCGCCCATCAATCCAGCATCCCCAGGATCCCCAGCGGTGGAGCGATAGCTAATCCTGAATACTGCCTGGTGAGTGGCTCTCTGTGTTTGCCAATGGCCGAGGGCTTCTGATCCTCGTCTCAAATCAAAAGGTTATCCGGCCACCACCAGAACGGCTCTCTTCTCATGTAACGTGTGATCTGGTATATCTTGATACGAAGGAGAGCACGCGGGCTGGCTGTTCCTTAACGACGCTGCTATTTCGTACAGTACTGTGCTACTGTGGCTGGCTCTGTTTTACTCCAGACTTTCAACCCGCATCCCGATTCCCGAACAATTGATGCTCCGCAATCCCCTACCAAGGCCCGTGTGGATCCTCCTCGAGCCCGCGTGAGGTGAGTTTGTTGGTGGTTTTCCTCCTGGGGGCGCCTTCGCGAATCCATCGGATCCGCCGAGTGCTCAATTTTGAAATCCCCCAACACCAGCAATGCGGCAAGGCTCAGGGCTTTACGAAGTACCATCCTGTGCAACCGGGCTGGGCTCCCAAGTCCCGTGAGCCTCCTCATATACTGTGCCGTTGAGCTGCCTACAACATTACAACGAGGCCGCAGTGTTACACTGTTATCGATGCACATGTTGCTCTCCCGCAGCGAAGCGTGCGGCGAAAGACAGCCAGCGCATTCGACGGAGGAGGACCTGCGGAGTCCCGTATCCGTCTGCGCCAGTCCATCACAATTCCTTCCTCTGCGCAAAGGAGTTCACGGTGATCCAAATGCGTGATGGGGAATTTGGAGCGTAAGATAGCCACATCGTGGGATTATGGATGGGATGGGGAGGATTACCGATATTAGTTGACAGCATGGAATCAGGAAAAGTCTCATCCACCCACACATATCACGATCTGGAACCCGTCCAGAGCAGGGTCCATCCAGAAGGACAGGAGCATCTATCATCTCGAAATGGCAACACGTCAAGATCCCAAGGCTCTACGGAGTAGCCATAATCAGGGGGAGGGAAAACCAAACACCACAAAACGACTTGACTGGCTGAAATCGTTGCGGGGGGCCGCCTCCCATCATCCATGATGCAACGGAGATTTTAAACGGGCCTTCCCCCTTGAACATATCTGTTGTTGTTATTGGGCCATAGAGCCAAAATCGGCCGAGGCACCAGCATACATGTGGTTGTGGCGTCTCTCCGCAAGATTCAAGTCGCCACGGCACCAATGCCAGGACTCCAGTATTGACTCTAGTGAAGTTGGCTTCTGGCAGTCGCGGCGCCTGCACCGCGGACGCCAGCCTCGAACCCCGTCCGGGCAAGGGTTTCTTTGAACGACAGAATACAGTAACACCTCCGACTGGAGTATGTAGGTACGAAGAACCGTGGAGCCACAATACTACGTGATACGTAGTACGCAGAACCCTCTCTTCCGGACTTCGTACGCGGATCTGTCCTAAGTGTGAAGCACTTGACCAAGAGCATCTTCTAATTACATAAGCGTGGCAATCGATTACCAGTGGATTTGGCCATTACATCGCCAAAGCGCCCCTGAAACCTAAAGCCTGTAGATCTCGCGACAGCAAGGTTACATACACCACCTCTAGCCTCGAAATAACACAGCATTCGATTTTCGAGACCCCGCGGCCTCGTGATAATACGAAGTACGGGCCAGCGGCCTGCTCCCGTCCCCCCGATTAACGGGTCAATCGCTGACCTCATACCATGGGGTGCCTCGTGCTATGGTTACATGCTGCACCATTGCGCGCCTATGGCTGCCAAGTACGCCGTGCCACATGCAGAGTATGTGACTTTTCGATCGGGTTTGAGGCTCGACCATTAACAATAAGATCACTACGGGATCACAGGTGCCATGAGCATAGATAGAACAACCGTGCCATGGAGTGCCTAGACCAATGAAAAAGATAGCAAGCGGGCAAAGGGATCAAAGCTCGATGTTGAGGCTTGAGGCTTGAGCAGAATATGTTTTACCTAGCTTGACTTGGAGCACTTCTCGACTTTTATTTCATTTATGCATGGTGCTAGTTTTTGCCTTGCAATGTAGCATGGCATGGTAGTGCCGGTAGTTTGGTACTATACAAGCGGAAGGTGCTCAAGCTAGGGTGGAGAACGTGGAAGACTAAGCTTCAATAATGGATTGATTACCCACATGATACATCCTCAGCCTAGCATCATGTCCAACGAACTGCTTGTGGATGGGTCCCGCGCGCCCGGAACCCCTAGTCGCTACTATTCTCGGAATCCAACACAACCTTGCTATCTTATCTCTCCTCCGAAACTACCACTCTTGCAAAACTGGACTCTCCTATTGACTTCGATATGCTTATCATTCTCCAACTTCCTTTGTTGTTGGCAAGCAACGGTGCCTTTCCACTCACGGATGCTCTTAGCAGCTGGTCATCTTGGGCTATCCCACTAGATTTGAGGCAGTAACTCGGGTATCTGTCTAACGACCAGCCCAAGGACGCTTGGGAATCAAACAAGGCAAAGTCTCACATCTCCAACCGATAGAAGTCACTATGGCACTTTGATTTGCTTTCAGGAACAATGTGAACAAGAAAACAAACATCTATTAACTATGATAGCCTAGTTCAATCGACATGCCATACGCTCCCGTATCAAGAAGAACCCGCTCGGTGATGCGCTTGAACCAAACCTGGGTATAGCCCCAACACCTACCATGAAATTGCATAGAAATCAATACCGCCAAGTTGCCGAATGGCAAGCCTAGAATTCTGCGCCACTGATGTACTTAGGCAACTTCTCGGTGAACAAAGTACGGCCCTCTGAGATTGAATGTTAGTGTGCTGAATCGCGCGCGATACTGTGAGCGGAAGTACTTACTGATCCACCCTAAGTAGAGACGAATGTTAGCAAATGTTTAATGAAGAGGTACCTATCAGGGAAAACTTACAAATGAGGAGACTTGGGAGTTTCATGTTTCCTGAGCGGCCAGTGGCTTTACTCCTGCCGATTGTGACTGCGATTATTGCTATTATTGTGTTAGCGCACCATCTGTGAGAAGGGGGAGTGCCAGGATGAGTAGTGACTTACGAGCACCATCAAACTTATAGATTTCCGGAGCTTTGCCCTTCAACACAAGATCGAGATTCTTGGAAAGAGCTTTGGATTGGTCGGTTGCGTACTTCATCTGGGAAGGCTGGATGTCGACAACATCGCCCGCGGCCCAAATATTTGAAGTATTCTTGGCATGTAGATATTCATCAACAACGACGTCCCCGTGGTCGTTTAGGAGCTTGCTGGGGACATATTCGGTATTCGGTATCACACCGACAGTGGGCAGATATAAATCTGTGACGAGTTTCTCGCCCGTGGATAATGTGAGCTCGGTCTTGCCATCAGGCTTCGTCACGGAACCCTGGACCTTTGTTTCGGCCACGATTTTGACCCCCAAATTCTGCAGCTCGTTCGTGGCGACTTTCACGACACTTGCTGGAAGGTCGGCGAGGACGGATTTTCCAGAAGTGATCTATTATCGTCAGCACCCGAATCATCGGTCATCCAAGAAGCGGCGCATACCAGAGTGACCTCCTTGCCCTTGCCAAACTCGAAGGCAATTTCACCAGAGGTTTCAACACCCGTTGGCCCCGCGCCCGCAATCACAATAGATTTCGCCTCTTTCACTTTATTCTGGTATTCGTGTAATAGGCTCTTCGTCTTCTCGTAACCTTCCAATGAGGCCTTCCATGGCACGTCGCCAACTGTGCGGCTCCCTGTTGAAATGACAAGGTGATCGTAGTCTTTCGTGGATTCCCCAGATTCGGTCGATATAGTAACGGTGTTGGCATCGGGGTTTATTCCTGTGGCTCGACCGTGGACGAATTCGAAGGACCCTGAGGGGTACTGTTTAAACCCGGATTGAATATCTTGGAAAATCTGTAAATATTTAGCAGCTATTCCCACGATTCGCTTTTTCCAAGGGATGGAATTTACCTTGTCATCACTCAATTGCCCAGGAACAATCGCTATAAAACCCCGAGTCAGAAACCTATCCTAAGCCTAGATTAGGGCACTAATTGGCCTACCTCGAACAGATGCCAAATTCCAGTACATATGAGTTGTCGTGGAAACAAGAACCACTTTCAAATCGGTGACCTCTTTTTGGGTACGCTTCAATAAACTACAACCGCATGTTAGAAAGCTCCAATCGAATCGCGCATACCGAACCCACTGACCTATGAGCGATTCCCACACCCGTATACGAGGCGCCGAGGATGATGACTGTTTTCGTCATGGTAGCTGCTGCGTGAAAATGTGTTTATTTGATTTGTTGGAGTTTCAGAACGATCACAAGATAAGTGGCTGAATGTGGGGGGGGGGGGGGACTTGTAAAGGTAAATAGCAGGCAGGATTGGACTGGAGATAGGGTATTGAATGATATCGAAATATAGATCGAGATAAACGTGAACCTTTATCTACTTGATGTTAATTGTCGATCTCACACCGTATTGCAACACTATGCCTGTTTATTAATTGACACTAGGTCTAATTCGGACAACAGCACGCAGTTTTGAAAGGAAATACTACGTACCTATGTACCTTACGAATCGTTGCAAAGCAAATTGTGAACGGGTATTACCAATATGACAAATTGGCTGGGCTTACTAAGGTAATAGGATGAAACCAGTGCAGGTACCGATGGTGGCTGATTGGTGGCGCGGGTGCCGGACTTTTGAGATTAGCGGACCTCCGGTGAAAGGATTATTCTGGTGTTGGAAGTGCCAAGTACTACTGAATAATGTGTACAATACATACAGGAGGATTATGCTATGTATTGCCGGTGAGATGGTGAGATGACGTCAAGCATGAGGCTGTGATGCGAAACCCTTATTAATTTGTTCGCTATGAGGAGAGAAGAGAAGATGTGGTGATTGTTAAGTTCTTCTTTGTTGTTTCGTGTGGGGTGTGTCGGTAATGTGGCAGAGAGCACTGAAGATGGATCGGTATAAACACAGGCGTATTAAGGGCTTGCAGGAATCCGCTGCGGCAACGTCTTGAGCCACTATTGATCGTTGAGGTCACAAATAACGCTACTGAGTAAATGCTTAAACCTACCCTTTAGAAAACTTTGTCTTTTTAAAAGTCTTCAAGTTAATAAAATATAGAGGAAGTACGAGTACATGGCTCCAAAACGGAAACCAAAGGCGCTTCCTCCCCGTGAGTGAAACGCTCCTTCGCCTGCACTGCGAACATCGTTGCGGAATAATCCTACTTGGTCGACAGAGCGACGAATTCTGCACTTTTCAAACAAGGAGATGTTTTGCCTTATAGCGGCTCGAGTTCTTCGTGTCGGGTGTACTAAGGCTGTCGCATCTAGCTAATATCTCCCTCCCCCCCTTATGTATCTTCGAGGCGGTGGAGGTTCGGCCGAGCGTTAGCCGATGGACTTCATAGGTATGTGATTACATTTGCAACTGCCTATTATCCCATTCGGTTGTCCAACATCTTCTTCTCGCTCCCCCATACGAATACACTACTATACACCCCGGAACATCCATTTCACGCCCTCGCAACCTCCTCAATCACCTCCCTCACCCTCTTAGGATCATGCCCAAACCGGCCCAAAAACAACCCATCGACACCCTCACTCATTTTCTCAAACGTGCCCGGTCCCGCACTCCCCCCATACAAGAACCGAATCTCGCCATGTCCTCCCCGTCCCCTCTGCACACAAATATCCCTTAAAGCCTTCACGACATTGACGACATATTCCGCAGGCGCAGGTGTAGGCTGTCCAATTGCCCAGACGGGTTCGTACGCGAAGATAATCTCCTTCCTCGCTCCCTTATTCGTCTTCTCCGACTCATCCAGCACGTCGAGAATCGATTCTACCTGCGACCTACACTCCGCAACTGCCTCCTCGACGCTGCCCTCGTGCTTCTCTCCAATACACACCAGCGGCACCATCCCATTCCTCAGCGAAGCGCGCGCCTTCAATGCGACAACCGCATCGTCTTCGCCGAATAATCGGCGTCGCTCGGCGTGGCCGAGTTCCACGAGGGAACAGCCCAGTTGTGCTAGTCCGAGGGGGGAGACTTCGCCTGTGTACGCGCCGTCGTCTTCGTAGAATGAGTTTTGGGCGCCCAGAAGAATCTGGGGGCTTGAGGTTGGATTTGAAGATGCGGTTGATTGTTGGGCGAGCAGGAGAGGGAGGGAGATCATGGATGGGATGAGGAATAAGGATATGTCGTGGGATTGCGCGAGTGCGTTGAGGGGTTGCAGGGCCGCGAGGTAGGATACGGTCTTGGGATGGTCGAAGTAGAGTTTGAGGGAGATACCGATTGTGCGTTTTGGCCGCGGGAGGGCTGGTGAAGAGGTCGACATTGTTGCTTTATTAAAGGTTTGTTATATGTGCTGGTTTGAGACTGTGGGTGGTAAGTACAGAGTAAGTAAGTTGTGTGGATTTGCAACTTGGGCACTTCTACTAGCAAGTGACGAGGAGCCGGAGTGTAAAGAGTAAGTGCCTTGAGGACCGGAAAGAGAAGTATTCACTAACTGCTAATTGACTAACTGCTGTCCAAAATCCCGAGGAAGTCCTTGCAGCCAAAGCTTAGATTGTGTAGTACAGAACCTTAAAACCACAAGTGCAATGCAGATGGGAATCAACAAGAGTAGCAAAAATATAATAATATGTTCCACCCTTCCAAATATCTATTTATTTTATTCGTTCTTTATTTACTTATTTATTTATTAAACTTCCCGGATACCCTTCCCTTTTTGGACCCCCATTTTTGTATGGTGGGAGGGGGGGCGCCCAGCGCACCGGATTACCGCATTTGCACCATCCGCCCCTGTCGGCGGGGTAAATGTGATCAACCCGCCACCAGGACAATAATCATCCGGAGCAATAAATCGCTGCGATACAAATACTTGTAGGTGGGAGTGGGTTCTTCTTGTTCGGTTTCCTTTCCTCTCCTTTAGATAAATATAATCATTTATTATTAACCCTTTACGCGTCCTTGCAATTCCACCTCGTGCAATATCATTATTTATTTTCCCGGCTTTTGGATTTATAGGAAAGAAGGATACGATGGCAGTTACTGAGCAGAAGAAGTTGAAGATCGTGGTTGGTGGTGATGATGGTATGTGACTGACTTAGCTAGTGATTTAGTAACCATATATTTATATTTATTTGCTAACTTTATTGCTATGAATAGCTGGATTCGAGTACAAAGCTGCCCTTACAAAACTGCTCAACGAGCACCCAGGAGTCGAGACAGTTTTCGATGTCGGACCCCTTTCTGCAAGCGACAAGAAGGCATATCCCCATTTCGCCGTTGACGCTGTATGTACATCTTGAATAACTCCCCGGACAAAACACGTCTAACAAATCCTAGGCAAAGCTAATAGCAAGTGGCGAATGCGACCGCGCCCTCCTAATCTGCGGCACCGGCCTAGGCGTCGCCATCGCTGCCAACAAAGTAACCGGCGTGCGCGCCGTCACTGCTCACGATCCGTTTAGCGTGGAGCGCTCGGTGCTGAGCAACGATGCCCAGGTGCTGTGTCTGGGACAGAGGGTTATTGGGGTGGAATTGGCAAAGACGCTTGTGAAGCAGTGGGTTGGGTTAAGATTTGATCCCGTAAGTTAACCTCTTTTTCTTTTTCTCCTTTTGGAGCTTCTTGATATTAGAACGGAGGAAGTTGGAAGAAAAGAGACTGGGGATTTAAGACACTGGAGACTAATTCGATCCCGCTATTAGAACTCGGCTTCCGCGGAGAAGGTTCGGGCGATTAATGAGTACGACGAGGCAAACTGAGGAGAGCGCAGAAGGATTGCTAGAGAAACGACAATACTTTTAGGGATGGTGTATAACGGCTCCGGTGCATTGTGAGCTTTCTTGGAGACTTTCTTATGTTCCCCTTCTCCACCGGGAGTATTTCTAAGGAAGCTGGATAGCTAGTGGCTGGAGGTTTGGCGATTATAATAGAAGGATCGATTGCGATGTATGAAAATATATAGAATTCATTTATCTCCACCTATACAACCTACCAGGTAGCTATTACAGAGGTCATGGCAAAAAGTAATAACAATACAAGGGTTCAGCGCCCAGGTTTTGCTTACGGTGCGGCGCTGTCAGTACGAAGTATGGAGATTGATTGGATTCTGGTTGCTGCTGGCTACCAGTTGCATTGAGGTTAGTTGAACTGCAATTCATTTCCACTTTTACAACATCGACGCTCTCGAACCAGAACATTCTTTACAGCGATTTGCATCTATTATAGTCGTAAGTCAACTTACAAATGTAGCAAATTGTAACAATCCAACATGTTGACCCCTTATAAGATTCTCCGTTCTCCGCTGTGCCGCGCGCCGCATCAACATAAACAATGTCAACATTAACCACCTTCCACCCCTTCCCCGCCCTCCCAATCGAGGTCCGCCTTAAAATCTGGTCTTTGTACCTGTCAACTCCTCGAACCGTTACTATATCATGTAATAGAGCACCCATTATACCCCGCCAGCCCCGTACCGCCAAGTCTTGGTCCACCGACTCCCCAACCCCACCTCTCCTCCTCTTGAACCGCGAATCGCGCTACGAAGCCCTTAAGATATACACGCCCTATTTTACAACCCCCTCCTCCGCACGCTCTATTTATCTCTCCTTCTATCAAGACTTCGTGCGATTTATCGACAGCGACCTCCAATTTATCCCTCCCGCCTATCGTCTCGAGATCCAGAAACTGGTTATACATACCAAGGATTGTGCTTATTTCGGGTTGAATAATATGGAGACTATTAAGAGTATAAAGACGCTGAGGGATTTGGAGATATATGCGGAGAGGGGAGAAATAGCTGCTTGGTGGAATGAGGGGGATCACCATTTCGCTTTGTTAGTAAAGGACTTTGAGCAGACACGGGCGGCTGATCCGGAGTGGGAATGTCCGATGGTTAGGATTTTTGATGCCGAGACGGGAAAGGAGATGAGGTTTATTGAGGGTGGTAAGGGGGAACTTGAAGGATAGGAACTATAGGAGGAATAAGTATAATGGAATTAGGGAATTAGATTTAACTAGCTACATAAGCACTATATACATTGTCTAAGGAGGACAATTAGATGCTCGATGGCGGCAGGTTTTATTGTTCAAGCACAAGTGGAATGCATTATGAGGTGGAAAGTAATTATTCCTCGTGTATGTAAGACCGAAATTCTTCAATTCGGTCAGTGAGTATCTATGTGTCTAGTTATAATACATCATGGAAGGCCTCCTTCCATGAAAACGCCAACCCCCCTGATTCTACTTCTGCATTTCGAATCATGCAACACCCGTAAACTCCACAGCAGCATCAAACACTTCTCAATTCATCCACTCATCAACTAGCAGCTTCTAGGCTCTTCGTCCGTTTCGAAGTCTCCTCCATCTCCTCCCTCATCACCTGATTAAACTCCTCCCATCCATCGAGATACACATGATGTCCCGCCTTCTTGATAATCACCACCTTTGTCTGTCCGTTTTCCATCTTCTTCTCCTCTGCACTCGCAGCCATGAGAGCCTTTTCTTTCTCTTCTTTAAGTCTCTGCTCTGAGGCGAAGCCGCCTGCAACGTCCATCCAGTCGTGTTCGCCATACATCATTATCACGGGGATGCCAGTCTCTTTTGTCAAGGAAGGGGAGGTGAATTGCTGCGGAGGTAATGGTTGGCGACCGACGCCGTGGATTCGTCTGATGAGTGGACTGCGCGCGAATGCCCCAGGAGCTAGAATATATGCTAGAGCGTATTCGCCACTACCTCGTTGTTTGAATAGGGAATAGGCATAATCATGTAGGGCATCTGATTCGGTTTGAGGTAGGTGGGAGAAACGCCTTGATGTCCATCCCGATACCAGCCGTGGACCCAGCGGTCCAGACCAGCGGACGAAACTAAAGGGCGAGATGTTGGCATCCCATAGATATGTGATCCACTTGGCTATCGGTCGGCGTGGAGGTGTGCTGGATGTCGTATTGTTGGCTTCCGCTTTTGAGCGAGCATTGAGAAAATTGTTGTTGTCGCCATTGGTCTTGAGTTTGCCGTTTGGATTGACGATATCTTTTTCTTGGTCTTGCGAGAACTCGTTGTTCATCGTCGACTCTTGTGGTTCTGGCATATCGGCCTGCATCGCGTAGGGATCCTCTGGAATCCCAACAGGTGATGCTAGAATAAGCTTGTTTAGACGGCCAGGGTATTTCAGCGCGTATGCCACAGCCATGTAGCCACCCATACTATGTCCCATCAATGTGAATTTGTCGATTTTTCTCAGTATCCGCCACTCTTCTAGGGCATCGATAAACCAATTCTCCGCTTCTGTAATCTTGCCCTGTTGGTCCTTGGCATGTACCTTGAATGGTGGTCTACTGCTTCTCCCCATTCCCATCATATCCAGAGCATATAACTTCCAGCCCCTGACGCGGCTCAGTCCCTCAAAATTCTTGTAGAAGAACCCCAACCCAGCTCCGTACCCATGCAGCATGACGAGATTTTCCTCCACATTTTCTCCCACTCGCTCCACCGAGAACTCATTCAGCGCTCGGTTCTTGCCACTCAACGGCACCAGGTTCGAACTCCATGTCCGCGGCCCGTAGGGATCCTTTAGGGAACTGGTCCTCACTGGTGAGGATTCCCGGGACGGGTCGATGTTGACATCTGTAGTAGATCCTCGGGCGGATACCGGGACAGACCCCGTTTGTGTATGCGTAGGAGGTTTTTGGAGGTATGGAATGTAGGACAAAACATTATGCTCCGCGATTGCCGGTGATACATTGGCCCACCACTGGCTGAAGCCGGCCTTGTATCCTAGGGGAAAATATGGGTTCGGCTTGGGAGTTTGTGCGTCCTGCTTTGCTCGCTGCGAGGCAAGCATTGGCTGTTGGCCTCGAGCGGAGGGCGATTCGGCGCGTTCAGAGGCGGACATGGTGGAGTAATTATGTCCTTCTGGCCGGATTCGCGGATGTGACAGTTGTAGTTGTAATTGTCGCAAATGGGGTATCGCCGTCCGCGCTCCTATTGAATCGGGGGAAATCGATCGCAAGAGCAGCGACAGCAGGCTCGGTGGTTGATACAACTTGAGAGGATGGGTGAGAGGCAAAAAGGATGCCTCTCGAAACTCAGGGGAAATTCTGTTGCTTATGTCTTTTGTCTGTCTGGGGCATCGGACTTAGGCAACTCCCTAAGTGCGTCTACCAATATTCGTACATAGTCTTTCCTCCGTCTCCGGGGGCGTACTGGTGATGACGACGACGACACAGTTTTTGCTCCGCACCCCGGGCAGTTCAAAGCCAATTGAAGCTAGGAATCAGTTGAGATTGGACGAGTTGACCAGTCAGGCTCATAAGACTTGTTCGAGCTTCCGCAGTGGCTTTGAACGGAAATAAAGTTGTTCTTGTTGGACTTGATACGTGGTACGTAGGGGACTTGGGGACGTGGGATTCCGATCGGCACGGGGCAACTGAGCACCGGTCAAGGGATAAAGTGTCGATGCGCAAGAAAGCTTCCGACGGAAAGCCGCGGCTTCTGCTGAACAACAAACCGCAAAACACCAACAACAAGCTTTTTATTAGCTTGTTCCAACGTCTATGAATACCGCAGGCTAATGCAAATATTTTCTGGGCTGATCGCGAACCCTTGAACCTATTTTTCGTTTATAGTTCTATAGCTGCAAGCTCCCTCTGCTCCCGAAATTTCACCTCGTCCACCGATTCTCCCATCCCATACCATAATGATATTCAAGTTGAAGTACAGTAACGTGGAGTGTTGAATCGGACCCCGATCGCAATGTCGAATTTAGACCAGTTGGTGAAGGGCGCGCCGCCTCCTGGGAAGCAGTACCCCATACCAACGACAACGCCCATCATATCGCCCGACACTCTAAATCCGAACGCCTCAACTGTGGCAGACCCATTGGCTTCTCTTCCCTCGTCTCCTCCCCAGATCTACCTCAATCTCCTGATTCTTGAAGCATCCCTGCGGGCGCAATGGCTTGAACTGCGAACAAGAAGGCGGCACCATACATTTTTCCTGACGCTCCTCGGTTTATGGATATTATACTTCGGATACGCGTTGTTCCTGAAACCCCGAGAAGATGGCAGCGGCGTTGGAGGTTCGGTATACTGGGTGGTGGAGGTTACGGAAAAGGTTTGCTTCATGGGTGGTATTGTGACTGGTTTGTTGATCTGGGGCACTGGACAATGGGAGCGAGGGATTCGATGGCCACGGCGGTGGGTCTATACTACAAACAGGGGACTAAGGGGGTTCAATTGCAAGCTGGTTGTGATAAAGCAATCATTGTGGAGAGAGATACTGTCCACCCTGTCATTCATCTTTTCCTACGGATTATTATCCGGCAACATTGGAAGTTCATATCGATACGTCAACCCTACGTTACTGAGAGAGTCAGAGAAAGGGCAGCGAAGTGGCGGGCATCCTGCCCTACCAAATATACATGAGGATGACGAGATGGGCCTTGAGGAAGATCTGGCCCCTGGCGGGGACTACATCAAGCTGTTGCTGCTTCCGAAGCCCTTTTCTCCAAATTTCCGAGAGAACTGGGATATATATCGGACGGAATACTGGGAGAAGGAGAATGAACGACGCAGCCTTTTACGGCAGAAGCTCAAGGAGCATGATAGGAAGATTGCAAAGGATCAGGGAGGGTGGTTGTGGTGGACAGGCTACCGTGGCTTCGGTCGTGGGAAGACTCCTGATCCCGAGAAGACTCAACATCCTGCCCATCACCGGCATAGCCATCTCGAGAAGGATCACAAGCGGACTCGAAGCGGAAGTATACGCTCGGGCTCTCACTCTCGCAACTCTTCTCGAAGTACTACACCTACCGTTGACTTAGAGGAGGGTGCTCTAAGGGGACATGTGCGCCGTGGGAGCAATGCATCGAGTGCGTCTGAGAGACGGAGAAAGAAGAGTACCGCCGGTGGTACTGCTGGGCCCAGAATACAGAAGCTTACTCCTGGATCCCGGGCTGCATCTCCCGAAGTGCCTTCTCCTCTGGTAAATGAGAGCAGCTTTTCGAGTGTCTCGTCTGCGGATAAGGAGGCTCCAGCTGATGAATCGGCTGCTGCCAGATCCGCTGGTTCCGTGGCACGGAGGGCTAGCTCAGTTAAACCTCCTAAATAGACTTAGATTATGGGATTAAGTTAAAAATGCTTTTCTGGTGCCTAAGTACTTAATGGTTGATTTTCGTACTTTATTTCAAGTATCAAGCTGCAGTATCTCATGTGGCTAAAATGGTACCTGAATAGTGAAGGTACCTACACCTAATGTACTGTACTTGCTGACCTACGGGGACTTTAAGTATGTGGGTGCTTTGATATGGCCTTGTTTCCTTTCATCCCTCTCTATTGATCTTCTCCCAGGCTCATTCTCACCTAACCCTTCCATTTAGTATGTAACTAACATGGCTGGATACTGTGATCCTGATGCATGTGAAACATTGCTAGTTTCTTATCGCGGTGGCAACCTTATCGTTATCGGTATCAACCAAAGCTTAGCATTCACGGATATTAGAAACTCCGTCTCCGTGACTCTTTGCGTGAATATAATGGTCCTCAGATAGAATAAAGACAACTTCTCAACTCACCTCTCAGGGTTCCGCAATAACCATCCAACTTCGCCTTGCAACACTGCACTGGACTGGCTTGACCAGGCTGGTGTCAAAGTTGCGGCGATGTCGACTTATGAGGAATGCTCCCCTGCACCATCGCCCGTACTATTCCAAATGCCCTATCTCGACACCCCACCACGCGCCGAGGATACTGGTCCTATGGGGCATTTTGTCGATACCCGTGCTGAAGCCAGCATGGTAACTGTGTCCCAACGAATCGGAGCTACGGCCGCAGGAGAGTTCGCATGGCGCGTGAGTTTCTTCCCCCACCGCAACAGACGGATACATACATAAATGCACTCGAGCTAACGTTTTACTTCAGCCGCCTTCCCCTCCTCATATTGCCATTCCCCAACCTGCGGAGGACAATGTATTTGTGATTCCCGAATATGACGGTTTCGAAGTTGACGCGGATGAACGCGAGATTCTGAAAATCATCACTCATGGAGGCCAAGAACAAGTTGCTTCTGGAATGACCGGCGATTGGCAGTACGAATGGCGACGCAACGCACAATGCATACTCTCCTTCCTCTACCTGGGCCCGTCCTCCGCCGCTAGAGACATCGACTACCTCCGATCAGAAGGCATCACGATGCTGCTTGTGATCAGAAATACTACAACCGCACAAGCTAGGCTCCTGGGTGGAGAGAAGGTTGCCAACCAACTGGGCATACAGGCAGCAGCTGTTGATGTTGAGGGAAACCCTCAGCTCATTGCTGCTTTTCCTGCGGCTATTAAGATCATCAATGACCATCTGATTTCGATCTACCGACAGAACATGTTCAAGGCACAGAACCGACACGACCATATTCGCCCCATCCAGGGAAAGGTCCTAGTCTTCTGCGAGACAGGCAATGAACGATCTACCGCTGTCATCGCTGCATATCTCATGAACATGTACTACATGGACCTGGTTACTACAATCCAGTACATACAATCCCACCGGTTCTGTATTGCTCTTGATGACGGTTTGAAGAATCTCCTGTTAAGTTACCACGACCTCCTGCAAGCTCGAAAGGCCGTTGCTGGTGCTGCAGCCCCATGGCTAGACTTCGGTCGAGGAAATAAGCCAGCTTCAAAGCGAGGTAGGGATGAGGTGGACGACAATAACGTTGACGATATGGATACGATGACCCTTGACGACATAGAGAGGTTTGATAATCGTGCCGGCTTTGTTCCATTCCGGGATGGCCCTTCTCAATGAGATCGAGTCAGTATCCTGGGTGGAAAGCTGTGCCTTCAGGTGTGTATCAGTACATTGGGAAGGAGGAGTTATCATGCTGCTGGAGTTTGGAGAAGTGGAACTTGCATTGGGCTCGGAGTCGTTGTTATCAAATACCCCAGGGCATAGGTAGGTGTCTTTACTAAAGAGATAAATCCATTGAGGTTCATAGGTTTTGCTAGTAGCAAATAAAGAAATCATCTATCATTCAGTTCGAATTTGGGTCTGGTCTGGCTCAAGCTGAGCCCCTAAGTGACTCTAGCGACACCACCACCGCCTGCTATCCCCATCAGCTATCACCACCAGTTATCATCACTGGCGACACCCTGGTTCGTCCACAGTTGGTCGACCTGACGATGATCCTCGTTCTGTCGCCCAGTCGCCCGCCTATTCAGGTTAGGAGATTAGAAACACGCGTTTTCCATAGATCTAAACAAAGCCTTTCTTTACACGTCCCAACCTTTCTCCAAAACAACAACCCCTCTTGCGTTGTGGAAATCCTCTCTAGGAAGTTGTATATGGTGGCTCTTCTCAAAACCCCCCCACACACTCTTCCTCTTCTTGCAAAGCATCTGCACAGCATCACATTTTGTGTTCCCCTTCACCCTTCACCCTTCTGCTCACATTATCACCCTGCCCACCTTACCTTACAGGACCTTGTTCCTATCTGTTTTACCCCTTCACAGCATCAGCTGCCTAGCTTAACATCACCAACCTTGCCATCGACTTTACGCGAGGTCACGTGAATCACTCCCCTATCCCTCGCTTCACCGCCAGGATGAGGCTCAGGAAGAGGCCGAATGCTCCTGGATGCTATCGTGAGTCAAGCTATGATGAACATGGTTTGGAGAAGCCGCTATTCCTAGCTCATACGGTGGACTTCGACCCGACCTTGCCCGAGGCTGCCTTTCCCACCGTTCCTTTGGGGACATGGGCTCCTGGAAGACAGCCTGAGGGAACCGACGATGAGATCGATCATGGAAATGTTGAAGCAGCGATTCGAAACAATCCACCTGTGGAGTCGAATGATCATCAACATGTACAAGAACACGACGGTTTTCGACTCCTACCAAGCATTGAGACGGAGGAGATCGGAGATGGCAATACACAAGAAGTTATTCAGAGCAATGCCTATTCCAAGCACCTAAGCAACGACCAGAATGCACAACAAGAAGGTGCCTCTCAACTCCCCCAATTCGCCGAGGTTCCAGAAGACGCGAGACCCAACCCTGTGGCTCTTCCGTTTAAATGGAAGGCCTGGAACAACATCATAGGAAAGTTTTACGATATGAAGGTGCAAAGCGCGTCATTTATGGGCGGCTATTCGGCTGATGAACTATTCATTAAAACCGCACAAGAATATGATGGCTTTAAGGCAAGGGAAGTGTTGAATCCAAAGGGAGTCCGAGGGGTCAGGTATTTTATAAAGGTCAGAGAAGCCCGTGTATCCAAAAGAAAACAAAATCAAATGCTAACTGCGGTGGGTTTTGTAGTGTCAGGATGAACTACTTAAACTTAAATGGGGAGCTCTATCCGAAGGCCTTCAACTCGTTATCATCCACGAGTTAACCCGAGATGGGTCCATAGAGCAAGCTTGGAAGTTCCTTGGCCTTAACCAGGCAGACCGCAATCACTTCGACAAGCTTCACGACCGAGAATCACGTATCGACCAGTCGGAAGAAGGTTCATGCATCGATCAATTCACCAAGACTAGCACTCGCAACATCCTGAATGGTGGCTTTGGTACATCGGATGAGTTTCAAGATATTTGGGAGGAGACATTCGAGCAAGTCTACAAACCTACGATCTTCTCATTTACATCAGAGGATATCGAAAATGCCGAGAAGTTTCTTTCAAGATACCGATGCGGCGAATGTGGTTATGTCAAGAGAGCCATTGAGCGGATCAAGAAATACGAGGGGACGAACAAATGTTGGCGGGAATTGAAATTTCATGTGCAGGCTGAGGAGAGCGATGATGAGTTGGAGGATTACCCGGACATCGACGATTTGGACCCCTTTGTTTTCTACAAGAGAAAGGTGCCTCATGAGCATCTAAATGGGAAGGCATCATCTCAGGGCCAGGCCGCAACAAAGCCAATTCTCGCCACAGAATCTGACAACAAACCCGACGAGCGTCTGTCCAAGTCCAAATCCAGGACAACAGCACCTCCTAGCAAGCTCCCAGAATCCTCTGGTGATATGAATGCGTCTTCGGCACCAGTTGGTACTGGAGACAATGCCAAGGCTTCTGGTACCGCTCAAAAAGGTCCTCGAAGACCATTGATTAAGCTGAATGTTCGCTGTGACAAGCGCCATGACCATCCGATGCGGGCCGAAATAGCTGGAACTAGGGCTTATATCAATCATAGGGCACCTTGCATAGTTTCTCGACAAGAACAGTATCCACCTGGTTTTGGATCTACGGTCGCGGCCCCTGTTGTGCTCGGACAATCAACCTATATCGATAGAATTAGGAATGACCCTGGACCAGTTCACAATGAGCAACAGCTTTCAAAACGACGTAGTTTAATAGTTAAGCTGAAGGCCAACCCTAAGCTCTCTGACTTGCCTCAACAGAGATCTGAAGGTATTCCAATTGCAGCCAAGCCCAGTTTAATAGTTAAGCTGAAGGTCAACCCTAAGATTTTGGACTTGCTTCAACGCAGATTTGGAGGTATGCAGACTGCAGCAGCTCGCGATAAGCCTTCGCTGCCAGCTACTTCAATATATCCAGAAGGGTATGATGTATCCTCTGGTAGCAGCGGATGTTATGCATTGCCAACAACCTCATCACAAGACCTTGGAAATATGCATTGCGGCAGTGACCAGCAACCTACCTTGGTTAGGGGTTGGCCAACTACTCCTTCGGATCAAGCCTACTGCCCTTCAAGTGATATCATCAGTGATATCCACTTGAGCGGCTTACCAGCAAAGGCACGTCCAACTAAGAGGAAGCTATTTCAAGTAACCTCCACACCTCCTGGCCTCAATCCTAATCTTACAGACCTTGAGAAGTCTTCGAACTTTGTCCAAGGGGAGCCCCTTCCAAATCCGTTTCGAACAAATGCACCGCCCAAGACACCGACTGGCCTAGGCAACGTTACTCAGGCAACGACTCGATTGAACTGTGAACCTTTCAACATGCTGGGAGCCACGTCAGACTTTACCGAAATGGAGCAGAAAATAGTCGATATGATTGTTTCTCCAGGAGCGGCTGCAGGTGGAACAGTTGCAGGAACATCAAATTCGCCGCTAGGCAATACGCAACCCCCACAAACTCTCGTTCCAGCTCATGTTTATCCTGAAGCCAACCCGCTCGATACGTCCGGAGTGAATGGTATTTCTCATCAGAAACAAACCGATCTCCCTTATCAACCTAGCCCAGGAGGGCATGGCACTGACGACAAACACAACGAACAGCAACAGACAATCCAACAGGTCAACCCGCAGCCCTCTACTCTGCTAACGACGTTACCGGATGAGCATCCTCCTCAAAACCGACGTTCGAGCATTACAGACAGTGAATTCGACCGTCTATGCGAACTATCAGACTTACTTGATATGTATCTCAAGTCCGATAATACTGACGTTGTTCCACCTTCCCAGAGCGCTCCGATGCCCGATCTCAGTCTACCCGCCAAACCTGAGAATGGTAGAGTGGCCGTTTTGCCAGGTGTGCCAGGACTTCTGCACAGCACGGAAATCATGAGCCACATAGCTCCCGAGGTTCAAATCCGTGCTGCGCAGTATTCATCCACCTTCCGGAGGTCTTTCGATCACCCCGCAACCGCGTACCTCCAATGTGCGCCAGAAGTTCAATCGATTCCCCACCTGAACAGCTCCGCAGCGACCGAGTTCACTCCGCAGGAGCTCGATCAGAATTCACCTCTACCTGCGAAGACTCCAGCCACTCCTACCCCAGCTTCACGAAAGGCTTCTACTGTCAAGGAGAAAGTGAATGCCAAGGCATCTGCGAAGAAACCTGCTCCACGGAACAAACTCGACCGATCTACACAATCTGTAGCGGATATGGCTAGTCAAGATGCTCCTCCCGCATCCCCACCAAAGAGCGGTAAATGGTTATCTTATTCTGAAAGCCCTGCTCCAACCAAGGCAAAGCCGCTAGCTAGGTCATCTTCAAAGCCGCAAAAAGCGCCTGCAGGAACAGCTTCTACATCCTCAAAGGCAACAGCCCAACCTCCGCATGTGACCACAGAAATGTCAACTCCATCTCCAGGCGCAACCACCATGGGTCAATTTGTCCCCATCCAAAAGGCAAAGCCTTCTATCGCAGATACCAAGGCACCCATGGCAGGAAATGGCTGGGTTATGGAAGTTGCTAATGAAGCTCAGGTTGACCCACAGCAGACTCTCGGCGCCGCCCCTCAAATTCTGGAACACAAGACGAGATTAGCCGCTAGGAGAAGCCGTGATACTTCGAGAAAATCCAGTGCCACACCTTCGGAGATCCAGAGTTTGAATGACAATGGAAATAATGGTGGTCCCGCTAGTGATATGAGTGGAAACGCAATGGTTGCCACTACTGTGAAGAAAAAGAGAAAGAGCGGCCTAGAAAATATTCCTGAAGACAAGGACGAAAATCAGCAGAAGAAACAGAAGATGGAGGATGGAGGTGCTGTGGGTACTAAACTCGTCGGCAAGCTGGAACATAATGACAGCGACCACCGAGGTGTTTTGAAGACTTCTGAAGCAGTAGCTGACAATGTTTTCGAGATGAATATGTGTCCACAGCAGCAGCATGATGATCAGGAGATGCACGATTAATGAGGGAGTGTTTCATTGATCAGTTATGAGAGAGAGGTGTGGAAAGAGAGCTGTTTAAGGTAGCTGAGGCTGTGTATTCAACATGTAAGAATAGTTCGCCCCTATTCAGTGGATTATAGATCCTGGGGAAGATGTATAGGGGGAGAAAAGAAGAAAAACACTAGGAAAACACAAAAACACAAAAACAATGTAGAAATAAATGTATATTACCCTGTAAAAAGCTGATCCAAGATGCAAATAAGAGCGAATATTGTGATTGAACTTGTAGAATGAAGCCAAAAACAACAGTAAACTCAACGGCCATTTCCCCTGCCAGCCAAGATGGGCGAAAGCCGCGTAACAGAAATCTAGGGCTGTTTTAGCTCAAGTCCAGGGAGAGATTTGTCCTGCAGATGAGCTATTAAAAATCTCCGATCCTACTAGCTGCTATTAATGTAGGCTGCGCTCACGGCTGCAAATGGAACGTAGTGTATCACGTCAGACCGAACGCAGTGTAACACATCAAGTGGTATATTCTCGAGGTCCTTGTCAAATTTTTATTTGGACTGAGACAGTATATCCAAGAGATTCAATTCCTGAGAATGCGCATTGATAAACGGAATGACTTTCAATCAAGTCGGAGTGCCCTGCCTGAGACCTAGCACCTTTACACCTACTATCTAATATATACATGTGAGACAACTAAGACCAAGTTATGTGATATACCAATAGCGAGAACCCGTCTTCAAGCGACTAGTTCCTCGCGTATTCTACATCGGCGGCCCAGGAAAGTCAAGTCCTCGTGATACCACCCACATCCCACTATTATTTGCTCTAAAATCCGGAGTATCACTGTTCCCAGATTTCATAGTCATGAAATTATACATAGGTTCGACAGACAAGAAAAGAAGGTATTTGACTACTTTACCATGTGTTATATTAGGAGGGTATGTGGGAAGGGTCATCGATAGCTCAAGCTGTGGAGAGCAGTGACGTCGAGGAGACAGGGCAAATGTCAGCAAAAAGAGCTCTCGCGATATCCGTGAGAAACCAAGGTTCTGCCATACGGGATATGTATATATTCCTTGCTGTTTCAATTAACCCGTAGGGCGCAACATGGAACCAAATAGGGGTGTGGCGTGCTTTTACGCCCCGCCCACGGGTAACCTATTCGGGTGGCTTAGACTTAGACCACTGTGGATGCCTGTGCGGTTGTGCCTATACACCTAAATTGCCTATATTCCTATATACTAGGTTGGCCACTACTGCGATAATTTAAAAAAGAATAGCTTGCCTTAATTACATAGTAGAAAATAGTTATAATGGTTGGAATACAACTTCGCTGGGTTGATGTAGCCATGTGGCTGCAATGTGCTACGCTCTATGTATGCCTGGGTGGATTAAGCCTTTTTGCGGCGCCATCCTATGGGGATCGGATCGCCTTATAGGGCCCGATGCTGCGCTCTACATGTAAAAAAGGGTCCCTTACTTACCTCCCCTTACCTTGGTACTTTACTAACATAAGCCATTCCCCACCAGCTGAATGGCAGAGGACCAATTGCTGCATGCTAAGTACGGCACGATGTGTGATCTGCAATAAGGCTTCGTCATTTCCAACATGCTCCCCCGCCGCTTCGCCTCAAGTACCACGATGCGCCTTGCTCATTGGATCACTCGCGAATCAATTCGCACGGTATCACCTCAGCCATCTGCCAAGATCAGCATCCAGCAGTGCCAGCAGGCCCAGCACTGTGCCACTTATCAACCAACAACCGCTGTAATCAGACTAGAATGTCCGAAAATATCGCATTGTTATGAGGGGGGACACATATATAAGGACGTGAATATTATCGGCCGAATTCCAGCATCTTGTTCACTGAAACCCATCCCAAAAAAGAATTACTTACTCGAGAGTCGACATCGAAATGACGCACCCCACCCAAATCGCCCGTGTCCACTACAAAGGCAGGGTCTTATCCATCTTCGATGCCGCTGATCAGACACCGCTATACACCGTCAATTTCCCTTCAAAAGGGTTCAAAATGTCTTTAACTCACGCACATGATCCAGCCTCTCCTGAGACCCCTTTCGCCGTTGCTTCATTTTCTGTCAGCACTAGAGTCGAGCTGATCATCAACAACCGCCTCGTCCCACTATGCCACGAGAAGATATTTAACAGGACCTACTACTTTAAGGGTGTGCAAGGGGAGACGCTATCGTGGAAAGCGGAGGACCTGCTCGGCGGCAATTTTAAGTTGGTGAGAGTGGATGGTAGTGTTGTGGCTAAATTCAAGAATAAATTATTTTCGGCGAGGGAACTGGGCGATTTTGAGTTTTGGGGCGTTACCGATGAGGAGAGGGATAATATTGTGACGAGTGGGCTGGCTATGTTGGCGATGGTGCAGAGTGGCTGGCTTGGGACCATGATATTGACGGGCCATGATATTGACGGGCCATGAGAAGTCAGAATCAATGTATATTTCCTAGTGTTGCTACCGGAGGTCAAGGAATGGGGAGAGCAAGGAGGAGAGAGGAGGTGGATGTATTGAGAGGTCTCTCAGAGGCAACCTCTCCAGGGATCGAAAGGCTACATACAGTTTGGGGAGCCAAGCCCAAAGGGGAACGACAGTGAAGCTCTGAGAGTTGCTAAGTTAGGCTTGGGCTGTAATAAAACGCGTTCACAATAATAGTTCCCCATATGACCGATTTCTCTATAAACGGCGCTAAATTTACTACACAATAAGCTTTAAGGGAAGTAGAATGGTGCTAGTAGCCATTCCGTAATAGATAAGAAATATCTAGTACTATGGCTTGCCTTTCCAGACCGTGGCAAGGAAGTCCTCTATCTGAGTGAACTTGAAATCTGGCAGCAGCTGGTTAAATTCGTCCGATACATCCCAAGCACCCTTTACACTGCTTATAAGAGTGCCAATAAGAACAGTCTTTAGCATCTTTTCGGCCTGTTCTCTAGTAACGCTTGGGTGCCTCGCTTCCAACGTCCACGATGCCGTGAGAATTCCGTTTTCAAGATCTTCGAGTTTGACCTTGTCAATGGCGAAACTACCACCTAAAATTTCATGTCAATAGCACAATTTTAGGCTGGGGGAAATAGGCCTACCTCGAACTTCCTCGCCAATTTCGAGAACCTTTGAGATTGGCACCCTGTTACCGCTAATACCACCGATCACTGGCCACTCCCCATCGAGGTCGACTGCTCTGGCGACGACTGCGGCAAGATCTCCGATTGTGGTATAGGTCATGATAGCGTCATGACCATCAACAACTATTGCACGTCGATTTTGGAAGTCAATCATCGTGTTCAGCGGCTCCAGATGTTTGGCCGTTTTATGCGGAGTAGCCAGATATTCCAGGAATAAGCCTGGTTGGAACAGAGTATACTCGAGGACCTAAAAGAAGCTTAGGTTAGAACTAGTGCGAGTATGAAATGGGTACAAAATCATCGTTGACTTACTTTTCCACCCTCATTCACCTTCTTCAGGTATTCATTGACCTCGTCTTTTCCTGCCCACCAAGGCATACCCACTGTCGATGCACTTTGGACTTGTTAGGTACCATGTTCGTGATATACATTGGTATCGACTCACCTTCCCCATTGGCTTGGTGCAAAGCGTTTCACGCCCGCGACAATCGCAGCATCTATCAAATTCTTCTGCGCTGTATTTCCCGGATCCGCCATGAGTTGGGTGAAGGATAAAACAGTGTGAATTCCTTGCAGGGCATCAATTAGCTCCCTCTTGTTGTCATAGTCGACAGCAAGCCATGTGACTCCTGGTGTTTTGTCGCCAAGTGTAGACTTCTAATCAATTTTAGCAACATACTAATTGAAAACACAGGATATTGGAATTACTACTCACATTCCTAGTGAAAATGGTTATCTCGTGCTTTTTAGTAGCCACTAAAGCATCGATGACTTCTCGGCCAACTTCTGTAGGTAACGGTCAGCGTGATTGATTATTGTGATATAGTCTGGAGTTCCGTACGCCCTGAGCCACCGGCCACTGCGATCCTAACCATTTTGGGGTGGAATAATGTCTGAAGAAAATTGGAGGGAAGTATGGATGCCAGATACTAAATTGATGAGCTCAACTAATTGCCATGAATCCATGATATGGGGATACTTCCACGTTATGTAGACCTTTCGGAGGTCCCCTATCTACTCTTTGGCCAATAGGGATTGACTTTCGGCTCCCGAACGTTCGAAGTGGAGTGATTAGTCAGCCATAGACAAACATCCAGCAACGACACTGATCCATGAAGTATCAGACGCAACGATTCTGTGCAAGTCCAAAATAACTATTATCAGCTCTCGGCTTTTGTCAGATCAACCTTTGGCGAATCGCGGTGCTGCTGATCCAAAGTGCCGGCTGCACTCTGTTGCAAACAGTCCTTGTCACTGCAAGCAATGTCTGCAGCCCCAATCCCCAGCGCGGATCTATTCTCAATACCTAAAGTCCCGAAACTACGATCCTCTTGTGAGGGCTGTGGCGGCGCCAAGGTCAGGTGTGATCGTAGTCAGCCTGAGTGCGGTCGCTGCATTGCACTCGGTCTGACCTGTGTCTATGGGATATCGCGGAAATTTGGAAAAGCACCGCGAAAGAGACTTGGTTCTGGTGCCCACCCTGACACAGCCAACAGCTTCTCGCACAAGAAACGTGCAACATTGACTGCCAAAAGCCGCGAGATTTTTACAACCACGGGATCCGAGCCCTTGGAAGGTGTCAACAAATCAGCACAGCTCGATTCCTCTGATCCAGCGACCAACATCCTTTCAAGGCCTTCCAACGATGCTGGAAGCACTGAGAGTCTCGATAGTCGTAGCACCATGGGTGTAAGAGAATCCCACAATGCCAACAAATCTGCACAGCTGAACCCCCTGGGCCAATTGATTGACAACCTCCCAGTGTCTTCCAGCTTCAACCCTACTCCGAGCATCTACGAATACGGTCAGCTTGGATCACCTTTTGTCACTCCATTTTCGCTCGGTGAATGGCCTCAATTTGACGATTGGGAGCCCGGTCTAGAGTTTCCATCCACAGTAGAGGACTCCGGCGTAGGTAGTCGGCCCTCAGCTTCCGGATTTTCGCCTACCAGCAATTTGAATACGAGCTCTGATAGCTCTGACTCTCATAGCTGCCCTCGGGGTTCATACGAGCTTTTCCGAGACTTGATCTGTCCTAGCCCTTCCCTTCACGCGCCGGAAGCAAATTCAGATATGGTCTCGGCGCGACTAGATCTGGTGCTCCATTTCAACAGGAATGCCATGGATCGTCTCAGCCGGCTTCTGAAGTGTCCATGTGCCAAATCAGGGCATCGGGTCATGGTCCATGCATCAATTGTTTCCCGTATTCTCATTTGGTACCAGCAGGCGGCTGGTTGGACTGGAAGCAGTTCCTGGGGGGTTCAGCCCTCTGGATTGGCCTCCTTATCACCATCGAGTGGTGTGTCTTCTCCTTCGCCGCCGCCATCTGGGCCGATAACCGACAACAGTATAGCATGTCCTCCTTCTCTGGCTCAATCCACCGGTTTTGCCGTTGCACAGGTGCCTGTTTCGATGGGAACCTTCAACGTTGAGGACCAGGATTTGCAGGCCGCTTTTCGAAATCAGCTGGTGTTGAGCGAGCTCAAAAAGACAGCCAACTTGATTGACCTCTTTATATGCCAGGGCTCCGGCGAATCATCTGCCAATGGCGTGGCCAGTCTATACTCGCACTTAGGAGTATGGCTCCAAAGCGAGCATTCAAGGACTGTAGGGTTATTGAGGGCTAGACTCAGTGCATTGAATGAAGCCTTGGAATCTTAAGCTGCGCTGGGCGCTTTGCTGATTCCATTCTGGTTGGGTGGTTGTCTGTTAATTTACAAAATTATATACGAAGTACTGTACACCAACTTGAAATCCTAGAGCTGTGCTAAATCGAAACCGATTGAAGCCCAGTTTGAACTCCGACGTCGAGCGACAACTCACATCTGAATCTGACTACTACTCACTACAAACCGAATGCGCACGTTGAATGAGCAACACTGAAAAGCGACTGAGGCATTGCAAGAGCCTCGCTTCATTGGCTCGTGGAACAAGATATTTCATGAATGCGACCCGTTTAGTGGCAATTGTCGGTAGAACAATCTCTGCCAGCGGAATATATTCAACCTAAGGTTTGCTTTAAATTTAATATTTATAAAAAAAGGGGTTTTAATAATTCTAAAAGTTTAAGAATTTCTATAAAACTTAGATTACAAGAGTTATTTTATATTATAAATACAGTACTAACTAAGTAGCTTTTATTTATATATTAAAATAAAAAGGTTTGTTGAAAACTTTATATCAGATCTGTACTTTTGTTATATTTCAGACACAGCTCAGTATCCTCTATCCTCTATCCTATACTAATTACTAGTAAAACTGGATAGTCGAAGGTGTTGGAGGCTAGGGAGACGGCATAGAGTGGAGTTGGTCGAATATATAAGTCGCACTTACCACTCCAACTCCTATTCCTAGCTCAACACTAAGTCTGCGATTATCTGGCTCGGAAAAGAACAGGCTGGCGACGGGAGGGGATTTGAGCTTGCGGAAAACCTGTATAAGAAATACGACGGGGCGAGCTACAATATATATGCTACTATATACGAATTCGAGGATTTCGACTGCGAATCCAAAGGAGTCCCTAGATCTCTTGGTAATCTGGATTGGGCTATACTGTTCGCTATCCTTAGCTACCCCTGGTTTAGTCGGATATAGGTCGTCCAGGAATCGCTGGTGGCCCGAGGATCTATCATGTGGCGAGGGGCCTTAGATCTTAATACCGAGATAATTCTCTGGGTGGTGATACAGGTCGCTCGCCATACAGATCTCTACGAGAGCTTTGACATCTTCATGGGCAGCCCGCTGAGTTCTGCCATCATGGCCTGCATCATCGCAACAGGCTACCTTGAATATAAATGCCCTTTACTACTCAAGCAAGAGCATCATCGCCTCTTTCCCTAGGACTTGGGAGAGGGATCTGGTAAACGTGATAGAAAGGGGAAACCATAGTGGCTGTTGTCCAGAGAATTTGGTCTATCGTTAATCCTGAATGAATTTGCACCGTATTACATCTAGGCGCTAGATTCTGTGACGTCATCTGGGTGCACGGAGAAGTATGTTTACTCATTGTGGGAAGCTTGTTACGTCCCTATTTACGCACCCTAACCTTCACACTAGGTTTCGCCCCCGCCCCCGAGGTTGTCACCCTGCTTCGTGAAGTTCTCCTTCAATGACTACAGGGTTTGGCTTTCTATCTCAGCCCAGGTCTTATCGCCGCGTACCATCTTGGTCAACAGACTTTCTTGCTTCTCCATCAATTCCTTTCTCGGCTTGCGAGGCATGACAGCATAGTGCGTTGGGGAGGCCCTTTATCCTGAACATGAACTCTCTGCTAGAGTTTACGGGTATTCTAATCGATACAAGGCTCGATTCTTCACATATTAGCAACGCAATTAATATTGTCACCTATTTAGCTGAGCACTCTACCGCTCCGTCACAGATATTCACGTTCCAATTTAATGCATGTTTGTTAATTATAGGCGGGAAGTTGAGATTCTAGTCCAAAATCAGTCAACTTCTCGGGACATAGTCAGCTCAATCAGCAATTTGCTGGGCGCACCAATCCCACGGCCTCCGCAAGTCCTTCTCGCCTATTGACGCGACTGCCTTGTTATTCCAATATTCAACATCCAACGGCGGGTTCTCGATTGACCACCAGTCTGTGGTTTTGAAGAAGACTGTACGAATCTCCCTTTTGATAGGCTTCCCAATGGACGTTAGTGGCAGAGCCTCGTCCTCCCTCAGGATACGAAGAAGGGTGGGAAGCATGTACGCCGGCAACGTTTTCGCCAGGTCTGAACGGATTTGGTCAAACGTGATTTGATCCAGCACTGTATTAGCATCTTGGTGCAAGCGAATAATAGCAGCACAAAGCTCCTTTGCTACCGTGTGTGGGATGCCGAGGACGCAAGCCTGCGAGATGTAAGGCAGGTCGAGCAAACTGTTTTCAACTAGTAGTGCTGGGATCTTGGAGAACCGGTAAATGATAACTAGAAGCCGGGTTTAGCATGTTGTTCCTTCTCTTGTTCTGCCGCAGGATGACGCCAATATGAAACGCGCGCTTACAGTCTGCGTTCGCCCGGCCACCAAATACGAACTGGCCGTCTTTAAGCTCAGCAAGATCTCCTGTCCTGTAATATCCCTCGTCATCAAATGACTGCTTGGTTATCTCTTCATCACCCAGGTAGCTAATCGGTTAACAACGCTTGTTAGCTTCTGAGTCCAATCGGCTGAAACTAGATGTGACAACATACTGGGTAAACATTCTTGGGCTTTTGATGAGAATTTCGCCACGATCACCTTGCGAAAGCTTCACCTTAACGTCTGCTAGTGGGGTGCCTATCGCATTCTTCCCATACTGTTAGCTGTCCAAGATATCTGGTACTTGTCATTTTGTGCTCACTACTTACAGGCATGATTGGGATTCCTTTAATTGAAGGCCCCCCCAGCTCTGTTGCACTGTAGAAAATTTCTATAGGCCGCCCTGTCAAAGTCGTCCAGAATTCTATTGCTGACGATTCAACCATGCTCCCACCACATTTTATCTTAGATAGGCCACTAAACCAGCTAGCATAATTGGTCTCTGGTTCTTCTTCCATCCTGGCAATAAGTTCTGATTTTAATCGGCGTAATGTCATGGGACTGAAGGACATATGAGTAATCTTATGGTTCTGAAACATCTCTAGAATTGAGGCGGAAATAGATTTCTCTTCCAAGGTGAATAACTCCACTCCAGTTACAATGGCTTCTAGAAGACATCTCGCACCACCAATCCAGTGGATAGGCCGGTAGTTAATAGTTGCACTGCCCAATGGAGCGAGCTCGGGGTATGCAAAGCATCGTCTGGGAAGCACGACCATCTTCGGACGCCCAGTGGTACCGGAGGTGAACAGCACCACACCAGGGCCATCGGTAGCCAATTGAGTTGTGTCATGGATCCTGATACTATCTATGCTCCTGATAGCCTCCGCATCGCAAGATGTTTGCATGGTCAAGAACTCAGTGGTGCTTTGTGCGTTCATATAGGCGGCAATTTCAGCTACCTTTCCCAAGCAGCCTCTACTTGCGCAAATACATCGCGAATCTGCCTTTGAGAGGAGATAATGTGCCTCCTCTGGGAGGATACCAGAGCCTAAAGACATATTGGTTAGCATACGAAGACTGAACCCAGTTCATTGGCCATCGCTGCCGTGAATACTTACTCAAGAGTATTGGGGTGCCACCAATAGAACGGATGGCAAAAAAGGAGACTAGAAACTCATAGGCACTCTTTGACAGAATGCCTACATATCGAGAGTCATTCTTTAAGAGCCAGTTGGGAGCGACAGGGGATGGTGCTAGACGCTGTGTGAGGACACTACGCATGTGTATAATATCTCCAAGCAAATGTAGGTAAGTTTTCTCATAGCCGTATGCATCGTGGACGACGATTTTTGATCCTGGAGTCCGATTTGCTGCAATGAGCAACCTCGCCAGGACAGGGTCGTTTGGGAAATGATACATTATGTCAATGGTCATGGCGGCGCCTAATCTTTCTCATTCGGTTTGCCTACGAAGATGTAATCGTGCAGGCAAATTGGACGGAGTAATTTCAGAGATCAGATATAGGGGCCCTGAAGTCCTAAATAGGGCCGGCTTGACAGCTTGCGATCCCCCCTTGGCTGCCACGGCTACGCCATCGCAGTACTCACTATCCCAAACATGGGCGGAGGCGAAGCATCTTGCATTGAGTCTCGGTGAGTGTTCGAGCCACGCGACTACCGCTACAAAGTACTCCGTGGATCATTGGCATAATTAGGGTGTCTTACTGGGGTTTCTCCCATATGAAACAAGTCGAGCCCAAGTGTACTTACCGTTGTAGCCTGACGGGATCGACATTTGCTGACCAATTGCTAGTTGTACCTTGATATTTCATCATTTACCAGAGACAGCTAGCACGGTAGCTTAATATTTAGGTTCCATTGCAGACCACTGCTGAGACATTCTAATCTTATCAAGCCACGGTGGCCCGCTAATGACCTGTAACGCTGTTTGTACAGAGTACTTGTCAAGATCACCATTAGGCCACATGGACTAGCACAAGAAGATTCCACTACTGTAGCAAATATTGGTGCCTTTATCCGTTGACAGTACTGCTTCCGAGCCACACAACAAGACAAAATTTTGCTTGCGAAAACTCTACGAAGTTCTCAGAACTCCGTACTTCATCTCTGACACCCTGGGTGAGGATGAACAGTTGCTGTCAATATGAGCTCAGCTCTTCAACATGTCGGCAGCCATGGCCATACGACAACACTCAGCTGCAACAGAACCGACAAGTTTACTCTAAAAGGTGAGCTGATACAATTTAATCAAGAATTTGACGAGTTGGCATAAGGGGCAGGTCCCGGAACCTAGACGGCATTGTTGATCTACCCTTGCATTCGTCTCTTTCCTCTCAATTTACGGACGCTAATATGCCTATTATAGTCTTGATAGTGATCCTGCGGAAGTTGCCTGGATCCTTAATGTTGTAGAATTCTCGCGGTCTGGTTGTCTTCAAGGCATTATCCTCCTCGCTTCTATAGGCTGGTTGCCATATCGGATTGGCAAACTTCCAATCATTACACTCGACCCCAGGACCAGGTTATCCTATAATGGATGGAGTTACGAACTCTCGTCACAAGTGACTCGGGCAGCCGCACTGTTATTCCTTACTGTATCTTATGTTGAGGGACATGTTCATCTCCTCAGCTTCGCCGCCATAACCTACGCCCAGATTCTCGGTTTGTTCCGGCTGGTTGATGACATTCACTGGCACCATGGAGTTCTTCATCCTGTAAACTTTGTTACCACCTCCATGTTACTTGTCCTCACGGCAGCACACCTCCTACCTTGCATCCAAATCAGTACGTCACAATGCACACCGGACGTTGGAATTCTCGGAGGCATATCTTCACTTGCCGCCGCGGTCTTCGTTGCTTCAATTACGCCAAGAGAATGGGTACCGTTTAAAGTCGACCCCAGGGTTGGAACCCATACGACACAACAAGCTCCAGCTCCGGAAGAATCTTGCAGTTGGTTCACTTACTATTGTACTTATGGATGGTTTACTCCATTGATCTGGAAGGGCGTGACGAAAAAGCTAGACATGAATAGTCTGCCGGCACTAGCCTGGTATGATGAGCCACAGCACCTGCTGGGTAAGATACAAAAGGCGCGTGCCATCTCTAAGACGACCTTCGGTACAGTCATACGCTTCCAGCGGAATGAACTCATGTCAATGTCGCTTTGGATCGGGGCTAGTTCCTGCCTAGAATACATTGCACCCTTTGCAATGTTTAAACTTCTTCAGCATATTGCAGAGCCAACGGCGGCGACTTACCACCCTCAGATCTGGTTGGTTCTCTTAAGTTTCGGCCCCATAGCTCACTCAGTATCATTCCAGCAATACCTATTTATCTCTACAAGACTCGTCGTTCGCATCAAGTCAGCTATGACACAGGAAATATATCACAAGGCTTTCGATTCCATGGAGCCGGATGAAGATCCGTTCAGTGTGAGTGGAAACACCAACAACGCAAACAAAACCAGCGCGAAACAGCCTCAGGCAGCTCAACAGTCAACATCGACTGGCCGCCTGGCGAACTTAATGGCGACAGATATTGATGCCATATCCGCAGCCCGTGATATTATTATAGCTATTGTCGGGGTCCCAATAGGAACAGCTATCTGTCTTGCTGGTCTTTACACAATGATGGGTTGGGTGTCCATAATTGGGGTTATAGTCATCCTGCTTGTAACACCACTGTCTATACTCTTGGGCAAAATCATGTACGCGCTTCAAAAAAGAGTTAGACAAGCTCAAGATGGCCGGATATCGTTAATTACAGAGTATATATCTTCTATCCGAGCTATCAAGTTGTTGGCTTTGGAAGATGCTATGATAAACAAAGTTGATACTACTAGGGCAATAGAACAGAGCGGCTTATGGAGAGTTACTCTGCTGCAAGCTATTATTAACCTCATGACCGAAGCTTTGCCCTATATTGGCATGATGTTTATGTTTGGGCTTTACGTGGGATTAGAGCAGAACCACCTTTATGCCTCGACAGCCTTTACATCCATAATTCTAGTGAAGAATATTCGGAAGAATGCAAAATCGGCTACGGAAAACTCGCGAAAATTTACCGGCGCAATTATGGCATTTAAAAGATTAGACGTATATTTTGGGAGTACTACTCCGCTTACGCGACATTCTATTGGACATTTGAAAATCCAAAATGCTTCATTTCGTCGGAAAGCAACCAGTACATTCCGACTCAAGGACATATCCCTTAATTTCGCTAACGGGGGCCTAAATGTCATTACCGGTCAGAGCGGTAGTGGGAAGACCACCCTCTTACTATCGATGCTGGGCGAAACCCATATGGAAAGCGGAGCTGTGCTAGCGCCAAGGGATATCTCGTTCGCACCCCAGTTTCCATGGCTACAAAGTGGTACTATTCAGGAAAACGTTCTTTTCCATAATGTTAAGGACAAGGTGCGCTATGACCGTGTTCTTGCAGCCTGTTGCTTGGATATAGACCTCAAGAAGATGTCAAATGGCGACATGACTATGATCGGCCAAAATGGCACGCCATTATCTGGAGGGCAAGTGGCGCGAGTTGCCCTTGCAAGAGCGTTATATTCAAACTCATCGCTTCTACTCCTTGACGATATCTTTTCTGCTCTTGACACAAGGACCTCAGCAGAGGTATGGAAGTATTGCTTTTGTAGCACGCTTCTGGATAACAGAACAACAATTTTGGTTACTCAGGTTCCGTGGATTATTTCACAGGCAAATCTAGCCATTAAGCTTGAAAAAGGTCGAGTCAAGAGCGTTGACACTGATATCACCGCGATCCGTCGGCCGATAACCATCTATGAGCGAATTGAGACTGCGAGGTCGTCGGAGAAGCAGCAGGTGGTGACGCCGGAATCAAACTTCAAATCGCACAGAGGACCCCAAAACCGCCCGTCACCAGTTGCAGATGATTTCGCCAAAGAAACTGTACATCAAGAAATGAGAGCGTCAAGAAAACCTGGTCGTCTAGCGCGTAAGAAATACTCCAAATTATACAGATTCTATTCATTGAGCTCACCATATCTGACAGTCTTTCAATATATGAGATACTTCGATAATCCAATTTTAATTGCAGCCTGCATGATTTTATCACTCTTATCTCACGGCTCGTTCTTCTTATCGAGCTACTGGATGTCTATTTGGGTCCAAGCATATGAGCGCGAGCCTCATGTTGATACCGCATACTACATGGGCTGTTACGCATTCCTCATTTTTCTGGGAACTGTGACTATCGGTACTACTATCGTCGCTTTTGAATGGGGTGGATGGCGCGCTTCCCTGAATCTTCACAATGCCTTTATTCGCGCCGTTATGAGTGCACCTCTATCGTGGCACAAAGTTGTGCCACTGGGACGAATCACCAACAGGTTCTCTCGCGATATATCGTCCATTGACAAATCCTTGAGCTCCAATTTTAGGTCCACTCTTAGCGCCATCCTTGTCTTGCTATTTCGCATTACGGGAGTCAGTTCGCTGCTGCCAATTTTTATACTCCCTGTAGTGTGTGCATCTGCCATCGCCGTCACTGTGGGCGAAATGTACGCTAGAACGGCCGTTATTCTCAGACGTCTGATGTCCGCTGCTCACTCACCTCTTTTCTCCCATTTTATCAGTACACTGGCCGGGCTACAGGTTATTAGAGCACAGGACGGAGTCCGCGAAGCTCTTACTGAAGACCTGGCGACGAAACTCAGAGTATGGGCTGTGGCAGCCGAGGCGAATTATAATTGCAATCGTTGGGTGGCCTTGAGGGTTACCCTTATGACTGCTCTTATTTCTATGCTGGCTGGCTTTATTGCTATTTCTGATCTTGACGTAATTAGTGCAGGACTCGTCGGCTTTTCGCTCCAAAACGCCGTCGGACTGAGCCAAGGCGTAATGGTGTTAGTAAGAGCCATGAACGACCTGGAAATTGAAATGCAAAGTGTAAGTCTTCCTATCGATGTACACAGCTTTTGGATATTAATAAGTTTTCAGTTTCATCGGGTAAAAGAATATATTGAACTTGAACAAGAAAGCAAGGGTGATGAGTCCTGCGAAGATGAAATGGATTTCGGCGAAGGGCATCGCCTTGTTAATAGAAGAGAAGGGATCCCTGAGAGCTGGCCACAATCTGGTGAGATCGAGTTTCGCAATGTAACTATTAGATACGAACCAGACAGCCCCAACGTTCTCACGGATATAAACTTGAGGTTTAAAGCCGGTACGCGGGTTGCGATTGTTGGACGGACTGGCTCTGGCAAGACTACGGTACGTTGAACAAAATTGTAGGATAGTCGATAGTTTTGCTGACGCGCTGTGGAACAGGTTCTTATGTCTCTTCTCCGCTTCACTAATATCATTTCTGGGCATATCCTCTACGATGGAATAGATATTACAAATATTTCGAGACGCAGATTGCGCGAGAGCGTCACAGTCGTTCCTCAGGAACCCACACTCTTCAGCGGATCAGTACGATCAAATCTTGATCCAACAAGCTCTGTTTCTAGAGACAACATCGAGAACGCTCTTGACAGCTTTAAAGATCTTGGGGTTTTGCCGCTCCATGAATCATCTGGCCAATTATTGGTTGACCACAGCCACATGCGTTGTCAAGGACTTTCCCTGTCAACGGAGGTGACTTCAGGGGGAGAAAATTTCTCTCATGGCCAACGTCAGGTATTATCTCTCTGCCGTGCAATACTAAGAAAGAATAAACTTATGCTGCTGGATGAGGCTACGGCAAGCATGGACCATCAGGCAGATCAGGGAGTCCAAAAGATTCTTAGCCGGGAGCTCAAAATGATGGGGGATACCACACTTGTGACCGTTGCGCATCGACTACGGACGATAGTGGACTACGATACCATTGTGGTCATGGATGCAGGCAAAGTCATCGAGTAAGTCTATCATCCCGTGCTCTAACATTTAATGAGGGCCATAATTAGCTGTAATATGTACTAACTCATGGATTGTCAGATGCGGCTCGCCTCAAGGCTTGTACGATGCTGGTGGCCAATTCCACAATATGGTGCTCCACAGTGGGGAGTCAACAGAATTGCAGAAGATGTTAAAGGGCAGTCAATGAAGATTTATGCTTTCTATATGGGATGTTGGGAATCGGCATTTTGGGGGCGGTGAGTTTGGATGTTTCTTGGACAAATCCGTTGGCCGTATTACTGAAGCTGGCGATTAGAAAAAGGGGGCGAGATGCCTCGTACTGTGCCATGAAGCAGTGACTTTTTGATATCGTCAGACATGGCGTAAGATGGATCTGCAACTGGACAGTGTGTGTGCTTTTGATGTCAAAAAGAATTTGCTCAAATCAGTAGCAAGTGTGTTCTCTGAAGATCTATATGCAGGTCTCAATTTCACAAGTGACAAGGGACACAGGTTTGGCAAGGGTATGATACCATGTCTCGCTGGCAACCTGCAAACGACGAGAAAAAGCAACGTTCCGAGACAAAGGCCGTCTGCAGCAAGCTGACAGTGGAAGAAACATCATAGCAACAAAAAAATAGTCGCAGCCTATGGCAAATTTGTGTACCTGTCGGTGATCATGCTTCATTCTCGACGGCAATTCTTTTACTGAGCTAAGCCACGTTATGCGCGTTAAGATTTGATCATTAGGGGGAGTTATTAGTCAAATATTACATGTCTAGAGAACATACAGTAGCTTCTAACTGCACTAGTAACTTTTACCATATCTCCAATCGATACTGAATCATTCCACGACTGACTTACAATTCTCCCTGGTGATATCAACCATCTCATTCTGTCTGCGACCACGAGCTGCTTAATGAAGTGCTACTGGCGCCCGTAACACTCTGCCCGATTTGGTATGGCCGTTAGCATGACTTCCACCACTCTGATTACTCTCGACTATACGCTGCGTGATCTGTACGCTATCGACAATGAGGGCGAACCCATCCCGACCCTAATCTATGATACCCAGCCAACAGAGAACTGTGGAAAGACTTCATCAGGCAAATTCACTTATCACACTTGCTTACAGTCGGGAGAAACCACCACAGACGCGTCGAAAGCGTTGTTTTTCAAGTGCCTTGTGCAACGGCGAGCATTCTTGTCTGGCAGCATGCCCGTGATCATCCTCAACATCACTTCCGAGCAGAAACGACCGGATAAGAGTGTCTACCAGGATCAGCTTGATATGTATAGGAACTTTGCACAGCTACGACTTGATCAACAACCCACTGCGAGCTTTGCTGAGAACGCAGACCATATTGCTCTACACCAAAAGACTCCTCTCGTTGTGGCACGGCCGACCGACTACGTATCGCATCTGCCGTCTGTTGTCGAACCAGAAATGCACTATGAGCTTCTTTCGAAGCGTGGGTTAGCACGGTCGGGATTACCAACACCTCCATCTCTCGTGATTGATCCGCTACTCCTAGTCGACCATTTAAGGGATCCCGCTGGGCTCCAACATGAAATTGAACGCATAACAAACCATCTTGACATACACCGCATACCATTTGTGGTGAAACTCCCTCAGTCTCTATCCGGACACGGCACTTTCACGGTGCTATCTGAAGCCGAGCGGAAGCAAGTGAAGGCGGTATTTGGCGCCAGAATACGAAAGATGCTCGAGGGTATTAATGCCTCGAACTATCATCTACATCCATCATCTGTAGTCCTTCAGGACTATATTCAGGGCCCAGAGATGGCTTTGTCGCTGTTTGTGACACGCATGGGGCGCCCTATATTCATCAGTTGCTGTAAGCAGCGCTTTGACGAACAAGGTCATTGGGTCGGTGGCTCCATTTCATATGCACAACAGTCATCTCTGCACCAGACGTACGCAAAGACCATAGAGAAGGTGGCTCAGTTCTTACATAAAAAGGGCTACTACGGCGCTGCAGGCGTGGATGTCATTACGGACAGCTTAGGCAAGCATTATGTTGTGGACCTCAATGCTCGCATCACGGGAACATATCAATTAGGCCTCCTTTCGGAACACTTCGTGCAGCGAGGATTGGAGACGGCTAAGTTGATGGCCGGGTATTTCCCGTATCCCAGAACAACCTTTGAAAAGGCTTTTTGCCGCGAAATTCAAGACGGTAGTCTCGTTATTACTGGCTGGGCGCATGACGACTCTATGCAATTGAGCTATGGAGCAATCACTGCCGGAGGAAGGAAGTTCTCGGACACGGACGGGTTACTTGCTCGGGTTCGAGCTCATACATTGTCATTGAGCGCATAAATATAAATGTTTAAGATTTATCCTCTTGTGGTTCTGAAATTCATAGTACATCTTCAAATTATTGAATACTATTCCAGTAACCCTACAAATCAAGGGATTTCAGGGGAAACAGTCTGGTACTGTCAAAGGTTGGGACCAGCTATATAGCACCAGACATCCGTAGCACAGGTTTCTAACAGAAAGTCTAGATCACAACCCGCCGCAACATGGCGATCATCTGCCCTACCTAGTTCTATTGACTCTTTCCATGTTGGCAAGACCTACACCTAACAGAAAAAACCACGTCGAGCAGCATCTTGGAAAGTTTTCAATACTCCGGAACAGCATGCATATTAGTGCACATTCGTTTTGATGTGCCATATATTAATTCTTGAATAATGATGAGGTAGAAAAACAGCAGAAGATTAATCCTCACATTGTAGTCCACCCCAATCCCATGGTTTGGTGATCTCCTCACCTGGCTTTGGCAACTCGCATCGCTCTACTCCTGGAGGGTAATTGTCGACTTGCGCTCCGTCTGTACTCCCAAAGTAGATTTTGAGAATTTCTTTCTTTATTGGCTTCCCAGTTGCCGTACATGGTAGTTCCTCTTCGTCCCTCAGGATTCGGAGAAGAGCGGGCAACATACACGTTGCCAAGTTACCCTCTAGATCGGACCTAATTAGGGCCAGATTAATTTGCCCCGTAGGAGGTGTGCCAACAGGCTTAAGCCGAACGACAGCTCCACACAAGTGTTTGAGGTTCTTGTCGGGCACGGCGACGATACATGCTTCGGATATGTACGAAAGGTCCATTAAGCTGCTCTCAACAAGCAGGGCTGGGATTCTGAAGATGCCGTATTGCACATCTGCACAGCGCTTTTAGCATTTTTGTATCATCGAATGCGTCGATAAAACTTACAATCAGCGTTCGCTCGGCCGGCAAACACGTATTGACCATCCTTAAGATTGGCGAGATCTCCTGTCTTGAGGTATCCTTCGTTATCGAACGCGTTCTGAGTGGCGTCTTTGTCACCGATATAACTAGGCTAGTCAGTATAGTATGCTGGGAGATATTTGAACCGATATAACACGTACTGTATCAACATATTTGGGCTCTTGACGCAGAGCTCGCCTCGGTCTCCTTCTGAGAGTTTAACTTTAACTGCTGGTAGAGGAGTCCCAATTGAGCCCTATACTTATGTGGTCAATTTATTGCGTGTTTGACTCCGTGATGATGCTTACTTGTATCCCAGATCGCCCCCTGATCGCGGCTCCTCCAAGCTCGGTAGTGGAGTAAATATTTTCAAATGGTAGGTCTGTTAGATCTGTCCAGAACTTCCTCGTTGACGACTCAAGCATCCCAGCGGAACACCTGAGTGCGGATAGATCTTTGAAGCTGTTGAACCATTTGTCCCTCTGCTCTTGGGAAAGCTGGCCACTGTGGCCGGTCATTAAGTCCATCATCCGCCGCAACACGTCTGGGGAAAAGGCAGCGTGGGTAATCTGATAGTTACGAAAAGCTTCCAGTACAACCCCTGCACGAGCATTCCTAGATTTTACTTTGAGGATGTATAGCTTCTTACCCGACAGTACGGGTCGTATTAGACTTCCTGCACCGCCAATCCAATGGCCCGGGCGGTAGTTGAGAGCTGCCGCGCCAGGTTCCATTGGTTGTGCCCCAGAAAAACATCGTCGCGGTAATACCGCTCCTTTCGGGTGTCGAGTAGTACCTGACGAAAATACTACTAAACCTGGCCCATTCGGGTCCATTAGACAGGTGTCGTCAATCACAATTTCGGGATTCTTTGAACGCTGTGCATCGCACGATATGGGCAAGACTAGCAGCGTTCCTAGCTTCCCGTGCTCATGGATATAGGTGCCGATACTGACAGCCCTCTCCATGCTGCTGCTACCAGCGAGCATGCACATCGCGTTTGCCGCTGAGAGAAAGTACTGCGCCTCTTCAGGGAGAACACCAGAACCTGCAAGTGGTTAGCATTTTAGTTACGCCTCAGCCCGTACGGAGTCGCTCACCTAATGGCATGCATACTCCACCCAGCGTCCGGATTGAGAAGAAAGCAACAAGAAACTCATAACCGCTCTTTGTAAGGATGGCAATGTACTGGTTCTTCTCAAGTAAGAGACCTCGACCATTTATTGCAGAAGGGGGTAACCGCGCCCATAAAAGCTCTCGCGTCGCTAGGATGTCACTGAGCAGGTCAGGGTAGCTCTTTTCGAAACCAAGGGCATCGTGAATGATCTCTTCAGTATATGGCGTCTGCCGTGCTGCATTTAGCAGCTTAACCAGAACTGGATCATGGGGAAATTTGCGAATTTCTCCCGCCGTCATGGCCAATTCCTTGCAATGTCAGACCGCCCCGCAATTTGATGGAATTCCTACTATTCCTGCAGATAGGAGATAGTGGTCGATTTGAAAGAGTGGTGAAGACTAGACGAGATCGGTCGGCGAGATGCTGTGTTTTGACTGTCCGTAGCTTTTCACACCGCAGAGACCCCAGTGTACTGGTTAAGTTACCATTACGTGCTCGTAAGATTACATACCTGTGTTGGGAAATCTCGCAGGAAACCACCTAATCAATTCTGTCATATGGCGTGTCTACATTCCCTTGGAAGTAATACAACTGTGAGACATGTGTAAGATATACTCCGTACTGAGTATCCATTGTGACATATTACAGATTTTAGCGGTGTCTCACCGCTCAGCCCCCTAAGGATCTATGTTTCTTAGTTGACCGATTATACACTATGAGGGAGTTGTCTTAGCACTGGATTTGAAGCTAATTATGTCTTAATGCGTAGCCTAAACCAAGTAGCCCTGCTGACTCAACCTTTCCACGCTGCGCAAAAGGTACTTCAGCGAGTAATAAGTCTAGGCTGAGAAAAATTTCCAAGCAGAATGCACCAGGCATGATAATCAATTTCGGTTCGCAAGGTGGCTGCCGCCCGAGACCCAAAATCCGGACCCCTTGTGTAGATCACCGAGAATCCATGACGTGTCTGGTTTTTTTGATTTTTTAGTTCTTTTTTCGGAGCCAGTGAACCGCCATGTATAACTTTGATATACTTATCGAGAGGCAACTTGGAATAACTATATGTGGATATTGATCCTCGACTCTTCTGTCTAGTGAGATGTCCAGGCCCTCTTACACCACTCTCAGTAGCTTTCCAGGCCACTGACCAGAATTGGATTCTTCTGGACTCAAGGTACTTGCTGTATTACAGGTGTCGTCAGGCACGGCCTGCTTCTGAGTTTGGAAATTCGGAGCTACGCTTACGTATTGGTGAAAAAGCCGCTCCACAGCATAGAGTACCGAACGCTGCTACAGTGAAGTCGTAGTTCCCTGGCGTAACGACCAGAATGAATGGCCTTTCCGGGACAATTCTTCAAACATTAAAGCAGGCAATGCTTGGACAATTTGGCACCGCATGTAGAGCATATCAGTCAGCAATTGCGTACAACTGGCCTCGGTGTCTTTTACCCAATCATAAAGCAAAATATGACCAGGGTTGGCCGTGAATGCCTCCAGAACATGAATGCCTCTAGAACATGATGGAACAATGGCACATCGGGCAGATTATGCCAAAATAAAAATGAATTTGTATAGCAGAATGATTGAAACGATGAATGGTAAATTGCATGCTGCCTTCAACAGCAAATCTTAAAGAGGGGTTTTGCAGATGGTCACCGCTACTTCTGTTGTGAAAGGCCCAACACAGGCCTCTTCCATTGTGAGACATAATGCATGCAAGCCTGAAGAGGATCTTTACAGATCAAGCACAATCACCAGACCGCTCAACGATATTCCTCGGTATACATAGAGAGATATGCAATACTTCCACAGTTGGCGTCAGGGAATAATCAAAGGCAGTATTCTGCGGTTGGGCAGGTCGATATCAAAACCTTGATCACAAACACAGATCAAGCTTTGCTGGTCACAGTCCCCGTGCCGCAAAACGATGCGATTTGTGATATTATGGTAACATTTATTGCACCAAATAGAAACATGACAGGAAGACTGTTCCCCGGCGGAGCCAGAAAGTATACCTCCCCTTCGACTGTCCGTTACTGGAGCTCAGCTCGTCACTGAAATCACCCTGATCGACTGCGCGCGTTCTTTTATCTTGGTGGATTCCGCGTCAATGACCAGATCTTACACCCAGGAAGGACCGGAAGATATTTTCTAAATAGATTGTACAGTATTTGAGAGTTGTATAAACCACGGGAACTCAACTAAATATATAAAAAGTCAGAGTTGTTGGCCATACCATGTAGCAGAGTTGAAACTGGCTGGGAGCATCTTTATATACATACATAATTACTGCAGCCTCAAGCTTCATATGTATGCCACTCCTAATGACTTCTCTCTATGATCTGCAACTTAGATGAGGTGGGTGGGAAGCCCCTCTGAAGAACTCATTACTCATTATTTCTCCAGTCCCTCAGCGGAGAAGGGCCATTGCGCCGGAATAGTAGCCATCGCTCAATGTCTATACATTGTTGATAGCCGTGGCTCAACTGTATAAAGGGGTATCGGATATATTACAACCCGATTAGTCAATTTGACATACAATTAGGCTCCTGCGCTGCCCTCCTGAACTGCCCTAACCTTAGCTGAGGCCACCCTTGTTCTTTTTGCCTGTGGCGGGTTGAATGTCGTTCGTTACCCTCAGGTCTCTTCCCCAGATCTTGTAGCTGTAGCTTGGTGGCGTCGCTATGAACGGGCCTGTGCAAAAAATTGCCTGTGGGGTGGCATGAGGGGTACTCGAGTAGCTCAGCCTGCCCAGCCTGCCCAGCTTGGTTCCCCGACCGGAGACTGCCGACATCAAGGGTTGAGTTCACTTCTGATTTGCCCGAGTGAAGATCACCAGTGGTAGTAGAACAAAGCTACTTACCGGGCTGGTGCTTATTTTCGAGGTGTCAGAGCGCGGCAAGAGCGGGAGCTGCCTAAAACGGGATCTGCAGCTTGGGGGTTGCTAGTGCCATCTTGGTTCCAAATCCATTGCTTGAGGTAGCCCTAGTCTACTGTAGTATTCCAACCCATCACCAACTTGGAGCACGCGGTGGGCGCATTCACATACACGATCACTTATCGATAAGCCAGAGCCAACCCGTAGGCATGCCGGGCATGAAGAAGTCATGGTGGAAGCGATCGAAAAGTAGCTTCACTGGCCCTCGCGCACAGCCTTCTCCTCCCGACGCCAATTCCTCTGCGGCTACAGCCCCAGTTGAGGGAGCATCCGAAATAACCCCCTCTATCGATGCGCAGCAATCCGCTCCTCCTATTCTCGACACCACCAATCACCCCGACGATAAATACGGCCTCAAACCGCTCCACACACCGGTCGCCACGGATGGTGATGAGGATGGGCTGACTAACGCAGTGGACATTGTTGCGGTGCATGGGATAGCTGGAAATGCTTACAACACATGGACACACGAGAATGGAACATTGTGGCTCCGAGATCTCATACCGAAGAAATTACCAGGCGTGCGGGTATTTTCGTATGGATACCCTGCAGACGTCTTTTTTACGCGTCAGAAAGGGAATCTTGAAGACTTTTCTAGGTCCCTCTTAAATGATTTAAGAGGAGAGAGGAGGGAAAAGGAGGTTCGTGCCGCATATGCCACAGGAACACTCCACTGCATAGCAGCTTTGCATTCTATCGTTCTATTTATTGTATTTGTCTACACGTATTTCCTAACACCGTAATAGTATCAAAACCGTCCGATCATATTCATTTGTCATAGTATGGGAGGAATTGTCGTCAAGAACGTAAGGTAGGCTTCCGCCACTTAGATTGTTAGCTTACTCTTTAATAGGCCCTCATCATTGCCAAAATTGACGATGAGCCATACGAAAACATCCGGAAGTTTGTAAAAGGTATTATGTTTCTCGCCACACCCCACCGCGGAACCTCTGAAACACAATTTCCAAAGCTGTTGGCTAGAATAGCTAATGTGGCAACGAATATGACTGGCATAGCGCCATTTATTGTATCTACGAGGCCAGACCTCATCGAAGCCATTGAGAAAGATTCAAATATCCTTCTAGACATCTCGACAAATTTCAGAAATCAGACGAAGAACCTCAAAATTGCATCTTTCACTGAGCAAAGCGTAACCCCGCCTGCAAAGTCATTGGTATATACTCTTTCTGATGATTTAATTGCTCCTGCTTAATTCTAATGATTTCTAAATAGATTGTTGATAAGGCCAGTGCTATCATGGGCATTCATACAGAGACAATTTTTCCTATGGCTGGCTGTGATCACACGAGCATCTGTAAATTCGCAGGTGAAACTAGTGGGGCTTACAAAACCGTTTTGAATGAACTCCGGAATTGGGTTGACGAGCTCAATCAGCGTTAGTTGATAGCTATTCAATATCTTCTTATACAATATTGTGAGCCCAAAGCAGTGTAGGACAACTCTGATTCTTCCTTCTATCTAGTGCATGCCGACGAAAAGACGTCCGAAGATCTTGGTACAGAATTAATAAATCTACATCCCACCCCAACAATCGTAATGCTGACTTGAAGAAGAATGTCTCCGATCCCTCTCGTTTCCAGAGTTGGCCAACCGTCGACAAGATATCGACAAACCTTTCTCACATACCTGTGAGTGGATACTAGAGCACGAGTCCTACAAGTCATGGATCGAAACCGAACGCGAACTACTTTGGATAAAGGGGAAGCCTGGCGCTGGGAAATCAACCATGATGGCGTTCATCTACCAGTCGTTACAGGAAAAGCCCCCCTCGGGAATTACTCTAGAATTCTTCTTTCATGGGCGGGGCACTCCATTGCAGAAGACTCCGGTCGGCATGTTTCGGTCTCTTTTACATCAGCTATACGCCAACGTGCCTTGCATACGATTGCTGGTACGAAAGGCCTTCAAAGAGAAAAGCGCTTTCGGCCAAACTGGAACGGACTGGGAGTGGCATCGTAAAGAGTTAGAAGACCTTTTCACTAACGCCATTATTCGTACTCCAAAATCGAGGGCAATAACCATATTTGTGGATGCGTTAGATGAGGCCGGCTCTGACACTGCAAATGAACTTGCGGGCTACTTCCACCGCTTGAACGACACGCTTGCAGATGGAAACCGGGCTGGAAAAATCTGCATCTCGTGTCGTCACTATCCAATACTAGCAGCCAATACTCCCTTACATGTTTGCGTTGAGGATGAGAATCACAATGACATTGCACGGTACGTCAAGCAAACGTTTGAAACCGAGCTTCGAAGGGACAAAATGGCAGAGCTTTTACTTCCACTTGAAGAAAGGCAAACGCTCGAGGAGACCGTCACGGCGAGAACTGGAGGGATATTCATGTGGGCGCGCCTCAGTATCCCGCTCATCATTAAGTTTATACTGGAGGGAGAGTCAGTGGAGCAAATCAAGGGAGAGATAAGCAAAGTGCCCGCAGATCTCGGTAAAGTTTACGAGCATATTCTCAAGAATGTCATTGAGCCTCGAAATTGGAGCAAAGCATTGCATCTGGTACAATGGGTCTGCCTAGCTGAAAGACCACTTTCAGTGACAGAACTGCGGTATGCAATTGCCTCGGACGACCATTATATTCATCAGCCGTCACTCCAGTCCTGCAAAGATGCCATAGACTTCGTGGAGAATGATTTGCGTATGGAGAGACTTGTAACCACTTGGTCAGGTGGCCTCGTCGAGGTCCAGCGTCATGAGGATTACACCATTGTACAATCCATCCACCAAACTGTCAATGATTTTCTACGATCAGATGGCCTGAAGTACCTTAGTTCACTTGCGAATGATGATCTGCCTCACGATCGTAAAGATATTGGCATGTTGCCAACTGACGGCGTTCTTGGACAGGGCCACAGCCGACTTTGCAAGTCGTGCGTCAACTATCTAGGACTGCCCGAGGTTCTACTTGCCACCCCAGACACCGAATCTATCCTTGATGAAGACAGATTCAATACCACAAGCTATGAAGAAAAGTCCCTCTCTTTAAAAACAGCACTTCCCTTCGTGTTATACGCTACAGAGTCTTGGTTCTTGCACGCAGAAAAAGCTGAAAATCTCGGGATAGTGCAGAGTAATCTTGTACAGCAGTTTGGATCTCCTCCAGGACCAGCCTTCCAGGCCTGGATAAATATATTCCGCGCACTCGATGAATATAGTAGACATAACCCAAGGTGCCCAAAACCAGGCGCAACGATGATACACATCGCCTCGGGCTCAAATCTTCGAAGTGCTGTCCAGCTTCTCCTAAGCGACAACGAAAGTCTCCGTGCACAAGACAGCGCTGGGAATAGAGCACTTCATTTTGCTGCTCGATGGGGCCACTTAGAGCTGGTTGAAATACTCCTCAATGCAGGGGCAGACATAGGAGCAAAGAATTTTGACGGAGGTACAGCTTTCGAACACGCAGCTGCAAATGGACATGAAGAAGTCTTAGAGCTGTTGTTTAATTGCGGTGTAAATGTTAATGAGAGCACTGGGGCCTATGGTAATGCTCTTCAGGCTGCTGCTAGAAATGGTAATAAGGTGGTCGTCCAAAAACTACTCAAGTATGGCGCCGAGGTGAATATAATCGGTGGCCTCTACTACGGGACCGCGCTACAGGCAGCCTGTAATGGAGGGCACGCGGACATCGCGAGGCTCTTACTCGAGAAGGGCGCCGAGGTGAATATAATCAGTAGCAGCGGCTACGGCACCGCGCTACAAGCAGCCTGTGGTAGAGGGCACGCGGACATCGCGAAGCTCTTACTCGAGAAGGGCGCCGAGGTGAATATAATCGGTAGTAACAGCGACGGCACCGCGCTACAAGCAGCCTGTAGTAGAGGGCACGCGGACATCGCGAAGCTCTTACTCGAGAAGGGCGCCGAGGTGAATATAATCGGTGGCCTCTACTACGGGACCGCGCTACAGGCAGCCTGTAATGGAGGGCACGCGGACATCGCGAAGCTCTTACTCGAGAAGGGCGCCGAGGTGAATCTAATCGGTGGCTTCTACAACGGCACTGCGCTACAGGCAGCCTGTGCTAGAGGGCACACGGACATCGCGAGGCTGCTGCTCGAGAAGGGCGCTATAGGCGGCGCGTGCTGAAGGGCACACGGAGATCGTGATATTACTTGAAGGGTTACGAGTTAATATTCCCGGGGTTTGACTTTTAAGTTCGGACTCGAATCTGATTAAAAAGTTAAGAGATGAAGGACTTCGAAATTTCAGTTCGAGCGTGTATAATAGGAAAATACCATAGGATCGTTTTATAGGAGACTATGTCACGGATACGAGAGAACAAGGGAAGTATATATATATAAAGATGCTCTGCTTTGACAGTAAATTAACAAAAAGTGCGACAGGGCTATAGCTATTAACTAGGACTTACCTCTAACTTCTAATATCTAGTATAGATAAAATGTAAGTAATCTATTAAAACATCCCGAAAACTCGGTCATAGTTAATGTAAATTATTTTACATACTTGCATAAGCGCTTTTTACATTGTCATAACTATCATAGTCGGGGGTATATTTTCAACAAAAGAAAATATAGTCCGAATGGCCGCGCTGCTATCTACTAGGCGTGTGTGGAAACCGAAAGTTTGTTTGGCTTTCCGAATTCTGTTTTAAAAAGGTTCCCAGGTTATAATATAAAAGTGAAGAATGCCGGTACTTGAGAAGCTTCAACGCGGGCGACCCTAGACGGTTAAATACTACCCAAGCATGAGTTTCTAGAAGAATACACAAAGATACTGGAGATTCTAATGTGGACACGAAATAATACTAAAAGGAGGGCGAAAGAGGATAGGGAGCGAGTTTGCCGGAAGATATAGGCAACTCAATCCCAGGGTCGATGAGAGTAGGTTATATCGGGGGAGAGTTTGTCGTTGACATTAATCGCTGCACTAATCGGCTACAAGCCCCCCGCTAGTGATTGCCGCGGTGTAGGAATAGCAATGGGTAAAAGGGGAGCCATACTTCGGAATCTGCGCACAGACGTCACTCGTTATGTATGAGTTGACGTTGAGCGGTAACTCACACTGAGTCCGATTATTTTACTACCTCATCATCTCTCATAACTTCTAAGAAATTACCTGCACGAAAAAAAAAGATGCCCCGCTTACTCATCAACGGAAAATCCATCTTCTATTTCGACGACCCGCAACTCGAGGGAGGAGCCGCGAAGCAAACCGCCACTCTTTTTATCCACGGCCTCGGATCATCGTCCTGCATCTATAAACCCGTGACGCCTCATCTCACGCAAATCACGAGATGCATTGCGCTTGATACTCCCGGATCCGGGCTCTCCCATCTCGGATCTTCGCCCCAGAGCGTGGGTACCATTGCTGAAGATGCGGTCGCGCTGCTTGATTTTCTGGAGGTAAAGGATAAGGTGGTGGTGGTGGGGCATTCGATGGGGTGCATCGTGGCGAGTTATATCGCGGCTACGTTTCCAGATCGCGTGAAAGGGGTTGTGTTGATGGGGCCGGTAAATCCATCACCGGCACTGACAGAGGTGTTTGAGCAGAGGATTAACGTTGTTCAAAATGGTGTGTTTTGTCTGCTCGTCCCGAAAAAGCCTAAGTATATGTAAAAGTTGAATGGCAGATATTGACTGCAGCAGATGGCATCGAATATTTCGCAAACACCATTCCCACGAGCGCCACAGGACCTAACACCACATCTCTTCAGCATGCTTTTATTCGCGCCTTGATAATTGGCACCTCTCCCGAAGGATATATTTCGCTATGTCGGGTTATTGCGGAAGCCAAACCGCCAAGATATGATTTGATCAAAGTCCCACTGGAAATTCTTGTCGGCGAACACGATAAAACTGCACCTCGGGAAATCTCGGAGACTATTATGGGAGCTTATGGGACGCAGAACAATAACAAGTCCATCGACGTTCTTGCAAATGTTGGGCATTGGTATTGCGTTGAAAACCCTGAGAGGGTTCAGAGTCTGGTTACCAATTTCATTAAGAAACGTGACTGAGGACTACGCTCTGTCTTTCGAGGTTATTGTTATAGCTGGCTTATGCGGATTAGAAGTAGCTAATATTAATGTTAAATAATGCGCGTTCTGATAGACCTCGAGTATCTTTTGTTAAGTGACAGTATTATTGACTTGACTTGAAATATTTGCTTGATTTGAATCACTTACTTGTTTTGAGCTATTAAAGAAACCTGAAATTAAGACAGAACTAGCTAAAGCTTATTGTATCATAGGTAGAGACGGTAAAGCTCTGCATCACATCACAAGGCAAATGCGGCGCATCGGCTTAGGTCTTCCAGTCGGGTCAGATTTGCTCAGTTCTCAAGCAAGCATCTCCAGAATTGGTAGAGAAATGATAATTTTGGTATCTCAAGATACAGTCCCCATAAGTTCAGCAGAGTATCCATTTCGCATCTATTAAACAGACACATCCGTCTGCTTCCGCCACTAGAGTGGGATGTAATGCAGCCATATATGCCCAAACGCCCACGCTTCGCTCTCATATCATACAAGAAAACCCGTCCTCGCTTATCCATTCGCGCCTCGCCATGCATGCATCATAGACCCAGGGTATCTATCAACTAATCAACCAACGATAGAAAAAAAATTGTTAAGTACGCTTTCTTTCCCATCTCGCCCGGAACACCCGCGAATTGAGCTACCATCCAAATCTCTAGCTCCGCGGATAATATATTAATGCGTCTTCTTCCGGGGTCTCTGGTCCTCGCCCGCCGCCACACCCGCCTTCTTCATCTCGCTTTGGCTCTTCATCCTCTCTCTGACAACAACATACTCTTTCATCACCTTCTCATGCGCCTCCCTCGCATCCTGCCAATGCTTTATTACTACTGCATCTTCCCTCAAACCCCGTCTGTAAAGCTCGATGCCTGCGTTGTCCTGCCATCTCTCCGCCCCAAGGGTATCAACCTGGTTCTTCCTTGCAACAAGATGTAGCATATTCTTGCTGTTGAACAAATCCCACTCTCCCATGTAGATCTCGAATTTCTTCTTGAAAGTTTCATAAGCTGGGCCTAGAGGGCTATTGGGTCGGCTAGGTGGCTGTGGAACTACGGGACCACTTGGTGGCAACGGCAGGTTGAGCGACGATATCAAGTCTTGGATATTGAGATCATCGAAGTTGACCTTTAATGCCTCTGCATCCGTAGGAGACTGTGAATGCGAGGTGGGCGCTGGTCGTTTGACGGATTCAGTGTTAATATTCAGCTTATTCGCAAACTGAGGAACGGTATTTGTAACAGGCGGAGTATCCACGTCCATGGCATCTGGGTTTGGGGTTGTAGGGGCTGATGGAGTAGCGGGATTTGTACCGAACCCGGCCTTATCAGCTCCCACGCCAGATCCACCAGCCACGGGTGGTGTAGCCATAGCTGGGCGGGTGGGAGTCGGCCGAGGCCTATTCGGTCGAGGAGGAATGTTTGGTGGCGCAAAAGTCTGAGGTTTGAAGATTTGTGCCCACTGATCGGGGGAGAATTTGGTGCCTCCTGGGGACTCAATTGGAGTTTCTGGTACCGCACTGGGCTGTGGAAATTTAGGATCAACAGGTGGGACTTTGGTAGGCGAACGTCCCCTCGATCTACTCCCAGACTGGCCGCGATGAGGGCCAGAGGAAACTCCCGTAGTCTTTTGATTAGGCTTGAAGTACTCTGCTCCGGCTTCGAATGTTCCCGTCCAATCTTCCGGTGAAAATGTGGTGCTGATATTTTCCGTACTGCTACTAGCGAAAGTTCTTGGGGGAGGATTTGTCTGCTTGAAGGTGTCATTATCGACATTGAAGGAGAATCTAGAATATCCCGACTGATTAGCATTGGCCTTCAACTCTCCATAATCCTGCCAAAAACCATTTGCCTTTTTAGCCGAATGTAAATGAACTGCATGTAGGTGCTTAAGGGGTTTGAGTTTTTTGGACGGGCTTCCGGCATTCGCAGAATCCCTGTAGTCCAACCAGTGACTAGCCCGGCTTGGAATACGGCAGTTACTTGAACGACTAGTCTGACCATTGTTCTCTGAGGCTCTTTTCAACGGAGTTGCGTTATGGTGAGGATTTGAACAACTGTTCTTTCCTTTGCTGGAGAGGAGCTGGTCGATAACAGTACGCTGCAAGCCCTCGAAAGCATTCAAAGTTTGCGAATCAGGCGTGACTCCACTGGGAGGTGTTTTAGGCTCTGTGCCTTTCGAAAATAAATACTTTGGAGTAGAGTTTGAAGCAATCTTGGGATTTTGTGATGACATATCTTCTGAAACTGTCGGGACTTTGACGGAATAACTGGAACTTCGCTTTCTGTCGGAGTAGATAGAGGAATGAGTGAATGTAGCATACATTTTGGTTCCGTCAGGTGTATCGTTCTTGGGGGGGTCAGAGCGAAGAGGAGGCCCATCTGGAGGAAAACCGTTTAGCGGTGGCTCTACACCCGGATTCTCTCTCATCCATTGTCGGAATTTTCCAATATTGGTAGTAGCTGCACGTGGATTGGATGAAGCCTTACCGGCATTTGGCACCTGTGGAGCACGTGGTGGCGCGCTAGTACCGTTGCTGGCTTTTGTGGAGTATCTAGGCTTTCCAAACGCGTGTCCGTTTGTTCTGGGCTCATCTTCGGAGCTAGAGCTATCGACCTCGACTTGTGGAGCAGCATACGAGTTCGAAGGCTTTGACGGATATTGATCGGCAAATGTGGTTGTGCGACGGGGCGAAGCTAAATTGGGATCTGAGCCAGTTCTAGGCACATGCTTCGAGCTGGAAGGCTCACGTGTGCTCTTGGATCTACTGATATTAGCAGTCTCAAAGGGATTGAACTTCTCTCCCCCATGCGTAGCATAGGGAGTGCTGACGCGCGGCTCGAAGTTCGAAGCTTTATCTCTGAATTGTTTAAGGGGATCGGGCGCAACATTGGACACTGACGGGGAAGGTTTCCGTGGTGGAGGATCGGGAGGTGCCCGCTGCGTTGTGAAATATGCCCCTCTCGGTGCCGCAGGTTCGTCGCCTCCTGGGGTGTTTGGCATAAAGCCCTTTCTCGGCGATGTGTTTGTACTTTGACTTCTGCGACGAGGAGTCTCATTGGGCATATGGCCGTTTCGGGTGTCATCGTAGGCGGCTCGTGGCTTGGAGGCAGCACCATATCTCCTTGCTTCACCATCTCCTCGGGCCGGCTGTGGTGTTTCTCTGGGCGGGGGCTTTGGAGGTCCTCCTGTCCGGCCAGGGCTTGGCTTCGCACTGTTATGACTTCTCATATGCTCCCATGCCTCGTACGTCCTTGCCCTTGCTTCTGGGCCTTCCTGGGAAGACCAGTGCGACGAGTTCTTTGGCGTGTCGAATTTTTCGTAGCGTCGAGCACCCGTGGAAGGCGGTGGAGCTCTGCGAGCGGTTGGAGGCTTTGGAGGAGGGGCCCATTGGGAGCCTGCTGAAGACCAAGGGTTCCCCCGCACACCGGAAGATGTTGGGCCACCATACGCCGATTTATAATGTGAAGATGTCACTCTGACCCTATTTGCATCATATCTGGCCCGCTCTGTAGCATCAATAAGAACCTCATGTGCCGACTGTATCTTCTGGAATTTAGCAGTGACTTCGGTTTCGCGGCCAGGGTTGCGGTCTGGATGGTACGTGAGGGCTTTTTGGCAGGAGTTAGCTAAATAGCCCAAGATATCTTGCAATCTAAGAATGCCATACCAAGCTTCTTGAATTGCTTTTTGATTTCCTGAATATCGGCCCCTGGCAGCAGCTCTAAATCGCCATAGTAATCTCGAGTGAGATCGGCCTTGACCATCTTGCAGGCCTTAGATGCTGGTTAGGCCACACAGCGTATTGAAGGTGGTGTGGCAGACAGTCCTCATGGAAGTTGGTCTTGGTTATCGAGGCGCATTTAGGGCCGAGGTATTGCTTAATGATGTCGATCGGCCAGCTAGCATTCAATTTATAACTCTCTAGTGGTTGAAATGGTGATATATCTCAAAATTTTGAGTTTGCTTGCGTTGCGGCGTGTAGAGTAACGAGCGTTGGAGAGCGCAAGCCTGGTGGTAGGGTGGAAAGCAACCTCCTGGTAGGGTCGAACAAGGAGCTCTGCACAAAGAGACTTTCCGTTTTCTTTCAAGTGAGATCTTGAAGTTGCAATGAAACTATTCTTAACGAGAAAGAAGATGGGGTTGTGGGAAATGCGCGGCAATATCGAGCTGGTTTGTGGAATCGTCGCTCTGCTGTGTTGTGGTGGTTGTGGTTTTGTTCGTACTCGAGTTCCAAAGTACGCGATCTGATCGGCCAAGACACCCACACGTGTCTTGCCTGAGGCAGCAGTAAATAAATCAGCTGCGTGGGGTTTTTTGGTTGCCGCAGGGATCTGATAAGCTGATAAGCAGGTGCATGTGATATGTCCGATCTACAACCCCCGATGTTTAGCCGCTCTTCCTGTGTACTGTACTTTGGAGGACGTAAACAAGACGATACATTGCATTAATGTTGACTTTTGCAACAACACGATGCATTATACTATGTGATATGTACTAGGCATACTTATGGGCTCTCCAGATGTTCCTGTTCCATGCCTCTTCTCACCTTTTCTTCCCCAGCCCCAGTAGCCCAATTCCCCGTTGCGAAATTCGGATATTCTTCACGAACACACCAGATGTCGACGGTTGGTAAACATACAGCTTGAGCTTGAACCTGTCTTGTTTTACAATGACCACTCCCTTTCCAACAATCAAGAGCTCTTGTACTTGGTTTGTGATAGGATATCTGATGTTCGCTGACCTTCGGCTACTGCACGAATAACCGGGCTCTGCTGCGAGCCTGCAGCCGACAAAAATGTGACACGCTGTCAGCCTACGATGTATCTTCCGGAGAGAACAAATAAAATAGAATCGCTTCCCCTCTACCAAGTATGTGGCACCTTGGATGACACAAGAGCGTATCCACACGCTCTCTAGCTAGGGCCGATATCAAAAACACATCTATCATGAACAAAACATCATTTCGATCACGATGGACCTGCTCAACGGCGCCTGCTCCGCCTTGAAAGACCTTGTTTGCATCTCTCGGACCTCTCGAGCCACTCACACCTCTCAGCCCCGAGCATGGCCATCTCCATCTCGAGCTTCCTTCCCCCAATTCACGAGACTTCCCTGGAATTGCGCCGGAAAGTATGGAGTTTCGCTGTTGAAGCCCGGGTGCTTCGTGTCCACCTCCATGCCCACGTTGCATCATATTTGCAGGACGAACAAACGGTAGAAGATGGTAGGAAGATCTATAGAGACTATCCAAGCACATTCCGAACTCGTATGAACATTACCCCCTGCAACGGCACCCAATGCTTTTGTATATTTTTTCGACCAAAGTCTCCTCACACCGTGCCACTACCTGCAGTCCTTTTCGCCCGTCATGAGAGTAGAGATGTTGCGATCCCGATGTATTCGAGACGCCTCGATGGCGAATATGACACCCGTGGTGTTGATGTCTCGGGTCGACCCTGGCAGTTCTTCACAGACCCCCTCGCTGAAACAGGCCTGGTGCTCAATCCCTTCATTGATACAATACTTGTACGGGCCAACATCAACATCCGGTCACGCGTCGAAGAACTGCATCATTTCGCTGCTATTGCAGCTCTGCAGGTACCAGACATCAGCAAAATCATCGTGGACCTCCGGATTGGTCAATATAAGCGTCGGTCTGCCCGCTGCTTCCAGTATTGGAGGGATTGGGGGGCGGATAGCTGGTGGGTTCCGACGAGATTCTTAGTTCAAATGCGAGGGTTGAGGGAGGTGATCTTCTTGAGACCTCCGGACAGGAAGATGCTACCAGATGAGTGGGTAAAGAGAACAGAAGACCAATGGGTCCTGGAATTCCTAAAATTTGAGGAGAAATGGCCTGTTGAATGGGAGGGACGAATGCCTTCTCTTAAGTTTATCCCAGAGTAGCGAAAATCCAAACAAATATTACATGTTTGCTCGTAATCTACGAGTATTTGTATAGGCAGGCGAAGGGCTCGAGCAATCCACGCTTCGCACCCCGATCGACCAGCTAATTAATGATAGCAATCAATGCGATGCTACCTCGTAAATGAATCTTCTCTATCTTTTATATGAAAGATACATATTGCCTACAATTCTGGGGCGTCATTTTTGGCAACTTCACTAGTAAGGATCTATATATCTAACCGGGCAACGGAGGTGCAAGGTTGTATTGTTGATGCCTGGTCGCAGGCCTCCTTCATAGGCCTCTTCAAGACGTCGCCGCGACAAATTGTATATCACGATATTTCTTACCACCGCTTTTTCGCGCGAGCAACCCATTTCTATCGGTATTATGGCGCTCCTACTTCTTCCCCTCGAGGTCCTCACTCAGATTATCGAAGAAACGATGCCGGAAGGCTTTGTGGGTATTATTTCGACTTGCAAGACGGTCTACCATGCAAGTGGAAATCTGCGCGAGAAGCACAATAGATTGAGTCGACACTACAGGGACTTTAATTACACCTTTGAACACCACCAGGATTTTTCCTGGCATATCCTATCATCGCTCCATCTGCTCTCTAAGATCGCGGATGAACCATTGATTGCGAGATACATCGTATCGGCGAATTTCACGTTAGACCGGATTCCCTCCGGTAACACCATCCAAGCCCATATCAATCATATCAAGGATTCGTCGAACTTATTGTCTTTGCTTGAGAGATCACCATACCTGCGGAGTACCGGCATCGATCCTAGGTCCGTTTTGGAATATTTGATATCCGAGTACGTGGCGGATGAAGTTGATTCGGGATTAGCACCAACTCTTTTGCTTACCTTGCTTCCTAACGTCATCGAGCTCAGTCTTCCCGCTGGCTGGAATTCCTTTAATCAAAACCTCCCAGACAACATTCCATGTCCGATATCCTCGTGGCTTAATGATATTGTCACAAGGGCGAACGATCCGTGTGACTCGTCAGCAGGTCTTTCAAGGCTCACCACTCTACTTCCTTCCTCACGCTACCACGACCACAATGAGAACAACTGGGCACTCTCCATATATACCCCCTTTCTTTTTATAAAAACCGTAGAGAATTTCTTTTCCGGAGGTTGCATGGTCATCGATGATAACTATACTGGCATCCCATTCCCCGACCCTCGATGGGAAAGCTTTGGGGCGGGTCTCGAAGTCGCTGGGCTATTTGGTGCTTATTTTGATGGCGGCAAACTGCAAAAATTCCTGTCCAGACTCCCAAAATTGCGAAGCCTCGGACTCAGCTATATGACGGAATGGTATGACACTGGCCATGTTATGGATGCTCGGGCTATCATGGAAGCTGTTGAGGATGCAGCTGGAGGGACTCTTGAACTTCTTTCGTTCACCGCATACAATTTTGATGGTAAGATAAAGAGGGGCGTCCAGTCCATGAAGGGATTTACTAAATTGACTGAGTTGGAATTGGATATGGAGCTACTGTTGAGTCGTGAAGGTGGTGAGCCGGATGATTCGGGGGAGGACGAGGGTGGGTCCAAGGTACCACGACTAGGTGATCTGCTTCCTCCAACTATTGAATGGATGTGCCTCAGAATCTACAACGACTCCCCTAGCTCGCTCCGCGACTTAGCCTGTCTTTTCTCCGAGGTCGCTATAGACAAAGACGAGAAACTACCGAATTTGAACAAAATCGAGATCCGATACGACAACTTTCAACTAGCAGAGCCTGGGTTGTCTTCGAATGCTCCGTCCGAGACCAGCTTGTGGAAAGGTAGCACAACAGATTGCTCGATCCCACAATGGCAAGCAGAGCTAGCAAGTTTGGCTTCCTCTGTAGATATCGAGTATGTTAGTCTTCGTAAACGAGCATCATTATTCTACACGAGGCCATTTTTCCAGACTTGTTTGGACAAGAGACTTTTAGCTGAGAGTTAAAGGGAGAGCTGCGGAAATGGAAATGGAAGCCATGTTCATATCTGCCGAGAAAACTACACATTCCCTAATTTCTATACTGCCACATGTATCCTAGTGAATATGGCGATAGAAGTGTGTGACTAGAATATCAGGGGGGACAAAAAACCGATTATTACGGACACGAGGCGCAGGTGCGAGGCGGGGTTGGATATCCAAGAGTGGGAGAAGAGAGGGATCAATCCACCTAATGCATCGCAAGGTTTCCATAACTTCAGGCCATTTAGATGATGAGAGACGTTTTCCCTGCATGATGCTCTGGATGGTCGACGACAGGGATGGCCGAGTTGGAACGAAAATCAGAACTGAAGGAGTCATCCCTACCCGCGAGGATAAACGATTCCGGGCTCCGTCTCACTACTTCTCTCTCCCTTCACTGTATCTCACAGCTGCCAAATTATTTACGTTGGACCTTGTTTGATAGACCTGCTTACAGTACGCGACAAAGGCTCTGGTAGCCTACGCTATTCATATTTGAGCATTTGATGCTTGCTTCGATGACAATAGACGCCCCCACCAACGATACGCCCGAAGAGCGCCATACTGTCCCTCGCAAAGATGTAGAAAGCGAAAAAAAGGTTGAAGCGGAGCTTCGTGAAGGCTTAGGTGCCTGCTGCGGGCATTAGGCGCCTTTTTCGTCTACACTGCTACCTAGTACGTTGATTCCGTGAAGCCCGCAGGATAAAGACTTGGTATAAGCTGAACATCGTCTTTACTAGGGGTCTACTAAGCGCCTATGGCTCATACCAAAAGTACTACGAGACGAACTTTTTGCTTCCCGCGCCATCGACTTCTATTGCGTGGGTTGGTGCGCTATAAGCCGTGCTGCGAATCAGTGAGCTACACCTCCTTAATAGTGTCACTTCTCAGAATCTAGCGGAGTAAAATCTCGGGAGGATCCTCTTCTGGGCCCCTCGCGAAACGGTTATCGTTTTCATGTTGGGCAAATGTAAAATTTACACTGTCTATTGTCTACAAGCACAGCCACTTCTTTTAACCTATCGAGGTGGTAGTCGGTGGAGGTATCCGTTCTTGCTCCCCTCTCAAGGTACTCGACGTTCTCGAAACTTGTAACCATGGATGGGTTGCGGCGACCTCCGCAGTAATGCGCTCATTCGGCCGGTACTTGAACATTTGACCCAAAAGATCTACGAAATCCTTGATCTCATCTGTAGGAAGGGTGAAACTTTTCTTCTCACCGTCCCCTCCTGAAAAGAGACCATCAGCAAAATAGGTATAATGATGACCCTCGGCGAGGAATTCCTCGAGTGTATGCCGGTTAGCAGCAGGCATCCCATTGTCGAGAAGCTTATCTGGTATACCTTCTTCGTTGAACCAAAGGTGCCGTTTCTCCCATGACGACCACCAGGGTTCTGGGAGTTTCCCAAATAGCTGGACCATCTGCAGTAAAACATCATCCTCTTCTCCAAATCCTGCATACAAAACTTGTTTGCAGCTCCGTATTTCGTAAAGTGTACAAGCAAGTGCCCATATGTCACTTGCAGGCCCAGCTGGATTATGAAATATTATTTCTGGTGCACAGTACGACAGCGGAATGCCTAGTTCTTGAGGAGGAGCCGAAGAATCATACGACTCACCGAAGTCGATAATACAGATTTGGTCTGTTAGGTACTGCGGATTGATTGATGCAGTGTCTATTGGTCGTACCAGGTATTTTGGTGCAGAAGGTAGCTCATAGCTCTCGCCTAACGCCGTGAGAACTGGGTCCTTTTGGGGCACTCCAAACTCCTCGATGATCTCTTCCTCACTAAGACTACTGATATCTGACACTCGAAGAAGGATATTTGAGGGGCGCAAGTCTGAAATTTTGCTTAGCCTAGCTACTTATAAACCTGGGTCGTCGTAGGTGAAATCTTACCACCATGACAGATACCATGGTTGTGCAAAAATTGCAGGCCATGTACCACTTGTGGAGCAATCTTTCTAGAAAGTGTGCTGGGATCTTTGAAAGTATCCCATATTTCAGACACTCGCGGGCCTAGAACAGGCAGTACCAAACAAAGATGGTGTCCGTTTGGGCCGTCAATCCAGAAATAATCGAGAGGTATGGCAATATGTTTGCCGCCAACTTCCTCCATGTCCCAGGTCTTCCTGAGCAATTTCAGTTCGGCGCAGTCATCTTTAGATACATCTGCAATCATAATTTTTAAAGCTGTGTACACATCTTTCTCCAGGTCTCGACAGAGCCATACTGTAGCAAATCCGCCACTTCCCAGCTTGTGAATAACTTTATATTGATTGTTGTTTCCAAGTAGATCTCCAAGATGGACTGGGTGAAGCCCGCCGGCCGTGTATTGTTCGGGGTCTTCCACATCGTCGTAGATTGTAGGTTTAAATACTCGTTCGACAAATGAACCCCCGAAAGAAACAAAGGGCATTGGGGAGTCCGGTGTAGGAGAGGGGGATCCCAGCGCGCGGCCTTCAGGCAAGTCCATCGTATGTATGTGCGTCGTCAGCAGGGTGCATTGTATATTCCCTGCGCTATCCCACTGATTCCGGGACAGATTCGGATGTTAAGGTGTCTTTTGGCTGGTTGAGACTATACTCGAGTGTTGGTAATCTTAGACTACAAATTCTCTAGATTCGCTTCCGATACAGCTAATCAGCATCGCCGCTCTGCTCAGTCACATTCCTGCACTCCTTTCTAGTAGTCAAGTATAATTTACGTAGGTCATGTGATTGGGATTTCGTTAGGACTACTCAGGCATCATATAAGCGGCGTTTTCCAGTATCAATTATAGAGTTTAAGTTACTATTACTATAAAAGCTGTCAACTCAACACAACTGTGTTCGGGGGTCAAGTCGGCTCCTAAGAAGCCCAAATATGCCCCCCGTAAAATTACATTCTTCGCGCCAGTGCCTTGGGACCCAATTCGGCTCACACGCGCTCTATCGCCGTATAAGCCGGCGCCTAAAATTATGCTAGGCGTGGTAGAATGTCCGTACAATACTACAGCTTGTACATAGGCCTATACTGGTTGGGAAGGGAGGGAAAGTAAGGAAAGTTAGGTGACCGAAACAAGATATGCAAAGTAAAAGCTGGCCCACACGATATGAGCTGATTCTAAGTAACTCAAGAATATATTAAGTGATGATATGAATACTACCCATCCGTACAAAGGTAGATTCTTAGCCACAGACCCCCTAGTCTCAGTCTAGCCGTATTCTTAGTCACCCTTTCCATGCCATGAGACTATATTTATGCCAGATCTTGGAAAATTTCAGAAAAGCTGCCTCGCAAGTTATTCCAAGGGCTTTTGACCCCAAACTCGTCTCCTATTTACAGTTAGCGCTTCCTCGCACTCCAAGAACATGGCAAGCTTACGTATAATGATAGACATGCAATCCCGGTTGGGAAATCTCCTTCCTTATACGCGCCAGGTAAACCTGCACCTCATCCGCCAACCAAGGAGTAGGCTCCCCATACTTTGTCAATAAATACATAGCCCAACCCTCCAACCCCGTCTTCCAATGCTCCATATTCACTTTCCCCGCATCCTTGTACATCTTGTCCCTGGGCCAGGCGCCAATGGGGCATTTGTAGAGCTTTTCTTGCACGTTCGTGAAGCCGGCTTTTTCAATGGAGGCTTTCATGGTTAGTTGGGTGTTGAGGGGGCGGCCTGCTCGTTCAGCACAGCCGAGGAAATTGGGACCCCAGCCCGCGAGGTAGCCTTCTGGGTTTAGGGAGTCGTCGTCTGACATGATGCGGACATCAAGCTCCACTTCCTCGATCCAACCTCCTGGCAGTAAATTCCTGTAATTGAAACTTGGATTAGTGAAATGCTGTTTGGGAAGATGAAGGTGAGCGCACTCATAACATGCTTGGTATACGCCATCTCGCTCGTCAGGTGTGAAGGCGCCAAGTAGAAGGCGCAGGTGTATAAGGTCGAACTTTTTGTGCCATGTCCATTCTCGAGTTACGTCGTCAACCTGGAATACACAGTTTGGTGGACACCAGGGTGCGGGTGGGGGATAGAGGTCTATTCCATATACGGTTGCTGGAGGACTTGTCAGTATCATAGTTCTGCTGGAAAAGAAGCGACCATTGGTATATGCCTGATTGGTATTTATCGGCTGTTTCACTTGTTGAGAGTCAGTAGTGCTGAGAGGTGCGGGAGTGGGAAATATACATAGCCCATTCACCGCTGCCAGTCCCGATATCCAGGATGTTCTGTGGAGCTGATATCAGATTTGAGGTTTTGCTAACAAGGGAAGATTTTGCACCTGAGGGTTGTCGCCAACAGGCGAATGGAAAAGGTATTCTGGTTGTCCACTGTCTAGAATAAGGTACAGAAGATGCCTGGAGCTGTTAACAATGGGGTACCTACTATTTCACGGGACACCGTACCCGAGTTCAAAGGTCTCGAATTGCTTGTCATCAGATGGACCCCTTTTAGCATATCAGCGTTGAGTCCAGGACTCCCGCGAAATAGATGCACCTACCAATACTCGTGCTCTTTCATCGATTGATATCTAAGCAGTCAGAAACAATTTTAAGGGCATTGCCATTGGCACTAACTTTCTTCCATTTTCTACATATCCTCTGGTAATTTCAGAAGCGAGAGATGTTGTATCACTGTCGCATGTTAAAACGCTTAGACGCTGCATCGGGAGCTCCTCTTGGATTTTGACATACGATTGCGTGTCATCTCCGAATGCCGAGTCATCATCAAAATCATCGTCCTACAAAATTTTGAATTAGTCATTGAACTATGTAAAGGTGGATGCCGAAGCCTTTAACACTCACAACTGTAATGGTAAGGCCAGCTGGACTACCTGATGGCTCACGAGGAGGACTGATAGCTTGTGGTGACTCTGCAGTAGCTGTCTTGGGAGGAGTTATAGATCTCCTGGCTTCCCCTGGTTGTGGTTGTGTCGGTTGTGTTGTCGGCTCTGCAGTGCTTGTCTTGAGAATTGCTGCCGAAGCAGAGGATTCCTCCTGACCGGTAGGTTTTACGCCAAGAGATTGCTCTTTACCAGTTCCCTCCATGATTCTGTTGCAAGCATAAATAAGCAGATAAAGAAAGTTTTTCTTACCCCGGATGTTGAAGCGAGAGAGCCGGTAATATGACTACTGCCTTTGTATCGTAGTTCGCACGCATTGGTGGGGGGATGTCGTTCATATACGGACTAAAGGCTTGTTGTCTACGAAGGTACATAATATTAACAAAGGGGACTCCTTGGCACATCTCACTTATCCCAATATAGTAATACGGGTATTACAGGCTGTGCTTCGTATTTGCGCGACGGATTGGCATAGCTCCTCGGCCGGACCATCATACCGCTCCCCGCTCCCCACTCTCCCGCGGGCAAAAGCCCCGCGATACTACTACCAATAATATATCCTTCAGTCGTGCGTGCACGTGCAAAGTATTGGAATCCATGCAAGTGCTATGCATTTATGCACGTTAATCACCACTATTGAAAGCTCCGATGACCTGTTGCACGTGCCAAGCCAGCCTGTGGCAAGGGGACTCGAGAAAGTCCAACAAATAATCCTCTGGGAAGCACCCACGTAGGCCTCACGCGACGGAGAAATGGCTGACGGCTAGGACTACCGGTTGGCGAGCCACGAGCCACCCCTCACCTCCCACCGGGGCGACTTCCGTGGTGGATTTAACAGACGTCTAATTGGTGTGGCCCGTCCAACAATCCCCATCGCCGACTCGAGCCCCCTGCGACTCTATTGCGAGTCGGCGAGGAAGCGCAATAGGCGATACACGTGATTCCCGAACTTAATAGTCTGTCGAACTTCAAGACGGACACCAAGCACGGAAGTGGTCCCGGTGCGAGTGAGTGGTAGTCTGGGGGTTGGGGGGAGAGGGGCGGTGAGAGCCTTCATTAGGGATCTGGAACTGAATTAATTATATACTCTTTATCTGTTTTTGGGGGTGTTTTGGAACGGCTTTTGACCCTCAATCTAAACTAGTTCTAAACGTCGTCATAAATATATCCATTAAATCAACAGGCCACATGGGATATTTGCAAGGGGCCATTTACTTTTAGAACGTTGAAGAACATGTGCACCGCCCTTGCAACACGCCAGCTTGGCGCATGCGAACAGTGCATCGAGCTATAAACCCGTTCATTACTCCCTAGGTAGGTAGTCACACCACGCCACACCGCCCGGAATCCAACAAAAGCAAGGTTGCTCGGGAGTTGTTTCGCTGAATCGCTTCACGTCAAATCTCCAACCAACAACCCAACCAACAACCCAACCAACAAAACAGTACTTTCCAACATGTCTTCCCTGAAAACTCGCGTCTTTGCCGGCGTCACCATCCCAGATACTCCACTCATCGCCAAAGCTCTCGAATATACCCGCGCGCATTCGACCGATTTCGCGTTCAACCATGTGCAGCGGTCTATGCTGCTCGGTTTCATAATTGCATCGAAGATTCCCGCCCTCGCGGATCGGGATCTGGAAGTCCATGCCGTTGCGGCTATTATGCATGACATTGGTTGGGATCCTACTGGGGAATTGGTCTCCAAGGATAAAAGATTCGAGGTGGACGGAGCAGATGCCGCTCGTAATTTTTTGCGCAAGGAAGCGCCTGACTGGGATAAACATAGGCTGCAGTAAGCATACTCCAGTATTTGGTACTCTCATGTTGGAATCCTTTGCGATATTCCCAAGAACATTTATTTCGTTATTTGACCCGATTTATCTTCGATCCCGAGGAATGGTGGGGTAGGAAGATAGGGGTTTGTAGAGCGAATGCTGACCGCGTGTCCTTCCAGGCTAGTTTGGGATGCCATCGCGCTCCACACAATTGGAACCATTGTATTCCACAAGGAGGCCGAAGTCCAAGCTGTTGCATACGGCATCTGGGCGGATTTCCAAGGTCCAGACCGCATTGATGGCAACTTATTGACTTGGGACGAGTATAACGCTGTGGTTGCAGAGCTCCCTCGTCTCAACTTGATGAAGGGTCTGAAGGGAGTAATGTGTTTCTTGTGCGAGACCAAGCCGGCAACTACGCTTGATAATACTGTAGGTGAATGGGGTGACAAGTTCGTAAAGGATTATGATCGAACTGGAAAGTTGACTTCGGATTTGTTGCTCTCGTGTGATTTAGATGGAAAGACTCTCTTGGAAGATCCAAATTAAGTAAACCTTATCAATACTTTAGCTACCTATTCAGACAGCCCTTTCTTTATATTTTTTGTCGTTGGGATTAATTTTCTGAACATTACACTTGTGATGAAATAATAGGGGATCCTATTGTATGCCTGAAATAAAACCTCTAGTTCTAGTGTTGAACTGAGTATTCTTATTTATATTAGAATTTAGCACGTGGATAAGTGGACCCACCTGGGCATATAAGCTCCTGGATCTCACTCTCCTAAACACAAGAAGCAGGACCTGAGTTCTGGGGAGTTGGCAGTGGCCCAGCTAGACTGATATGATACAACTGAATTTGCTATACTTATATTTGAATACTAGATCTTGTGACTATTAGTCATCCCGAATACTACTACCTAGGTACGCCCTAAATAGTCACCCCAAAAGAATACTAAACTAGTAGTTTAGTCTTCTTCAGCTAGATGATTATATAATAATAATCCTACGACCGCGGCCACCGCTCAATTGATCCCTATGCCTTGGCTACAGTCTTTTGGTTGTTTAATCCACGGTTTCTCCTAGTATTCCTAAGGGTCCTCCTTGCTCCTCGACAGGATATACTCTAAAAACTCTAATTTCAGTATTACTAAAACTTAATAGATAATTCTTTACTTACTAGTATAATAGTATAAGAATTAGAATTGCTTCTAGTATTAAAAACCAAAATCCCGTCGCTCATCGCAGCGTAGGGGAAAGCGGTACTAAAACCTCTATAAGCAAACCTATCAGGGCAAACAATCCTTACCATCCGCCCTTAAGCTCGCCGTCTATAGATGTCCTTCACAGCACTTCCATCATTCGGCCTGCTTAGCTGGTCCGGCATCTCGACATCCCTCAGAGTCCGTTCTCCTTCTCGGTAACATATAATATTCCGAATCCAGAAGATATCCGACAGTAATGCAAACCCAGCAAACGATCTATTCCAAACCAATAAAAGTTTAGTCAGACTCCAGCTTGTAATATCAAAGTCCAGTTCTTCTTACACGTATATATACAGTGTCACCCGATATGGATGGTATATTTTGATCCAATGGTGTTGATTCCTCACCTCCTGCTCATTTTGAGAGGGCTCAAGTCTGTCAAAAGATACTGTTTGTGGCGCGCAGATCGTTATCCAAAGCCCGAAGGCGAAGACGGCCGCGTCCACAATGGAACTCAGAAATGCCATTCCTGGGACGAGTTGATTGTAGCGGGGGTGATTGATCAATTTGCGGCCTCCGATATTACCGTTTAGACGCATCCATTTGATGAAGAGTGTTAAGAATAAACAATACACAACCAAGGTACTGATGGACTAGTTGCGATCATAAGTTACAAGATCAACTTCATTGATTACTGCTGAAAATTACTTCGGTGTAGACTTACGATCCTCAATGTCCAACAGTAAACAGACAATGTAAGATCTGCCTCGTTGACTGCGGCTGATGGGATGATAGAGATGCCACAGAGAGCCGTCAAGACAACCGAAATCAACCAGAGGAGTACATGTGGCAACAGCCATAGTACCCAGGCCCAGGGGCGCGACGAAAAGCCCATGGCCGCCTTGGATCTCGCAAGATTCTTAGTAGCTGGAGACGAGAAAGGAGTGCACAGAATAGCCACTGAACGGTTCCGACTTGTCCAAGATATATATTCCGTCACAACATCCCGGAATCGTACGCTATGCGCCAGAGCCAAGTATATATGGTATATGGATTCTCCACAGAATTCTATCAGTTCCTGTGAGGTCGGGCGGTTAGAAGGGAATCTCAGTTGAAGTTATAATGTGCATCGCGGGAGCACTGGTGAAGATCGTGGACTTTGAGGTTCTGCACAGCCTCACCAGGTGACCTACCGCCGGCTTAAGAAATCATAACGCCGCCTTTACTCGTATTTACCCCGCAGCCTCGTTTCCCAGACTTATATATAATAGCCATGTCTTTTGGATTCTCAGTCGGCGACTTCATTGCATTGGGGTCACTAATCGCAGATATCGCCAGCAGTCTTCGAGAAGCAGGTGGTTCGAAATCCGAATACCAAGAGATTCTTCGTGAGCTCGAGGGACTCGAACATGCCCTCTCCCACCTAGACAAGCTTCAGTCTGGCGACGCATGTTCTACGAGCATCGCCTCGATCAAATACGCAGCTCTGAGCTGCAGAAGGCCACTTGAACAATTCCTCAACAAGATCAAGAAATATGACAGTGCACTTGGTGTATGGAGCAAGGCAGGGACGATCAGGAGCGCCGCAGACAAATTGAAATGGGCATACACGCAAAAAGACGAGACAAGGAAGCTTCAGATCTATTTGAATATTCATGTTGGGACGATCAATATTTTGCTAGCTGAGCATGGATTAGAGAGGATGGATATTGCGTCTGAGAGGAGTGAGAGGGACCAGCTGCAAATACGGGATAGGCTTGAAAATACTCAAAAGGTTATCGAGCGGATCCATAGTAGCGCTCAAGCTCAGGCTCAGGCTGTGGCGGTAGCCAACTCTATGTTAGGGAAGCTTTTTCAGACGGTCAGCGGCGAGGTCATAACATCTTTAAAGTCGCTTGCTGGTATAGTATCGAAAGTGTGGTAGGTTCTTGTGTCTATGTTGCATCATCGTCTCTATTATTGCACAACTGGCTGACTCTTACTTGAATTAGTATTTCTACTCAGCAAATATACAAAGTTGTCCTTGAGATTAAAAGCGCCATCGATCCTGGAGATATGAGATGGACTTACTTTCAAGCACCTCTGATCGTAGAGGATGCCCTGGGATTCAAATTTCCTGTCCCTTCGGAATACGACTACGGCTTGCTTGACACCATTATTAAGCATAGATTTCTAGAAGGTCCTGGCTCGTTGGATGTCAACCTGGGAAATTACGAACTGTTTTACGCCAGGGACAGCAGCCAAGTCATTTCTGCCCAAGTAAGACTATTGCCAGGAACTAGTATCACTATGGCTATCCTTGTCGGGAGAACGGGGCTGTCTGACCAGGAATGCCCTATGTCACGGTGTAAATCCAATCGAACAACCGCCGCCCCAGGAGGTGGCCAGATCTGGTAAGTTCGTTCCATGCTCAGTGAAGTTAGAGAGAGGTTTAAATTGAAATTCGATGCAGCTGTGAATGTAAAGTTTTTTTCGATAAGTCGAGCAAGAAGCGAAGGATTTTTCAAGATCTCTCAGACAGTATCAGCCAGCACAGTAACAAAGTAAGACCAGGAAAGCGGAAATCCGACTTCAACCATGATGCAAGGAAACGTCTCAAAACATCCAGCGGAGAGGTTAACGTACACTCATTCAAGAATGTGAGATGGACTGTAGAGTACGTACCTTTGAAAGACGTAGTAGGCGATCAAGTGGTGGTCACAGCTCTTGCGGATCTCTTCCATGCCAGAGAGTTTAATAGGGCAAGCAGGTCGGTGCATTTAGTCGGTTCAATGCCGGCCGATATGCTTCGGTATTTGTCCAGGGTTCGTTACACCAGCCGGTTCGATTTGATGTAGCATTGTATGTTCGAGGCTCTCCCAGTAGGGAGGCCTCTGAAAGGGCTTTACTGGCGCGGTTGCTCATAAGGCAGTACCTCCGTACCTTATATAGAGACGGGGGATAGGGATTGGAACGACTAAGTAGCAATTCTGTGCAAAACTAGACACGTGGCTGCCTATGGAAACTTCTAAAAAGAAAGCCACACTGCGCCACACTTTTACGTGACATATAAAATACGTCTTATAAAATACGACTGGCGTGGCTATGAATATAATATGAGGTAAGAGCGATCTTCCTGGCTTATTAAGATGCTTAACATTTTGTGTACGTCCCACTTTTGTCCGGATAAATCCGGCTGGCAGGTTTCTTTATACTCCATTTCTTCAATCCTTAAAGTTATATTTGCACTTGATAAAAGCTCTATACCACGGCCCCGAAATCCGGGGATAGGTCGATAGTCATAACAGAGTAGGGGGTAATAGCTATTGCAGCTTTTAACGCTTTTAACAATTTTTCGACAGTATAGCCAAACTGTAATGATATTCCGACTACAGGTCAAGCCCTTGTAGAGAAATAGCTAAAGAACAATAGCAAACTAAATATAACTTTCTATATTTACGTGGTGGAGATTTAGGACCCCCAAACCATAAAGTTTTTTCGGCACACAGGGTTTTTCGGCACGCAGGGATGGACGTTATTTACTTGTCCACGGAATTCGGGGTTGTGATATAGAGCTTCTGTTATATTTAAATGCAGCTCCAAATTTTGAAGACACAAAGCATAAGGAGACCTACCTGCCGGGTTTATCCGGACAAAGGCAGGAGTTGCACAAAATGCCGCGTCTTAATAAGCGAGGAAGGATTTATCGCCATAACCTAATATTGTATTCACAGCCACGCTAGTCGTATTTTATTACGCATTATATAAATGTCACGTGAAAATGTATCCGGAGATTTTGCACGTGAATTTATAATTCCACGTCGGGATTTGCTGACATCGCCCGCTGAATATCGTTTTCACATGAGAGGAAAGGACTTCTGCCTGAGGATTGACGAGATAATGTTAGAACATTCTAACAACATAGTTTCTGAATAGCATCTTCTGCTTGTGCTTCCTCCCAAGCCTGACTTACTCCATCGTTACTACACCATCTATACATTCATTGACAGGGCACTTCATTGACGGTGTGTAGATTTTATTGGCAAGTTATGGCTTACAACGGAACGAGATGTGATAGACCTCTTTGAGAGATACCCTTCGCTTTTGGTCTGCCATGATTGCTGAAACAGCTTTTTCAACACTAGCGACTTCCTTCGCGTATGTACTGCCAAGGAGGAAGAGATAGACCTCGACCGCGATGTCGTCTACTGCCAGAAGACCGTACGTCACATTAACGAGTCAGCGGATAAGGGATGCAATTGGTGTAAATGTATTCAAAAAGCATACATGTTAGACCACGCCACAATCGAAGGATTTATAGACCCAGACGACGGTTGTACTATTAGCCTAAGTCGAGATTCTTTGTACGAACCCACGCCAACAGGCCACAATAGCTATCGACTCTCTCTACGTCACAGAAACCTTGCGTCGGACTCGGCCTGTCGTCATCTGTTTGCTTTCACTAGTCATAGTACCATCACAGCGTCGCTTGTCACGGCACGACCCCGTCAGGCCATACTAGACACGCCCGCAGCTGTGCAAGAGATGAGAACCTGGCTCGCAGAATGTCGCCTTCATGACTGCTGTCCCTTGGACAATGATGTGGTCTTACCAACACGGGTAATAGAAATCTCACCTGCTGCTTCCCCGGATTCTCCACGAATACTGGTCACGAATGGCTGCCAAGGTCAATATGCAGCTCTGTCATACTGCTGGGGAAAAAGGCCATACGGACATCTTCAAAACTCGAACCTGGATAAGTATACAAGTCGTCTGGATGTTTTAGCTCTGCCCCAAACCCTTCGAGAAGCGATCAAGGTTGTAAAAGACCTCGGAATTCCCTACCTGTGGATCGATGCGCTATGTATTATCCAAGACTCGGATACCGACAAGCAACACGAAATGGCTACTATGCAATGGATTTATAAAAATGCTCTTATTACTATAGTCGTCGCTCGGTCTAACGATGTGACAAATGGCTTTCTTCAACCATGCCATCAACTGTGGACCGCTTATACCATCCCGTTCAGGGTATCATCAAACTTATTTGGAACCGTCTCGTTCTCAGCCATGGAGGAGATACACCACGAAGAGTCCCTCGAGCCTATAAATGGTCAGTGATCCGTTATACAAGTCAAAATGCGAAACACTCACTAACTTGCTCTATTGGCATATGTAGACCGCGGTTGGACCTTACAGGAGCAAATCTTATCAACTCGATCCCTCTACTTTGCTTCACACACTCTTCAGTGGCGATGTTCACGAGGAGTGCAAAATTTGGGCGGATCATTGCACCTCACCAGATGGCTAGAGAAATCCATACAAGATATGAAGTATGGAGCATTATACCCCTTCCAGAGCAACCTCGAGTGCTGGGCGGAAATTGTCCAAAACTACTCTAGACGTTCCATGGCTCTTTTGAGCGACAAATTAAACGGTATCGCTGCAGTCGCACAAGACTTTGCACCAATGCTAGGTCCGCACTATTACGCCGGGATTTGGGGGAAATCTCTACTCTCGCAGCTTCTGTGGTCCAGCTATACCAATCCTCCACAACCGCTCGCGTACCGCGCTCCATCGTGGTCCTGGGCTTCGCGCGACGGTGGAGTGCACATGAACATAGTGGCATCACGACTAGCTGAAATCGATATTGAGATATGCAGCATTGTTCGAGTCTCGATGAATCTGAGGGTCAACACATCGCCCTTTGGTGAAATTTTCTCAGCTTCAATTGAATTGAGAGGTCAATTGCGACGAGCGTGTTTACAAAGGTCTCCGCAGGAGAGCATCCATGATAAAATGGTTCTGAGACTGGCATGGGTAGATGAAGGCGAGCGGGCATCTAAGGATCAAAGAACCCTTTTAACGACGGAAGGCTTCCATCTCGATAATTACGACGGCCTTGACCTTCCTACAGAGGTTTGGGGTATGCCACTTATGACGAACCGCGATGGGATTGTGAGCGGACTGTTGCTTGTACCGACAGTTGAAGATTCATATAAAAGAGTTGGAATCTTTTCCAATATAACGTTACCATTATTCGATCAGCTACATGAAGTAGAGATTACAATCGTATAGGGCTATAGTCGAAACGCTATCATAGCTTGGATCTGCTCATGTTGCGACTTTCCAGGTGGCCCTATAGAGAAGGCTTTATTAGTTCGCCTTGCACAAAGATACATTGTTGATGTCTTCTCCGCGGCAACATTCAGCTCGGATTTTATTGCGTTGTCGGTATCGACGTTATATCTTACGAAATGAATCATTCAAAGCTCAGTCTTAACCCACGACTCGAGGTTATTTGCAACGTCTGTGCGAAGTTCGAGAGGGAATGTAACATTTACTTGACATCGAGGTCTCCGGAGAACGTCCACAAAACCCCAGACTGGTACTTCAAGGTCCATGACAATTTCACGGACCTGCAAAAGTGTGCTCGGAAAGGATGTGCTTTGTGTATCGTCTTGCGAAAAGCTCTCCTCCAAGGGTGTTTATCCAAGGAGAGCCTCACGCAACTCGACAAATGCAAAGCTCCCGTTGAATTAAGCCGTCCAACTCCTTTGAACGAAAATAATACACTCCGCTGGGACCCACGATTCCATATCGATGTTAAAGTCACAGAACAACCTCGACTGGAATTGGTAGCTCGGATTTTTCTGGGCCGCACTCCCAATGTCCGGCAAATAGCCTTAAATGCAAGAGACAAAGCTGTATTCACACTCGCCAAGCAATGGATTCACCGATGCACCGAACACCATCATAGGTGCACGGAACGAATGGAAATAGAGCATTATGGGAACAATCCAGCGCGATTGCTCGATCTCGGAATCCACTCATCGTCTCGGGTCAAACTGGTCACCTCTCCCACCAACCGCTTAGAGCCCTACGCAGCTCTGAGTTACTGTTGGGGCAAGTTCGAAAACAACAAAACGACAATGGATAGCATTGACGAATATAGGAATGGTGTTGATCTAGCGAGGTTTGGGGGCACTTTGCACGATGCCATCGTGCTCACGAGACAGCTCGAAATCAGATATCTGTGGATCGATGCTTTGTGCATCATCCAGGCAGGTGACGGCGGCAAAGACTTCGCGAGAGAATCTGTCAGGATGCACAAGGTATATGGGAATGCTCTTGTGACGGTGTCAATCTGCTCGAGCGATAGCTCGGAGACGAACTTTCTCGTCGCTCGCGAGTCGGAAGGGATGAAGACCAGGCGCTGCTCGCTTCTTGGTTATAAGATATCGCTTCCGGGAAAGACAATCAAGCAGATCCGTGCTGGCTGTCCTTTGATGAGTCGTGGTTGGACTTTTCAAGAGGAGTTGCTCTCTCCGAGGGTGCTGTATTGGTATGTAGCATTCTGACCACCTCACATTTCTTCTCGCGCAATTTGTTAAGCTCGTGGCCTTAAGAAGCTGGGGCCAGACTGTAAGTGCGATATTCCGCTTCTTTTATGGGCTTCAATTAACATCGAGTACTCTCAGGTCCAATCAAGGTATCTTCTGGGCATGCTGGACGGAACAAGATTCAGAAAACGACCCTTCTAGAAAGGAAACTTGGCGATCGGACCCTACTTGGAAGACCATAGTAGAAGATTACGCCGCTCGAGATCTGACAAAGGCCGAGGACCGACTGACGGCACTCTCTGGAGTTGCCTCCCGTCATGCTCAGTCGGACTTGACGGATAGATATGTAGCAGGGCATTGGCTAAAGAGTCTGCCACCAAGCCTTCTATGGACTGTTACTAAACCTATACAGCAAACTGATTGTTTATCGACGGAGCAGTATATCGCGCCTTCATGGTCTTGGGCATCGATTCCACCCGGCATGCAAATCAAATTCCCAGAGGTATATTCACGGACACCTGATCCTCCAGTACGGATGAAAGTTGTCCTACATGGTACCGACCCGATAGGACCTATCAAGAGTGCTTCAATAACTCTCAAGAACGTCACTAGACCACTGTTACTCCCCGGCGTCGAGCAGATCCCCTGGCCGGAGGCAGTAGAAGATGGTAACAAAGAAATCTACCCGAGTCTTTTCCTCTCTCGACTCACGTATTCCGTGGATGCGGTAAAAGGCACTGTCATGGTGTCTGCGGGGAAAAGACAGTGGGCTATTATAAAGATAGACAGGATGCCTATGCCGGACCTACAGAATACAGTGTGTTTTCGGATCGAGAAGGGATTTCTTCTTTTAAAGCAAGACCATTTAAGTAGTGTGGAGAATTCCTTCTCTCGCTTAGGTTGCTGTTCTCATACGGAGTGGGAGGGCTTTTTTAAGGTCGAAGAAGCGGTCCAGTCTGAGGTCATACTTGTGTAATGATAGTATACGGAGGTACAGCCTATGATACACTCGTTGCACTAATCCCTAAATCACTCTCACTAATGCAAAATTCATGAACATCTATCGAATCCTCCTTCTCTTTTACGCTGCCCATACAGTACACTATCTGCTATAGTAATTTTGAAAGATGGGGGAAAAGGAAAAGAAGGCAGAAAAGTATGCTGAACGTCCGCCTATCCCACCTGTTACCACCCCCGATGATATGCGAAAGCGCTTATATATAAGGCTAGTTTATTCCTGAGATAGTTAGTTCTATTTCTGGCTAGACTAGAGCATTATAAAGCGACCGTATGACTGTTCTTGTGGGCTCAACAAAAGAAGCTTTTCAAATTCCACAGGATCTTTTGGTCCAGTACTCAAAGCCCCTAAGAAGGATGTGCTCTTCGGGCTTCGTTGAATCCGGCACAAGAATTATACGACTACCCGGAGTAGAGGTATCGATGTTCGAGGGTTTTCTAGTCTAGCCCTATGCCTACGAGCCTAAGATAGACGAGTGCAAGTCTGGAGACGCCTTTATTGGCTTTGCTGTTTTTAGTCGGTTTTTTAAGGTTCTTTATTAAAGAGTAATTCCCCTTTTTTTTTTAATATTCTGTTTCTTTCTTTAATATTCTCTTTCTTATAATAATTCAAGCTATTTTATTTAGCCTATTTTTGTAGGTATTTATTGGGAGATTCCTGGTGTGAGGATCCCAGGTGGCTCGGAGGATGTAATGCTGGACCTGTCAATTCGGCAGATGATTAAGAACTTCTAGAAGAAGCTGAAGACGCTGGATGGGTCGAAGATTTGAGTGAGTAGGACAGAACAGTCAGGACGAGGGGGTAGCAAGGACTTCTTCGGGGTGAGTGTATGATGGTGCTATTTAGAATCTCCCACATACAGATCAGCGAATGAAGAAGCACGTACTATCATTCACTGCCCCTTAAACTCTTAGATTGAAAAGTACAATCTCACGACACAGAATTTGTACTTAAATAAGCAAAACATCTTCAATGGCGTATTCTATACAAAGCTCATGCTATATTTGCCCACAAAACACATCACCGTTTAACAAACCTATATAATCGCACAAAGCAACCTAACACCCCACCCCCATCCACAGCAGAGGCTTCTCGCAATGCATCTTGGCCTGTGCCGCTTCCTAGACATTGTTGCCCGACTTCATCCCCCCGACGAATAGCGCGGATGAGACTATCATAGACCTTCCTGACCGTATGCTCCCTCTTCGCGGACGCCTCAAAGAAACAGCATCCGAGGCTCTTTGCGAGCTGGACGCCCTCAGCGTAGGAGATCTCTCGCGCTGCATGTTGGTCTATTTTATTCCCCACTAGGCAAATGGGGATCGTTATTCTGTGTGGGCTCTGTGGCAAGATGCTCGCATACTTATGTCCTCCGCCTAGATTAGAAGCTGCGGCCAGGACGTCCAATATCGCGCTGTGAAGCCTGGCAACCTGCATGAGGGTCTCGCGTGATGTGACAGAATACATTAGGATTGCGGCATCGGCCTCGAGAACTTGCTGCTTCCAATACTTCTTTGCCCATTCCCGGTCAGCGGCATCCGTCGTCGAGATGGGGTCTAACGATTGTATTAAACAGGCTCGGTCGTCTACAATGACTTGTTTCCTGACTTTTTCGCTGCAGGCGGTCGGCTCAATATGCTCAATAAAACTATTCAGTTCAAACTAATCGGCATTTAGTATTGGAGTGGTGACGCAGGTGTGATTATCCCACTACAGTTTAAGCAGCAGGAGCAGTGTAGACTGAACACTACAATACATACCTGGTGGATGAATGTTGCTTTGCCAACACCGGCCCCGCCAACCACAACAATATTGTAACTTTCGAAACTTCCCTTCATTGGTTTGCCTTTAAATCGACGGACCAACAACGAAGCCAAGGAACGACACGGATACAATGAACTTGTGGACGAGCCGTAGCGTTCACCATCGCTGGCACACGACTGGGCTGGATCCAATTGTGCTAGGGAAGTATTTGTGGCAGCCCGCGGTTTGTAGCACGCCCCCCGCTCCAGAACACCCGCGTGCCAGCACAGTTGGGTCAGCACGCTGCCCGTGACAAAACAAAACACATGTGCCCACCCAGGAACTTTGACCCGTTTAGGCTGTGACAGATGCTGTGCTAGTAGTGTAGTGTAGTGTAGTGGGTGAGATTCCCGGCCTCCACTGATAACCCATGGGATGACGAAAATACGCGACACAGGTGTGAGATACCCAACTTTGTAGCAGATAAAGGCGTGGTCGAAAGTGGGGGGCTTCTTTCCAGCCCTAAAGCACCCCTGGCGGCTCGTCCCTGCTGTAAGCCATACCCCAGAAACAGGGGCCACAACCCCACTATGTCTTGGCCAACGTGCGGATGAACAAAGCCCTCGTTCATTCAAAGGGTTGAAACACCTGAGGATTAAATCAACTTACTTTAAAAGATAACGCTAACTCTATCATGTCTATTCAACTGCCACGCCGAATATCACTCTCTCCACACCCCAGATGCCTTCAGCGGCTTCGCAAAGTCACGCGGCAACCTGATGTACTTGGGCGGAAACGGTTTTTACTGAGTCGCCAACGTCGATTTGCTTGGGGTTTCAATGTTATCAAGTCTGATGAAGCCCTTGGTGCGAATGGCGTCGGTGGCGGTGCTGCGGTGATGAAATTGATCTCCTGGATTTTGATCTCGGGACACCGACTAAATACAGCGCTGCTGTCGAGTAGCGAGCAGCATGATGATAGCTATGGGCTTTTCAATGAGCAGATGTTCCCGATGGTGAATACCCTGGGTACGCTGTGGAACCGGGGTAGAAGCGATATTACGTATTACGATACCGCGGGAGGCGGCGTATTCGCGGTTGGTTGTATCAACTAGTATAGTAGTTTTGCCTGGGGTACATATGATAACAATGTAGCTAAGATAGTCGACAATGAAGTGAGGAAGTTTGTAGGAAGTTAAAGAAGTAGTAAGCAGAAGCCAAGCGCTACAAAGTAGCATAAATTACTTATCTAGCACTAAAACTGTCTTTCACGTGACGAGTCTAGTTTTGGTCCCAAGAGTTGTTTGAGCACCTAGATCTTATCAAACAAATAACAAAATTTCAGGATCCGTATTTAGTCAAACTAGCCAACATAAGCCACCTTTGACGCGTCAAATACCCCTGTCGCTATCCTTTGGCTAGGCACGTAGACACTGTAGCCTCAGCGCAATTCCTCTATTATCGCCATTTAATCATCCAAGAGATGGCAACGAACTGACTTGAAATACACATGAGTAATTTCGTAGTCTCCCGGATAGAATCTATCAACTTCATCATTGCAGCCTCGACCACTATACGATATTAGCAAGTTACTACAAATGTCTATAGCATAGGAGTCGCGACGCACTAATATAATTCGCATTCAAAGGGATCAGTCACCTGTAGAGTATTGTAGATTGGCCTATTATTTGTCAGTATCTTAGAGCTTTGTAGATATTTGGATTGATGTAGGCTTACTGCCATTGCTGAAAATTGATGCAGATATGCGTCTTGACATCGAATATTTCCCCACTATGGGTTGAAAATGTCGCCTGCATTAAATCACTATTAGCTGTCTTTATTTCTTTCTGTGAGAAGCTATACAGGGTCTTACCAGAATATGTGGGCCTTGAGCAGCAGCTAAGGAAGCAAAGACAGAAAGTGGGAGAACCTTGGAAAAAAGCATTTTTGGGTAAGGTTGTTTTGAAGGTAGGTTGAAGAGTGCTGTTGAAGAGTAAAAATCCAACGGGAAGTATACTGGTATTATAACTAGTGAATTCATTCAGTTATGTGCTGTTTTGCCTCAGCTTACTGTTTGCAGGTAGACTGAGGCCCGAGACAAAGTCGACCATTGTTGTCTCAGCATTTATCGACCCTGTTCCTTCAGCAGCTCTCGAGCATAGTTTTCTTAGCTGATCTTCCCAAATCCATCACCGGCCGTTATTGTCTCGGCAGTTATGTTGAAAAGTCTCACCGACTATGTTACACTACAAAATGCCACTGGCCGGCATGTAATAATAGCCGCGATGAGAGGTTGGTTAGTCACGCCTTATTTTAAGAGCTCAGCGGACTGCGCTAGTATTACAATTCACAAAATGCATTTTTGATTCGGCTGCACCCTTAGTACTCGGGCCATTATTACATGCCGGCCAGTGGCACTTTGCAATGTAACATAATCGGCGAAACTTTTCGACATAACTTCTGAGACAGCAACAGGCGGTGGTAGATTTGGAAAATCAGCTAAGAAAACTACGGTTGTGAAACCTGCTCATAGTCCGGCCGGTTACCCAATAGAGTCAGCCAACTGCTTGGAAAAATTACCCATCCTAATTCGTCTTTGCCGAACGACGGTTTGCCCTGAACAGCGCGGAAACGTGCAAGAGGTGTTGTGTGATGTTGGCAGGGAATCTCAGGAAGATTTGCACAATCCACTGTAGGGACTTATAATGGGAAATTTCGTGTTGATCTGGTGTTGCCGTTGCTGCTGAACCCCTGAGACATCACCAATCTCTTCACGTAGCAAGACTGTGGCTGCCGTACCCTGCGCTGTACTGAGACCCGTATCGCCGGTTTTAACTCGGCCTTTCGCTGAGCGACATACCGACAAATATCGGACTCTGATCTCGTTTCTTTAGAGACAAGCTGTAGCTAGAACATTTTTGAGCCCAAACTTTTGACTTATTAGACAGACAGAAATACTAGAATTTCCGGGTGAAACCGCTGTGTGTTGATTTCATCTGACGTGGTCGACAGTCTGTAGGACACTGTAAGACAATAGTGTCAATGTTCCGTTATCCCCGATGGATAATAGACCTATATAGATATTGTAAGGTGAGGTCAGAAGAGTTCCAAAAGTACTCTTCCGACTTCTAAATAATAGCTGGATAATTACTATAAGACAAGACATCTATAGGTAGACAGGTAGATAGATAGCTAACATAGGACTACATTTACGCCTGATGATGGTGGGTCAATGTGAGAAACTAACCCAGTGCATCATTGCCATAGTCCCGTTGTCTCGCTGTGCCATGCCTCACTATGCCGTGTCTCGCTGTGCCGGGTCTCGCTGTACTGCTGTTAATTTCGGTACTGCTTTTCCGCCTACTCCAAGACCTAACTACTACCATACCCTCCCCAGCCCGGGCAGTTAGAATGGTAAAGACAAGACATTTCATAATAGTAAAAAGGTATATAAAGGGTGGAAGCCCTCATTTCCTACCCATTTTATAAAGCGAGATATATCAACCTCTTTTAGCGCTTCCAGTATCATCTTAACTATCATCATGAAAGCTGTCGTTGTGTTATCGGCCTTAATAGCAGTCGTTGCTGCATGCGGAGACAACTCTTTCAGGTGCCATTGTGGAAGCAACGATCTCAACTGGAAGTACACCAAAGAAGTTTGTGATAGCATGGGCAAGAACGACTGCTATTGCTGGGGTAACATGAAATATTATTGTGAGGACGTCGATCGAAGAAAATTCCTATCGGAGTGCGAGAAGAAGGGATGTCAAGGCGTTAGAGAATGTTAGAGAATACATGTAAGTTGCAATACCTTCCTCTATATTTAACTAAGCTTACAAAGGCATGGTTTAGCGATTAAACGGCTGTCGTTATAGCCTCGCCAATGTTATTGCCTCGCATTAAAAGTCCAAAGGCGGATCGAACATTAGCAATAACATTTGAACCTCTTGGAGAATAACATTGTGGCGGTTCTTGCGTTTATGTCCTACCTCGTGCAGTACTCTTATCCTTAGCTTACACCCTCTTTAATAAATCTGATATCGGTTCTTCCAGTTCCATGCGTTATATTTCGGCTCTGAGATCTAGGCACAAAGTTCAATGTGCCCCGGCTGAAAGTGATCACGATACTGGCAAACCCAGGGACAGGAAGCATCGTAAATTATTTCGACGTCAAGGGCGCGGGTTTCTGGAAGCCACAGCCTTTGGTTCACCGGGAGTATTTCGCCTCCTAATCCCTCAGAAGATGCAATGTAAGGGGCGACTCGATGCGCCGCTCTCAATAGTTCCTCCACTGTACTTCTTCGAGTTCGGGCTGCCGAAGTTTAGATGGTTGTATTATGCTTACCTCTCCATCTGTTATATCTACTACGAATACTATCCAAAGCTATTAGTTATTCGCTCTATTTACAACTACTTGAGATTACCTAACTTCCGATTGATCTTGTCGCTTTAATAATAATAAATAAATATTATATTAGAAAATTTAATTAGTTAAGCTAGAACCCAAACTATCTCGATACTAGGAATAAGCTTTACTATAATACTTATATCAAACAAAGGTAGTGCAACGGTCTGCCGATTATCTCTTCTACAAGAGGGTAACTGGTGTGCGTAAGGTTTCGATTGCGTATCAAAGTAATGCAGTGATCACTATAATGATCACAAAGATGAAGTAGGTGAGTAAGTCAAAGTTGTAATCAAGTTCATTAATCAAGTTGAGCACAAAGCTCCTCTCTAGTAAGGAAATACGGTGGCTTATATAGAACCTTTACACTCCTAGATCTATCACTGACCGACCGTCCCGTGACTCTTGGTCTTGATCTCCTGTCAACCAGTAGTTGTCTGAGCCTAAGGTCCCAATGATAAGTCTTGCAATCGTAACATTCGGCTCCTGCTGCATAATCATGGGACCCCCCTACCACACCCGGGACAGACTGTAAAAGCCTCCGTAAGCCTTGATTAAGCTTTGCGCAAAGCCCGTGCGGTCGCTAGGAGAGTCTGCGGCGCATCAACATGTTGAATATAACAGCGCTGATCTAGAACTTAGATGGTGTCGGTTCCTTGTTCTGCTTCTCCTTGCCTTTCCGTTCTAGGACCTTGACCGTTTCAGCGTATATATGTTGCATTCTCCTTGCCGCGTAGTCTTCGATGTCAAAGCCACGAAGATCCAGTCCGATGGGGCCGTCGAGATCGAGACCGCGTGATCTCTCTGTGAGAATGAGATAGTCGCGGGTGTGAATACGGTATAAGTCGGCTAATTCACTCTGCTCGGCGGAGGGATTGGTCGTACAGGCAACAACCGGAAGCCTGCGCCTCCAGCGGTCGGGTACCGCACAGTGAATGTCTTGAAGGAATTGATTGAATGTTCTGGGCACAAAGAGTTGCGCCGAAGCGTTGACTACCCCGATCGTGCCGCGCTGGATGTGCTGGAGGATGACGTTGGATACAAGGTCCACTGGAATCTCGTCGACAACATTCTGTCCAAATAAGGAGGCATCTTCGACTCCGAACAGAACGGTGCCGCCTACCGGATACATCAACCGTGAACTCCAGCTACTCATAGGGCAGGCTGACATCGGCATGTAGAGTGCGTATGGTTCTTTGATGGCCGGCCCAATTTGGCTGGGCCGAACAATGAGAAGCGGCAAACGGCGAGAGAATCGCTCCGTCAGAAGGACTTCCATGAGGCGTTTCGACTTTCCATATGGCCAGAGAAACTCGCTCGAGTCATCGGACCGCCCCGAAATAACATCTTCAAGAACCTGGTGCGCGCTGCTTGACATTGGGTAGATTCTTTCTTCTACCGTCCCTCCCGACTTATCGGTCAGAGCATAGGCGGTAGACACCTGGAGAAAGCACTGAAGTTTGGCGAATTTGAGGGCCATGCCAGCCAGTTCCAACGCTGGGAGGCAATTGACCATAACTATATCTCGGAGATTCATTCGTAGGCTGATACTTGCCGCGGAGTTGATCACAACCGTGACCTCCTGCTCCATCTCGCCGAGGAGAGTTTCGTCGATGCCAAACTGCGGCATTGTCAAATCACCTTGAACAAGGTGAACTTGTCCATTCCGCAAGATCTCATCAACTTGGTTTGGGATCGTTTTTTGCCACGTTTTGAAGGCCTCGTCAGGTGTCTTTCGAATGAGAACGTAGATTTTCGGAACTTGTAGCACCACAGTGAGCTTGTACAAGAGACAGGCACCCAGGCCCCCGGTGGAGCCCGTAACGAACACAACCTGTCTTGAGAAGAAATCCATTCTATTGAAGCAATGGCTAGTTGGCAGCCCCAGTATGGTCAATGGAGGACTCAGTCACTAGCGTAGGACCTGCGGAGCGTATCAGCGATATATATAATTCATCCAAGGCTCGTCGGCGCTAGTTGCTCGGAAACACCGTCTACGCTTCAGCCGGTACTATCGATACTCAGGTCACTTATTTAGTCAGCCAATCAAATTTGGGGATAAGGGAGTTACTCCGTGCTATTTCGTTGGTAAATACGACGAGCGTAAATATCTACATTTTCATTCCAACCTGCATGCAATTTGCAACCCTATAGTGCCAACTACCCGCCATTCCCAAGGTTTCCACCTTTCTCGAGTGATCGATAGTAGTGGAAACCGAATGCTGCCACAACCACGGATGTGTCTATAGCGTAATACAACGTCGTATCGTTAGCATTAATGTGACCGGACGGATGTTGCTCGGTTGGCTACTTGCGGGCTATGCAGGCAGGCAACTGCAGTGTACGATGGGAGTTGCTAAGCCGGTTGGTCAATTTCGCCTATTAGTCAATGGGCCCTCGAATTACGGAAGTCAATATACCACCCCATACCTCAAGTCAATATATATTGACTTGAGGGCCACCCCATTACCCAATATTGATGTATCGGATATATTACCACCCTATCAGTAAATTTAATACACAGATCGAGCGCAGTATTTGGCAGGTAGATAAATGATCACGCGCCAGTTGAGTCGGTTTTCGACATCAAAGTGATGCTCTAGAAGCAAGAATATCCTACTTATTTTCATCTGTATATCCAGTATACGTCCATTAAGCCTATATAGCCCGCTCCACGGCCTTGGGGCCTGCCATACTAAGACTAGGAGGTTCACTTTCCCAACGCTTGAGCTATTACTCTCAAGGCTCGTGGAGCATCATCTTTAGGCATATGTAACTCGACCAATTGCAAGACATTGCACTCATTGAATTCCTTATCTTCAAAGAGTTTAGTGACCCCGTCTTTGCTTTTTACTTGGTAGGATTTGTAGAAGCCCTCCTTAGCACCAAATGCCTTGATAATATTCTTAAACAACCAAGGTTGGATGTTATTGTAACTAGCATGCATGCCATGGATAAAGCGCTCTGTTGTATACCCTTCGTTGCAGATGATGAAACTACATACGTTGATAAGTAGTAAATATGCATTACATAGGTGAACTTACATGATGGGCTTTAGCCCCAGACGAATTATAGTCGAGATCTCCTGGCAAGTAAGTTGGAACGACCCATCCCCGACAAAGAGGAGAATTCGCCGGTCCTCATCTCCAGAGTCACGTGCAGCAAGAGCAGCTCCCTGGCAAGCGCCAACAGAATATCCAATACTGCCCCAGAGAATTTGGCTAAGAGTACAAACACCCTTGGGAAACTTGGTGTCTAGTATACCGAAACTCGGAGACCCAGTCTCTGTGATAACAATATCGTTTGCCTTCAAGAAGCTGCTTACTTTAGACCAGAACCAGGTATGAGTGATATTAGGCGATCCGTCATTGTGCTCTTTAACTATCTTGGGTGCCGGATTTGTATGGACTGGGAGTTTGGATAGGTCGACCTGGTTAGAGATTCTCCGGAGAACGTCTCTCATTTTAATTCCTATATAGCTTGAATATCCCACTCTAATATGTGTGCCGTAGAACTCGATAACCTTTTGCTGGGTTATCTTAGATGAAAAGCCTGCAGTGTTTATATCGCTCTAGAATACCAGCGATTAATATTGCCCCACTCTAAAGTTTTATCTTTAGTTTGCCTACCTTAACTGGTCCGATCATTAAAACCAGATCAGAGGACTCGACACGCTTTTGAACCTCGGGCTGGCTGCCATCCCCGGCGTAGAGTCCCCCATAGTTCTCATCCGTCTCATCTACAGCTCCTTTGCCCATAGGGGTGACGAAGACCGGCAATCTTGTCTTGTTGATGAGCAAATGAACGGTTTCGAGCATCTGGGAACGACGGGCACCACCATCCACGAGGATAATTGGGGTTTTCGCTGCGACAAGTCTGTTCAAGATAACTCCGACAACATCGTCCTCTTCTGCGGCATCATTGACACCGTGCTTCAGATCAATAGGGGTGTTTAAATTCTCTCCCTCAATCTTCTGCTTGACCATATCGGTAGGTAAAGAGATGTAGACAGGTTGACTTTTAAGCCAGCATTGTTGTAAGGTATGATCAATTACGGTTGCTGCAACAGATGGGTCGCGGAGTTCTCCAATGGCACATGAAATCTGCCTATACATATCCGAGAAGATATTATACTTGCCATTGCCCAGTGTGGCGTGGAGGATTAGTCCCTCTTGTTGTGATATTCTTGACGGTGTTCCAACAATATGAACGATAGGAACATTCTCGGCGTAAGCACCTGCGATGGCATTGACTGCTGAAAGTTCCCCGACTCCAAAAGTTGTGATTAGTGCAGAGATGCCCTTGACTCTGGCATACCCATCTGCAGCATATCCTAGAAAGAGAATGTTAGAGAGACACTAATTTAAGGATGTTGAAAAACTAAGATTGGGTAGGACAAACCTGCATTCAGTTCATTCACATTACCCACCCATTTAAGACCCGCATTAGGGAGGTAGTCCAACGACGCCAAATTAGAGTCACCCGGAACTCCATGGATTGACCGAATACCCATTTGATGCAATCTAGTGAAAATATACTGTGCGATATCGACTGGTATTTTGAGGGCTGAGGTTCTGATATGCGTCATTGTAGTAGCCTATGTTTTCTGATAAATTCGGAGTGTGCGAATGAGAATTTGTTTCTGGGAAGTTAAGCAGCTTAATGGAATATAAAAAAACGTTTAGTTACTAATAGAAGTTTTGGAATTTAGTCTTTGTGACCTGTTCATTTGAACTGGCCCGTACCTCTACCACTTGTCTGTCTTCTAGGAACAAAGACTCCGAGGTTCTCTCTGTGCCACACATGTCTCCTTTACACATCCTTAATCTATTCCACTCCCTTCCTTAATTACTATTGCAAGCTACAAGGGTTAATGTTAAATGTAATACCTAAATTCGGCCCAAAATTCAATCAGATTAGCGTATTCTTTTAATAGCAGAGGTTTCTCTTCGTCGCGAGTTATTGCAAACTAGGTGCTTGGTTCATAAGCTCCGTTCGGCATATCGGTACTATCGATTGCCTCATTTTCTATGATTCTGATTTGATTAATACCCTACACTTTAGTTGCTATTTAGCATGTGCTTATGCTTCTGTATATGCTAGAGCATATACCATTCCTCTTACACATTGTCAAGCCTCGAGTGTCTCACCACTACACCCACTTTATTTATATTAGTCTCAACAAAATGCCGGTGTCCAGCCCAGGTCGCTCACTGCCCGACCGTCGAATAGCAAATTGGCCTTGTGAGGTTCGTGGCATATGCCGTTGATGTGGCTATTACGAATGAGCCCCAGTGCATCCGGAACAGTATATTTAACCGGAACAAGGAAACTGTGGTATGTTTCATGCACCTTCCTCTTCTTGTTCGATATTTTGACCCTTGATTGGTAATGAAGAACAGTTAGAATATAGGTATTGCTCTGTAGCAGGAAAGCATCTCCCAATGAGAGGATGAAGGACTTCGTCTCCCTCGCCCATGCTCATGGTTCGCTCTGTGCCGCAAGAGTAATTTTAATCAAGGGTAGGTGATCTTGGGCGTTCGAGATTATGAGAATTGGCGTTTCGGTGTCCAGTATTGAAGGGTTCCACCTGTTCAAGTCCTATTCATTGTTATCTCTAGTCAATATCCCATGTACCAAGTATTGGAGAGTTGGTTACAGGAAACTCATCACCGAGCTTCAACAAAAGGCCATCTACGAACGCAACAAGTTGCTGGAGTTGTGGTGAGCATTGATAGCATTTAAGACCAGGGGGGATTTATCCTCCTGCTCCATATTTCTTCCAGACTCAGCGAGAGAACCATCCCACCGCTTCTTATTTCACAATAACCTTGATAACATCCTGGTTACTTTGTATGGTCAGGCCGCGAAGGCAAAAGACACTGCGCTATACAGTATGGCCCGAAACGAAGCTTTAATGAGGGGACTGTGAGAAGGGTGTAGCTGAGAAAGTTGATTGGTGACTAATGAGTGGAATGACGGATCCATCCATGCAGCCAAAAAACCTGCCTGTGCCTCTACTCTTATCGGTTTGAGAACAATGGGTGGCCTCAAAATTAAAGACATAGATTACGTTGCATATCTGTTGTGCCGGTAGCTGGCAGGCAGAAATGAATTCATCAGCAACACTATACCTTGTCCTCTCCGCCACCGAGCTGATCTACTCAACCGTAGTTACTCGGTCTAATAACACACAGCGTGGCTTGATACTGGATGCCAACCAAAACCAAGGCCACCCCTACTGCATTCAAATTGCTTAACCAAGGGCCAATATTATGGCGATGGTGTCATGCAGGGGCCGTCTGCGCCTCCTTGCATGGCCTAGATGCTGTGTCCCATTATCATATTCTGTGGCTCAAATTAAAGGATGCGGCTCGGAACGCACTCGTAGGCGTCCTGGGGTCGTTCGGGCCGTTCCGGTCGTTCATGCCTGCCTTATCACTTTGGAGTAGCCGTATGGGTTGCTTCGCATCCACGGACCCTCCATCACGAACCGAACTTGAGAGGGGAACCTGGCCATGCCTTGGTGATGATGATAATATAGATGTTAGGAAAAGCCCGTCTCAACAAGGCTGCAATGTAGGGTAACCTCCTTGATAACTGTAAAGCATGTGAATGAGTCTGAATGGGAAGACCAAGGGGCGAGACTTGGGGTAGTCACATGATCGGCGTTTCATGATTGGTGTCGTGCAATGGGTGGTGGGATGGGTGAGGTATGTTGTCATGACCGGTTTGATTCGGGCTAATAGCAAGTACATTTGAACCAGCCAGCTTAAGCCCTCCTATGGCGCAACATCGCCTTCTCATCCACTACGCCGAGTGAATGCCGAGCCCTGTACTGTTCGGTCAACAGCATGCCATGCGCGGCCCTTTAGCTTTGTGGAGTAGTATAACTATTTACATGGAGGCTCCAACGAGACTGCCCTAGAAAGGTGCCACTGAACCGCTGATGAATTTTGGCCCACGGAGATAGTGTTGCTAATAATATACCATAGCAATTACTGAGAAGTTTTGGCTTTTCTTAAAGGCTACTTTCTTTGAATCGCGAGTAATGTCCTCAATACGTGGCAAGTTCGCACATGCAACACAGTCGCACTCAATGGATATAGATGTTACTGGTTGCCCTTTCCTACTTTCTGCAGAATTTATATGCCGCTCTGATGTCGTCTATTTCACCTTCCGAGCTCATCCATGTACATTCCGACGAACAAGGTCACTTAGCTCACTTTCATAAAGTCCATATTTAATGGTAGTCTAAAGCCTGATGCTAAACGATAATATTATTCAATAGCACCTTCTCTCTCTATGCTGTGATTTTCTCCAACTCCTTCAAGCTCGTAACTGTATCCATAAGGGTCTCCTTAATGGGGCGGAATGCGATTCCCAATTCATTCTTTGCCTTGGTTGTGTCCAGCTTGTACACGTCCGGAAAGGGCAAGCTGCTCTTGTCCTCCGGCGTCGTCGCCACTAACTCAGGGAAACGTGCTCGGATGATGTTACAGAATATTTGGTAGCTAAAGCTACCCGCAGAGATGATGTATCGTTGGTTTGCAGCAGTTGGAGTTTGGTAAGCGAGGAGGTGGGCTTTGGCAACTTGTTGGTGAGACATGGTTAGCATGCAACACGACGACGAGTCCTGTAATTTAGGCGATGGGCAAACTTACCGTCACGAACATCAACACAGGCCCAGAAAACGGTATCAGGAACCTCCTTAGATGATCCATTAAACAGGCGATAGATATCAGCTGACGATGTATTCAGCTTGCTCATGCTCTCATAGCCGTGCAACAACGGGCCATACACCAATGGCGGCGCCACTGTTACGATGCTGAAGCTCGGTTTCTGCGTTTCTACAAACTCAAACGCGGCCTTCTCAGCCAGTGTCTTCGACACGAGATAAGCAGCAACAGGATCCGCCCCGTGCGCCTCATTGGCCGTCATGGGATTCCAATCGGCTTCGGTATAGATGTAGCCGGGCTGATGGCCGGCAGTGTAATCCAGGATGGCGCCAAAGGAAGATGTGACAACGATGCGCTTGACAGATGGATTGTGCTCCTTGACGGCTTTGAGAATCGAGACAGTGCCATTGACGGCGGGGTTAAAGAGTTCTTTATCGTAGTCTTCGGCGTCGAGAATGAATGGAGACGCAGTATGAATTACCTGGTGAACTATCAGTATCCGACAAATTACTGCTAGCAAGAGTCTCACTCCATCGACACCCTTGACTGCTTCGTCGAACGCTCCGGGTGCCGAGATGTCCTTTACAAAGGCAAACGACAGAGCATCGGCATACTCGGCATGCGTCTCTCTGACTATCTTTGCAGATACTTCAGAGCGGACAGTGCCGCGGACCTTGAAGCCAGATTCGAGGAACAGGCGGATGACATGGGAAGCAATGAACCCAGATGCTCCGGAGATGAGGATTGTCTGCGACATTGCGGGATAATGGGGCGATACTGGTTGAGTTGGTAAGATGAATGTGATACCAAAGCTAGATATAGGGAGATATAATAATGGTTCTACAGTCTTTTGATACAATTCACATGTCTCCAAATCCTCCTACACATGTAGGGTGGCAGCGGCAGATGGGATGAGCATAGTTTTATGACCCCCCAGGTCTGGTTTTGTGAAAATCCCTCCAACCCTCTGCCTGGTAGGGTCGGCATCTTCAACCTGTCGGGATGATTTCCTGAACGGGCCTTGGGTACATTAGAAGATATTCACTACCAAGGTAATCGCTACTAACATAATAATACTCTGTAGATTACCCGGATACCTTGTAATCATTCTTGTGACGATTCCTTGAACAGATCCAAGTCTTCTTTGTTGATCTGATCTAGAATGGGTTCTACGGTTTCTCATCAAAATTGACTGGTAACGTTACAGGCAACCCTTCTGACAAAGGCAGAATAGATCTGCATTAATAACAAGTTTGCTACATGCTCCAGCTTAGAGACATTCTATTTAATAATGCAATGTGATTACAGAGAACTGACATGTCGTTTGTAAAGAAGTTGGATAGAGGTACATGCCGTGAAGAAAGGATATCCACTGATGGGTTGCAACCCTTTAATCTACTACCTAGTTCTGGAAACATGCCACTAGATGTATAATAACTGCTCCGAGATTCTCTGTGGCACAAATACCTTCTTTGCCCATCCTAGAATACTCCGCTCCCTTTCTCAATTTGGTTATAAGCTAAAATTTTAATTTGAACTCAGCAAAGCCTAGATTCAATCCTGCACATATCAGATAAGTGTATGAATTTAGTGGCGAATGCTTCTCCTCCTTGTCTTGAGTCTTGTCAAACTAGGTCCTCTAATAATAAGGTCTACGGCTCATTTCTTGTCCTGTGACCTATTGGCACTGTTTATTGTTATACTCATTAATTGCGTGCTGTTCTAGGATTCTGATTTGAGGAAAATCCTGCAGCGCAATTTCTCTATTAGTATGTGTTTGTACATATAAGATATTGTGCCACGACTCGTAGTACATCCTCGACCCTCGATTTTCCCACCACCACACACACTTTAATTGTATAGCTTGCCACCACCACACCCACTTTAATTGCATACTAATATAAAATTAAAGTTGGTGTGGTGGTGGCAAAAGCGAGGGTCCTGAGTACAAGCTCTTACAAGGGAGGACACACTATGAATCGGTCAGCTTGCATGTTCAAGGAGTTATCATATATCTGATATGGTTCTCGTAGAAAATGCTAGAGCACATGCAAGCTTCATCTTCTATAGATAAACTAGTCAACGCTGCGCTAGGGTCTCATGACACACACTAATATACTATGCCATTTATGCCCAGTTTGAACGATATCCTGTGGACCTCAAATGTGTCGTTGAGCATTGACTACTACATCAAGTTTTAAATTAACCACATGCAAACATGTGTCTCCATTTTTGAGTTTAACCAAAAGTGATGTTACATCACCACCCCCTTCGTACCGGCCTATCGCAGCTGTCATCCTTTGTTATTACAGAATTCCAAATTATGCAGTACCTCAGACTTCCTGTCATCTAGACTGTTATATAGTTTACTTACCACCCCCTTAGTAGCATCCCATCGCAGCTGTTATCCTTTGTCGTCACGGAATTCCAAATCATTAGAATACGGAACACAATTTACAGCACCTCAGACTGCCTATCCTCTGGACTGTTATACAGTTTAAATTGCCTCTAAAAAGCCATAGACTGCAATATCATCAAACATGTCTGTGTACAAAGAGCCAAATGAACCGGTTGCGCTCATAAAAGCCTTGAGCCAGCTTTCTCTCACGTTGTCGAGTGAGGACAATCAAAACGTCAAGAGAGAGGCTCTACGCTTGAGTCAAGCTCTAACTGCAGCACTTCAAGCGCCGGAAGATATCGCAGTAAATATGTCCTTTGCCGTACGTGCCTCTCCACATCTATTTCACTCATGCATTCTCACTCCAATCTGCTTAGGCTTTCACACCGATGAGTGTTCGAATTGCGGTCGGTCTGAAGCTCTTTCAACACATAGTTTCTCGCGGACCCATCACCACGGTGGAATTGGCATCTGTATCGGGTGGAGATGATTTGCTCATAAGTGCAATAACCTGAAATCTAGTTCTGGGATAACTGCTGATCTTGTAATAGCCCGTATACTGCGGACATTATCGGCGGCCGGATTTGTCAAGGAGGTTGATGACCAGGCCTGGGCGGCCACAGCCGTTACTAAGGCAATGACAATTCAGGGAATAGCCGAGGCTCATATATTTATGTGAGTATATCCCCCCTGAGATTCATATAAGATGATCTGACAGCACGATTCTAGGTGGGATATGCTTGTTGTGGCAGCTGGAAAAGCGCCAAAATTTCTCGAGGAGACGGGATATCAGAATCCCACCAATAGTCGAGATGGTCTCCTACAATACGGTCATCAAACCAAACTGACAATCTTCGAGTTAATGAGCACGATGCCCCAGATGCAGCGTGATTTCGACGATTTTATGGTACGTCTAATGGGTGCAAACGAATCCTGGGTTGATTGGTACCCTATCCAAGAACAAGTAATCCATGGTGCAAGAGATAACTCTGCGCTTGTGGTCGATGTGGGTGGTGGGAAAGGCCATGATCTGCAAGCCTTCAATATGAAATATCCACAGCAAGGGAGACTAGTTCTACAGGATCGACCTCCAGTAATCGACGGAATCAAGGACTTGCATCCAGCAATTGAGTACGTCAAACACGACTTTTTTACCAGCCAGCCAATCCAAGGTAAGTGATTTGTAATGATATTGATTAGTGACTGCGCTAAAGTTGCTTAGGTGCTCGAGTATACTTCTATCACCATATCCTCCATGATGTAAGCGATTGGAGAGTTCCCTAATTTTGTATCGTTATATTAGCCGATCTTCAATGAATAATCTAATTTCTTTTTATACTTCAAGAATCCCTGTACTTATGAATTCCTTGCCCATTTCCATAGTCCTAGATTTTTATAGGATGAGTAAAGCTAATGCCTTGATTTCTAGTGGCCTGATAGCAAATGCCTTGTTATTTTACAACAAGCCAAACGGGCTATGATACCAGGTTATTCTAAGTTGCTCTTGCACGAACACATTCTTCCTGAGAAGGGGGCATCGACTGTACAAACACAATTTGACATGGCTGTGATGTTGTTTAACAGCGGGACCCTACGAACACCAAAACACTGGGGTCAATTGCTTGACAAAGCTGGGCTCAAACTTGTTAAAGTATGGTTCAAGGAGGCAGCTACTGATAATGAAGGCGTTGTTGAAGCTGTTGTTGAAGAAAATTGATCCTAGCTAAATCTACACAGCCTTGGGCATTTGAGATTTGGAGAAGAGCCTATTTGCTCGGGGAGGATGTTGTAGGCAGCTGGACCTGGTTTATTAGCTTTACTTCTCTCTTCAATTATTTCCTATCTAATTAAGAGGCACTTGCGAGCACCCTTTGTCACTTTGCAATTACCTCTGCAACTACTTCTTTCAGGCTCTATTGCTACTTGGGGAACCTTATTTCGGTCATTACCTGTATATTCTTCAATGATTCTACTCAAATTAGGACAATCAATCAACTATGTTATTCAATATATATTTTAAGTTGTATCATTTGTAGAAATACTATACAAGAGAATTGGAATAGCCAGAAACTCTTTACTTCCAGGTTAGCTACACCCTAGAGCCGTGCAGGGAATTAGTGTGCGATTTGACAAGAAATAATGGCTCCTTGCTCAGTTTTCGGAAGAAAAGCTACGAAATTACTTCTCCAACTTTTGTCGATACATGCGGTTCGTTCAATGGCCGGTCTCAGTAGGACATAATAAGACGAAGTCGTGACTAAAAACTTAGATGGTTAGAATAATTAAAGATAGTAACTAATAATTTTTAAGAAAGACTTTATATAAACCGAAATATATATATCATAATGTCGAGGTGCAGAGAGGACCCTTAGGATTGTCAGGAGGGACCGTGGATAAAACAACCAAAAGACTGCAGTCAAGGTAATAGGCGTCAATTGAGCGGTAGGCTCGGTGTCAGATTATCGTCGTATAGTCATCTGGCTAAAGAAGACTAATCCATGGATTAATGTTCTTTAGAGGGAGTGAATATTCGGGGGCGCACCCAGGTGGTGGCATTTCAGGACGACTAATAGTCACAAGATCCGGTCATTAATATAAGTATAGCAAATTGAGTTTGTATTCGTAATTATTCTAACTGGCCAGCTTCTCCCTGGTCCAGCTGTATTCTGGTGAATCGTGTGTATTGTCCTGCGTACATGTGTGGTCGCTGATGATGATGTAAAAGAGAAAATGAGTGCCAGGAGCTTATATGCCCAGGTGGCTCCACTTATCAACGTGCTAATTCTAATACAGGTAAAGGTGCAAAAACAAAGTAAGTAATTGGTGGTCCCTTGGATCCCCACCACAATAAGTAGAGTTTAATAAATAGTTGAAGGTATATAATATAATAACTAAATTTACCAACTATAATAAATTTATATAAATCCTATTAAACTTTATAATAAATCTTAGGAATTTTATTATATACGCTAATCTCTAGCTTCTTAATCTAAGAGGAGGGGCCTTCTACGGAGTATTTGAGGAGTCAGAGGGCCCCGGTCCCTAACCGATTCCGTCAGCTAACCTCGGTTATAATATATTTTTAGTAATACAGCTTTAGATCCCGTGATTCTTCTTGAACTTCCCCCTGACAGGGGTGTACGCTCCTGGCATTTTACTGGTATTCGTACGGGGTATGTTGCCTGAACTTCTCGTCCCTAAATGGTCATCTTTTCGTCTTCTTCTCCAGTTTTTGACAGCCATCATTGGATCGCGGTATCCTGCCTAGAGCTTCAGCCTGATCTTGTCAATTTTTATGCTTTTGGGGATCGTGAGCGCTATCAGCATCAGGAGTTGCCTACGCGAACCCTGTGCGTTGCCGCAGTACAAGTATCAGACCTCGCCGCAGACGTCCTTCGGTATTCCTTCATCCAAACCTTTCTCAATTTCTATTCTCACAATGAGCGAGCAGGACGCGCCGAAGTATGTCATTGATCGCCTCTTTTGCGGCACCGCCTCGTATGATGCTGTTGTTGGCCCTGGAGCTCCGGAGAGCAGCACTCCACGCGAGCGCGTCTGGCCCGCGATCCCTCTGGAATATCGCCCGCCTTCTCCTGAAATCGAAAATGCCGTGAAAGAAGGCATGGATATCACTTGATTATGAGCTTCTAGTGCTGATAATTGACAGTTGAATGCATCCTTGGTTATCTTCAACGCGTTTTAACTCCAACGCCATTGCCCGATGATGATCTGCAACTCATGTCTGACTACCTTTTGTCCCTGGAAACCAGGGATGACTTGACAGCACACGTACTTCAACAAACTACCGCGAGATCGAAAATCGGTGTCGTATCAAGAATCTTATTGAAAGACGACACCAGATACGACTTCAAGTCACGCGCAACAGCTCTAGAGAAGCACTGGAGCAACATCGAGCTATTGATTTCGAAAAGTACCCCAGAGGAGATATTAACCGATCGCCTTGTTGCACCAGTCAAGACGGAACTCCCTGACGACAAACCAGCGGGATGGAAGCTAGACTTGGGCGAAACCCGAGCAGCTGAAGCACAACGACAGCTCGAATTGCTTAACCTGCAGAAGAATCGATGCATCAAGTACTGGACGACCGTCAAGCCACCAAAGCCAATGGGGTGGGTTCCGGCTGACGGAATGGCATGGAAGAAGGTACCTCGAGCCGATCTGGAGAAGGGAGACCTGTTCTTCACTCCGTATTTCAAGCCTATCTGGGAAAGCTATAGCTTAGCAACTATGGATGCTTTGTTTTGGATTGATCCCGATAATACGCCTGAAGAGGAGGCCGAATATCAGAAGCACAAGTCAGAGGAACATGAGTTGACGGTGCTTTCTCTAGAGATGAGGAAACCGAGGAAAGACCATGCCGAATCCCTGGGATTTAAGGGAGTTTAGCCTTGGTAATGAGAAAGACTGATCTTTCATTCGATATGGTTATACGGCTGGTAATATAGCAACGTAGCGCAAAGCTAAAACCCCCGCCTTCTTAACGGTTTCTCGTGGTGATATAAAATCCCTTTTTTGTGACAATAGAAATGCTCAGACGTTCCAACGTGTTCCCTTATGTACTAGACTAGTTTAATAGCACTTCCGCACGCTCTACGAACTCTGTATCTTACATATATTCATTTATTTCTCAGCATGCTTATTACACGTCGAGGATTTCTCGTCGGCACATAGCCAATTGGAATATCCTAATGTGTACATTTTACCTTGCGCTGTCTCATGAGCCTCAACAATTTTTACTCCCATAGTGTCCTTTCCATATGGCCATGGCCGCCGCAACTGTGTCGTCAGTTTGATTCTTGACCGGGTTTGTTGTCCTGTTCCACGCTCCTCCAAGCTCATTCTGAATTGACGACTGATTGTTTATTCGAGGGGATTACTCGAAACTTTCTGAGAGGGAGTTGCCTAAGCCTTTCGTTCTCTCTGAACTGAAAATAGTGGAAGTTATTTAATGGGAAATTGAACACACGCTTCTTCGCTAAATTGTTCGACATGATCGAAAGCAAAATTTCGAGAGCAGCCCTAATCTACCGGCCTCATTAATCGCGAATAAGGAACCCAACTAGACCCTCATGCTTATGGTGGCCGTGTGAAGAGGACAGGGTGTCTATAATAGTTCCCCTAGTTTGGCTGCTGTTACGGAGTCTCTCAGTGGTCATAACTACTTGGCCATATACACACTCGTTTAGAATCTGTATTGAATTTGCACATCCACACTCATTTAAAAGCCCATATTTTCTCAAACCTGGTAAGAAAGGTAAGTCCGAGTCACGATTGATAATGTTAATTAGGCTAATACACAGGTACTTTCTATTGGTTTTATAATGGTCCCTCTTAATACAACCTACCCATATTATACTAAATAACCTCTTATATATAGATTATAACTATAGGCGTAGTATTCGTCCTCCTAGGTTTAGTTCCCTCTATAGATCTTAGTGAACATGGCGAGAGAGGTAGATAAGGTGTGTGACTAGAATATCAGTTGGCGACGAAAAGGAATTATTACGGACACGAGGTGCAGCTGCTAGTGCGGGGTAATTATTGGAACGAGGCTTACAAGAACTTGACCCTTCTGTCGCTCGCTCTGTCTTTTCTTCCCTTCCTTTAGTGTTTCTCTTGGCTGCTCAGTTCGCCCATTTTCAAGGCATTTGCGTTATACATTGTTACTCAGCAAATATGCAATTCTCCATGCGAACTAGTCGTTCTAGAGCGAGCGAATATATCCAGAGTATATGAGACACTGACAACAACTTTCCTTAGTTGAAATTGTCGGCCACCCTCAGACTATAGATACTTCCTAGCGTACATGACAGGTCTATGATCTCGTTAGTTAAAAACTGAAGATAAATTATGGATCAAGAGCCACTCGAATGTCGCGTTTGCCAGCGCCTTCAGCTGGACTCGAAGCCCCCGGCAATCGATCTCCCGAGACTGGAACACCATTTCGGCCAATATGAACCCGAGTTTGAATTGGATAGCGCACCGAAAAAGTGCTGTCTCTGGCGATTAATTAGAGACCTATACCTTTCGTGGTCAGGCAAAAATACACCCAAGGAGTCGGAGTATATTTTCACATGTGCACCACAGTCTCTCCGGGTAAGTACCTAATCCCGGTATCACACGCTACCGTATGCTCGTTATATCGAGATCCCACTTCTAATAAGTTCTAGATATTTGGGATTGAAGGCAGCTCCGGGGAAGTTGTGGATCCTGATCCTCTTAGTCCCGCGACTCTGGCCCGCATAAGGAGATGGATTGACATATGTGATAGCAGCCATGAACGATGTCAGAGAGACAGAAATCCGCTCCTGCCGACCCGAATCCTAGATGTCGGCATTGGCACATCAGCATCTCAAGTCGCCAAACTGATTGTGACAGATGGCCAGCGGGGTCAATATATTGCTCTCAGTCACTGCTGGGGAACGGCAAACCAGTTCATGACAACTCAGGCTACCCTGCCTGATATGAAAGCAGGCTTCCTGCCAGAGCTTGCAACTGCCACTTTTCGTGATGCAATTATCATTGCCCGGCATCTCGGGATCCGATATTTGTGGATTGACTCACTGTGTATTATCCAAGGGGACACGAGCGACTGGCAGATTCAATCTTCACAGATGGGACAAGTTTACCGCAACGCATACTTGACAATATCTGCGTCAAGCGCGTCAGATGATGTAGAAGGGTTTCTGACGCCACGGTCCCCCGTGTATTCTACCTTGGAAGTTGTTTCTCCATCAGGGAACCGAACACAAATTCACCTCCGGCCCCCAGGACTTACAGCTACCCCTATCACCGTTCCCCTGGATTCTCGCGGCTGGACTCTGCAGGAGGCTTATCTATCCTGCAGGCAGCTGAAATTCCATAAAAATAAAATTCTCTGGGACTGTCAAACCTGCTGCTATGACGAGGCGTACACCGATCAATACAACTTGAAGTATCAGGTTATCGTCAACCAGTCTATTGATCTCCTTTTCCCAGATCGTATCGGCAGGACATATTCTTACCACAAGTGGTACGATATGATTGAGGATTACAGCCGTCGCCAATTACGCTTTGATTCAGATAAATTACCTGGGGTGTCTGGCCTCGCAAGCATACTGGCAAATGAAGATGGCGCGAGGTACTGTGCCGGAATTTGGTGGGAAGATATATGGTACGGCATATCCTGGGAAGTAGATAAAGCAGCCTCCAGAAAGCCAGACTGTTTTATTGCCCCGTCATGGTCCTGGGCATCAGTCGTCGGCCCAGTAACATTTTCCGATAGGCGATGGAATATATCCTACGTCCCACCTCAACCGTTAGATTTAGTCACTTTTCACGATTGTATTATAGAGCACCAAGGGCGTAACGAGCATGGCGAGATAAAAAACGGCTGGATAAGACTCGATGCCCCTATTATTCCTTTACAATCCACCAGTGGAACTTCGACAACATCTGGAACGTCGTTCGAGATTCCGGGGACTGAAAAGGGCGAAGATAGGCTTCGGATACGGTTCGACACCCAGGAGGAAAACAAAGACCCTTTGTGGGTTTTATTCCTCACGCATGCTCCGGGGACTTGGAAAACAAAACAATATTTCGGCAATAAGGCGGAACTCTCTGGCCTCGTAATCCGCCCTGTTTGTGATATCTCGTCTGACAGATGCAAAAAAATAATATTACAAACTGGAGACCATCAGCTCTATGAGCGAGTTGGGTTTTTCGACATGACGATAACTGAGACGGAAGGCGATTTCCTATCGGAGGGTTCCGTTGCCGAGATTGTGTTGATTTGATGGGCGTCGGGTCGAAATACGAGGAGAACGAACTGAAAGTGATGCCGCGTCCTAAAAAAAAAAGCTGCAAATTGCGGCCAAAAAGAAAAAACACTACAACAGACGTAATTAAAAGAAAATGGATTAAAATGGCAAAAGACAAAGCCCCGTCGGGCTAAGAGAAACCAGGCGAACTGATTTTAATCATTTGGAATATTCCAACTGCTGCTAGGGTTGTTACAGCATCCCTTAGATGGACTCTACCCTCTGCCCTCATTGCTAGTTTTCAAGCCAGTTTTTGTAATTTGTTACAATTTATTATGCGCTCTTTGTAGCGCGTTCGAATTGATTTTATCAATTGTAATATCCCACGGTTTTCTATTTTTGGCTGCCTCTAGATGGATCTTTACACCCCAATGCCCACATAATTCATGCCCTCTGTTTATTCAGCTGTTGACCGGTCTGTCACCCGCGTAGTTTAAGCTCATTGCGGAGCCTCCTCTTGCCTCCTGGGCCATCGGAGCTTATTTAACGGGCAAAAAAGTTATTTGGGGTTATATCCTTTGTTGTCGGTTTTTTCTGCCGCACGCGTCACCGTCACTCAGCAGGCAGAGAAACACTATACACAGCTTATGCTCATTTTGAAAACCCGAGAATTTTGAGACCGCGTATATCACAATCAATAAGCACTTTTATCACGATCACGAAAAGGGACAATTGGTCATCTTTGAAAACAGGAAAATTTCATTTATTAGCTAGCTACCCAGATCCCAAACTCCATCCTGCATGCCATTGTGTTATACAGTTATGATGTTGTTACAACAGATGATAACTGATACTCGACAGGAGATTTAATAGACATTGATCGAGACCCTCGACCTCTTAACACTCTTTGGAACCACCACATGCAAGACACCATTCTTCAAACTGGCGTCCACTTTGTCGTGTTCAAGGCGCTGAGTGAAGGAGAAGCTTCTGGCAAAAGACCCGACCTTGCGTTCCGAGACCCAGAATTTAGGCTTGGGGGTTTCGGTCTGTTTCTGTTGTGGTTGTTCGGTTGGGGTCGTGGTTTCGGTGGCGGGAGTGGTGCGAGTGATTGGTGCATCCGCCTCGTCGTAATCATCTTCCACAGTTGGGTTGTGGGACTTCACAGATGAGGCGTCAGAAGATGTCTCGGCATCCTTCATCTCGGCGTCGTTGGTCTTCTCAGTCTGGGTGGTGGAAGATGTGCGCTCAGTCTTGCCCTGGACAAGAAGCGTCTGGGCATCGGAGAATTCGATGCTGAGATCTTTTTGCTCGAGGCCTGGGACCTCGCCGTACAGCTCATAAGCTTGTTCCGTCTCGGTAACATCAAATCTTGGGATGAAGGTTGGCTGGCGTTTGGCGGGTTGTTGTTGACGAGCGACGCAGGACTTTGCTTGTTTTTCTCGAGGCTGGTCTAGCTCGGAGAGGATTTGGAGGAAGTTGGCCTCTGGGGAGAGGTAGACTTGAGGGAAGAAAGGCATTTTGATGGTGTTTTGAGGTAAAAAGCCTTGTGAGAGAAGTATCGAAGTGATGATTTGTTTGGAGATGGGAAGCTTAAGCTTTGAAGAGGATGCTGGAGCTCTGATGGTTTGATTCTGAATGATGGAGAAAACAATGACAACCGACTAAAGAGATCCTTATATACCTACATTTCGAACACAGGCAGCGATTAAGACGTAACACTTACTGCTGAGAAAGCAGTTGCTTACGGGACTACGAAAGCGTTACCAGGAGTTTCTAGACACATCGTGGGCTGGCTGGTGGCAAGTCGCAGCTTCTGGAAATGTCGTGAACCGGCTCGATGCAGCTTAGAAAGCGGAAGGCGGTCAGTGGAATGCGGCAGAATATCACCGAAGGTACGCGAAGGGTCTTGCGTTTTCGCGGCCCGCTCCGTGATAATACGTTCGCTTATCTTGGTTGCAGCTTGGCAGGTGTGGATTTATTCATTTCCTTATGTATATTTAGTAACATCCACATCTTCACATCTGAACCCACATGTTTTCACATATAAGTGGACAAAATTAACTATTTGCACTAGTATATATTTATCATAAGATAATTATATAGATCAAGATTTTAAAAGTATATTGATAGCTATCCCAGATGCCACGGTCAAGTCTTACAGCAGACTACTGCATTTCCAGCACGTGAGCCGATTTTGACATCGCACCTGTCACCATCTCCCTCTTTTCGGTATATCGCCGGGTGGCCAGGATATCTTCGCTATTATTTGAGCAAGCATATATATTTAAATAAGAAAAGCGAACATAACGACAACCTAGCTCTTTAAGACACTCCCCACAAGTGCCACGCGATCCTCATATCGAAGAGAAATATAACTAGGTCAAGCGACACAATCGAAACGGCAGAGATTAATTGGCTGTGGGCAATGAACTCTTTTGCCTATTACGACTTTATTTTATTTTTTTATTCTACCAATTTCGTTCCTTTTTTTCCGCTTCTTATTCCTTCTATTTTCATTTTCTGTCTATTCTATTTTGAGTTCTCTACTCCTTAAATTTGATTTTAAAATTTAAACCAGCTAGGTTACATGGAAGGAGAATCTATAATGAGCCGACTACATCTGAGTTTTCGGAAGGTATTATTTTGATCAAATCGCAGCACCCTATCATTTGATGTGTACGAAAACGCAGATGCAGTATCTTATCTAGGTCTCCTTGTGCTCCTAGCTCTTGGAGTCTTAATCTATTATATACTGCAATCGCAAGCGAGAAACATGTCGAAGTGGTCCCTAATCGAGTCGCGTCCCACGCGTTCGACTTCCTTGATCACTATTTTGCCAAACATATCCATGATAAGCGAAATGAAATAAATCTATTGCAAAGGCAGGAAAAAGAGGCAAAGTTTCAAGTAAAAGTATTATTATATACCCTGGAAGCAAAAGAGTTCGGTCCGGGCGATTGCCTACATCTCTTGTCGCTTTTTGTTATTTTTCGTGTTGTGTCGTTTTTGTCGCTTTTTGTCCCGATCGATCCTCTACAAAATCTTAATACTTTCTAATGTGCGGATTACGATATATCGAAAACTGTGAGTTAACCTGGTAATGGCTGATGCTGAGAAAGGGGGGAGATTCGGCTAATCCTCGGCGACCACTTGGCACTTAGCGAATCGACCCTCCCCCTTTAAACTAACACATAGGAAATGATGCAGTGTCCAAATGATTTGAAAACCTTTATTGTGGGCATTCTGATACTGGAGATATTTGGTCGCTAAGTTTGGACTTCACAAGTCACCACATGACCTACCCGTGGCGGACTGGGAAGCCTTCTGACAAAGCTCAGACGCCCATTCGATAGATTTCATACGCTGGGAATGATGCGAATTCCACCTTGCGCGCACTGTTGCTCTTGGACATGGAATGCCATCGTGGCATGAAGGGCATCTGGAGGCTGAACCACGCCCCTCGTAATACACTGATAAGTTGGAAGTGATTCAAGCTATTGGCCAATCCCCGCTGCCATGTTTACCAACGTATGATATAGCCTCCATTCAAGGTTTCAAGATTGCAAATATTCGCGGTCCCGTAGCGCGAGCGAGAGCTGAATCTGCAGTCTGCATAACTCTATTAGCGGAATATCTAAAGTCTGGGCAATGAAAATTTGAAGTCCTGGATTCATCGTAGTTGGTTAAACCGTGCTTGATGACACCGAGGTCGCAAAACCTTACCGTGAAATTCGAACGGATTTATACACTAGCTTAAGGATCCACTACATCTCTGAGTTCCGCAAGAATGCCATTTATCTTAGATTTGCTCCGGGATAATATCTCTTCTTTCTAGCGTACTTTGGAATGGCATAGTGAATCAGTCTACAATTATAGATTTCAAGTTCACAATGGAAGCTCTTGCAAAAGGCACAGCTGGATTTGGTTTATGGTTTATTTTATTGTTTTCGTGTAGTCATTTGCCTTCCTATGACCAACCGATGAAACGTGCTTCCATCACCAAACGTTATGTATCAATATCCACGAAGTCCATCGCTACCAGGCAAAACGCAAGACTATGCAATATATCAGTTCAAATATTCTTCTGCCAGCATGGTGTTACTCACAACGGCCATGTCCGCCCAGTAATTTGAATCAACTTTGATGAACTCGAAGCAGAGTGGCGAAGGACTCTTGCTTATTTGCCGCCTGGGGACCGGCCCATGTCCCCGCCGTTACCCTGCTCTGGGGGAGGCTTCTCGAGGAAGCATCCTACGCAGCCTTGGGCCTCGCGAGCCTGGACCTGGATATTGTTGTCGGCCGGGACAGTCTTGGAAGCCAAAATGTTGTCACGCTGGAGGACAGTGAAGCGAAGGGTGATAGTATTGGCGGTCTTGGGAGGGGACGCAGGAGCTGCAGCTGCCAAGGTGACAGCGAGGATAAGGGCCGCAACAAAGCTGATGGTCTTCATTGTAATGGTTTGTTGTTCGGTCAACAAGTTGGGTGCTGTATCTGTGTGGAGTTGGTGCTTTGAGGAAGTTGTGTTTAAGTTGTAAAGAATTTGAGTGTTGAAGTTGTAATGAGTTGAGTGTGAGGTTGTAATCCAGATAGAGTTTGCAACTTTCAACCCGTAGGTAGGTGAATAATATCATTGAATTAGTAAAAAAGAAAAACAAACATTTTGGTTACGCGCGTCGGTGAATGATATACTAGATATTGATCAAGAATAAAGACCCCCGTGGGGAAAAAGAAGAAAAAAAATGGGTTGTGACTGGATCACTGGTACAAGTACCTGTCTATACCGTCAATTTCGGGGTTTCCTTGAGCGGACAGCTCACGGTTTGTCCTGCATAGGACCCGACTCCAGAAGGCTATCAGGTCCTAGCCCCAAACGTTGCTTGGCACTATCCCCCAGATCCCGCTCTTCCACCGTCAATTTCGGGTTGCCTTGAGCGGACAGCGCTTATGTTTGTTCTGCTTAGGACCTGACGGCTATCAGGTCCTAGCCCCAAACATGGCGTTTATTTGGCTTCTAGGAACTGGTGGATACCGAGTTCCAGCCATAAACGTTGCGTTTGGTTTGGTTCTAGGAAGCGGTGGGTACCGAAGTTCCCAGTTCCAAACGTCACTTGGCTCTATCCCCCAGATTTCCACTCTTTCCCCGTCAATTTCGGGGTTGCCTTTGAGCCGACACCTCACGTTGGTTCTCGCTTAGGACCTGACGGCTATCAGGACCCAACCCCCCAACGTGACGTTTGGTTCTAGGAACCGGTGGGTAACCGAAGTTCCAGCCCCAAACGTTGCGTGGCTCTATCCCCCAGTTTCCCACTCGGCCATCCGGCCTGTTTTATTTAACATACTATTGCCTATTGTTTATTATATCTTAATCTCGGGTCCGGGTTGGTTGCGCGAGCGAGCCAGGTTATTATTAGCGAAAGACTCTTAAGAAACATAGCACAGTTGGCTATCTATTTTACCAGCATCTTCATTAATTTTCTATTACGCATCGTTGGCTTTTGCATAAGGGATTGCAAGTGGCCCAATTTTGGCTCATCGTTGAAGAGGTAAATCTCATGGGAGTCGGTCAGCTCTGGCAGAACTGTTATTTCTTGTCTTGGGCAGAATCTCTCCGCCTCCCACAACCTGCTGACGAAGGATGTGCCAGCCTAGATAGAACAGAACATAAGACAGCCACCGCTTCAATTCCCTTCCCTCTTAGATCCGTCATAGCCTCTCCTATCTTCCACATGAAACCAAGCTTACAAGCATCTCAGAAAATAGCCACCCTCAAACCGACTCCCAATACATTATGAACCCACCACCAGCCTCCGACACCCATAACCATACATCCAACAAACATCCCAACATTCTCAACTCTTTTTCGGACCTCGAGCTTCCTCTCCATTTGATTACTCGGCGCCAGTAAGCTCTTCTGATTATCTATCTCAGTGTCGCCCTTTCCCTGGCCGCCAGAATCTTGACAGCAGTTGTTCTTCCGGTCCTTGAGCTTCTCACAGAAGGCAATCAGGCGACCGATGCGAGGATCAGAGCTATTTGGCGGAATAATCGGCCATATGCAAACCTGTGGGATGGTATCCGTTTTTGGCCACACCCACGCTGGTTTGGTCCCCTTTCCTCTGGTATTATTCCAGGGACAGGCAATGCAATTCAAGCGTAGACTTTCAGTTGATCGCTTTGTAGATGGTTGAATGCCGTTTAGGAGAAGGTTCAGAATCATAAGTACGATTAAGCTAAACGGAGCGATTTCCCGAAAGTATGGTATTCTCACCATCTTGGCTTTTGTATGGGGGGGGTTGGTGGAACGTGGAGGCGTTGTTTGGGTTTTTCTTTTTTTTTTCTCCGTGAAATAGTATGGCGAGCGAAGCCAAGGACAGCGAATAATTCGTGTTTCGTAGTTGTTTGACTTTTGGCTCAATGTAGCTGTGTTTTAACGAATGTGCCACTGTGCTTTGAAGTGAATGTGGTTGGATACGGCCGCAGGTTGTCGCTTGGGCAACCGCCGATAGTACACGCAAAAGCCTTTATTGTAGAAGCGACTGATATGAGGGCGGGACTTGAATATTACCACGGAAGCTCTTTCAGCTGCACAGTCTCTAGATTAAAATAAACCTCGAAAGGCCTTTATTTAGACTCCCTAGCAAATATCCAACTCGTATACAAATCAACCAGATAGAGCAGCTCGCACTCAAACAAAATGTCCACAGCTATCTGAATGTTTCTCCTGCCCCTCTGCAACAGTCCACTGGATATCCCTAATCTCCATCTCCCCAATATTCCCCCGTCTCGCAACCGGAGTCTTAGGTATTAGTTTTGTACCATCAATTGCTAACGTTGCTAGGACATGCGCTGCGGTCTATCTCTTCATTAGCCTATCCCATAAATACGTACAAGGACAAAGAAATTTAAAGCATACCTTGGCATTAATGGTCAAAACGGTGGCATTCGGATTCGCATAAGTATCACAAGCCTGATGATAACATGGGTCCTGCGCCTCTCCTGTACCAGTAAATAATCCCCCGATTGGCTTCCCCAGGTCCTCCATAAAGCTCACATAGTCGCTCCCGCCACTTAGCGCGGCGGGTGTAACATTCAGCCCCTTACTAGTTAGATCGTCAACAAACAGCTTCTCGATCGTCTCCGAGCCAGGCGGAGCCACCAAGCCGTAGGTTGAGCCATCCCCGTCGAAAACACCGAAGAACCCCTTGGATACCATGTCAAAATTGAGATAGGCGAGGATTGAGCTGGCATTGCCGCTGGTGAGGGATGAGGTGTAGTATCTCGAGCCGAGGAGGCCGTTTTCTTCAGCCCCCCACCAGGCAAAGCGGACTTTGAGGTTAGTTTTGTAGGAGTTGAGGGCAGTGAAGAGTTCGAGGATTAGGCTGGTTCCAGAGCCTGATGCTGAGTTAGAATCCTCTATTTTTGATAGTATACCGTCAACCCGACGTACCATCATCATTGATTCCCGGACCTGCTTGCACGCTGTCGAGATGCGCACCAAGCTAGAATCCAGAGTCAGTATATTATATGGGATTGGGTCACAAAACTTGAACACCTACAACAAGAACATTATTGGGATCGCCCCCTTTAGTCTCCGCAATAATATTCTGCGTGATCTTCGTCTCGATAATCTGAGTCTGCTGGAACAGCGCCTCAATTTCCTCGCCTGCCGCAAGTCTATCTCTGAGTGGCAGCCCATCAACACGATCAATAAAACCACCAGGCACTAGTTTGTCAGGATCAGGTGCTGACAGCGTCCCGCCTGTAACATGAGCATTCTCATTGTTGTAAATGATAACTGCTGCGGCGCCGGCTGCAGCCGCAGGACGGATGCGCCCGGCCAGGGTGCCGCCCGTGGGACAGGTACCGCGCTCGACGAGGACGATCTTGTCCTTGACATCGAAGTTGGCGTACCCATCCACTGTACATCCTGCATCACCTGTGGGGCCCAGCACAAGTGGCAAAGTCAAGCCCTCCGCTGAGGTGGAAGGGGAGTACGTCAATCCGTAGACGTAGTAGCTTACTTCGTCGACGACGAACGAGATTGAATCTACACGATTGAATAGGGCAGGAAAGTCTTGCACGTAGAACGTGGAAGTCTTTGATTCCTTGGCAAGGCGGGCAGTGATGTACTTGACGGACTCAGCGTAGCCTGGGAAGCCGAAGGCACGGTTGCCACCATTGTTATTGGCGATTGTATCAAGATCCTTGAGGTTCTTCATCAGCCTGTGTGGTGTTAGTAGGCATTTGGGAGGAGTTGAAGCGGCGATTTACTTTTTACTTGTGATGTCATTTTGGAGCTTCTTGGAGGTCACGAACTTTGACCCGGCGTGAGCTTCATTAAGGGGAGGGGTTGCAGTTGCGTAGGCAGAGAGCAAAGATGTGCCCAATAAAAGGGATTGAAAGACCTTCATCTTGTCAGTGTTTGGATTGACAATTGCACAGCATAAAACCGCGAATCTTGAGTTAAATATGAGAGGAGAACTGAAGAGGGGAAATACCTTGGTCTGTGAGAAAGCTTATACCTGCCATGATGGTAATGGCGTGCAAAGCTCGACATTTCTTGTTACCTTCTAGAAAGGTGTTAATAATCCGGGGATCGAACGCGGATAAGAATGAGAAAGTCTTGGAGTCTTGGAGCCAAGCACGCTTGACCGCTTAATTGGTTGGCCACCTTCCCTTGTTGGACGATAATAGGATAAGACGCTGTAAAATATATAAACCAAGGATGTTATCACGACCCATTTTTGCCGGAGATTGACGGATAAATAATATTATAATTGCTACATTAAACTTAGCATCTCGTATTTGCCTACACAAATCCGAATAAATAAATCTATATTTGCGGTAAAGCGCAGCTATATAGATTGTCAGCGTGTGATCGATCAACCATATCTAAAGTTGAGCCTTATAACAAGTCTCCTAGACCTACCTTATCTATATATTGTCGATCTTCACATTCAGTAATTGGAGTAGCATAGCCTCCCCCTCCTTCCGCCCACCCCCCAAAACTCCAACCCAAACACAAACATCTAAAAGCCGCAGGAACCCGAACTCCGTTACTCAGGTACGCTGTCTTGAGCCTTGTCCATCGTTGTCATTAACCCCCCCACCTTGGTCTCCACAACTTGATAGCCCTCGGCATTCCCCAGGCCATCAGCCGCACGATCATAAGCCTCATCACTCCTATCACACAAAACATCCAAATCCTGATCGCTCAGAATCTGCTCATCACCGGAGTATTTATACACCAATCCGTCCTTCCACAATAGCTGCTTCAAGTCATTTTCACTCAAGCCTTCCTCCTCCTTCTCTAACTTTTGCCCCATATTCTTAAAATTCCCTTTTTTGATGACTGTTTTCTCTAACCTGCGCTTTGCATCTGCACTTTTGAGCAAGGATTCCTCGACGGTGCCTTTGGTGGCAAGGCGGAATACGACGACAGGGTTGGTTTGTCCGATGCGGTGCGCTCGGTCTTGCGCTTGGAGATCTTGTTGTGGGTTCCAGTCGCTGTCGAAGAGGATGACAGTGTCTGCGCTGGCAAGATTGATTCCTTGGCCACCAGCACGTGTGGAGAGAAGGAATAGTTTAAATTCGGGTTTCGTGTTGAAGTCCTTGATCTGCTGGCGACGATCATCTTGAGCTACAGAGCCATCGATACGACATACATTCCAGCTGCGCAGCTCACGGGCATAGTCCTCCAGCAGGTCAAGTTGAGTTTTAAATTGTGAGAATACGAGGACCTTATGGCCCCGGTCAAACAAAGCCTTCAAGAGTCGGTCAAGTAGAAGCATTTTCCCCGAAGACGTAACCAGAGTTTCGTCCACTGGTAATCCCGAGGACCAGGGGTTATAGAAGTTATGCGGCGAGTTGCAAGTCAGCCGAAGCTGCATGATGGGATTGCCCAGTTTCTTGACGGATATTTCTTTTTCTATGAAGTGTCAGTATAAAATCGCGGATAGGATTTCCTCTGATAGGATTTCCTCTGAAACGTACTCGCTAGCTCCAGGGTCCTGGCTCGCTCAATATCCTCCTGACTACCTTCACTATCGACGTCATGTTTCTGTTCCTTCTTGGCTATCTCCTCGGCAAGCCGCTTCTCAAATTCATCGTCACTAAGAGCATCTTCATCAGAGGGGTAGGAATTAGTGTAGGATTTCCTAGGCCGTGACCTTCTGGAGCGGACACTGGTGGCTGGGGTTGATTGTCTGCTTGACTTCGCCGATTTTACGACAGGCGTAACAAGCTGGTCGTGGGACTTGCGTTTAAGGGATGGCTTTGCAGTCTTTCCGGTCTTCGGAGGTGCCTTGCCTTTCATCATCTGTTGGAACGCGTTCTTAAGAGGGACTTTTACATCTGACAGTTCTTTTCGACGAGGTCTCAGGGCCAGAGGTTTGTCATCATCATCGCTTTGCTCTTCCTGAGTATCTTTCCGTTGGTCGATTTCGATGACTTTGGGGCTGACTTTGCGAGATACCGCTGGGCTATTGCTTGCTCCAGTTAATCGTTCCACGACTCTATCCTCAAGGAACTTCCGCGTGTCGATTGTCTTGTCCGTGATGGCATTGTATAGATCCGTTTGGTCCTTCGTCATCGGCGCATACAGGATATACTCGCGCTTTCTCGGCAGCATGTGCTCAACATCTGCCTTCACACGGCGAAGAAGCAGTGGTTGCAGGATAACGTGCATTTTCTTCACCAATTCCTGCTTCATCTTATCTTGAATAAACTCCTCTGTGCCCTCTTCGTCTTGTAAATCGGAGAAGTCAAACCAACTCTCGAATTGCTCCCAATTTGTGAAGATGTTCGGGAGGAGGAAATTTAACAGCGACCAAAGCTCTTTGAGGTTATTTTGCAACGGTGTGCCGGTAATCAAGAGCCGAGTCGCAGATGTAAACGTCTTTAAAACTTGGAACAACTTGGACTCCGAATTCTTCATTCGGTGGCCTTCATCCTGGCATAGGGGCATTAGTACAACGTGAATAGCGCGAGAAGCAAAAGGCTCACAATAATAATGAATTCCCAATTAATTTTCGTCAAATCCGCTTCATCCCTGAGCACCATCTCGGGACTGGTACAGACAACCGGGAACTTTTTAGTGACCCGCCCCTTGACAATGTGCTTCATCATATCATTCTTGAACAATTCTCTCCGATGTGGCTTAGTGCCGTGGTACAAAAGCACTGGAGCACTGGGCACCCACTTCTGAAATTCCTCGATCCAGTTAGAAAGGGTACTGAGGGGCGCAATGATCAAGTGCGGGCCGAGGTACTCTTCCTTCTCCCGCAGATGCGCAATAAGAGAGATCGTTTGGATGGTTTTTCCAAGACCCATCTCGTCTGCGAGGATACCGGACATGCCCTGGGTACAAATTTCAAGCATCCACGTCAGCCCTTCAAGCTGGTAATCGCGCATCTTCCCTCCAATCATACATTTTGGCTGCTCTGCCATTGTCAAGTCATGTTCACCAAGAGTTTGTCCATCCAGCGAACTCCCAACTCGTCCAAGAACTTGTGTTTTCCCAGTAAGTCGATTACTAAAAGCCTCACTCTTCTTCAATAGTTCCTCAAGTTGTCTGGCCTTCGTTTCTCGCTCGGCCTTCGTATCCTGCCGCTGGTTCTTCCTTCTTTGCACAGCTGCCCTTCTCTTCTGCTCAGCTTTCTCATTCTCAATATGTGCCTTCTTCTCTTCCTCGTACATCAACTTCTCCTCCTTGGTTGCAAATTCCGGATCAAAGCCATCGTCAAGGGGTTGTTCGGGGGGAGACGAGGGTGTGCTGGTGTCGAGCCTCGAGCCGGGCGACTGGGAGCCAGATTCGACATCAGAAGAGGGTAATGCCATTGCGATTATCGAATACAGAGATCGTGTTGTATGGAAGTCGCGAAGGCTCAAAGGCTAGGGCGCATAAATGCCAACTTGGAGATTGGCATGCAGGTCAAAGAACCATTGAATAACCGCTCTCCAGATAAAAGTGAAATGCGCAACAAAGGTTATAAATAAATCCACATTCCCACTTGCTCATAGAGCACGAGCGTATGACGCCTGTTCGCGAGGTAATAAATAATCTTTGTGAGGGGACGCGTAAAGTGGAAATCAGAAGCCGACGCGACGCGAAGTCATGAGGTCACTAAAAGGGCGTAGAGCAAAGGCGCCGGCTAGCCTTATTTAGACTAGGAGGGGTTACTTCTAACCATCGCCCTCCCCCCTTTTCTCAAGTGAGAAGAAACATTTCGTCGGACCGGGCTGCATTCTACATAACGCTCTAGTCTCTGGCTATAAGCTCAATTCTTCTATGTTACCTAGGTTTGTTAGTTTCTGTCAACTTAATATCGATTAATGTTATTTGCTGTTAATTCCGTTTAAAATGTATAAAGAAACTTGTAGTATTGTGAATTGGCCATTTTATTGCAAAGTGTATGTAATGGCTCAACGCAAAGCTAATCGCAATCTATGTAGTTGCATTGGCGCAATGTAGCTAAAAGTAACCCGGCGACACGCCGAAACATCCCCCAAACCCATGAAACTGCCCTGTAAGTGCTCTCGAACGAAACCCTCTATACCTTGTGTATAGAACCCCCCCGCAAAATCCTTTGTAGGAAAAGGATTAAAGGACGCTATAGCGAATAGCAACCGAGCGATCATCTGCGTTCAGGCCCGTCATCTCGTTGAACAGGGTGGCCACAGTCTTCCATTTGCTCGCTTCGTACTTTTTAACAGCTGCGACAAGAGCAGTGTCCCATTCACTAGTCCACTGAATCTTTGCTTCATCCATAGTACCTCTCTTGCGTTGCGAGAGTGGAATAAACTGTTTGCCTTCAGCCGCAAAGAGAAGGGGAGCAGTTCGATTATATCTATTCGCAACACCAGTGGCACTCAGAGTTGGCGACTTTCCGGTTTGCAGGCGCCTCTCGTTGAGGATCTGCGAAATGCGGGCAAATCCAATGCCTTTGTTCTCCTTCAGGTTGACGATTTCAATGTTTTCCGGGTCATTTGCTCCATAGCCACGGGGACAGATTTTGCCGGTTCGAGGACGCTTAATCCCACGCTTCAAGAGTGCAGCATCAGACACGTCTTTTTGTTCGACCATATCAGGGGCTTTATTGACACCCCATGGCATGGTTGCACCACTGTAACGCGATGGCTTGAGATTTTCGCCATGGTTGATGAAATCCTTGCCGCCTGATGCTTTAGAAGGGACACGAAGGGTTGTATAGGTGCCCGTCGTAAAGGGCTCATATGCCTTGCCTTTCCCTTTCTCCTCCCGGCGACTCATCTTTTTGTTTTTCCCCCGTGGTGGTCCCATCTGCTCAACAAACACATCATCGTCATCATCATCATCATATTGCTCAGATCCAAAGCCAAACTCGCTCTCGGAGTAGTTAATAGCGTCCAGATTGGCGGGGTCATATTCGTCGTCATCGTCGTCGTTTGCGCGGGGACGCTTTGAAGGAAAACTAGACTTTTGAGCTCCCTTCTTAGATGCACCCAGTCGATCAGAATACTTGGGGATGCGATATTTGTCAATCTGAGCTTGGACTTGTTCCGGGCGTCCATAGACAGAAGCAGATCGCTCACTGTAATTGTCACCTTCGTCATAAAAGGAGTCATCATCGCCGCGATATCCGTATGTTGGGTTATGTGCCATGTATTGTCCAGAAGGACCCGCTTCAGTGCTCTCAGTTCGACGAAAGCCGGAAGCTGATCTCGAGGGCTCTCCGCGACTCTGGAAATGCATAGATCCTGGAGCTGTACTGGATGATCCATAACACGTAGGGTTGTAGTAGGAGCCCTCAGCTAAACCAGGCTGGCGTGATTCAGAACGGCCCCGGCTAGGTCCACCAAGATCAGAAAAGTCATCAATGTCCATGTCATCCGCACTATAGCCTTCAGGTGGGAAGGGATTGTAGTCGTTCACGACACGACCTTTGGAGATTGGCTGAGATGGGGTTGTCCGAGGTGGTGCACTGGGAAGACTATCCTGGTACATTAAAGCACCTGTATCTCCACGGCCTACCTTGCGTGGTTCACGTCCAACAAAGCGGATTTCACTATTTCCCATCATACCGAGGCCAGGTATCTTGGAAAGATCTGCATTACCCTTCCCCCTCGCATCCAGCCGAGCCGGCGGCTCAGGAGTAGCAGCTGGCGAAACACCTTCGTTTGCAGCCATTTCATAGGCTATGTCTCTGTTAGTGAGATATAACAAAGAAATAAAACTAAATGACTTACCACGGGCATAAAAGCCAGACGGATCGTACACAGCAGCGCAAGTATTGCTTCCATTGCCGTCATCAACAGGATCAGATGCCGGTGGAGATTTTGAATCACTCGCATTGACTGAGAGAAGCTCCTCGGGAATACCTCGGACCGGAGACTTGGTAGCTTCTGTATTATCAGCGGCGGTAGAGCTACCGGGGGCAGGAGTGTTGGAGGGGTCCCGGTCAGTCATTTTGGTTTTATGAAGGTTCAAAGGTTAAGAGGTCGAGTAACGGCTGTCGATCTTTGATTGTTTGTCGAAGAGGGGGGTTGGTGTGCTTGCCTCGAGTTTTAGGCGCAACTTTTGAATGGAAGTTAGCAAATGATTCAAATTCGGCTTTGACTCGATGGAAGTGATAAACTATCGGAAGCAAACTACCACTTGACAGATCTAGGTAAAGTGGAACAGGTGTCAAATAACAGACTGCTGTCAAAAAGGATAGGGATAGCTCGCGACTTCGCGGAAAGGTAAGGCAGGCACGTGATCCCCGCAATAAACATCTGTCGAAGACATAATACGTCGGAGAGTATGAAGGCATCGTACCAGGTAGCAAATCAAGATGTTAAGGAAGATGATGTAAAGAGGACGTTGATGTGAAGAGGAAATTGGTGTAAGGAAGAAGTTGATATGAAGAGGGAGTGGATGTAACTTGAAAGAGGATGCTGATGTGAAGGGAAAGTTGACGTGAAGAGGAAGAGATAAGTGACGAGGAAGATCTAAAGGGAAAATAAATGGAATAATAAAACTTACTGTAACAGAGATGATAATGGCAGTGGTTTCTGCAAGCTAGGTTCTATTTAAATGTAAGCCATGTATACAAGGGTCGATCTAGGACGTGGAAGGTGACGGCTTGCAAGACATACCAATGTTTGTTGTTGTTAGTTGTTATTGTGAAACCGGAAGAAGGCGTGAGAAGTTGGGAAGAGTCTTTAAGTAGGAGGCAAAACGTAACCCGTCGCTCACTGTAAGGTCAAAGATAGCGGGTGATGACAGAAAGAATCGAGCTGGCGGGAAGAGAATCAATGGAGGAAAGACAGTCTTTGGCGAAAAGAAAGTCTTTGGCGGAGAGAAGGTTTTTTGGCGGAAAGAAATTTAATGGCGAAGAGAGTAGCCAAGGACAGAGCACCGTTTTGTGGCGATGATGTGCGGAAATGACAACAGCCGTTGGGCCACAATCACAGCCTGCGATGTAAAGCTGAGCGTAGTAGCACGGAGGGATGAATCTGAAGAATGCAAGTGTTAGTGTTGTGAAGAGCAGTGAGCGAGGAACAGAGTTAGGTAGAGTAAGGTCGTGTGTAATGAACTATTCGGTACAAGCAGGAAATAATTGGACTATATCAATACCAGGTAACATCAGGGAGCAGATGAATGGTAGCTGGTTGGATATGAGATAACTGAATGAGAAGTAGTTGCATGATAAGGGTGGCTGAGAAGTAGTTGGATGGAAGAAGTTGTACGAGAAGTAGTTGGATGGGAGGAGTGGTGCGAGAAGTAGTTGGAGGAAAGGGGTTGTTTGAAATAATTGTACGAGAAGTGATTGAGTAAGAAGTGGTTGTATGACACGAAGTTGAATGGGAAATAGTTGGAGGGAATCAGTTGTATGAGAAGTAGTGGTATGAGAAATAGTTGGAAGGAATGAGTTGTGTGAGAGTAATTGTATGAAAAGTAGTTGGAGGAAAGGGGTTGTATGTAATCATTGTACAAGAAATAGTTGAATGAGAAGTGATTGGATGAGAAGTAATTGTATGACAGGTAGTTGTATGAGAAATAGTTGGAGGGAATGAGTTGCATGAGAAGTAGTTGATTGAAAAGTAGTTGGAGGGAAGGATTTTGGCAGTAAAGATTCGGGTTACACCGGATTAATGGTACTCACGTAGTCTGAGGCTCAAATATCAACTGAAGGGGTTGAAGAATTAGGACGCTCCAATCCACCATAAGAGGGGAGGTTTCGACGCTCGAAGATCACCAGGAGAGTCGACAGACTCAGATGCCCGAAGGCAACCTGTGAGAGGCTGACAGATCGAGATGCCCGAATGTCAGCAGGTGGATGGAGGAATTCGTATTCAAAGAGTTCTAGACGAAGCGAAGTGGTTGTAAGGCAGTGGATGGCACGAGGCAGAAAGCTGAAGTGGATGTGGTCAAGTTGGCGAGGTACGGTTGGAGATAGAAGTGTTTGTTTTGTTTTGTGGAAGAGAGAAAGTTCGGGGAGAGGTGCGGTCGAGTATTTATAGGCGAAGCGACAGCAGGGGGCGGATCGAAAGCCACCCAGGTAGTGAATTCCTCGATGGCGATGGGTGGCAAGAGCCAGAAAGCCAAAGTGGATGGTTATGTGGATGAATTCGATGAGGCAAGGTTGGAGATCGAAGGTGTTTGTTTTGTTTTGTGGAAGAGAGAAAGTTCGGGAGAGGGGTGCGGTCGAGTATTTATAGGCGAAGCGACAGCACCGACCAGGTCGAAAGCCACCCAGGTAGTGGATTCCACAAGGGTGGTGGATAGCAAGAGCTAAAAAGCCGAACCGGGTGTGGATAGGTTCAAAGAGGCGGAGGTGGGAAGGGGGGAATCGAAGGGTTTGTTTTGTCTTGTGGAAGAGAGAAAGCTCAGGATGGATGAGTATTTATAGGCGAAGCGACAGCAGCGGCCAGGTCGAAATCCACCTAGGTAGTGAATTCCTCAATGGCGGTAGACAGTAAGAGCCAGAAAGCCCAAGTGGATTGGATGAATTCGATGAAGCAAGGCTGGAGATCGAAAATGTTGTGTGTTGAAGAAAGGAAGTTCGGGACGGGTGTGTGGTTAGGTATTTATAGGTAGAACGATAGTAGCGGCCAGGTCGAAAGCCACCCAGGCAGTGGATTCCTCGAGGGCGGTGAACGGCAAGAGCGAGAAAGCCGAAGTGGGTGCGGACAAGTTTGAAGAGGCTGGGAGATCGAAAGTGTTTTGTTTTGTAGAAGAAAGTTCGGGGCGGACGTCTGGTCGAGTATTTATAGGCGAAGCGACAACAGCGAGGGGGATTGAAAGCCGTTAGCCAGGTGGTGAATGCTTCAGGGCGGTGGATGGCAAGAAAGGCGACGCGGATGTAAACAAGTTAAAGGAGCAAGGTCGGAGATCGAAAGCAGTTAATTTGTTTTGTTTTGTAAAAGAAAAAAAGTTCGGGATGGACGTGCTGTCCAGTATCTATGGGCGAAGCGACATTAGAGGGGCACATCGACAGCCGCCTAGTGGTGAATCCCTCGAGGGTAGTGGATAGACCGGAAGGGAAGGAGAGGAAATGTGTCATATCATGATTTTGTGGCATTCGACCTCGCTGACCTAGCAGGTATCTGGATCAAGCGTGGTGGGATGGTAAGGCTGCTGAAGATGTAACGAGCCCTTGAAGAAAAGAAAAGATCGTCATTGGCAAATACAACGACGGTGCTTAAACCCACTAAAACAATATGTAATAAAAAGCCAGTTCAAAAGCAGAACCAGGTATCACAGATACAGTAGGCTTTTGGCAACTTAACTCTATAACTGCAGCAACTCAAGAGCAGTGAAGTCACCAATTAATCCAAAGGGCATTTTCAAGACGCCGCAGAATCGGCGCTCATAATACAAAATGCGACTGGGATATAACGACGACATTTCAAAGCTGGCAAAGTAATAGGGCGGTAATGAGATTATTCGGGGAATAATATCAAGTAATCTATGGTTTGATGGCAACGGGATAATGGCAAGTGTACGCGTATTGGTAAACAGAGATATATATACGGGGGATTGTACTTATGTGTCTCAAGCGCCTTAAACCCCAGTATAGCGACGACCAACAGAGAGCAGTACGAGACCAAACCATCGTCAAAAAAGGCATCAAAACAAGAAGGCAGGAATTGCAGTTATGGTAGAAGGCACTTGCCAAAACAAGGGCCCCAAAATACGCCAAGGGGAGAACATGCATGTTTCAACGACTCATCTCAGCAAATAGCAATAATATCATAATCCATAGCATCATACACGCTTCCTAATTTCCTAACATTATCTCAAGACCCCCTATAATCCCCTCATCAACTCCTCAATAGTAATCGGTTTCCTAACAGCATTCGAAAAGCCTTCATGGTAACTAACCCAAATCTTGTTATCACTCTTCCCGGTTTTCCCCTTCTTCTGGGGTACAGCATTACCATCTCTCTCCTGCAAAGGGTGGACATCTTCTTCTACCACTCGGCCGAAGAAATCTTTCTTCGGGCCAGATATCTTCTCCAGCACGGAAAGGTTTTCTTTGCCGTGGGGAAGAGAAAAGTCAATATCGTCATGGGGGTTTCCGGCGCGGTATCGAGCTTGGCGAGCTGCGTTTTCGCGGACTAGGATGTTCTTTTCGTATTCTTGATCGAGAACTTGACGGGCGGCGTAGCGGATGGGAGCTGCTGCGGAAGCGGGTGCTGGGATTGTTTCGAAAGTGACTAGCATATCCAAAGGTCTGAAGAAGGGGTCAGTGTACTTGTAAAAATAAAAAGGGGGAGAGCAAAACACTTACGGTTCCATGCGATACACCCATTGCGTATTTCTGCTTCCAAAATCGCCGTCGAGCTTTCCTCGCTCAAAGATAACATCAAGAGAGCCCATGACATCTACAGCCCTTTTGACCATGGCTTTCTCGGACTCCTTTCTCACACTAGCGATTCCTCTTTGATCACCACTTCCACCTACAATAATAGGTTTGATGTCTGGTGTTAACATTCTGACCAGATATGGGAGGAGATCTGTTGCAATATCTCCAGGGCTCCTAAAGCTTCGCAGAAGTGTGGGATTGAGACTAGCCTGTAAGGCAGTGATTGTGGCCCGGTTCCCTTTCTCTGCTTCATGGGCCTCATAGTCTGCTCTAGGCCCAGAGAATGGAAGGGGTTCCTCCGGCTCTTCTTCATCTCCCCATTTTTTTGTCTCTTGGCCGCCAAAGTAGTGGCGTGCTGGAGAGGAGAAGAGGTGGTGACAAGCAAGAATTGGCTGACTGAGGTAAGGTGTTAATTCAAAATCTTGATTTGAAAATACCCGGGAGGAGCAAGTGTCGTGAAAATGGAGCCATTCGTATGCTGCATCGGGTTTTGACAATATGGAATCGTCATTGAAAGGCTGGTTTGGATATTGTGCCCAGGTGTCAGTGACTATCCGGTCGATATCGCCACTGGTATCCACCATCTCTCTCAGTCTCTCCATGCCTGCCTTTTTGGCTAATTCAGCCACACCAAGTTGGGTCTTGGGGTGAGCGTCGGAAATATTAGGCGGTGGAAGGAGGTTGTCGGACTTGGGAAATCCAGCACCCTCCAGGAAGACTCTCTGGACAACTTCTTTGGCACCACCCCTTCCGATTCCTCTTGCCCCGCCTCCGCCATGCGATAAATTGCTCATCATGTTTTGTTCAACCCATTTTCTTGTTAATCTGGCATTGCCATCTTTACTTGAGGCTTTTAGTTTTCCTGCTGCCCACTCGCCAACGACCATGATGGATCTCAGATCGCCTTCTCCAGCACCTTCTCTTCCTTTTCGCGACTCGGTTGCACTTACTCCCCAGGTAGCTTCACATAATCTTCTGACGGCATCGCCATCACAAGAGACCCCTTCTTTCTCGAATACTGACTTCATACGAGCGATAACAGCATCCAACGGAGGTTTTCTAACATGTATAATTTCCGCCAGGTTGGAATGGCGTAGAGGCCGAAGGGACGGATGATAAACATCGTTGCAGATTAATATGAGCGGCCGCATCAATCTGAAATCATCGCCCTTCTTGGTTTTCCGAGAATATCCCGAGTTTGTACCTATCGCCGAAGAGTTCTTCTGGTCTAGTTGAATGAGATCGATCAAGGCTTTGACGAAACCGCCTTCTCCAGTGCCGCCTGACCCGCCAACTACACCGTCGACTTCATCGACTACAACACATAACGGATGGGCAATGGATTTGACCTGTCCCGCCTTTGTCGTCACTGTCGCGCCGTTCTTCACGCTCTCCGTGCCAGCACTGGTTCTTATCCTCCCCTTAACCACATCTCGACTCCTCTCATCACTAGCATTGATTTCCATGATCTCATAGCCAGCTTGTCTCGCGCAGACGTGAGCTAGGGTGGTTTTCCCAAGGCCTGGTGGCCCAGTCAAGAGTAATATTTTTCGATGGGGTTTCTCCTCCTCCGCTTCGACGCCAGGTCGTTTTATAACAGTGGGCTTAGATTTGCCAGATTTGGGAAACACCAGAGGGTCCCACGCCTTCAGCCACCTTAACACTTGACGATGGGTCCGGTCATCCCCTACAAGCTCCATAAAATGCCGTGCTCGGTACTTTTCCATCCACATCAACGTCCTTCTCGGTCTTGATTTTGTTGCTGGAGCTTCTACCGACGGGAGAACCTCCTGGGGTGCTTTAGATTTACTAGGCTTATCCTTTGCCGTCTCCTTGGATGCTTCGTCAATCAAACGATGAATGTCGATTCCATAGTAGCTCTTTTTGGCACGTCCAGCTTTGGTAGTTGATCTTGCTGCAACTAATTGCTCGAAAGAAACTGGCGCAGATTTCCTTCTCTGTGGTACAGATACTGATTTTCCAGAGCATGTTATCACATTTGTGCTTCTGAAAATCGGTCTACTCAGAAATGAAGGCATAGAAGGCACATCATCTATGTCGACAAATTCGGATATAGGTGCTGGAGGCGCCTCTTGGTGAACCGTTGGGCCGTCGACGGGTTTGGTTCCTCCAATCATGAAACCCAGCATTGATTTTATAGTTGTGTGGCCTCTCTTATCTCCTTGAAGCTGCGACGCATCCGCCTTACTCGCATTCTGGCAGGCGGGAGGGCTGGGGAACCTCGGATTTTCCAACATCCTACGTTTAGGTGCAGGCTCTGCCTGAGCAAAATCATTGTCCCCATCCGAGTCGTCTTCAATCAAAAAGCCACCCACCGATTTGGCCGGCCCCTTTTTTCCATCTTTTAGCAAAGGTCGCGAGCGCTTCGGGGCAGGTGGTGATGAGCTAAGAGGGTACGCAACGGGGGATGAGGCGGATGGCATTTTGGGAGTCGGCGGTAAGGAAGGAGAACGCGGAATTATACGAGGAAACGTGGGCTATTTCTTGCCAAAAATAATTAGCATTGCCTCTATGTATACGAGGTATATCATCTAGGGAAGTACTACCGTCAAGAGGAGAGTGGTGCCCTTCAATCCGAAGAAGGCTTCACAACAGTGATATGACCCCGAACTGGTACCAAATATCTGCTCGTAAACAGAATAATCAAATGTATATGCAGTCGCTAATTATCGGCATTGTAGAGGAGAGTCGTAAGCCGCTAATAGTGAGGGCGATTTCTGGTCCATCTAATTGTGTATTTTGACAAAGAACACTATTTACTACCCAGGTACGTAAAGTGGAAGTGTTTGACGCGTTCGCGACGCGCCGCGATTGCAGCAGGGGCAGGGAGCCAAGCACTTCAAGACTCGGTTACATAATGCGGTATGCCGAGCCAGAGAATTGCTAGGAGCCGTTGGCGAGTATAAGTTGTAACACTTGGGACAGAATCGATAGTCGATAAGGGACATAAAAATGGAATAGACATCCTCAGTTTCCATGTTATTGGCATTGTTAAATTAAGTGTTGCCAGGAGTATAAATAAATGACTTTCATCACTTTCATCACTTTCATCACTTTCATCACTTTCATCACTTTCATTACATTCATTACGTTCATTACTTTCATTACTTTCATTACTTCCATTTTCATTAACTCATCATCGGAATCCGACATCCGGCATGGGTCACGTGGAGGGCGTGCTGACTTCCCACCTTGGTAACCCGTAACCCGTAATCCGTAACCTGCGCCCCTACGGATATTACTAACCCAAGGTATATGCTACCCCGGACTCCCCGCCCTTCGATTGACTCTCTCCCTCAAATAACTCGGTTCGCCTTTATTATGATTATTAGTTGGTAGTCGAGCACTGTATTCCCGCAATCCGCCCCCTATTCCCATCAACCACGACGCCGATTCTCATTATATCTCGACTGCAGCGCGACACAAGCAGGCCTGTCCTTGGCCTAAGCTGCAATATGGATCAATTCCCCGGGTGTAATGTTACAGATACGTCCCCAGTCTCCGGCGAGAGCACCTTGGCGGACTCCCAGTCCCAGTCCCAGTCCCCCGCCCCAGCGGTTAAGCCCGAGGATAGTACAACGATCGGGGAGCCGCCTAAGAAGAGGCAGAGACGTAATAAGCCCACCTTGTCTTGTGAAGAGTGTGTGGAACGGAAAACTAAGGTTGGTAAACTCTCAATTAATACAACATATAATGTTGGTTCTTAGTAACCCCACCCCTGTTTTCCCCCCAGAGAAGTATCAAAAACTGCAAGCTGCAATGCGATTACTCATATCTCACTTTTTACAACGGCCTTCATTTTTTAAGCCGAAGTCGGCCCATGCAGCTCTACTCTGGGGCAATATCTCTCTTAAGAGTCTCAACTCAAGATACCAGAGGATAAAAGTTGTTTCTTCCATGTGCACTTGTCTAAGGTTGTCTCATGTTCCGGGCATCCGCTATTGAACAAAGAAATACCAAGATGCATTCCCTTCCAGCACTTATAACTTCCAGAAATACTCCAAGAAGTTTACACCACGCTAATACTCGAAATAGTGCGATAGAGGCCGGCCTCATTGTCTTGCATGTAAGGAATCATGCCAGTAATTGGAGTAATTGAAACCAATTGACCCCACTTACAGGTATAAAACGACAAACCGAGTGCAAATATGCCCGCGTGGCAAATATCTTAGAGTAAGTCAATCATCATAATATCGAAGGAGATATTTGTTAACCTTAAGCCTCTAGGGAGACCAATCGGTCCGTCAGCAATGCTCGACGCATGACAAAACCGCCAAAGAAGAAACAGTCCATGTCAAATGGCGTAGAAGGGCCAAAGCAAATCACCAATCCAAGTGAGAGGAGTGCCTCCCGAGGCTCAGTTTCCTCGTCTACCGGCCTCCTTTCCAACGTCCCCTATTCCCATCCCACGGCTTCCAACGTCTTTGGAATCGGCTCTGAACACCCATTCGCAAATTACTGGACCTGCCAGGGCGGCCTCCCTGAAGTGATATCCGTACTCCCAGAAAAGGTACAGGCAGATATCCTCCTGGAGAGGTATTTCGAGTGCGTCGACCCAGTATACCCCATGATCCACCGCCAGAACTTCTACTCAGACTATGAACAATTCTGGAGCCTTGCCCAACCCGAAAGGGACCGCGCAGATGCCACCCTTATCGCCATAATATTCTCGATGCTAGCAATGGGCACTCAATTCGTAACAACAACATCACCCCGAGAGCGGCAACAAACCGCCGAATTCTACGTCTCCGCAGCCCACCAGTCCCTCCGCATGAGTTCCTACCTAAACAAAACCTCCGTCCGCTCTATCCAGGCTATGGTTCTCATAACCTACTTCCTCATAAACGACAACCATGCTTCCGACGGATGGGCCTTCGCAGGCATCTTAATCCGGCAAGCCTACGCCATGGGCCTCCACCGAGACCCAGACATCGTCGTCCCGAACGCCAGTACCTTCGACAAACAACAACGCCGCAAGCTCTGGCAAGCCGTCCTCCTCCAAGATACGTTCCTAACCGTGCTGCTCTCCCTCCCACCAAGCGCCACACATACAGACGTCAACGTCGACGACCTAGTCGATGACTGCACCAACTTTTCGCACACCAGCCCCACCGACACAGCATACATCCGCGGGTGCTGGCTACTCGCAAACCTAGTCCAAGAAACCATCTGCTCGCCCCGCTCCCTCGACCTCCCCATCTCCTCCACGCCTCGACAAAAAGCAAAGCTCCTCTCTGATTTCCGCACCGTATACCGATCCTTTCCAGACGTCTTCCGATCCTGGGACGCAGAATCCCTCACCCTTCTCGCCCAAACTAATAAACGCATAGTCCGACAAACACTCTTCCTCACCTCGAACTACTTCCACAACGTCATGCTCCTCCACTCCTCCAGCAGCCCCGAAGTGCCTGTGAATGTGCGGGGCGCACTAGATGCCGCGCATGATGCGATTAATGCATTTTTCCTACTGTATAAACTATTCGAGAGCGAGGCGAAGGTGTGGTGGGTATTTAACCACAGGGGGTTCCTGGAAGCGCTTTGTATTGGCGGGATATTGAAGCAGCAAGCCGCCGATGAGGATGGGGAGACGCTGGTGAAGAAGGATCCGGTGTTTGTTAGGGCAAAGGCTGATATTGGTTCGTACCCCTCGCCCCTTTTCTTTCCCTGTCCCCTATTTTGTAACTCCCCCACCCCCTAAGTTTCCATAACGCATTTATATACGCGAAGTATCCTCAAACTAACAACCCCTCCCAAAATCTAGTCCAAATGATCGGAATAATGCAAACCATGAGCGAAGGCGAACACGGATCCCCCGTCGCGGCAACGCGAGTTTCTGTATTAAATACCTACTTATGACTAGTGTAGCTATCTCACCACCAGCATATCATAAATAATACAAAATACCCATACAGTACATAGCTATTCGTCCCCATGACAACGTTTCACGTTCTAAATTTTAACTTTCCATTTTTGGTGAACGGAATCCATCTAAGGAAAAGCCATAAACATCCGACCCGCTTTCATAGCCTTCATTTCCTTCCCCGAGCCCTTTTGGGGGGTAGTGGTCATAAAAATAACGCCTTCTATGCTTCATTAAAAAAAGCAACGCACGTCGTTAGAATAGAATTTCCGGAAATTCATGAGCCCTTCCGCACTACTTCGCCCACATTTTCTCAACATGTAGGTCGGTACCTAGGTAAGGTAGATTTCTAATCATGTCTCCGAGGATTCCCGCCAAAGCGATCCCGTAGCCAAGCTAGGGGTCCTGTACCAGTACCCTGTCCCCCAGACTGCGAGCTCCTCCGAGAACCCCGGGAATCGTCACTGCTGCTCGTATGACTAGCACCTCTGGTATCACGTTGGCTCTCGTATCGATCATCTCTATCCCTCGGCCGTGAAAATATCGATGTGGAATACCCCCCCGTCCTTGATTCATCGGCTGTTTGGTCCTGTCGAGGCTGGCCAACTACGTGCAATCTCCTATTGGCTTGATACTCTTCAGCTGGTGTTGGTCTTCCAATATTGCGGATGGCGTCTAACCTAGCTTCGTTTCTGCCGCTACTATTTGAGGTATTAGTAGGACTTAATCGTGGACTTGATACGCTCGCGCTGCGAGGTTGGGGATCGCTATGAGCCGGCGAGCCGGTTTGGCTGGATCTTCGGACATTTGGGGAGGTTGAATCGCCTTCGATGCCTTTCCTACAGATGGGGCAGGTATTGTGCTCACTAAGCCATGCGCCTGCACAGGCTTCATGAAACCAGTGGGAGCAAGGTAGGAGAGCCATCTCGTCTCCAATCTCGACATCGTCCATGCATACACTGCATTCTCCTTTACCTTCTGGGCCTAGCATCTTCTCGTCTAATTTTTTCTTTGGAAGTGCTGCTATGGCGGCGGGGGATGCGGGGCCAGGAGCATTGGAGGTAGGGTGTTGCTCCATCAACGTCGAAATTATCTGATCGAGAGCTTCTTGTGAATACACAGCATCCCCTGAATGGGCACTCCCCGCATTGAGTATTGACGCAAAAAGAGCTTCAAGGCCCGGGGGCATCCTATTGGGATTATTATTGCGAGGACGATGCTCATCGCTCGGGGCCATGGCACCAAATATACTCCCAACGATCCTAGCAACCTGGTCAGGAGGGTTTCTAAGGATGATGACAAGTGGTGGAAGGCCCATAGGAGAAGTTCTGCTGGGAAGGGAATCGTACGTAGCTAGATCATCAACCCGGGCACCATCTGCTGGCTGCGGCTCGTCTGCATTTCTTGGCCGCAAAGGCCCAGTAGTGAATGTAAATCGTCCACCGGTTATACGAGGACCTGAATCACCGCCAATACGGATACCGCCACCACCAAAAGTGTTCTGGGGGTACAAAGTTTCGGGGCCTGATCGTCCAGCTTGACCAGCACGAAAATCTGGCCCCATCAGCGAGCCCAACATGTTTTGGAAGCCCGCCATGACATTGTCTGGATCACCCTGCGATGCTGCATCTCTCCTGCCCTGGTTCCCAGACGTACCATGGGGTCTCGACGTACGAATAGTCTGAGTAAAGAATATGGACCCCCCGGGGCCATGCGTCACATGCTCCTCTATATCTGCATCTTCTGGGTCCGAATCACTGCCTGCCCAAGGATTATGGTTGTGCAATGGGTGTGGTGGTGGCTCCTCTCGAATAGGTCGAGGATCGTTATCGGGAGTAACCTACAACGAAAATTAGCACGTCCGTCAATAATGGCCAGATTCCGAAGCCAACGGGACTTACTATCTCCGTAAATTCATGCTGACACCGTGGGCAAGTCAAGCTCTCGCCGTCCCGCCACCACTCGTTATCACATTGGTGACAATAAACCACCTCCCGCGGGCCTGAAGCATCCAGATGTCCATTATCACCGCGACCATATGTGCCTTCAAGAGTAGGATTATCTGCCATGGCGTCTCGTATGCCCTGGAAGGCGGCAAGGGCAGTCAAACCGAGACTTACCGCCAGGCCGGTACCTCGGAGTAATCTGAAAGCCGTGGTGGATGGGCGCCCTTCTTTCGAGGGCGCAGCTCGGAATTTTGTATTTCTTTTCTTTGAGAGACGACTTCTGAATTTGATTGTTGTGTGCTCGCTGCAATCAGCCTAGGGCGGGTCCAAGGAGATGCAATCAGAGTGATGCAAACTCCCTTTCGTAGAGGTTGTCTCGGAGTAAGCCTCCAGTCGTGTACGATTGGATTGAATAGGATAATTATAAAAGGGTAGTGAATGGCGAGTATCGGCGATAACGGGTCAAATATCGATCTAGAGAGCAATGTGTCTGCTGCTGCTGCTGAGGTTGGGAGAAGGAGAGACCGTGAGTTGGGCCAGAAGGCAGAATGTTTGAGTTGGAGTTGGAGTTGGAGTTGGAGTATCTTGAAGTTCGACGTTTGAAGTTGATAAATCAATCCCGTGGTATCGTTGGGCCGGGCTAATAGTCAGCTTGCTCCCTCCTCGGCGTTCGAGGCTGTGACGCATTTTCCAAGCCCCCCTGCAGTCTTTAATCGATAACGAGCAAGTGGCAAACGGCGGTAGTTAGTTGACGCGCAAATAAAGCCAGATATCTCTCGATATTAACACCCGGTATTTAAACGAGATGCTGATGTCCAGTAGGAAACCTCATATTGAGCCGGCTCGTGAATCAAATATGTTGTTGACGTGGTCAATTTCCACTCTTTCCATCATTTTCGACAGGGTTCGCTATGATTTCGCGCCAATTATTTCGTGACTCCGGCCAGCTATATCAATGCCGTGATTTCCTAAAGAGATCCTATCAACTTGGAGACAAATTTCTGCTAAGAGAGCAGGCAATAAAAGGCTGTTGTCAGTAGAGCATACTCGTAAGGGGTAAATAAACCAAGTCAGTTTAGCGGTGGACGACTTGCAAATATCACTATCTATCGCCATGTATTGAAGTGCGCCTGTATCCAAAGCAGAGAGGTATTTTCTCATCCGTTATTTATACACATTTATACTTGTATGCCCTGCGAGTATTGGTATATTAAGAACAACCGCTAATCGTGCATTATCATTCCGCCTCAGCTCTTCTTTCCATTTCCATTACCCCGCATTATCTCTTTCTATTCCCAAGACCCTTGAATATCATTCCACCCACGACACCAGCAGCAATAGCAACACCGCTCAAGATAGCAACGCCCACTAAGCCCTCCTTCGCCACCTTATCATCGATGAGGCTCCTCAGACTGCTTGCTTGCAGGTTGGCCGGTTCCTTCTCCAGCAGTAAATCGTTGTATCGTCTTGCTTCGGCGTAGTTTCCGAGTTTGAAGTTTCCTAATGCTAGGTAATATAGGCATTCTCGTCTTCGTTCGGGGGATGTGCGGAAGATGTCGGAGAGGAGGCGGACGCCTTCTTGTTGATCGTGACGAGTGTTGGATTTGATCAGGCCCTAGAAGAGTGTCAGTCAAGGCCATCTATTAAGAGAACAATACAAAAAATAAGGAAGCCGGTACTAACCCATGCAAAATTGAATTTGGTCTGTACTCCCACATGTTCCCCTTCCTTCTCATATTGTGATCGAAGAACTTGCAGCTCCGAAGGCTTCAACGGACTGGTGGAGGCGTTAGCTCAACGTACTCTCTACCGTCTAGTTCTGTTCCAATACACCACAAGGTCCCGAATAAAAACAACTGACCTTTCAGCATCGGCAGCATCTAGAAGTAAATGGGTGGTCAGCAAAGCGGTCTCTAGGCGGAATGCGTATACGAATATCGTAAAACAAGTATGCAGCTCCGTATCCAGACAGGTGTTGTTAGCCATACTCACAGGGAAGATTTGAACCCATCATCTCTAGCTATCGCACGGTATCTGTAATGTATCAAATTATGCTTCGGCAAGTAGGTGCGAGGTTGATTATGCTTTTAGAGTTCGTCGATGTTCCAAGTTCGTAGTTCACCAAAGGCCGAGGAGCTCATGTGGCGTTGTGGCTTGTGATATGGTACGTCACTGTTGCCCCGTCAACAATTGGCAGCGAAGCAACTCAGAAGGTTACCAGGGCATCAATCTCGAAACCGCATCGTGAGCAAACATTGACAACGGCCGAACAGCATCATATTGCAAATTCCGATAGAATTAAAAGAAACTTGATCGTTCTGGCACACGAACAAAGCTCAAAATGCTTCTCGACGAGGATCCTGCGACGGTAAGTCACCAAATACACCCGGCGCATCACTCCTTGCCTAACAAAACACAGCTCATCCACCACACAATCAGTAACTTCAACATACAACCCGACAAGCTCGCCGTCGCCCGCATAAATGACTCGCTTTCAACTCTCCAACAAGCGCGAGATCTACGAGCTCGAGAAGCAGAAAGCGCCCTAAAAAGTAATACAGCCTCCCGGTCCACAGCCAGTTCCTATCGTGAGCCCTTCTAACGTACAAACAGAGCTCTCTAGAACCCTCAACAGCCTCAACAACCACCACCGCGAAACCATAACCTCACACACCGCGCGGGACCATGCCAGCGAGATTGCCACCCTCGACACGCAAAAATTCCGTATCGCGAAATCCGCCTCAGACCTAGAAATCGAATCCGAGCGTCTAGCCTCGCAGCTCGCCGACATGCAGGCGCGCTTGCAAGAGCTAGACCTGCAAGGCAATGAGGGAGGCGATGATGTGCGGAGGAGCCTGGTGCAGGACGAGATTAGTCTGAAGCTGCGGGTTTTTAGAGGGTTGGGTATTGATATTGAGAGGGATAAGAGTGTTGAAGGTGCTGGGTATAATAAGGTTATTGTGAGAAATGGGAAGAAGGGCGATGTGCATGTTGTGCATTTGGATGGGAAGTTTTCGAGGTTCTTCTATGCGAATTATTTTTGGAATACGGTTTAAGGGATAGGATGGGCTTGGTGAAGGTGGTTTTGGGCGGTTCTCGGGGTCCTGGGATGGGCGTCTTGGAGTTGGTGCTTCGAACGTTTGATACCATGAATGAATAACAACATGCGATGGTATATAAGAGTTGGATTTTTCTGCTGGTGTAAAATACGAAATCACTGGAACCACAATGCCCCAGTGCCTGAAGAACGCTTTACGCAGAATATATATATTTCAAGGCCGTTTAATCATTAACTTATCGTAGTCGTCCCTTCGTCAATCACCCAGGCGATCACCATTACCGTTTCTTCATAGTCAACCCTAAGGTAGGGCTTTCATTACTTGTCGCCCCTAAACTAGGCGCCCTTCGATCATGCTTCGGACTATTCTGCCTCGGCGATGCAAAATACCCATCTCCAAATCCTCCTCCAATAATTGGAACCGTAGGCGGCGTCCTAGTCCTCCCGGTATTCATAATTGTGGCATCCTCTCCATCTCTCCTTCCCCACTTCACCTCCCCCCTCTGTGGCACACACCCGCTCGTCAAGCTTCTCTTATGCCTCCTGCCATAGTTCGCTGGCAGCTCCAATCTCGAATTGATCTTCGTCCACAAGCCTTCGTCTTCATCCGAGGGGTTATCCAAACGCCAGCCCCCAACACCCTCGAAATCCCGCGTCGGTCCCACGCTGGCACTCAACCCCAGCACCGAGTTCGGTGAACTAAGCAGCACATAGCTGTCACTGCGAGAGGCTAGATTTCGGACAGGCGTTAAGCTCCCCGTTGCGGAGAGGGTACTACTTGAGCTGGTTCTGCGTCTCCTCCTTCGCGCGACGGAAGGCGGGGGCGAGGAGGCGGTCGTGTGTTTCTGAGACGCGGGGTCGGCGAGGATGCGTCTCGCGCCTCCTTGGAGGTAATACGGGATGACCGCAATAGCAAGGTCAATGTAGACTAGGGCAACACGAAAGAGGAGAACGCTGAAGGCGATGACTGTGGTGAACCACGCAAATATGCCGAGCGAGATGCTGAAAAGGATGACGATAGGGAGGGTCGGGATCCGGTTTAGGAGAGATATCATTTTTGTGGGATGGGAGTGGATTTGGCGCTCATGAATTCATACTGTTGGTATTGTACGTGGTATTGCAGTTATAAAGATAGTTCTCTTTACTTCGTACCAAATCGCGTCAATAATATATTAGATCAAAGGAAGTCTTTGCTTAAGGAATGGCCGTTGCTGTAATAAACACATGTGATTGCGGAGTGATGGTCCGGGAGGCCTCGGCCGCTCCCGGAACTTAACGACGTCATCAAAATATAAACACGAACTTCATTATTGCTAGGATTAATTCCTTCTAAAGCATAGCCATAACAGGCTTAGCAGATATTCGCTATTCCTTAACCAAACACAATATACCTACCAATAGGAAAGCCTCAGACAAAACAGAAACATTTTGTAGGCCTACCTACAGTTCCGGTTTGATATGTGCGTTGATTCTACAGATGAAAACACCATGGCCTCAGAATCAGAATCATTCTCAGGGGGACAGCAGCTCCACCCTTTCCCCTGGAAATTAGGTGTCTACGATGCCCATTGCCACCCCACCGATACAATGAGTCTCGTCCCTTCGATTCCTGATATGAAGGCGCGTGTCCTGACTGTCATGGCGACAAGGGGTGAGGATCAAGAGCTTGTAGCTCAAGTTGCTGATGCATATGGTCTCAAAGCTGCATCGGCAGGGTATATGACCGAGCTATCCAAAACGGAATGCCTAGTGCCTGCTTTTGGCTGGCATCCGTGGTTTTCACATCAGATGTATGATGATACGGAGGTCTCGCAGTCCGATGCTGATTCTGAAGAATTTAAGATCCGCCATTATCAATCTGTTCTGACGCCGAAGCCGGATGACATTGTGTTTCTTCGGTTTTTGCCTCAGCCTCGGTCTTTAAGACTGTTTCTTCAAAATACCAAGGAGTATCTAGAGAGGTATCCCTTGGCACTCGTTGGAGAGATAGGTTTGGATAAGTCATTTCGACTTCCTACAGACCTCTCGTCCGAAGGAGAGGTGCCGAGAGATGAATCGCTTACCCCTGGGGGAAGGGAAGGGAGACATCTCACTCGTTATAAGGTCCACATGGATCATCAAAAGAAGGTTTTAAAAGCGCAGCTCAAGCTGGCCGGCGAAATGAAACGAGCCGTATCGCTACACGGTGTCCAAGCCCACGGAGTCATGTTTGCCACCCTGCAAGAAACTTGGAAAGGCTATGAGAAAACAGTTCTAAGCAAGAAAGAAAGAAGAAAAGTTTCGGGAATACAGCATCCGGAAGACGAAGATCCAGAAACCTCGGTTTCCACTGATGATTCTCCAAAACCATTTCCCCCAAGGATATGCTTGCATTCATACTCCGGGCCTCCAGATCCTATCAAGCAATATCTGCATCCGTCTATCCCGGCCGAGATATTCTTCTCGTTCTCTGATGCTATTAATATGTCTACACCAGCCTGTTCGACGGCTGTTGAGGTTATCAAGGCTGTTCCAGATGATCGTATATTGGTTGAAAGTGATCTACATATGGCCGGTAAGGAGATGGACAGGAGGCTGGAGTTAATAGCACGCAAGATTTGTGAGATTAAGGGTTGGGATGTAGACGACGGTGTCAAGCAATTGGGGAAGAATTGGGAGCGGTTCGTGTTCTCTTCGTGACCAAATACCGGCACCGTACGCTACGCTACAAGGGAGAATCTAGCAAAACAACATACAACGTACACCAAAACACACCTTCGCATTCTAGTCTCCACATATACTCTACCGGTCAACAATACTAACCACTATCTCCCCACTATTAATATCAACCAACATCCCCACCTTCTCACCCTCTTTAATTTCCCTATCGACCTCCAAATACCGCTCCACAAGCACATCCTCCACTAACCCCTTAACGGCCGTGATCAAACTTCTCGCTCCCAGATCCGCATGGTATTCCGCATCTGCTATTACTTTGCATACACTTGCATCTCTGCGGATTCGCAATTTGATGTTGCCAAGAAGTTGTTCGTTTGGTCCAGGGGAGAGGTTTACCGATGTGCATACTTTCTGGGAGAGCTCGAGAATGTATTTGTGTACAACGACAGCTTGCTCGCCTGGAGAAAAGGGTAGGAAGGGAATGAAGGAAGAGACGCGACCTGTGAGGGGAGACTTGTCGAAGTGTTAGGCGCTATAGTTCATTGTGTAAGGAGGGAGACGGAGCTTACATCGAATATGCGGAGGAACTCCTGTTTAATCTGTTTGGACAACTGTTTCATTAGTGAAGCCATCTTATCCTGATCATCATCGATGAATACTGCATCATGATTCTGGGAACAGAAATCTTTGATCGTGGGATCGAGGGCATTTGTCGCCAGGATCCATATGGTTTTCGAGCAGTCTATTTTCGAGCGGTTTCGGCGGTCCTCATAATCTCCTACGGATTTGTTAACAATCGAAGTCTGCGAAGTGGGGAATTCTTCACTTTACCGGAATCAAAAGGAAGTAATAGAGTCTGATGGATATCCCTACTCGTCTTCTCAAACTCATCCAAGAAAACAATACACCTCTCCCCCGCCTTCCTCGCTAGGAAATTATTCAATGGCGACCCCTTCTCCCATTCGGCCCAGGGAGCACGAGGTCCGAATAATTCCTGCTCCCGGCTAAATATCGTACAGTCCACCACTTCGAGCTCCAGCGACAGAAGATGTCCAAGACTTCTAGCCAGCTCCGTTTTCCCATGGCCACTCGGCCCGGCGAAAACCAAAACCAATGGCCGTTTACCGGGGATGAGTATATGACTTAATAGCTTCTGCAGGAGGATATTTGCTGCAACGGTCTGCCCGATAAGGAAATACGGGATTCCGAGGAGAGCTTCTGCGTTTCGCCGGAGTGCTATCTGCCTATGTCGGATAGATGGTTTCTTTGTTTTAGCAGCTCGCTCGAGGTAATACCTATGAGTGAGATTCGCCATTTTCGCAAGTCTTCCTCTTGCGGAAACTGTGCACCACTTTTTATCCACCTCGCCGATATCACCTAGTTCCTGCTCTTCTGGCCCATCGTCCGGCAGGTCGCGACAAAAGGGCGTGTAGAACGCTGCTGGGATACAATTAGGTATAGCTCCAAGGCTAAGAAGCGTGGCAAGCGTGCGTGTTGTATCCTCTTGGATCGTCTCGCTATTCAGTATTGCGAATGCAAGAAGAGGTACTCCTGAGGCTCCATGGACGCTATTAACGTCTCCTCCGTGGGCAACCCATATCCGGATAGTCGCCTCGTTGTTGGTGGCTACAGCGAAGAATATGGCTGGGAATCCCTGGACTCCTTCGTTGATTTCCTTTTGCACAGTACGCTTGTCATAGTATCCTAGGTAGTTCTGGATCATTTCGGGAGGTGCGCCGTACTGCATGGCGCCAGCTATTTCAGATATATCGAAGTTGTTGCCGGGTGTCAAAGTTAGCGGGTGTGGGATTGTTGGAAGTACGAAATCCCATTCTGGTTCTTGGAATACTTCTTGTTCTACTGGTGTCTCTTGCATATATTGGGCACCTTCAACTACTTCGGGCTGTCTAGGAGGCTGTGGAGCACGCTCTTTGCTCGAATCTTCTATATTTCCTTTCGGCGTGGTTTGAAGAGTTTCCACCGGAGTGGGTAACCCACCTTCGAGACGAGTTTCAAAGTGGGATCCAGCAGGTTGGGGAATTTCACATGAGCTTTCATCGCGCTTTTCCCTAGGCGGCTTGATGAATTCAGAGCTTTGAGAGGAGCCGTCATCCGTTGACGGAGTATGAAGACTTCGTCCATTTCGTATTGGGACGTTCAAGATCTGTCCATCTGTTGGTGGTGGTACAGTCAAACCTCGTCCCTTCGTCATTCTAGCATTCACAAGAACTCCGGTTTCTCTTGCTTGTTGAGGCATATCAGTACTAGATCTTGGAGTTGTTGATGTGGAGGATTGAGAAGTTGATGTCCTGGACCGGCTCATATATGCGGCCAAGGTCCGATGATGGTGCTTGGCTTTTTCGGGATCATTATTCGCCCACTGTGTTCAATGGGGGTTTAAATTATTATCCCATTCCAAAATTGTGGTATATCTTTGGAACTTACGTGGAGTAGCTTGATTGCTCTGTCATGTGAGCAATTGCAGCTATTCATAACATCGGCCATAAGTCCAGGGTCTGGCCCTATGGACCCTTCCAGTGGGATGGGCTTCTCTGACGACATCTCTCTACTTGGGACATACCTAGTACTCAACAGAGACGTGAGTTTTGGTATGTTGGGTACTTGCTACGCGATCTCAGTAGAATGGAAGTGTGGTCTTCGAGGCTCAAACTCACCCGACCGCCACACCCAAGAATTAGGAGACGAGGCTCGACGGCCACTACTCGAGTACTACTATTGGGCATGCATGCCACTCCGATGAATTATGGACAAACTCCAAAAACCAAAGTGCCTTGCAAGGCGCCTTGAGAAATGGACCTGTCTGAGGCTCTTCGCAGTCCAGAACAAGCTTTGGGCTTTGGGCTTTGAGCTGGAAGTCTGGCCCAATTTGCGTCGTACCCTTGTTTCAATAAACCCCCAAATCACTCGCTTTAAGACACGGAATATACCCCTCCAATAGCGTAGCGCTGGCAAATGTGATATCGTGCATGAGGCTGAACGCCCCGTTTTCTTATCAGTCAAGTAGGTAAAAGCGGCGACAGGATCAGATGCAAGCAGGAAAAACGAAATAAATCCGACCAGGTGAGCATATTTCTACGCCTCGTTGAATTTTATTGGTTTCAGTGCTTGCTTGCCATGTGGTTTCAGTGCTCGGGGTTTGGGGTTTGGGGATTAACAGCGTGTAGTGTACGAAGTACAGAGTCTAAGGGATGCAGGAGATTCCGCCTCGAGCCCCCAAAAATAGGACACTTAACTGCAAGTTCCCCGCTCAGGTATTCGGATGAAGAATATGGCCCCCAGATGCTGCGCCGTTCCACGCCGCCCCGTGGTTCTGTGACCAAGTCTATCTCTCCGTGGTTATAAACAATTGTACTCAAGTAAGCCATTGCAGGTGAGAGGAGGACTACGACATCCAAGATGCGGCCGCATCCTAGCAACAGGACAGAGGTTCCCCCTGGGTTGCCTCCATCACTCTTCGCGCAAGTTATACAACCGCAACACTATAAGCAACAGTCGCTCTATGAGGCTCATCTGGAAGGTCAGCCTTCCACGCCTAGCTACCCTTACATCCCTTCCCAAAATGATAGCGCGCAGTTAGAAAATTTAACCCGTCAGTTGGATAGTGCCCGACAAACAGCGTCAAATCTTTCCAAGGAAAATGCAAAGCTTAAGAATGATTTCCAAAACGAGCAGAGACGGTTATTTGCCGATAATGAAAAACTTAAGAGAAGCTTAGTGGAAGCACAGACTGAAAGAGAAAATGGCCAGGATGCGCTTGATAAGATGTTGATGGATTTGATGACGACACAGCAGGAACTGGAAGAGAAGACTTTGATTCTTGCACAAAAGGAAGCCGATAACTCGTCAGCAGTTTTGATGAAGGAGAAGGAGGATGAATGGCGGGAGAAGGAGCAGCACATGATGTCATTGCTCGCGTCTAAAGAAATGGCGGTTTCGCAGCTGGAAACTCAGCAACGCGAGTCCCAGCAGATGATGGCACAGCAAACGATTTCCCAACAAGAGGTAGAGGAATTACGCATGTCACTTGCGGCGAAAGATGATATGATCTCGCACATGCAAGCCACGCGACATCAATACCAAGAACTCGAATCGAAATATAACGCTCTAGCACAGAAAACACAATTGCTAAACGAGCTACTTGCAGCAAAAGACGCCAGAAACACACAAATAAGCTCCAAAATAACCACATCAAAAGCATCTCCAAAGGATCCCTCCCATCAAGACCCAGACAACGAAGTCAGACGATTAATCGAATCGCAGGCCGCGGAGCTAGAACAATCACGGCCTATGCTAAACTTCTTCAAGAAGAATAGCGAGGGTTTGTCTAGAGAGGTTAAGGACTTAGGGGCGAAGGTGAGGGAATTGCAGGATGATCTGATGAGTAAGGATCAGGAGATTGAGGGGTTCAAGGCGAGGGCGAGGGGGTTTGGTGACCGTGAGGGCTCTTGGGGGGGGAGATGAGGATGCCATATTACTCTGCAGCTGGGTTTTGAGCTAAAATGATATAGGGCAAGTAATGGGAACGGTGGTTCGGAGTTTTAGGATTTAGGGGTTGGGGGTTGGGGGTTGAGGGATAATTGGGGGATGTGTTGTTATAGCGATCTATTGCATATCTCAAAAACGCTATTCACGAAATAGTAGTAAACAATTGCTGGTACTTTACAAGTTACCCCGGTATCTAAATGTCGGTTTCTCATTAAGAAATTTCCGCAATCCCTATAACCAAATGCAAGTCATCGAGGCCAATCGCCATTCCGATGCATCCATCTATCGTAGACATCATCCAAACAGTTTCCGCATCATAGTATGATATAAGATCCCAAACGGTATAGTCAAGAAAATGAGGACCGTCAACTGAATAGATTCCTGGGAAATCTAAAGCCAACAAATATGGTCAGTATGAATATCTCAAATGCAAATGTGAGGGTAGTTTGATCTACGTACGAAAAGTAGTCGGGATGTGAAGTACGCCATTACAACCCCGTCCGCAACGGCGAAGACGAGGTATGGAAATATTAAGGGATAGAACAGTGCAGCCAGGACGCCCATACAGCCAGTCGCCATGTTGTAGATCATTATTGAGTGGTTGATGGGGATGGATTGCTGGTGGAGGAAGAGTATCCTGCAACATCGCCATACGAAGATGCCGATGAGTGCGATATATATCAACTATCATGATAGGTAAGCATATGTTGGTTTGGGCATATGGGAGAGTGAGGAGCCTACACAGAGAAGTGCTATAACGGTGGTGGCACAGCCACCTCGACGCTTTTGGTAGTAGGTGGTTGGCGTAGAGTACATATTTCCGTAGTATGGTCTGGTGTGCGCCAAACCACCCCCAGAAGGTTTATTCGCCTTTGTCCGAGTTTCAATATCACGCCCATAATCTGCTTGCGGTACTATGGCCCTTCTTGCATCGTCCATGGCCTTTTGTTGGACAACTTCAGGATCATGATCACACTTTGGATTCATCAACTTTCCACAACTCAAATACCAATGATCGATGCCATAGATCCGCGGATCTCGAGTCTCTTTATTCGCCATAAATGTCCGGGAGGCTCCTTTCAGACCAGAGTACTCGTTTGGCTGCTTCCCAGCTAGGTAGGAATTCCATGCAACCCAATGATCACTGAAGCGCCGTATAGGGGAATCCGCTGGGGCTTCCCTTTCGACGTACTCCCACGGCCCAAAAGTTGCCAAGGCACAGGTTTGGATGAACATTGAAAGCGCATATTTCTTGAAATCTGCGGAGCGCAACTTTTTCCCCAAGACCCAGGCGGCGGCGGCATTCGACACCCATGGTTCAGCAGCTGAAGTCCTAGCCGGGTCGTAAGGGGTCGGGGGTTGTTGGTTCTGTACCCACTTGGAAAATAGATCAAAAACAACGGGATTATCATCGAGAAGCTCAAGGTTATCGCTCGAGCCCCATTTTCCACAGGCCTCTCTGAAGTAATCGGAGCAGGCGCAGAGTTTGTCCTTGGGGAGGCGAAAGACTCTCTGGACACTATCTCTGCCGACAGTAATCCGGAGAGATTTCGCGGATGGAGACGACCTAATATTTGAAAGTTAGTATGAAATGCCCAAAGGCCGGAATTATGTATGTTATTTGGCTCCATGATTTTTTGCGACTTTGCCTGCTCTGACATCAAGATATGGGGGGTTAGGCGGTTCTAACAGAGATGAGTCCAGAATGACATGAATTTGGTACCACTCCACATTTCAGACGCAATTCAAATAAGCCATCCCGTTCGCGACTTGATGAGGAGTCCAGTTAAGACACAAATAGACAAATCAACCTACCCCTGAGTGTTTGCGCTCCATCCTCCGCCTACTACAAACGAATTCGCACTGGTAGGCAACTCAGTTGCGGGAACTTGCTGCTGTTTCTCGGGATCAGACAATGGACCGCGAGGATTCCAAAATGACCATGATCTGCCGTTGGCTGTCGATGGTGGTGCCTGCATTTGGACCAGCAGTCGGACAAAGCGAGCGTAAGGGTAATTGCAGACCCAGCATCACATAAATCTTAAACTCGGTGCAGGATTGCGATGGACACCAGTATTATTTACGAGTATCTGGGCCTAGGTACCTTGGTAGAGTGTGAGGATTCAGGAACTGGGCCTGGGCTCTCGAAGACGTAATTCAGCCTCGTTGGCCAGGAAAATCAATACGGCGGTAGCCGTGAGCGGGATCTGGAACCTAAGCCACCCATGAGATGAGAGGTCCTTCGAGGCTGGGCGGTTCCGTTCAATAGTTAAGGATCCCATTTTTAGAATTGGGATTGGGTACTCCCCGTGAATAATAATGCACGTACTTCGTAAACAAACATTGGCTTCGCAGGCGAGACGCTTTGACTGCAGCAAACGTACTCAGTTGCTCGCTTACGATTACGAATCTCAGCTTACCCCTTTTCTACTTCAACCTCCTCGTCCATCATGAATTAATCCATAACAAACAACTCTCCCATCAATATCCATTCACTAGACATTCTACTTTACATAGCTGCACGCCAGCTTCGAATTCTTTCCCAGGGTTTTGCCACAGGCTAAGGGTCCTCTTACCGGGCTACCGCAGTATGATATTCGCCACTCCATGTCTCATCACCGTCGCATGCACGCCCTCTCGCCACTTTAAGCCTTCAGCCCTCCATATAACGGGGTTCTCGAACGCCATGGCCCGTCCCGCGCCTTATCTCGAGGCTCTGCGGGATATTCTGGCCTTTCGGGGCCGTTTCAGCTGAGCTACCAAAACTGGAGAAATGCACCCCCATATGAATGTGGCTGCTCACTAAAAGTCGAAGAAAGCCCAAAATCTGTCCTAATCGGGCTCCATGGCGCCCTTGCACATGATGTGGCTAGGTGTATAATTTTGTTTTCAAAATATTGCATCCCTAGAACGGGAATTATGAGGCTCAAGTGATTCTAGTCAGCCCCGTCTCATTTTCCTTCCCCCATTTTGGACCCTGTCGACCACGAGTTGCTGTTGCTGTAGATAGCGTCTAGCCATGGCCATGTCTCCACCGGATTTCCCCGTGCTTTATGGCTTCTCTTTCGAGAGCCGGAAGGAACTCCATACCACTATTAATAGAAACATATGGCTATCTTGAAGAAAGAAGCTCGTCTTGTGGCGCTTTCCATTTTCAGGCCTGCTGCCCCTTGTGCAAGGGCCACGACGTCCATTGCCAGCGATACACCGAAGGCGTGGCGCACGAAGAATGGGGCAGCACTGATTGGGGGCTCGCCGATTATGGTCCCTATACTGCGCCAGCTGGAATAAATGGCATATGGTACCCATTCTCCGGTTCTGCAACAGCAGCATTTAACGATACCGACTCAGCTGGAGTACCTTCAAGATGTCGGACAGTATCACCCATCGTCCAGCCTTAGGCCATGTGGCTGCAATTGGCACCCTCTACGATGCAAGAAATGACACTTTTTTACCCCGTTCCCTATTCACTGGCCAGCTCCCGGCCGATGCTATCGTTCGGGGTGATATTTCCAAGAAGACTGTTAATGTCAATTATGTCGACTCCTACAAGGTCAGATTTCAGGAGATGGGCCTCAGTACTGAACTCAGCGCAAGTATCTTGGCTGGCCTTGTCCCTGTTGGTGGATCTGGTCATTACCTGAGCGAAGAGCGGGACAGCAATTACATCCTACTGGCGGCCCTGCACCACAAAATTACCACTGTTCAAGAGAGTTTGAATCTCATGAGCAGCGGCATGAGGTCTTGCCTTGGCATTACATCTCTTTCGACCAAAGAAGCCACTCACGTAGTGACTGAGATTGAATGGGGCGCCCAGAGTTTTATTACCGCTCGCCATCGGCTGTTAGGCAATGTAGAAAGATCCATCGTCGAGCAACGCTTCCAAGCCCAAGTCAAAACATTCGAAGAAAGTATCACGGCGCCTGTTCATAGCGTTCATGGAAACGACCACGGGGGAATGGGGGCGGATCTCCCGCTCGAAATAACCGCATACGGTGACATTCTCGCTGATAATGGCATCAGAATGCACGATTTCCAAGAGGCCAACAACTTTCTTGGCCTTATTCCTCAAAATATCAAACATGAGAATGGCGGTAAGGGGACGCCGGTCACCTACAAACTTGTCCCTGTTGGAATGCTTCCCATGTTCCTCCCAATCCAAGTTCAAGTCGATAGCACGGTAACGCCCCCTAGCGCAGATTGCCTTCAACGATTCGTTCTACTATTCGACCAAATTCGGGCCGGGCAACAAAGAATGAACGACTATCATTCTTTTGTTAGAAGGCATAAACTCTATATTCCAGACGATCATGTCCGATCTGTTGAGGAGCGCATAAGCGCTATGAAAAGTGCCGAAACACATCTCAAGTCCAGTTATGCACGTGTCTTACAGAATGCCAGATCTGGAGTCGATGATCCTGGGAAGGTCTGGGATCTACTTAAAGACCCTAGCGTCGAGAAGTTCTCTCCTCAAAGCATTACAGATATAACGGAAAGCCACCGCGAGAAGGTTGAGTTAATACAGATGATGGTGGCCAATGGCGCGAGTTATATTGGCTACAATGATCTAGATGTGGATCGGGAGCTTGCTAAAGTCCGTGGGATTGATGCCTATGTCTTCGCCTTTTCTCAAACCGCCATGAAGGACAAGAACTCATGGGACGGGAATAAAAAGCTGTTGTTCGACCTGCTCACTGATCGGAGCTCCAGAAAGTTCGTCGCCATCGTTGACTATGATGCAAGAAAAAAGACTCTGGAGACATCACGCATCTCTCATTTCCGGGACAGGAAAGAAGTCGTCGGTGACTTGCTTGACCACCGAAAGTTTTTGGCCGAGAAATCCTTTGCTCGATATGCACAGGGCACCCTTGATACAGAGGTCACTCAAAAACCGTTAAAGCGAAGATTCGTCAAAATTGCTTGTCCTAGTTCGCGCTGCCAGCAGAACGGAGAGCAAGATTGGGTCTGCTTCCAGTGCCACGCGCCGCTTGAATATGGCTTTTCCGATCCTTACATATACTGCGACTGCGGCCGGAGCCAGTATAGCAATTACCAGTTCAAGTGCAGCAGTCAGCAGCATGGACCTGGTTTTGAACAGTACGACCAACAAGTCTTGAATGCACTACTGAATAGCCTCACTGCACGCGACAATTTGAATATCTTGATTTTGGGAGAGACTGGGGTTGGCAAATCGACGTTCATCAATGCATTTGTCAACTACCTCACGTTTGAGACCCTTGACGAAGCCATGAAGTCAGAAGGGCTCAACTGGGTTATACCATGCTCGTTCTCCACCCAGATTATGGACAGGACAAATCCCGATAGCAAGATCGAACAAAAGAAAATTGTGGTTGGGTCCCGTGCCGATGAGAAAGACGGCAGCAAGGGTGCCTCCGCAACTCAGGAGACGACTGTTTATCCAGTGACAATTGGAACAACCACTATTCGCTTGATTGATACTCCTGGTGGGTAGACCCATTGTTCCCATCCTTCTCCTTTACTTCTCAGAGCGCTAATTGACGATATTACTCGATATAGGTATTGGTGACACCCGTGGTCTTGAATTTGACAAGAAAAATATGGCCGACATCCTAGCCACCCTAAGCAACTACGAAGAGCTGCATGGAATTCTTATTCTGCTCAAGTCAAATAATGCGCGGCTGACAACAATGTTCAGCTTTTGCGTAAAAGAGTTGCTAACGCACTTGCATCGTGACTCAGCGAGGAATATGGCCTTCGGCTTCACAAATACCCGCATCTCGAACTACACTCCAGGCGACACATTTGGATCCCTTGAGACCTTACTTAATCAGCACCCTGATGTTGGATTGTCGCTGTCGATTCATACAACCTATTGCTTTGACTCGGAAAGTTTCCGCTACCTAGCAGCTTACAAAATGAATGTCCCAATGGATAACTTTGAAGACTTTCGCCGCAGTAGGTACCATTGGTCTCTTCAAATATATCACTCCTAGCCCTAAAACAATTCTATATTCTCCATGATATTCTCTGTATATACTGGGATGCTATTATTTACTTCTTTGGCAACTCCGCGGGCTATTTCAAGACTTACATATGCTAACTCTTCTGCGACATAGGCTGGGGCCATTCAAGGCAAGAAGCAAATCGTCTCCTGGATCACTTTCAGTCTCAAACGCCCCACCTGGTCCAGAGCACGATAAGCCTCAACAGCAGTCGCGAAGTGATCACGCAGTTGACAGTGCCTATGACTGAGATATCGCAACTCATCAACAGGAACATAGCAATAGCTGAAGACAAGATACAGGAGCTGAAGGATCACCGGCTGAAAGGCGACGATCTTAGGAAGCGCCTTCATGTATCAAAGGTGCAGTACAACCCACAGCCGCTCTCCAAACCAAGAACTGTCTGCTGTGACACTTCTTGCACTGAATACAGAGCCGACGGAAATCAAGAAGATAAGTCGATCACCGTGTACAAGTCACATTGCCACGCTGTATGCTATCTCACGGATGTCGCTGCAGACGTACGATCGCACCCAGGTCTGATTCACTGCGCAGCGTTCAGCGGGTCAAACTATTGCACTCATTGTTCCCATCATTGGCAGGAGCATATGCATATCCTATACGAGTTGCATGAGCAACCGGGGACGGTGACAGATCTCGAGATCGAAAAGCAGTTGAAAGATCATGCCGATGATATCACGCTGAGACAAACGGCAATTACCAACACCGACCAGCTTGTCAACGAGTACAAGAATGAGCATGCACAAATCCAGGAAGCTGCCGCGCAGTTCGGCTTATTCCTGAAGAAATGGTCGATCACAGGCGGTTATAATGATGCCACGCTTGAGTATCTTGACATTCTGATCAAAGAAGAAGAGGGCAAAGTGGGCGCTGGAGGAAGCAAAAAGAAGCTCAACGCATTACTCCTAGATCGCGCTAAGCATGTGGAAATTGTCAAAATATTGGAACACAATATGAAATACGATCCCAATGCTCGGCTTTTGAACGAACAAGAAGTCGACGCCTTAGTCAGGAAACTATACAACTTGAAGCATTTCGGCAAAAATCTGCGAAAAGTCAAACAGGCCATCACAGCCGCGCATGAGGCAACATATCGAGAACGGCCGTACCGAGTCAAGAACTCTCGCGGCAGGCCACGCAGTCACTTCAAGCCGACCGACATCTCTCATGGTATACCAAATGCCATTGTTGGTCGAATTCAACAATCCCTTCCTTCGCGGCCTCAAACCTGGCTGAATTCCACCACACCGAAGACGACATATCAGGAGGTTATATATGGCGCTACACCTGGTACACCAGTTGGGGGATCTGGAAATTCAAGCCAACTTTCCCAACAGAAGAAAGTGGCATCAGCTAAATCCGCCGTGCGTGGCTGGTTCAAGAGTTAATTTTCGTATTTCCGAGTATTATGGGCTATTTTTACGTATTTGGGATGTGTAATGGATCAAACGAGAAGGACTATTTTTGATTTATATTTTGTCGGTTTTTAACGAGTGGTTATGTAGTAGCGTTACTCTGCTTTCAGTTGTCGAAATGAGGAAGTTCTAGATATTTAGTTATCTAATGAGACAATTCCTCGACTATATTTTATATGCGTTTCAACGTCATTTACTGGAGGTATATGTTCCTTTTTTATGACAAACTCATAGAACCATCCCCTCAGCTTTAGCATTTCTATCCGTACTACGAGTTCAAGTGGCTCAAAGTACTCTCTTAAATTCATGGTTTAAGGTTCCACCACAGGATACCATGCCTCCTAAATAACGCGCCCAAATTTAGAGCCTCGAAGTTCCTGCAAAACCGTCAATATAGCTACTGGTGGAAATTTATTTTCTCGTCAGTGTCACCGAAGCTATATTATATCCATAATCTGAATTGTTCTTCCTGTCGTCTTCTACCTATTCCCAGGCACATTTGACTACGTATATTTGCCTTCAATAACATGTGAGCTGGAGACTACAAGTAGCGAGAAGGCGTTACCAGCCTTGGTCTTCAATGCCCGAACCTACGCACCAAACTCCTTGTGGCTCAGAGAAAGATTTCCGGGCATCTGCTGGTTCATCGACGAAGGCAAGATGCCCTACTCCAAAATCCCCGAGTTCGAGATTCTCAAGGAAGCTGTTGCAGCAAGAAGGTCAAAGTTGTACTAGAGTTCCTGTCTACTAGTTTCGGAATCCAGAAGAAGGAGAATTTTGTCTTCATAGTTACCTCCGGCAGCAGGTCATTCAAGGAAGAAGGCGGAACATCGCTACAAAACCTTCATCATGTTGCCTTGGTCGCGGGATGTTAGAGAGTCCGATAAGACCCACCAGTTGGAGATCATAGCCTTCAGACAATCCGGGGATAGAACTATTACAAATTGCTATTTCAATTATCCGACTGTTGTCATTCCAGCCTTTGTTGTCAGTAACTACATTGTTGCCATTTACACCCCTTGTCTACGAGACAATATATTAGATTAGCTATAACGTCCAGCAAGCTCACTCATCCCGCAACGTTTTACCTTCACAGCCTAAGGAGACGGGTCCCCAGAAATAATGTGAGGACCATGGTGCCTTGGAGTTCTTTCCGGTATTGGCAATTTTCTGCAGAGACTGGGCGCTGAAAACAGTTAGTTGGTAATCAATGAAGTATGATACGGTCTCCCAGCCTCGCACTCCAGAATCTAACCTTAATTCCCCATTACTCGTTGAAACCATGGTAAGTCAACCTCAATACCGCAATATTGCCTTGCCATTCTTGAGGTTGCAACAAATAAGTATTTTGTAAAGGACTGTTTGCATCCTGTACAGTATACCCGATCGAATAATGGGAGGCGCGCAGATTTAGATTGATTGACGGCCTAGGTCATATTAGCGTTGTTTGTTGAGCAGTTAGAGCCTACCGTCTACAGCCATGGCATTTTCTGTGCCATCTGCGATGTGAAGGGAGAGATTCAAGCTTGACGTTACAACCATAACGTATATCGGTACCAAGAACCCCTCCCGACTCAAATTTTTGATAAATCGACTCAATAATTCTCTGCCGGCGTGTTAGGATACGGGGAGACAAAGGAAAACGGTGATTTGTCACCGATGTATAATACCCAGCATATAGAGGGCCCACCCACCCCTCCCTTACCGCCAGCCATCCTAGAGCAACTACTCGCCTTTTCACTCGACTATAGCACCATTGACATCCTTGCACTCGTATATGCACTTGTCCAAGTCGATCGCAGCGATATTAGTAGGGGCATATAAATTCCAATAGTTTGATAATCATAGCTCGAAAAAATATGGTGTGTAAGCGTCTGACAACGGTTATTATGGACATCGTCGGGAAGATACCAGCGATGAGGCGGAGATAGATACATCTTCTATTTTCTAAGGTAATGTTATATGCTTAGAGTTGCGGGTTGGGGGACGGTAGACGTAATCGGAAATTCCAAGATCGCAATTCCTGTATGTTGAGAGCATTGGATTTTGGCCAATTTTCGGGCTATACCTCCTTATCCACTAAAGCCATTTGCTCTCTAAAGAAATCAGCCTCCTTCCTCATCTCCTCTGGAGATCTTGGTTTCCTATGCTCATCCTCAATTCTAGGGAATATCCCTTCTTGGACCGGCCGACTTCGATCCCACAAACCGCCACCAACATTTCCCTCCTCAGTCTGCAGCCTATCATATATCTCATCGCCCTCTGTTGAGTCCTTAGTCCTGGGGATTATGTGGCAGTGAAGGTGTGCAACGGTTTGTCCTGCCCATTTCCCGTCCTGAACCGTGATGTTGAAGCTGCCATCTTCCACTTTTCCGACTGTGCTCCCACCCCCAAAATATTCCCTAGCTAGCATTCTCTGTACTTTCTGCACAGTTGTGAAAAGATCTGTGACCTCATCAGGCTTAAGATCTGTCAATCGCTTGGCTGGTCGATGAGGAATAACTAGCACGTGACCCGGCAGGATGGGCTTGATGTTCACAAGAGCATAGCACAGAGGGGTGTTGTAGAAGACCTTGGAGCTTGTCAGCGCTTGCTATCTCCTGGATTCCAAGTGTTTATCTCGAAAGTTGCGTTACCTGGTCAGTGACCTCGAATGGGCCGAAATGGATGAGGTTCTTGGAACTCATAGTACGGATGTGACGGGAGGGAAATAGTGAAGTCGCAAAAGGTGAGCGGGATATCATATCATAATAGCATCTAGTTATTCGCCGCTAAAAAGATATCGCTTAATGAACGAGAATCTAAACCGATTAACAAACTCTGTCCAGGTGATGATGAAGATTAGGATGGATCGATTGAGGCGACGTTGGGCATCTGGCCGTAGGCGAGAGTGTTACAGGGTTGTTTATCCAGCATATCATTGTTAATCTGACACTTATCCTACGCAGTACTCGATTACTGAAGAGCGCAAACAATAAGTAATCAACTCAACTAACCCTTAATGTTTTTTTTAAATAAGCTACGAGACCCTAAAGACTAATAATAACAATTTAGGGCTTAGACGAAGCATGTATGGCATAAATTCCAATATAAACCTTGCGGTGATGGGCTCACTCGCCTAATATTAAGGGGCTACACCTCACCTTTTGTATCGTTGTATAAATAGTCGAATAAGGAATTCTGGGTAACAACTAGCGACAGGGTGTTGGGAGCACTGGTCTAGTGGTAAATGTATTGCGGTTCAGTCTCGCAAACAACAACCACCGAATCCTGCCTCTAACAGTAAAGCGGGCTTAGCCCCCCCGGATGAACTGCCAGAGATAACCAAGGTCAAAGCCTCTGTATCCCGACCTGAGTTTCTCGGTATCCTAGCCTTAACGGGTCAGGATATTTCTTTTGCACTTTTCCCTTAATGTGAGGTTATTTTATTTTTATTTTATTGCACTACCGGTTGCAATTCGGCTAGCGTTGAGAGGGTGTGACTTCGCGACCTTTATAAGTCGCGTATGCGAGGGGCTCAAGGTCAGACCGCGTCGACATTCAATCAACCAACCATGCCATGGCCACCATAACACCCATTGAGGGCCGGACAGTGAGTTTGGTTCTGTTATTGCATTTAGAGATCTACTTTACTGACAGACTGTATTAAAGGTACACCAAATCCAGTCCGGCCAAGTCATCGTCGACTTATGCTCCGTTGTCAAGGAGCTCGTGGAGAACAGCCTTGATGCAGGCGCAACAAGTATTGGTAGGTCGAGGCAGAGCATGGCAAAGGCAAACTTGGAATGCGCGTATTGAAACTAACTACCTTAGATGTCCGCTTTAAGAACCAAGGGCTAGAGTCTATTGAGGTCCAGGATAATGGCGACGGCATCTCCCCGCACAATTACGAGACAATTGCACTCAAACATCACACCTCCAAGCTCGCCACATACTCGGACCTCTCGACGCTTCAAACATTTGGCTTTCGCGGCGAAGCTTTATCCTCGCTCTGCGCCCTCTCCAATTTCACTATCACAACATGCATGGCAGCCGATGCACCGAAAGGTACGAAGCTAGAGTTCGAGGTTTCGGGAAAGTTGAAAGGAACAAGCGTTGTGGCTGCGCAGAAGGGGACCATGGTATCTGTGGAGAACCTCTTCAACAACCTCCCAGTCAGACGCCGAGAGTTGGAACGAAACATAAAGCGGGAATGGAGCCGAGTGGTAGGGGTTTTGGGCCAGTATGCATGTATACAGACGGGCATAAAGTTCACAGTCACACAGCAGGCTGGGAAGGGCAAGAAGACAGTCCTATTTTCTACCAAAGGAAACCGAACCACACGAGAGAACATTGTGAACGTTTTCGGGGCCAAAACCCTTACCGCATTAGTTCCTTTGGGCTTGAACCTGGAGCTAGAGCCTACAAGTGCCCCAAGCCAGAGGTGGTTGACGCAGGAGGATGGAGAAAAGAAGAACATTCGAATTGTAGGGCATATTTCACGTCCAGCCTCTGGTGAAGGCCGACAGACTCCGGACAGACAGATGTTCTTCGTCAACGGACGGCCTTGTGGACTGCCGCAGGTTGCCAAAGCCTTCAATGAGGTCTACAAGTCCTACAATGCAGCTCAATCCCCGTTTATCTTTGCAAATATCGAACTCGATACCCATTTGTATGATGTTAATGTCAGTCCTGATAAAAGGACGATTCTATTGCATGATCAGACACGGATGTTGGATAGTTTGAAGGAGGCCCTGACTGCCCTTTTTGACTCTCAAGACTATACCGTACCTGTTTCACAGCTGCCGACACAGAAGCAGCCATCATATAAGCAGCTTACAATCAGCCGAGAGAACGCCTCAGCAGCAAAGGCGCCAACGATCCAACGAGCCACCTCAGTCTCGTCCGGGGGCGAGAGTTCGGAGGACGATACAAGAGGGTCAAAACGGAGGCAAAACTCTGAAGATGATAGTACACGCGATCCCAAGTCGCATAGGTCTAGGGCCACGGCTGCTCCCCAGACATCGACGGGCCAAGACCGTGAAGCTGTCACCTCAATTTCAACCTGGGCCGAAAGGGATGTACAAGAGCGGACGGAAGTGGAGATCCAAGCACCCAGAGCCGCAGGTGCCGTTGCTGGCCCCTCGAAAGGGAAGCAAAGGCTTATCGAGAAACTCGGAAAGGAAACCGAACAATCACCGGCTGATGTACCTGATGATGTCTCTGAGGATCCAGAGAGTTCGGTTGCCGCTAGCCAATCCTCTGATACTCCGGCTTCATATAAGCTTCCGATCGCCGTAGCTGATTTCAACCAGCGAATTGTTGAGTTACAAACACTCGAGAGCCCTGCTGCGAGAACAGGCATTCAAAACGAACCCGAGTCTCCAATACCTGCCCTTCCATCACCTTCGAAGCCAGTTTCTTCAGTGTCAAGCCGATTTTCGAACAGTGCGAGGTCCCATAGGCCTCCACCACAACAAGCAACAATAACTATTGGAGACCATACAATAACTAGTTCAATTGGAACTCCATGCCCGAAAAGGCCTCGAATTCACGATGGGCCAAGTATGTCTCACAGTGCTCACCTCGACCATGTTAAAAAAGGGTCGGTCCCGACTTTTGGCAGCCGCCTGACTCAACGATTTGCAGCTGCTGGGGCAGGGGCAGCAAATCCCCCTTCGTCCGATGAAGACGAAATTGAGGATGGAGGTGCAGATGTGCTACAATCGCCACAATCTCCAGTAATCCCATCACCTGGATCTAATGAAGATAATGCCATGGAGGAAACGACTCAACCCGATGGGGAAGCGAGTGATCTTGTCGAAGAGGGGCTTGAGTCTGCGCCACTCGATTCAGATGCAGAAGAAGATGAATATATCGATGACAGCGAGAAAAAGGCCCGCGAGGAGGCAAAGGTGCAGAAAATGATTCAAGCAGCAGAAGATACAGCAAGCATGCCATCGGAGGCCAATACCATGCGAGCAAAAACACTGCTCAAAGGCGGCTCCCGGAAGAAAGACAGTACTGTCAGCCTAGTGAAACCTATGAACATTACTGTATCAGGTGTTGAGCAACAACTTCGTTCTTTGAGCCAGATCCTTTCGTCGTACGACGAGTCAACGGCCCCTAACACAGAAACCGAAGCGTTAGACTCTGATAATGCCGAAGAGAAGCTATCTCTAACAATCTCCAAGCCTGACTTTGCTAAAATGAGGGTCATTGGTCAATTCAACCTCGGTTTTATACTCGCTACCAGAGCTTCTGAGAAGAAGCAACAGGGTGGAGCTGTCAGGGCAGATGATCTATTCATCATCGACCAACACGCATCCGACGAAAAATACAACTTCGAACGCCTCCAATCGACAACCATAGTCCAATCCCAGCGCCTCGTCCACCCTAAAACCCTAGATCTCACAGCGCTGGAAGAAGAAATCGTAATAGAGAATTCCAAAGCGCTCGAGACAAATGGGTTTATCGTCACAGTCGACCAGTCGGGTGATTCGCCGATTGGCCAAAGATGCCAACTGGTCAGTCTACCACTAAGTCGCGAAACGACTTTCTCACTCCAAGACCTAGACGAGCTGCTGGCGCTACTCACAGAGCACCCTTCGGGATCTGTTCCCCGTCCATCTAAAGTCCGCAAGATGTTCGCGATGAGAGCTTGTAGGAGTAGTATTATGATTGGCAAGACGCTTACGCATAAGCAGATGGGGAACGTGGTGAGACATATGGGTGAAATTGATAGGCCGTGGAATTGCCCACATGGAAGGCCGACTATGAGACATTTGTGCGGCTTGGGAGTTTGGGATGAACTGGGCTGGAGGGAAGGGGATGAGCCGGATGGCGGAAAGGGGGCAACTACGGATTGGGCGGCGTATATTAAGTCACACCGCGAGGGTTCGGCATCTGAATCAGAGCCGGAATCATCTTAGAGAAGGGTTGGAAGGATATGTTCGTCAAATTAGACGCAAATCTGACATATATTTCCATATTTGTACAGATAATCTACGTCCTAGATACCCAATCAACACTATAATCATTTTCATCATCTCCAGTTCCCAATTGCAACCCATCCTGTACTCCAAAACAGTATATATCCGAAAATTCAAAAACTCCCAAAGTAACCATCCAGAATATATCCATTAAATCCCGCTCACTTTCCTAAACCTGGTCCCCCATCCATTCGCACTCCCACCAAGACCTTCTTCCGCAATCTTTCCACTGGCATCCCTAGCCCGAAACCCAGATTTCTTACTCAAGAAGTCATTCCCAGAAGATGCTTGTCTAGTATTCCCGCTTACTATAACAGGTGGAGTTGCGGGTTTCAAATCCCCGTAATATCTCGACTTGAAGCCAGACTCCCGAAGTGGCTCTAGCGATACCTCGCGCTCAGAAGACATGTCTGCAATATCTCCACTACCACGGTTCTTGCTGATCTCCGTGAGGGGAGAGTCGCGATTTATATTGTAGCTGTGGCGCGGAGTCGGTGGGTTAGCTTCCAATGGGTTGGGAAGACCAACCCCCAAGTCTTCGGAGCCGTATTGTTGGTGGAGTGGCTGGTAGTTTCCTTTTCGTGGGGACGAGCTCCGTGTACGGGGCTTACTGAGCGAGTCAGAGGTGTACCATCCTCCAGCCATATCCGACACAGGGCGTGAGGAGCGATGCGACCCCGTTTCTGAAAGGGGAATTTCCTGGTAAGAGGCGCGTTTTGGGGGCGTGGGAGGACCGTATCCGGAGGCTCGTTTGAGATCTACTACGGAGGAACGTGGTGAGTTGGAAACTGCTTGGTATTGTCGACTAGGGAGATCGTTGCGGGAGTCTCGAGATGGTGGGGGTGTTGATTTGTAGGTCGAGGAAGAATTGGTGGACTGAGTACGTGTGTGAAAGAACGGCATGGAGGGCGGCCGTGACAAATCCTCATATGTTGCTCCCGAGCTTCGTTTGCTTTCTAGTGGTGTAGACAATCGCTTTTCAGACATGGTGGTCACCGTTGACATTGATGACTTGTTGCGCTTGTGGCGGGATGTTAGATTGTCTTCCAACGGGTTCATATCGGGCGGTAGACTGGTGATTCTGCGGAAGGTGACTGCAAGATATATTGAAATTATCAGAGATATCAGATGCAAACCCGCTCCAACAGTTGAGCAGTAGAATACCACCTTGGCGAAGGTGGGCGTCAAAGATTGATCGTCCAATATGATCTTCCAGGAGGATTGGCGGGTGCTCGCCGCAAGGGCGCCAAATGCATAAAATGGTAATATGGATGCGTCGAAAAATGCTGCAAATAACATATATGACATTGAAGATGCGGGAGTCCGTCCCGATGCCTTTCGAGATAAGTGGTATATGCCGTATATAGTGTGGAGGATTGCGATACCAGGCTATAGACAAATACGTGTCAGTTCGTTTCTTTAGACTTGGAACAGCCTTCAGCGGCATAGCATACCACAATCCGCAGAGCCCAACCAACAGAATCCTCAACTCCTCTGACCATAATCATCATGGCCAGTAGTCCGCCTGCAGATAGTAGTTCAAAGCATCGCAGGGCCAGCTGCAATACCCTCGTCCATTTGATCCATTTCTTAATGGATCTCTTCATAGGGGACGCATTAATGTTTCCATAGGGAAGGATCAGAAACGAACTATGCACGATTAGCAGAGTTACATCTCTTGGATTGGAAGAACCAGCTTACTCTGGGTGCTGGTTGAACGAGACCAGAGGTCCATCTTGCTTTGGACGTGGGGCTTTGGGAGTACGGCTCGCGCGAGTGACGGCCTTAGGGTCGAATGCCTTTTCCCTAATGGGATCGTAGAGAAATGGAGGTCTGGCACCCATTCTTGCGAAAGAGACAGTATATCTTGAGCTTAGTCCAAAAGCGATGCGATCAGGAATGTATCTTGTGGTTGCAAATATGAGAGCTATCGACAGGGGACAAGGAACACCACCACAAGCTGGGGATCAACAACAAGCGCCGTTGCCATAGCAATACCTTATCGGGATCCACGATTCGCGATAACAACCTCCGAAAAGTTTCGATGACGTTGTATAACGCGGGCAACAGAACAATGCTAAAGATTACGAGACCATGGACTTGCAGGCAATGTGCTGGAGCACTCAGGCAATACACTTATGCTTACTCGGCACCTAGCACTACGTCTACACATCTTGGAATACAACGGCGAGCATATACTGCGAAACCTCATGCTCAGGATGGGCGGCCTTTCCGAATGGCAGTTATTGGCTCCGGCCCTGCCGGGTTCTACACCTCCTACAAGGTCATGTCCAAGATTGAGAGTTCGGTCGTTGATATGTACGAGCATTTGCCTGTGCCATTTGGATTGGTGCGATTTGGCGTCGCTCCGGATCACCCTGAAGTAAAGGTAAGAGTCATACTACTTGAAATGTTGCCAGGATTGAGTTAAAGCTCACACATTTCCCATAGAACTGCCAGGAAAAGTTCGAGGAAGTTGCCGAATCTCCCAGGTTTAACTTTGTAGGGAATATCCCTATTGGACATTATGATGGCGCACTTCCCCTAGAGGCTCTCCTGCCACATTACGACGCCGTTTTATTTGCATATGGAGCATCTAAAGATAGAACTCTAAATATCCCGGGAGAAGATACGCTGAAAGGCATATATTCCGCCCGCGCGTTTGTTGGATGGTATAATGGTCTTCCAGAATACTCCGACTTGGCACCAGACCTTACACAGGTAGATGAGGCTGTGGTTATTGGACAGGGAAATGTTGCTATGGATGTGGCTAGGATTCTGTTGCAGGATGTAGATATCCTACGGTCCAGCGATATTACGGAGCAGGCGATTGAGACTCTAGCGAAGAGCAAGGTAAAGAGGGTGAGGGTCGTTGGGAGAAGAGGCCCCTTACAAGTTTGTCCCCAAGTTCCCTTTTTACACCCATAATGCTAACGACGTGATATAGGCGGCGTTCACGATCAAGGAGGTACGTGAACTAGTCAAACTACCTTCTGTGGCATTCCACCCTGTGGATATGTCATTAATACCAGAAGATATTTCTAAATTACCACGACCGCCCCGGCGGATCATGGAAGTTTTGAAAAAGGGTGGTGTTGCTTCAGTTTCTACAGCTCCCAAATCCTGGTCTCTAGACTTCTGCATGTCACCAAGGTCTTTCAATCCGGGCAGAGAATTCCCAGATCAGTTGGGCGGCATGTCCTTCGAGAAGACTTCTTTAAGCCCCGGCCCCTTTGAGCCTACCGCTAAAGCTGTGGGCACCGGTGAAGTGATTGACATTCCTTCATCGTTGGCTTTCCGATCAATAGGTTACAAGTCAGAAGCTCTTCCGGGTTTCGAGAGTTTAGGAATACCTTTTAATGATCGTTTGGGGGTAATACCCAACGATCATCTGGGGCGTGTCATGGACGAGAATAGCGGTTGGTCAGAGTCTAATACTGGGAAGAACTTACCAGGCATGTACTGTGCTGGATGGGTGAAGAGGGGCCCAACAGGTGTTATTGCAGGCACCATGGAAGATGCGTTCTCAACGGCGGATTCAATCCAAGAGGACTGGTACTCTCAAGTTCCGTTTCTTAATTCTGGGAATGGAAGTGGTCAGGGATGGGAAGGGGTCAAGGAGGAAGCGGCCAAAAGGGGATGTAGGCGGGTTAGCTGGGAGGATTGGAAAAAGATTGATGCGGTGGAAAAAGAAAGGGGTCGCAAGGCTGGAAAAGAACGAGAGAAGTTCACAAAGATAGCTGACATGCTATCCGTACTTGACTAGAAGGATGTAAAGTTTTAGATATATTGGTACATGTATAGATTACTGTTTAAGCTTCTCAGTAAGTTCTGGTACCTTTTCAAACAGATCTCCCACCAGCCCAACATCAGCAACTTGGAAAATAGGCGCATCAGCATCCTTGTTGATCGCGGCAATGACCTTGCTGTCCTTCATGCCGGCCAAATGTTGGATAGCTCCTGAAATGCCCGCACACAGATATAATTGAGGGGCTACCACTTTTCCAGTCTGCCCCACTTGAAGACTGTTGTCCGCATAGCCGCTGTCCACTGCTGCTCTTGAAGCACCAACCGCCGCTCCCAGGGCATCTGCTAACGGCAGCATGATGCGGTCGAATTCCTCCTTAGACTTTAATCCCCGGCCACCAGATACAACCTTGCCCGCTGTCGCCAGATCAGGTCTGTCTGACTTTGCAAGGTCTTCTGAGACCCATTCGGTAGGGCATGCTGCCTTGGGGTCCACTCCATCTTCGATTGATGCGGATCCACCTTCCGCCTCAGCTGCTGGGAACGCGGTTCCTCTAATTGTAATGACCTTGATCTCATCGGACGATTCGACGGTGGCAATTGCATTTCCGGCATAAATAGGGCGTACAAAGGTCTTCTCGTCCTCAATCGCTGTGATGTCTGATATCTGTTGGACATCAAGTAACGCCGCAACGCGGGGCAGGAGACCCTTTCCAAACGCAGTATGGCCCGCAATGACATGTGTGAAGCCACCCTTCTTAATGTTCTCTGCAAGTAACGGGGCATAGTTCTCTGGCAGTCCCTGGAAATAAATGTCAGTTTATACAATCCAATAACCACTTTCGGAGACAGTCCATACCTTATCATACGCAGCATTGTCTACCGCAATTATCTTCTCAAGTCCTTTAACTTTTGCTGCTTCCTCTGCTACCGCCTTTATATTCCCGCCGGCAACGAACCCAGTAATCGATCCACCCAACTTCAGCGCTGCAGTCACTGCACCGAGAGAACTGTGGTTGAGTTTGCCATCCTTCTGCTCGAGAACAGCTAATGATGACAGCAGTCGAGCAAGAGCGGACAGCGATGCAACGGGAGTTGGGCCATTCTTCGATCGTAATTGAGCGCGCGTCTGGCGTAAAACCGAATGGCTTATTCGTGGAATCATCTTGGCTGCGGATGGTCGTTACGTGGGGAGTTCAAGCACGCCTCCAGCTTAAGAGCCTCGAGTTGAGTAAATCGTCGACTGGCATCCGAGGTACGGAGCAAAGCGGAGGGTTACCTAAGCCGGGGCTATCCATGGGAGTTTATGCCTTGGGCATAAATAATATATCAGGCACCCATATATTCATCACGTGACTCTCGCCATAGCTGAGGTCTGTTTCGTCCTCTCGATTCGCGCTTGAAAGCTGTCGCGACGTACAAAAAACCATCGTCAATCCAACCCACGCGCCGAGGTTGCGAAATCATCAACAGCTCCATCGCATTTCAATCCAGGACAAGCGCATGCAGATATTTTGACCACAGTCAACGCGCATGAGGCATTCTGCACCTCGTTTGTGAATCTGAGGTTTTCTTGCGCATTCACGGGCGACACAGAGTGTCCAGAATAACAGGGGCGGACAGTTCGCGACAACACCCATTGTTTGGAATCGCAGAATATAGAGAGCGACATGGAGGACGATTCATTGAACTTTGGCGCCGAGGCCGGTGCTGCCACTCCTGGTAGCAATTCCATCCTTGCGCAACCACCGCTACAGGGAGAGACTGCCTCGCCTTCAGGCCAAGATGGTACCAGTAGCTCTGGCCTGGCCGGGCAAGAAACTGAAGGTATGGTTCCTACCCATAGTGTGTAATTATACTTTGCTGAAAGTTTCCAGCCGCCGATGTCACTATGGCAGAAGGAGACGCTGAATCCGCAGCTGCGCCTGCCGTCAAGAACGACCCAGCAGACTCGACCCCCGCTGTTGTCTCTGACAATCCCCTCGACGCCCCAAGTGCACCTCATGGAGGAGATGCCCCAAAAGATGAAGAGATGACTGAAGCGAAGGACAGTCAGGAGCCGGGCGCCGATGGGACAGCTGCCACAGCTGAAGAACAGGTAGAGAAGACGAAAGCTTCTATCGAATCCTCCGCCCGGGAGCACCTCATCTCACAAACGCACTCTATTATTCTTCCAAGTTACAGCACTTGGTTCGATATGCACAAGATCCATAATATTGAGCGGAAGGCACTACCTGAATTCTTCAATAATAGAAACCGAAGCAAGACTCCCGCAGTTTACAAAGATTACCGCGACTTCATGATCAATACATACCGCCTTAATCCGATTGAATATCTTACGGTAACAGCTTGTCGGAGAAACCTTGCGGGTGACGTTTGCGCGATTATGCGGGTGCATGCTTTCCTGGAACAATGGGGCTTGATCAACTATCAGGTGAGTCGATATATATACTGCTACCCGGTCCAATTCTCTAACTATTTTCTCAGGTTGATGCCGATCAAAGACCTTCAAACGTGGGCCCGCCCTTCACCGGTCACTTCAAGGTCATATGTGATACTCCTCGTGGCCTTCAGCCCTGGCAACCCGCGTCCGATCCTGTTGTCATTGAGGGGAAGAAGAATGCAGAAACTGATAAAAAGGCTACCGCTGCTTCAGCACCAAAATCAGACTTGAACCTCGAAATCGGACGGAATATCTATGAGCCTACTGCGAGAGAAGCCAAACTCAACGCCAAGCCAACAGAGAAGCAACCCAATGGCGATGCTCCCACTACCAATGGAACATCTGAAGGGACCCCGAAGGCTATCGAGGATATCGTCAAACCTCCCATCTCAAAAATCAACTGCTTTTCCTGCGGTATCGACTGCACCCGTGTTCATTATCACAACTCGCATGCTGATTCCGCAACAACTACTGGCAACAAAATCAAATATGATCTCTGCCCCAACTGCTTCGCAGAAGGACGAATGCCACAAAATCATCAGCAAATTTATTATGTCAAGATCGAAAACCCGACATACTCAGCTATTCCTGATAGAGATGCGCCTTGGGATGACGGGGAGGTACTTCGACTTCTTGAAGCCTTGGAGCGATACGATGAGAATTGGGAAGAAGTTGCAGAGTATGTTGGTACACGAACCAAGGAGGAGTGTGTTGTGAAGTTCCTGCAGTTTGAGATTGAGGACAAGTATCTCGATGCCGAACCTGTTAACCGGTCGACTGGAATCAGTATGCTGGGTTCGCAACAGGGCCATCTTCCCTTTAGCCAAGCAGATAATCCCGTCATGTCCGTCATTGGATTCCTCGCTGGTCTCACTGAGCCAAGCGTGACCGCGGCTGCTGCGAACAAGACTGTCGACGCTATGAAACAAAGCTTGCGCGAGCAACTGGAGAAACCTAAATCGGCGGACAAGGGTAAGGAGAAGGAGGAGAAGCAGGACTCGGACTCTATGGAAATCGACGTCAGACGCGAAACCACTACTACTACCACGACGACCACCACCACCCAGACTTTGAGCGGGTTAGCCACTGTTCCGCTTGCTACTGTTGCCGCACGATCCGGCGGCCTTGCGTCACATGAGGAAAGAGAAATGACTCGCCTTGTTTCCGCGGCCGTAAACGCTACCCTGATGAAGATGGAATTGAAGCTCAAGCAGTTCAATGAAATGGAGCAGATTTTGAATACAGAGCGCCGGGAACTAGAACGTGGTCGGCAACAGCTTTTCCTCGACCGCTTAGCGTTCAAGAAGCGTATCCGGGATGTGCAGGAAGGCTTGAAGACTGCTGCTGCAACCGAGGGTGAACAAGGAATCCAGATGGCTCAGGACATCGTGCAAGAAGGGGAGAAATTGACATTCCAGGGTGCCACTCCAACAGCTAGCAATGTCCAACCGCCCAGTGCCGAGGGTCAAATAAAGAGTTACGATATTTGAGTGTTTGTGAGAATGGGTAAGGAGCAGTCAGTGTAATCAGGCGTATTGGGGGGTTGATCTGGATTGTTCAGGGGACACGCGAAAATTGCGGTGTTTCGCATATATGTATTTTGCAAGCCTCACTATTTCGGTCAGAAGTCTAGGGGACTAATAATGACTTCCTCGATTTCTCTGTATTGGTAGAAATTCACGAATCATTTAGAATGAATTAAGCTGTACTATTGAACTCTGGGCGTGATCATTGAACCTGCACTCTCATCAAGAAAGCGGCATTCCTAATTCTATAGTAACAATGTCTCCGGAATTTCCGTTGGAACTCGAAAACCCTCAGTGAATTGGAGATATTTAGAGCTAAGGAACTCAGGCGAGTAGGCTAACGGGCTATAGTCATTATTAATCTTCCATTTCAATTTTAATTCCGTCCCCTAAAGTTTGAGAGACCAGAGGGGATTCTCTAAGATGAGATGTTCTCTCGTCGTCCCCAACTAGGAACCGGGTCGGATCAGGGCCGAAAACCTCGTCCTGCAACTCCTCAATACCATCATTCTCCACCATAATATCGTCCTCGTCCTCATTCTCATCCTCATATTCTTCTTCATATTCCTCTACTTCGCTCTGGTCATCGTGTTCAGTCCCCTCAATCTCTTCAATATCTGAGTCGCTACTGTCACCCTCCACTCTCTCACCTGTACCTCCCCGTTCCCCTCTTCTCATCATCTTCCTCTTAGCCTTCTCAAAATTCTTCTCCGGAACAGGCCTCTCGAAAAGCTCCCATTCGCTGCAATACTCCGTATGCTGTCTCCAATCCCCTTCATCATCTATTCTGTTCTTACTCATCTTAAGTCTTTCCAACTCGTCGGGGGGCTCGGGTTTGATGTCAAAGGGTGGTGCTTCCCCTAATAGTTCCCATAAGCGCGATTCTTCGGCCTGGCTAACATGCAGGTCTATTGTCTCTAGGTACTGGTCTTGGGCGTGCTCCGCCGCATTTATGGCCAGTTCTGGCCTTGGGCTGGTTTCAATGCGGGGGGTACGGGAGCTGTCCGATAGGTCGGAGGCGGCTAAGTCAGCATCGCCGTCGTCGCTGAGAAGGGATTCATTATCCGAGACGAGGAGCTCTGACTCTGAGGAGCTTGACGAAGATTGCGGAGGATGGTTTGCGGATTGTGAGACCGAGCGAGATCGCGAGAGCTGTGTAGGTTCCAACGCCTCTTCGACCTCATCATATGTCATTGGCGTGTATATATCTTCGTCTGGCCATTCATCGTCCACAACCCGCAAGTGGCATCTCCTGGCGCATTTCCTCCAAAACTCCTGGCTATCTGTCTTCATACCGAGAATATGCAATGCAGCTTCGACATCCTTCGGATTGACATGTGCATGTTTCGTTTTCTTAGCAGACGTAGCTCGGAGCCTTGACATTGTGCAGAATAGCACAGTCGAAATAAGCCGTTTCGTGATACTCACTGCAAGAGAGTGAAAGTCTTCGAATGCTGTAGCTCGCACAGCTGGCCTCTCTCCATTCTGAACCAAGTTTCGCCAGTTACCATCCTCATAAGGGGCAGCCGGGTTCATAAATATTTTTGTTGATAATTCCAACCAACAGCTGAGATTGAACAGGTTGGCTGCTGGGAGAACCTCAGCGATGGCTTCGTCGCCTTCTCCGTCGCCTTTGAGTCTGCCCAACCGACGGCTGACAGCTTCCGTTACAAGCCACCCATCTCCCCATTTAGCCATCTCTTTCTCTTCTTCGTGCTGCTCCTGACGAGACGCCAGGCCATCGCCAGCGTTTTCCAGAAGAAAACAGCATGTTTCACTGATCTCCAGTGCCGGCGGGATATCCCCAAGCGAGAAATTTCGAGTGTCCTGGTCCCTGCGTTCTATAACTGCTTCATCCAGAAGCCGAATATAATCATGCACTTCAACTTCCGACTTGGTCCCTATCCGCTCAGCAATACCACGCAAATCACTCTTCCCCAAACGCGATAAAGCAGAAAAAAATAACTCCTTCTCCGCTGAGGTCCATATCACAGCTCCAATCTGGCTCTGTGGAAGCGGAACCTTGTTTTCATGGAGTATTCTTGTTGCAGCGTCGTGGATATCAGAGTTGAGGAGGTCCCGGTATTCAGCGATGTGGTTCTTTACCCGCTTGGCTCTAATCTCAGTTGCGGACTCCACTCGTCTCCTTTTCCGGGAAGACCTTTCTGGATTTTCTAGGTCACTGGGAGATTGGGATGCTTGAGAATCTGCTGCCCATTGCCGCATATCTTCACTGCTCTGTTCATCCACGTCTTGTGACTGAGGCGAAATGTTGCTTCTGGGCCTTCTCGGGCCGGAAGCGCGAGAACGTCTTTTCCTCTCAAATGGCGAGCTGTTGTTCCTGTCTCTTCTTGAGTTGGAAGCATGTAGGCCCCTTTTCCTCTCAGAGGATATGCGTTGTTCACTCTCAGACAGTTCAAATGCAGATCCAGAATCTTCATCTAAAATTGGGGCAGCTTCTCCCCAAAAATCGGCGTCCTCATCGTCCCTCATTCTGCCTACTCCTTCGCTTCAGACCAACTCTGTGACCTATCCGCAGCTGTATGGCTTTGCACATAATTCTTGCTTGGGACCAGATTGAAAAGATGCATTTGACGAGCCCCGAAGTTGGACGTCCGACAAAACCAGAATTTCAGTGAATATAACGGAGTTTTGACATTGGGTTCTCGATGCAAGACTTCACAAAAGTGCTGACAGGTAATATAACATTCTAAAGGACGATAAACGCGCCGGAGAAAAAATCCCAGGTTCAGATTCGCAGGCTCGGCAGGCGCAAGGGGCGCGTCTAAATCTAAATTCGCTTATGATAACGAGCCGAAAAAGGGAATTGGCGACGACAATCTTGACCAGACTACATCTAACTCATGAATTGCACACAGTATGCTCCCAGTATCGAGAGGATGGAGGTTCCCTTTGTCAGCTTGGAAGCTTCGTTCTCGAACCGCAACATTTCGGCAATATGCCAAAGCATCTACCAGCCTTCCAGGCATCGCCCCCGAGGAAGCGCCACCCATCAAGATTCGTCTCCGCGAATACCAAGAAGAATGCATCCAAGCGGTACTTACTCACCTTGATCAAGGGCATAAACGGTTGGGGATCTCATTGGCAACTGGAAGTGGGAAAACAGTATGTTTATTCCCTTCAATCCGAGTGAGACCGATTTGCTAAGAACTCCCTAGGTCATCTTTACCCAACTTATTGATCGCGTCAAGCCCCATACCGAACTAGCAGACCAAACACTGATTCTTGCTCATCGAAAAGAGCTTGTCGAACAGGCTGCTCGACATTGCAAAGATGCATATCCTATGAAGAAGATTGAGGTCGAAATGTCGTCAATGCACGCAAGCGGATCAGCCGATATCACTGTCGCTAGCATACAAAGCATTTTGTCTGGTGATCGAATATTGAAATTTAACCCGAAGCGGTTCAAGCTCGTCCTTGTTGATGAAGCACATCATATTGTATCCGCAGGTTATCTAAAGGCAATGGAATATTTTGGACTATCGAAAAAACAACCAGACTCGCCTGCTCTTGTTGGCGTTTCGGCCACCCTATCACGATTTGACGGGTTGAGATTGGGCGCTGCTATCGATCAGATTGTATACCACAAGGATTATATTGACATGATCGGAGACAAATGGCTTGCGGATGTTAATTTCACCACCGTGCATTCCAAGGCGGATCTATCAAAGGTCGGGAAGGGGGCGAATGGCGACTTCCATCCATCGGAGCTTTCGGGAATAGTTAACACCGACGAGATCAACAAGATTACAGTTGGCAGCTGGCTTGCTAAAGCACAAGGAAGAAAGTCAACATTGACATTTTGTGTCGATCTTGCTCATGTGGAAGGGTTGACAAATGCGTTTCGAAAGCAGGGCATCGATGCTCGCTTCATCACTGGCGAGACCCCAAAGCTCGAGCGAAGCGTACGACTAGACTCCTTCAAAAAGGGCGAGTTTCCGGTCCTTGTGAATTGTGGAGTATTTACCGAGGGAACCGACATACCAAATATCGACTGCGTCCTACTAGCACGTCCCACAAGATCACGAAATCTCCTTGTCCAAATGATCGGCCGAGGGATGAGGCTGCATCCCGGGAAGAAAAACTGTCATATCATAGATATGGTTGCGAGTTTGGCAGGTGGAATAGTAACGACCCCTACTCTCTTTGGCCTTGATCCGTCCGAGCTCGTCGAGGGGGTGAGCCCTAGTGATATGATGCGCCGTAAAGAGAGGAAGGAAAGAGAAAGCGTAGATGATGGGAATTACGACACGGCAGCTTCATCAAAGCCTCTCACAGACAGGGTAGTCTTCACTGATTATGACTCTGTATTTGACTTGATCAAGGACACATCTGGAGAGAAATACATCAGGGCTGTGTCACCGCATGGATGGGTCTGTGTTGGCCCTGACCGATATATCCTATCGCACTCGAACGGCTCGTTCTTGAACCTAGATAAGCTTAGTGACAGCGACGACGACTCCAGCGATGATCAATACGTCGTCCACGAAACACTAAGCCTCAAACTTACCGATGCGGAGGTTCCTTTTGGGAAACCCCGCCAGATCGCTAGTGCAGCTACGTTCATCGCTGCGCTTCATGCCGCAGATACCTATGCATCGCAGAAATACCCCTATACTATTATTTCAAAGATGCAGCCTTGGCGTAATAAGCCAGCGACAGAAGGACAACTTAACTTTTTGAACAAACTAAGACTTAAAACAGATCAATTGACTGCTGACTCGCTCACTAAGGGGCAGGCTGTCGATATGATCACAAAGATTAAGCATGGTGCTCGTGGGAGATTCGCAACCATGCAAGCGAAGAGGCGGAAACAGAATCGTGTGAGGCTAAAATTAGAGCAGGAACAGGAGCTAAAGGAAAGGGAAAAGGTTAGCGTTGGGCCTCTTCTAGCTGAATAAAAGGCCAGCGAGATCTTATCCTGTACGATTAGGTGTTTGGTTCTTTTTGGCGATACCCATGTATTTCTTTTTATCCTCTGCTTTATTTGTCAACCAATTCAATGATCTGTTCAAATTTCAAGTGGTTTCTTATGAGTATTCGGAGTTCTATATTCACGACCATGAAAAGTAGCATTTGTTTAAATTCCTTCAAGATGTGGGCATTATCTAGAGGCTGCTTCAATTTAAAGGGGTAGAGCTCCCCAAGATATATTTCAGGCGGCTGCCCAAATAATGGGCAGTCAAGGACCCAATAGTTAAAAGGGGTTAAAAATGGAAGAATAGCTCTTTCCATAATAACTAGCTGCTGCGGTAAGGCAGCTGCAACTCACATATGTCTGCGAAATACGGACTGTTCTTCCTCCAACCGACCTCCGGTTACGGCGTCACCGCCTGAGCATATTCACTTCCAGGACAGAGCATCTCAGCTCTCTCTTGCTCGTATCCTCAACGCGTCGCATTCAAGCAGGTCAACAACGCTTCTTGAACTACTCTCTGGCCATCTAAGATAGACTGCTACGCGACTGTCTCCGTTATCGACAACGAGCATCTGCTAACGCTCATACCACCTTCAACGCGTTTCTACCTTCACAGCTTCATCTACAGTACTAGGGATGTGAATCTCCTGCCCTTTATCTCGAAGCGGACACCTCTCCAAACAACATGCAAGAAGATAATAACGACAGTGGTGTTTTACCTCTGGAAACGAGTCTGGAAAATATACGAGAAGAGATCGTTGCTATTAGTGCTTCACCTCCAGAAACAACTCCTGACAACAACCCAGAAGGTACCATTGTTATTGATACTGGCGATCCACTTCCGGAAACAGCCTTGAACAACATGTCGGAAGACACCACTGCGGTTGGTAGTGGACTTTCGCCTCCACAGACTAGTCTGAACATGCAAGAAGATACTCCTGCTATTGATATTGGGGTGCTGCGTCCAGGAACCGCACCGATCAATATACACGATACCATTGCCATAGGCAGCGGTCTTCCTCCCCAAGAACTTCTTGTTGAGGCTTCTAAGTCTGTGGCTCCCTCACTTTTGACCACCCTCACTATCAGACTAGATAGCATACCGCAAATCTCTAACCTAGCAGCTCTTGAAGCGTCTCCTTACGAGCAAGATCATGTCTACGAACCTGACTTTTTGATGCAACCTCAGCGTGGTTTCAAACACGAAGTGAATCCCGACAAACTCATGTACAACAATATGAATTCCATCCACGAAGGGCGATTCCCATGGATGCGCTATCCACCTCCTGCAAATGCAGCCTACACACTTGATAGTGACGGTCACGATCCAAAGCTACACTACAAATGGCAGCAGCACCACCGTCTTGAGTCTAAAGTACGGCACTATGACTGGCAGCCTAGCCGTGATGATCTGGTGCGCGAAGGAGGCAATAGAAATTTACACGAAGACCTTGTTGTTGGGATGGTCCAGGACGCATTTGATGACCAAGAAACAGTCACTAGAGGTGAGGTACTGGCCAACGATATCAAATTCGACCGTGTGACCTGGGTCATGGGTACGCCTGGAGTTAGCGGGATTGTGTACCCCCCAGAAGAGCAACGTGAGGAGTTCATCTCGAACATTAACGACAATGAGGATGGCGGCGGGGACATGGAGAAGTGCTCTAAGTGCGGCCAATTTCACATCATTCCAGGATCACCCATCACGCTCGCAGATAGAGATACATGTCTCTCCCAGCTGCCGGACTGGTTCCCTCGCGAGTTTGCCAATACTACGAAGAATCCGTGGGATATATATATCCAGTTATTGAATTCGATTGTCCTCGTGGAGGAGGTTGAGAAGGGATACAATCATCAGAAGGACCCAACGGGGCCGGAATGGGATTTACACTTTCACGCGAAGGGTGAGCAGTGGTCTACACTACATGCTCGCGATTGGGGTGGATGGTGGAAATGCCGCAGCGGCAAGAATGCCCCTGACGCCGAGAGGAAATGTCGGCATTGCCATCGTACCAAAACAGCCGAGGAGAAAAAGACGCTTCTCAAGAAAAAAGGCCCGTCTCTTTCTGTGCGGAAGCAGTTCTTACAAGCGACTATGGAAAGGCTCTTCAAGGAGCAAGGACAGAAGGACAAAGATGCCGCATTGGAGATGCTCCGACGTGATGGTATCCCGCAATACTACGGACCTCCTATCGACGATGCTGCTAAAAGTGAGCTATTTCAGAAACAGGCGTTGCTGAGAGCGAAGTCGATTCCTGATATTTTCCAGAACTGGGCAGCCATGCGTGCGTCTGCTCATGTGGATGATGTTGAGGCTGAGGCTGACCGGGAAGCATATGCGGAAAGCGAGGAGTTTTCTTCAACCCCGCGTCCGAAACCTATTACTTCGTTCTTCTTGTAGGATACAATATGCATTCATTGACTCTACTTCATAGCGATAGAAAACGTGCTGGTAGCTTAGAACATACAGGCTATTACGAATTAGAGCATTGATACTATGTAGAATTAAATTTATTCCTAGTTTTGTTGTGCAAGGTAAAGATAGTGCCATGGTTAGTAAGTGCCTGGGCTTTGTTCTTATTCAGAATACTCAGTATTTCTAGGGTGGCGTTGAAACCACGTCAGCTGTTCTGGCCTTTGGAGACTTTTAAAAAGAATGTAATAAATTGTCGGAGGGAACGACGGTGGTCAGTATAGTATTTCATGAAAGGGGTGAAGTAACTGTAATAGCCTGTTAGCTAAGGAGATGAGGTGGTCCCGGTAGGCCGCCCCAGGCCAGGCGTCTGGCCGTAAAGGGGTAGCTGTAAGCAGGGAGGCTAACATATTATGACAAAAACGGGAAGGAGACTAAAAAGTTAGCAAGGCAGATGCCATTATTTCTTCACATACTTGCACGTTCACACTCAAATCCCTCAACATCAAATTCTCAAAGAAAGCTTTTCGTATTGCCCAGGACATGATGGCATGGGTATCATAATATGCACCCACATATCAATCAGTATCAGTATCAGTTTTTCACCATTGAATTTCCCATTCATCCATCAATCCATCCCATCCCATTCCACACCAAACGACTCCTTAACCCCTCAACACTCATCCCTAAGCCATGCCCATCCACCCATCCAAAGCCAAAGCTCCAAGCCACCTCCAGTAATCTAATCGTCCCCCATCCATCACTCCCTCACATCACCAGCCACCACATCGGAAACGAATCGAAAACGCACAAGAGTAGAGAGAGTAGAAAGTTCGCGGGAAAAAACAGCAGCAGCAAAAAACAACAAGAGGGCTCACGTTAGATATCCCCTCTCTCCCACGCCTTACAAGCACCATAAACAAAGTTCCAAATTTCAAATTGGTATTCCCTTAAGCCTTTCTTCTTTGAATAAAAAACTGACAAGACAGTTTATCTATATTTTGTATCAATCATGGGGGGTTTCTCTCGAAGGGAAATCCAGACCGACGCCGCAGCAGCACATTTATCTGACTTTTCTTCTCGAACTGGGAGGCAGCTCAGCACAAAAATCAACAGACTCACGCAAGAACAAGCAGAAACAATGCCAGGAGAAAAACAAACAGCAAAAATCACAAGTTGGTATCGGGGGGTATTGCGCGCCAGGGTATATGTCCGTGACTCTAGGAAATTTTGAGGAAATAAGAGTTGATCATTTAAGAACGCGGTGGTCCAATAGGGCCTGGGTATCCTGAGTTGGTAGAATGAGATGTGGAGGGTCGACCGCTGTCAGTCGAGGCCCTCATGATGTGTTTTGGGGTTGCATCACCGGGATGTTGGAGTTGGATGGGCTTATGGTCATGGATGCTCCCGTTACCATTGCCATTGCCGTTACCGTTACCATTGCCGAAATGGCGGGTTGGCCAAGGTGTATTATCATCCTCTGTCAGATTGACACCACTGTCGTTCCATGGGTTACGGTCGGCGTTGAAACTGCGTGTAGACTCGATCGAGATGAGCGAGGACTTGGAGACATTGTTGGAACCGTTCTTGAAGAACGATCCAGCAGCCGAATGGGAGCTATTCTTCCTACGGTCAAGGAAGGATGAGATCGAGGACATGCTGCCTGGCTTGCGAAGCTTGTCAAAGATGGTACTGCGCTCGCGGGCAACGTCTTCAGTGAAAGTGGATCTCGTTGGCGAGTCCGTTGAAACAGGGGCGGGAGCATGCTGAAGGAGCTTGGAGTCGAAGTACTGGAGAGACTCCTCGAAGGAGTCAGACTTTGGACGGGGAATGGCGCCCTTGATAATCGTGGGTTCAATACCAGCAGAAGCAAGACTTGTGGTCAAGAAGTCGACGGCATCACGGACCCCGCCAGCGTTATTTCGGGTAAAGGTCCAATGTAAAGTGACACTGGGGACGCCATCTTCCTCAGCATCGGGTTCATCCTCCTTGACCTCAACTTCGACGACATATTGTGCTTTGAGCTTCGGAACAAGGTCATTTTTGAACTGTGGTGACTCGAGGAACTTCATCAACTCATCAGTGCGGGCAACGACAAGGTCGTGGTTATCCGGAACCATGCCGAGGAACTCGTCGACGCAGTGAGGCACTTGCCATTCCGGTCCCGAGACTGTTACGTCGTCGCTAGCTCGCTCCGTGCTTGGAAAGATAATCTTGCAGTTCCACTTCTTCTCGAGCTCTTCCAGCTGGGCGAGACGAGCAATGAGCTGTCGGTGGTAGAGCCGGTCTACGTTAACCGTCTGAGATGTGAACTCCGAATCGACTCGATCGACCATATCCAGGATTTCAGATTTGACAAGTTCCAAATTCTGAGCATTTCGAGCCGGCGTACGGCAGATGACATTATCGACCTTGATATCATCGTCTTCTCGACCAACACCGCCGCGGTCCATGGCGTTTGAAAATTTGACGAAGACAGAGTGCTTCTTCATGATCCGCTGGATATGCTGGCCTCCAATGCCAATGATACGCTTGTGGTACTGATCCGGGACATGGAACGAGATTGACGCTGGCATTTCCTGCTCAACGAGCATTAAACCTGATTTCATGGCATCGTAATTGCCGGCGCAGACGTCGATATTGAAGTTGTACTCGTTGAACCCATCGAAAATAATTTGAACGCTGCTTTGTCCCATGATTTTGTTGATCTTGCCATTTTTCTTACCGCTGACGAATTCTTTGTGCTCGTTGGCTAGCTCAATCTTGACTCTGATTTGGTACTGGGACCTGGTAACGAATCTGATCTCGGAGATAACCATCAAAGCTGCCTTCACTGCATCATCAGAGCCGGTGATGGAAAAGGTTAGCTTATCGAAAGATACATCGGCATCCGAGTTTGCACAGATGTCGGAGAGCATCGTTCGGATATCGGCCGGGGAAGGAAGACGCATGGTCTCGGCTTGTTGAATCCACCATGACGCACTGTAAAATTGGCCAGTCTTGAATTTATGTTAGCATAATTCCCCGAACTTCTTAGTCTAGGACTTCCTACCAGAGACATGATATCCCTAACCGTTCGCTCAACGTGAAGTCCCTCCACGCCTTGAATTCGGATCATGTTGCGTTGGGAAGCTAATGCCGGAAATTGAATGAAAGTGCCATTCGTTTCCATGATCTTGCGGACCTTATCCAATCTGCTTAACAGAATGCTATCGATCTTGGCAGCAGCAACGACCGCATCCTTCATGAAGACCCTCGTGCGGCTGACCAATTCGTGGATCTTCTGCTTGGCCATGGCAATATTCTGTGGTGTATCGCCAGTGATGAAGATCTCTTCTGGGTTACGCCTCTGAGCTCCAGCGGGACAGTATCTGTAGACCTGTGAGAATGGTGGTGGGAAGTAGATTGCCGTATTCGTTGCTGATTCGATAATCTTGATATTCTTGCGAGAACGACCGCAGACGACAGTGTGGAGGGAGAGTTCGAGCATCGTTCCATCGACAACACGCCCAAGCTAATCCTGCTGTCAGCGCCTATTAAAGCCAATCCGTCCTCACAAATACTTACCAGTCTGTCGATGAAGATCAAGACTCTAGTCTTTGCATGCTCCGCACTCTCCATGTCTCCGTAGATTGCAACCCTCCATCGCTGATCCCGACCTGCGTCCCCATTGCTATTTAAGCCATCGGACAACGATGCAAATTTTGGGCCGAGAAGGAAGATGTCGACTCCGCAGAAGGAAGAAATTTGATCGAGATGTTCCACCACATGGGACTTCAGAGCCGTCGCCGCAGAATCAATAACCAACTCTCCGTCAATATCGACCACCGCGCACCGCTACCAACCATTAGCACGCAAACCATACGGTACGATCTTCCCAGCCTTACCAACGCCAAGGGGGTATCATTCAAAATCGTCTCCCGACTCTTGTGCACCAGCTCCGGACTTCCCGACAGACAGACGGTTGTGACCTGTCCCTTCACCCGTTTCGGCTCGGAGGACTTGACGTGGGCCTCGATCGGTAGCGGACCGTTGGTGATGTCTTTGCAGAGCTGCCTCAGACTCGTCACGTTCTGGGCGTGGACGGGGAGCTCGTAGATGGGGACATCGTCAGGCGCGTCTTCGGGGTGCGTCCAACGCAGGACGGCGCCATTCGTAGCGTAGAGGATATCCTCCGTATTGGGGCCAGCGAGGTCCGAGGCGAAGGGGACGTTGAACGAGTAGTGGATGTGAGACTGCTCGGAGGTGGGCGAGAGGATTGGTGAAGCCCCGTGTGGTGCGGTCTTGTGCTGGGGGTTGACGGCGGGCATATTCATATTCATGTTGTTCGGCCTTGACATGCCAAAGCCAGGGCCCATCCTCTCTGACCAATGCCGCATGTTGGCTAATTTGTTCATGTTGGGGGGACGAGGAGGCTCTCGCGGCCTGGTGGGTGCAGAGGGCGAGAGAAAGACGAGAATTAAGGATCGAGGGAGGAGGATTGGGGATGTCGGGTTTGGCGGGTTTGGCGGTTGAGAAACGGTGATGGAGGCAGAGGTCACGGCAGAGGTCGAGGTGGAAATGTCGTCGTGCCTGGGAGGAGGGATAAGCGGTACAGCAGACCCGGAGCAGAAGAACTGGGCAGGGCCGGGCTGAGCTGAACTGATCATGGACTGGGACTGGACTGCACGCCTGGCACAATTAGTGGACAGCGAGCACTGCGTAGTGGACACAATTCCTACGTAGCGAGAGACCAGCTACGTACGCCTTGGGGCCGCAGCAGCCAGCATCAGAGGGGCGAACGGTTCACACCGGCGAGACACCACTAATGATCAATAATAATACCATTCAGTGGCCATTCAATACTACTCAATACCATTCATTACGGCACCATTGTGACGACAAAAGCACACTCGCAGGGCCTCGGTCATTATTTAATTACAAAGCAGCAGCAGCCTCAACGGTTTACCATTGCAAAGATAGACATGGACATGGGCATGGATGGGCATGGACTTAAACGTGGAGATAAGGCCATTCATCCATTCCTTTATGGAGCTCTGCACTCCACACGCGCACACGACACATCAGACCTCGAGAAATTATACTTATGTCAAGTTTCTGATACTCATTCCTACTCTTCCTTCTTGGCCCTTGACCCGGGATCCAGAGGAACTCTGAGTCTCTGCTCTGGCAGCAGCACAGCAGCACCAAGAGATCAAAACCACCGCCTGGCCACAGCGGTGCAGTTCACTACAGTCCGAGTACGAAGTGTGTTTGCGTTTGGGTTTCCGTCGCAAGTCAGGTAGTCAAGTCAAGTCCAGTCAAGCGGCTCCAACAGCTGCTAGACAACGACGGCGGGACAAGCCAAGGTCAAACCTGGAAGTGTGCCAGAATCTGTCCGTCCGTGTGCGAAGGTACTCGAGTACAGCACCAGCGAAACCTTCGGCCCTATGAGCGAGCCTATAAGGTTCGGCGGCCAACCTTGAGCTGTTTCCGGTGTCTTTGAGCGCTTGTCGATCAGCTTGGATCAAACCAGAGAAAGTCGTCGTGGCCCTTTGAACGGTGCAGCGTGGCAGGCGAGACAGCGCAAAATACCACCTACATATTCGCCCGTCCCCCGGGTGAACACCAGATACGCCCCCGAGATGCCTGAGCGTGCAATGGGGAATGCCGGCCGTGAGACGGAGGCCCCGATCTGAGATACTTCGCACAGAGTCCACAGAGGCCAGTACTCGTAGTCAGCTTGCAGAAACCACCGTCCACTGGCTATGCAACCAGCTAGCTTGGGCATCCAGCATGTTGCAAACAGCTCAACACGAGACCCAGAGCCAGACAATCTACGGGCCACCAAATAAAGCAGAAGCCGGCCCGTGGTGGACTACTCTCAAGCGCCTACGACGCAGCAGCATACCTAGGTAGGTACATGTACATACTAAATAACATTCCATACCTACCCATGGATCGCCCAAGAGCTCCCTCCAACTTCTGCGGAGTTGCTTCCTGTTCACAAACAACAGCTCAGATGCCAAGTACCAAGGACGACCACAATATCTATCCTGTCTCACCCCGACTCCATTTTCCTAGCCACAGCCGAACAAGCAGCGGTCCAGAACCAGTTCAAACCCCCCGACGATTGGCCCATCACGACGACACCACCACACCAGGGAATCAGCCGATGTCTGGAGTCTAACTTCCAAGTGAAAACATACCAACGTAATCCACATACATCATCATGATCCTCTCTCTGCCATTCGCCTAGGAATATCCCACTAGGAAGGTGTCCGGTCCTCTCCATTCCGGCCTGTTACCCGAGGACCCGCTCTGATAACCGGTATGTATAGTACTATAGATAAGTATTTACAATTCCCTTCCGATGACAAACTACACCTGCAAATAGTACTTATCGAGAAGAATCAGCTACCTACCTAGCAAGTACAGATCATGACAAACCAGCCCAGAATTGGCCCCCAACGTGAATCTGTCGGAAAAGGGTGCAACAGCGGTACATCATGTCGAGTTATCACAAAACTCATCAAATGCCGATCTCTGCGCAACGTGCTGTATCGATGCCGATCATTCTCCGATCGCCAGGACCCGCTTGACGGCCGTTGCAATAGGGCCTATGATCTGCATATCCGGTTTCTCCACCATTCCAAGCTACGGAGCGTACAAGCAACGCATTCCCATGGTTTGTGTTTTTGTTTTGTGTCCGAATACTCGTAGCCCTAACCCTGTACCTGGGCCAACCCGGCGGGATGCCCTTATCGGCCAATTACTCTCATCCTCGCCATGCTTGTACAGCTTTACTACGTATATAAATTAAAATACTAAAACAATACCCTAAAAGGCATCAGAAACCCACCCATACACTACTCATTTTCACGTAATGATATGGAATAATACCAAATCACGTCTATATACTTAACACATAGCATCTTCTATCTAAAGATATCCATTAAATAGATATTTACAACGGTCTCAATAAAACCATTTCTAATTTATGTAGCTCCTCAGTTTATCAAATAATGCCTGCCTACTACCTACCTGCCTATATCGATGTGCAAAGAACGAATATAAAAAGATCGATTACTACAATAAGTACAATGGGGTATCATTAATTAATACTATCCTACCGCGATCCAACTCCAGCAATGCACCTAATTACTCTACACGAAAGGCGTACAGACCGTAACCCCTAATCCAAGTCCAATGCTCTGGCCATTCAAAATTCCCAAAAACCGCCATAAAGGCTCAAAATAAGCACACCTCGTAATATCACAGTACTATCCATACCTCCTCCATCCCATTATCGCTCTTTTTCTTCCATCACATCCTCATCCTCATCACCATCCCCGCTCGATTCCCGATCCTCTCCATTTCCACCCACAGCCGTTGCATATCTTCCTTCCATAGCTTCACCTCCTTCGTTCTCTTTGCCTTTTCCCTGGTAATAGTAGCTATGGCATAGAGGAGTCTCCCTGTGATCATGGGGCGACCTTGGGTTCGAATGATCCACCCTCATACCATTCTCATCATCCTGCTCATATACGCCCACTCGCTTCTTTCCCTATACTCTACCATTAGCATCACATCACGACAACGATATAGAACACCGATATCAAGTGCAAACATACCTTCCTACCCAACCGTGCCTGCCTCCTAGTATACCTATTCAAGCTTTCACAAAGCCTATCCAGAACCCACTCACTCTCCGAAACATCCGCCAACATCGGACTATCCTCCCCAATCCAATCCCACTCCACCAAGCCCCCCTCTTCCTCTTCCTCCTCCACCTCGGCAGGCTTCTTCGAGCTGAACCTAATCAGTCTCGTAAACTCAACCCACTCCTCATAAGAATATTTCTTCGCCGGCGTAGTCCGCAAATCATTCGCCGTCCTTTTAATAGCCTGCGCGAGCCTCCTCGCCTCTTCATGCTCCGTAGTTTCCGGGTCTTCATCAGCAAGATGCTCCAAAGCCGTCGACGGTTCTCCATCCTCCGTCTCCGCAACAGCAGTCTCCTCATCCGGATCCTGCACAGTAAACCCCTCCTCTAATCTCTCCTTCGCCTCGCGCTGCTTAGACTTGCTCTCCAACCAATTCCTAATCTTCGGATTGCTTTCCAGGAAATCATGCCAGACGCCCTGCTTAGGCATCACCGTCCAGTCCGCCAACGTGAACGTGCCGCGGTTGATCGCGGTAACGACCGTCTCGCTCATATCAGAAATAAGGATGGTCATGGTCGGGATAGCTAGTAATGACCAGACCACGAAAAACGGCTTCCCGCCATTTGATTTCAGAGTGAGATCACCATACCCGAGGGTAAGTAGGGAGACGAAGGAGAAATAGAGCGAGTGGAAATAGCTCATGTGCTGCACCCGTGATTCGGCCAGCATGAAGATGAGCGCACCGAGACACCAGAGGGTGGAAAAGGCTAACACTGACATGCAGAGTGCCCAGTACCGCTCAAACTGGTGCGTCTCTGCTTGGATCTCCCGCATAGCATCGAAACGGTCCTTTTCTTCTTTGAGGAGCAGTAATTTCTCATTTCGACGTAAACGTCTGGATTCGGCGGATAGACTGGCTGTTCGTTGCCTTAGTGTTGCCTTCCGAGTTAGACCGGTCCTGTGGATTAGACCATGGCCACGGCCTCCTCTCCCTTCGTGGGATTTCTTATGATGGAAGGTTATTTGGCGGCCCTTGATATTGAAGTGCCCATATTGATCAAGTGACAATCGTGGTTTCGCGGATGGCAATTTGCTGAGCGACTGTCGTCGATCAGAACCAACTCTCGGAGGTAAACCCAGACGATCGCGAAGTTCATTCTCGCTGGTCACGGTACGACCAAAAGTCCGCTCTCTCTTATTAAGTTGATGCTTCTTGATGATCTTATCCTTGGACAACCCCAATGCATACCTCCGGATACTCATGACCATCAAACCAAGAAAGATAATACCAATGACTGAATATGGAATTATCAATCCTCGGCCAACGTCATTAGGAGAAACAAAATCGCCAAACCCAATAGTCAGGACCGTGACGTCGCAAAAGAAGAGGGCATCTGCGTAGTTAAAACCACAGACATGGGAGAAAACACCAGCGCCGCCAGCAAGCCAGATGAAGAACATCATGCTCTGCAAAATAAGCGTCCGCTGATCATCATCCAATTCAAAATGCTGGGGATAGTGACCTAGAAAATACCCAAGCATGTTTATCATCAGCATCATCGAGCCGATCATGTAGAGAATAGCTGCCTCCACCGCATACCAGTAGCCCTGGGAATACGTCTCTCCGGGCTGTATAGGAGGCACGTATGTGTTCATCGCGACCAGAATCCCAGTAAGCTGTTTTTATATACACAGCGTTAGCCAATATACAATATTTGTCAACTTATCAGACAAATGAGAGACAAAACCCACCATACCCGTAGCAAAATACCACGAAATAATCGTAGCAGGCAACGCAATTATATACCTAACCCTCCTTGTAAAATTCAACAACAAGCAGAAATTCCCGAAGAATCCAAAACCCAGCGAGAAAGCGTTTATAATAGTCACCCTACAATTCCACATATAATCTCAGCATTTATATATATTTACCTATAGATTTCTACCCCCAAACGAGGGGATTCTCCAGGCAAAAGACTCACCACTCCGGATCCGGTATAGGAACCCCATTAGCATCCGTCCCCTCGGGCAACTGTCCATTATTCGGCAGTGCTGAGCGCCATTTTATGACTAACGCTGTAATCGACAGTACATTTGCGAGAGGTCCGATCGTGGCGGCGAGGAGGGGGATTGTCGTGGATGCGAACCACCAATTCCTATGAACGAACGGCGCTTAGCTACTGGCTCATCCTAACAACGGTTTTCAAACTAGATGGGAAATCAGAGGATAGCAAACATACTGTGGTAAATCATCCATTTTCCCACGAAGCTTCAACCGCCCTATCGTCCGCATTGTATCCAGCGTATCCGACTGGCTCTTGCTGATGCTGTCACCATTAACGACATTGCTCTCTCCCCTCCCCTTCGCTGCATCGAATTTATCAGAGCGCATAATCCCATTGGAATTGGAATGCGACGCCATTATCGTTCGTGTCGTCAGCTCTGCCGATAGCTTCTCGGCATCGTCATTTTGTCCTCTCCTGTTCTGCCGGGCCCATCCCTATGTCTTTCTGCATATGCAGCTTCCTTCTGCCAGCCCGCTGCTGCGGCTCGTACCTGTATATATATCGCAGTTCTATTCAGATAAATAAGCACGTTCAGTCCGTCGTTCGCCGCTGCTATCGTCTCGAAGACCGTACCTCGTAGATAGGTAAGGTAGGTAGGTAGGTAGGTAGCTGTCGAAGGTCCGCACTACAAGAACCGGACAAAGAAACCGTACCCACCCGGATGTATAATAAACCCTACCTTACTCACATGTCAACCAGGCCAATCCATAAAAACCCATGGTATTTTCAATCAAAGTTTGCAGTTTGATGATCACTTTACCAACCTCACTCTCCGTCATTCCCATTGCTCCATCTCTAGCTCGTCGTCTTCAGCCCAGATGATGCAGCTCCAGCCACGTGCGTGGGGCCCAAAAGCTTGCTTTGCGTAGCAGCTGGGCAGCTGTGGCGCAGGCAGCCCATCTCTCCAAGACACTTCACTCCACCCTAACAAAACTAGGAAAAGCCACAGCAACCATGACGTCTCGAGATCTAAAACCTAGACGGTCACGCTTTCAGTATTTATATCCACGGGGTACAAACTCCCTCGTATTATCGCAGGCATATACAACTTTATAGCTCTTCCTTTGCATTCCCAGCTGTACTTTCATTTACCACGCCTTCCCCCCACGTATGCACGATTTATCAATTCCCTACTTGTACCTCGACGAATTCCGTCGTGTACCCGGAGATAACCCAGTTCCCAGCTCCCACATCACACTTCCTGCACTCACTCCTTGTAAAGCATCGAACACGACTTCCTCCGGACCTCCGATTTTGCACGAGTGCATTTCGTGTGTGCGTAGAAATGTGGACGTATACCTTATGTATTAGTGTGCTACGGCGGGAAGAAAGACTATGAACTACTGAGTGCCTAGTAATAATAATTATGGCTTCTAAAGTAATAGGTTTGTATAGGTTTGTATAGTATATCTAGACTAAAACATAGCACTTATATAATGGTCGTCTGTTGAGAAACGCTAGGAATTACTGTACTGTGTTATATATGTGGGTGAATTGGGTTGGAAGACAAACTGTTGAATTGCTAGATACGTAGGTGAAGTGATAGATAGCTTTGTACAGCTAGAACAATCTCTCTTAAATACCTTATTGGGAATTTATAGTATATAAACACCATATCTACAACAATCAATCTTCAAGTCAACAACGATAGTAATCATTGTATTGTATTGGCCTATCTATTGCCTCCCTCCCCCTTCGCAATATTCCCTAGACCTCAATACCACAGTAATTTATAATTATTCATGCCTAGCCCCCTTTATCCACCGGGGCATATGCGTAATAGACCTAGTAGCCATCCATTCCATCCAGAGAATAAAAGCCATCCACATTGGGGGAGCCTCTGGATACAGAAACCCGCATGGTAAACTAACGCCGTTCTATGCTTTCATGTCCCGCCCTTCTCCCAAGGGCCCGAGTTTATGCCTAACACCAAACGCCTCGAAATATCAGACCCATACCAGTCGAAATCTATTGTGGTGGAATGGTCATTCACCCATTATGATAACCTTTCCATTATTATGTATGTGCAGTTGGGTGTTTCAACATCCCGTCAACGTGTTCTTCGGCCATGCGTACCCTGTTTCGTTCCAAGCCTGTCATTCTCGTTAGCATTTGAATTCTCTACCTCAAAGGGTATTCTTACAGTCATATTAGGATTTCTATATGCAACAGGATGATCCTTAATGTACTGAGTGGTCGGGTACCCTGGCGGATCACAAGTGATGGTTTCTTCGCCAGACTTTTGGTAAATCCGGACGTAGTCGATGTGCATGATGGTTGGGAACTTCAAGTTCGGCTGGTCAATTTGTGTCCACGAGGCACTAAACCCAAGATTAAGTATCATGGACATTGGCTCTTGAGGGATTTGGCGTGCGCCAATGTTGCCATTTGGGCCAATGGACCTGCCATCCATCTGGAATGTAGGGTCTTCGCCCACAAACCAGGTAATTTTGCCGGTCGACGACGTGCCAGGATAATACTCATACGCATACTTTTGATATGCCTTCTCGTCGTACCATGCATTGTTCAGCATACTGGTCGCACTGACGGCTTGTTGGAATGGTCCTCCACAGTATCCGTTCATTTGAGTGGTTTCATAGTTCGGAATTGCTAGGAAGTTTGAGTTCGGTCTATAGTACACGTCAAATGGCGCGACTTGCAGACTTTGGGTGACAACTCCAATTTTGTTGATCGGATCTACAGACCCTTCCAGGATATCCAATTCAGGAGCACCTCGGCCTGTTCCAGGATTTGGATGATCCTCACCGTTGCAGGTACAAGAAGATAATTTCTGGCCGGGCAGAAAGGACAATCCGTCAGAGACGGACTGATTAGGCGTGATTCCAGCATCGCAATTATCGTATGTGTACGGCCAGACACCCTCTGTAGTTGCCTTGAACCCCGGACGCCCTAAATTTCCCATAGACCAGACTCCTGGCCATAATCCTGGAACTCCTGCAGGTCCCGCAAGGGAAACTGACACCTCGAAAACCCCGCCTTTGAAGCATAATTGATTCCAGCTGTTCAGCATCCCCGATCGGTATTGAAGCCCATGGTTGGGAAAAGCGTCCAGTCTTAACTGCAATGTGCCACCGCCAGTTGTAATCGCATCGGGATCGTACCACTCAAAATCCTGCGTTGCCCCATACCAAATATCAGCTCCGGTCCAGTACGGATCATCCCCAGGATAAAAGGTCCTGTTGGGCTGACTGAATTCGTCGCTAAAGACCAATTTCAAATCCGATCCGCCATAGGCACTCTTCCTCGTCTTTACACTGTCTGGCGTGTCCGGGTCAATCAGCCCTCTCCGCACATTTTTCATCAATGGATAAGTGTTGTTGTTGACACGGGCCCAAGCAGGACCAAAATCCTCTTCGGTTGGTCCTTTTGGAGGTGAAAGACTGTTGCGAGCGTAAGTTAGGGCCGGCAAGATTACGAAAAGGCTGAGAATGCCAAGGACTATGAGAATGGCCCCTAAAGTGCTCACGATTTGTCGACGGCCGAAGTAGTCGGAGAATTTAGTCTTGTAAACCAAGTCGTCATCGTCTGCTGGCATGTGAAGCTTATCGTCAGCCTCAAGCTCATTGGCATATAAAATGAAGCCCTTCTCCCCGCCGTAGTATGGGTCGAAAGCGCCAATGCGGTCATCTGGATATTCGAATTTCTCTAGCTCTGCCTTGGAATCGCTGAAGGGGTTGGCGGATGCCGAGCCCAACAGAGGGGCCTCTGCTGCCGTAATAGCGAGGTCATTGCTAGGTGCTCTCGAGTTGGGCCGCACGCTCGAGCTTGACGGAGGATATCGTGAGTAATCACGGCCTAAATCCTGTAGATGCTTTGGCGCTTCAGCTCCCGATATGCTTTCCTCTGGGGATAGAGCAACCGCGGACTTTTGTCTTAATATCTGTTGAGCAGAATACAGGGTGTTGGTGCTCCTCTTGCCCTTCGCCGGACCTAGCATACTGTTAGTTGGCTGGCTGTGTGCCTCGTCGCCCGATGAAGAAGAATTCCTCTGGGAACTTTCTTCCGGTGGGGTAGGAATCGCATTGCTCTCATTCATAGACGACTGCGACGATGTATGATATAATGGCGACGGAGCGATGGGAGCATGGGATGATGCCTGGTTCGGATTCCGAGCGGATGATGGCCTCTCGAGGTGCGATGGACTTGAATTGCTCTTTTGGGATATCGCATCTGAGTTATCGTTATCCAGGATTCCCAACCCGGCGAAATCCTTTTCTGACTCCAGCGTGGAATGTGATCCAGCTTCTTCCATCGCCCGGCCGCCACCCGGGCTTGGGCGTTTCTTCCAGAAGGGCGCCATGTCTCTATGCCTGACCTCTGAAATCAAGAAACCAACAGACGAGGGAGATCGATCCTTCCATTCCCTCCACGCTCTTTATTTGAAAAGTTGCAGCCAGATGGGTCCGAGTAGAGTGATGTTCGCAGCTATGGGCTTTAGATCGAGCGACGCCGCGCGAGTGAGTGAGCGGTGTTTATCCCGACTCTGGAGACTTGTCGCCGCAAACAAACAAATCTTGAGATGCCTCAGCCCACAGATAAGGAATGGACGCAAGGGGATCGACGGCGCCACAGACGGTTCCTTATCTAGCAGATAACTGGAGCAGCTACTACGTAGTGGTTACTCCGTAGACCAGCAATAATGGGCAGCGTTTAGCTCAAGGAAAGGAAACGGTTGACACGCGGACTGTGGAGCGAGGGGCAGATCGTTGATGGCAGACTTTGGTAGATAGCGACCGTGGGGTTTCGCAACTTGACTCGTACAGAATATTAAGGGACAGGTAAACAGAGACGCGAGAGGTGTTGGATGCGGCGGAGGAATGGGCGGAGGGAAGGAGAACAGAAAGCAGGAATGAGACTGGCAGAAGAACTACTTTCGTATAGTGGCAGATCGTACCTACCCTACCCTACCCTACCTTACCTACATGCCTTGTACTGTACCCTACCTGCTCCCATACGACAAGGAGCAGGTGGGTATGTACCTTGGTACGTTCGTGCCACATCTTGCCTGCTCTTTTGGGGACTTGAAGTTAGTCTACTAGAGGAACATTGTCATTTTTCTTCGTTCGAACACGAGCTCTCTCGGTAATTATGAATTCCCTGGAACGGGGTACGGAGGTACATCATGCACAGACATGGCCGCTTTCCTGGCATCAGCCCTGCCCCTGTGGCGGTCGCTTGTCTGATATATCCAATCAGAGGCCGCCCACAAATGACACCCGAGGACGGCCCGCGAGATATCCCTGCACCTGCCAAGAAATGACGATTGTGTTAATAAGCGGCCAACAGTTCCAACTTGCTGCTGAAAGAGTCGGAGAGTCTGGGAGTGAGACACCGCCGGTACAAGCACAAGCACCAGCACAAGTAAGGGTACCACCATGGCCAAGGCATAATGCTGAAAACAGGAGTGATCACATTTATTAGTATTCGAGTGACTACGTAGGGAGTTGGAGCAGCTAGGAACACACGCCACTACCAAGAGTCTTACGCCCCTACTCGTACTCTACGGAGTACGTACAGCCCTTACCTAGGTCCGCCGGGTACGTGCTGAGTCCGCTGAGTACGAGGTTTTTGCCCCGGCGCTGACGACATTCCGATTCTCGATGCCCATGCATACGAGCAGCCCTGCAGAGTGCAGCCGCTGGTGGCGCTCTTCTTGGCTGTCAAAATCAACAAGAACAACAGACACCAAATGTATCCGCTCGCTGACCGCCGGAGAATACTTGTATCGAGAGATCGGATCTGCACAGATGGACAAGACGGTAGTTGGGATCTGCACATTACGACAAGAATAACTCAGTCGATCTCTCACGAGGACTGGGACTGATTCGCTTCTGGGCCTCTGCAACTCGGCCATTCGACGCCGTGCTTGAGCAAGCTTCTGGCTTGCAGATCGCGCAGAAGCCCGTTGCGGGTGCTTGCAGATATCAAGTCGTGCTTGTGTCTTGCTGTCGACGCGGGCGACGGGCCTCCGAGGCCTTGAAGATGAAGATAGGTAGGTGGTGTCTGCTGGCCAGTACTAGTATCCAACGGGGGAGCTCGCATGACCTTCTACCCGTCCTAGCGCTCCATCACATTGTGTTTGTACTGGTATCATACTGTTGTTTGCGAGAGACAACCGGAGATACGGTAAGGTAGCGGCTGCTTGTATGTTTGTTCAAATCGATGCGTGTACACTGTACTTAGATAGCTAGCTCGAGTAGTACTTATATATACAATACAATCAATATCGTTCAATTGCTCAATATTTCCCGCAGCGCTGTGAATTGTAGGAAGCTGAACCTAAAAGCACATTAGGCACTTTCCAGCTCAACCGAATAGTGTACTTATATCCTATATTTATAGAATGATCTGAAGCACGTGCATTTTGAAGGGTTTTGTTGATCGCACCGACGGTGGTTAAGTCGTAGCCGAGTCGACTCGACTGGTCAAGTCGACCAGTCAAGTCGATTGCGATGTGCAACAAAACTGGAAATAAAAATGCGGTACTTGTTGTAATCTAAGCGAATTGTATGATGAGTCCCTCGAGCCCTTCTACAGCTGATCTATCACTAAGATTTTAGGTTCAAATCGATCTATATAATCTGGAATATGTGTTCAAAGTGCAAAGGGAAAAGTGCAATATAAATATGTCCTAGTTAATCATGTGCATGAGGATGTATAACCTTAGTGATGAAGTCCATTAGCTCTATATCTCCCTGGCCAAAACATACTTTAGGTATATATTATCCACCTACAAACGAGTAGACGAGATTATGAATGGTCTTATTATGCATTGCAAATCCAGCTGAGAGAGCTGTCAGAAGATGTATACGGGGAATCATATTAATATTAAAGTTGTATTATTATATTAGAACTATGACTTTGGGTATTAAGCCCTAGATAAGAAGTATATCAAGGACGCTCACTCGCTAAGTTTGCTCAAATGAAGATTGTACCGGGGAATTAACTACCGCCCACTTTGATATCCACGGGGAACATTGCATTAAGATTGAATCCGCACCACGACTGTTTCAAGAAACAGAGGATCAGCGCACATCGCCAGGCTCATCAATCTCCATACCCAACACCGCCTTGAGGAAATTCATCTGCTGCTGGAGATGATCGACATTCCCCTGCATACGACTGAGAAGCACGTGTATGTGTCGTTGTTTTTCCTTCGGGAGAGCATCAATAGCCGAAGTTGAAGGTTGCGTGGTATGGCCGGATGGGTCGAGCTTCGCCGCGGAGTTTGGTGTATTACCGTGAAGAACCGTTTCAATATAGTTCGCCGATTGAGTTGAAGGGTTTGGTGTAGTAGCATGCTGAACTGTCGGAAGGTAGTTCGCTGGTTGAGTTGAAGGGGTTGGTGTATTAGCATGCTGAACTGTGCGGATATAGTTTACCGGCTCAGCAGTGGGGTTTGGTGTATTAGGTGCGGTCCAGCCGCGTGTTGATGAAATGGCATTAGAAGGCTGTTTGCCCCGAGGAAGTATATGTTTCGGCGTATTTGTGGTATCTGCCATATCATCCTGGGCGGCATTCTCACGGTGCTTCTGCTTCTTTTCTAGTTGATATGATTGTTCCCGCGCGTCGGGAGTTTGGCGACCCGCAATGTCGGCCTGGAGTAATCTGTCTAGATCCGGAGGCGCTGAGGGAAAAGACTCTGCGATATTCGAAGGTGGCGCTGAGAAATTGATATTCGGTGGGGGGTTGTCCGCCTCGGATCGCCTCTTGCGCTTTCTGGGAGGTTTTGGGGGGTCGGAAGCTTTAGATAGGATGTATGATTTCAGCATCTCAGGATTCGAAGAGTGATAGCGGAGCGCCCTTCCATCAGCCGTTCCTATTCGGCATTAGTATTCATTGCTATCACCATTGCATATGCGGACTTACCTGACGCCTCGTGGCGCAAGCTGCATTTATTGCCTTTGGACGTGAAGATACATGTTGAACACGCGCCTTGAAACCAGGGCTCCAAGGTAATGCACTGGGAGAAGCGTCCGAATCCAGCAGCGCAATGTGTACATGGCGTCCCCACTACATTTCCTCGCGTGGACAGTAGGATTGCGCCGCGCTGTTGCACGCGTGGGCTGTCAATTGCTTTCTCCGGTAGCAGCTCCTGACCTGCTCGCCATGGGATCGGACGCACTTCTGGCAGTGCCCGCAACCGCTCGATGTGACTTGGACTCGATTTGAACGCGGCGCGTTGGGACCCAGGAGGCCCGCCTTGCGGAACAAGATCCTGATGGCCCTGATGGGGATCAGGTTCCGCAAAATGGTACTGAAACAAGTCCTGCTGAACGCCAGTTCTGAAATCTTCTTCTCCTGGCGGAGACATGGTTGACGATGGCATGTGGACCGTGTTGTTGAAGTGGGTCGAAATGAGAGCTCACGGACCAAACTCAATGTCTTAATCTTATCTTATCGGGTCGTCCAGACTTTATCTTTATTCAAAGTTCAACGACTACCCAAGTGATCTAATACTACATTACAATACTAACTTTTAGCTTTGTTTCGCCCTTTGTTCGCCCATTCGCCATCGCTGTTATTAATCGTCAATACCCAATGCTCGCTTCAAAGAATTCAACTCCTTCTGCAAATGTTCAATCCCGCCTTGCAACCCACTCACTAAGCCATAGACCTGTCTCTGCTTGTGTTTGGGTAGAGTATCGATAAGTGCAGTTGACCCATCGTCGTTCACAACTGTTTCTTCTCTCTGCTCCGCGCTCAGCTGATAACTTCCACCATTACCTCCTTCTCCATTTCCAAATATCTGTCCGCCTGCAGGTGGGGAGTGCTGATTTACAGTCGCCCAGCCAAGCGGGGATGGCCGCTCGATGCTGTTCGGAGCGCCACTCCCTGTGCTGTTTGCCCCATTAAGCATCATCGGCGGCGTTTGTGCGGGTGCCGTGGGGTTGACAGTTGCCCAAGGTCTCTGCACGATATCCTTCATCTGGTGTTGGACGTGCGAGTTTCCGAGTTCTTGCTCCCACTGCGGACGTTGGCTCTCCCAGTCAGGTACTGGATTCGGTGGATTCGGCGGATTCGGCGCAATATTTGGAACTGCATTATTCTTCCGCCTACGCTTTGGTTTGGGCCCATCGCTGGGTGTCCGTTGTAACGTTGGGTCTTGACCATTATTCAATGGAACTCCTCCAGGGGTATTATGAGGTGAGCTTTCTGCGACATCTGAACAAACTCCGAATTAGTAAAAATCACCTTGGATGCGTTTGAGGGTGGATACACACCATCAATCTGTTTGATACTGCACCTGTTCGGCCGACCACTGAGCTGACAACTGGCACACGCGCCCTTGAAGAACCCTTCCAACGCAACACAGACATCGAACTTGCCACGACCATTCGCACAGCTATTGCAAGGAACAGTCTGCACTTCTCCTCGCGTTGCAAGAAGACATCCGAACCTGATCTGTTTCCTTCGTGATTCTCCGCCGGTCTCGTTGTCCGCCCCGGGCTCTACCCCTGGTCTCCAAGGTAACGGCCGCTTCTCCTGCATCTGCTGCAGTCGTTCCTCCATCGTAGGAGCGTTTGGCCGCTGCCTGGATTTCGACTCGCTTTGCGCAGGCTGGTGGGATTGCGGTGTGGCATATGGGTGGTGGTTGTTGCTATTATTGAAGTTCGTGGATGGTAGGTCTTCGAGAGGCTCTGGCGATTCGAGGTGTTGCGGGTTCATTTGCGCCAGTAGTTGGTTAACGAGCGGTTCCAGCTCGGGACCAGACATAGTCCCGTCCTGTGAGGAGGGACGGGAGAGATCGTATTCGCCTTTGACGACGATGGCGTGGCCGTGATAGACTTCTTCTTCACCTTCTCCTTCGGCGGATGGAGGCATCGTCGACAAGATGTGGGGGTTAAGGACAGTCGACGATGTCGCAAAGCTGAGTGTCCAGAATAGATGCGCGTCAAGCTTTATCCGCCAGATCCATGCGATAAGCATAATACGTCTCTTATCGAAACAGACTTGGAGTGGATCCTTACCCCTGAAATCCCTGCCCTGAAAAAGCCCTAGGGCCGTAAGACCTAATAATAGCTCCACGTACGTACTTTGACAGGAGTAGCGCCTAACTTTTAAACGAACCTGGTACCGTTACGTGTTGGCCTCAGGGTAATGTACAGCAACGAAGTAGGCAATTTCCCAATCTTACAAAAGCTAATAATATCGTCACTGGCTACTCGCTGTACGGAGTAAGAGAACCTGCAAGCATAATAAACCTCGCGAATCCTTTGGTGTTGTCAGGCCTCTTGACAAGTGTCTATTCTCTGGGGAAAGAGCTACCTAGTTCATTTCATGGGTCTCATGGACGGCTCTCTAAATAACTGAGTCGAGTCTACCACGTCTACGCCGGCACCTCCGTCTATGTATAAAATACAGGGCTTGTTTGTGCAATTCTTGTTACACGGTAATTCACGCCTTCCCCTTCCCCTTCGGGTCTCGGAGGTATTTATCCCACTTCTCCGTCTCCTCCTTCTATAACTTCTTCAAATCCTTCTTGAATTCCCTGTCCGCCTTTAGCTCCTCCTTGGGCGTCTTCATATTCTCCTTGAGCTCGTACTCAACTTGCTGCAACGACCGACTCACCTGAGACACCTCCTCGTTGATCTTCTCCGCCTTCTCATCGCGCTCCTTCTTGGCTTGCAAAGACTTTTGACGTATATTTCCCCCGTCCTCCTTGGCCAAATTCTCCTTGGCCAAAACCTTCTCGACTTGCCAAATCGCTCGGTTCACTTCAACCTCCAGTTCTGGGAGCTTCAGTTCGTCTGCAATTCTCTTCGCATCGGACTGGTAAAGGACCATCTTCTCGTCCGCTTCCGCTTCCGTCGAGCCAGCGGCAGCTTGGTCCATAGATACAGGCGAGCCATCCCGTCGTATCCTTGCGGCCGTGTAAATCTCGTCGAGTATTCGGGAGGGCTCAGGGATTATAAGTTTGTTATCGACCAAAACCTTAATGTGCTTTGAACCCGAGAGGGCTCTCCAATGCGACCAGGCTCGGAAGACAAGGTAGAAAAACGGTATATTCGGGATGCTAAATTCCAATGTTAAATAAAGTCTGCCGCATGCTCTGGAGATGTATCTTACATCGGTATTAACGCGACTGGGGCGGTTATGGGCATTCCCACGAAGCACCATAACATTCTCCTTTTGTGGAAGGGCTGCCTCTCCGTGCCTAATTTCCTTAGGACGGTTGCCGCATCGCTCTCCGATAGTAGTGTCTGCGGAAAACAGACTTGAACCTTCTCCTTGCCTGTGAGCTCCTCAGCTTTTCTGCGCGCTGAGAGCGGAGGTATCGATTTCAATCCCCATTCTTCATATGGTATATGTTTCAGGGCTTCATTGCCGTAATCCACCACCTTCCTTTGCCATCCGCTTTCCTTCTTCTCCCAACCGGCCCATAGCTTGGCAGCTTTCGCAGTGCCTTTATCGATCCAACCTTGCTGCTGGGTGGTGGTGACGTTCAGCCGCTGGCAGTAGATTAGAGTTCGGCGCGTGGAAACAGGGAGTAGGAAGAGTCGCATTGTCTATATGGCGGTTGAATCGGCAGTCCGATTCGTACAGAGTATATTTTCATTAGCCCATTCTCATCGGCGAAAAGAATAAGGTCGGAAGTCGTGCAGGTAAATGCGCTTCTAATCCAGTAAAATTGTTGCACGAGAGAACGCGACGACAAAATTCTAAAATGACGTCCCTGGGCTGACCTCGCGCCTTGCCAAAGAACCTTGCAGACTTCTGTACTTGCTTTTACAGACAGCTTTAAACCGATGTGGATCAGCAAACGACCAAACTCTCCGCACCCAAGCCCTCCAGCCTCCTTCCGACTCGCCGAGCTCTCATTACCTAGCCAGTCAACAGTGATCCCTTTTTCACTACGGAGTGTTTACCGTTTGCGCTTGGTATCTACATGTAGCTCGGCGACTACGAGGTATGCCTCACGGACCTAGGACTTCATTGCCGCCCAGTTGAGGCAGCCTTGTAGGCCAGTAGCAGCACCTCGTCCAGCTCACGATATCACGGCAGAGCCCGTTTCCTTCGAGGCGCCCAAATCATGGCGGATTCAAGCACCCCAAAGTTGCAGCATCGTGGGCGCGGATTGCACTTGGAGCCTTATAGCCTTCATGATCATGATTCATCTTGCGCACAAATGAGGCCCTCTCTGTCCAACGAGGCTGTCCTAAAACCCATCGACGAATTTACCAATCGACCATACCCTTCGTCATCCGTCTCGCGCAACACAATGGCTTCTACTAGCACTCGTGTTGATAATCGGGTCGCGAAGAGGGAAGTTAGGACGCTTCCGTGTATGCCAATCACCCTCTACCTTGGGACATAGTGCTAACGTTTGAGTAGCCTGGATAGATTCCTATGATGATGTGGACGACCCGCTTGCAAATGGGTTATCTACGAATAAGTTCTTATCCTCACCATCTCGAGCACATTCTGCACACCATCATCATACCCCCGCACAACCGTCAAGACGAATGTCCCAGGATGGGTACGAGGACATATACGATGAGACTCCTAAAATGACGGAGAAGAAGCATGAGTCTGGATTTTTCGGCCACAAGGAACCAGTGAGAGGGCGGAAATGGGACCATGTACGGGAAGGCGATCCAGTAATTATGCAATCGAATGGTCAATTCGCGTCCCCCTGGCGGACGTATATTAAGTCGTCGATGTATGGACCGGCACCGTCTGAAGATAATAAGAGGGTTGATGAAGAATTCCTGCAACAACAAACTCCTGGGTTCGATAGGCCGTGGCGAGGTGACTTGGACGGAGGAAGTGATCCAGAAAAGTCGTTGGGTCTGCTGCACAGCAAGAAACGACGGCGGTCTTTGCTGAAGCGGTGGCAGGTTCGTACCACTCCTCAACTGCCTAGGCGTTGCTAACATTTTCAGCAAATCATCCTTATACACCCTCTTATACCACTTATATTCCGTGTAATAGTTTTTACAACATCAATTATTGCACTTGGCCTATCTGGGTCCATATACAAACTCTCTAGATTTTACGCATACCCCCAAAACCCTTCCACTGTTATGGCTGTAGTTGTGGATGTGGTTGCAATCCCATACATTATATACATAACTTGGGACGAGTATACGGGGAAGCCCCTAGGATTGCGGCCTCCAAAAGCGAAGATACGGCTAGTCCTTCTGGACCTCTTCTTCATCATATTTGAGTCTGCCAATTTGGCATTGTCATTTGCGGCCCTGGTCGACGAACATGGGAGCTGCAGAGATGTTCGCAATGGTTATAACCACGTCCTCTGTGTACGAGTCAGAACCCTTTCCGGGATCTTATTGATTGCGTTAATTAGCTGGAGTGTTACATTTACCATTAGTATTTTTAGGTAAGGGATACTTGACCTGGTTCTTGGGATGTTACTGACTTATATCTAGGTTGGTAGAGCGTGTTGGTGGTAGAGACGAGGTGGACTAGCAAAATACGAATACTCACACACTTCTACAGGATTTCCTTTTGTCGTAAAAAGGGGGGGACGGGCAGCTTATAGACTTGGCGCTTTTGGATTGTGGCTGTTAAAAGTCACCTTGAGGGATGTATAATAGTAACGAATAATGTATTTTATATCCATATCAAAAGTCATCTGAGCTTCGACCATAATAATCCTAGCTAGAGCTGCTAAGAATTGAATTGTGCCCATATATTTCATAATAGGCATATACCCTAACCAATTTCAATCTCAAGTATTGTTCATAAGCCCAAATATTTAGGTTGTAATGACTAGTAGCTACTCCGTAGCCCAAAGGGTTTCTAGAAGGCTGGCGCTTTGGAGGCTTGCGCCCGATAACTGCCTCAGGCACCCAATATGCTCGACCTACAGCATAACCTCGCGAGTTGGCGATCTGAATCACGGAATCTCCCTAAACCACATCCAACTCTGTTTAGCAAGACGACGTCCGGGTTGCTTGCAGAAACAGTCGCCTTTCCTCCCTCAATTCTGCCATAGCGGCCAGACTCCGACTGCCTTGATTTGTTGAAATTAAATCTCTTTGTGCCTCCCAGTTTCCGCGCCCTCGCCGCGTCCTGGCTTCTGGCCCCCCTCCTCCCAACATACTAAACGCCTGGAAGGCGCATAGCTTCATTACCCAGCTCTCTTGAGGAGGCAGCATTGAGGCCGGATAATCCTCTTTGCTGCGAGTACAAAACCGCCTACTACCGCCTCACCTTCCAGATTACATTTTCCTCATCTTCCTCACCTCTCTACGCCACCTAAGCTCCTTATCCCTCGACCAATAGCATGGCGTCTACGACGAAGACAGTGACGGCTATGCCGATGGTCCCTAACCGGGAAGATCTGGATGCAACGTGAGTGCTCCATATGTTGTAGATCTGCCGTTTGGTCCGTCACCCCGCGCTGACTTCGTATCCAGATGGCGGTACCTTGAGATGGGTGTATCCAAGATTATGGCCAACCTGCAAGACGGTATTGATATGAATACTGTATGACCCCTTCACCTTTCTACTTGATTCTGGTTACTGACTATTGTCTATAGTATATGGGAGTCTACACGTACGTCGCCTAAAATCCAACGCCTGCACGTATTAATGTTTTGCAGGGCCGTCCATAACTTCTGCACATCACAAAAGGCTGTAAGCAATGCTCATCAAGGGGTTATTGGAGGGGCACACCGCGGTGGTAGGATTCCATCCGACTCTTTCGATCTTTGCGACTCTAACGTATAGTAGCACATCTTCTGGGGGAGGACCTCTACCAAAACCTTATCACGTACCTAAACAACTACCTGAAAGAACTTGTTGCCGAATCAAGGAAGCATTCAGATGAAGCTCTCCTCGCCTTTTATATTCGAGAATGGGACCGATACACAACCGCCGCAAAATATATCAATCATCTTTTCAGATACCTCAATAGACACTGGGTGAAACGGGAGATGGATGAGGGCAAGAAGAACATCTACGATGTATATACGTTGCATCTGGTTCAATGGCGGCTTACCTTGTTCACGGAAGTCCACGAGAAAGTCATGGACGCAGTTCTGAAAATGGTGGAAAAGCAGCGAAATGGGGAAACCATTGAACATGGCCAGATCAAGGCCATCGTGGACTCGTTTGTCTCGCTTGGATTGGATGAGGCCGATCCTACAAAATCCACACTCGACGTTTACCGATTTAACTTCGAGCGACCATTCTTAGAAGCAACGAAGCAATTTTATCAGGCAGAGTCGAAGCAATTCGTCGCCGAGAATAGCATCGTGGAGTACATGAAGAAGGCGGCAACTCGTCTAGATGAGGAAGAGGAGCGTGTGAAGATGTATCTTCACCCAGATATCATTGTTCCGCTAAAGAAGACGTGTAACACTGCCCTCATTGCAGATCACTCTGCTATTCTCCGCGATGAGTTCCAGGTGCTGTTAGATAATGACCGTTATGAGGATATGGAGCGCATGTACAAGCTTCTCCAACGAATCCCTGATGGACTTGATCCGCTACGAGCAAAATTCGAAGCCCATGTCCGCAAGGCGGGTCTCAACGCCGTTACGAAGGTGGCGGTCGACGCAGACAAGCTTGAGCCGAAGGTGTACATTGATGCCCTTCTTGAAATCCACACCCAATATCAAGGTCTTGTTAAGACAGCTTTCCAGGACGAGCCCGAGTTCACCAGATCTCTCGATAATGCATGCAGGGAATTCGTGAATCGTAATCAGGTGTGCAAGTCTGGCTCGAACAAGTCCCCCGAGTTGCTTGCCAAATATGCCGATGCAGTACTCCGAAAAGGCACAAACGGTGCAGAAGAGAGCGACCTCGAGAATATTCTGAACCAGATCATGACCGTCTTCAAGTATATCGAGGACAAGGATGTGTTCCAGAAATTCTACTCCCGCATGCTTGCTCGCAGATTGATCCATACCAGCTCTTCGTCAGATGACGCCGAAACTAGTATGATCAGCAAGTTGAAGGAGCAATGTGGTTACGAGTACACAAACAAGCTTCAACGCATGTTCCAAGACATGCAGATCTCCAAGGATCTGAATAGCGGCTTCAAGGAGTTTGAAGCTGGTCTGCTTGAGCCTGGTGATGAAAAGCAGGTTGATGCTTCCTACTCCATTTTAGGGACTGGTTTCTGGCCGTTGAACCCACCCAATACCGATTTCACTCCACCAGCGGAAATTTCGAGGGCCTACGAGCGCTTCCAGACCTTTTACGGGCAGAAGCATAGTGGGCGTAAGCTTACATGGTTGTGGCAGTTCTGCAAGGGAGAAGTCAAGGCAAACTACTGCAAAAACCAAAAGACCCCTTATACATTCCAAGTGTCGACTTATCAGATGGCCATTTTATTGCTGTTCAACGAAAGCGACAAGAATAGCTATGATGACATCGTCAAGGCTACGCAACTGCAACCCGATATCCTGGATCCGGCCATGGGGATTTTGCTGAAAGCCAAGGTACTCAATATCAGTCCAGAAGGTGATAAGCCGGGCCCTGGCAAGATGTTCAACCTGAACTATGATTTCAAGAGTAAGAAGATTCGTCTCAACTTGAATATCGCAGTCAAGTCAGAGCAGAAACAGGAGGTCGAGGACACCCACAAGACCATTGAGGAAGACCGAAAGTTGCTCATGCAGGTACGTTCAGAGAATTTCTATAATGGCCGTTATCTAGGTATACTAACGCATGTCCTAGTCTGCAATTGTGCGTATCATGAAGGCCCGGAAGAAGATGAAGCACACCCAGCTGGTCAGCGAAACCATCAACCAAATCCGATCCCGATTTGTCCCCAAGATCCCCGACATCAAGAAATGCATCGACATCCTGTTAGAGAAGGAGTATCTCGAGCGTCTCGATGACGACGAGCTTGGATACCTTGCATGAGCATGCCGGTTGTTCTTCTTTTTAAAGGTCAGTGGGGGATTTTTTTCTAGGCGTCGAAACCAGATCATAATCTACAAGGCGCTTTTCACTGGAGGTGGGGGGGGGGGAAGACGGACGGGGTCAAACAAACGGGAAAGCAAGATAATAAACTCCAAATCATCTTGTTTTTTCTCTCTCTCACTCTCTCTCTCCAAACTGCATATAGGTGGCATGTTATGATTAGTAGCAAAGCAGCAGCGAGATCATTGGAGCCAAAGCGGGAGGGGTCCTTTTTTATTTTTATTTTTATAAACCCCTTCTTGAAAAAAGGGGCATTGCATACGGTTTTCCTTTCCCTCTTCCCTGGCATCAAAAAATTCATCACGACAACACAACGAAGGGACGAACGATATTAGCTGCTTTTTCTTTTTTTGTGGAAAAACTCATGGATGGCGCTCATACACAACACACAATTTCATGAGACCGCAAAATTAAGCATTTTGCTTCGGAAATGGAGGGAAGGGAGCCGGGGGAGGGGGAGGGGGAGAGGGAGGTTGGATGGATGGATGGATGGATGGAGGAGTTGAAAGCCTTTGTTGATATTGTGGAGACCGAGCACGCAGCCCATTACATTACGTTACCTACCTAACCTACCTAGTTTGCCTACCTATAATAGATAGATAGATGGATGGATGGATGGATGGAATGGATGACTGTAAATCTTTTTTTTACAGGCAGATAAATAAGCAAAATAAAAATATAAAAACTTCCGTTAGCTGGTTTAGAGTGGTTTTATTGTGTGTCTTTTAAGTGGTCTTAGTTGGTTGGGAATTATGAGATAGGGGTTATGGCTGTGCTTGTACATGTAGTACCTAGGTACCTATATATGTATAATATATATATATATATATGCCTAAGCTTACCTACCCAATCCCAAAACAACCATTTAGACCCGAACCTACTTTCATACTTTCGCCGACCAGGGGAGCCACATAGTTCCCTGACCGACTCCCCGGGATCCTCGGCGGTTCCCAGGCTTTACTGAAGAAAGAAAGAAGGAAAGTCTCAGCCTCCTTTAAAGCAAAGGGGGTTTAACACAATGCCAATTTTTCGCCGATGGTGTTTAACAACTTTGTAATTCGTCATCTCGGTGGAACGAGGGGAACGGGGTGTGGCGCAGTGTTTGGAATAATAATTCAAACACATGTGTTTGAAACTCTTGAAACCCCCCCTTTTTTTAATAAAAAGGATCTATGAACACAAATAACGTAAACAAAACAAAGCAAGGGAGTCGCATCTTAGGCGCGCATGGAGGAGCTGGCACAGCACTTTTATTATTAGGGGCTATGGATGGTTTGCGGAGAGATGCAGGTATGGAAGAAGAATCTCTGGAGAGAAACAATACTTGAGTTACTTAGCCGGCGGAGAAGGTAATTAATTGTCGATGTTTTGATAAGTATTGTTCTGTCCGCATGCAAACGTTTCCGTTTCGCTACCTAGGGTACGAAGTACAAAGTACAGAATCTTGGGCTGATCAGCGGCCGCTACCCAGGCAGGTACTTTACCGCGGAATGTTTGCCGCATGCGGATGGTTTGTTTTTGGGCTTGGACTGAGCCACTTCTTAGGCTTGCGGGTGGCGCTTGTCAGAAGACGGAACAGGAGGTTCGAGAAGAGACCGGACGGGCGAGATGTGAAATTATGATTGCCCCATTCTTTCGGATAATAATCGTACATACCAGTTCGGCGTCAGGATGCATGTTCCGCTCGCCGAACCCTTTCGAAGGCGTCAAATTTAAACGCCATGGTAATTGCCATTTCGGTGCCAAGCTTCATTCGGTGAAGAGGAAGCATCTGGCGATGTTTCGCTGGTGATCGCCGAACTGATAATCTGGCTAATAATATCGAGCAGCAGCAGCATTTAATTCAGCTCTTTGCTAATAAAAGTTAGGGGCGGGACGGACCATGATATAACGTGCGTAGGCCGAGCTATAGGTTAGAATGGAAAGGGTAGGGTGCTTGCTAGTTTAATTATTCAAGCAGAAAATTTAATAAAAAAAGGGGATCTCCCCGTGGCGCGTGCGGGTTTATAGCTATGGTGGTGTTGGTGGTGTTTGTGGCTATTCTGGGCCGCCGATAAATGTCTGAGAGCCAGATGTTGTGTTCATGGGGGGTTCTCGGTGCTGTGCAGCAAGCAGAGGGAGAAGAAAAAAAAAAAGGGGATCGACACGGGTTTCTGCTCGCCCTTGTTTCGCCTGGGCCACGCCTATGGTCTACCACGTGGTCCGATGCGACAGGACAGTTGCTTCTTTCGGACCCAGAGGCGTGGTACCCCGATGGTCAGAATCAGGATGGATTTCACGTTTTTTCTGCGACAAAACCGCCCCAAGGAGCCTGTGTCTCGGGGAGTTGATGGGAGGCGGCGCACGTGTTGCAGCTGGATGCCGGGTGTTGATCGACGCTGATCGATGTCGATCCATGAGATGCGCATGGCGAGGCTGATGAGCATTGCAATTTGAAGCATCGAGCGAGCAGCTGATGGGATGGGTCGGTGAGCTTTGGGTTCCTGCTTTCCTCCACACGAACCAGTCGTCACGCCCAGAGCTACATACCTCATACTTCGTTTCCTTGGTACAGGATGCTTGGTGGTATCAGGTATCTTCTGCCAAGTATGCCCCCCCCCATATCATCACTCGAGTACGGTACGGTACTTCGGACAGTACGTTCATTCTCCCACTCTTGCGAATCAGCGATGAGGGCGTTCGTCCATTTCATTTGACGGGATTGACACACGGCGCCGGCCCCTGGAAGGGTGAGTTATTAGTGAGCAGTGAGCCGTGATGATTGAGCACGTCCAAGTCCAAGTCCAACAGCTGAACCGCCCCACGCTCTGATTGCTATTTCGAACAGCAGCTCCCAGGACCATCGCAGGCGTGGCGTCCGCTCCCCACGGCCGCGGCTTCCCAGCTCCCACGATTTCCCACGAGCCCATCGGCGGGCACAGAGGGAGCACAGAGCAGGCCAAGCAGGCACTAAAGGATCACTGAGCAGGCGGATGGCCAGCCGGACACGCGCGCAGGGTCTGCACTGTTCTTCTTTGCACTGTTGACACTGATGAGCCCATCTCGCTTCTCCCGCTGGGGCGTTGTTTTTGTGGTGCCTAACCGTCCCCCAACGTGGCCTCCTCCAGCCTGTTCCAGGGCCAGCCCGGGGCCCCCGGGGACACAGACTCCTCGCGGGCTCACAGACGCAGAGACGCAGAGTCGCAGAGTCGCAGACTGGTCGAAACAAGGCGGAGTTGGGGCCGCTGAGTGGACTCGAGTCGAGAGGGAGGCGGTCGGTTTCATTGCGGAGTGGACGGGGTGCTGGGCTGGGATGGGGATGGGATTGGGGATCGGGGAAGGTTTGGGCTTGGGCTTGTTCGAGTCAGCTTTGGAGCCTTGATGATGGCATGTTGACATACCGGTGGAGGGACTCGGGAGTAGGTACCGGTAGATCAGTACAGCAATCGGATTGAACGCGCAAGAATCAGAATAAAGAACATAAATAGCCAATATTCCAATAGTGGCAATATGGGGAAGAGTACCGTACCGTACCGTACATACCCACATACCCCACACTCTGGTGTCTGTTTCCGTTCTCAGTTGCAAACAAAAAGTGCAGTTCAACCGAGTACGTACGGCGTGGCTCGTAGCTTGGGATTCGTAGTGCTTACGACGTGTCGAGGATCGAGGATCGAGGATCGAGTCTGAGACTGCACAGCAGACTGCGGTCAGTACGGTAATGCAACTCTGTAACTACAACTGCAATTGCAATGGCAATGGCATTAATTATTATTGCCAACTGCACAATAGCCGTTGCAAACTGGGTGGCTTTAGGGCTAGACTACCGGTGCAGGTACATGTACAGGTACAGTACATAATACTGATGATCCTACCATACGAGTACTGCTAGAGAGTCGCTACACGAAGATACGAGTGCTATTCTACACCACTACGTAGGGGACACTACACTGCACTACCACTACCACTACCACTACCACTACCACTACCACTACCACTACCACTACCACTACCACTACCACTACCACTACCACTACCACTACACTACCACTCTACAACGCCTAACTCCAGTGCCTCCTCCGCTGCCTAATAACTCCCTAGGACGACCGCTGCGCCCAACATCTCTCTTCCTCCCCCCGTTAGTCCTTCCCTACCTACCCTCTAGCTTCCCTCTCCGCATCACCGTCAAGTCTCAACCAACTCTGGCTACGTATTGTTGTACTGTACAGTCCTCTTGGTTTGTCCTCCCTTCCTGGGACCCTCCGTCTCGACGACAATTACACCGACCACCCATTATACATCAGACATCGTGTACCGGCCATACATCATCCTCCCGCTGACCCCGTCGCGAAACTCGGACTCGCGCCGCCTTCCGGCTCCCGCCATCATTCTTGTCGACATCACGCTTCCACTCTTCCACGCTTCACTCGTCAACTCGGTTCACCGGCCAAGAGGGAAAGTTCCCCATCACATTCCCCCGCTGGAAGAATACGGGCACAGTACACTCGTGATTTGGAAGAAACGGAATCGAACAACTTTTCGACTCCAGTGCGCGCACCCGCGCCTCTTTGTCTTTTGTCTGTAATAGAACCAGACTCGGATAGCCTTCGGGACTGTGCCATCGGGACTTCGACTTCGACGTCGACTTCGATTTGCATTGGGTGCGAAAACTTGCATGGCCCGCCCGCCTCACTGTCCGCTTCACGCAGCGTTGCCTATTATTGCGAGCCCAGGGCATTGCGCAGTCGCATCGCTCGTCACGACTCGAGATACAACGGCGCTGACCTCCGTGCGCTGACCTCCGTGCCATACCACCTAGAGGAGGTGTTCACCCACCCTCCTTCGCACCATAATATACACTCCTTCGGCGAGGCTGCGCTTGCAGCCAGAAGCCAGGAAGATGGGTTCGTGCTTGAGCTCCAACGCGGAAGAGTCCGAGCAGAAGAAGCGGAGCCAGATGATTGACAAGGCCCTCGAGGAGGACTCGAAGAAATTTCGCCGGGAATGCAAGATTCTACTACTGGGTAGGTAATCCCCTGCGGAACGAACATGGAGCGAAGACGTGGCTAACGGTGTGGTGTTCTAAGGCTCCGGAGAGAGCGGGAAGTCGACCATCGTGAAACAAATGAAAATAATACACCAGCATGGATATTCGGTGGAGGAGTTGTCCATGTATCGTATGACCATATATAAAAACCTCGTGGATTGCGCGAAGGCTCTCATTGCGGCAATGCGGCAATTCGACATTCAACCAACGATACCTCTGAACTACGAACGTATCGATTATCTGGTTGATTACCAAGTGGTGACGGAGCCCCCAACAATAGACCCAGAGGTCGGGATAGCAATACAGTCGTTATGGAAGGATCCAAGCATGACTGCGGTGATGGAGAGACAAAGCGAGTTCTACTTGATGGATTCCGCACCATAGTACGTCTTTCAGCGAGGATGGTGGGATCTAGGTGCTGACATGCGGTAGTTTTTTCGAGGAGGCGGATAGGATAGCCACGCACGATTATATACCGACCGAGGCGGATGTGCTCAGAGCGCGAACCAAGACGACGGGCATATACGAGACGAGGTTTACAATGGGCTCGTTGAGCATGCAGTAGGACCACCGGATGGATTGTTGGGTGACCTGTGCTAATATGACTTACAGCATGTTTGATGTGGGTGGCCAACGGAGCGAGAGGAAGAAGTGGATTCATTGCTTCGAGAACGTGACATCGATCATTTTCTGCGTCGCATTGAGCGAATACGACCAGGTGCTTTTAGAAGAGAGCAATCAAGTATGTATTCCAGGGAAACGCTTTTCTGCACACGCTGACAAGGCCTAGAATCGTATGATGGAGAGCCTGGTGCTTTTTGATTCCGTGGTCAACTCGAGATGGTTCATGCGGACGAGTATTATTCTCTTCTTGAACAAGGTCGATTTGTTCCGGCAGAAGCTTGGAAGGTCGCCTCTCAGCAATTACTTCCCGGATTATTCGGGAGGAAACGATATCAACCGAGCTTCGAAATATCTTCTTTGGCGTTTTAACCAAGTCAATCGAGCACATCTAAATCTATATCCTCAGTAAGTTGCAAAAATCCCACCCTCTCATCCGTCTCCAGTCCCCCTTGCTAACGGCCGAATAGTCTAACCCAAGCAACCGATACGTCCAATATCAGACTCGTCTTCGCAGCGGTAAAAGAAACCATCCTACAAAACGCGCTCAAGGATTCCGGAATCCTATGAGAGCCTAATGGCACGAACAAACAAATATATAATTTCACGACCTTCTCGATTTTTCGGTGTTACTCTTTTGGAAATACATACTACTCCGGCCTTGTCATAGGAGAGTCAGCAGGCGTTCTTTTTTTTAAAAACCTCGATTGGCTCTGTTTGGTTTGGAGCTCGCAGCATAGGGCGTTCTGGGAGTGGCTGTCTGAACCAAGACTCTGGGGAAATTGGTGGGCTACTACGCGGAATGATACTTTTTTTCTCTCACTCTCTCCCTCTTTCCGGGCCGGTTGGCTCTACAAATGACTTCCTTGGATATACAGCTATATCTATATCTGGCGGCGAAACCTATTCTATACGCCTGGTGGCATGCACAAATTCTCTTATATACGGGGGTGGTGGGAGGGGGAGCTGTTTTCCTCTGTTTCGTTTCCTGCGAGGTTGGTTTTCTGCATTTGGGCTGCCCCCATATACCGCACCCACTCTCCCTTGGTGAGAATTTCTGGTGGATATACTCGCGGTGGAGGAAACATATGAACATTTGGGCGCGCCGAGAGGGAACGGACGATGTGGCGTGCGCTATATTGCTTGTTGGACTTGGAGGGAAGCTGAAAACCGGTTGGACTAGTATTTGGGGAGCTGCCCCCTATTCTCAACATATACATCTTGGCAGTCCCGACAAGTCGGGATGTTTACCATATACATATGTATGTATGTACGTGCGTACTGTAGGAAGGGAATTAAAGGGCAAATATACAGTATATATATCGATACGTCGTGATAGGAGTCATAATCTTACCTACGCTATTTCCGTGCCCAGCTTTCAATGCTTGAAAATGGTATTTTGTAGAGACGGGAGTATTCTTACGGCATGGAATTCTAACGGTCTGATTGTCTGCATTTTCCGTCTCCGTGTAACTAAACGGAACGCATTGAGTTCGAGTGCTGCGGCAAACTTGATGTATATCATGCTAAACCGCTGTACTTAGTAGAACACTCTAAACACACAGTACCTAGTATACCTTATATAAGGTGTACACCTAACTACCTACCTATCTACTCACTCACTCTATCAAATTTCCCAACCCCCCTCCTACCCAGCTCTCCACAGACCTAACTAGCTAGCTATTTCCTTCAATTCAATATTATCTCCCGTCCCCACCCAGGTGGCGAACATAGCCACCAACACCGACGGTATGCGTATGCGTAGGCGGCGCGCACAGTCTCTCTCGCCCCCCTTGGCGGTTAGACGGTGTAGCGTTTTTGGGGTAGCTACGTAGCTCACTTATTAAACTACCTAGGTACCTAGGTATGTATGTGCCGAGTTATTAATGTCAATCAATCAAATCAAATCAATCAAATGGTGCAATAATCTTAGGCATGTAGACTTACGCGCTCGTGCTTGCTTGCGGGTTCACATCGTACGTCGGTGTCGGTATCAGCAGCGAGCGGTGAGGTGATGATGTATCGGTGAGGTGAGGTGAGGTGAGGTGGGTAATAAATAGATAGCTTCGGCACGTATCCGGATTCCGCATGCGGCACCCGCTGGCATCAGTGTGCAGCAGCGGCACTCGAAGCAAGGCAGGTACATTATACCAGTACAAAGTACGAAGTACAAGCACCAGCCAAGTAAACTGGCCCAACTACTAAAGCAAGTGGGCTAAGTGTACGCGTACGTGATTGGAGATACCCCGTGCTATCGTATCATCCAGTATATCCAATCGCCATTGTTGTTCTCCCCCTCCCCTCCCCTCCCCCTCCCGGATACAACATTCCTGTTTCCTGCTTTCATGAATGAGAATGCCATTGTTCAATATGGATACTCGTACCGTGTAAACAATCAACAACATTCAACATCAAACAAATTCATACAAAAACAACCATCATCCATCACCCCGCTCTATTATATCCTCACGTTGTTGATACGATACGAGTATCGCCCCCCGTGCCCCGCAGCTTGGAAAAGCCTAGACCGTTTGCTACCCCGCCACCTCCAGCAGCTTACAGCTACAGCTCCTCCAGCTAACGTACGGTTTATAGCTTTCCCCCTCGAGAGCTTCGGGTTCTTGCTTGCATCTTCCCATTCTCGTTCTTTATTCTACGAGAGTTTCCTCCCCCTCCGTTGTTTTGTTGGATAACGGCTATTTCTCAAACACAACATGTCGAATCCCACCACGCGGCGAGAGCGTCGGCTGTCGACCGGAGCTCCGATTTCTGATCTACAAGGCCCTGTAGGCCCGGGGTTCTCGAGACCGAAGCATAAGCGTACATTTACTGGGTTTGGCGCGGGGGAGATCAAGAGTGTTGAAGGTATGTAGTTCTAGCTTGCAGAAATGCAATTGCTTTGGAGGTGTAGAGGAAGTCATAGTTCGAATGGAAGTTAAAAAGGATAACGGAGAAACCGACTTGCTGACTTAACTCTTCCTCCCACCCAGCCTCGATCCCAGAAGCCCAACGAGCAGCATGGAAGAAATTCCAACCCAAAGAGTTCGCGACCCCGGAGGAGTTCGAGAGCGAGGTGGTGCGCCATGTCGAGACGACGCTGGCGAGGAGCATGTTCAACTGCGATGAGACCGCTGCGTATGCCGCTACGAGTTTGGCCCTGCGGGACCGGCTGATCATGGAGTGGAATCAGACGCAGCAGCGCCATACTTTTGCGGATAATAAGAGGATCTATTATCTGAGTTTGGAGTTCTTGATGGGGAGGGCGCTGGATAATGCGATGCTGAATGTGGGGAAGAAGGAGGTTGCGAAAGGTATGTGGCCCTATTCGGTGGTTTAACTGTGGAGTAAGGGCTTGTGGGATTAATAGCTGTGCAGAGGGCCTTTTGGATCTCGGGTTCCGTATCGAGGATATTATTTCTCAGGAACATGACGCTGCACTGGGGAATGGTGGTCTTGGTCGATTAGCTGCATGCTTTTTGGATTCAATGGCGTCGCTGAACTACCCAGCTTGGGGCTATGGGCTGAGATATCGATATGGTATCTTTAAGCAAGAAATCGTGGACGGTTATCAGGTTGAAGTCCCGGACTATTGGCTTGATTTCAATCCATGGGAGTTTCCCAGACATGATATCGTCGTGGATGTGAGTGCTTTCCTTCCCTCCATACCTCCGGAGTTATAAGCTGATTTGGTCGTAGATTCAATTTTTCGGCCACGTCAGGAAATACGAAGATGATGATGGAAAGCCAATTTCGGTTTGGGAAGGCGGTGAAATCGTCAAGGCCGTTGCCTACGATGTCCCCATCCCTGGGTTCAAGACAGCTACAACCAATAACTTGCGACTCTGGTCCAGCAAAGCGGCAAGCGGCGAGTTTGACTTCCAAAAGTTCAACAGCGGTGACTATGAGAGCGCCGTGGCAGAAACGCAGCGAGCTGAAACCATCAGCGCGGTCCTCTATCCGAATGATAATCTTGAGCGTGGTAAGGAGCTTAGGCTGAAGCAGCAATACTTCTGGGTTGCAGCTTCGCTGTATGATATCGTCCGTCGTTTCAAGAAGTCCAAACGCCCCTGGAATGAGTTTCCTGACCAGGTTGCCATTCAATTGAATGATACTCATCCGACATTGGCGATTGTTGAACTACAGCGGATTCTTATTGACCTAGAAAAGCTCGAGTGGGATGAGGCTTGGAGTATTGTTACCAAGACTGTAAGTACCGAGTACATCTTGAATGTGACAGGCAGCTAACCCGAAATATAGTTTGGATACACAAATCACACTGTTCTCCCGGAGGCACTAGAGAAGTGGTCTGTTCCTTTGATGCAAAATCTCTTGCCCAGGCACCTTTTGATTATCTATGAAATCAATCTGTATTTCCTGCAGTCCGTGGAACGTAAATTCCCCAAAGATCGTGATCTCCTGGGTAGAGTCTCAATTATCGAGGAATCTCAGCCAAAGATGGTTCGTATGGCGTTCCTAGCGATTGTCGGTTCGCACAAGGTCAACGGTGTGGCGGAACTCCATTCCGACTTGATCAAGAGCACCATCTTCAAGGACTTTGTGAAGGTTTTCGGGCCGGACAAGTTCACCAATGTCACCAATGGAATCACCCCAAGACGGTGGTTGCATCAAGCAAATCCAAGATTATCAGAGTTGATTGCCAGCAAGACGGGCGGTCTTGGGTACTTGAAGGACCTCAACATCCTCAATGAGCTCGAGAAATATGCCGACGATAAGGAATTTAAAAAGGAGTGGGCAGAGATCAAATACGCCAACAAAGTCCGCCTTGCGAAACACATCAAGGAAACGACAGGTGTCACGGTGAACCCTGCGGCTCTATTTGACATCCAGGTCAAACGTATACACGAGTACAAGCGTCAACAGATGAACATCTTCGGTGTTATCCACCGATATCTGACAATTAAAGCCATGACACCAGAAGAAAAAAAGAAGCTTGCTCCACGAGTTTCCATCTTCGGCGGCAAGGCAGCGCCGGGATACTGGATGGCAAAGACCATTATCCATCTCATCAACAGCGTGGGTGCTGTCGTTAACAATGATAAAGATGTTGGTGATCTCCTGAAGGTTATCTTCGTCGAAGACTACAATGTCTCCAAGGCCGAGATCATCGTCCCGGCCAGTGATATCAGTGAGCATATCTCGACTGCTGGTACAGAGGCCAGTGGCACCTCCAACATGAAGTTCGTGCTGAACGGAGGTCTGATCATCGGTACTTGCGATGGTGCCAATGTAAGTTGATTTCCCACTGCTATCTTGTGCATTTCCTTCCCATTTGGTCACAAAACTAACGAAAGCCAAAAGATTGAAATAACCCGCGAAATCGGCGAGAGCAACATCTTCCTCTTCGGCAACCTTGCTGAGGAAGTCGAGGACCTCCGCCACACACACAACTATGGGGAGCATATCATAGACCCAGCGCTGCTCCAGGTCTTTGCGGAGATTCGCAAGAACACGTTCGGAGACGCCGAGTCCTTCACCGCCCTGGTCTCGGCCATCGAAGACCACGGTGACTACTACCTTGTCTCGGATGACTTCAACAGCTATATCCAGACGCAAGCATTAGTCGATGAGGCGTACAAGAACCAGGATGAGTGGATCACGAAGACGATTCTGAGCGTGGCGCGCATGGGGTTCTTCAGCAGCGATCGGTGCATTAATGAGTATGCGGAGAGCATTTGGAATACGGAGCCGTTGAATCCAGAGGAGGACAAGTCGAAGAAGCTTTAGATGGATGGTTGCAATTGGAATTAGAATTGGAATGATGGAAGGGTGCTACAGTATTCTTCAGTATTTCTTAGCAGTAATCATAATCAGCAGCACACGAGCAGACAAACATACTTTCGAGTAACACCAAACAGCCTCCTTTCCTTTTCCCTTTCCCATTCCCATCCCCATCCTATCCCCATTCATTAATCCCGTTCCACGGTCCCTATTATCTCACCCTACATGCTACATCTCAGCCACTTGTATCACCTTCCCCGACCCGTTTCCCCTTCCCCTCCAATCACGCTATCACATGACTCACCACCCAATCTCCCACATTCCCAACGCGCAATCACCTGACATCCCGTCCCTTATCGCAGCGTCTAATTGGCCACACCCCCCTCCCTACCCCGCACTGCTGCCTGAGGGGCTTTGTCCTCTCCTCATTCTCACCGCATCAACGACGCGCCCGTCTCCCGCCTCCGTCATGGACGCGTAAAGTGCCTATCTGGGGAAAGTAAGGTAGGTAGGTTTACCGTGGACAACCTCAGGTATATATATCTCTCCTCGTCCTCGTCCCATCCATCTCTTTTTCATAAGTGTTATTATTCTATCATCTGTGGAAGATACAGTACAAGAAAGAAACAGTAGTCTGTCTACTTTGAGATATATTTCGAATCAACGAAGACTTGCAACGAGTTAAGAGCTAAACATCATCATGCCTCTCGACCACTTCTCCGTCATCGTGCCCGCTGCGAAGCTGGATGGCATGGTGGAGTTCCTGATTAGCTCGTTGGGGCATTTGGGGTTTAAGGAGCAGTAAGGATCCTCTTTCTTCCTCACCCCCTTTCCGTGTTTTCCCTTCCCTCCACACTATTTTCCCTTTTCTCTTTAGTTTTGGTATATGATAGATAAATGGTGCATAATATATGCTAACCCTGCAAAATCCCAGTATGCGCCCCATCCCCACCGTCATCGGAATGGGCGATGCCATGCCATTCCTCTGGCTCTATGGCGCCGAAGCCGCAGAGGGGGATGTGGCTACTACGCAGGAGAAGCTGATTAAGATGCAGCATATTGCGTTTACGGCGGAGAGTTAGTCTTCCTCCCTCCTCCCCCCTTCATTTTCCAGCTATTATCCCCTACACGAAAAGGCCAGGACGTTAATTTCTATGCTATGCAGACGCTGAACAAGTCCGCGCATACCACGCCGCTGCTTTGAAGGCGGGCGGGACTTGCAATGGCGCGCCTGGTCCGAGACCGCAGTATCATCCCGGGTATTATGGGGCGTTTGTGTTGGATCCCGTGTGTGGTATTAATGTTGAGGTGGTTTGTCACAGTTGTGTGGGTGAGGCTTGAGCGTTGGGATTGGAATTCTTGGATTGATGCGATGTTTGGTGCGGAAGGTGTTTTGGATGAAGGCGCTTGTAGTTGGGTTGGCTGGGAAGGGGAGGGTTTAAAAGTATGGTTTGAAAGTCTTAGGGTTTAGGTTCTCTGCTATGGTAATATGTAGTAATCATTTCCCGAAAATTAGCTGTCCATGGTCCATTCTTTGAAGAATTCGTAGAGGTTGGTTTGGTTTGTAATATGAAGGTATCCATTCACTATAAGCTAATTATTAGATAGGTAGAAGCCAGGATAAGTGATCGAGGATTGCGTATCTCTATCGATCACTCGAAGGGGATATGTTGCTGTGTAGGTAGCTATGGGTACTCTATGGAGGACCTGGTTGTATAGACCTGTCCCTGGATATTGAATTATATTGCGCTTATTCTTATAAATAGGTAAGTGAGAGCGAGGAAAGGGAAGGGGATGTTGAATGGTGATTGGGGTGATTGTACGGGAATGACTGTGCTGCAATGTTATATAGTGTTAGCCTCTTGGATTCTTATAGTAGGGCTGTTTTGGTTACGTATAGGTATTATTGTAGGTTAAGTCTCCTGCTACTAAAATGATCTAAGGTATAAGAGTAATAAGTTTGTGTTATATTTCTATCAGCGAATGAGCATTATGTGTTAGTATGTGTCGGAGTAACCTGTATCTATAGCTTTCGAGGACGTCAATAGGAGGTTAAAGTCGTAAGATTCAGTAGAAGTCAACATGGGAAATAACACGCGTAGGTACGTATACAGTGAACTTTTTGGTATTTCTATTTCCTTTCTCCTCGCTGTCTGTTCTGTACGCATTATCGCCACCACGCCATCCATCCCTGGCCTCAAGCCATCTGTGCACAGACGCACGTCCTGGCTCACAAAACAACAAAACGTAGTAAATTAAAAAACAATAGTAATTGACTTAAAAGGCCTTTTTTCATTTCATTTCTTCTCTAGGTTTTTTCCCAATATCTACCCACACCCCCCCTGACTCTCGGCCAATAATGATGATGATTCCCATACCTAGAAAAATGGGAGGATGGCCGGTCCATGATTATTCCCATATAGTTCTGCAGATCCATTTCCAAACCCTCATTTCTGTCCCCCCCCTTGATAATAAGGAAGATGGAGACAAAACTGTGACGTGGATGATGGTGGCAGGACGAAGTGAAAGCATGGAGGTGTGATTGTTTTGGACTTTTGTATTAGTCTGACATTATATAACGCCGACGCCGCCTCCGCCGGTAAAGTGAGGAATTTTTTTGTTGAAGACATAAGGAGAACCGGACCGGTAAAGGGAAACAATGCGGCATAAGCGTGACGTGAATTTGAGGTAGTGGTGGTGGTACATGCGATAGAAAGCCTTAGGAGACAACAATAGCCCTAGGGAACAAACGTGACGCGAGGATGCACGGTATGTCGTACGTCGCCTAGCCAGGAGACACGACCGAGTGGTGCGGAGAATAAAGGAAAGATCGTTATTGGTGGTATCATAGACAGAGAAGCGCAATTAGTGCGGACAAGAAAACAAAGCCGCCCTGGTCAGTCACACTTCTTTTCGGGGAAGCTGGACAGGACCGAGGTAAAGCCCAAGTCATGATGGTTCGAGGTCGTCAATAAGTAGAACGATACGGAGAGGCGTACGACTACGTGACGGATTGGGGGGTCGAGGACTCGCTGCCATCTACAACATCCGACACGCGCATCTTCTTGGCACGCGGCGCTCCATCACGTAGGTCGGCCAGCTCACGCTCAACGTCATCTAGGCGATGCTTAAGCTGGTTCTCGCGACGCTGGGATTCCTCAAGTCGTTGCAGGAGGGTCGCCTCGGATTCTCTATGCATCTCCTCGCCTCGCCTGGCATTCCCTTCATCCTGCTCCAGCTGTGCGACCCTTCCCTTGAACAGCCCATTGATAACCTCGAGCTCGCTCACCCGTGTCTTGAGAGCAGAGTTATGTGCGATAAGCTGCTCGTATGTCTGGGGGACCTCGAGACCCTGTGATCCGTTCAGTGGGGAGGTAGAGCGACCTGGCGATGGTTGGCGGAGGTGCATCGGGGCGAGCGAGGGTGAATGGTGATTGTAGTGCTCGTCAAGAGGGTGGCCGTTGAAGGGCGGCAGATGGGTGCCAAACATTGAGGGCGTCGCAGTTCGAGAGATAGGAGAGTTCGAGCCATCGGAATGCCCATTTGCAGACTTTTGAGAGGTTCGACGATGCCCGAGGGTGCCTGGTGGTGGTGTTCCTGCTTGCGATCGCGTCTGCTCGACGCCATTGACATCGAAGACCGTCTATGACAGATCGTCAGCACCGATACCCGAGGTGAGATTACGCTAAGGTCAATGAATTGATGAATGCGATCTTGTACTTGCCTTCTTCTTTGCGCCCTGGCCGGCGCCTGAGCCGGAGCTCTTGACCCGATTGCGACTCTTGATAACATCTGTCTTTAGGCTTATCGGGCGCGGACGGCCGTGGAGCTTGAGAAAGAGACCACAGGCATTGCACAGCACGGAGCCGATCTCATCGCGTCGCCAGAGAGGCGTCGTGGACGTGGTGCAATTCTGGCAGGTGGGCTGTAAGGGTTCGCGATCGTTGTTAGCCATGGTCGCCATGAAGTGCAAGAGTTCGGTGTGTTGGGCGGTGGTGGGAGTCCTCCTGATCTTTATCGTGATTGTGCGATAAGGGATGGGGGAGTTGAAAATTTCAAGTTCGCGGATGCGCTGATACCGGAGTCTCTGATATCGCTTGTGCCCGGCACGTCGGCCAAGTTCCACAGGCGGATGGATGGCCGACACGTGACCACATATTGGCTGTGATAAGGGTATTGATAGACCCTCCAGCAAGCCAGGCAGAGCAGAGCTGGTGATGGGGATGGGGATGGGGAAGTAGACGTGGAGACGCAGCTAGAGAATGGTAATACTTACAGGTGAGTTGCTTTGCCCTCCTCCCGACGTTGCTGACGGCGACATTGTCGAGAACGGCAAGTTGAGACTCGGACCTGCACTGAATGCTCTACTCGACGTGTTAGCCTGGATTCGGACTCTCCCTTGGTAGCCCGGTCTTTGGCCAGCTAGCACCAGCAACAATCGCCCATGACGGATTCCGATAACAAAAACTTATATATCTCCATGGGGATGTCTCCATGGGGTAGCTTAGCACATGTTGGCGGTACTCGGCGTTGAAATAGTTTCTGCACGAGGCCTCGAACCCCCTTTCGCTGTGCCGTACCCCAACACCAACACTAGGAAACCAAACCACCAACTCCCGTCTTCAATTCAACGTACCTTAGCTGTGGAGAACTCGACGAGGATGCGATCGATGCGAGGGCTGACAGGCCGGGCAACTGTGGTAACGAAGCGCTGTGATGAATTGAATTCTGCGTCGAAGTCGACGACGGCCTCGATATTGGATCTAGGCCGGGCAGCGACTGCCGGCCATCCTCGGAGTGTGTCGTTTTGAACGATGGCAGTTCGCGTGACTGTTGTTCTCTCGATGAGGGACGAAGGGGTTCGATGGGCGACGCCCGGTATGGAGCCAGTGTGGAAGCCGTGGTTGCGGTTGGAAGGGGGTATTAATTAAATTCGCGTCCCGGGGAACGCGAGAAGAGTTCGATAGCCTGAATTGAATGGTCTAGGGGAATTATTATGGATCTGTATCTTCTAAGATATATCGTGAAGAAGGGAAATCGTTCGTTTCGTTGCGTAATCTGGGGTTGGGTTCGTGTCGGGACAGGACGTATTATCGGAGGAATAAGGGCGTAAATGAAGCAAAAAGAAGTCTCTATTCGCGCTCAAACGAGTGACTCGAAGGACCTGAACAATCGAAGGGATCTTTGATACAAGAATATGCTGTAGCGAGCGTGTGGGTTAGGGGCTCATGAATGTAGCAGTGTGTGAAGAATGATAGTGTGGTGATGATGTTTGGAGTTCGGGGAAGGGATTGTGTCCCTGGGGCATGGGGGCTGCCCCTTATCCTTCGCGCTACCAATGATAGATCCGATACGGACCACTCGATAGAGTTTGATTGCAGATTGCAGATCTATAAAAAGCTATAATAAGCCTGACGCAAGGTACAAGTTGCAAAGCACCAAAACAATCCACACACCGATGAATAATAATGCACTGCCAAGGTTGCACGGAATGGAGTGGAATGGATGAGCTGGACCTTGCTATGACGGCTCGGACGAAGACCAAATAAATTCAAGAATGCAGCTGAGACGAGGGGAGAGCAATGCTGTATCATGTACTGTGGTCTGTTCGCTCCGTACGAAGTGGGAGGGTTGATCTTTTGCCTCGATCTATCTATCTGCACCCGCGTTTCTGGTAAATTGTACGGCTAGATTGTGTCGCGGCCGATCTGTGTAGCCGGCGGGATAATATACCAAATGAATGTGTCCCATAGAAGAAATCAAGGTCCGCGACAACTGCACGAGCAAGTAAGCAATCAATCCATAAAAGGCCGCTCTCCTTTTCCAGAAGTCTGTGCATCTTCATAACATCAAGGCGCTCTCCCGCGAGTCCGGCGAGAGCGATACTTGGAACAACACTATCGTACGAATCCGGGTTGTGGATGCGTGTGGGAGCCTGTGGATCTGCCAATCGCTCCATCGGCAATCACTGCCCAATTAATGCCCGTTCAGCAGGATTGATGGGCTCCATAATCCCATGAATCCATACTTCGTAAAGCCTTATGAAGCCACCTAAGATTCCGTAAGATTGTATTTCCTTATCGGGCTCGGCGGGAAAGGGGTAGTGCCACGTGATTATCGTACGAGTACGAACACGTGTCCGTATATATTTCGGATGCTGACTACGCACTACGGGAGCCAGCAAGTTGCAACAAGCAGCAAATCTTCAGGCCCAAAACTTTTTAGCATCGTGAAGGTTGCTCGTTATCGCTCTCCCCTCCCCCGCCAGAAACAGAACTCTGGCTCACCTTCAACATGCCGTCAACACACAAAAGGGAGAAGCCCTGGGATACTGATGATATCGATAAGTGGAAGGTAAATAACAATCGAAATCCCCATTGTTCAGAGGGATATAGATCTGACCGCTGCCGCACCCACAGATTGAAGCATTTACGCCCGCCGACAATACTGCCGGAACATTCACCGAAGAATCCTCCTTCGTAACTCTCTTCCCCAAATACCGTGAAGTCTATCTGCGAGAAGCATGGCCACTTATCACACGCTCGCTCGAAAAGTCTGGCATCGCCTGTACACTTGATTTGGTTGAGGGTTCTATGACGGTGAAAACCACGCGAAAGACATATGATCCCGCTTCAATTCTCAACGCCCGAGATCTGATTAAGTTGCTCGCAAGGAGTGTGCCCGCACCCCAAGCCGTCAAGATATTAGACGATGGAGTTGCTTGCGACATAGTCAAGATTCGGAATCTGGTGCGGAATAAAGAGCGCTTCGTCAAGAGGCGGCAGAGGATATTAGGCCCCAATGGTAGCACATTAAAGGCACTGGAGCTTCTTACAGAATGCTACTTATTAGTCCAAGGAAACACTGTGGCGGCAATGGGACCCTATAAGGGCTTGAAAGAAGTACGGCGGATCATCGAAGATTGCATGGCCAACATCCACCCTATCTACCACATCAAAGAGCTTATGATCAAGAGAGAGCTGGCCAAGGACCCTGAACTAGCGGGCGAGAGCTGGGATCGGTTCCTGCCGCATTTCAAGAAGAGGAATCTAAGCAAGAGACGCGTCCCACACAAGGTCGCGGACAAGAGCAAGAAGGTTTACACGCCTTTCCCTCCACCGCAAGAGAAGAGCAAGGTGGATCTGCAGATCGAGACTGGAGAATATTTCCTGGGTAAACAAGCTAAGGAGCGGGTTGCTCGGGAAGAGCGATTGGACAAGCAGAAGGAGAAGAAGAAGGAGAAGCTGAAGGAGAGGGAGAAGGAGTTTGTTGCGCCGAAGGAAGAGAAAGAGAAGAAGAAGCGGAAGCGGGATAAGGGCGACGGCGAGGACGAAGGAGTTAAGAAAGACAAGAAAAAGAAGAAGCGGAAGGAGGTTGAGGTTGAGGCCGAGGAGGATTGAATGCAGCTTTGAAGGTTGATTGGCATTTGGCGAAGGCGTTATTAAGGAACCCAAGTGGGAGTTGGCTGTCTTATATACTCCGGCTGCAGATCATACGCAATTGAATTGTAAGAAAGGACACTCTTGGTTTTCAGGTTTTTAGGTTCTGCTGGTGGTGGATCTCATGGTCAAACATGTCTCTTTGCCGCGCATTACATTTTCGAGTCTTTGGAATGCTTATACCAATCCACCTGCCCCGATCAATCTCGCAATGAAGGAAGGATAATACTTGTCTATCTTCGGTACCTAACTTAGGTATGTAAACTAACCCTTTGAAATCTCACATGACGACTAGCAGTTATCGTTATCCCTGAATGCAATATTACCTGTTTAATGCCGAACACCGACTGTCTGAACTCCGAGCGAGGCAACTCGATTTCATTACTCCGTCAGCTGGTGAGTCGGTGCATCTCAACTCCGATATCAAAAGCCGTTTCTTTCCACTTCCTTCCGTTCTTCAAGACCCAAAGCCAGCGCTTCTGCCACTTTACTTACCCCCGCTCACTGCCTCTCGGCACAATCGTTTCACTTTAAGCCGGGAAAAGATCTCCAACCAGTTCCCAATTCCATACTATGACCTCCCGCAACAGCTCTAGCGGGCTTCCTCGGCGTCGGAATGGCAAGCAGCAAGCCTGTGAGCCATGCCGGATAGCGAAGATAGCTTGCGACCACGCCTTGCCTGTGTGTGACCGCTGCAAGCGCAGGAAGGTTTCTGGGAAATGTGTCTATCTAGAGGCCCCTATGACCCGGCCTTCAGCACAGGCTCGTGACTCGAGTTCCACGACGGCGGCAAGTAGACATAGGGTGAGTACCGCATTGTCTAGCAACACCGCAGCGCCTCTCCCTTCCAATTCGGCCTTGGCCTCACCTTCGTCAACATCTCCAAGAAGTGCTAGAGGATCATTACAATCACCCGCCCAGCCGGGAAACACGACGGAGACCTCGTCGTCTGGACGGCCCCCAGCCAAATCTGGTAGCAGCGGGAGCTTCTTCGGCCCAACCAGCTTCTCCGCCGTCTTCATGGAAAACAGAGAGAACTTTGCCACTGGGGATAACGAAATGCACGTTTCCAATGAGAATGCCAACACCCCTCTGCCATCGGAAAGTCTACAGTCGCAGACCTTTTTGTTGCTCAGCGGCAGTTGCTCAGATGGAGGGAACGCACGCGTGGCGCTGGGAGCGAAAGTGTTAAGAGCGTTGCCGGATAAAAATACCTGTAATTTCCTTCTCGAGCGGTATTATGAAAAGTGCCATGAATCTGCCTTCCTAAAGCACAGCGCAGTGAGCTGCGCGGCCAGTGTATGGACGACATTTGGTTCATCGCTTAAAGAGCCGCGAAAGAGGGAAGGCCTGGAACACGTGTCTGGGATCCTGTTCAAGAATTCTACTACAGCGTTGCAGGAACCCAGCGGTCCTGATGACTATACCAAGTGGCTAGAATCCTTCTCTGGCGAGAATCTGCGGTGGGAGAGTTTGGGCATCGTGTTTGCTTGTATCGCGGGCGCCGTTCTCAGTATGTCCGAGCGGGATGCGTTCTTTACGGCCCAGAAAGGGGGACGAAGGGATAGGATATCGTTCGCGATGGATATAAAGGATTGCGTACAAGCTTGTGTTACGCTGAGCAATTATAACGATCTTATTAATACCCTGATGATCGCCTTGTTGGCGAAGAACGTAACTCTACAGACTATTATCAGTGGTGATACTAGTAAGTCAAGGGGAGCTTGGGCAATCATCTATCGTGGCTATGGCTGACGAGTGATTAGGCTTGGTTGTCTGGAGACAGCTTGGGGATCTAGTAAGTGCTTCCACGGCACTTGGGCTACATCGACAGACCGATGCGAAGCAGCCAATATCGTTCCTTACAGAGTTGAGGAAGCGCCTATTTGTAAAAGTATTTTGCTTCGACAAAGGCGCCGCTACCCTCACTGGCCGCCCTCCAGCTCTCAGTTATCGGTATACAAGATTTCAAGAACCCTTAGACCTTAGTGATGATGTGATTACGCGCGGGGGCGAAGAGCTTGCTGAAGCAATAAGTAAGCTTGACTCGAATGGTTGGAATACCGGCGGTCACATCTACCGAGCTACGGTCGCACGTACAGACCTTAGACTAGGCATCGTTCTTGGTGAGATACTAGAGCTGGTTCTTGGACATGCACAAGATTGCACAGAGGAACAGATTAGGTTTGATCAGCCGCCATATAACTGTTAATTCCCCAACTAAACACACTCGCAGATGTCTACTGGAGCGCCTCGACAAGAATTACTCCGATTTCCCATCATTCCTCCAGTTCTCGCTGTCCGACCCACGGATAAGAACATACAGCGACAGCCATTTCTGGAAAACCATGACCACCCGCCTCTACCTCCTCGACGACCGTCTCGTCCTCGAGAGACTAGCTCACAAACGCGGCTTCGCGGACGGCCAATCCATGGTCGATTGCGCGCGTGAAATGCTAGAAATTACCGTAATGATATGGGTGCAACGGGACCGCTTTGCCTCAGAGCAGCACAACTTCGACTGGATGCTAATGTCTTGGGGCGTCCCATCAGCCGGCGTTCTCTGCGTCGAGCTCCTGAACCAACTCAAACACCCAGGAACCCCCGGCCTGCGAATACCCCGCTCGGAGGTTGTGCAGAATTTGAGTCTGGTTATTGGGTTCTTGGAGTGGGTTCGTCCTCCTGCCGGGAACTACCAGATTTGTGTCCGGATGAAATTGATCATTAAGCGTATTTTGGATCGGGTTCTTGATCCTTCACCGCCCTCGTCGCAGAGTACCGCAATCCCAGCCGCTTCGCAAAGATTTACTTCGGATTCGACGGCTTTTACTGAGGCGGCTGCTGGCCAAAACTTTGAGTTGCCAGTGAGTGGTGTTATGGGGCCTTTGGACACTACGGTGCCGCAACCCCCACCCGCGGCTTTTGATAGTGGCAATGATGAATACGGACTGGATAACCTTGACTGGTTGAATAGTGTGGATTGGTCGAGAGGGCCGTTGATTGATCTTGGTGACTGGGATTATTCTACCATGGACGGGAACAATCCGTTTTAATCACCCGAGCCACTGACGGCGTGACCTTAAGATGAACCCACGGATTTGGGAACTGCTTCCAGCTCGTTTATGGTACACTACCGGCTAGTTGAGCGCGTACCTGAAAGTATGGCATGCAACAAAACGAGAGATATTGCCGAAATAGGCTTAGATAGCCACCCCAATGGTCTACTACCGTTCAAATATCCATGCTTCTTTGGGGAAAGACCCTGCAAATGCTTCTGGAACTCGTTAGCCCTGCGGCAGGAAGCGTGGCGACAATCAGATTGTTGCAGATCGATCTCAGCCCTATCTATGCATTAGGATGACTATGTCTACCTCGGCATTCGGCTATATGCCCCAGATGATACCGAATTATGGATCTCAGACAGCTGCATACTACTTGAGGACTTCCCTATTGGTTGTGAATACCTCTTGAAGCAACTCGCAGGGCGGACGATAAGATATCATGCAACTAGACTGATCTATCTACCAAGGTATAGGTAAATATGCATTACTGGTACCACACCACTCAACCATCACGTCATGTATCAATGAGGAGGAAGCGGTTGAGAGTTCGCACCAAACCACGACCCCGTCCTTTAGTCAATACACCATTCCTTTTCGAGCAAACCATAAAATGAAACAATAGATTTGTTGCACGTCGACCAGAGCCTCGCATCTCCTGGTTTCACCTCATATCCTTTATCCTTCCAGGTGCGTTCTCGAAATTAAAATGGGGCATTGGGATTTTGTTGCACGTCGCAATTCTGTGTATATGCACAATGATGATATTTTCCCGTCATTTGCCTTGTCGATTGTGATTTGCGGAGAGAAAGTCATTGATTACTCGGCTATGCCTTTTGCTCTGTTTGTTCACCCTCGACGATATAGAGCGCACAGACAGGAGTAAGAATTTGTTGAATTTCACATTTCTGCTCTGGAATAGCATTGAGGACTTTTTTGTCATTCTTGCAGCGTGGAGCAGAGGCATAACATGTCTTGCTACATGTCCGGCTTCGCCTGACGTCTATATGCTATGATGTTTACTACCTCAGATTCCAAATTTTGGTCTCCCTACTTCTTAACTAGAACAAGAAGGGGATGCCGGATTTTTGTTGCATATCGCATTTTCTTTCCCGGTTTCCATACCCATGGTATTTCCTGACCAGATCTGCAGCATGGAGGCGGTGAGGAATGACCGTCATGCTTTAGTGCATCGAATTTCCCGCATTGGTAATGCTGATCCCGGAGTTCTAGAACCTGGGATTTTGTGGTTTGACCCGAATGAGTCAGATACAAAGAAGTCTATTGCACTTCCCAAATGAAGATCACCAAGTTTTCGATTACTCGGCAAGACTGAATCATGGAGAAAAGGGGGCCTAGCCTTGCCTAGGGAGAATAGCATTGGAGCATATAAGCAGTGAGAATGAATGGCCATTGTGAGAGGAGAAAATGGGACTGACTCGGCTTACCGGATTGCGAAAACTGCGGTTCGCCGGCGAGAAGACGGGTGGTATCAGATGATGTATATCCAACAACTGAGCAGAGCTGCCTCCTTCACGCTATAGCTCTCGGTTGCGTTTAGAGCAGAATGGAGGGAACTTTATTATACATCATTTCTTTTCGCCTATGACAAGATACCTCATTGGTCCTTGGCTGAAACTTATATATGATGCGTTCCGTGGTTTCTTAAGAGTTGATATTGAACAGCACCTGCTGCGGTGGCAGGCGGCTAAAAGAGAAAATCTCCAAGATAGAGAGAAAAGGAGGGGAGTATCCATGGCCTGTTTGCAAATCGAGCGACGGGTTGCGCTGCTTGGAATATGGGCAAAAGTAAATGGACTAAGGCGATCACTGCCCAACGATACCTATACAGATAGAGCAGGACAACACCACAACAGCCTCACCCTACAAGAAGTTGTGTTTGGGACCGACGTCTTTATATCTTAGGTATCGGTATATCTAGGAGCGAAATCGGTGCCCTGTCTACCTACCTTAGGTACTGATCTTAGATTTATTCCGTTAGTACTTGAAAAGGGTATTGCCTTTCTACCGCCACACCCGTGACTATTACTGTATCGTCAGCCCCAACAGCACGCTGCTGCCTGACAGCCTCGTCTTCGACGACGCCTTCCCTATTCACATTGACGATGTCAGAATCCAAATACAGAAATCATGATAATCAGCATTTTATTTGACCGTCCGCAACATCTTCCCACAGTCCAGTGCTGGAAGAACGAGTTGGCATGCTCAACTGGACGAAAGTACCAGCACCAGCAACCAACTGGGAAGCAGTTCGGGACCGTTTAGCATGAGTTCTCATCAGAGCTCATTGGTGTCATCAGAATATAAACACCGGCCCTTGGATGGCCAACGTGGAGAGATCAGGCTACTATACTTGCTGCCTTCGACGGAGGAAGACCAACCTATTTCATGTATTCTTAGTCGACAAAGATTGCAAGATAAGTCGCGCTACATGGCATACATACGCAAGCACCTCGCATCAGGCTCGCTGAGCGAAGCCTTGCCGCGGTTATTTTGGATCGATGCAATCTGTATCGACCAAGCTTCCAAACACTCGATCCTTGCGATCATGTCCGACTCCATCATACTTCGGCCGTATATTAGTGCTATTTAGATTACTCTTACGGTTACCTTACCGTCCATGTAGCTATAACCAAGTGACATGCATTTACTATGTGAAATGTACTGTGCTGGGTGTATCAGAGTTGTGCGGAGTTATTAATCCAGAATAGGTATGGTTGGCGGAGGTATAGCAATTTGCTGGTGGAGGTACTAGTAATTGACTTCTAGTGACGTAGCTTTTAAAAAACATATTCGCTCTTATATATATCCTTGATAAGTATTAAATATTTCGGTATCAGTAGACTCTTTCTACCCTATACCATACGCCTCCAAACTATTTTCAATAAACTTACAGTAAATTAGCTATGGAATCCTCCGGAGGATTCGTTATAGATCCCGAAACTCTACTAGATGTGGAAACTGCAATCCCGTACACAAATGATCGTGACGTTCGACACAAGTTACGAGTCTTCTTTGAAGATGCATTTCACCAGGATTCACTTGGCGACACTTTAGTCGCCATCACTGGCTTCCCAGCGGAGTACTTTGATGTTGATGAAGAAGAAGGCGAAGACGACGACATCGAACCCCCAATTCTAGGAAGAAAAAGACACATACTATATTTCAAAGAAACAAACCTTTTAATACTCATGATGCCGCCGCAGAGACCACATGAAGTCGCAAGCGAAGAGTTCGAGAAAGAGCTCTATCGAAAACTATTTACGATGGGTCCCGCCATGAATATAGGTCCTGGCGGGGTGGCGGTGGTGCACTTCCCAACTGTTATAAAACAACCAGACAAGTCTTTTGGCCCAGTCAACGCTGGGTACATTACTTTTGCCCTAGAGACGGAAATCTCACAGTCGCAACGCGACCTCGATCGTGTTGCAAAACTATGGATCGAGTCTGACGCTCCCACCGCGCACGTCACGCAAGTTCTTACAATCAAGATCTCGACTTCCATTCCGCGTGCGTGTTTTAAACTCTGGAAGAGAGAGGAGCACGGAGAGCAAAGACCGAGAGCAAGTCTCGACCAAGAGGTCGAAGTCACTCTCGAGGGTGATAGACCAGTGGCGACGGGAGTAATTCGAATATCATTCGAATTACTCTTTGAAAGACGAGCCCAACCAGGAACACGAGAGCAAGATTTCGTGTTCTCAAAGAGAGAGCTGGGATATCTAGCCAGCCAGGTCTGGAAAGAATTGGACTTTCTACCACGGAATGCTTGGCCATCTAGTAGAGTCCTGTAGTTGCTCTGCTTCGCACGAAAGCTTCGAGTAGGTTCTGCTTACATTAGTAGGCTGTATAGCCGAACGGGGGCGGGTGTCCTATGAGGGCCCAAGTACAAGTATCAATTTGCGTGGAAGGGGGACATAGGGGCTGTCACAGTTGTCACAAGAAGATTCAGTACTGTTGCTGTTTGGACCAACGGCACTGACACTATGGAAGCTAGTAAAAGCGGCGGTCTTAAGGTGAGCGTCATGGAGAGCTATCCGCACAACTCACTGAGACTTTACTGCGAGGCGGAGGCTAAAGACCAAATGAAGTAACTTAGAATCAGGGGAAATCAATTAACACTGCACCAGATCGATCCATCGTTAATCTCGACTATTATTCAAAACCTATTGCGGACATTTATCTCGAGTGGATCGTTACTGTACTTGAGGACTGGCAAAACTTCCAACCGCTCTACTTCTCCGGGCTTGTGGGTACCAGACGCCATTGGGAATTACCCTCGTGGATACCAGACCTCAGCTCAAAGAGAGCCGACAGTCCAGTATGGGATGCCACTCTTGCTGGTACTATAGAGATGCGTCACCGGCCCGTGGACTTCTCCTTCGGCGAACAGATAAACCAGGCCTTCCCGCGCATATCCCATAGTCGGATACTCCACGCAAGAGGAATCTGGTGTGACCAGGTGGTCCAAATAAAACGTATTGATGCTGCGCACGCAGCTAAAAATGTAGCACAGCTCTGCATATCCCATCTCTCAGCCTCTAACATGGGATTTTATAATACCGGCATCCCTCTCTTACACGCCATATTCCGAGTTTTGATGTGCGGAATCAACCGCTTCAATCCGTCTCTGGATGAGACCGAAACATCATTAACTTCTCGAGACTTCCAGTTAGTTTACGGAACAAATCAACTGCAGCTGAACAAAACCATGCCCCTGCTCCAGGCCGTTACAAAATTCCTAATACAAAGAGGCAGTCTGTCTGCCGACAAAGTCGACGATTTCGTCCTCGATATCCTTTGCAGGCCCTCAGCACCACTCGGGGCCAACATCTCCGACGTTCACCTCGCTGCAGCCTTCATCGCATTCATGCTGTCGGGCAAACGCCAACAGGGCCAGTCAGCATCGGGTATCCTCCAGAGTCTCGGTCTACACCCTGGTCCTAGTTTCCTTAAACGGTTTCTGCAGTGTTTCTGTCAAGACAGAGCAGCAGAGTTGCAGCACCAAGTCTGATACGACGTGTTTCAAAACGAGACAGCCATGTTATTGGTTAATAGCTTGAAACGCTATTTCATGACATTTGACCAGACGATTTTCGTTACGGCGACGGGGCTTTTGGGCAATGGGCCTGCTGGTATGGCTGTTGGAGACAGGATCGCTGTACTTGACGGTGCAAAAATGCCGTTTGTGACGAGGAATATGCGGGAGAGCATTGTACTTATTGGGCCATGTTATATAGAAGGTCTTTCTAATGGAGAGGTAGCTGGTATGGTGCGAAGGGGCGAGGAGGATGTAGACGACATACCAATTTGCTGAGCCTAGATCGCTGTCTTAGAAAAATGACAAACTGAATGACTTGCGGACTCATGAATAAGGCGCGTCGCTCGGAGGGGGAAGCCTGAACTAGTGTGTGTTTGTTGTTCATGTGGTGAGTCTTTCGTTTGGGCGGGATGTCAGTTAGAAGCCTTGTTATACTTTGTAAGTGCGTTTATATCTCCCGAGCTGTTTCATCTCCAGGTAAGTTCGATTCGAGACCCACGTCTTTCCTACGTGATACGACCCCGCTACGAACGGAGGTCTACAAACATATACTACAATATCCCTGAATTAAGGTTCCGCAGCATACTCACATATCACATATCCCCATCCCCAGGTATGCGCCTCAATATCATCGCACGCCTGCCAAGTGGCAACCCCCCCACAAAAGCTTCTGTTATAGGTTACTTGTATAAGACACTATTTCCATTATCGGGTTTTTGTAGCACATCGCACCTTCGGCCAAGTATCGATCGGCCTCGCCACCGGCAGCATCCGTCGGCCTTGTTACGATCTTGGCCTTTCTAGCGACGGGCAAACTGCTGGTAGTGGCTGATAGCCTTATGACGAGGTGAAGTTTAATTCGCCGTATACACACCAGTGCTATTTTTCGTTTTTATCAAATAATGTGGACTGAGAGGTTTTTAGGGGCAGCCTTGGCCAGACCGTTCTATGGGGATGGACTGGACTAGACGTAAAGAGGATTAAGTTACTTTGTACTTCTTGTACTACGTCGATGTATTTCTCGGGACAACCAAGAAGGAGCTGCCGAAAGTAATACCGAAAAAACCTGGAGGCTTGCTCTGGCCAAAACTGCCTATTTGCAACTCAACCCCATTTCAAAATAGCCGTGTCCAAACAAAACGAAGCACCGGGGGGTTTTTCCTTAATCAATCCTGCGAATCCCATATAATATAGGTACAGTACATATTCGGAAATTCGGCCTTTTAGCGGGGCTGGTGGTAAAATGAAAAACGAATGAAGTCATTACCTACCTATGCGTGGTACCAGCTCTGGCTTTCCTCGCAAAATACGAGTATGCCGAGTATGGTGATGGTTGGTGGTGGTTCGTGGTTTAGACACCGGCAGTAATCTTCCGATTGGCAAAGGCGCAAAAAAAAGCCCGAGTGAGCGCGAAGCCTGAGCGGGAAGCCTGATCCTGATAATGGCCACGGCCCCCCCGAAAAACCCTTATTGTGTTTTGTTGCACTTCGAACAAGCCTTGGCTTTTCTGTGTGTAACTGGCTCCCCAGAGCCTAGAGTTGCCACCTGGAGAATTGGGCTGGGAAAGGCGCTGGTTTGGTGTGTTTGTTTGTTCTGTGCTTGTGAGGAGTGAGGCTGTACCGGTACTTCGTAGGGCTGTGAAAGGTGGCTTGGCGTGGGCGAATGAGGTAGAATGCGTATTGTTTAGACTCATCTCATGGACTGAAATAATGAAGACGGATTGCTTGTTCGTCCTTGGGGAGATCGTGAGGACGGAGATGCGAATGGATCACGGAGCTAGACTAACACAGAAACACGGTGCTGGATTTCCGGTTTCCCCCCGCGGCTTCGTCGACGACGACGACGTCAGGGACGCTGATCGAATGTGGTTTATTAGCCGAGAGCGTGCTGCTATTGCTTCATTCTCCCCAAACCAGAAGGTCAACTTGGGCAGGACCATATGTTTCTAATTGCACACCCGGCTTTACCGGTTTAAACCGATAATACCCCTTCTGCTCCCCCTTTTACGGATACACGTGCATCATCATGTACAATAAATACTAGATCCAGTATGAACGTACAACAAGGTATATATTTCATATCATCGTACTTCATAATAGACATCAACTGACTCCACAACACCGGAAACGCCCCAGGACTGACATCCCATGCAGTGACGCTATGCTGCCGTTGCTCTCTCCTACTCCTAATACTAACAACATTTCGATCATCGTCACCCCCGTACCTATCTACCCACGGCTTCATTCCTCCATTGCTCGTCTTGTTATGGTGAGATGGGGGTGGCCGTTGCATCGTCCACAGCCTTTGCGACCGCATCTAAGTTCTCAGTCGCATCCGATTTCTTGGGTATAACCTCTTCCTGTGCCTCCGATTCCTCGGCGGCCACCACCGCATCAGTGATTTCCTTTGGAGCCTCTCGAGGACTGTCCATCTCTTCGTGGAATTTCGACGGATGTGGAGGTAGGGGGGCGTGCACCACGGGTACGACATCCACTTTCTTAACCTCGTGCGCATCTCCATTCCGCTCAGGCGTTTCAGCATCAAAAATGCTCTCCTTGAAACTCCCTTGTGTGTTCGGTCGCTCTTCGACTTTCGTTACTGGCACTTTATAATCTATCGACTTCTCGATTCTCGCTGACTGTGGTGGTAAGGCAGTCTTCTCCTTCTCCTTCACTCGTTGCTGCGTCGAGTTATTCCTCCCCACGCCCCAACCCCCCTTTCTCTTCTCGCCCATCCATGTACCCCAACTGCCAATATAAGCACCAGCCTTACTCCCCACACTCTGCACCGTCTGCTTCGCACCATTAAGATCTGGGGCAGAGAACCCCGGGCTAGGAAGAGGCGTGCCATTTCTCTCCGCTTCCCTTCTGGCCTCCTCATGCTTCTTCCTCTGGGCTTCCTTCAAAGCTTCCATGTCCGCATACAGCCTGTTGAACACCGTAGAAGCCTTTTCCCTCCCCGCTGCGAAATTCCGGCCGAGCACTTCCTTGCCCACCGCGAATCGCTCATCGAGATGGAATTCCTTGACTTGTTCCGCGATCCGGCGCTGCACATCGTCAATCGTGAGACCCCCTGCACAGGGATGTTTAGGCTCGACGATATCGAAGAGGTGTGAATCTGTATTCCGTTCCCAGATCCGGTAGTTCTCGCTCCGTGACCAGGCTTCGATCCAATCGACGCCAAAATCATGGGCTGGATCGCCTTCAACTTGCGGGAGCATCGCCTTCGGGTTGTGGGCGTGGTGGATTAGGTAATTGTGGCATTTTACTGCCGAGATGAGGGAGAGGAGGTACTCTTCGAATTGCAAGCGGATGAACTCTTCGGAGCCAACATAGCCCATTGTTTTTGGTCGGCCGGGGTTGGACTCATCCCAGGTGTCGTTAACGGATTGGGTAATGAAATCGATCCAGCGGCGGTCAGCAACCGAGAGCGTAAGAGCTGCTCGTAAAGAGCTGGACGTAATGTTGATAGTAGTGTCATCTAGATTGATCAAAATATCGCTATAGCGATCCTTCTGTTGCAGCAAAAGTGAGTTGGTCGAGCCGACAATGTAGGATTTTGTGCCGTAATCTGCTAGGATATCGAGCTGTTGCAAGGGGGTATAAGGGCCAAAGAGACTTCCCTGCACAATAATTAGTTAGTGGGGTTGTTTATACTCAGACACAAACTGTACATACCTTCCCAAATATCTGAAGTGGTAGCCCCATGTAAGCTAGCAAAGAATTCCTGTCACTAGTCTTCAAACTCGTCGGTTTGACCAGTTGCTTTTCATAACTATCCAAGTCCGGGTCTGCACAGTCCTGGAGATTCCGTATAAGGCCTGGTATCAACGATATGAGCGAGAACTGCATCATACACAATCTCTCGCACCTTGAACCGAAGAAAAGCATCTGTACGAGCCGTTAGCCTCACCGGTAATTTTCCAATCCGTAAACGGCTCCATAGCTTAGGCGCATGCATACCTTGGGCTGGAGTAGGCAACATTTAAGCAGCACCAATGTCTGCCATCTGAACTCCCTCACCAATTCTCTCAAACTCATCCCCAAGTACTCCTCTCGGTCTTCCTCTGCTAATCCCACGCCTCTCTCCTTTTCCTCTTTCAGACTCTCCTGAAAGCGCTTCAAAATCTCCGTATCGGTAAATTCCTTCTGTGCAAACCACGCCGTAGTTACTACACCGAGTCGTTCTCTCAGCATGCCGAAGAACTGGGGCGAGTCGGCTATAACCACCACTGCTTTCTGGACAGTGGAACGCGTTACATCGGCAGGGCGATTGAGAAGGGCCGACGCGTCCATTTGCCTTGTGCAGGAGATACCGAAGAGAGATGTTGCCGGGAGAGAGCCTTGGGCGGGTCGCAGGAGCGTGAAGTAGGAGAAGTCTTCGGACGAGCTTTAGACACAGCGACTAGTCAGTTTCTTCGCAGTTCGTTTCCCCGTGAGGAACAGGTTGAGAAAACTCACGTATGTGCACCGTCGCTCAATGCCATGAACGGTAAAAGTGGCCAGTCGTTGTCGGTCGCGGGATCTGTCCCCTCCTCAACCCCAAACCAGCTCTCTACCTCAGGACCTCTACATTGGAATTTCGTCAGCCCGCTGGTGACCGTACTTGAACCACCACATTGGTTGGGATTCAGGCAACTTACCTCGCATGGTGGAAACCGACAACGGTAACAAGAGGAATGAAGCCATTGTCCACCGCCGGCGCGGCGTCAGAGGCCGTCTCCTTATTCTCCATGTTGCGCAGCCTTGCGTTGCAACTAGACTTTCTTCCCTAGCTATATACCTCAAAAATATGCCCTCAATCTCAACCCTCTCGTCCTCAATGCATTGTGTCCCCTTGGAAGCCTCTAATGTCTGAAAGGAGGGGTGCCGGTACTTTCGAATGTTTGCTTGGCCTCTCTCCACTCGGAACTCGATTCGATTCGATTCCTCTGGCACAAGCGTCCAGGGGCAACCAGGAAATGAGAAATGACAAACACGTCTTCCTACTAAGACGGCTGCAGAGCAGAGAAGAAGGGCTCGGTCAACTACTACTCGGTCTTCGAAGTCGGAAGCTGCTGGGCTTTGGTGGAGGAGCTTTCTGACCGCTCAACATAATGTTTTCTCTTGTTCCGCTGCAGCTACTCAAGCACCAATCTGCAAGGCCAGCGAATGCCCAGCCCGCGCCCCCCAATCAGCGGTGTCCGCGCAGGGGCCCCGCGATAGGCGTGGGAGGAGCGCATCACGTGAGATCGAACTCTTCCAGAAGTGCTGGTGAACAAGTGTTGCCACGCTGCACGTAATATACACAACGTGGGGTGATAGGAGGGAATTGAGTGCGGGTGCTTTGCGCTGAGAGCTGAGAGCTGGCTATTGTTGTTATAAATAACCGTCCTTCCCCGGCCTGCATTGAGTAGTGTTGCAGGATGTGCAGCACAGTGCCATTGCGTGTGCAGTGGCACAGTAAACGCTACTCTAAAGGGACAAGAGAAGAGAACGAGAAAGGAATTATAGAAAGAAATCTGGCAGATATATACGTTGGTAACCTAGTTCTCTCTTGCTATTGTCGATTTAAGAAGCCTTGAAAGTATTATTACTTAACCTTTTCTATTTCCTTTCTTAAACTGCGCCACGTTCTTGTGGTGAATTCCATATCTAAAGGTAGGTACTCGAGTACCTGCGTCACCTCACGCGAGCGTATGCGTTCTCGGTTTTCTACCACATTACTTTCTCTCTCTTTGGGTTATCGCGCCCTAAACTGCATCTGTTTTGTCCTCTTATTGCTTGTCAGCAACAGCAAAAAGAACGTCATGCTCCGGAAGAACATTGCCAAAATGGCATCTGCCCCCAACGACTTTGTTGGGGCTTCTGGACGCTACTATCGGTTCAAAGAGCTGCTTCAAGAGCGGCATATCTTGGTCGTGTCTGGTTGGCAACGTCAGGATTTTCCTATTCATACTTATTACCGACCTCGTGGACTAACTCCCTCTTAGATATGGACGAGATCAATTTGTCTTAAAAGATATACCGAAGGACATGCTGTCCAGCTTTAATGGGGATATCCGGCCCAAGCTTAATGAGAGTCTCTATATACGACTACCGCTGGACACCATACCGGGACATTCTATACTCGTGTATAAGTATCTGACAAATGACTTCCTTGGTCTTGGTAGGAAGCAACTCCCAATGCTCGCCAGAAAGCGAATCCTCCAGGATTGTCTCCGAGGGATTGCTGAATTACATGACCGACAGGTTGTCCATCTTGGTAATCTACTCCAAGCCGCTTCCTTATCCATAGAGCCAAACTCGAATACTAATCCTATCTAGATATCAAACCGGACAATATCATGCTTAACTGCCACTCCACTGGCCAAGAGATGATAGTTGAACAAGTTCAGATTACCGGCCTTGAAAACGCAGCCTACCTCCCCAAAGGCAGGTGCATCAAGGGCATGCTAGCTGGCAATGATAATTGGCGTAGTCCAGAGGCATATTTCAAAGGAGAACTTAACAAACCAACCGACATCTTTTCTTTTGGAGTTATGGCAAGTGCTTTCACCCTATTAGAGAGCCTATTCGCTAACATACCTCGATAGTGCATCTATGCCATTCTAGGACGCATCATATTCGGTCCTGATGATGACTTCCAAAAGCATCAAACCCATGGGGTTTTGCCTACTCATATTCGCCTGCAGCGCTAAGTCTCCTATTTTGGAGACCAGGATGGGGTTAATGGGCTCTTGAAGCATATTGACGATGATGATATCAGCTGCCAAGTCTTGCGTATGCTTTGGGAGGGGCGATTTGACGAACAAATCCCTTACAAACCATTTCCCGAGTGGCCGGATGTTGGCGATGCAGCGTTCAAGGACTTTATCGGGGGGCTAACGAATTTGGATCCTAAAATGCGAGTCACAGCACGCCAAGCATTGGAGCATCCGGGCTATCAGAAGTTTGAGCCCAACTTTTGTTCATACGCTACCTGTGAATATTCACAATAGAAGGGCTAATACTTGTACATATAATGTTAGCAAATATGTATCGGGCGTGCATTGTTTATATTGTGGAGTTAAGACATTCTTGTCCTGGAATCATTGAATCTCCTGTGCGTTATAACATTCTGGTACTAGAATCATTAGATCTTCTGAGTATAAATACCGCGGCGAGGCGGCGACGAACAGAAGAACACCAGAACTCTAGCGTGGCATAAGAATTACAGGAAGAGGTACTTGTTCTACCTTCAGATTTACATTTGTGTTGTGCACATTGAAAGCTGTTAATGTAGCTTGTCTGTGAGTGTCATTCCTTTACTCTTCAGGATCAAAGTGTTTGTACAATATATTTTATAATCTGTAATAGATGGATGTTTGCTAAACACTCTATCATTGTCAAGTAAAAGTTCTCTGTTAATCAATAGGTCTCTTGTCAAGCAAAATCATATTTGTCAAATTTAAATTCACATCTATAGTTATACAGTATTTATATCTTTATACAATAACTGAATTTGCTAGAGTATTTATAGATTTGCATTATTTAAAGTCCTCTCTATCTTTCTTGGTGGAGGTTGCAATATTCTTTGCTAGATCGGCTCTTTCGTTCGTTGGTGAGACTAGTAAGGTAGTATAAGTTTCCCCAGGAGCTCATTTACAAAAGCTCCACCCAAGGATCTCGCTTCTGCTTCTTGTGTTCTGATCTTACTACTAGGGGGAAAAGGAGATGAAAATTAAAAGGTTATATATAGCCCTCCTTATACTTACTCCGCCAAACCTTGTTCTTTTTATATACTGACCAATATGAGTAATCTATTAGATATAAAACGAAAGAAGGGGTAAATTAAGAAGAAAATGCATGGATATTATTGAAACATTGAGAATCTACGGGCGCGCTTCACGGATCCGGGGAATAAAGTACTAGAGTTTCCCAGGAGGTGAGCTGAAATATAAGTCATGATAGCCTGGGCACTGATAAATACTTACCTAGTTTACAAGATCCCAAGACGGAAGACGGAGAACTAACTAAGCTGCTCCGGAGGGGAAAATTAAGAAATATCTTGCAACCAGCTAGGTACTCTGCTCAGCTAACTTATAACCTCCTTCAAAGCACACAATAAAACGGGCTAAAGATTTGCGAAACATTCAATTTCCAATCTACCTTAATACCCACAAGCCCACGCAAGTCATCATCGCCACGCAAGTCATCATCGCCACGCAGCCCAAAATCAGAACCAACCAAAAATCCACCCATCTCTCCAAATTCAAAGAAACCATTTCAATTTTTGTATTCTCAAATGATCTTTTCCTAGGCACTCAGGTTTTTCCATGCAGTTTATGTACCCTATTCTACGCCCCCCCCCCCCCAAAAAAACAAAATCAAGGAAAATCGTCGAGAGAAAGGCTAGATTTCAGTCCCCCCCCCTGGAAAGCCTTCCGGCAGCAAAAAGAGACATTTCAAAAGAGATATAATGCCCAGCCGTTTGAATTTTGTTTTCCAATTGTTGTTCACGCAACGCATAACCCTGCACACATTCAATTCCGCAGAACGCAATACGCAATTCCCTCTCCCCCTCAGCCTCGAAACAACTTGCCGCGCCGGGGGCCATTTATGTTTCATTTCCCCTTTCCCGAGCCAGAAAAAGCCTCCCACACGAAATATTAGCCACCTCCTTTCCTTATAGTTTCGGCAACTGTAATTTTTTTTTCAATGGCCATTCGTAAACTGACTCATCGACGCATCGGTTCCGTCCGTCACGCCGGACATTCCCTCCTCGCCGACGTTGTGGTAATCAAGGATTTCGGAATACCTACAAAGCGAACACAGAAAACAGTCAGCTAGACTATTCATTTTTTTTACATCCCAGAAATATAAAATGCCCTCGCACCAGCGCGTTCTTGGAAAGCTTCAAGCGTGCAAAAATAGAGATAGATTTTGGAAACTTTTTGCGTAACTATTTGGCTTTTTTCAAGAACGGTTGGCTTGCTCCTCTTGGTATTCGTAAAGTTGCTCGTACATCATGATTTTCCATGTATCCACCGGCAGGTCCGCATCGTTGAATGACCAATCAAACTTCTCATCTGCCACAGGCTCATCGGTTGGGTCGTGGTATGGGGCGAGGTACTCGTGGGCTAGGCCGTCGGAGGCCTTTACCCGCTTTCGGGGATCGAATACAAGCATCTTCTCTAGGAGATCGACCGCTGCGGGAGAGTTAGTAGAGAACTATAGAATGGCACTGAGTACTGTACCTAGAGGATCGGCATTTGTGAACTTGTCCTTCAAAGGCTGTCTTTCACGCTTTGGGAGGGATTGGACGAATCTCAAGGTCTAAGACGGAGGTTAGCAAAACACGACATCTTATCAATTCCAAATCTTACATTCTCGCTGGCAATGGTGTGGATAACATCATCTGGTGGGGTGCCTAGAAGCTCGGTGATGATGGAGAATTGGTTGACGTGATCCTTTCCTGGGAACAGAGGCTTGCCCTCTAACATCTCTGCAAAGATACACCCTGCACTCCAAATGTCAACCTCTACATCATATTTCTGCCATGTGAGCATAATCTCCGGCGCTCGGTAGTATCTCGTGGAGACATAACCAGTCATTTGAGGGTCCTGCAGACGTGCCAGACCGAAGTCGCAGATTTTCAGATCGCAATTCTCGTTTACGAGGATGTTGCTGGGCTTGAGATCGCGATGGACGACGCCGGCAGAGTGGACATATTTGAGTCCGCGCTGGAAATCAGTTAGAATTGAAAATAGACAGGGAGGGGTTGCAAGATCTTACGAGGATCTGGTACAGGAAGTATTGTATGAATTGCTTCTCAAGCGGCCGGGATGTGAGCAAGCGGTGCAAGTCGGTGCCAAGGAGCTCGGTGACAAAGTATCTGCGAAAATCTCAGCCAAATGCCATGACAATTAAAATAGGGGGGTTTCAGACATGTCCTCAAGAGGCGAGATGAAGATATCACTCAGCGAGATGACCTATGCAAGATCAGCATTTCGCCCTTTTCCCCTGCCATGAAATCATATGGATGGTGCGCACATTCTCATGCTTCAAGTGCTTGAGCAGCTTCAATTCTCGATAGGTTCTTTTCGACAAGACCGGGGTGCTGAAGGGTTTCATGATCTTCTTGACTGCGACATTTTGTCCGGTGAGGTTATCTTTGGCGGAGCTGCAATGCGCGCACCACGATTAGCATGCATCACATCAGCACCAACCAGCACCAAGCATCACAAGCCAGCTGCTCTGATGCCACGACGGCCGCAGAAGGAGAGAAAGAAGCAAAAGAGTGTCCTTACCAGACCAGACCAAAAGCGCCCATGCCCACTGGCTGGAGATCAGAGTATCTGCGACAGAAAACAGGGAATCAGTATTCAGTGGCACAACGCAGGTGGCGTTCTCCCAAGGACCCCGCGTACCTGGATGTGATTTCGAACGTCGTGCCGAAGATCTGAGCGCGTACAAATTCGGCCATGGCTGCTTTGTAGCGACGACACGCGGGATCGCAGCTACTTTTAGGAGCGTTGGGGCGAGGGAATGGGGCGGGGGGATGGACGTGGTTGTGTACTGGGTGTTCGTTGTTCGTTGTTCGTTGGGAGCGTGGTTGATCTGGGTAGATTGGGTCGATAGGTTTGGTGGACGATTGATGGATTGGTGGGGCAGCGCGGAGGGAGTTGGAGTCGCCTAGCAGCGGCGCGGTCGTTTATAGAGTGCTAGATGGATCTGCTAGAAATCCTAGGTATATCCTCGGTACAGTATATGCTAGATATATGCTAGATATATACTAGGTATACTAGTAAGCACTACGCGCCGGCGCTATCGTCGAGCACACAATAATGCTAATAATCAAGTCAAGCTCAAGCTCAAGCTCAAGTTCAAGCTCAAGCAGCTGTCCGCTGTCCGCTGTCTCTCGAGTTGCCGCGGCAGAACCAGGTGGACGTCGTCGGGGCTGAAAACGCCTATCGAGGATCGCTTGCTGGTGGGGGAATTTTGGTTGCGCTGCTGATTGTTGATAGATGATAAGGTTCGATCGGGGCTGGCTGGCGGGTGCCTCGTGTAACAGCGAATCTTCTGGAAAGGCTATTAAGTTGGAACTCAAATTGTCTTGCAGCTGGAAACGGGCAATAGAGGAATTAACGACTGAATCGGGAGGGAGCTCTTTGTTGCTGCTACGCCCGGCGGCTGAAGGGATGCTTCGTAGATAGGGGAGGAGTGTGCAAGGCCAGCCAAAAAAAGACACTGGGGGGATTCGAGCTTCGAGAATCGAGGGGCATTAAATGAATAATGATCCTGTTCAAGATTGTTTTCTTGAATCGACCCGAGCGGGATGAGAGACGAGATGGGAACGACACGAGTTAAGTAGAAATCGAATTTAATCTACAGAGCTGTTGCGACGTAAATAACAAGAACATGGGACTCTGCACGATAGGAGGGGCATCGTCAACGTGTCGCTGCTTTACGCTCTTCTTGCGAGCTCTGCGTACCTGGGTACGACGAAGCACGTACAGTACCTCGATATGATTGATTGCCTTCGCGCAGTTGAGGACTCGCGGATTGTACGATAGGGCAACTTGGGCACCAACCGCTGCCCACGGGATACTACAGGTTCTGCACAATATGTTTCAGGTGAACTTTATGGCGGTTGGCCGGGAACAGCTTGGTGAGCTTGAGCTTATTATTAGAGCGCTTAGAGCTCTTCGACGGAAGCAATAGCTAGGAGAGGCGCAAAGTCTTAAATCAAATCAAATGGAATAAGCCGACTGCAATGGAAATAGGGCCAGCTGAGCTGCTGAACAGCTAATAAACAACTAGACCACTCCAACTCCAACTCCACCACACACTCAGTACGCTCTTCATGGTCCATCCCCACCGACAATCCCACGATCCCGCTATTCCACAATTTCCGCAATCCCGCTAACACTACCGCATCTACATCTCCAAGTACCAAATATCGATATCGATATCGATCCCCATGGAGAATCCTCCGCGGCACCCAGCACCGCGATTAGGGCAGCGCCGTCCCACCGACGTCATTCCCCCTTCCCCCACAAATCGTCACATCGCGCTCTCACGACCTCACGGTCGCAATGATGAATACCATGTTGCGTGTTCTTGCAGCGTCCTGCGCGCCCTGCAGCAAACTCCCTCATCTGACAGCACCCGGCAGCAAAGACACGCAGACGCAGACGCATCGTTACGGAGCCGGCGTCCAGTCCGTCCAGTCCTGTCATCGATCCAGGCCTCCATGCCCTAGCTGGCCCGCTAGAATACATCAGAACTGCAGAAATGCCAAGTAGGGGACGGCAATTGATCGAATATCCTGCAAGAGCCACGCCAGCGAGACCTTTGGCCATTGCTCTTCCCTGGGGCCCCCCGCGTCATTGAGCATACCGCCTACATGGGATATGCCTGGGAGAGCTCCCGTCCATGCCTACGTCGACGTCTATTGGGGGCTGGTCCTCTCCTGCCCAGTGCCCAGCATGAAAGAACAAAATAATTTTACCTAGGTACACTACGTACTTCGTACGACGATACGAGTACGGAGGTACATGTGCGGCTACGTAAGGTACTGTTAGTAGTGAGAAAATGAAAAAGGCATCGCCAGATACACAATCCCATGCTCCTTAGTACTGGACTCCGTATCTGGGAATCTAGCCCCTCGCATTAGTTACTTTATCTAGGCACCGAACACTCCACACACTCGGAGATTTTCCCATTTTGGGATATCCCAAGCTTTACCTTTCCCCCCCAGTAGTGCTGGCCGCCTGAAAACCTTGAAATAAGGGTTTCAAACCCTTTTTTCGACAGAAACAAACCTACAAGGGCCCCGGGAGAGGAGGCCAGGTCGGTCGTGGTCTAGGACCTCTACTAGCCGTCGGTGGAATTGGAATAATTGTGGAAAGGGGGGAAAACTTAGATACATACCTTAGGTAGATCCACCTGCCTCATCAGATGTTAATTGTTAGTCTATGAACTACTACTTGGTGGACTTCATACTGGCGACCAAGAAGGTTCTAATAGAGTGCACCAGCTCCCTATCAAGGCACCTTAACATCCATAGGCGGTGGGCGGTGAAGTTTACATGTGACCGTGACTATACGTGGTGATCCATTTCTTGGTGGTTTATAATCTTTATTAAGGCGCCTATAAGGCAATACCGATAGACTATATAACTAATCTCTACATCACATCCCTCAAAGTTGCGCCGTTCCAAGTGACCGTAGGATAGAGCCCGAGTGCAAATATTATTACTTCCGAGCATCTAGCAACCCTTCGCCGTTTAAACCATCACCGTCATGATTACATACCCAACATCTCCTCCCAATGTCTGGCTCCTATCTGTACACTTCCCTCCTCACATCATCAGCGTAGACAAGAACTGATGATTCGCGCGCTCTTGGCCTCTCAATGAACGCAACTTCGGCTGGTCGTCCCCTAGGTACCTCCTCGTAATACCTCTCCGTTCTAGGTATTGGAATAGCTTCTCTTCGATCCAGAGAATCAACCGGCCGAACACTAAATTCTCGCTGACTCTGCGGCACCACCTCCCTGCGAGCTTCCGGGTGAACGCTCCCAGCATATTCCCGTGGAGCTGGTTCAGGGCGAACGCTTTGAAGTCTGCCAACATACTCTCTCGGTACCTCGTATCTTATCGGCTCAGGGCGCCGGCTCATGGCTCGAACATCATATTCGCGGCCACCTTCCTCCCGGATTTCATACCTCACAGCCTCCGGGCGAACGGTCGGGGCCCTGGCAGGATAACCCCGATCACCATCGTCACGAACCTCATACCTGATTGCTTCGGGGCGTACGCTCATAGGACGGGCAGCATATTCGCGGGGCGGTCCTTCGGGCATGACAGACGCCCGACCGGAGTATTCGCGAGGCGCTTCCTCACGCACTATCTGGGCTCGGGGCGCGTAGTCTCGGGGAATCTCTTCATATTGAGCTGTCTCAGCACGGCGCTCTGGAACGCCACGGGTTTGTATGTAGCTCTCTCCTGGCGGAGCAATCGTAGATGGCCGGACAGAGTACTCTCTCTCGCGGTAAGATCGATAGTCTGGTGGGGCTGGCATCGCGTACTCTGGTTGAGTAACGACTCGCCGAGGGACGGCGGATAATGGCGAGGGTCTTCGATATATAACCTCTTCGTCATCGTAGGCTTCGACCGGAGCACGGCTAGATACTGTCCTTGCTGGAGCTCGTTCATACACAACTTCCGGTTCGCGGTACCTGACGGGAGGCGCGACTGATTGTCTATGACCAGCAACTGGAGTGGGATCAATGTACTCACGGCCATACTCATCAATGACAATGCGAACTGGCTGACGAGGAGGACCCATAAGGGCGGGGGATCGTCTTTCACGGAGAGGGGATCTAGATCGCTCGCGGTCTGCATCTGGTCGTACGCTGGCTCTCGGAATTGGTTCTCTGTAATATCTGGGCTCTTCAACCCTACGATCAACAATAGAATGGGATGCTGCTCTAAGGGGGCGGCTTTCAGGCGCAGCATATGGGACACTATACATAGCTGGAGATTGTCGTCTAGCATAGGAGTCACTGCGAACCCGTCGATAGCCATCATCTTCCCTCTCCAGACGACGAAAAGCAGGGGCTGGTCTGCGGAATTCGGGTTCGTATCGATCCTCAACAGGTTCATATGGTCGAGTTTCTTGGGGCTCGGCAGGCTGCTCAGGAGTACGTGTTTGTGTATTGGTTACCGCATCGTGTCTGGGTTCGTCATAGTTGAGCTCAGCGGCATACTGACCTTGCCGCTGCCTTTTCTGCGGACGAGGTAGAGGTGCTACTGCAAATGGCGAAGGGGAACGAGGCTCTGGCTTGATGTACGGGGAGTCTGGAGTGTCGGCATTGTCCTTAGCTTTGCGCTTCTTCTTCTTGCCCCTCTTCTTTTCGGATGGTTTCGTTCCCTTAGGAGAGCTATCTGTACTTGAGATGCCCGGTTGATTCTGCAATGCTGCAACTTGAGCAGGTGGCGCTTTATCAACAAGCATATGTTTTCGTGGTATGGGAGGTTCTCTTGCCGTGGCTAATGGAGAAACTCGAGCAGGCTGGGGTGCAAATGGGGAAAGGTTATGAGCTCGAACAACAGGGGGCGTACGATCCTGTTCAAATGCGGTTCTCAGGATTTGATCGGCGGATTTCTGTAAAGTGGTTTGATCAACATCCCGTCGATATTCTGCAGTTGATACTCCCATTGAAGCTCCGTGGTGTGCGACATTCTCCGGCTCTCGCTCGCTCGAACTTGCTGATGTGTCTCCTAGAGCGGCTCCGCGCGAGGTGCTAGGCTCTGAAGCAGCGGTGCTTAAAGACTGCAACTGCAGCTCCGCTTGTAGTAATTGGGACTGCGACTGTTGAGTGTTCGATGCTAATTGATTATTTGAAGGTAGCGAAGACACGGCTTTTTCTTGACCCTTATCACGATTGTTGGTAGAGGCTTCCCCAGGACGCTGGTCAACGGACACTATATCCTGTGACCGCATTTCACCGGGCTCCTTCTGACCTTGTGAAGAGTTTGACCAATCTGAGGAATCATGCTGACTAGAATAGAAAGTATTCTCATCAAAAGAATCACTGGCAGGGGTATCACCGCTCGTAGCAGGTTCATTTTGCGCAGTAGTAGAAGGCGCGACAAGAGCTTGCGCTTTCGCCAAAACTTCAGAAATATCAAAATTTGGCAGAGATTCAGACGTCTGAAGCAAAGCTTTTGCTGTCACTCGCTGCTGATCAATCTGTTCCCTCAACGCCCTCTCTAGCCTCACCCGTTGTAAATTCATTTCCGCTTTGATGAGATCATCAGATTTCTCCAGGAAAATGGGGTCTATCTCAGATCTGGCGGGTTTTGGAAGCTGCGCGTTCGCAGCAACTGCACGCTGATTATTCGAAGATCTAAATTGGGAAGAGGGTGTTTCGGATGGAGGGAGTGGGCTTGGACGCGTGAATTGTGATGGTGGTTGGGGAGTACTTGGATTTGCAAGAGGTGTGGAGGTGGTCGGCGACGAAAAGTTGCGAGCTGCATTTGTTTGCTTTCCAACGAGGTGAGGCGGTATCTTTATCCGCGGGTGGGTTCCAGCTAGGATAGCATCTCGAAACTGCACAATCTTTTCATATTCCAAAAGCATTCGAGACTCATCTGATGTCAAAACAGCTCCATGGCCGGCCACAGGAGTAGCAACAGCCATAGCCCCTTGGGCCATCTTGCAACAAGCAAACTGCAAATTAGTGAAGTATATAAGTAAAGGAGAGGTACGCTAATATAAAATGTCGGAAAAGGAAAGCAAATCTAATGCTATGCCCCAGGTGTTGTAGGGTCGGTGTCGTCGGGGCGAGTGTTGCGAGAGAAGAAAACTGCGAAATGTTACGAGAGGGATGTACGGAGTATGTTGTTAAAATTACTCAAGGAACGCTGGTGTGATAGCCTCACACCTCGGCGGGCGCTATTTCCCCACAATCCCATCTATCAATATCAATCGCCACCTACTACCCGTTTGTCGACATCTCTGTTAGTCATTTCGTATTACAGTCGATGTGGCGGTTCCCTTTTGGCTTGAGATGCTATAGGAACTCTATACGTTTGCCAAATTACCGCCAGACCAGGTCTATATTTACAAGTACACGACAAGCAAGCAACATTCCAACCATGGCGGACACACGCCCCGTCTTCTTCTTTGATATTGACAACTGTGTAAGTCAACCTGTCCTCCAAGTATATATTATTTGATGTCTAACCAATGAATATAGCTCTATCCAAAGAGTCAGTATGGACTTCAACGGCGCCTGGACTGGTATGACTGACATTCCACAGGCAGAAGGGTTCATGATCACATGGCCGAACTCATCGACGACTATTTCATGAGGCATCTGAATCTGGACCGGGATGAAGCTTACAGGCTTCATACAGAGTACTACACGAACTATGGTCTGGCCATTGAGGGTTTAGTCCGGCATCACGAGATTGATGCTCTGGAATACAACCGTGAGGTCGATGACGCTCTTCCCCTCGAGTCAATCATCTTCCCGGATCCACTTCTACGGAATATGCTTCAGGACATGGACAAGTCCAAAGTTAAGCTGTGGCTCTTTACTAACGCTTATGTTAATCATGGTAAACGAGTGGTGCGCTTGCTTGGAGTTGATGATCTGTTTGAAGGATTGACGTTCTGTGATTACGGCCAGAGGCCATTGATCTGCAAACCCCACGAGGAAATGTTTCAAAAAGCTATGAAAGAGGCAGGTGTGACAGATGTGAAGAAATGCTACTTTGTTGGTAGGGCCACCTTGAAAAAATTGCATCTGTACTTGATAAACTGACTGATCCAGATGATTCGGCGATGAACTGTCGGAAGGCCCAGGAAATTGGATGGACTTCCGCTCATCTCGTGGAAGGGGTGGACCCATTGCCAGCCGTCCCAGCCGGCAATTATCAAATCCGATATTTGAACGAGCTGAGAACGCTGTTCCCGCAATTCTTCAAGTCCTCGTGATGAATTATTGTGCTTGGCTCAGGCATTGGTTGACGTTGGTCATTGGCGCCGATTCTGATTTATGAGGGTACAATAAGAGGGAACGATACGTTGGGTTGATACCATATAGGTCTAGAATAGATTTTTAATCTCAATGATTGCCCTAATTGATACTGAGTTTCCATCCATGATTGCAAGACCGGTCCATAAAACGCCAGGGGTATGCCAAACGCCATTAATATCAAAACAATAGCCTTCTCTAATTCCAAAACGAACCACTCATCCCATAATATCAGTCTTCTTTCAACCTATGGCCGCTTAATGCTTCGAATAACGCCGTCCAACTTCGCCAAGACAGCTTCCTTGGCCTGCAGAGCTTCTTTCCGTTGCTCCTCCGCAACCTTCAAGTCCTCCTCCAACTGCTTGATCGTCTGTTCCTGGTCCTTCTCGCTATTTTCCAATCCCGGAAGTACCGATATCAGGTACTCGATTTGTTGTTCTTTGAGGATCAGGTCCTGGGCTAATTCTCGCTGGCCTGCCTTGAACTGCTCCGTTGGATATGGCTCGACTTGCACGTCATTAGCTTCATAGCTTGAACCAGGAATGAATTTTGCAGTAGGGCATACCGTCTTGGTCTACAGATGCCCCTTCATTCTCTTTCTTATCAGCTCGCACCGTATCAGTCGCGCTCACGGTTCGGAGATCGTGATGTTTGTGGGTGTAGTATATGGACGCAACGAATTGATTGGCAAGCTGGGCATAGTTAGCAGCGGCTCTATGTGTGTAGTTCTGATACGTACCTGATCAACAGCATCCTGTAACTGCGTTAATCGATCGGCCATGGTTGGTGGTGTTGGGTGGAATCTGACGAGGCTGAGAGTGTGTTTGGTGGTGCAAGGCGGAACTCCAGATTTAATCTCCGACATCAACCTTTTGTTTGGCAGCGACCAACAAAATCCACCTGAGCTCTGTGCTAGATTCAGAAGCATATTTAATATCTACAATCATACACCACAACCATGTGCTCTCCATGAAACCTGCAACTGAAACCCCCTGGAGCAGCCATTTCCAATGCTCTGGGCACGCCACTGTCTACGGTCGTTCCGTCCAGCTCTGCCATCACACACATATATAAGCCGCAAATGCAGCACAAACGCACCTCCCACGGAAGAGCTAATATACCCGGACTCACAAACCCGGAATCACCATGACCTACCCAGTTTCCTGGAGTATGCTTCCCGGATCGACATGGACACTTCCAGCACTGTCTACGTAGGTACTCATTATGAGTATACCGTCCAAAGTGCCCTGGAACGCCTGGGCATGTCTCTCAAGAGCATAGGCGGCAGATCTGACTATGGCATCGACCTACTCGGAACATGGGCTCTCCCTCCATTATCTCAACCACTGAAAGTCCTTATCCAGTGTAAAGCACTAGCTGGGAAGCTCCTGCCCTCGCACGCGCGAGAACTGGAAGGAGCTTTTGTTGGCGCGCCAGCAGGCTGGAGAGGGTCTGGAGTCTTGGGATTTGTCGTCTCGCAGAATCCCGCTACTAAAGGGGTCCGCGAAGCTCTTGGGAGGAGTCGGTGGCCAATGGGATTTGTGCTTTGTAGACCTGATGGGAGGATATTACAGATGCTTTGGAACCGGAGGGCCGAGCAGGAGGGCTTGGAGGGGGTTGGCGTAGGGTTGAAGTATGCCGGTGGTGATCGCAGTCAACGGGAGGTAATTCTCACATGGAAAGATCAGACTATCCGGGAATGAAGCCCCTGGATACATCCGGCTGCATTTTCCTGGGTGCATATCACATTTCGGTTTCAGTGTTTGTGGTTACACTCCCCGCTGTACAACCGCAAGCTGAAGGTAGCAAGTGGATTGCTAAGTGCTGTGCATGCCGTTGATGGCTGAATGTTAAATGCTGGGCCTTCCCCATAGTGGAATGGGAGAGACGTCATGCCTTCGACTTCATCTCTGCCCCATCATATCCCTCTAGGAAGCTCAGGCTTAGGGCGGTTCTTCGATCAAATCATAGCCATCTACTACAAACCATACCATCCAGCGATAATAATCATGTGTCACCAAGTCCTGGGGGTTTTCGAGTGCGGACACAATATCTGGACCACAATAGTACGATGTAAAGCATCAACTGGCCAATACAACGAGATCTTCCTCCCTCATGTGCTTGAGGATATCAGAAGGCTTTGTAAGGCATGACATCCCTCATTGAAGTTTGGAATCTGTCTGACTGGGTACAGCTATGCCAGAGAAGAGAGGATGAGCGGAGAACGGAGAGGGCTCGAAGGCATGTCAGGGAGGATGAGGGCTATTGCTCTTGATGCAGTGGGAGGAGCGATGGATGCCTAGGCCATGCTTGGAAAGCGAATAATTATACCCAATGTTTTCTGCACATGTATATATAGTCTTGATGAAGTGACTATATCTGCCGTTAGTTATTGTCGCCTAGTGCGTTCATAGATAAGGATTTGTTTCAAATGTATGTATAAGTTATCTCTACGGTTTCTATATTCAAGTCCTTTCTCCCTTCTCCCTTCTCCCTTCTCCTTCCTATTTCCTGGGGCGCCTGCCACACCCGCGCCACATAGAAACGGCATCAATGTCCCAACAATGGGCAAAACCTATCGCTGAAGCCTTCCTACCAACTCCTGCCAGCAAGACAAGGGATCCGACTGGACCCAGCCCACGGAATGCAGCCAATTTCACTTTATACAGAACTCTCATCTCATTAGATCCCTTCACTCATCCCTCCTCAATAATCTCCATCAACGCGCCACGGGTTGTGGAGTGGTATAAACATTAAACTGAAGCCGAATCTCTCTCAGCTCATACAGAAGCGAGTAACAGGACCAACGCCACCGGGCGTGATCAGGATATGCAGTACATAAATGCAGAACGCAAAAGAAAGCCCTATGTACAGTACAGTTCGCACCCAACACCTGGCGAAAGGATCTAGAAAATCCCGCTTACACGGAATATCGCCAAATGTATGCTGTTAACAAAACGCCGAGAATGGATCTTGATGAACAGGAATCGTAGCTAAAGGAAAAAACCAAGCAAAGTCTAGAGCGGTATTGGAAGGTTCGGTTGATGACGGCCCATTAATGAGGATGGATGAAAATGCATAGAATCGTTGAAATCGTGTATATCGATGGGAGCCGGAAGAGAATTTGCAGCTGATTCTCAACTTGTTCAGGGCGTCTTCCCTCGCTTTCGTGTATTCTCGCTTGTTTCGGGGTCAAAAATGTGGCTAATGCCAGCAAACGTCCAGGAAGAAGTCGAGGAATGGAGAGCTACCAGCCAGGCTGCGGCGAAATTAACGAGGTAGTGGAGCATATAAGCGTATGTTACTCCGTACACGGCGGCATACATAGCGAGGAAGAAGAATAACACGCTCGTCAGGTGGCGGAGACGAGATGTAACCCGTGGTACCATCTTACCGCTGGTCAAGGTCTCAACGAGAATGATGAATGGCATAATCGAAAGAACATTGTGGTGGGAGGAGAAGGGTGTAAGCCAGTGAACGGCAAGATTATGCACCCAAACCACAAGAATTGGAAGATTTATCGGCAGTATCCATAACATGAGGATGAATATCGAGTGTGCGTAATTGTAGAAATTGTAGTTGGCGTTGGAACGAGCTTCTCGAGCAAATCGAAGGGCGCGAGTACAAGTGGCTATTTGCACAAGGCAAGCCACGAGATATGCAAACTGGTATGGGATGAGCGTTGAGACTAGGAAAAGCAGGATAGCCGTCGTCAGAAGCCGCCTTCGAGGGCTCGAGGGGGCAAAAGCTGGCGATGACGATCTTCTCTTGTCGTCATATCGCAACCATCCCGGTTTGGTACTCAGCCATCCATATACAATACTCGACACGTGAATGATGGCTAGAGATGCGAAATTGACCATCACGCAAACTCCAACGCATACCACTCCTATTAATGGGACCATGAACCAGAAGAATGGGTCTTGTGAGCCCACCAACAAATCATTCTTTGTGAAGTCGACCTGTGTTTCCGTAGCATTGCCGCGCCACCCCCAAAATCCACTTGACGCAGGTCGAGGGGGGTCTGAACTTGCTTGAGCAAATGATACCGAGAGGCATGTTAGGGCGGCAAGTACTAGTGGTAAAGATTGACGAAGACACAAGTCGAGACTCTCTGAGAAAGACATAAAGATTCCAGTTTCGTCATATATCCTGAACTGCTTCCTGAGCACCAGAGCAACCACAAGCAGGGGAAATGCGGCAAAAACGGTGCGGTACCGCATGTACAGCTTTCCTAAGCTGCCAGGAATATCAATCTTCAAAGAGATCTTGATACTGGAGTTGCAAGTTGGATCCGTCCAGAACTGGAGGCTCAAGCCATCTTGAACAGCTTTCCATTTCAATTGGGGTGGCATGAATGGCGACACCCCGTGGAGATTAATATTCGCTTGCTTGACATTGACAAAATATTTTGACTCGTAAGGGTCCGAGATATATTGTCGAAGCAAAGGTGTAAAGAGTTCAGTCTCGTCCCCGCAAACTTGGTTGCCCATCTCGAGATTATAAGCCAGTAAACTGGAGTGCAGCGCAGGAATCTTGACCTCTGCCACCATTGGCCGATTCGGAGGAAGCTTGATCTTCATTCCAAAGGCTAGAAGCCGTCGAAGACTCAACGAACGAACTCGATGGGATTGGACATTGTCGCTGAATTCCGCGACGACCCACCCTGATGACGGGTTGACAGCCTTGTCGACAAGTGCGACGAACTGGTGATCCTGAATGTCTTCCAAGTCATATTGCAAATAAGAAAAGGGCAACAGTTCTTCTTCTTCGTCCAGATAGAATGGCATTTTAGTGGTCCTCGTAGATGCTGGCAGCGCAATGACATCAGAAGCCGCATTCTTACACGCTAGCCTAGTGGACCCCAAGCTGTCTCCGGAAAAATCCATGTTCATGGAGAACAGTGTTGCTGACTGCCCCGGATGCAGAGGGAAAACACTGCAAAACAGAACCTCCAATTTTCCAGACTCTCCAGGTTTATCTAGTTTTTGGTCGGTCAATAGTGTGAACCTTTTCCCACCTGGCGTCCCTTGTGGTGGAATAGGTAGGAGGTGAGCCCGAGGCCTGCGAGACTGCCCAAAGTTTCTCAATACTAGACGTTCCCCTTGTGCGAATGAGTTCTCTTCGAGCGTGAGTAGAGTCGTTGGCTCCTTGTGTGGTAAAGTCTTCTCGGCAATGCTCTCCATGCCCGTCAAATACCATTTCTTGAATATTCTCATCCTATCCGCTCTGGGTTTCGTTTGTGCAGGCCGATTTACGTCAATAACTTCGTATAATGACCGGACTACGACTTTTCGGAATTGATCGCACCACAGAATGGCTTGATGGTCCATACTCGTCCATACATTTGGCACGGATGAAGTAAAGACCGTAAAGCCGTGAGTTTCTGGCACCAGGGATTCTAAATTGGCATAATCAGATGGAACCACCGTATCCAGACCACCACCGGCAATTGATATCAAGGTGACATGCCACAGCGGATTATTGTTGGCCCATTTTTGCGAATACGCTTGCCTCCAATAGTCGTTGATTTCTCTGTAGGTTCGAACAATGTCTGCATCGAAAGAAACGGGCGGTCGCGCGTGCGGTGCGGACATGGTAACAATTGTGTTGATGGAGTTTGCCTGGTAATTTGGCATAATCAACATTGTCCGCGCGACTATTCCTCCCATCGAGTGGCCCAATATTATGACTGAAGTAGGATCTGGAAGATCTGGGTCTCGTTCGGATCTCCGGGGGTCGTGGTACATTGATAAAATGTATGCGACTGCCTCATTCAAATATTCTGCCTGATCCAACATTGTCTGTCCATGAAACGCCGTTATATCCTCGTTGAAGTCGACTGTGAAAAAGTCTAGATTCCGTGCGCCAGCCTCGATTGCAGCAGAGTCGTGCCGTAAAACGTCATGGAAGTAGTTTGCCCCTTCGGCGGCAATAGGTCGAACCTGTTTATAGCTTCCAGCATTTCCAGGTATAAAAAGAACCGGGACGCCCTTGACCTAATACAAATTTAGTGAGCATGCCCGAACTCGAGAAGAGGATGTTGCATACCTTGGTATCCTCATCTACCATCCCCTCCCGATACAGATACACCGAATACTTGCTGGCGAAACGCGTATGTTCGGTATCAAAGTCCGACAGCTTCGCAAATGAAGGCCGCATATATGACATACGACATCCCTTGGTATCCAATTGTCTATTCGTAAACGAGTGTATTATGCTTCCCAGCGAGAACAAGCCCAATGCGGCGACAAGGAGCGTGAGCAGAGAGATCGCCCACGGACTTCGAAATCTCGATCGCCGGCCATGCTGTCGGACATCGGGCATCTTGTCGACAGCCATGGCCTCCTCCGGAGGCATATTTATTAGAGGAGGTTCTGCTGATCGGGTTTTGTCTAGTTGGCCATGGCGGGATTCTGGTGCTAGCTTCCAACTGGTATTGCTCAAGAGTCTGCTCCTTGCTGGTGACGGTCTCTTGTCGATGCTGTTCCGCCACTCGGGCTCGCGGGAGGTGTTTGTATTCTGAGTATTCGACTGTCGCGCGGCGGGTTCAAGCTTCCCAGGACCCTGATTCGAGTTGGAGCGGTCGATTCTGGAGCGGCCCTCTGCGCGCTCTAGGGGTAGGGCCAAGTTCACGACTTCATACGATTCCGGGATTGAATCGTCGCCTTCTTCCTCTGTGGCGGATCCCGTCGAACGCCTCCGCATCTAACTGACTTGGCCGACTCTCCAGCTCGGTTGCGACAATGCAATCGCTATGTTGAAGGGAGAGATCGAAGCTGGTGACGGAGGCGGAAATTAAGGTAGGAGAGACGCGATAGCCTGAGGCGAGAGGCGTGCAACGACGGAAACGGCCCTAGCGATAATTTTATTTTCGCAGCTTTTTCCAACGCGACAGAGCGAGCGAGCGAGCGGACGGGGACGGACGAACGAACGTGTGGTTTAGCACCGGATTATTATGATTATTACGCTGCTGCACGGAGGGTCGCTGCAGAAGATTAGGATGGGCAATACCCACCGGAGCTAGAGCGTTGCTCTGAAGAACACGGTGAGCAGGCAGTGGGGTCGCCGTTTCATGGAGGAGGTTGGGCAAGACAAGTCAAGGTACAGTAAGCGGCGAGACAGCGACGGAGACAGCCAGGCGGCCAGATGCTTCGAGAGACAGACTCGAGGATTACGAAGTACATATGGGGCCGATGGGAGACGGCGAGCACAGGGGGGTTACATTATTAATTCTCATGAATTCCCCTGCTCGGTGTCACGGCGGCACTGCTTCGTACTCTCGGAGACTCAGGGAGCAGTTCGATGTTCATGGTCATGGTCATGGTGGTACGTATCCCTACTCCGCCGTTCGCAGGTACAGTATACGGAGTATCGAGGTGAAGCACGCGTCCTCTATCAAGTTTATGTTGGTCTCGTCCATATCAGACCGTACTGATTGGTTGCGTGGGCTGCAGGCTCTGGGAAGAGACCCTGGAAACGGGATGACGATACCAGAGTATCAGAATACGAAGTACATAGTACATACATCTTCGAATGCTTTTGCACTGCAGCCTTTGCAAGCTTGGGGGGGGGGAGCGGATGCCTTGGTTTGAAGAAGATTGTGGCAGGTGTTGTGTCAACTTGTGTCTTGTTGGCCTGCTGCAATAATACTGTTGCAACTCCCTCCACTGCCACCGCCGCCAACCACTGCCACCCCAAGGATTTCTGCTCCATAAGAGGCTTCGACAGCCTTCGCTGGCATGATAGAGTGTCACCCATACCTCCATGCAGTCAGTAGGCCTGGTGAACTACTGCAGTCATCACAACACTCAGCGGTTGAAGGCAGGGTACCGGGAAAGCTTGATATGGCCCAGACTCGACCACTCAAGCCCAAATTCCCCACGATCTCACTCAAAGCTCAAACGGGTTCAGTTCAGTGGACATTATTATTGTCTGATTGTGGCATTGTGGCCAGGGAATGTGGGTGGCCAGGCGAAGATAATGAGATGGCCGGCCCTGCAAGCGCCCGCACGAGCTCGAATAGGGGCAATGGAGATTTCGTTGGCGGAGGCCCAGGCTTGATATAAAATTGCTTCATCTGCTGCTCAGATTACTACACTAACCTGCCACCCCGAATCCGGAGCACGGGGAAGTGCTCCGGAAGTCTCATTAACACTCGATCGGCACTTGGCCGGTACAAATATGTCGTGCTCCCGGGTTGATCAGTTGAAAACGCTCCGCAAAGATCTTCGTGGCCGGGTGCACGAAGTAATGAGCACTGAGTACGTACAGTAGTACGAGGAACTTGAGTCTTACGCACATCACAGCTGGAGATATGTTTCGTTTCATCTTCCGCCGGGTTCTTGCACCAGAATAAGCGTACCATGTACCTACTCAAGTCCAAGGTCCACATTCATTTCTCTAACGGTCTAACCATCGCACACAATGCTTCGTACTGAGTCGTGGCCGTGGCCGTGGCCCCTAGTGGCACATGTTCTGTCGGAATTCTGAGGCCCTTATATTATTAGTATCATCGTCAGTCGTAAGGTACATTTCGCCATGATGCAGCCGACATGGTCAAGCTGCACGCTGCGGGACAGCAATTGTGGCTTGCATACGATGATACTCTACAGCAAGTTACCAACCTTTGAGCTTCTCGGCTCAGGGACCTCTCAGGATTGAATCCCGTGAAGATCCATCTTTCACATCTTTCATACACCCCCACTCTTCATATTCTAGCGCATCTCTGGTAGGCTGTGGCCGGGATAGCTACATAGGAGATAATACCCAACATTTTACGACCAGCATGTGCTTGAGATATCATGTTCAACGGTGTCATTCCGGTTCACAAACATGGTATAACAGGTGTTCCATCGGCACCCAACATATTGTCTATATCTGGAGCGCCCCAGATAGAAAGCTTATCCCTCCATACTCTATACGAAGTGAACGTCACTCTTTGCTTGGCAAATATCGTGTCTTGGCGATAATAAACCTTCGAAGTGATCTACTTTTGTTCCACCCCAACTACTCCGATACAGGTAGAAGTGAAGACCAGACTCGGTGAAAGTTTTCCCCGTGTCGGATCTCACTCTGGAAGCCTTCCGTAAAAGCTCCTGAACCATACATGATACAACTCCGGACCGCGGTTCAAACTACTTGTATGCTCCATCAGTTGCCGTAAATGTGGGGACCCGCTTCAGGAAAGACTTAGGTGCTTTTAAGCCTTCTACGGAGTATACCACTGTACTAAATTACTACACAGTAGCCGGCTAAGCGGAGCCCAAGATTCTTCCCCGCAAAGTCTCAGTATTCTGTTGTATAATAACTCCTCAAAAAGGCTTTATGGCTCCGGATCCAAACACAGAATGAGTGCCCAGTGGCTCTCAGCCCCCGCACACGTGACAATAGACTACCCCTCTCATACCACCCAGTGAAGCTTTATAAACATTACTTCACTCCCTCCTTTTACAGTTAAAGAGCGCTGATCATCTGCCTGGATATATAAGTCTACACGTTGACCCCCAGTCTTGCAGTTGAATCCCATCCCTGTTTCCTACCTTTTAAACCTTAATCACCAAACCAAACCAAATAAACAGATCAGCATGTCGAGCAAGGGCCGTCTCGCCGGCAAGGTAGCCATTGTCACCGGAGGTGGTTCCGGTTTCGGTGAAGCTATTTCAAAGCGCTACGCGGAGGAGGGCGCTCAAGTTATCGTTGCGGACTTGAACCCGGAAGGTGGAGCGCGGGTAGCCTCTTACAAGCCGGAGAACATGCACTTCGTCAAGATGAACGTAGCAGTGGAGGCTGACTGGAAGAGCGTTGTAGAGACTACGGTGCAGAAGTTCGGACGGTTGGATATCTGTGTCAACAATGCCGGAACGAGTTATAGAAATAAGGTAAGGCGAGAAGAGTTGAACCCCACTTATACATATACCTACTTATGTATTGGGGGAGAAAGGGAGTACAAAATATGACCACGTGCTAATGTGTATATTATTTATAGCCAACTCTAGAAGTCACGGAAGACGAGTTCGACAGGGTCTTTTCTGTGAACACAAAGAGCATTTTCTTCTCCGGTAGACATGTGATCCCGCAGCTCGTCACTCAAGGGGGCGGTTCCATCATCAATGTTGCCTCTATCGGAGCAACTCGTCCCCGTCCTGGTCTGGTGTGGTATAATGCTAGCAAAGCTGCAGTGACAAACGTATGTTCCCCTGTTCCCCTTATCCGGGCCACTTTTCATGAATCACTTACTGATCAGGGCGATGTAATAGGCAACTAAGGGCCTTGCAGCTGAGTTCGGAGAGAAGCAAGTCCGTATTAACTCCATCTGCCCTCTACTATCAGGAACTGGACTGTAAGTCATGACTTTGAATTTGTTCCACCCCGTCTCTATCTCCTCTCCCTTGCTTTTATCTTCCTCCCTTCTCTTCACCCCCCTTCCCTTTCCACTTCCTTTCATATCTCCCTAACGCAGACCATACTTACAACCCCTCCCATCTAGTTTCGAGACCTTCGTCGGCGTCCCCCCAACCGAAGAGAACTTCAAGAAATTCCTCGGCAACGTCCCCCTCGGCCGTCTCACAGATCCTAACGACATCGGAAACTACTGCGTCTTCCTCGGAAGCGACGAGGCTAAGTTTATCACCGGTACTTGCTTGGAAATCGATGGTGGACGTGGTATTTAAAGTATGTAATTAAGGGAAAGGATGTTGGCAGTGTAGCTAAAAAATGCAATGCAGGAGGAGAAATCAATGAACCTCTTCAGTTAAAAAATAAAATAATTTTTAAAAATAATTGGAGATGAGCCTCTATGATGTGTAGAGATATTTAAGATCGATAAGATAACGGTTTCCAGGAGACGGGTTCAGGTTCAGGGGGGTTGAACTATCTAGAATTAATATCTGGATTATGGCATGATCCTCATGATGGCTGTGTTAAGAAATTTGTTATTCTTAGGGATGTATTCTTCTTACTAGCAAGAAGTCTATTAAATCTGCAAACCCCAATGTGAGACTAAGACAAAATTATGCTAATGCTACATAGCGCCACATTTCTATCCATACAAGCGCTAAAGCCGGTCTAATAATAACGCATATCTAAATATCCAGTTTCCTTAAGCCTCTCTATCCTCTAAATCCTGGTTGCGCTCCTCTTCCAGCCGCAACATGTGGGTATATCTAATACTCCACAAACTAACAACTAAACCCAGTAGGCACGCCACAATCGTTGCAAGGTAGGCATCACGGTAGCACTGCAAGCCCTCGCCGCATATGCGCTCCCCGTGCTCATCCACGATACTATGTCGATCATACACCATGCCATAGAATAGGTTGAAGATATTCCCGCTGATCACGGGACTCAGTGTCATGAAGCCCCAATTTTGGGACAAGCCATACACGCCGAATGCTTCGGCTACGAGGGAGGGGAAGCAGCCAAAGAGGAAACCGTATGCCAGGCCTGTGAATGAGGAGACGAGGACTAGGTTGTAGGGGTTTGTGATTGTGATGGCGCCGATTTGGGCGATGAGGAAGATGAAGGATGCTAAGGTGAGGCACCATAGTCGGGAGGCGTGGAAATATCTGACAAGGAAGTCGGAGCCGATGCCTTGAATGTGTTAGGAGTGGAAATATGAGAGGAAGAGGGGAGGTTACCGCTAAGAAGACGCCCAGCAAAACTGCAAATAGAAAGGATTGAGACATGCATAGCTTGCCGCTGCATTATAAAATCATCGGTTACCGAATCGTCGTAGTGCCGCCACAGAGCGGCTGCATCATTGCCAATATTGCTGGGTAACTGTTAGTAACTGGTTTAAAAGATGGCGAGATAATTCCCACATACTTGATTGTCATCAAACCAATCCCCGTGAGAATTCCCATTAGGGCGAATAGTTGCCAGAACTCCATATGAGGCAGCATTCTCACTCCTCGAATATCTACACGGTGGGCATAATCCTTAACATGAGGTTCTTCTCCAGATAATATATTCCCCAGGCTTGAGGAGGAGGATTTGGACATTAACGAAGAGGTCTCATCCATCTCGGATGGGATGATGTCCTCAGGTGCCGCTGGCCCTGTATCGTGCTGATCTAGGGCGCCGGTGTGCTCGGGGTGCTGAACTGCAAGTGCGGACCTACCTGGTTCTGGATCCAGCAATGCCCGCCTGCCCTCCTCCGATTTGGTTCTGTGAAGCCGATTTGCGCGCCCTGGGGTTGTCGACACTACGGTGTAGTGTGCATGGGGTAGCACCCTGAGAAAGAAAAACCCTATAAAAACAAGGCCGAATGTCCCAGAGGCCAGTAGGATCAAGAAGTGCCCTGTATTCCCAGGCAAAACGAACTGGGCGAACATGGAAAAGAAGAAGGCGCTCAGTCCGAAAGCAGCGAGGGGAAAGCCTGTGGCAGTTCCACGGTGGTGTGGCCAGTTCAACGCAGAAGTCTTGATAGCAGCTTGGAAAGCAGCACAACCACCGAGGCCGGTCATGAAGGTAAACATGCAGAGTAGGGGCAAGGAGCCAGAACCGCTATCGTATGCTTGATGTAGAGGGAAATAGCCCGCGGCGAGGAGAATAGCGCCCATCATGACGGCAAGCCGTGGCCCCTTCGCATCAACCAGCATTCCTATAGGTATCCCCATCGAGTACATTCCCAGATTGCCCGACGCCCCCTAGAACGGTCAGCACATAGTCGGAATAATAGAATGGACGGCGGGTCGTACTATCAGGTTCTGCTCGGTCGAGGAGAGCTTCAAACGGTCTGCGAATTGAGGGCCCCATGCTGAATAGGCGTACTGGCTGAATTAGCAGAGACAACAGCAAGATAAGGGCAACCAACATACATTAGTACCGCATGCCAGTGCTATACATGTGGCAGCAACACTCGACACAATGCGGCCGACACGGAGGGACTTTTCCGTCATGGTGACGGGAGATGGTTTGCGGGTTCAATGTTTACTCTTTCTGTGTCATATCATTGCGAAGGAACGGTGGGAGAGACATCAATCAGTCACGCGGTCAACAAATGTCCCATGCCAAGGGGAAAATTAAAATGGGGGATAGAACGACGTGTTATAAGGGCGGGTTACAGATCAGACTTGGTACCAAGACATTAGTTTGTTGGAAGTCTTTCATATGATGTAGGGGGAATTTATCGAAGGCGACTCCCTTCGGACTGCGCCCGTTGCCGTTGCCGTCTTCCGTCGCCGTTATCGCAGGAGATAAGGCGCTCCTCGATGTCTGCCTCAGGTATCAGGCGACGGCATTGCCCATTACCCAGCCACAGCGGGAACCTTCAACCGCCGCGTGGAGCTCCATCATCACCACTGCGTAGTCACTCACTGCTTGACCAGAAACCCACCGTTATCTGGAGATCCAGCTGTGGTCGAAGTGTTCATCGAGTATCTCTTATTACAGAGGCATCTATCGCGAACAAGATGGGTGCTCTCCTTTCCCTGCCGCTGCTGGCGGTGCCCAGCGTGGGCACAGTATGTCTCAATCAACCAGCAGGCAACTTGACATGGCGGCGGGTGCTGACTTCAACCTCTTTCACAGATATTTGGATGTGCTGCAAGCTGTTGCGGGGCGGCGACTTGTTCAGCGGTGTGTAGCGCCTGTGGGAAATGTGGGAATAGGTTAGTTAATGTCCTCGACTATGAATGCGCCCATATGCTGATAACCGGTCTTACAGCGTGGCGACTCGAATTGCCTACGCCCTCATCCTGCTAGTGAACTCGATACTATCGTGGATAATGCTTACGCCGTGGGCGATCAACAAACTACAACATTTGACCCTCGACTATATGACGATAAGCTGTGGGGATGGAGAGTGTCATGGATGGGTTGCGGTCCATCGGATCAACTTCGCCCTGGGCGTCTTCCACATCATAATGGCCGTGCTTCTACTCGGGGTTAATTCATCCAAGAATCCTCGAGCCAACATACAAAACGGATTCTGGGGCCCCAAAATTATCGCCTGGCTAATTCTAGTCGTTCTTACGTTCCTCATTCCGGAATCATTCTTCGCCTTCTGGGGAAACTATGTCGCTTTATTCGGAGCCACCCTCTTCCTTCTCCTCGGCCTCATTCTCTTGGTCGATTTGGCTCATTCGTGGGCAGAATACTGCCTTGAGCAGATTGATGCAACCGATTCCCGCGTGTGGAGAGGAGTCCTCATCGGATCCACTTTGGGAATGTATGCGGCTTCCCTTGCCATGACCATCGTCCAGTATATATTCTTCGCTGCCAGCGGGTGCTCTATGAACCAGACTGCCATCACTCTCAACTTGGTATTCCTAGTTCTTGTCTCTGGCATCTCCGTCCATCCTGCGATTCAGGAGTACAATCCTAAGGCGGGGCTTGCCCAGTCGGCTATGGTTGCAGTCTACTGCACATATCTCACCATGTCAGCTGTTTCCATGGAGCCAGATGACAAGAACTGCAACCCTCTCATTCGAGCCCAAGGCGCCCGAACGACTTCCGTCGTGATTGGTGCTATTGTCACCATGTTAACGGTTGCCTACACCACTACCCGAGCTGCAACCCAAGGAGTTGCTCTCGGAGGCAAGGGCAACAGCATCAGATTGCCAGAGGACGATGAGCATGATCTCGTCACTCAACAACCGGATTCCCGCCGGGAAATGCGTGCCGCAGCTTTGCGCCAGGCCGTTGAGGAAGGAAGTCTTCCAGCAGATGCACTTTTGGACGACGACGATGACAGCGAGAGCGGGAATACCGCGAAAGACGACGAACGAACCTCAACACAATACAACTATGCGCTCTTCCACATCATCTTCTTCCTTGCAACTGCCTGGGTCGCAACCCTCCTTACCATGAACATGGAGGATTGGGAGTCTAGTGATTTCGCTCCCGTTGGAAGAACTTATTGGGCTAGCTGGGTCAAGATTGTCAGTGCTTGGGTCTGCTACGGGATTTATATTTGGACTCTCGTCGCACCTATTGTATTACCTGATAGATTCGACTTCTCTTAAGCGCGCAGTGGGTGGGGTTTGGTGGGTCATTGCATTGTAGTGTTTATTGCATCTGTTTTATACCTGGGCTTGCTTATGGGCTTTAATAACTGAAATACCCTTAATTCAGAAGGCTCAAAATCAGTTATTGCAAGATCGTTCCATCGTCCCAAAGTGAAGATATACTTTTCTCTTGACGTAGCCAAACCTCATCTATAAATAGGAACGAGGGGAGCTTTCAAAGAGACTACTCTGCCTAATCACCTAAGGTACCTAGATATCGTGTTAAGCAGACATTTCACGATCCACAGTTCGTCATCGAGCATTATCATATGCCACGGAACACAAGACTATTCACGTCAATACTTCATATTCAGCTAAACCACCACCCTCACAAGCTATATGAACAGGTAAATTACCACCAGCCCAAGCCGACTTGCTCCCTTCAGAACTCCAGGACTTGAAAACCCCCAGACTAAGACCCTGGGAAAGTGTACATAAGGGTAAGGCAGCAGATATATATAAATCGAAGCAAAAATAAAATGAAACATATAGACGGATAGTCCTGTATATAAATCCAATCCCATCCATTTCACAGATCACCCGGTCCAAATATGTTATCCTCCTCCCTGAACCCTTATATATAAAAAGGGCTGCCCATAAATGAAAAGTAGGTAGGTACTGTTGGTAGGTAGTGCTGGAGAACCTTGCTCACAGCAGAGCGAATCGATCTCAAGAAAGAAAAAAAAAGCGAGGGGCATGAAGCTAATATGTACCAAAAGTCCAAGAAGATGAAAAGGAAAAATATGTGTTTGACACCATGTCAGTCCAACCCCTCTAGCCATTTGTCCACCCCCGGGCCGATCCCCAATGCATCACAAACTTAAATGATATCAAAGCAATCTATTCCAACCATACCATATCCCATTACCCAACTTTGCAAACTTATGACTCTCTTTATTCCTCAGGCTCGTCCCCATCCATAACAAACTGCACCTTCTCCTTCTTCCCTTTCTTTTCCTTCTTCTCCTTCTTCTCCTTCTTGCCCTTCTTTCCCTTCTTGCCACCAGAACTGCCTGGAGTCGGAGGGAATGCAGGGGAAGATGGCGATGCTATTGCGCTTGTAGAGGCTGATTCGGTCTCTTCGCCATCTCCTGTATTATCTGCTTCTAGGGCTTCTGCGCTTGGTTGGGTCGCTGGAGTAGGCAGTTCCTCTAAATCGGATGGCTTTTCGGCAGCTGGTTCGGGGTCTGCTAGGGGACTTTCTTCTTCCTCTACAGCAGGTGCCTTTGTAGCGGGCTGTTCTGAAGCAGGATCGTCGTCTGCAGCAGGATCTTCTGTTGTAGCTTCGTGCTTAGGGAGACGGAGAGGCTCCTCAGCCTCATCCTCCACTGGCGCGTCAGCATGGGCAGACTCCTCATGCGCTTCTGTCGCCGGCTCTTCGACCGTAGCTGCCTCTTCTACGACCGGCTCCTTGGCGATAGCCTCCTCCTCTGGAGCAAGTTCCTCGGTCGCAATAGGCTCTTCCGCTTCACCATTGTCTGCCATGGTTACAGGTTCTTCAGCTTCATCTACAGCCTGCTCTTTAACCACAGCAACGTCTTCAGTGGCGGGCTCCTCCGCTACATCGGAGGATTCGAGGACAGGTTCCTCCGCTGCAGCTTCTTCCTTGGCGACAGACTCCTCTGCGGCAGGCTCCTTAGAGATGGGCTCCTCAGCAGTGGGATCTTCAGCAACAGATTCTACAGTAGCTGGCTCTTCAGTCGCAAGCTCCTTAGCAGCAGCCTCTTCAGCAACGGGCTCTTCAACGGGAGGCTCCTCAGCGGCGATCTCTTCAGCAGTCTCCTTTTCGGCAGGCTCTGCTAGCACCGAGTCCTCTTCGATGGCAGCTACATCCTCGACAGCCGGTTCTTCGACAGTAGGCTCCTCAACAGCAGGCTCCTCGGCAGCAGGCTCTTCGACAGCAACCTCCTCGACAGCAGGCTCCTCAACTTCGGAGTCCTCTAGAACCGGAGTATCCTCCCGCTGGGGAGTTTGCTCTTCGGCCACAGGCGAAAGATTATGACGATAAGCATCATCCTCATCCGATTCCTCAAAACCCGATCTCTCGATCTCCGCTACTTCTGGTGCGGCTGTGCTTCTAAGCCAAGCGCCCTCAGAAATCGGCTCGGCGCTGTTAAGTATAACGGTATGTTCCTTTAATTGGCCGAGTCCCTTCTCGTTAAGATGGACACCCGCTGCCAATTCATCGACTTTGTCTCCTGTGGTCTGTACTTGGCTACCTAGGGCTTCGATCGATACTGTTATTTCCTTGACGTCTTTATTGCACTCCTGCACAGCGCCATTTAGAGTGTCGACATCAATAGCTTGGATGATCCCACTTAGCCCAGTGACTGAGTCGGCCACTTGCGTGCCCGTGGCATCAATTTCCGCTTTCAGCTCATCGCTGAGCGTAGAGATGGTTGTGGTAACGGTTGTGTGATTAATATCAATTTGTGAGGCGATGGACGTAACAGTCTCTTTAGTAGTATCAATGGATGCGGATGAGGTCTCCACGAGGGCTCGGACAGCCTTCACCTCCGAGAGGATCTCGGATGAGGAACTATCATCGCTCTGGGAAGTGAGTGCCGCAGCACCAGCTCCGGCTGCACCACCAAGGGCCAGGGCGCCAATGGCTAGAGTGAGCTCTGAATGCGAGTTCTTCGTATCGGTGTGGAGATCTTTTACTAGCGTGCTGTGATCATCGACGCCTGCTTTTGATTGCTCGACGATCGATTTTAGTTCGGAGATGTTGGACGAAATATCTTCGTGAGATATCCCCGCTTGAATAGACTCTAGAAGAGGGGTGTGAGAGGTTAGAAGCTCATGATTTAAGGTGACGAGTCCATGCGTTTCTTTCGTTGCAGCCAATAATTCTGGATTTGTTGTTGCCTCCTTGATGTCACTCAATGTGGAATTCTGCGCTTCGAGACTGCTGATGATGGTATTGAAATGAGCTTCTAAGGCGGGAACATCAGCGCTGGCAGGGTCATCGCGAGTAGACGTCTCTGGTTGCGGGGTAGATTTGATCTCAGCGAGTGTTGCTGTATGAGCTGCATGGGATTCATTGGATGCAGTTGTAGCATCTTTGATCTCACCCAAGGCAGTGTGATGTAAAGCGTGGGACTCGGTTAGTGATCCAGCAGCTTCTTTAATTTCCACGAGCACAGCGGTATGAGCAGCATGGGACTCGTTCGAGGCCTTTGCTGCTTCATGGATGGCGGAAAGGGTGGTCTTATGCTCGTCCAACGTGGCAGCAATCGTCCCGATCTGGGACTCCAATGCATCCAGGTTAACGTTTTGGGAAGGGCTTTCCTCGACAGACCTGGCTGACTTAAGCTCCTCCAAGGAAGCAGTATGCGCGACATGAGACTCATTCGATGCATTCGCGGCTTGTTTGATTTCAGCCAATGTCGCCTTAGTCTCTTCCAACGTCGCAGCAAGGGCGCTAATATTCGCCTCTAAAGCATTTGGACTGCTAGTCTCAGCAGGAACAGCCGAGTCAATAGACCTAGTAGATTTAAGTTCATCAAATGCGGTACCATGAGCGGCATGCGAATCATTGGAGGCTTGCACAGCGGCATGCAACTGCTCTAAAGCGGCTGTATGAGTAGTGTGAGAATCATTCGACGAATGCAAAGCAGTTAGAATCTCAGCGCTGACGTCTGCCTCCTTAATTTCTGTGAGGAGTGATCCGCTACTAGCTTGTGACTGGGCTATATCGTGGAGGGTGCTCAAGATTTCGGCGCTGACGTCTTCTTTGATTTCAGCGAGGACGGCCGTGTGGGATTGGAGAGTGTTGACGATGGTAGCGATTTCTGCTTGCAATGATGCCGTGCTGTTATCCTCTGAAACAGGAGCGATTTCTCTGCTAGTAGAAATATTGGCTGTCTTGATATCGTCTAGGGTGCCAGCGTGAGATTGAAGGCTGGTCTGCAGAGATGCTAACTGCGCTTCTAATGCAGCAAAATTGCCGTTGTAATCAGCAGTTGGAGCAGCAGCTCCGAGAGATTTAATTCCTTCCAATGCTTCGGCATGGGATGTATGGGAATCGTTCGACTTTTGAACAGCTGTTAATATGTCTGCACTTTGGTTCGCCGATTTATGCTCCTCGACAGTAGTAAAGACATTGTCTAGTTTGGAGCTTATGCCGGTCAAGCTGTCGCTATTGGAGGATAATCCTGATTCAACATTCTCTTTTATGACGAGAAGATCCTCCTTCAACGCCTGTAATAATGTGGTGAACTCGGGATCACTACCCGAGACCGGGAGAGCCCGTTCAGAATCGGAGCTCAGAGACCTGTCTTTGATCTCGCTCAATAATGTGGAATGAGAGGCATGCGAGTCGTTGGATTTTTGGACAGCGGCCAGAATCTCAGGATGTGCGTTGGCATCCTTAATTTCAGTCAAAGTCCCGCTGTGCGTTTCTACTGCATTTAAAACAGTTCCAACTTGTGATTCCAATGCACCAAAGCTCTCATGGTTCGAGATTATGCTATCCTCGACCTTTCCTTTTATTGTTTCAAGGTCTCCTGAGATTGCCTGTATAGTCTCGAGCACGCCCGGTTGGCCTTTTAATGCTACGAGGTCTGTCGAGATCGCATCGAGCTGGGCGGCGTGGGAGGCGAAGAGAGAAGCATGTTCCCCGACTTTCTGGTTGATGTCCTTGACGTTCTGGCCAAGGTTTGAGCCTATAGTATCAATAACCAGGCCGATATCCTCCTTCAACTGATCCAATTGTGCTTGCAGAACAGCTGTTGTGGTAGGCGACTGGTCGACGAAGGCCTGCAAAGAATCGACACTTGCTCTTGTTGGCACCAATGTAGCTTGTATGTCCGAAATGCTCGTTACCACCTCGTTGATCTTCTTGTTATTCGCATTGACAGCGCTCGACAGCTCGGCGAGCGTCGCAACGGTGCGCTTGTTGTTCTTCTCTAGTGATTGCTTGAATTGCTCGATGTCCTGGGGATTCGACGACTCGCTCGAGTTCCGCCGCCGGGGCGATGTGGGTGTTCCTGGGCTCGTCGGCGTAGGCGTCTCTGCACCTCCACGGCCCAATTTCTCCCCAGTGTCGAGACGGATCAGGATATCCTCCACACTCCTATTCGTTTTCCGCAGGAGAACCTCGTGCGAGTACACTGCTTCCACCACTGGTTGTAGGGTATCCAGCGCATCCCGGATTGAAGGTTTTATCAATCGGGCTAGGTTCGCCGCAATGGCAAGCTGGAAGGTCTCGCCATTGATAGCTTGATCGACGGCAGTTTGGAGCGCCTCGGGATCCAGCGGAGGATAATATCCATTCCCATTGGTGTGTACGGGACTGGTGACTTCGGGCTTGATGCGCTTGCCTTCAAAAGAAGCTCGTATGCGGCTTGTTAAGGGCGGGCGAGAATTGCTACGGGAGTTGGGAGCCATTGTGTTGTTTTGACGGATAATTGTTCATTGAAGAGACAGACTGAGGAAGCGGGACGCCGAGAATAAAAGAGAAGGTTTTTGCGACTTAACTTAACTGAACTTAACAGCATTATCAGACTCACCGTTGCTCACCGTTGTCGTGCGACCAGGCCCAATTGCCTATAGTTGAGGCGATATAGGATGTGGGCGTGGGTGTGCTTGGGGTTTGGGCGGTATGTTCATGCGTGATTGATCGCCGGCGACCGAACAACAGCGACATGCGTTGTTCAGGATCCACTAGCACGTAGCACTGGGCGCACCGGTGGAGCAACGTGTTTCTCCTGTCTGCAGCCGTTTTTGGGCATAAGGATCTGTTCCTATTTGCGGTGAACTGCGAGAGTGCTACCATGGTTGCAGCTCCGGCTCCTTGCTCGTGAGGCCATTTGCTCGAAAAACTCTTCATGCAGGTGTTGGGAACTTGGGAGCTTGGGAGTGAGTGACTGAGTTCGCAGGCTGCCCGAGGTGCAGCGGAGGTTTCTCACAATGATCACAGGTTCGACAACACAGAACTGCTAGAGACTCGACGCCCACCTTTATTGTTACAGCCTGCAATGCGGGCACTATGTTTCAACCAGTTTGCTCTTTATTGGACCACTTCTTTACTGCACAGAGATGGCTGTTTCTATTGGATTCCTGGGAGCCTTTTCATGTTCCCTATAGTTGGTCTGGCTCTGAAAAAGCAAGATGGCTCTAGCCAGAACATTATTGTTGTCGGTACATACGAACTCCGCGGTATATCTTGGTCTTTGGAGTAATAGTGGGCGTGATATGTTCTGATCTGTCATCCGGTTTCAACCCCATCCCGTACAAGTTCCAAATACCAAGTACCTTGTACTTGGGCGCCTTATGAGTTATTAGCTATTGGTGCTTTAGGTACCTAGATACCTAGTACCAGGTACAGTACAAACGAAGTATACGAAATACAAACCGCACCTAAGCGGCCATAAGAGAGAGATCATAAGAGGTGACGTGTATATTTATATTCCCCAACTCTCTAAGCCCGGAAGCAGCGCAACTCCCAGCAATGCAGTTCCATCCCAACTCCCAACCCCAAGAACCATCCCAGGATCTAGAATCATTCCTCGCCACCCATTGCCTAGCGACTGTTTTGGAGGGGCTTAGCGTTCTTCTGGTACCAAGCTCAACCGTCAATGCGTTCCATGATTCCCCAAACTTTCCGCCCAAATACCAATAGATAAAGCATTTGACTTATTAAAGTTGAAATATTGAAAGATGCGCAACTGCATGAAACGTTATCAGACTTGTGGCTATGTTCATGCTTTTTTTTCTATTCCTCTCTGCTCTGTATTTAGCATAAAGTTTCCGCTCCGACGGCTTCCCCAGATGACGCCTCCAGACCGAAACACCTCGGCAAATATTTGTCCGCCTGTGCGAAGCTTCCATTCGTTCGTTCTCATGCACAGGCTAGCTTGAACCCTTAATAAACAAAATATCATCTCCCCGCTACATTTTTTTTGTATCTTTGCGCGCGCGCTCAGTGAATTACCCTCGCCATGGCTTCCTCTTCCTCTTCCACCGGGGCGCAAATAAACCAGAAACTCGATGCCCTACCTCCAGCCATCGCAGAGAGGCTACCCCACATTCCGGAGTCAAAGGCCGAATTGAAGGACGACGCAAAGGTAGCTGGACAGAAATCCCTCCAGGGGTTGAGAAGTTTGGCAGCGGGAGGTTTCGGCGGCGTGTGTGCGGTCGTCGTTGGGCATCCCTTCGACCTGGTTAAGGTCCGGCTACAGACCGCAGAGCGCGGCGTCTACAGCAGTGCGATCGATGTTGTGAAGAAGAGTATCGCGAGGGATGGATTGAGGAGGGGATTGTATGCGGGGGTCAGTGCGCCCTTGGTGGGCGTAACTCCTATGTGTAAGTAAAATACGACCTGATCCGATTGCTTTTCTTTCTAGCTTGCGCGAGGATTACGAGGCTGATTAAAGGACAGTTGCCGTGTCTTTCTGGGGATACGATGTTGGAAAAGGTCTGGTCCGCCGCTTCTCCACCGTTGAGAACGATCAGCTCTCCGTCGCACAGGTCTCAGCCGCAGGCTTCTTCTCTGCCATCCCCATGACCATCATCACCGCCCCGTTCGAGCGTGTCAAGGTCATACTACAAGTCCAAGGGCAAAAGCAGCTGGCTCCTGGAGAGAAGCCGAAATACAGCGGCGGCGTGGATGTCGTGCGCCAATTGTACAAAGAAGGCGGCATCCGTTCGGTATTCCGGGGCTCCGCAGCGACATTGGCAAGGGATGGCCCTGGGTCCGCCGCCTACTTCGCGACATACGAAATCATCAAGCGAAAACTCACGCCGGTCGACCCTGAGACGGGGAAGGCGAGCGGAAATCTGAGTCTGGTTGCTATTACCACCGCCGGTGCGGCAGCAGGTGTTGCTATGTGGATTCCTGTGTTCCCGGTTGATACCGTGAAGAGTAGACTGCAGACCATGGAGGGCAACCCCACGGTGGGCGGCGTTATCCGTGGACTATATAGGAATGGAGGACTCAAGGCTTTCTTCCCAGGATTTGGACCCGCTCTTTGCAGAGCTGTACCTGCGAACGCGGCGACATTTTTGGGAGTCGAGCTGGCGCATCAATTCATGAATAAGACCTTTGGATGAATAGAAGCAAACCATAGATGGCTGTGGCGCGTGACGGATATGGATCGTGTACGGATTTGGTGTTCTCAAGATTTCTGGGGCATTTTCACGGGATTTACGGAGCATAGCAATCACGCAGATAGAATTATTGATACATTTTTCAACATCGCAACTTGCATGGTTTCCGCCATTACCCGAGTAATCTATATTAAATTGTGAACTGAAATATACACCATAGAGAATCATTTAAATCGAGGACAAAATAGGACAAAGCTCACCTAACTATACATTTCCGATTCCATCCGATATCTAACTACCTATCTTAGATATACGTTGCATTTCATCCCCAGAATTCTCATATGAAAACGGAACACGCGGAACGGTTGTCGGTTATCGGACAATTAGTCGCTGCGCGGGGCACTTGCTCTACTGTAGCCCCAAATTCCGGCGCTCCGAGGCCCCTTCTTCTTGGCTCCAGGGGGCTTATCCGCAGAGCCTCAGGGATGCATTTCTAACCCCACCACAAGGGTAAAATTCTTCAACCAACAAAAGGATACGTTAACAATCCATCTAGATGGTTGCTTGTAAACATTGCAACTCAGTTTTTATTTGCATACTGCCTCAGGTATCTTTAACTTGAGCAAGAAGTTTCTTTTTCCTGCAAACGGGGAACTAATACCTACCAAGGTGCCTACATAAGGCAGGGCAGGTAGGTACATCAACCCCTGAATCCTTGGGCGAGAGTTACATCTTCAGCTTTGCTTTTTATTTTGGGACCAAGCTCGAACAGTGAATTTTTATAGAGTAATTAGACCGCCTAAGCACCTGTTCTGGCTCTCCACCTGGGAGAATTACAGTTCTCTTCACAACCCTCCGCTTTCAACCCCCCCTGAATCTTCCAACATCACATTTGCCTTTACACCTGCAATACATGCTTTCTTCAGTATTCATATGTGCTTTTATGCTACTTGGTATTACTTTTTTGTTTTAAATTATATCCCGGCTTGTTAGTGGAAGGAAAGTGAATCCTCATCATCTCACTTTACAATCTCTCGACCCGGTTTGAGCTTTCGATTTGCGGCGGCGTCAACATTTCAACACTTCAACTGTGAGAATTGGTATAGTTATTTGGAAACAACTCCAAAATTGCCTATCCACATGGGGATACGTAAGGACAAGTAATTCGTGGGATATTACCCCACCACCCTTTGCATCTCCTCTTGCTGTTTTATGGTTGCCTAGTGTTCAGTTCGAGGCGTTTGGTGCAGATCTCTCGAGTTACGTTTGTTTTTAGCCTTGTAAGCTTTGGCATTTACTTCAGCCTTTCTATTCAGTTTTGCAAACCTTTACGCTATGCTTCGCACTATGTTTTGCATTATGCTGCGAGAGTTGGGGACTGCTAGTAGTGAACACATATGCGCATACCCCTTAGCGATGCGGTCGCATTACCGGCTCAACATCAAGACTTTGGAAAGCCAAGCAGCTCTCCTCCTATTGATTCATATACTATTCTCCATATTGCTACATACTCCCTGAGGATCGCATCAAACATATCCATAGGTATTGACGTGGCGCTGCTGCAAAAGTTCAAAGGGGCGGCACCGAACCGATGGTATGGGGTATAAATCAAAATAAGCGTTTTTCCGTTAATGTAGGCTCTATTCTGGCCGCTTCGCATAAACTGAGCGCTTCCTGTAGCAGGCGTTATTCTCAACTCCTCGGGTGACGATCCGGGGGGTGCTTATTGGGTAGCCTGTGAGAGTATCGAATGCTAGAGGTTACAGCTTAGCCGCTGCCTAGAGCTGAATTACTTTTTGGAATTCTTTTCTATTATTCTTTTTTAAAGGTGAGGTTTTGAATATGTTTTTTTGCGTTTATTTTTGCGTGTCATCTCGCGTCTGTCGAGGAGAAAAAGCGGGGTGCCAGCCTCGCGGTGGAGGGAAGCGATCGCGCACTGCACCTATGTTTGTTTACCTCGGATACGATGATTGTATATACATGGCTAAGGTGCCTAAATCAATAGCCTTATGTTAAATGATAGTTGCTAGGATGAGGAAGGCTTTCTTGGGGTTCTCACTATCATGGATTGTCCTATATAAAAGGTTCCACAGCCACCCCTTGCAGGTGAATTTCCTTTTTCGAGTCGTGTACTCGTCAATAGAGCCCGCACTTCGGCTTGATATTGAAATATATTTTACAGCCAGCCTGCCAATCGAAGATGCTTAAACCTTTATATATCTTTGATGTTCCCGCATCCATCGCCCCTCGTGCCTCTTAACGGCACCTCGATACATGCACGAACGGAACCCGCAAACCTTATTCTGATGAAGTGTGGCCGGGACTGCAATCTCTTGAATGATTGCAGGAATTTAGGCGCTTTTGCGAGGGCCGGGGATTGGCATTCGTAGGTTTGATGTCCGTTAACTATAAAAACATCTTCGCAAAGCAAAATAATTTCCCTCGTTGCCCCTTCACTACGCTATGCTTTTCTGCTTCTTTGTTTTGAGTCCCAATATACTTTGTTACAAAAACCGGTTGAATACTACCAATCACTTGCTCTGGCCTCTTTTAGGGGTGAAATTAGCGATGGAAAAGCTAGGCAACTTATTCTGGCTCTAGTATCTTGTCGGTCACAACAACACAATGGGCATGTTTAGCTAGATAGAAGAATCACAATGCAGTCCGAGAAATGGATAACAAGAGACCTTCTGCTGGTATAAGACCTGCCCATAATAAAACCAGTGATGTTAAGGAGGCCACATACGTTTGCCGAACTAGGTACTCATAGCCCACTGTGAAGGGAACTAGACTGGATTGTCCTTTGTGTAGAGGATGGAGTTTACGCTGGGAGGGCTAGTAAACATATAGTAAATGAAGGAGGTGGGGGCCAGTAGAGAAAGATCGCAGAGTTCTGGAAACGTGCTATAACGTGGATGGTATCTGTTTAAGTTTGTTCGTCCATCAACACAAGCGTGTCTGCGTGTCTGCGTCCCTGCGTGCCTATGTAACAGTTGAACGTACAGAAGAAATATAACCTCTGAGAACCAAAACCTAAACTCAAAACAAAACAAAACAACGTCATCCATCTTCCTGCAACCCAACTTCACAGCTCTACAGCCAAGTTGCTGAGCATCTCGAACATCTCGTCAAAGACCAGTCTCCCCTTTCTCAACCCCTGAATTACGCGAGAATGGAAGATCACGTTATGGACCACGACGCCGTCGACCATATCGACTCTGTCACCGCTCCTCCTCAAATGTCTGTGGCAATTTCCTCCCAGATTCCGGACCTGATCGCCAGACAATTCCCCCGCTTTCCTAAGCTTCCTCTCGAGCTTCGCCAAATGATCTGGACACTCGCAGTCCTCACACCCCAGATTACCACCTTCCGTATCACTCCGCACGCGGGGGTTTGGTATCCATCGGTTGCGCCATCCCATAGTCCAATTCGCTTTGTCAACAAAGAGGCACGCAGACTCTTCTTGCGTGTCAAGAAGCCATGCATCGACCTATTGATCAAGCTCAAGACGGATGCCGAACGCGCAGCCTCAGTTTTTGACACCTGCAGTTATGTCGAACCCCTTGCACCTCAATGGCGGAATGCTTATGCTTTGGCACCAAAGATATTCGTCAACCCGGCCATTGACATCATTTGGATGAACACAACTTCCCTGAAAATGTGCCAGATGGGGCACTACTGGATTGATCTTCAGATCCAACGGTTGGCATTGGATTACGAGGTCTGGAAACGCTTCACGAAGGTCTTCGATTTCCCCGAGACTTACATTAACAAGAATATCCTCGGCCTGGGTGTCAAAGAAGTGATATTTGTTGTTGGAGCAACCTCCAGCAATGCTCCGGTCCCGAATATCATTTTCGTTAAGCCGAGAGCACCCCCTAGTGTCGTCCTTGGGACGAGATTTTGGGAGGGTGCCGTTGGGCGGGAATTTCTCATGTCGTCCCGCCGAAGATTCCGAAAATATGTTTGCGAGACAGAACTCAAAGAGAAATGCACCTGGGAGTGCCTGGAGGAGATTGTCTTGGGTAACGTGGACAAGGCCAGGCAAAAGGTCGAGGAACTTAGGAAAAACAACGGTAAGAATACGTTCTCTAGCCTTGCTAGAACCAGAATTTGCTAACATGTAACAGATCCTCAGAGGTTGGCTCGATACCCCCAGGTATCCATCATGAGCGTCAAGTTCATGGAGGCAGTGGCTGTCACAGTCTAGAGGGCAGTTGCTGGTTTGTTTGCAGGGGTCCGGGGGTCTATGGGTAGATAACACTCCAGTCTAATAACATGGGATATCTCAAGGATTGACTTCACATGAACCCGCGTGACTCAAATATACAGCAACACAGTTAACGTTGACAACCGTTCCGTATTCCGGACAAACCTTAGCTCGGACGAACTGTTCAACATATTTGGGACGAAAAGATGGTATGCTCTGCAAGTTTGGTCTTCTGAGAAATCGGATGTGATTCTAGACGGTGAGCATTATGTCTTGAATGACTGCTTAAACATGCCGGGCCAAAGAAGAGGAATAGCTAAATAGCCTCGCTTGCTTGCACTTGCATTGGAAAAAAGTCACAGCAACCGGCTTCACATAGATAGTCGAGATATGTTCGTGGAGCGTTGCTATTTGAAGAAGAGTAAAATTTAAACAGATGGTTGCATATGCTCACCAGCCCACCAAACCAAGGAGCACCCAACCAAAGCCCATACACCCATAGCTGTCTTGTCCCAAGACCTATGATCAGCTTCTACCTTTGCGGCCCCGATCTTCCGCACCATGTGGCTACCCTTTATGGGCTGAGGGGTGGTGGCATTCTTCTCGGCACCCTCCGTAGCATCGGCTTGCTGTCGTAGCTCAGAAATCTTCTTGCTTAGAAGCAGTAAGTCTTCCGCCAACTGTGTGCTATTTCCAGCGTTATCAACCTCCACATTCTGGACGTTCCCAAAGAAATCCATCACCAATCTCTCCCTGCCCCCTTGTTCGGCCCCAGGGAATAGATCCCATCTGACACCTGGATGGGAATGAATCTTGGACTCATCATAGCTATCAAATAAATCCCCCAGGGTCTTCTTGCTGCTAGGTTCGCGCACCTCCTTCTCAAGGAAATCGAGGTTGTAATACGTGTATCGGTCAATAACGGCAACTCCAACGTCGTTGTCTGCGTGATGGGAGTAGGAGGACTGGTCAATTTCGGAGGAGCCAGTGGCGATTATGTTGGGGGAGTAAATTTTGCTGTACATTGTGTTTGCCTGGCAGGTATCGATCATGAAGAGGAGTTCATGATATCTGGCATCAATTAGCAAGAGTAGACAAAGTGGTCGCAAGGGTGGCTTACCTCTTCTTCTCCCACATTTGCTCGAATGCGTCCGCTAGATCAAATGCGCTGATCTCTTCTGCATCCTGGAATTTGAGGAACTCGTTCCCTCCGTGCCCAGTCATATACACCAGGATATTACTTCGATCATCCGTCAACAGCCTCTTACTCCTCGGCATCTCCTCTCCCACCCTGTCTGTTAACAGCCGTATGAAGTTCTCCACTGTGACCTCGTAGCCTCGGTAGTCCACTTCGATGTTATCACCGTACAAATCCACGGCTCGATCTGCATTGCTGTACACGGTTCCTGGGAAGGCATTTCGAGGGTTACATGCCATGTCATCGGGAAGCATTAGAATGATCTGCGAGTCGGGAATCCCAAGCCTCTTGACTGTTCGATATAGCGACAGCACATTGGCCAGATGCCGGTAGTTGAACCAGAATCGCGATGTCGAGACCAGCACTGCCCAATTGCTTGTATGCTCAGCCGCGACGGTTGCTGGCGCCAGCAGCGACGCCAGCACCACTGGTAGACTGAGAAAGTTCGAGAGCTTCATTTTGTTTTCCCGATTGTCACCGCATGGTATGCATCAGAGATGGTTTAAAGAATGCGCAATCCAAGGAAGGGCGGACATGGAGGGTAGCTCTGCCAGAGAGATGTGCTTGTAGTATTGTACGTACTTCACTTATTGACACTGGCCGCGCCCTGACGCCTCCTGATTCCCGAATGATGACAGCAGCTCGCGTGTCTGGCGTCTGGCGGCTGACCAAGCATTATTGGCACCTGAACCCCAAGGCATGAATTTAGATGAAAATGTCGAATGGCGTCACATGAAGAAAACATGATTATTAAGCTGTTTGTTGCTGTGATATTGTTGATATTGTGATATTGTGCCACCGCCCCGCTTAATGCTTAATGGCTTGATGCGTCTGTGGAGCACTTGCGCCTGCAACTCCAAACATCCTAAACGGAGCTGAACCCAGCTTCGAAACCTTTATGTCTGGGGAGCACCGCATGCCAACGTGATGGCCTGGCCACCCGCTGTCGTTATTGTCGTTAGGTACGTCCAATTACGCTTGTATCTGCTACTCCCGCCTACACCTCATCCTTGTTCTGTTTTTTTAGCAATGTCACTATCCTGTTTTTGATATATACGGCTGTTTCCCCTATATATTCCAAGTTGTCGATACACTCTCTCATACCTTCTTAGGCACGGCGCTCGTCTCGATGCCGCAGATGAGCAATGGCATCTTACGTCGCCAACGCCCTACGACCCCCCCCTCACTTATGGTGGTTGGACCCAGTCAAGAGCCCTAGGCCAACGCATAGCAAGCATCTTGCGAAGCCGAGAAACCGACGATGATATACCTGGCACAAACGAGGGAGGCGAGAGGCGTGAACAAGTTGGAGGTAGCGGGAGGAAACGTAGACACAAGGTCGTTATACATACTTCACCGTTCCAACGCTGTGTTCAAACTTCGATCGCCATCAGTGCAGGGCTTGCTCAGAGTCCTAGCCAGACCCGAAGCCGGTCACCATCAGTTCAATCGAACAGCAGCAAGACATCCCAGATACACGCCTCTCCTAAGACTCGGCCAAAAGTAGCAACGGACTCTCCTACCTTGGCTCCCATTCCAGAACCCGCCAGAGTCAGTGTCAGGCCCCACGAACAGCCCAGTAATATCAAGAAGGCTACCATACGTGTCGATGCATTTCTTGGGGAGTGGCTGACGCCTGATTACTTTGAGCTTATTACTCCACCGCCGAGCTCTGTTATGATGGTCGCAGGAGCAAAAGCAGATCTGCTACGACGAGAGGATCATCACAACCTAATCCATGTTAAGGATTTTATTGGTACCGCTCAGAATAAGCCATTCCCAGGTGGATGGGGCAGTCCTGTTGTTGCCGCCGAGCCTGACAAGGACGATGGACCTTTATCCAGTCTGTCTGCTCTGGGCCAGGCGCTGCATCGACGAGACAGAACTAGCAGCTTGAGTAGCGTGGGGACCAATGGAAGCCACTATACTGCCCGAAGTAATGCTCCATTGCCAGCTCCTACAGACCATGGTATCTACCAGCCTCCGATACCTAGCTATGCCATCTCGCTCTCCAACCCTATCCCTCCAGGCTACGTAGCACACGCTCGAGATGCTTGCGTCAATGTAGACTATCAATGGGACAGTATGCGCGAACCCCAGAACTGGGGAAATGGTGGTGAATATGGCGAGGAGTGGAGTTCGATGCATAAGAGATTCCGAAAAGGATTGCAGCAGCTGGTGAGCTGGTACAATACAAACGATGATCGAGGAACCGCTTTCACGAAACTGCCGCCCCCTTCCCATGCATTTGGGGGGGATGAAGAGGACAACTCGGACGATGAAGATACTGATCTCGTGGTCATTCTAGTGACTCATGGTGCAGGCTGCAATGCTCTGATCGGTGCTTTGACACACCAACCAGTGTTATTAGATGTTGGTATGGCATCTTTGACCATGGCGGTTCGCAAGCCAACTCCACCCAATTCGCCAACATCCACGCCCAGTGCAACTCCCAAGGCACACTCTCGTGCTTCGTCGAGAAACGTCGGCATTTCTGATCAATACGACGTCAAACTCGTGGCGAACACTGAGCACCTCCGCCCCAGCACCACGTCGACACCGACATCATCTCGAGCTACGTCTGTTGCGGGTCATCCTACCTTTCGGGAACGATTCGTTGCGAATAATGCACCATTCGATATGAATAAATCACGTCCCATCCTATCTGGTAATTTCGGGAGTATGCGTCGCACAGCGAGTATTGCAGGTTCTGCGTCTCGAAATTACCTACCGGCCAGACAGAGCTCAATTGGACTTTGGAGTGCGCCCCAACCCGAAGAAGAGGCCTCCGAAGAAGCTGAGGACGATATGATTTTGAATTTCGGCGATACTGATGAGAATGCGAACAAGGTTGAGGAGCCAGAGGAAGCGGTGCTTGACCCGGCGAAAGATGACGACGATGAAATAGCGCCATTAGGTCTTTGGGGCAAACCACCTGGATATGCAGATAAGCTCCGGGATGTTCCTCAAAAGCGCAGGTGGACAGTAAATGAGCGTGCTTAGTCTAGACGCGGGATAATATGGGCTGCGTGGTATTGCAATACTCGTTTACAAAGCTAATCATCCCCATGAAGAATGGGCGATTCATGATATCAGCATAAGGAAATGGATTTTATGCGTTGGACTTGGCATTCGCGGGACTGGAGCGTTGGAGTTTGGCGAATAGATAGCATGACGGACCGGTAAGACCGTAGCGATATCATAGCTCACGGTGAAAAGTTGTTTTCCACTCACTCGACCATTACAGTGTGTTGCCTAGCTAGCATATAGAGAATACGGGCGGGTATATCATGGGGCACATTATCCATCTCCAGCTCTTGTCCCGCTTGAGTTTCCTCGACGCTGTGAGAGGCTAACACGGTAGCGAAGTTTACAATGGATGATTATAGCTATCTACCTAGGTACTTATGCATCGTTTCTTGAATGGCACCAAGGACTCAAACTAATGTTAAGCAGGAAGAGCAACCGATGACCAAATGAGTACCAAAAGTTTGAATAGAAGCTTTAGGATCGAGTTGTCTTGGCGGTGAGAAGTGACAAGGTCACTTCCTAATATACCAAATCTGGGCCCTGCTTACCACTTCATTTGAGGATGTACAACGCCCCGGTGGTTCTAAACCTCGCACTTTTTCGATTATGCTTCTCGTCGAACTCGGCGCCGCAAGGAAATCGTGATGCTTACATTCCGTTGGTGCTGCATATCACTGGGCAAGACGAATTTGGTCTCCAGCCTAGACTATCCTCCGTAGGATTTGCAGTCTGCCTCGTTATTTTCTTTGGCCGATACCTTGCCTGCCAATTTATCGTGAAGGGTCGGATCCATACATCGTGGGAGGCAATTTATATATCATGCATGTGGCGGCCACACCTTTTCAGCAACCCAACTTCCTAAATCTACCCGGCACGGCTGACATCGTTCCGCATCCTATCTTGCTTCTCATCAGGTCGGCGCGATCTCTTTTAAAAGCCACCCATTGAGTTGCGTGTTTCATCTCGGTATACGATATGGTCGTCCTATTAGCACGCGCAAGTGCCTACAGCTGAGCTGAACATATCGTGATGAAATTATGACCACCAGTTAGCCTTCTAAGAAAAGCAGCCACCCCCGGAGAACAACCTTCGGCCTCAGATGGAGGGGAAGAAACCCGGTGAGCTTGAATCCTGATGAAGATCTTGGCAATGCAGGCATTCGGATCTGAAGGTCGTTTTAAAGCTGCCGTCTACCGAGTGTTACACCAGCCACTCCGCCAGGGCTTTTGCCGGAAGGTTCTTCGGGGCTTGACACTTAATCTGTCGTCGTGGATCCAATAGCCGTTGAAATGAGTGTCTCCAACGGTTTTCAGCCCCATGGCAGATCCTTTCGGGGACTAGCACATACAGCGAGCCGATGCACTGGGTTTGGGGTACTTGGAGCTGAAGAGTCTAGAACGATCGCAGCGGTCCGTATATTAAGAATACGATAGTCGTACATAACTGTTCGAAAGTTCGATTCAGCCTATTTATTCATCTTTGGTACTTCAGCGTGGTTTCTACAGGAATTTCTTAAGCCGAAGAATCAGCTTCGAAATAGCTAACAGTTTACTGCCCAAGGTGCTCGGATATTTTTCCTATGTAGCAGTGTATTCACGTTTCTCTGCCCTATATGTTGTGGACAGCCTACGATAAATTGTTTACAAGTATATGTATGATAAACATGGAAGATCCGCTGGACTGGTTTACTTCCTATACGAGGCTCGTCGGCTTCCTTCACTCAGCCCATCAACAAATGTCCAACCAATTCTCTATTTCTACTCCTAACTCTCTCTCATTTACTTGATCAAGCCGTCGTACTGCAGATACGGCTCCCGGCCTCGATTTAGTGGTGCCTAAGTATCATGGCTTTGCAGACGGAAAATGCCTCCTCTCGTGTTTTGCTGCATCGTAGGGTGGTCAAGTGATTCTTTGATGATTGAAATCGTATGGCGGAGAGGCCTGGTTCCGCGTGGCACATCCTAGTTATACACGGCCAATCTGCCCTTTCAGACTTTATTAATATATTAATAGCTGTGAGGCGCCTGCATGGGTGAAATTATACGCTGCCGGGCCCAATCGCTATAGTTCCTCACGTCCAAGTCGGATATTACTGTAGTCAAGGGTTTGAAGAACGCATTCAATAGAAAGTGATTGTATCAACACGAATGAGTGCATAATTTGGACCTAGGCTAGGGAGACATGGCTTTCGGCCAAGTCTTTCTGGGCTCTCAGCTGAATAGAAGGATTCTCGCGCTCAGCTAGTCGCTGTGCCTATTCAGCGTGTGAAATTCTAAGGGGGGGGAAGTATATAAGTCCACTATTTCACAGAGTGCTAAAACCTCTGTCAACATCCATCATTCTCACTTCTTCGCCTCCCAGACACCCAACTACTTTTAAACTTCGAGCTGCTGCTCTCAAATACCTTCAAGATGAAGACTGCCGCTCACAAACTTCTCTTCTTCCTCCCCTTGATCAAGTCACTTGAAGCCCAATTTGTCCCTGAGGCCGAAGCCCGTCTTCAAGCATGGCGCGCCTATGGTACCTTCGTTAGCCAGCAATTGACAGCTGGTGTGCCCATGGTACCCGGCAAGGATTTCATCTATGTCACCCCTCCCAACATGGCTGCCGTTCGAGGTGGAACCCCTTGCCCAGACTCGGTGACCAACTTCGATCTTTTTGCTCTCGCCGATGGCTTGCAAACCGTCAGCCAGCCTCTCCTTGACACATCAGGGGCAAGCTACATTGACAGTTTATACACGTAAGTACATCTGCATCTTTGGAACCTAGACATGTTGTTGACTATTTGTAGGTATCTGCAGTCCGTGGATCTGAAGACGGCCACTCCAACCGCTGCTCAGTTGGATAAGCTACAGTCACTGACCAACGATCTTTCTGCCGCACAAGATAAATTCGATACCGAGAGTAACAATGCATACACCAAATATCTGGCGGATGCTCGCGCCCAAGCTACACACCAAGCCTTTGGTAGTTGGATCACTCAGCGCGACCCACTGTACACGTCTTTGCAGAGACAAGTCAAAACCGCCAACACTGCTCTGCAAAACTTTGAGCAATCACTTTATGGCCCCCAATATCAGGCCCTGTCGACCCAGAAAGATAAGATCACCAACCAAGCTGGGGATGAACTATCTCCCGAACCGGGGTAAGAAGATAACCGTTTCTAGAAAATCACTCGCTCACTAATACCCGGGTTTTAGTTATAACATGCCTGTGTATGGCGCTGGAGGCACCTACAACGTTAGAATCAACCCTTTCCAGGAGAACCAGCTGACAGACGGGATCATCTATAAGCCTCAATATTCCCTTCAAGGTGGTTATGAGGAAAGCTGTGATGCTTGGATCAACTACACAGGCTCCGCCAATACCGTCTACAACTGGAACATGGTAAATGTCAACGGTCATGATTGGAGTTCCCTTGGACACTCTACATCAGTCACTAATAGTATGTCATCCGACTTCTGCTTGTTCTTGCGTTGATTTCTGTCTCCTTTTTGCTTATGTTTCGTTTTTGCGTCTGATGTAGAATGTATCATGCCTGCTGGTGTTCGACGACCCAAATTTTGCTTAAGAGGCGCTGCTAATCATACTGCACGAGTAGTTGGAGCAAAGTCCGTATTCCCCACCAAAAGAACCCCCAGCCCTCAGCCTGAATTCTACCGCTCATCCAAAGAGAATTTCCCACGACCTACATTCTATTGATAGTTGAGTTCAATTGCTAATTTCTAGGATAGTTACTTCTTCGGTCTCATTAGCGCCAACAAGGCTGGATCAACAGACACAACGGTGTTCAACTCGTGGACCGACAAATTCAGCACTGCGGTTAGTCTCAAGCTCACCATGAAAGGTATCGGAGTCTTCAACATCGGCGCCGGATACTGGGACGTCGGGAATGTCCGCAGCACATACCCCAGCATCCTTCCAGCGCCATACGGCAAAGATACCCTCAATCAGAAGATCAGACTGCAAAGGTTGCTCGTCGGCTCTGAAGTCGGACTTACCATCACCGTCAATGATTCTGGCATGTATAAGAGCATCTACCAATTCATTGAAGATGCTAAGAAGAGTGCTGGCGGTGGTTTCGGTATCTTCGGTTTCCACTTTGGTGGAGGTGGCAGCTCGGCCACCCACCGCAATATCACGGATGTGACGTTCAACCAGCAACAAGAAGGTGGACAGGTCATCATCGCACCTTCGCCGAAGGGTGTACCTGTCATGCTCGGGGCTCTGGGCAAAGCTTTGTAGGCAGAAGAGCCAAAGGTTCCCTCAGCTCGGCGCACTCTTAGGTACTCGATCGAACCGTTTTCTAACCTGCGGACTGGATTGCTTTGCGCGCTTGGTTTTCGGATGTAACGATTGTTGGCGGTACGAGTAAGGTTAAGTGGTTTGAAGATAGAATAGCTATGTTAGGGAACTTGAAGCGATGGATTTTCATCTCTCAAAAACCTATTATGGTATCTCCTCAACTTACTGACATGACTTGGTAAGCTTGGTTATTTTCGTTTATTGTTTGGTTTTGGTTTGCGCTAGGTGAAGGACGGTTAAAAAGGGGTCTTCACATGTCAGGGGTAATCTTCGGGATCGACAGGTACGTCGTCAACGCAAATTACGTCACACCCAAACCCGCGTTATCCATCTTCACAAGCATCTCGTACGCACCGAAACAGGATGGCATAGCATGGATTTGACAATATAAGAGATGGGTTCCCCTCGTTCATTTTCCTCTTTTCTCAATTAAGTTTCACATCCATATATTCAATTGACTTAAAGCGAGCCTTTACTAGTCATTTCTTCTCACAATGGAGAACCTATTCATCTACCCTTTCGCCTTCCTTTACCAATTGATTCAATGGTTCCTGAGCAAGGTTTTCTCTCCTGCACCGCCAGAACCAGGAGAAAGACTTGATAGACCTAAGATTGCGATTATTGGGGCGGGCTTAACCGGCGTTTCGGCAGCCTCGCACTGTGTTGGCCATGGATTTGATGTCCAAATCTTCGAGGCCGGACCCCGAGAGCAGCTTGGTGGAATTTGGAGTGTACGCAGTCCCTATACTTCAAATAAAAATAACAGCAAATGACTAATACTAGACAGAGAGTTAATAACACATCCGGACTGCAAATACACTCCATGATGTACCGCTTCCATCCCTCCGTCCAATGGTCAGGAGGTTATCCAAACAAACAACAAATCGTATCGCAGATAACCGAGCTATGGAAGCGATATGGCCTAGAAAAAAAGACCAAATTCAATACTCCTGTCGAGAAAGTGTATCAAGACGACAAAGGTCGCTGGATCATCAACAGCCCTTCTGAAGGACGCTTCGAGGGCATCATCGCCGCAGTAGGAACTTGTGGCGATCCCAAAATGCCGCATTTTCCTGGCGTGGAGAAGTTCAAGGGAGAAATATGCCATTCTTCTCAGTTAACGGGGAAGCATGCTAAGGGAAAATCAATTGCCATCATTGGTGGAGGAGCAAGTGCTGTGGAAGCATTGGAGTTTGCAGCTGAGGAGGAGGCTAGTAAGATTTATATTCTTGCGAGGTCTGACAAGTGGATCATCCCGCGGAACGCCCTTATTGATATGCTTCTCTCATTTAACATTCTCGGACAAGAGACGATGTTCTCCTGGATTCCTGAGCTTCTGTTGAAGAAGTTCTTCTACCGCGACCTTGAAGATCTTGCGCCTACAGATAAAGGCCTCTTCACTGGTACCCCAATGGTCAATTCTGATGTGATGGATAAGATTAGATCCGGAAAGGCTGATTGGCTGCGAGGGGACATCAAAGGCTTCACGGAAGAAGGGATACGGTTCAACACTAGAGCTAAAGGTGTTCCTACTGGTGGACCAGGACGAGAACGTCTCATTAAGGCCGATATGGTAGTTTTGGCTACGGGATTTGACCGCCCAACTCTTGACTTCCTCCCTGAAGACAATTTCGAGGATCCTTATAGTGCGCCAAACTGGTATCTGCAGACCTTCCCTCCAAAACATCCAAGCATATGCTGCAATAACTGGTAAGTCAAACTATTACCCAAATTCAGCCGATTCTAGTTTGTTAACATCTAGTAGCACATATGTCAACGCTATCGGCACCGTCGGCAACTGGCATATTGGAATTTACACCCGTATCCTCCTAATGTTCCTTTCCGACCCACTTGCTCGCCCCAGCCCCTTCTGGATGGAACGCTGGATCGACATGACGAAATTTCTAAAGAGATTTGCCCCAACTGGCGCCTTTGATTTCTTCACATATGTGGAGTTGGTCTGGTGGTTTACCTTCTGCGTCGCTTTTAACCCGTTTAGGTGGAAGTGGGCGTTGTTCGTGTTTTTTGGCATTGGTCATGGGCTGCCCAGGCGCGTGGTGGATGCTGAGGATAAGTTGAGGGAAAAAGCTGGGTATAAAAATGGGAATAATTATGATGTTGGACAGAGCATTTAAAAGGTGTAAGGTGCGGTTTTTTAAAAAAAGCTCCGGAATTCAAGGGGAGGTACGTTTTCTCTTGGTCTCTTTGTCTCTGAAGATGGTGATGGTTGGGTGACTGACTGAGTTCCAGAATGAGGAAATAGTGACAGAGGAAAATGTCAACTATCATGATGTTTTAATGTCTTTATGATGTGCCATGTGTCATTAAGGTGTGGGTTACCATGAATATAGGAAATGTGTAAAGGAAAATATATTATGATCTGGAATATATTGCCGAACTTCAGTCATTGGTGTATTTCTTCGACTGCAGCACTCTTACTAGCAGAGTGTCTCGACCTACACCTATTACAAGCAAAACCCCCATAGTGTTGAACAGAACGCATCTTCATTTCTATTACTATAAGTGATTCCACCCAGTGCGCTCACAACCTTTTTATTTGCCTGTTACAGAAGGGATGTAGTTTTCGTTTATGTGACGATCAGTCGGCGAGTTTTTTATTTTATCCACACAGCTGTGCAAAATGAGGGTTTTGTTGCATTTCGATCAGTTCTCGGTGAGTTTTATTTCTCATGCATAGCTGCGCGTGATATGTTACGTGTCAGTCGGTCGGTGGGTTTTGCTTCTCTTGTACTACCTAGCTACGTACAACCTCTATAACCTGCACTGCATGGGATTATCGTTGCGTTTTGATCTGTCGGTGGGGTTTCTTCTCCTGCACTATCTTACAAAATATAGATTCCATTCTATTTCATTGGATTTCGATCTTTTCGGCGAGTTTCTTTTCTCCCGTGCAGCCGTACAGAATCGGGATTTCATAGCATTTTGTTGCATTTCGATCTGTTTTCGGTAAGTTTCTATTTTCCCGTGTATAGAACACGGATTTGCATTTCGGCCGGCGAGTTTTTCTTCTCCCTACCATGTAGCTGCAATAAATATACAGATGCAGACTTCATTACGTTTCGATCTGTAGGTGGGTGATTTGCCCAATCAAGGTTCGTTGCAGAGACGCAAGTTTCGTTGCGTTTTGACGGCCAACGCGACGATGCCACACACTGAGACGGTGACGTCGCTGCCCTTCAATTATCCCGCTGGTAGATAATCATGGCATCTCTTTGTCTCGCCTGCATGGAGCTAAACATGAAGGCGGGAAACGTTCCCTTAAATACCAGGAGGAATGGGCAAAGGGGCAGTTGTTGTAAGAGCTATATTTCTGCTGGAGATAGGGGTAAATTGGTACAGCATTTCAGATTCATTTGATGTGGTTTGGGAGACTTCCGATAGGGATCTATGAAAGCGCTTTCGATATTGGTCACTTTGATGTAACTTTTTTGCTTGGGTGGGAACTTTCATGAGACCCTTGGAGACTGGGCAAGTTAAAAGAAAATTGGGGTTTGAGTAGAATGTAATGGAGGTAGGAAATAAACAAGGAAATGGAAGTCATGCTGTTGTAACTCCGCACGGCTTACCCCTTGGGAGGGTTAACACTGGCAATTTCACATGTACGGTATAGCCATTGGTCGAGTAAAACATGGCTCATACGGCACTTCAATGGGTGTAGTAGTAAAGGACGTAGGTAATCGCTGTGCGGGGTAACGAGAGCTTGTTCGTCCTACGGAAATTCTGCGGAAGTCTATCGATTTGATGCCGGCAATTTGACAGATCTATTTCCGTCCTTTATCCCTCCTGCTATCTAATAGCTTCAACCGTTTCTGGAATCCTTGGCCTACCTCGTCCGCGCCACCACCCCTTGGGCCATCCTCGGTGGGTCTCTTCCGACTTTTGTCAAGAACACTTCTCCCTTCACCACTCTTCCTCGTCGTCAACCTCTCAATCCTATCAATACCCTCACCCAGACCTCTCCACTCCTCCCCACCATACCCTGCATCCCTTCCACCCTTCTTCTTGGCGCGTTCCTTCTTACTCTCCTTAGGCAAACGTACATAATTCCTCTCCTCGTACTCTTTCCGCTCTGCCTCTTCCTTTTTCTGTCTCTCGCTCTTGCTCCTCCGTCCGCCGCCTGTGATGGTAGACCCAATGCTAGGCTCCGCTAGTGGGGCAGCAGATAATTCTGTGCTCACGAACTCATCCAATGTTGCAGATTTATTCGGTTTTCTATCGCCCTTCTCGCGGGGACCTGTCGTTGTGGGCATGGCTGTAGCTTGGATGCGAGGAGGTCTGTAGATGCCGTCATTTTCAGACCTATCCTTCAATTCCGAGTTCGCAGCTGCGGCGGGACGCATGAGTGAGGAGGGATTGGGCCGGTATTGCAGGTCGTCTATTTGATTTGCTTGGAGGAGCGGAGCTCCATTTGTAGACTCGGCATCGCTGTTGCTCTCATTGTCAGATTCTTCTTCAGAGCCAGAATCTTCATCGTCGCGATCTTGCTGAGCCGGCTTTCCATTCGATTTGGGCTTCGCAGCCTCATCTTCTGCCCGCTTCGCATCATCCGCGGCTCGCAGAACCTTGTCGATTTGGTATTTCAAACGCCCTTCTAGAGGTCGAACACCTTTCTCGAGATACACTTGTAATTCAACCAATTTCTTCACCACCGAGTTATCTAGATCCTCGGCATCATCATCTTCAGAAGAAGCGCCGTTTTTGTGATTGCGTAATTTGAGGAGTACGAGGAAGACGAGGTTCTGTAAATATGATAGGAAGAGTTCGTTCTTCACGTCGAGGAGGGAGATTCCATCTTGAGGTGGAATTGGGGAGGCTAATTTTCCAGTAGATTCTGAAGCAGATGATAAAGCATTTGTAAGGCTTTCCAGCAATACTGGAAAGGAAGTCTGTTTTGCCATCGTTTGGAGCAAGGCGTTATTGATGAGTGAGAAACAGAGAGCGGCGGGGTCTGGAAAATAAATTTTGAGTTTCGAGGGTCGGCGGAAGCACCTCGGGAAAACGTTTTGCCGAGCGGCTTACTTATCTGGGAGTGGAATAGGAGCCAGATATTCGGTTCAGCGTTCCCCCGTAAAGTAGCTCTCTGGAAACTTAATTCTAGCTACTCTCAGTCCGTCAAGAACTTTGTTCCAGGAACACGACCTAGCTTACACTGGAGCCTAATTTATATTACCATCCCGCTTGCTCCGATACATGAGTGCGTAAATCTGCTGCGCAAGTTCGAACCCGGCGGCCGTTATTTGAAGGGGGATCTAACTCTACAACGCGTAAGCTCTTCACTTCAGACTCCATCCCGGAAAATCAGGGTTCGAAGTTGTTTTCAGGTAACCATACTGACAAATTTTCAATAATAGATATATATACACCATGCGTTTACGGGACTTATCGCCATCTGCGGCGCTCCTGTCCTCTTTCCTCGTGGCACCTCATGTATCCTCAGCCTTCTACCTCCCAGGTGTCGCGCCCACCTCATATAGCATCGGCGACATAGTCCCCTTAAACGTCAATCGCCTTACACCTATAGAATCACAAGCAGACCGGACTCTGCGCTCCGTCGTATCCTTCGACTATTACCACAGTCCTTTCCACTTCTGCCGACCAGACCCCGAACCGAAAGATGTATCAGAGAGTCTGGGCAGTATATTATTCGGCGACAGAATCATGACATCGCCCTTCGAGCTCAAGATGGGCATCAACGAGACTTGCAAGTCGCCTTGCGCCGAAGTAACATTCGACCAGAGCTCTGCACATTTCGTAAACCGGAGAATAGCCCAGGGCTTTGCATTGAATTGGCTTGTTGATGGGCTACCAGCAGGGCAACTGACTAGGGACATGGTTACAGGAACAGAGTACTACAGCCAAGGATTTGCGCTAGGATCCAACCTGGATGAGGATATGCACTTGAACAATCATTATGATATCGTGATTGATTATCACCAGGTTTCGGAGGGGCAGTTTAGGGTGGTCGGCGTGTTAGTGGATCCCGATTCGAGAAGGACTCCCTTGGATGGGTCGGGATCTGCCGTTAACGATCAGAACCACTGCGGCCAGGGCGGACGACCTTTGACGCTTTCGGAGACAGAAGAGACCACCGTCACATGGACATATAGCGTGTATTGGAGAGAATCGCCAACGGCTTGGGCAACTCGGTGGGACAAATATCTTCACGTCTTCGACCCCAAAATCCACTGGTTTTCGCTCATTAACTCTACCGTTATCGTCATTTTCCTGACCGGCACGGTTATTTCGATTCTTATGCGAGCATTGCGGAAAGATATTCAACGGTATAATCGCTTGGACTCGATTAACCTTGATGATCTGTCTGGGACATCTGCGGCGGTCGAGGATGGTGTACAAGAAGATTCTGGCTGGAAGTTGGTGCATGGTGATGTTTTCCGCACGCCAGGGTCTCCTCTCCTCCTCAGTGTGTTTCTCGGGAATGGTGCGCAGCTCTTCGTCATGACCGGCTGTACTATTGTATTTGCTCTTCTCGGCTTCCTTTCTCCCTCAAACCGCGGATCTCTCGGTACTATTATGGTGTTGCTTTACACGGTTCTGGGCTTCATTGGTGGCTACGTCTCTGCACGTGTTTACAAAGCTTTCAGCGGTGAGCGGTGGAAGCTCAATATTGCCCTCACTCCTTTACTTGTGCCCGGTATTGTGTTCGGGACTTTCTTCGTCTTGAACCTCTTCCTTTGGGCTAACGAGTCTTCCGGGGCCGTTCCCTTCACCACAATGCTAGTCATTGTCTCCATCTGGTTCCTGATCTCAGTGCCTCTCTCATTCGCAGGGAGCTGGATCGGTTTCCGCCAACCAGCAATCCAACCTCCCGTTCGCACAAATCAAATTCCTCGCCAAGTACCACCCAGCACAAGCTATATGCGACCCATCCCATCTATGTTGTTGGTAGGTATCCTACCATTTGGTGCCATCTTCGTTGAGCTCTACTTCATCATGTCCTCCATCTGGTTCAGCAAAGTCTACTACATGTTTGGCTTCCTGTTCGTCTGCTACGGTCTGATGATCATGACCTGCGCGTCAGTTACTGTTCTCATGATTTATTTCTTGCTCTGCAGCGAGAACTATCATTGGCACTGGAGAGCATTCATGACTGCTGGAGCTTCTGCATTTTACGTCTTTGCTTTTGCTTTTATCACCTGGGTGACACACTTGGAGTTGGGTGGTTTGGCGGGTAGCGTGCTATACCTTGGATATAGCGCACTGATTGCTTTCTTATTTTTCATTCTTACAGGTATGTTCTGACCCCCTCCAAATATAAATTTCTTGTACAAGAATTGGTTGCTAACAAGGTCGGATAGGGTCCATTGGTTTCTTCGCCAGCTGGGCATTTGTGCAGAAGATCTACGGATCTATCAAGATCGATTAAAGGAATGATTTAGAGAACGAATGCAATTTTTAGTCAAAATGAAAAGCGGGCAATGCGATGTATCATAGGATAATGATTTCCGAATTTTCAGCATTTCCGTTGATGCGTAGGCGGACGGTGGGATGGCGTCTTGAGGGTCTGTAACAACAATTTAGAATATAAAAAAAATCATTCTTTATGTTTCAAGTCTGCTGCTTTTCCTTTTGAGTTTTTTGCGAGACTGTTAGCTTGATTCTATCTTCCAAGATATGTTTACCTAGCTCCAAGTTGGCAAGTGCCACTCTTTAAACAGCATTAAGATGTTAGGAGGGGAGCCGCCGCTTGTTGAACCTCGCATTCGGTGGGTTTGGGCTCTTTATCTTGCGAGCATCTTTGTTGTGTCATGTCGCCCTAGACGGATTTTGTTGCATGTCGAGCGCATCGGTTATATTTATAAGAGGCTAGAGAGGAACAGCCAACTTTGTTGCATGTCGAACGCGTCTCGCCTATACTGATATAGCGACTTTAAAAGGTACATCCTAGTTCGTTGGGTGTCCAGCGTTCGGCTATGTTTGTATAGCGAGGCTAGAGTGGAACAACCGACTTCGTTGCATGTCGACCGTTCTCGCTTATATTGGTAGAGCAACTTCAGGAGGGACCAACCGATTTCGTTGCATGTCGAGCGTTAAGGAGGCTCTGCTAGGAAGCATGGAGAAAATATTTTCGTTGCATCTCGAACGCGGCGGTGAATCTCTTCTCTTCTCACTGTTATACAGTGGCATGGACAAGGTGATTCTGTTGCATGTCGAGCGTTAATAAAGCTCTGCTAAGATGCATAGAGATCGCTTTCGTTGCGTGTCGAACGTAGCGGTGAATCTCTTCTCTTAGTGTTATACCGAGGTATGGGCAACGTGGTTCCGTTGCATGTCGAGCGTTAATGGGGCTCTTCTAGGAGGCATAGAGATCGCTTTCGTTGCGTGTCGAGCGCAGCGGTGAGTCTCCTCTCAATGCTATGCAGAGAGGTATAGACAAGGTGATTCTCTTGGATCAAAATCTGCAAATCCTATGCCTTTCTGTAAGGTATACTGTGTAGAAAAGGCAGAAGCATCACATTACAAATTTCGCGCTCCACTTTCTCTGATTTTAGCTGGGAGTGATTATTAGAGAGACCTGTAGATGGGATATTTTCTCAAATGTATTGAGTATCTCTGTCCTTTTACCTGTTGCAAATAATAGGACTAATATTCTTTAGTATGGTGTTTGTTGTACGTTTAGCAATTTGTAATCAGTTTAATTCTTGCCTAGTCTAACTCGAGTATAGATGAATGCTAGCAGTGCTTGGATTATGCTTTAGATGCTAGCTTGACTTGCAGTTGACTGGATTCCGTGTCTTGGGTATATCTTCATCATGGGTGTTGCTAGGGAATATGTGAAGTGGAACTCGGTCCCGTTAAGCTGGAAATGACATAATAATACTACTCATCGAAGAGTAAATTTGAATTTTACCTTAGTATTAGGAATCGGGCCTACGGGGAGAACAATGAAAAATGAATTTGGATGGGGTAGGGGAACGGTATAGAATGGCACAATACGTCAGCAACTCTCTGGTACAGTCACGTGTGGGTCTATCTCTCATCGTAAGGGGAGATCAACATATATATATCAAAATATGCAGAAACCTTCTAACAACTGGAGGCCCAACAAGATCCTTCATATTGCCTTACGCAAAACCCTGAAATAGTTGAAGCTTCTCCCAGAAGCTTTTAACAAAACACCATGACTGTAATGTAAACTAAAACCCGTTCATTCATTTCCAGTGATACATTCCATAACATACAATATAAGAGTTTATTATTCCACACATAAACCAGATGGCTAGGGAGGTTGTTGATGCAACATATATTGTACTAGATGCTCAAGAGCTGCCGTAGAGTCTCTTAATCATTCTCGTATTTGGGATATCATATTATCGAACAAGATGTGATACAGCGCGAGCTCTCAAAATGCTTGGGTTTGAAATATCAGTCCTCATCGTCATCATCAAAAGTCTCCAACTGGAATACCGAGGGCTTCTCCTCGCGTCTCTCCTCGCGCCGCTCTTCGCCCAAGCCTGCACTGATACTGGCCCTCCTCTCCATCTCTCGTCGCCGTTCCTCTTCAATTCTCGTTTTCTCTTCCTCTCTCAATCTGTCTTCCTCCTCCATAATCCGCTTGCGTTCTGCCTCTAGCTCTGCGCTCTTCTCCGGATCAAATGTCGCCGGATCAATCCCTTTATCCATCAAGATCTGTAGGCTGGCCAACGCACCTCTCCTAATAGTCTCTTCCGAGGGCCATGGTGTAAACGGGAGATCAGCAGCTGGATTTAGCCATTGTGAGAATTCGTTGGGCAACGCGGTACTTGACGTTGCATTGGTAGCCTGCGAGGTTTGCTGTGCCCCAGCCGCTGGAGTCCCATTCCCATTCCCATTATCAATATCCATAGCTGTACCAACGGTCATCTGAGTATCCATATCCACGCCATTGGTGACCCCAACGGGCGTCGTGGATCCATTTGTCTGAGTCTCCGATTTGCTTTCCTTTGGAGTGTTTGCATTCGTTGCATAGCCCGCATCGGCGCTGCCAGGCCGAGCCTCAGGTTCTCTGTATGTACTTGGAAGAGTGAACTTGCTAATGCGTCGCGCATACGACAGCAATTCGGAATAGGATATGGGGTTTGTGGTGTCGGGGAAGCTTGTGGATGCAACTGATACCAAGGCGCTGCGTGTTGTGGTGAGGAGCGTAAGAGTATCCCGGATTTGACCGTCAAGTTCTTGGGAATTGGCGCGTAGAGAGAGGATCTTGGCGTAGTTGGACTGGTGAGTTGATACTACGGGCAAGTCAGCTGGGCTTTTTGCAGGTAAGATAGTTCAGAGCTGCGGAATGAACGTACATTGTTCCAGCCCCTCGTTCAGCCCAGCATCGGCAGCTACGAGATCGTTGGCAAGTGTAGGTGATGGATTGTAAGTTGAAATAGAGTTGATCAAGGCCGCAAGCGCCTTCTCGACCCGCTCAAATCGGTGATCAATCATTTCATCCATGGTGGCCGTCTGTATGTGTTTTCCGGTAATAAGATAGCTACAGGAAAGGATAAAGTTGAGATTATTATTCGACCGCGGATACAGCAGGCAGGGAGGGTTGACGGAATGGGGTTAGCGCGGGTTTCCGCCAAATCGGGCGCTATGGATATCTTCCCCACACCCCCGTAGTACGAAGTACATACCCGATGGACAACGTACTGTACGATCTTTGACACTGGAAAGTTACAAAAGCCAAAAAGCCCATTGACTAAAAAAACATACAATTCTAGGCCACAGCCTCATTCCAGATAATGGCTTCCCGCGAGACCAATCGAAAAGAGAGCCCTACGAGGCTTTCACTCTCGTTGCGGCTGGAGCTATAAATCTCTTGGGAGACGCCAATTGGCCATTGCTCGTATACGATTATCATTCATGGCACCAGTGGCTGGAGACACATTTCCAATAACGCCAAGTCAGCACTAATAGCTGCTGTCAGCGCTCATAAAACGTGCGTTGTATCCGTCGTACTTCAAGCCACCATTTAGTAGAAATACACATGGTCCATGTTAACTTCCCCTTGTAGAGAGTCCTACCGTGCCTTCAACGTGCCTTCAAGCCGTAGTAGCGGCGGCCGCATTTAGGTATTTCAGCTTAGCCCAAATACTGGCGGAGCTGAATCTATTAAAGAGCTAGTCTTTCTATATATTTATTGTCGTTCATGTTATATCCCCATCTCTCCTACCCTGTATCTGAATTCATATACTCACTCGGCGTGTGTCAACTTTCATTCTCTGTTCTCCGTTGACCTTCAGGATTGTACATACGATGGGTGCAACACCTACAAAGATAACCAAGCAGTGGGCTGATGGGCCTTTCCAGCTTATCGAGACTCCGAGGAAGAGGCTGGGCGTAAGTCGCAACCTGTACGCACCAAGACGGCGCCTGACATCAACCAGATCACAGACCCCAAAAAAGCTTCTGGGGCTGTCAATGCGGCTACAGAAATGGCCCTAGTCCACAACTTTATAATTCGTCCCTTGAATTGCATATATCTCCAAGCTCCCAACGTCAAGCTCGAGCAAGACATCGCAGACTTCGTTGCATTCATGCATGCGTGGGCGGTAACGATCCATGAGCATCATGAGACCGAGGAGAAATTATTCTTCCCGTGGCTGGAAGAAGATATCGGCATCGAGAACTACATGGAGAAGAGCGTCGAACAACACCATGCCTTTGCGCCTGGTATGAAGCAGTTGGACGAGTACGTCGCTGCGTTGAAAGCAGGCACGGAGGATTATGATGGCGCCAAAGTTCGCGCTATCATTGATAGCTTCGGGCCAATCTTGACACAGCATTTGAGTGAAGAGATTCAGGCCTTCGAGGAACTCGAAAAGTTTGGAGACAAGATTGATTGGAAGAAGTGGAGTAAGAAAGTTTCGGATTACGCTGTTGCACATGTTGATAAGGTAACTTTTTGAACTTGTGGGTGTGGCCCTGCTTGAATTTATTGCTGACTTTAATTCAAGGAATACGGTATTCCCCTTGTTGTTACAAACATGGACTTAACATTCGAAGGCGCTATACATAGCACTGTTTGGCCACCGTGGCCCTGGATTGCAGGATTGGTATTCCGTTGGCTATATATACCAAAGCAGAAAGGCGCTTGGAGATTCTCTTGCTGCGATGCACATAGCATACCAAAGGAGCTGGAGTTTGTGGAAGGGTAGATGAGTGCTTCCTACAATGGCTTTTTAAGCACCTTTGGGGGTTAGAGTGGAGTTGGTGCCTTCTGTTAAATACCTGATGCCGGTTGGAGTTTAGAACATTGTAAGAGCTTACTTACTTTTTAGGAATACATACAATTTTGTAAGGAAAGGGAAATGGAGCACATCGCTCAAATGCAAGACGCATAATTGATGTGCTGCTGTAACGCCTCCTCGCTGCCGAAGGATCGATTGCAGGGAACATAACGAGCTCATGGTGTCAAAGTCTTCATATCACTATTAATTCGATTTGCAGAAGAATGATACTTGGAAGTGGTGAGTCGACAGTCTAATTATTTGTGTGACGAGATAAACGGAATGTTGGCATGGTAGCTGTGTTGTGTAACTGCAACTCAACACTGTCGTCCAATAACCTAGTGACACACAGGCTCCCAAGAATCCTTTACGCAAGGTCTCCAGAGATATCGTCCGATCCTCTGAATAAAATGTCTGCAATCCACAGCTTTATCAAGAGACGTTGACTGAATCTCACAGCGAACGAAGTATCAATACCCTCACAATCACCGAAGACATGACCAACTTCCTCGACCTCCCCAGCGAGCTTCGCAACCGGGTATATGAGCTGTGCTTATTGCACCAAGAACCTATTAGCCCTTCGTCTGATTACATTCCATGGCAGGGGCTCTCACTTGGGCTCCTCCGCGCGAACAATACCGTCCATCGCGAAGCCAGCTGGCTGTTCTACGCCCAAAATCGCTTTGATTTTACCATGGCCACCCCTGAGGACGTAGCCTCGTTCCTCGAGACAATCGGACGTAATAACGCAGACTGTATCCGACATGTCTATATCAACTTTCCGAACCTCCGCGATCTAGAACCAGGTAACGTCACCCTCGTGGAGGGCAGCATCGGCATTCTCGCGAACATCCAGAGCGGCTGCGCCAATTTGAGCACGCTCACGACGTGCTTATATAGCACAAATGCCATGTTGCTTAAGCTCGACGCACTAGACTACCCGAAGATTATTACTGAGGCGTTAAAGCTAGTCAACACTCGCTTCAGAGCCATTTTGTCCCTACAAGAGATTATTGTCGAGGTGGATGAGGACGGCCCGAGCGACTATATAAAAAGGAAAATGGAGAATCACGGATGGACAGTCAGTGAAATAGAGTATATCGAAGAGTGGGGCAGCGGCAGGTCTTTCAGTGGCATGGAAGATAATTGGGATTATGATTATGGCTCCGATGATGATGATGATGATTATGACATTGACTATGATAGTGACTTTTGGAGAAGAGCGGGGGACTGAATGCTTTTTCTGGATGCGCGCGAAGGCTACTCGCTGATGACAGGCAGGGCAGTGGTTCATGCCTTCCATTGCGCCGAGATAATCAAATACCTGACTGAAACTCGGGGCAAAGCTCGTCGTACTAGACGTCCATTTGCAGCTTGAGCTAGGAATGGAAATTACGGAGCGAGTCTTTACTCTAGGTACCGTCTTCCTTCTGTATCTAGACCCGTAGTAGACATTAAACAGCAATGGCATCACACGCGCTCGTCGACTCAGTTTTTAGTAACTTAAAATCATTTGAGTGTTAGCAGTGACGGAAGAAACAGACGTGCTTGGGGATCAAAGAATTTGAGGTCCGCAGGCTGCTACTACCCAAACCTGACCTTAATCCAGAATCCGAACCCTAGCTATCCTTAAACACTATTGATGACTTTAGATCCATCTACTAGATGTTCCATGATGTCTCTTGGTAGCAGCTTCGTCCCATCTAGACAAAGTGCTAACGCAGCCGCATCTTCATTCTCAACTCGAATATGAATGACAGAACATGCACACCAACAAAAGTCAAGTGGCGTGCTCATTAGAAAATGAATAATATTATTTATCCGAAGTCGAGCCAACTGATGAGGCTAATCGAGACGATCTTCTATAGCATGTGGCAGACAACGGCAATTTGAATAGAACTTTCGTTGACTTTATTGTAGATTTCCTCACCCCGTTCTTTGCGAATATCATGACGTATATGACTGCGAATGGCTACGACCTCAGGGACAATATTGAGCTGCAATGCACGGTCTTGCCGATGTGGAAAGAATAGTCGCAAGAAAAGATGTTGATAGCAATTCATAAAGCCGGCGAGAAATCCAACTTTAGATTTGGGGAGGCCGTCCGCCTCGTCTCCGAGTTCGAAGCAGCCGCATCTTACTTTCTGAAGGAGAATCTAAATTGGAATTACAGGTGAGTTGCATTCTACATAATAGTTTGAGCTGACATTGGGCATTTCGCAAGGTGAAAATAACCTTTTTTGTGATGCAGGAGGTGGGATAGTGGTGAGTTAGCCGCTGAGAGTTCAGGAGGCTATTGGGAGGTGTCCGAAGGCTTTCCCTGACGTTATGTTTGGATAGAGCGTCACCATGTGGTGGCAGGTATTTTCAACTTAGAGAGAAGATCTGATTCGAATCTACTATATTCTTTTCGTTCCAGAAGTATTGCGTGCCTTTTCAGACGGAGGATGTACGAAGTACGAAGTAATTGATAATTGCACGTCCCTTTTGTTGGCAGAGTTGAGATATGCACAGCCCCTTCTACGGTGGCCGAAGTGGCGCCTCCGGTGTCAGCGATGCCCCGCGACGCCATCCCGCGGTGTTCAGTCGTCTGGCCTCGATGATTATTCAGAGCACACCAGTCTCCATCTCATCCTGCTAAAATACAACCCACAATCTCGAAACGCACAACTAACGCTTGGCCTAGACCCTCAGATCGTCGGCCTCTGGGACTCGGGAATTCTTCTATTCTTTCCGGAACGGCGCATTAGACACTCTATACTCGGTCATTGAGCGGGCGCTAAATAGCCTTGGAGGAACACAGCCTCGACGACCTGCCTAGAAACCTCAAGCCGTACCTGCATGGTTCAACATTAGTATTGTCGCAAAACACACTGCGATTCGGGCCGAGTTTGCGCTTAAGGACTGGTATAAGGTGAGCAAAGAGAAGAGCCTCTTTCATAGCCTTCCATCGCTCTTGAGTATCAACAGTAGCTAACTGCGCCCGCTCTTCTAGTTTCGCCTTCTATTGCCAACGTTCCTACGTCAACGAACTGTGTTGCCTACGTTGAGAGACTCTGATCGTGTCGATACCCCATAGTCGAATTTTTTTAGGGAATTTAGAATCACGGAACTAGAAAATGGGAAAATCGTAAGTAGTAGCGGTTCCATCACTTCTTGTTACAAGGCTGGCTGGACCTGTTGTATCTACTCGGCTTGGAAGTTACCAAATTGGAATGACTGGCGCAACAAGGACAGCCGCAATATGAATGGTCGTCCGATACACTCCCGACGTTGCGTGTTTGATGGTCGACAACTGGATCAAGAAATCGCTTTTGGCCGCCATAGCAAGCAAAGCCCCTGATGCAAAGCCCCGCACGATTCCGTCGCAACAAGACCTTAAGCCAATAACTCCGCTCTTCACGCTCATCCATATGAAGCCGATTCCAGCGACTCGTATTATGGGCGCTAGCATAGCAGTTTAGACATTCCGTCGTACGACTAGTGCAGATGCTGGTCCGTGGGTCTTGATAAGTTTGAGCTGTGATGTTTTGGCCAGCGCTGCCAATAGCTGAATTCTCGACGGACGATAGATTCGGCTCTAGGTGACCCTAATATGGCGACTTACTGCCAGTACCCGGCTATGCCTTGTTCCCCGAGCTTTAACCATACTGCAACACTTTTTAATGGAATTCTGGTTGTTGGTGTATTCTAAGGAGAGCATTAGCTAACTAGTTGTTTTAGCCAGTCGAAACTCTCTCAGGAGCAGCTTAGTGAACTTCAGCGGTCTACTCATTTTGACAAGAAAGAATTGCAGCAATGGTATAAGGGCACGTGCTCGTCGTCCACCCTCGCATTTGCTCTATTAACCAGTTTTGTAGGGTTCTTAAAAGATTGTCCCTCGGGCATGCTCACCAAGGAGGAGTTCCAGAAAATATATAGACAGTTCTTCCCCTTCGGGGATCCTTCTTCGTTTGCGGACTATGTCTTCAATGTCTTCGATAGCGATAAATCTGGGTCGATCGATTTTAAAGAATTCATATGTGCTTTAAGCGTCACTAGTCGAGGGAAGATGGAAGACAAACTTGATTGGGCGTTCCAGCTCTACGATATTGATGGCGATGGCAAGATCAGCTACGATGAGATGTTGGCAATTGTCGAAGCAATCTACAAGATGGTACGCTTTGTCTCTTTACCCTTTTGATATTCCGGTTCCTCCAACAAGCCAGGCCCCGCTTGACCAAGTCGCTACATAGCGTTTTTGCTAATCGCTAACAGGTCGGGTCGATGGTCAAGCTCCCTGCGGACGAGGATACCCCTGAGAAGCGCGTACGCAAGATATTTAGAATGATGGACAAGGACGAGAATGGCAGTCTTGACATGGAGGAGTTTAAGGAAGGCAGCAAGCGTGACGAGACTATTGTATCCGCCCTGTCTTTATATGACGGCCTTGTTTGATTTGCATTCGGGCGTTTGCGAATTGCATGGAATGAATTGACTGAAGGATTAACTAGATGGGAAAGCATTCCCCTCCCACCGTCATTTGTATGTTTGCTCACGATTATTCCCTATCTACGATTAAATGACAGGGTTGCTTGCTTAACAATGATTTGCCTGGAGGACTGTTGGGCGGAGCAATTGCATCATGGGAATTTTCTTTCATCGAGTCTATTTGACCGTCTATTTCCAATAATAAGTGAACTGTTTCGTTCCCATAACCTCATCCCCAAACGCCCCAGCCTTCCCATCCCCACCAGCACCGGCACAAACCACCAACGGTAAAAAGTGCTCCTCACCACCCTGGGGATGTGCCTCCTTCGCACCAACCCAGTCCCTCCACCCATTCAGCATTTCGCCCCTCTCCTGACTACTCTCTAAACCCACCGTCTGTGTAAGCTTATCACTCCACTCCTTATTCCTCTTCTGGACACTCTTGTCATTCGCAGCCCCGGAAAACATAAGCCGGAGATTATGGAGAGTCGGCATCCCAGAACCAACTATAGCGACGCCGGTGTCGCGGAGGGGTGCGAGGGCGCGGCCCATTGCGTAGTGTTGGGCGGGGGAGGCGGAAGATAGCACGGAGAGTTGGATGATGGGGATGTTGGCCGCGGGGTTTATCAGGAGCATGGGGACGAAGACTCCGTGGTCCCAGCCTATCCGCCATCTTCTTGTCAACAAAATATTGGTACAGATAAATTATACAAGAGCTTACCTCTCTGATCATCCGTCTGAGGATTCATCCCCGCCTTCTGAAGCACGTCATAGACTTCAGCCGCAACCTCAGGACTTCCCGGGGCGTCATATTTCAACTTATACGTCTCAGGCGGGAACCCATGATAATCATAATACAGGCTATGCTTCTTTCCGTTACTGATAGTAGGATTCCGCTCATCCCAATGCGCCGTGACGAGGACAATTGCTCGCGGGGCAGAGGCGGTTCCCAGGCCTAGAATTTCTGGCACTCGAGTCCTCATTGATTTTATCAGTCCCGCGTGCCCGGGATCATTCAGGATGGGCATCGGTCCACCGCCGTGGCAGACTGCGACTACGGGCGCGCGGCTGGCCATCGTGCTGTAGGTTTGGTTTAGAGAGAAGAAAGGAAGGTTTTGCTGCAAGAATCGCGTTCCTGAGAGGAGTGCTGCTGTGGTGTGGTTGAGAAACTGCATGGGAGATCCACGCGTAGGTATGCTGTGCTTGAGTACGTAAGGTAGGTCGGTACCTTATATATATATGAAACTCGTCGTATGGGAAAGAGAGAGAAGTTCACCTACTACTAGATCCTATTTACTTACTGGTAGTTGTAGTTATAACATATGATTCGGAATCGGCACGGACAAGTTGTTGGCGGAGTCGGCAGTTTTCCGGGTCCGAACTTTTATATGTCAGCATTGGTGAGAGATTCACAATCAGCGAGCTAGCCCCACTAGTCCTCTATACCTACCTAGGTATTCATAGCGCAATTCTCTTAGTAATATTCTCGGAAAACAGTCTTTAACAATTTGTTGTTGGCTATTATCGTCCTCTTGATACTCCGTACACGTAGCTAGGGGTAACTTTTTGCGTTGGTTACATTGTGCTGGTGTACGTAGTAATGACGGGACTACACCCGTTCTTTGCCATGGCGGGGCTCGCTCGGGAGCGTATTTATGGTCGTCAGTGGCTTTGGCAGCCTCGGCCCCACTCCAAAATACATTTATTAGGTGGTATAAGAGAGCAATTGTTTTGAAGGCGAACGCCAAATAGTATAGTACGCTATTCCAAAAGCCTATAAACTCCCTTAAGCAGCCCCAGCGTGCAAAATATAGCCTCCATCAACTGCCACAGTCTGTCCGTTCAAATACTGGTTCGTTGCCGTGAACAGCACGGCCGCAGCCATATCTCTATCCTTCCCAGGTCTTCTCGCAGGCACCTTTTGATATTTCTCCTTGGGGATATAGCTCTTCTGATCGGGTCCACTCTCACCAGTCGTCATCTCACTTGGGAACACACCCGGTGCAATACTGTTGACCCGAATTTTCAACCCGTTGTCCGCAATTTGCGCGGCTAGGAGCTTGTTAAGTTGGACTGCGGCGGCTTTGCTCGCATTGTATGCGAAGTGGTGCTGCGACGCCTGGACGATGCCTGAGATGGAGGAGATGTTGATAACGGCGCTTGAATATCCGTGTTGATGTTCGGTAGCTTTTTGCAAAAGGGGGAGGAATGCCATTGTCATGAAAAATTGCTGTGGGACGTTTGACCGATATGTATCGACCCAGTCCTCAAAAGTGGAGTCCTCCGCATCGAAGAGATTCTTCTTCATTTGCTCTGCCGACTTGACTTCGGTCTCTAGGGAATTGCTTGAGATGCCAGCGTTGTTGATGAGGATATCGAGGTGCTGCTCGCGAGACTCGATCTCCTTGAATAACTTGGCGATTTCGCTCTTGGAAGTAACATCTGCGGTTATAGGGATGATCTCGCCCGCGATATTCAGCCCGTGTGTTGCGGTAACGGTGTCGAGTTTCTTCTCTGTTCGTCCCACAATGTAGACCCTCGCCCCATTCACAGCAAGAGCCTGGGTGGCCATCAAACCAATTCCACTTCCACCACCGGTGACAAGAGCAACCTGAACTGGTTAATAGAATCCTAAACCAGGAAATATTTATACGGTTTATACCTTGCCCTTGACACTAAAGATATCTTCGGCAAGGAAGTTGTAGTTTGATTGCGACATCTTGCTCGTTGATATTGAGGTTGACGAGAGTCGTCTTTGGGGTAATTGTAGACCGTGAAGGGGATTCGAAAATGAAGACGACGATATAGAAAATATCAGGGATATAGAACGATGCAGGCTACGAGATTTGTAGGATATATCCAAGTGGAGAATGTGACGTCACAACTATATGAGAAGCCACCAATTTTCTGCAGGATATACTCGAGTAGGTGATTGAAAGGAAGGGAAGATTATAAAGATATATAATCGAGCAAAAGAAGTAATAACAAGACACCTCGTCTAGCTTTCTGCTACGATTTGAAGGCTACGGGAACGATCATAATTACGAATGCGAGATAGGGCTGATCGAGCTTTCGAAACTTTGTACTTGAACCCAGCGACGTCATGACTCGAGGCAACAGCTGGTGTAGAGATATCAGCAACGGAGAATTAGCCTCCATCGTGACCCCACTAACAATGCAAACGGGGACGGGGTAACCGACGGGCACCGCCACGGTTAGTGTAAGGGGTGTGGCACATTTGACTTACTAAGCAGCCGGCAAGCCAGGTTCAGGGGAGTTGAATCTCAGCCTCGCATCTGAAATCCGATGGCTGAAGCTCTCTCTTTCATGCCTCGAGCGACCAGGCTGAAAGCAACGACACCACTTCTTAGGTGACTCCCTAACTGTGGACATCAAGACAGTGCGATCATCTGCAACACCAATTGGCCGTAGCCATATCTTGTTGACATCCACGGAGCGAGATTTGAGACAAAATTGATATTGAGAGCCTCGCCCTTCCTAGTGCGCGGCTGTTGTCGCAATGGCCATCCTCGATGGATTCCTCACGTCCATCTCGGGTTTCCTCCGAACAAGGGATGATTTGCAATTGCGGCTCTTCCTCCGAGTCGAACCGCCATTGCCGGAACAATTTGTGCAGCTTAGCCAGGAGTTGAAGGCCTCATATCGCGACGGCAAGGTCCTCGAGCGTCACTTAACCAAACTCATTCCGGAAAATGAGGACGAGTACGGTGAGGAAGGTGACGTCTGGCCTGGATTTCTGGCATTCATGCAAGAGTACCTGGAATTCTGGCGAGATGTCAATTTCGAGGATCTTCTGGAGACACATTCTCAATTGAGCTCTTTGGTCAAGTAGGTGCCTTTTCTTGGAGGCAATTGTGATGTGGACTAACAATATCGCAGCTCTTGCATTACGGCTCTATCCCACGCCACACATGGCATTGTTATGCTTCCCACCGCCATTCAGTTATCGTCTAACCTAGCAAAATTAGCTATGATGCTAGATAAGCGACCAGATTTGACGCGACGACTGCGACAGATGGCTGATGTTGACCAGGGCGAGGGGAGGAAAACACTGGTCGAGGGAACTGCGGAGTCGATTCAAAGAGCTTTTACAATGTGTTTGACCGAAAGAAGTTCGAATCGGAGTGGTGTAGGGCAAGACGGAAAACCAGAAGGGAAGAAAATTGGGATATACTCATTTGCGAACATGGTGCTCAAACTTCTGTTCCAGGTACGGCTCCGGAAGTCAAATATATCCCAATGCTTTCTAACAAGAAAAGTAGTGCCACAAAATAGGATTGGCAAACCAGCTTTACACAAACATATCCTTACATTCGCCCCCGCTGCAACTTTACCCAGCAAGTCAGCGGGTCACATACCTCTATTACCTCGGCCGCTTCCTCTTCGCCAATAACCACTTCTACCGAGCACAGTTATGCCTCCAATCCGCATACGACCAATGCCATGCCCAATGTGTCAACCAAAGACGCAACATCCTCATCTATCTCATATCCGCCAACATGATCCTTGGTCGATTCCCCTCACGTGCGTTTATGTCACGGCCTGAATCAAAGGGCCTGTTAGAGAAATTCGCTCCAATTTCCAAGGCTATCCGAAGGGGCGACATGGTCGCTTTCAAGCATGCAGTAGGTCGCGAATCTGGGAATGATAAATGGTTCTTTCAGAAAGGTGTCCTTCTCCCACTTGTCTCGCATTGCGAAGTCCTAGTCTGGCGTTCCTTGGCTCGACGAGTATTCCTGCTCACCTACCAATTCCCTACGGATCCAAACTCCCGCAAAGCTGCCACCCTCGACATCATGGACCTGCTTACGGCAGCGCAATATTGCCAGAAGGTCTTAGAGGGGTGGCAGAGGCCAGTGGATGCGGCGGTCGCTATGCAATCCGGTCGAACGCACATAAATTCGATATTTATGAAATTTCCTGATCTTGTGCCGCCCCCGACAGGGCCAAAAAGACTTGGAGCGCAAGAGGGAATCATTTTCGGTAACAAGATGCCGAATATACTGGAAATTGAGGCTGTGATTGCTAGTCTTGTGCAGCAGAATCTATTACATGGCTTTATTAGTTATAATCAAGGAAAGTTTGCAATCTTAGGTGCAAAGCAACGAGGAGGGCCGTTGAATGCAGGGTTTCCTGGGGTCTGGGAGGCTGTAAAGACGAGAGCTGAAAGAGAAGGGAAGGCCGAGGAAATCCCAGGATGGGTTCAGGAAGAAAGAACCGCCCCTATGGGAGGGGTCATTAACCTGACTGGAATCGCCAGGCCTGTGGGAGGAGGTTAAGGACATGCCTCTTTAGTGGGAACTGAACAATCTACGATTCTACGAACTTCTCTGAAACTGCTACTCAACACGTGGATAAGGAATCCCTAAGACGTCACACAACTACCCGGGTTCCTCAGCTAGTAGCGAATTAATTCACTATAAGAAACCCCCATATCCAGCACGGTCGAGCGACATCTAGGTCTTAATCATATAAACTTACTTGTCTCTCCGTTGAGCAGTTGAACATAGACAACAGAGAGGGCCGCCGCGAAGGCGGCTAACCGGTGCGGAACCACCTCTCCTCAGCATTACCATCGTTGCACGAGACAAGGCTGCTATGTAAACCAAATACTGTGGTGTGCTTGTTAAGGCATTGAAATTTTGTAATATGATTTGCAAAGGATAGATGACCTCCTTCAAGTATGGACAAGTTTGTCAACTTGAAATTCACTGTCAAGTGCAGGACCACTGTCAATTAAGTTCACATAAAGATATTAAAGGGATTATCTTGAATTCCAGATCCTCCTGAGAAGAGAATGCTGAACGAAGACGCCGTCGTTATCGATCCGGCAGAAGCGGAAGGTCCTCCCATCTGATGTCGCACCATACACTATACAATTCTATTTCGACTCAGCCTTTTGTATAATGAGTTGGCCATATCTTCCAGTCTCTAGATGTTGGTACTCTGCCGAGAAATACCAAAGGTAGTCTGTCTGCGATACTAGGAAACGCTAATGTCAAATGGGGAAATTAGTAGATCTGTCTGCATTTATGAGCCTAATTCTGTGGTCTGTACACTGCTGCTTCCAATGATGGCTGACTTTGGAACATGCCTCCCAACCAGAAATACACTCTCAGTCTCCCCTTTGCTCATCCTTTTCTCCGTCAGTACACCAACACCGAGCAACGTCTGATATGTCTTTTCCGCGCTGATCACTACCACATCTTCCTCCTCCAGCACCTTGCGCGAAATCTCGTATATCTTCCATGTTCCTTTGTCTTCCACGCCCAAATCCATTTTCATGATTGCTTCCTCTGCCTTCTGTTTATCGCTCCAAGTGGACACAAACGTAGTGTTCTGATCTCTTCCATATGGCGACTTGGCATTGGTGAGATAGGCTCTTTCGACAGCAAAATGCCAGAATAGCGCTTCTCCCATCTCATGATTGTTTTGTGGTATCTTTGACGTCATATCAGTGGCTGAGAAGCCCAGTTCGAGTGGTGTTTGGCCAGGTGTCAGACTGTCGAAATTGGCTCGATAGAGGATTTCTGGGATCTGATTTTCGATCTCATCTTTGCAGATGGGTTCTTTGCTGTTTGAAGAAGATGGTTGCTCATCGCTATCAGTTTCGGGTGATTGCTCTTGCTCTTGCTTCTGTCTTCTCACCAGCCTGGTTGGTTTTGAGGTCCAATACTTCGACCACATGGTGATTTTGTTGGTGCAATGTCAGTTGGATCTTGTGTGGAAAGCTGAGTTGGGATATGTTTTGGATATAGCAATATCGATCTATAAGAATATATCCGGTGAATCCTCTCCTAGGGTGCCACCGCCGAACTGTTTGAATAGTTGAGCATTTGAGCTTGGAAGTTTCCGGTTGTTCATGGCTATAAACAAGCGACTCCCGCACTGCAAGCAGCGGTAATAATGTCTTAGCTTATAGGGGATAATGAGCTATGCGGTCTATCTAAAAGGAAAGAGACGGAGTAATAGAGGATGCATAAAGTAAGAAGCTCTGTGGATGAAAAGATAGCAGGGGAACTGTAAACTCTCCTTCAACTACATTATCTTTCTTCTTTATGTTGGGGCAGTACCTACCTTAGGCACCTCAAAGCTAGTGCATATTTGATTCCAGCTCTACATACTGAGAATGAAATATTTGAACAGGAGGTTTCATAGACTGCGTCGGATTTGCCAAGCGATGGTATTGTTAATCCAACATGATTGATTTCGAGCAGCCCCTACCACCTTCCAGAGTCAAGAAACAGTGGGATAATGTTCTTTGAAGACTGTTAAAGTTATATATTGCTAGTTAAAAATAATTGGGCGGCCAAAAGGACCTTGCTTTTGTACAATTATTCTCTTATTGATAATTTAATAGATCAGTTAATTTAAGTACAAGAATATGCCTTGCCTTAGTTTATATAACCCAACAGTGGCAGCCTTCCACAGCCTAGATTTGTGTTGCAAGGGGTTAGTCAACCTTGCCGTAGCACCTGCAGCATATATTTAGGTTTGTGTAAGAGTGACATATGACATAGAGTTATTCCCTTACAGAATTTACACTTGCGCCACCGTTAGATAAAGCCGACAATAAATGTGTTTGTGATGAGTTAGACACGTGAACTCTAAAGCGTCCGGGTATCCCTTCATTAATTTTGCTCGCGCGCTGCCATTCTGCTAAATTGAATACAGTCCAATATCAATACCCTTATGCATTCCTTACGAGATCGGAATGGCCACATTATCTCCATAATTGCATTAATGCATCTATCTTATCAAAGAAACGCGTTAGTCCCATAACTACCTCGAACATTCATCCTATCCAAAAGAATTAGTTCCTTGTTCTTCTATTTTCAACCCACTAGATCATCGTCTCAAGCAAAAAGGTTAGGTGATCTGAGGATACACTCAATTTATACTAAATATATTCGAACTCACGTTGGCCGGGCCCCGCTCTTCTGTTGCTCAGTCAAATTCTTCTGAATAGCCTTGCTCCTGCCATGCGGTGTATTGGCTAACCATCCTGACCCGCTCGACTTTTTTACAGGCTTCTTCGTCAAATTTTGCTCGTCAGAGTCAAGTGGATGGGGGCGAGGATGGTCGTGGCTCTGTGCACCGTGGCCGACTTCCGGGTTGACTTTGCTGCCGAAGCACATAATGCGGATTAGGGGAAGTTTTAAGGAGCTGATTTGGGTGAAGTATTTTGACCCAAAGGAAAAGAGGATGAAGGTGAGATGAAGATAGAGTAGGCTAGTGGGATAAGAAACAACGGAATTACGGCTGTTAATTAATATAATTAGTTAGGAAAGTCGGGCGCTTTATATACTACCTAGGTAGGTATATACGAGTTGTACGTCCACACTATTCTGCGTGTATTGCAAGGGGGCTTCACAGCCCCAAGGCATATATCCATCAGGCGGACAGTTCGTGTGTTGGGCCACTAATCTTGTTGTTGTCGTGCGGGTAAATAGGGCCAGCCACAAGCTCATATCCTTACTTCGTAGAGAACAATGACCATATCCGGTATCCGGTATCCCTGTGTAGAATGTTGTTTCTGGAAGAGTTGTACATGTATATGGGATGGTACCTAGGTCCTATGTAAGAAGACTACCTACCTTGGGTACTTTATACCACGTATCACGTACCTGGTATTTCGTACAGGGACAATAGTTGTGGTGCATCGGGGCTAACAAGTATCGCCGAGATTGTAAACGTATAACATACCTGGGTAGGTATAATAATATAATGCTTAATACCCCGCCAAAGCCACGTTCTAGACCCTTGCAAATCGTTGGTGGCACGGCGGTTATCGAGAGAACTGGGACTAGGACCGACGACGCATCAACAGCATCGACATCAGATCGAAGCACAACAAATAAAAAGACCTCCAAACCCGAGTCGCGTTTCTTGCTTTACGCACATCATATTTGCTGCTAGCATTGGCCCTAATCTGCTAACTCTATACCTCCACAACCGAATTTCACTCCACCTATCTCGAAGTTTCTACTGGGCGAGCTGACCGCATCTTTGTCTGCAGCTCTTTAGAACCCCGCATTAGACCTCCGAGCTATCGCAATTATTTGGTCTCTGGCTGGTTCTAAGGAGTAATTGTGCTTGATTATCTCGATTCTTAATTCATTCATTGAGCCCAACATTGACAGCACCTTCGTCTCGCCTTTGGGGCACTTCCGCCATCGCCACCGTCCTGGCCGACGCCTAACGATTCCCCCACCGCTCCAACACTGCAATATAACATAACCAACATGGCTCAACGATCGAGTGCCACCGCTGGCTTACTACTGCGGCAATTCAAAGAGCTCCAAAGAGCCAAATACCTAACAGGGATCTCCTGCGGACTTGTCGACGACAACGCATTCGAGTGGGAGGTGATGCTCATGATCAGCGACGACTGCAAATATTACGGCGGTACCTACCCCTTTTCTATTCCAATTCCTCTTCCCATCAAGTACCCATACTGACATTTGAGCGTTTTGCTATTAGGAGGCAATTTCCGCTGTCACCTCATCTTCCCCCCAACATACCCTCTCATGCCACCAACCCTCGCGTTCAAAACCCCCATCCCTTTTCACCCGAACATCTACCCCGACGGCCGGCTCTGCATCTCGATTCTTCATCCTCCGGGGGATGACCAATACGGTTACGAGAGCGCGAGCGAGAGATGGAGCCCGGTTCAGACTCCCGAGACGATATTGCTGAGCACGATTAGTTTGCTGCATAGCCCGAATGATGAGAGTCCGGCGAATATAGAAGCTGCAAAGTTGTGGAGGGAGGAGAAGAACAATGGGGACAAGGAGTTTAGAAAACGGTGTCGGAAGGTAGTGAGGGAAAGTCTGGGGGAAGATTAGCAGCGCGGAAGTAGTTATCTGGGAGGATATTGTGGGCTGGGGTTTTGTATGGAGTTTTAGGCTATAGGTTTTGTGCGGCCGTCTGTTCAGCAGTGAATTATGGGATAGGGGGAATATGGTAAGAGGAGCTACGGCCCTGTGTGTTGCGGATATGTCTATAACAACCCTATCAATGAAACACGAATTTCTAAATATCCGGCCCGATGCTTTATCTACCTCTCTACCTTCCATCCATATGTAGCTTGCATACTTCTTATATTCTCTATTTATTATTTATGCGATTTGAGGGAAGTAGAACATCTGGATAAAGAAATAGGGGTAAATACCTAATAAGAGTATAGCTTTAAACTATAGACCTGTATTAGATTTTTGTAATATTAATAAGCCTAGATTAGTAGCTTTTACTATAATAATCGTCCTTGATAAAGAATAGTAAATTATCAGAGTGAGTAAATAAGTTAGTAGCAACTCTTAAAGGTTTCTCTTTTTTATTGATTGAAAGTAAGCTAGCTAATTTAATTTAATTTAAAGTCTTTAATAAAACCATTTTTTTTTGATCGTAACACTTGGTTTTATCTAGCAAGTTCCTCCGCTCTCCGAACACGACAGTAATTCTATTTATAGTTCTGTTCTATACTATCCAGCTCTCCACTCCTAGCTACCTCCGACAACCTTCCTGGTCGGTAAATACAGCCATGCTAAAAATACTACAAACCAACGAATGAAAATAGAGGCAAGGCGCCGCAAGAGTCACAACCCCGTTGCATAAAATATCAAATTTAATCTATTAACAATCTCTCCTGAATACAACTAAGTCTGGATAAAACACATCATATTCTCTGTTCATAGAGAGCGTTGCAAGTTACAACTAGTATTCGGGTGAATATTTTGCCACTAAATCTTACTCGGCCAAAACGACTGAGAGCCACCTCAAAGGTTCTTTTATGGTGCGCGTGGTGGGTGGCGGTGCTGGTGATTTTGGAGCTGGCGCTGATGTTGGTTTTGGTGGAGGGGTTTCGGCAGCCGCGGGCTTCGGAATGGGTAATGAGCGAAGCTTAGATTCGATATCTATACCATTATTTTGGCCACTGAGAATGACAGTGATTGCCGAGGTAAAAAATATTTAAAGAGACATTATACTCCATTGGAGACCTGCTGGTATAGGAGAGACACTGATCGCAATTTCCGAATTCTGGAGAGGCAGGTCTCCAAGGTGAATAGCCTCTAGTTGATAGAACAATGTAGATAAGGGAAGTCAGCAATCGAAGTAATGAACTGTAACGCTGACGTAGCCATTGTTACCGATGCTATAGAAGCAAAACCAGTTGCTAATAAACACCACACTAGCCAGAGTGTTCCTATCTTCAGCATTTTCTGTTGTTTCGAATGCTTATGCTCATCTCCCACAATATCATCATCTGCTAGCTTGGTATTACGCTTCTACAGAAGGAAACAGATGTAACCCAAGAAGTACAGAACACCACCAAGCACGAGTAGAGGAGGGAGCATTTTGCTTTGAACCGCTAGGGCCAAAGTTAGAAGTGGCGCATGCTCTTTTATGGCTTGGCTGATAATAACAGACTCATTGAATTTTGACATTACTCTGTCCACAAAGCCTCCACTAGACGGGACACATAACGAATTTTTCTCAATAGTAGCATAGATTCCTGGTTAGAATTATCCCAGCAATAACCCGACACCGGTGGAAATGATTGCCAAAATAGCCCCCCTGGATCTGTAGGCTGGCTGTAGTTGAATTTTGCTTTAATTTTAGCGTCACTATGAAGACATTCGACATGCCAGGAGAGTTTGAGACACATCCCGTAAGCGTCAGAGCTAGACGCTCTGTCATCATTGTATAAATTGTTGAAGGTAGGTTTGGAAATGGTTTGCTGACCCATAAAGTTCTATGATGACGATTGGGCATAGATGGATGAAGAATCGCCAGTTAGCCCGTCCTAACACAATTAGAAAGTAGCCAGCATGATCACATATGACTTACGTAGGCCTCAGCTCCATCCGGAAGCCATGGCAGCTATGGCAGATGAAGTTGGAAATAATTCGGGGACACTGAGATAGAAGTTGCCTGCAACTTCCGAAATATAGGAAAAGGGAACGAGAGTGACGGAATTGACTGGTGAAGCTTGAATTTAGCAAGTTGGGGTAGTTGGGGTTATCGTAATGAGATTTTTAGAGAAGATAATATTTAGGGAAGTGCGTCATATATATATATATATCATCCATTACGTCCCCCAACAACTCGTCGTGTACCGAGAGTCAACTCTTCTATTTCTTGAACAGTAGCAATAAAGTCAGCAGCCCATCATCCTGGCGGGTACTCAGATACCGCCTTGCATTTCGGCTCATCATCTCATGGACGGGCCAACAATATAGTGAAACTTGTTGTTGAAACATTTGTTTGTGACTAGTATCAAGGTTTTTCAAAGATCTGCCGAAGCCATAGTACTAATAATAGAAAGCCACCACATATGGCTTAATTACAGACCAAGACAACCGACGTCGCGCAACCGGGTACCACATGGAAACACCTCTTTTAAAAACATGTGCAAAGTACTAGGTAGAGGTTCCAGCCGACGCTGTCCTCTTCATGGGCTAAGTGAAAATTGACGCGCTTACCACGGTCCACCCTATCAAGGTTAGCTAAAACGAGATGTTGTTACTGGTAAGTAAACCATAAACGGCGACTTGCGCTGAAGAATGTTGGCCCATGACTTCGACAGACGCTAAATCTGACGAATGTCTAGGAAGTGCGGGAACTTCTTAGTGATGGTGTTGGTGATTGTTGGTGATGGTTGGTGATTGTTGGTGATTGTTGGTGATTGTTGGTGATTGTTGGTGATTGTTGGTGATTGCTTGGAGATTGTTGGTGATGAGAATTTAGAAACCCACCCCTGTGCTCTTTCGAGGGTTTCCCCACTAAATGGAGTAACGCGCGAAAACGGCATGAAAACACCACTAAAGAATTGGTCAAATCAATCTCAAGGAAAGGGAGATCATCGGCACCTGCTGAATCTCTTGACTCGGCTTAGGCTTTTCAAATGCCAATCGTGGCGGTAAAATCTGCCCGCCACGCCCACTGGATTCGTGTTCGAACATCTACCCTGTTTCTCACAATTGGATAACGGTTGATGTACCCAACAGACCCCCCTTCCCCTCGACCCCTTCTACGGAAGAATACCAGGTTTGTAGATCGTTGGCTAGCTGTCTTAGCATCTCTGGGCCGCTGGGCGCCTACTTTGGCATTTCAACATCTGTTGATTAATGGGACCCAAATTGGTACACTTAATACAGGTAATTGATTGGTCAGAATGGGTCATGGAATGGGATAATTGAATTGATTAAGGAGCCTAATACTATGGGGTGAAAGCCTCACATATATAGGCAAATGAATGTATGGGGTCAGGTGATCAATCAGGTGACTCAAGGAAATAATACCGATGGTATCCGAATGGCTTCCCAGGGCCTCCATCATCATGTGCCATACTAATTAGTATGGGATGCGATGATATCCGTGTATTCGGCTCATCGCGGGTACACATATCTCATTTCYCCCTTGTGGTGGAGAAGTGCCAAGTGGGGTGCCTAAGTGGCTTGACAGCCGGCCAGGGGAACTCCCATAACTCCCATATTCTAACAACATCACACTCCCATACGAGGGATGATCCTAGCATAGTTCCTAATACCCTCCACCATGATTGCAATTTGTATAGGCCGGCCTTGAACACTTCTTATCACAATGCTCTTACTATGTAGATCCCAGCTTGACACCCGTCCTGTTGGGGTTGATGAAGAGGCTTTTCCCGTTGTTGGCTTCGAATATGCCAAATTGCCCCTTGATTTGGCTCTCAAAATAGACAATAGTTTCTATTTAGGACCCCTCGCAAGCGCTTACCGCTATTATGCGGCACAATCGTTCCTACGGCTTGTCTCGCCGTTTCAAAGTAGCTAGCGAGCTTCCACTGGGCGCCAAAGACAAGAAGGGGAGAGTTGAATTGGGAGATAAATTTCATTCTCATTCTCATGGTTCAAGAATTAGTACTTAAAGAAGCTTGTTGTACTTCAGAAATTCAACAAGGCAAACCCATTTCCATCCTTATTTGAAGCTCTGCTCAACATAAAAGCAATCAGTCCTAAGACCACTATTGTTACATTTCGTCAAGTGCGCACCGAGATATCATTCTTCACAACTATACTCTATCTTCCGACAATATTCTAGATTAAACTCTATCATTTATTCTGTCTTGCACTGAGCATATGCAGATTGAGCTACCACACTTGTCGACTATTCAAAACATCCATTATCTCCAAGGGCCTCTACACTCCTCACTCAAAGTTCAATCGCCATGTCCACCTCAGCCGGTCCCAGCTCTTATTCTAGTGGAAAGCCAACTCCTGACGATGTCCGGGCCGCTTCGAGTGCCCTCGGCTACTGTCTTGGGAACCAAATATATGGAATTGTGGGAGGTGGCGCGCTGGTCTTGCTAGGTTCAGCACGTGAAACGGAAGATGTCGATTTCGTTGTTCCACAGGGTGAAACGAAAAACACTCGATCAATTCTCAGAAAGGAAACCACCTACTTTGAGGTCCAGGCCAAGACGAACCACACCTACTACAAGAGTACTCCTCCTGTGGAAATTGAGATTCTTGCACCTCCCCGGCCTTTTTAAAATGCCATTCAATGCTTCAACACCCACAATCTCTATCAATGGAGTCAAGGTGCTCAAGCCAACGCTCATTTTGAATGCTAAGTGCGGTTCAATTCTCGGCCGTGCTACAGATGCCAAGAAAACAACGGACGCGTATGATATCAGATACCTCCTCTGGTGGTGTGTCAGTGACATTGGTAGAGCTCATGACTGTGTCCCTACTGCTAGCGAAGTGCCAAATGCAACCAATGAGTTTGTTGAATGGTTTGTTAGTATTTATCAAGAGAGGGCTCTTTGGACAACTGCAGGATTCAATTGCACTACAGGGTGCTTTCCCTAGGGTGAAATTTTGTTGTCAGCCAACCCTTTTGCGTAACTGCGTTCAATTGCACCAGAGGTTTTTCTTGGCTACATAATGGTGGAGTCTATCTATAATGATATATCATATATTTTTGGGAGGACAGCATCCTTGTTCAATAATCTAAGGGGTTTTGCGCTTTTCTGCTTGTGCGTTTGGTTATATGATTATTAGTTGGAATTTGGTTGGCAGGATCATTGGAAGAATTTTTTGCTGTTCGCTCCTTCCATCTGGAATGGTATACACTGTCGCTAATGAAATATATCTGGTCGTTTGTTTTTATCAATTATGTCTTGGATACAAGCCAAACTCGTTCATACCATCGCTGGTTTATATGATTTTGTATTCGATACTAGTATAGACCTTTAGAATTACATGGTTCTCAAAGCACAACTAAATATGCACTCCTCATTGACAACTATACGCCATTTGTACAATAGTATTGGGTATCATTTCGCATGTCAGGCCACAGTAGTACAATTCTCATAAAGTTCATTTTATATTCATATAAGATGTACATAATACAGTATGGATAATTCGCTCTCTCGTTTAATTAGCAGGTAAATCAAATTTAAGAGCGTAGGCGCAGTATAGAATAGCAAACCCAAAAAGTTTGAAATCGACTTTAGTATAAAATTGGTGTTCAATAAAAAAGTTTATATAAGAAAGTGTGATCGCAAGACACGACACGGGTGGAGTCCTTGGAATTTTTTGATTGGATTTGCTCTAACTAACAGTAAGCAATTTAACATGGACACAGGGGGTATGTTAGCCAGGTATCACGCAGCACAATGGGCATACGGTAAATACTAGTTTCCTTTCCTGTCAGCCAAATGAAATGATTTAATACACTAGAATTTTTAGATAAAGGCTGCTAGCTACTGAAAAGTTTCATCTTCATAGCCGTAGTGTTAGAACATGCCCGAAACTGTAGATTATTCCGAGAAAGGATCTCCTTGATTGAGTGACAATTATCGGCCAGTCCCCTGACTCAGAGTGTCAAAAGAACCTGAGCCCTCCATGTACTTAGGCCAATGAAACTTTGTGCTTTTAACAAGAGCGATCACTAGTAGCCTAGCCAATGTATACTGAGGGCAGCCCTCAAAATCAAATCCGCTATTGCGCACGTTTTCAACTCGAGAAATCTCGCTGGCGCATTGCGGTGTGAAGTCGTTTTTGTTCTGCTTGATTGAAGAGATAGGTATTGTCCCGAGAAGCAGAGCATGTTTGAAGAGTATAGTTTCCTTCCCTCAAAGCCTCCCTGATTGCCCGCTGATGCTTAGCAAATGGTACCGTCCCAGTTGACATCCCCGACAAGCTGTCGAGATGGAATTGTCGATGGTCGTATTTTAATTGATCCGAAAATGAAGGGCTCTTCAATGCCGATACGTACTGATAAAGGTAACCCACCTGACAAGCAAGGTGTGCAAAGAGCATACCCGGTGTACAATCCAAGAAGCTGTCGATGAGAGCATCAAGAAGATCCGGCAGTGGTGGATAGTAGCTTGTCACAACATCGGTGCTCGGTGGGAGCTTGTAATTCCATTCCTCAGCTGGTAGGAGTATCGTCGTTGTTGCACTTGCTGGTCTGTTGGTTGGGGGTGCAGGAGGCGGTGGTGGGCCAGTGAAATGTGTGGAGGCTTTTGTTGGATCATTCTCGTTAAGAGTTTGGGGTGGAAGTAGGCGACGGTGAGCTTTTGCTGAGAATCCGATGTCAAATTGCGAAGAGTCAAACGCAACGATAGACCATCCGTCTCGTACTAGCACTTGCGCAGCCGCCTCAATATCGTCGACGAGCAGATATAGATTAAACACAACAGTCGATACCCCGTGATGACCAAGAGCATCTTCGAACCAAACAACAGATGGTATTTTGTTATCTTGCAACAAGTAACATGGGTAGAGCCTCGGAGCTGATCTATCGGTCATGGTGGGTGAAGTAAGTCAGGCAGTAACTTCTTGGCCGATATTTGAGGGGTGGTTAGTGTGGAGTGTAGGCAACAAAGGCTTCTTAGCATTTATATACTCTTTTGCTTCACTGTGCTGACGGTTGAAACAGCTGCTAGTTGTCCGAGATTTAGCCGGCTTTATAACTAACGACGTATTTGTATACAAACACCCTGCTTGTTATAAGTACTAGCTTCTTTAAACTAGCCTAACTAGGGACTTTAAGGGTCCTTATATAGGCTAGTAAAGGGAGTATAATGCTAGACTAATATAGCAGAAACTAATAAAGAGGATAAATACGGGTTAGTAAGGTGTGTAGGCCTAGAAGCCTAGAGAGATTTGACTTTTATAATTACTTTATACAGCTATCAACACGTTTTCTTTTACATTTTCTTGCCTTTATTTGTTTAAAACGTCACAAGTATTTCCTTTCCTACTTCTGTCCTGCCTTTTGTACCATACCTTTAAATTTAACTGGCCTATACAAGAATAAAGGAACTATGTCGTTGGCGATGAGGATTGCGGAAGAGATCTCAACATGGGAGTATCTGTATTGTTAATAAGAAAGCGTGGAAGGATTAACTGTAGTCAAGAAGCATCGGGGGAATCAGGATCTTCTTGTTAAAAAGAGGAGCGGTGCGCTATGGGGACAATAAATAGCTAAACGCGACTTAACATAGGTAGGCAGTAAAACACTCTACTAAATAAAGAGTGCAGCAGGTTAAATGTCTGTCGAAATGGTGCAAGGGGCGCTCTAGTAGTAAAATGCGAGAGGGATAGGTGTATGCATGGTATCATTGATATTCTAGCGCATATAGAATGCGTAGGAAACAAGCCTTCTGGGCAACACAATTAATGCTGCCGATATACGCCTTGCTCTTCGATATCGTAAAATTTACATATCTCTAAGAGCTTTAGATCAAATCAAGTAAAACAGAATAAACATCATCACTAAGGGCGTGGACTGCCGCGTTTTATGCCGCCCGTCCCGCACCAACAATTCAGATCACCATCTTTCTCAACCTGTACCACCACATCTACGCCCTTTCCCAGCAGAAAGTTTCTGGTGCGTTCCCTCACATCTTCGAGGTCTGAGCCACGAGTTGCATGTATGTGGATTACGCCTAACACGTTCTCAGCCTCGTTGTCGCCCAACCAGAATCTGGGCACAGAATAACTGGCTACACCGCGGAGATCGCTGACGCCCGAGAGTGTTGCCCGGAGGTTGTACTCGACGTCGTCAGGGACTGTGAGAAGGAGCTTCTTCGCGCTGGATTTGATGAGTGGGATGGAGGACATGAAAATTAATATGGCGATGATGCAGGAAGCGAGAGGATCCCAGCCGCTCCAACCTACGAAGTAGATTAAGGCTGTGGAAACCATGACTGCTGCGCTGCCCATAGTGTCAGCGAGAACGTGGAGGAAGATCCCATGCATGTTCTCGTTGTCATGAGAATGGCCGTGGCCAACGTGGGAGTGATCCGAGTGGGCATGGTCATGATCATGGCTATGACCGTGGCTATGATCATGATCGTGTTCGTGGAAATCGTTATGAGTATGCGTTTTATCGTGTGAGTGTGAGTGCGAGTGGGAATGGGAATGTCCGTGGCTATGACCTCCGTGGTCGTGCCCTGCATGTCCGTGATGGCCAAAACAAGCCATCCCTACCAAGTTCACTGCCAATCCAAGCCCGCTAACAATAAAGAGCTCCAAGAGTCGCTTCGTCTCTCGACCATCCGCAAGTCGCTCTGTTGCCTCGATCATAATCTCGACGCTTATCAACCTAGTGAGGAGGTTAGCAAAGGCCATGCATGCGGAACAGGACATGAGCTTACATCAGAAATACCCCATTCCCAAACCCAGACAGGCTCTCGATCTTTCCGAAGCCATAGGGGAATCGTTCACTCGGAGGCCATTTGCTTGCTACCGCTGCGAATAATCCCACTCCTAATGCCAGGCAATCGAAGAACATATGTATGCTGTCGCTGAGCAGCCCAAGCGAATCTGTTATGTATCCGTAAAATGCTTGCACAAGCATGAATGCGAAGTTGAGACTGCGAGGCATTAGCACGTTCCTATTTGCTTGACAAAGATACGGCATACCTCATAAAGTAGAAAATCCTTCTGGAATCCTTCGCTGCTAGTATCGTGTGTAGAAGAGGCCACCGCTGCACCATTGGGAGCAGGAGTCCTGTGAACCTCGACCGCGGCTCCGGGGACGAGGTATGCGTGTGGGCATGCCCGTGGGCATGGCTAGCATCAACTAAGGGCGGCTCATAAGGGTTCATTTGCTGGATTTGCTTTTCGGACCATTCTGCGGTAGGTGGCAAACCATTGCTCTGTGGGGCAATCGACCGCTCATGCCTATGCCCATGGGAAGAACCATGGGAGTGGTTGTGGCCATGGCCATGATCGATACCCGGCTCGGAATGCGAATGTGAATGGAGGCTTCCATTAGATCCTTCCTGCCGTAGCCCTTTCGTCGTGTTTGCTGGATACTGCCCACTTGGTGAGTGGGAGTGGGAGTGCGACGGCGATTGGGAATGCGAATGCGAATGAATATGGCCATTGCCATGATGGCCGTGTCCATGAGCCATTGCAGAGCCTGGCAGCGCATAGGTAGAAGCCATGATGAACACTGGCGCGTTCAGCTTCTACAATCTATGAATCCCGCCCAAATCTCGGCCACTTCCCACATGTAGCAGCGTAAGGAATCGTCCAATAGCTCTTTGCCAGCGCAATCCTCCTAATCAAGATACCAGCTTTCCTTTTCCGCGCTCCAGAGCAGCTGAATTGTCGTTATTCCAGGGAGGGCGAAAGCAGGCGTAGGAGGGGAATCCGCAAACGTCTCCAAGAGCGATTGTTATTGTGGCGCGGCCGTCTCCTTCGTGTGCGCCACACTGTGGGTGCTTTTCGACCTCGAGGCTGTCGTACACCGTCGGAGGATGTGAATGTGCAATGTGCAATGTGTCGACTATATCGACAGTGTCTTGGGGCTAGAGTCGAGATTAACGACGGATCGATCCGGTGCAGTGTTAATTGCTTTCCCCTGATTCTAAGTTACTTCACTTGGCCTTTAGCCTCCGCCTCGCACCTGAGACCATATTATTAGCCCGCCACGCCGGGGCGTCGCCAGCGTCATTGCCGTAGGATCCTGCAGGGAAAAGGACAAGCCCCAGTTGCGGTGCAACCCCAGACCCAAATAATCAAGCCAGAGATGGGCTAAAATAAAGCTTGCAGGCCATGTCGAACATTGACGCGACATCCCCAGAGCGGCCGGCCATTGTATCTAATTCTGACCGAACCCCACGGTCCATTCTACAGATTCCAAACTCTTTCTCCCTGGCGGTACCTCCCGAGATCCCCGAGCTAAGGTTAGGGTTTGTAGTGCAACGGAAAATAGTGGAAGACATGCGGGCTGATTGATTCGTTGTTTGTTTCGGCGCATGTCAAGTGTTGAAGCCACCTCACGATGTTGGACCTACTCTTAACTTTGGCGGTGGCCGCCTCGACAATTCTGTCAACAATCCTTATGCTACTCCCGAGTCGCTATATCAGACCTTCTCCGCCAAAGGCGACCTCAGAATCATCAGGCGCTGTCGATGAGCCCAAAATCTCCGTCCAAGTGCTGGTTCTCGGGGATATTGGGCGTAGTCCGCGGATGCAATATCATGCCATGAGCATAGCGAAGCACGGTGGTAGAGTGGATATAATAGGATACAAAGGTGCGAAATCCAGAAATCTCAAAGCAGTTCCAGAAGCTAACTGGTTCTGGGTGCAGAGTCAACACCTCATCCGGGCCTCCTCAATAATCCTCTTATCACCATCCTCCCATTACCTCCTCCCCCGCGTATCCTCCGCTCGAATGCCCTCCCATTCATTGTTGCAGGCCCCCTCAAAGTCTTATGGCAGATATGGAGTTTATTCCACGCCCTTGGGTACGCCACTAAGCCAGCTCGATGGCTCTTAGTTCAGAACCCTCCGTCGATACCTACATTGTTCATCTCAGCAGTCATATGCTTCCTCCGAAACACGCACCTCATAATCGACTGGCATAACTATGGATGGACAATCCTTGCAGGTACAAGAGGCGCAACACATCCGTTTGTTACTATCTCGAAGTATTATGAAGCGGTTATGGGCCGATCGGCACCGGTAGCCTCGTTTACTGTTACAGATGCGATGGCGAAGCAACTCAGAAATAAACCTTACAATGTACGCTCCCCGATACTTACGCTCCATGATAGGCCGGCGGCTATCTTTCAACCCATATCCGGAAATGAAGCACGGAGAGCTTTCTTGAAGTGTCTACCGGAGACTTCCGCCCAAGCAGAGAGTATAATGACTGGCAAGACAAGACTGCTAGTAAGCAGCACATCTTGGACCCCGGACGAAGATTTCAATCTTCTTCTGGAGGCGTTATGTTCTTACTCTGGATCGGCAAAACAGCAACCCCCAATTTTAGCGATCATTACGGGCAAAGGCCCGCAAAAGCAAATGTACCTAGAGCGCATCGCTTTCCTGAAAAAGGAGTCTAGGTTGCAGAATGTATCTATTGCCACCGCTTGGCTTAGCACTGAAGACTATGCCACTTTACTTGCATGCGCAGATCTTGGAGTTTGTCTCCATATGAGCAGCAGTGGGGTTGACCTACCGATGAAAGTTGTTGATATGTTCGGAGCTGGTTTGCCAGTTGTTGGATATGGGAACTATGCGAGTTGGGGAGAGTTGGTTAAGGAAGGTGTCAATGGTCGAGGCTTTGTTACAAGTGATGATCTAGCGACAGTGCTAGGTGAGCTATTTGGTGATGTTGAACAAAAGCAGCTGGCGAAGTTGAGAAAGGGGGCTATAGAAGAAGGGAAGAGAAGGTGGGATGACGAATGGGGTGGAGTTGCTGGACGGTTACTCGGCCTATGCGAGTAAACATTAATGATACCAAGATAGACTTGCAATTGCAGATTTAATATTAATATTAAGAACGCAATAGCTATAGTAAGCCGAATTATGGAGGGATGTGAGGCGGGGAATGTACCTACTACTAGGTAGGTAGTTAGGCTCGCCGGAAAGTTCATAGGTCAAGCCCCAACTCATAGAGTGGGGCAAACGACTCCCTTCTGCCCGCTCTAAATGTCATAGTTGACTCCCACTTACGAAGAAAATGTAGCCGGGTTTAAGTTAATTAAGCTATTATTATTTTCAGGGCCTATTCCTACTTCCTACGAGAAATGCGGAAGCTGTAGCCCCACATCTTAAGTTGACCGAGGTAGATGATCAAGCTCCCGATATCGTTATCATGATATTTCAAGTTTCCAGAGAGCAAAGTTGCAACATCAACAAAATCTCTCATCATCCCCATCAAAATGGCCGCAAAATCCCAAGACCAGCTCACGCTCCAGGGCGCAAAAATCGCCATTGCAGCAGCAGAAGCCGAAGCCCGCGCAATCGGCGTGGACATGAACATCGCCATCGTCGACGCCTCGACACATCTCTTGCACTTCTCACGCATGCCTAGCGCCAAAATCACATCTATCAGCATCGCAATGGATAAGGCCTTCACAGCTGCAGGCCATCGCGTGGGTACCCATATGTATAAGGAGGCAGTATGGCCTGGTGGTGTAGCTTATGGCTTGGGCAATTCAAACGGCGGCCGGTTCACTACGTTTGGGGGTGGGCTGCCGATCAAGAATGCGAAAGGTGATGTGATCGGAGGAATTGGCGCGAGTACTGGAACGCCGGCACAAGATGAACAAGTTGTCAGGGCAGGGGTTGAGGCTGTTGAGGAGGTGCTTAGAGAGGAGGGCAAGAGGTCGTCTAAGCTATAGTACTACTGTAAGCTTTGGGGAAAGGGTGTGCTGATGCTGAGTATATATTTGTTTAGAGCGAGCCACTAATGTGGAATGTTAAGATTTCGACGTCTAGTTTGATTTGCGCCAGCTTTAATTAGATGTGTATATAATATGCGCTTAACTCGCCATGCATGGGTTTCAAATGGGACAATAAATAATTTATTTTCTCCGAATATCAGTCTCTGTTGACAACATAATGCACATCAAAGTTTACAGCTTACAGATGGTAATTAGGAGCGGAGCATATAGGACTATCAATTGATAACGAAAAGCAGTTCGTACCGATAAGGCAAATTAAAAGGCCTCTAACGCGCTCGAATAAGAAAAATGGTCATTATTGTTGCTACTTCATAGTTGGGTCCAATTAAAATTGTAACTAGTTCTAATACAGCAGGCTTGAACCCTGGAAGTGCAACCCCTCTCGAGTTGACGCCTTACGCCCTTCGAATGTAGTACTGGAGTTTCGGATTATCAATCACATCCATGCGCTATATATCAGGCTACTGCGATCTATGTCATCGCGATCGCAATATATAAATTGAATTGAACGTTCTCCGTGAGTAACTGCCGGGACCGCCTCCTCATATCCATTCTCCAAAGCTCATTTTGACTGTTATTCCCATCATACCACACGTTAACAATCAACCACCATTCCTATTTCATTCTTCAAAACACACACCTGTATCTCAAATCATGGACCCATCAATCAAGCCCTTCAAAATATCGGTCCCAGACTCAGCCATAGACACCCTAAAAGCCAAACTGGCAAGCACAACATTCCCGGATGAAGTTCCGCTCGCCGATAGCTGGGATTATGGCACCCCTCTCACAGACATGAAGCGGCTTGTAAAATTTTGGAGCGATGGGTTTGACTGGCGAGCCCAGGAGAAGAGGCTAAATGAACTGCCGCAATTTACGACCAAGATTGATGTCGATGGGTTCGAGCAGTTGGACATTCATTTTGTGCATCGAAGAAGCAAGCGAGAGGGAAGTATACCGTTGTTGTTTTGCCATGGATGTCAGTTCACTTTCTTTTCTATCTACCCCCTCCTTTTCTTTCTCGATGCCAATATATGGGCAAGATGAAAATTGAAACGCTGTCTGCTCATACTTTTGATACTTGATGGAGACTGATTCATCTTCTAGGGCCTGGGAGTTTCATTGAGGTCACCAAAATTATTTCCTTGCTCACTGATGGGAAACCGGACGGTCCATCTTTCCATGTTGTTGCGCCTTCGCTTCCTAATTTTGGCTTCTCTCAAGCTCCTTCAAAGCCCGGCTTCGGTCTCGCACAGTATGCCGAAGTTAATCATAAACTCATGCTAAAACTAGGATATGATAAATATGGTAAGCCTTGATCATGAAGTCTCTATTAGTAATGGGCATTGTAACTTATAGGCGACTCGAGAGGCTAACAACGCCAACAGCAACCCAGGGTGGCGATTGGGGCTGGTCAATCAACCGAATGATGGGGGTCAGATATCCATCACATGTTGTTGCCTCACACTTCAACTACGTCCCCGCAGATCGAGCCCGTCTAACGAAATGCCTCGACTCTCTAAGTAGCCCTTTAACGGAGCAAGAGAAAGAAGGAGTAGTTCGAAGCGAATGGTTCTACGACAAGGGCTTCGGATATAACTACCTCCAGAGCACTCGTCCCTCGACCCTTGGATTCGCGCTGAGAGACTCTCCCACCGCACTCCTGTCCTGGATCTACGAGAAACTCCATGACTGGACGGATTGTTATCCCTGGACCGACGACGAGATACTCACTTGGATTTCTATTTACCAATTCTCTCGCGCGGGGCCAGAAGCTAGCCTGAGAATTTATTACGAGGCAGTTCACATGAAGCCGGAGGAGAGGAGTAAGGTGTATGAGTATAATAAAGACGTGAAGTTGGGACTGAGTTATTTCCCCAGGGATGTAATTGTAGCGCCTTCTGCGTATGGGCGCACAATGGGCCCTGTGGTTTACGAGATCCGGCATCCGGATGGAGGGCATTTTGCTGCATATGAGAGACCGGAGCTTTTAGTTGGTGATTTGAGGAAGATGTTTGGTGAGGAGGGGCGAGTGATGTGGTGAAGGATTACTGGATCTAAGTGTTTGCAATTCTTATTTATCATTCCTATTTGCTTTTGATTAATGACTTTGGTGACTTCATTGGCGCATTTCTTACGACCAAGTGACGGGAGGCCGGGTATCAAGCGCTTGAGAATAGCGTGGTTGTTTTGCTTCGTGTCTGTAGGCAATTCAGGTGACTTCCGCACGGTGTTCTACAGTTCGATTCGATGGGTTTGAGTTGATTAGGGTGCAATCGATGACTTTGAATGAGTTGGAACTAGCTTGGACTTTGTGGACGCTAGCCATATATCTAGTTGCCTATATCATTTTAAGTAAGGTATTGTTGGGTGCTAGTTGGAGAAATGGAAGCTAAACGGGTACTATACTAAGACTGGGGAACTGGTGATACCTACGGTGCGAAGAATCTAGGAAAGGCTTTGCATGACTTCTATGAATTGACTAGGTGACGATGAAAGGCCGAGTTATTTCAGCCTAAAAAGTTGACGATATGAACACCTCATGTTGCTATCTAGAAATCTTCTAAGTTTATCCTACTCATATTCTTATATCCGCTTCCTGCAGTGCACTCCATCACCTATTAAGTGAACTGCGGCATTGTGTAGTTCTCTAATACAATAAGTTTAATTATTTATTGCTATATTTTCCGATTACTTTGAATACTTCGTTATGAAACCTTCCTAGAACAGAGCGCCTAAAATAATGGTACAGTATGAGAAGTCCATCTCACCCCCCTTTTTCTCACCCCTATTTCCCCCACCAAGCGAAAGCTGCGCACCCCACGCAATTCGGCCACCGTAATACATCGACCTCCCCATTCCGAACTCTCAAAACCACGACCCCAAGGAAGGTCCACCATCACCTAACGCTCCCCTACCGCGTCCGACATCACAGCGAAAATGGTCCTCTCCTTCATTTTAATTCAAAATCGGCAGTATGTGTCCCCCCTCCATTCCTCCTCTACATAATCTTCAATCCCACCCGTCCAAAACTCGAAACGCAAACTAACCCCTCCTTCCCGCCATAGAGGCAAAACACGCCTAGCAAAATGGTACGCACCCTACAATGACGAAGAAAAGATCAAGCTAAAAGGCGAGGTAAGTTGCTCCCTTCTTCCATTTTGTAGTTACTATTCCCCAGGTATCCGCTTCCCAATCACCTATTAACCAAACCCCAGGTCCACCGCCTAGTAGCACCCCGAGACCAAAAATACCAATCCAACTTCGTCGAATTCCGACAGAACAAAATAGTCTACCGCCGGTACGCCGGGCTATTTTTCTGCGCCTGCGTCGATGCGAACGATAATGAGCTGGCGTATCTAGAGGCGCTACATTTCTTCGTGGAGGTATTGGATAGCTTTTTTGGGAATGTTTGTGAGCTGGATTTGGTGTTTAATTTCTACAAGGTACGTGCTTGGTTTGTGAGGAACGAGGTGTGGTTTGGAAGGGAGAGGAAAGGAGAATGGGATTGTGAGAATGTTGGGATATTGGCTGATCTGGGTTCGTCGTGTTATAGGTTTACGCCATACTGGATGAAGTGTTCCTTGCGGGCGAGATCGAGGAGACGAGTAAACAGGTTGTTCTGACACGGTTAGAGCACCTGGATAAACTGGAGTGATTGTATGGCGCGGGGGCATATTCGGAAGTGATTGGGGGATGCATTGGGCGGCGAACATGGCGTTATTCAGAGGATCGGTATGCTATGGTACACATTTTCATGTGCTACCATTAGGGCGTATGGGTGATGCAATCTGGACCTTTGATTTTATGCTACTTTTACATTTGGCCAGAATGCTAGCGACTTATACATACAGCAAACTAATAACTCTAGGTGCTACCGTGACTTCGGCTTCAGAATAGCAAAGTATGTCCTAATGCCCCATGCAAGCGAAGAGATATTAGCACCTGAACCCGACAGATACCTTTCTGCTAGTTCTTCATGATACCGACATCCCGAACCTCGTCGACCTCTTCCAGAACCTTAGCAGCCAACATCGAACCCGGGCCACCAACCGCCGAAACCCCGTCACTCTTCTCCAGCTCAACCTGGCAATCTTGAGTTCTCGACTGAATCTTGCAAATTTCGGCAATGTCCTCGGGGATGGGTGTGGTGAGCTTGAAATTCCGAGAAAACTTCTTCAATTCGTCTCCAACCCGCATCTTCATGAGTTTTGTTTTGGATTTCTGGATAAAGTTGGCTTGAGCCGTACTGTGCTTTCCTTCATGCGACACTTCCTGTTCTACAATTTAGTATCCGTCCTTCTAGGTGCATTGAGGACTGGCAAATACGTACATCAATAATATTGTGGAAGGATCCTTTCTCCTCCAATGGTTGCGACTTGGTGCTTCTAGCCTCCTCTGGGATTGTGGTTGGCACGTTGAAGTTTACTGCAAACCTCTCCAAGTTCTGACCTTTGCTCCGGTCGATCAAGTTCCTTACTGTGGTCTGAAATTCCCTTGTTGATCGAGATGAAGCTGAGGCAGGTATGCCGGCTCTAGCGGCGTTGTAAATTGCTTTCATGTTCAATGTGTTAGCGTTGAGACGAACTTCCTCAACCTGCAAATTTTGAATGTTGGCTGCCGCAGTATCCTCGTGCCCATCTTTCATCAGTTTAAAAGTGGCCCTCTTCACTTTCGGATGCACCTCTTTCATATTATCGACCTTTCCAACGGGGCCTGATAATGGTGTAGTCTGTGCCGTGCATGTAAATGATGGGAATTCGTTGCTCGAAGACCGTGCATTCGACCGTCCAAACCTCAGCGCTGAAAGTTCTTTTTTGGCGTTTCCTGTAACTACTTTGACTTTATTCAATGCCACCGTGCCGAGGCGAACACCCTTTTCCTCATAGTTGGAGTGTGTGATAATTTTATTGCGCTGGTTAGGCCTCTCATCACAGGCTCCATCGAATTGTGGATATTCGGTACGACTGGGAGGAGTTGTCGACTTTGGGATCTCCAGCTTCTTTTCGGTAAGGTCAAGTGATTCAAATGCATCAAGGTTTCTAAGTAGTATCTCAAAATTAGCAATTGCGTGATGGAAATTGAATAACACTTACGCTCTAGTTCCTGGCTGGGGTTTCTTTTGGTCGTCTGCTTCCCACATATCGACTGCTGTTGGACGTTTCTTGACATTGTTCACCACCTCCGTCATCTCCGGATGCTTCTTAATTAGTCCTTGGATGAGCTTTGAATACTTCGGAGCTGGACTGCTCTCTGGAGCTGGTACAATCGGAAATCGGGTCTCGATATTGCCGCGCCTAGTAGGACGGTATGCTGTTCGACCAGAGGGTTTGATGGCATTCATGGTACCTTGTGTTACCGTGTACGCAACAGCATTGACTGGGCCATCGCGATCATCCTCTTCGCCATCATCCACTGTAATTTCTTCAGGATTGAGGTTCTTCCTTCCCGTCTCCCTGAGCCGGCCCTCCTCTGTATGTCTCGCTAGTATCTTGCTCTGGAAATCATCCACAGAAGCATTATCAGAAGTGAGGGTCTCCGTTTCTGTGTCGGTGCGTCCATCGCCAGCATAGCGGTCTCGTTCCTCACTGATTAAATCATCCACCGCGCTTAATATTTCATCCATGGTCATTCCTTCCGCAGGGTTTGGTCTGACGTCTCCAGAGTTCTCCATAGTATTGCCAGTCTTGCGGGGCTTCTTCCTTTCTGAGTGTAGATCGTTGTCGCTATAGTCTCTGTTGCTCATGTCCGGAAGAGCTCGCTTTCGATGTTGGTTACTGGAGTCTTGGAAGGTTGTAACTCCTCGCCCATCCATTTTAGCTACATCTGCTAACTCCTCCTCCAAAAGTCGAGCTGCTGCAAGGTCAAGCTCCGCAAGCATTCTTCGGTTTGCACTATTAGGAGGTGAACAATCTCTCATTGAAACGTTCGAAGAGGCTGGGGTTCGATTCAGTCGACCATACTCTTGATCCGTTTGTCCCCTTCTACCGGTGCTGTCGGTGAGATCGCGTTCTCTTGCGTTAACCTTTGAGGCCTTTGATTCCCTGTGACGCTCTTTGCGCTCTCTACGCTCCTTATGCTTGCGTTGTACAGTAAGAGAGGACCTGCTATTATTATATGGGCAGAGTACTCCGTAGTGCTTGCCTGTTTCCCAACACACTGTACAGGTATAGTTCTTATCAGGTGGTTTGTCGTATGCTGGGTCTAGGTTGGTGGGGCAGTCTTCCAGTTGGTGACCTGACATCCAATGTTAGCGTCTTTTGACAAATAGTGAATACTTCACCTTTAGAAGACTACATTATTTCAGAGAAAAAAAGTGGCCGACAACTGCACCGAGCTAACAAACTTTACATACCTTTCTTGTCACAGCGCTTGCAAACGTAATCCCTAGGTGGGGGTCCCCTAGAGCCTTCCATGGTCGCCTTCCAGGTCTTGAAACTTGACTCCTTGTGAGCCGCTTTTGTTGAACTTTGATTGGAGGATTGCACAGATCTATGGCGCGTCGCGTCCTTCCCCTCACGGTGCCAATCAGCTCTTCTCAGATAAGTAAAAGCTTCTTCAATATCTAGGGGCGTGGGTGGAGGTCGACGTGCACAGTCTTTGAAGGGACCGTGCTGTTCCTTCCAGATATTCACTTTGTTTGCCAACTCCGACTGACAGAAGCCTCGTGAGCTAAGAGCTGAAACCCATCTAGCCAGAGTGCTACGCCACGGCCTTGAAGGATTTGGTTTCAGTTGACGGTGGATCTCGAGCCAGCGGAGGTAGATCGAGAGTGTTGAGTCTGGTGAAGTGGTTAAGTTGACACTCCGGGAAAGTTGTTTTAGCGAGAGGACTGAGAGGTCGTTGTCAGTTAACTCGTCTGTCTCTGTGGGAGCGGCGGCATCTTCTTTGGTCTCGTGACGGCAGTACTTCTCCGTTGAGGCCATCTCCATCTCCATCTCCATTGCGGATCAGAGTTGTTCCGGGTGGTTGGTGTTATCTCCGATAAACAGAAAGGGGGGGGGGAAAGTGGAAGCGAGTGTTTATCTCCTAAAAGCGTTAAAGTGGGAGCAGTGAATTTAATCACTGAGTATAAGCGGGCACACGAGATAGGATCTATCAAATCGAAATCCAGATGGGCTAAGATATGCGCAGGCCAGGATTCAGCCACTATTCCTATGATTGGATATATCTGCCGCCTTTGGTACAACTATCTCATTTGTATTAACACTCAAATCACGTATGGTATGGGAAACTTTATCTCAGGCAAGACGATGAAGAATTACTTTATCTCTATGGGTCATTTTGGCCTTTGTCTCCTTTATGTGAAGCTTGAAGAACTTCCTGCAAGTTCCCGTTACTATCCGTTCTATCATGCAACCTGCCATATATTGCATCAAAGAGCCTAATAATGAACGAAACAACACAGCTAGTACTATGACTGTATAAACGCAAGAGCGCATTCGGCATCTGGGCTATGCCTCCAGGGAATAAAATGCTATCATTACTCGAAATACCTTAAGATCTATCCAAAGCCCTACTTTATACCTTGATCTATGCGATAACTGCACTCGCCTCCTCCTCTTTCCGCTCTTCAACTGCACCGTCAGCCGGAGAAGCCTCGGCATGAACTTGCCGAATGACAATCTTAAGCTCGTTCAAGAATCTTGAGACTTCTTCTTCGGTGCCAACCGTTATCCGCAAACATCCCATGCACCCGTGTTCTTTCCCCCGGAATCGGACAACCACTCCCCTATTCTCTGCCAGCCTCTCATACACGTTCAACGCTGTCACGTTATCCGGGTTCCCATCAACATCGAGCATTTCCACTAGCAGAAAATTGCTTTCATTGCCACCCCTAAATCTTCCAACGCCCCTAATTTTGGGCAATTCTCTCAAGATCCGATCTCTTTGGGCGAAAATCCTATCCCTATTATACTCCATTGCAGCAAGCCCTGCATCCTGTACCGCTTGAGTAGCAATGGCACTTGTGGGGCTACTAATGTTATATGGCGCCTTTAGGTTATTCAGCAATGAAGCAATAGGCTCCGATGTAAATGCCATCCCGAGCCGTATGCCTGCCAGGCCAAAAGCTTTCGACAAAGTCTGCATGACCACTAAGTTCGGCCACTCAAGCACCCACTCGGCAAGCGATGAGTCCTCCGGTGCGAAATCAATATATGCTTCATCCAAAACGACAACGCCATTCCAACTGGGGTGTTCAAGAATTTTCTGTAGGTCCTCCTTACGGAGCAACGACGCAGTTGGGTTCCCAGGAGAGCAAACATATATGACTTTGATATTTGCTGCCTGTGGAGACGAAAGCGTAGAGATGATGGTGGAGACATCAAGTGCAAATTCGGGAGCGGGCAGTAATGGGACTTTAACTAGGCCGACATCATTGACCTGTGCAGACACAGAGTACATGCCATATGTAGGTGGGCAAACAAGGATTCTGTCTCGGCCGGGGACGCAAAAGCATCGCAGCAGTGCATCAATCGCTTCATCGCTCCCAACACCTACAAACAAGTTGGCAGGCGTGAGGTTTTTAGAGGTATGGGAATGAGTGTTGCGCAGCTTGCATAAACGCTGTTTGAGGTCGTGCTGGTGCGGGTCTGGGTAGCGGTGCAAGCCGAGGAAGTCGATTGAGGATGAAGAATCGGACGATGAAGTCTGCGGAATCGGTGACCCGTTCAAGGGGAGACACGGTCCGTAGGCGTTCTCATTAGCATCGAGAAGGATATTTGTTCCATCGTCTTTATAATCGCTGTATAGATGTGAGTCACCGAACTGACAATTGCTTCGGGGACTGAAGCTCTTACTCTCGTGCACAGCGGTAAGGCTGTAAGTCAAGTATATTTTGGCGGGCACAGGTTTCCAGGTTGAAGGGACGTGTATTTTCCGCCATATTTTGGAAGGTCGGGGTAACAATTGAAGGCAATTGACGCTGTTGTTGATGTTGATGTTGATGTTGATGGAGGGGCTCCGAGGGGTACTTGTAATTATTTTGGTTGCAGTTCGGGGATTACCAAGTGGGGGCTTACTAAGATGACTCTTGACCTCACCAAAGCCCATTTCCGACCTCTCGAGGCGCTATTTCGTACCTACCCCATACTACCTAATACGGAGTAAGTACCTAAGTACCCTGTCCACGTTTACAGGGATGCCGGGGCGATTTTGGATCCCTGTTGTCGAGAGCCAGTTCAACACGACGACCGAGCCTCTCTACATGCTCCGTGCTAGTTACACGGTAATATTCACGAAATCTTGGTAGACAACGCCTTTATAAGAACTTGAGATAGTATCAAGACCACTACTATTCCCATTTGTCCCAAATCCGGGTTCTCATCGCGAGTCTTCAGCGCTGCAAACTCTTCATCGCTCTTTAAATAGGGCTACTTGTGATCGGCCGAGGTTCCCTATACTGTTCCTTAGCAGGGAGCACAGGATCAGCCCAGAGATGTTTATGGCCTTCACAAACCCTCTTTTAATCGCGAAACCGGGAACTAGGGAAGATGGCTCAGGCAGAGGCTTCATCCGGCCACTCCACGTCCCTGGAGGGGGCCGCGGTCTCTTCCCACCTCTACGGCTATCTCCAGACATTGTACCATAAGTCCACGGCTCTTCTCAATGCACGGACATACAAGGAAGAAGAATGCCCACTGTGTCGCCCATATTTCGAATCATTTTCAACCAGCACTGTGCTCAATCAGGCTGCCCTCTCTCCGGAAGCACAGGAACGTTGCCACGGCTGCTGTGTGGTGGGGTTCGCCATGTCCTTTTTTGCGCACATCATTGACAAGAAGGGGCAAGGACTTCGTAGCCAACATTGCTACATCGATCCATATATAGGTCGCACAGAATTCGTTCTGAGCGTCTTAGAGAGCGATGGCAGTTTTATTGAAGCAACGCTAGAAATGCTCAAAACTACTCAATCGAACAAAGACGACTCCTGGGCCCAGTGGCTATTGGGGTCTCTCCGAGCCAGGCGGCGAGAACACCAGCCTCTCTATATTGAGAGAGCATTCGAAACACATCCAATCTCAGGCAACACCGGATCTGCGGCGGCGTTCGAAAGGGTCTACTCTTGGTTTCAGGTCTGTTCTGCAAGTCACCAAGCTTGTGGTGACAATCACCACCCGCCATCACTACCTACGAGGGTCATCGATATAGCCGATAGGAATAATATAAGACTTATTGAAGGCGAGAGCTCTCAAAGTCACTACATATGTCTTAGCCATCGGTGGATGGATGCAAATAAGATGCCACGATGCACTCAAGCAAATATCGACTCCCTGAAACAGCATATTCCTTGGGAATACCTCACTCAAAGTTTCCAAGATGCTATTTTATTTGCCCAGGAATTCTCGAGCTGGTATGTTCAGCAGTACCCTGGCCAAGACCCGATACGATACATATGGATTGATAGCCTTTGTATTATTCAAGATAGTGCTGAAGACTGGGAGAAGGAAGCAAATCTTATGTGCTCGATATACGAAGAAGCTATCTTGACTGTAGCTGCTGCGTCTGGGGTGGACGGCTGCTTCTCTGAGGCAGAGAAAATCTTCAAGGGGTTTGAAGTTTCGAATCCTCAGCGGCCCAACCCAAGGTTGTATTTGCGAAAAGGACTGCCATATCATGGCGAGCAAGCGCCAAGAGAAAAGTCCAGCGCAGCCCATGCATTCTCTGGTGGACTAGACTTGTTCACTAGAGGCTGGGTCATGCAGGAGAGGCTATTATCTCGAAGATTTGTGATATTTAGCCCTAACGAAATTATGTGGGAGTGCTTTGAATCCTCAGATTGTGAATGCGGAAGGCTGTCGGAAGGGATCAAGAGAGACGTGCTTGAAGGACGTACAGAGTGGCATTATAATTTGAGACGGACGATCCACGAATACAATGAACAAAGACGAACAGAAGACCCGAACTACTTACTTGATCCGATGGCATTCAAGGCTGCTTATCATACGACCTTAAAAGGTGGAGACAAACACCACATGCGCAATCTTAGAGATTGGTGGCGTCGGCTGGTAGAAACCTACTCGTCCCTGAATCTGACGAAGGAGTCCGATAGACTTCCCGCCTTGCTAGGACTGGCCACTCAATTTAAGCGGAAAACTGGTATGGGGGAATACATAACTGGCTATTGGGTAGCTAGCCTACCGTTCGATTTAGCTTGGTATTCGGCTACACCCGCCGATGGCCTCCCTGATCAGGATCGGTCTCAACCTATTTCATCATGGTCATGGGCATCTTGTGCTAGCCCAGTTCGGATGCCACGGGAAGCAACTTCCGATAACTTTGTAGCATGCGCACAGCTAAACTCGATATCCTCCACGGGTTCCGTCGTCACTTTGAACGTTAGATGCTCTATCTTTACAGCTACAACCGACCATCTCAGGGACAGCAATTTCCCGCTCGTCGGTGACTACTATCCAGACTCGGCTGCGTCCCCCACAGTGCCAGCCAACAAAAGGATGTATGCTCTCATAATTAATAGTGTGGAATTAAAATGGTGGGGTTTTCTACACATCCAAATCGCCGACCATGGCAAATTGAAATTCCGACGTTTAGGCATGTTCATTTTAAGTGCCAGGGAAAATCTCCCCCAAGGGCAGAGCGAAGCAATTACTACCCTCACTCTGCGCTCCTGCTTTAACACTGAGATCATTCAGGAAATAGAGTTAATTTAGAATGCTAGGTATCGAACATAGATAGTTCACGACAGATGACGAATTGTTACTGTATACTTTCTCCACTCCTAACTCTTTAACAAAAGAAAGCTCAAGTCTCCGACAGCCCTATGTGCAAAGCGTCATTACTCGTACTCGTACTTTTCTGTCGGACCCTCGACGCCTTCATGAATGTCGTCTCCCTTGGCAGAGATTGTAGTTTCGAGGCGAGAAGTCTTGTCTTCGAGGCTCTCAAGCTTTGGTCCATGGCTTTCCCAACTTGCTTAGTGATTGAACGTATTATCTTTAGACGTATCTACCTATACACTATTTACTAACTACCTAGCTATAAAATCTTTCTAATATTAGCGGACTGTGCTTTGCGCTATATAAACGTCTACTTCTTTGCCGGGGGTCGTTAGCTTTAAACACTATTATTAGTATTAGTATCACCAAATGGCTTGGTAAGGCTGAAAGAACCTCCTTCAGCAGCCAATAAAGGAGAACTCGTTTGGATTGAGGCCAGGGTTTAGAATACCGTGCACACCCTTTTTCTTACAGTACGGAGTACATCGAATCACCGTAGCCTGATTAAACTAGAGATTGCCTCCGCGACCAAAACGTGGGTGCGACTAGCAATATTAACACTCCGTAAGTTGCACGCAACCATCTGCGACTCTAGGCACCGGTTGCGAATAGCTTCATTTCGAGTGCTGCCCGTCGTGTAGCATTATTGTTGCTCTACGGAGTACTCGTTACACGTCGCGTAGCAAGTTACGGAGTATTGTTATTTGCACCCACGTTTTGGTCGCGGAGGCAATTTTCTTACTGTGATGACTTGGGTGTGGAGCGCCTCTGCCTAATCGGGCTAGGGCGATGCCATGCGGAAACGTGCATATGCGGGCAGCGGGTAGAAGGTTGCGACGTGCAACAAACGTCTGCTCACACTCTAATCCCAACCCAGTGTGTCAGCTGACCTAAATGCAGCCGTTGTACCTGCCTTCGGTAGGCATGCGGTAGTTAAGTATTGGAGCCAGTGGTGAACTCACTACTCCGTATTTCGCAAGGGAGGGACAGACGAGTGAAATCCCTTGTGAAAGGAGGATTTGGCTGTACATAGGTACCTATATACAAACTCGAAAAGTACCTATGGTAACAGTCAAGCTTTCGTTCTATGTCCCTTCTCATATAAATTTCCAGACATTGATAGATGTCAGCCCGGGACCCCAACGCCATCGCTAAATCAACCAGGTCAAGGAGAATCCCATCCCAAACCCTCATTTCTTCGAGGATCCAAATCCAACAATACCCATGCTAGCCATCATATCGTCCTCGTCGTGCTCGCCCTCAATCCTCACATCATCCCCATATTCCTTCTTAACCTTAACCTCCTCCTCTTTAATAGCCTTCTTCTTCTCCACCAAGTCCCTTCTCTTCCTCCTCCTTTCCTCCCTCTCCTTATCGTCTTCCATCTTTCTAACCTCCAACCTCTCTCCAAGAGTCTTAACATCTGCCCTCTTCTCGTCTATGATCTTCTCCCAAATCATAGTAATCCTGTCATGCACATCCTCCGCCGTCGCCCGCCTAACTTCGCCCGTCTGCCCAATGGCCCGAAGATGCTGCATGCTATTCTCATGCTCCACCCACTGCAAATTATCCTTGAACGTCAAATCGCAAGCCTGGCAATAGAAACCCGCTCCACGACCTCTCTTCCCCGTCGCCGCCCCGGCCGGCACCAGCATCACTTTTCCTACATTGCTCGCGACATCTAGTCGGGAGGCTCGCGCCTCTGTAAGAGTTTCGTTCCCTGTGAGGGGCACATGGTATTTCTTTCCGGCGAGCTTCGCTTCATAGCGCGCTTTTCTTTCTTCCTTTTCTTTGGATTCTCGCTCCGCCGCCTTCGCGGCGTATTCCGCTCGGTCGTATTTCTTGCGGAAGTCGGTGTCCGAGGCAGTTGTTTCGTAGGCCCCCTTGTTGGCAGACATGGCTGCGAATTGGTTGGCAGAGAGAGGGGAGGTTTCGGTAGTATTGCCGTTGTAAAGAGTCGAGGATGGCAGGATATAGGTGCAGTGGCAAGGCTGTTGATGGTTGAAGCTTGGACGAGGTTGCGCAAGTGCAGGAGCTTCGAAATTGTTGATGTGAAAGCGGTGTGTTGTGGCAGAATCTTCAGAATTTCCCCACACGGATGAGGGGCACAAAATTATCATACTGCTGCACAACGAAAGGATAGACACAATCATTTCCATAGTGGAACACCACATTAGTCAAAATGCTTTATCTAATAGGCCTCGGTCTATCCGATGAGACAGACATAACGGTAAAAGGCCTAGAAATCGCGCGCACAGCTTCGCGAGTCTACCTTGAAGCATACACCAGTATTTTACTTGTCGATACGGCTATCCTCGTAATGCTCCCCCTAGGTCATTTCTTTATTTCTTACTTTACCCAAGCAGAAATTGAGAGCTGACGCTGATATACAGTAGGAGAAATACTATGGACGAGAAGTTATTGTTGCAGACAGAGAGATGGTCGAGTCAGCAAGTGACGAAATCCTACGAGATGCGCAAACCGTCGACGTAGCATTTCTCGTTGTGGGAGATCCTTTTGGGTTCGTACTTCCACTCATCCTAATTACTATCCCGCCCCATATACTAACTCTTCTTATATAGAGCGACGACACATACCGATCTCGTTCTCCGCGCTCGCTCGCTCCAAATTCCCATCAGCACCATTCCCAATGCCAGCATCATGTCAGCCATCGGATCCACCGGTCTTCAACTCTACAATTTCGGGCAGACAGTATCCATGGTGTTCTTTACTGAGACATGGAAACCTGCATCCTTCCACGACCGCGTCCGAGAAAATCGCGACATTGGACTACATACACTCATCCTTCTAGATATAAAGGTCAAGGAGCAGAGTTTGGAGAATATGGCAAGGGGAAGGAGGATTTATGAGCCACCGAGGTATATGACTGTTGGGCAGTGCGCAAGCCAGATGCTGGAGGTGGAAGAGATTAAGAAGGAGGAAGGCGAGGGGAAGCATGGTGTTTATGGGGAGGAGAGTTTGGCCATCGGAGCAGCGAGGGTGGGTGGCAAGACCGAGAAGTTTGTCAGTGGGACGTTGAGGCAGCTTTGTAGTGCGGATGAGGAACTAGGAGGGCCGCTGCACAGCTTAGTGTTGCTAGGAAAGAGGACGCATGAGCTAGAACATGACTATGTCAGAGAGTTCGCGGTGGATAAAGAAGTGTGGGATAGGATTTGGAAGAGGGATTATGAGGGACAACAATAAGTCCAATTTAGGCCAAAAGAAAGCCGTCCTATTCAATTGCTACAACAGTATTACACCTCCCGACTTTTGATACTTTTACAAACCTGGCTTCCAATGCAGCCACCCGAAGCAAACACCAACACCATGCTAAACCGACATAAACGTATTGATCGCTCACTCCTCTCGGATAGTTTTCTTTTTACCAAAGAATCCTCTCAATCCGGCGCTCCTAGGCGTCTTAATATCCTCGTCCTCACTCCCAAGACTTGAACTTCCCAGATCCGAAACCTCCGGCGCCACTCTCTCCTCATCCCCACAAACCACCACGAACCACTCAATCTCCGCCCCCTTGTGCACCCCATCCCTCAACTTCTCAAACCATCCCAACCTCCTACTCTTCCTCCTAATATCCCTCGCACTCAACCCCTCACCAAGACTCCCAGGCCCACCAGGGGAAACGAGTTCCTCCTCAGCCCTCATCATTGCGTCATATTTGGCCATCTCCTCCGGAATCGAAACCCCGAGTTCGACTTTAACGAAGTAATCACCGACGTAAGCGTACGGCTGGCTGGTAGAATGCATGTCGGCGGGGTTATATTGTTCGAGGATTTTGACGACACTCCAGTCGTTGAAGCTCGGCGCGTCCTTTTCGGCAAGCGTTGAGGTGCTTGTGTTTGCATTGGTGCTAGGCGGCGACTCTAGATGCGTGCCATTGCGTCCATGGCGATTCTTATCTCCATTCTGCCCATTCGCAATGCCGCTTTGACGCTGCGTGTTGGCAATGCTCAGCGCGGACGATCGCCGTGCGCGTACCGATAGGGAGGACTTCAGCGATGCTCGTGAGCTCGTATTCCTTTTCGTCAGCCGCCGCGGTGGTTCTTTCGTGGATGCTTCCTGTACCACGACTTGGGTATGTGGAGCTGGGAGTGCATATGAGGATGGTGGTGGGCTACTAGGCGGCAGGAAGTCGTAGAGCGTGTAGAAAGAGTTGAGCAGCGTGACGGAGGTCGCTGGCGCGACTATCCAGTCTGAGGCTGCGTCTTCGAGATCCTGCCGAGCGATGTAGATGCGAATTGCCCAGCGCGGCCAACGGAAGCCGTGTACGAGGTAGGTTGGCATTGTGACTAGAGTAGAGATGTCGCCAACAAATAAATTGTACTTTTAGTATGAAGCTTTATTGAGGAAGTTTTAATGGCCAAATGGGGAATTCGATCTCCAGGGGAATATCTTTTAGGTGAGAGATCGAGATCTGGTTTCGTCAAGATGATGACTAGATCACTCTATGCTTCAATGCAATGCAACGACCATTCAGGCTGAAATTGTTGACGAATAGAGGCGCGGTCAGGGATCGATACGGGCCAAGCAAGGCTTAGTGTCAGCCTCTTGTTGATAACTGGATCCTTTCTTCGTAAGCTAGTTCTTGGAAAAGTCTCAAGGAGATAATGCAGTATTTCTAGTTCTCAGCAAAATGCTGAGTATTTTCTTGCTAAGACTTTTTGCACATGATTAGCAGGATAAGATCTGCTTTTATTACCCGTATCCCCCTAACCCATGTATACTCCGTATGGGTGGAGTATCCCGTATTTATGAGGAAATGGACGCTTCCCTGTATCAATCCAAACCCATGGTTGTTTGTGGCGTGTTGTACGTTTTCTAGCGTTCTCCAGGCGACGGCCCGGGGCTGATCCCGGCCGCTAAGTTGCCCGTTTATGGCGTAGGAAGATTAGTAGATGTTTCAGGAACCCAGTACTTTGTGCAGTACCGTACAATGAACGACCGACATTGGACGGTGGACGTGCCTAATAGGAAAGTTACCATTATTCGGTTTGCCTCGAACCGATTTCCCGGAACATCTCGGCCCGTGCAACTCACGCCATCCTCCGATTTTGACTCCAAGGAGTAATGCTATTTACAACTGGACACGCTTCTTAATGTAAATATCAAGAACGGCACAAAGGCGGAGTGCGAAAGCGTTTGGTAACAAAGCTGGCAATTCGAGTAGACCGCTCTCGCCAGCGGACAACGACCTATAATAGGCGAAATAAAAGAGCCAAAAAAGCCTAATATCTATTACGATTTTACCAAGGCAGGAACAGGAGGCAAAAATATTATTTGGGCATTCCAAAAGGCAAAAGAGTTCGGCCCGGTCGATTGCCTACATCTCTTGTCGATTTTGGTAGTGTGTCGTGCTTTGTCGCTTTTGCCCAATCGATCCTCTCCAGAAGACAATTTGACCGGAACCACTTAACCAAGTGGCCGCCCTTGTCTTCCTTAAAACACAAACTGCTTGCTTATTTTGATTTATAGAGGGTAGGTAGAATAGGCGGGGAGGAGATACGCATGTGACTCGCGGTCACTCGGCTGTATGGTTACCCAAGTATACAAAGAACAAGTTAGACTTCCTTGTGGTATAAAGTGATACTCCCTGCTGCATTTCTCTATATGTGTAATCGTAGCACCCATCATACCTATTATTACAACCGACAATACGAGCTCAATCGATATCAACGAGCACATTCTGGCGAGCTAAGCACTGTTTGCACAATCGTCGGCTACAAAGGAAAGAGAGAAATGGTATTTCCAGAAGTGATCATCAAAGGTACTTTTCTACTGTCGTTCTTCGATTTCATAGTATGGTACTTTGAATGGGAGAATCTCCAATGCCTGTTTGTTCATTTCCATCATGATTCATACGTGTATACAGCCATATATATACATGCAGGATGGCCTATTACGTCCAGTTAGGTAGGGTATATATTCAACGCCGGGGCAGCCTTTCCAAAACAAAAACCGTCCATATCCAAATGTCTTGACTCCTGATATGCATTATCGGAGAGCATCGGCCCAAGATATGTAGTAAAATCATCCACGCCAATGCACAATCATTGCTCGTCCCGAGATTCAGTCTGTGCCTCATCCTGAGACGATTCCCGCGATGCTTCTTGCGATGTTTCCTGCGATGCTCCCGAAATCGTTTCTAGATACTGTCTTAATTCCATAGCATCCTCGAGAATGGCCGGAATCAATGCCTCAAACCCTTGAGTCTTGTGTTCCTGCTTACGACTCGCCCTCTCCAATACACTGATCCGTTCTGTATTTTGAAGCTGCATCCGCTTCATTTCTCTCTCGTTCTTCTCCTCCAATGCCTTCATCCTCGCATCCGTCTGCGCAAAGTGTACCGTCAGCTGAGCGCGGAGATCCTCCCTTAAGTTCTTTTCACTGGCAAATTGCCTGTCAAGTTTCTCGGAGTGGAGCTGAAATTTCGCTTCTAGGTCATGGATGTGGTCGTTTTGATGCATTGTGGCAGCTTCTAAGGTTTGAATGCGGTCTAGCAAGTGGCTAGCCTGCGCATCGCTTGTATATTCTAAGTCGTCGAGACTCTTTTGAACGACTTCAAGTTCATCTTTATTTTGCTTCTCAGATCTTGTTAACCGCCTGTTGAAGTCTTCCAATTCGCCACTGCTTTTCTCGGCGATATCGGTTATCGTGTATTCCAACCTAAGCAGCACCTCCTTTTGCTTCTCTGTTGAGCATAGCCGCTTTGTTAATTCCCGGATTTTGCCTTCTTGCGTAGTCGCGTGCCACGAGAGTAGGCTGTCTATCTCCGTAAGGTGATCAGCGTGTTTTGACTCTGAAGCGGATTGCTGCTCAGATAGAGATTGGTATTTTTCCTCATTCCTCTTTAATACCTCGAGAATTTCTGCTACGTGATCACCCTGTGCTGTTAGCTTCCGTTCTAGGGAAGCTAATCGAACTTGCATAACATTAATATGCATAGCCTTTGATGAAGCATCATTTTGTAAAGCATGTAAATATTGCGCCCTAGCAGTCTCTAGGTCTGGTTGTCCTTTTTGCGCGAAGACCATGAGCGGTTCTGTGGGTATTTCAAAATCGATCGTCTTAGAGGTTGGTATAAAGGTATTTTGATGAGCTTGATTTGATATCCGCGCAGTTACGTTGGCTCTGTGAGCCTTCGATTTTAAATGGGCCTCGAAATTGTGAACAGAGGTAGCGCTTGGTTTGAAGGTACGATCATCGCAGTCTGAACATTTTATTAGGCTATTTTCAGGTTCAAAATGATCGTCGGGATATTTTGCGCGGAGTCTTTCAACACCAGCAACTAGCCATGCCGGAGACGAATTCTGCTATCGTTAGACGTGTTTGAGCTAAAAGTAGTTTGGAATACGTGCCGTCTTTTCCATTTTTAACATTATATTCTGGAAATTATCCAATTGCCGCAACTGGTTGAGGTCCATGGGCTTGAGAGGACTTAACACATGAGAGGGTGCCGAGCGTCGCCTGTTTGCTGACTGGGGGGTGCATAGCCGCTTCGCAGGCCGTCGAGGATCCGAATATGAGAGTTTAGAGGGACTGAAAGGTTCATTGCTACTCGAGGCATCACTCGCAGCAATTTCAAGAAGTCGTCGCCGCTTTCTGCTAGGCGTTTCACATGTTGGATCTTGCGGCTGCTGTGGAGGGTGGACTGCTCCTCGTATCATCTCAGCATACGCTTCAGCGTGTCCTGGAAATTTGGAATTAGTGTGCAGGGAGCATCCAAGGGCAAATGCCTGCTTACTGATAGCATCCGTACTCAAATTATCTTCAGGCTGCTCCTGAGCCCCTCCTTCACATTCCTCAAGTTGGGTCTCCTCCTCTGTTTCCGCCTCAGCAAAGGCCCCCTCAACCTCGTCTTCAGAAGTGTATCTTGGCACGGAATAATTGCTGAGAGAGCCATTCGCTGCTAGTTGACCCAGAACAACTCTCGGTCTCTTCCTTTCCTTTGCCATGACCTGAACCATTTGGCTTTCTCCTTGTATCATAGCTTCTTTTGCTGACCTGTATCCGAACTTCCCACTACCATCACCAGTATTCTCCTTCTCATGATGCCCATGTATCCCCAGCATGGACTCCATAGATTTTTTCGCCACCCACCCTGACATCGTATTTCTATAGCAACTAGAGTAATTGACCTGTCCTGGCGATAGACCTTTCTTTTTTACCACTTCTCCGTATTGTCCGCTACCTCGCGTGCGGGCTTCGATTCACAGCGAATTAAGGATAGAAAATGTGCAATTTCCTACGCCTCGAGTTCTAGCAATCAAAGATAACTTGCCACCTGATCAACTGGGTGGTCAATTGGTTGGGGAGTCGACTTGGACTTTTAAAGCATCGTAGGTCGTCGTGGGATAGTCGCGTATATCATGGGGTGCAACGCGACAAAGTAAACATGTGGCCCGTGCACCAGTGCCGTACCCCTGTCCTGCTGGCACAAATACCCCTGTCGTTCACGACTTGATACCATAGATCTACCAAAAACAACCATCAACTTTCAAAAACCTGCCACCGACTTCTTCACCGCTCAAAACTAGTTCATTGAATAGCTCATGGTGCATGGTGATATCTGGCTTGTCTTTTGAGGATATCGACGTTTTGCTGAGGTTTTGCAGCAAAAGTCGCATACTAAGCAGATAGGTATCGCCTTTGACCATAGTGACCTGCTAATTTGACCTTGCCTATGGGTGTTACTCCTGTTGCAGCCTCCACAGTAGCAAGATGACGTGCAGCCGCAAAAAATTTCGTGGTGCAGGCCCAGTTCACATATCAGTAGGACGTTCCAAGCATTTGATTTGGACCGCCGAGCCACGAGACCATGCGAGCGAGCAGAGGCTTGCAGCTCAAATCCACACAGAAATGATAAATAAGCAAAATCGGAGAGAGGCAGCAAGGGGAAGGGGTCAGGGTCGAGGTCGAATGGATCGAAGGCAGGAAGAGCCCGCTAGAATTGCACGAGAACAACCTCCCGCTTCTTACGCCGCTGAAGTCAAGCCCGAGCACGACAAGCAGTGGGGAGTACTGCCAGCATGGAAGCCCGAAGAACTCGAGCGCCTTGGTCGGTTGAATCTTCGGAGTGGACTGGCGGCAGTAAATGCTACGGATTCATCGATCACTGCTTCGAATCGGAGAGGTCATCAAAACCCAGCCCTCTCTCTACAAAGCTCATTGCCTCCCGCGGAACGACTTGGTTTTGGCTTCTCTGATACTCGCAGCGGAAATCCATCACTCTGGAACCCGCCACCACCTTCAGCTCCAGCATCCTTTGGTGTTCCAGCTTTCTCCAATAAGCGTACAAGTGAATTTCAGCAGCACACTCGTACCGGCGCGACTTCACGATCTTCTCAAAATCAGGAATCTTCACAGCAGGCTCCCAACAGAGAACCCTCACAGAATACCTATACGGCCCCTCAAAATCCCCATACAGCTGAAATTTTGTGGCAAGAACCATCAAGGCCAGTCGTTCGGTTGCCGCCCGCACCTTTCAACATCCAGACCGAGAATACCTCCCACCAGTGGCAACCAAGCGTCATCAACCCCTCCAAAAGAGTTAAAATTTCAACCTCCCACGACATTGAGCTAGCCCAAGCCCGACTCCGACAAGCAATATTGCAAAGCAGAGCTCAGAAGACAGGCGCATCAGCCCCTTACGACGAAGCAGGAGCAGCAGAACAATCAGATAAGATGGGTCGATCGACGAAAAAGCACATGACTTCTGAGAAGGAGCACATTGCTTCTGAGAAGCAGCAGGCTGTCGATTCAATGAAATCAACACCAATGGCCCGCTCCGGCCTGGCAATTGCAAGCCCACCAACCGTTTCCCAACAAGACCAGCTACCCACCTCCCCTCAAGCCGACCACGAACCACAAGTCGCAGACCGTCAAGAAACAGTTTCGTCACTTCCAGCAGACATGGCAGCCTTCGAAAAGCTGAACTATCAAACCCAGAAGGACAACATTGTTCTTCGGGATTTGGTAAATCTCTTGACCGAGGAGAAGGCGCAGCTGCGGGATATGAATGCAGAGCTACAGCGCAGACTACGCGGTGTCAAGAACTCGATCTCAGCTTTTGTCCGAGCCACTCCCGATAACGACTACGATGCGGAGAGGCTGGAGGAGTTGGCACGGAAGCAGAGGGAGCTGATTGAGGAGCTGGAGTTCTGATGTGATACTGACATCGTTCATGGAAGGTACCTAGACCCGGCGTTGATGGAAGGGTACACATGGCGTTGATGGAGCTGTAGATATAGAAGGTGTTGTAGGCGGATGGTGGTTCATGCCCGGCGTTTCCACTAGCAGGCACCTTTATTCAAGCCGCTAGACGGGCTTCTTGTATTCCCGCCAACTTTGACTTGGAACCACTGTGGGTATAACAAACAATAAAGTACAATAACTCCATAACTGTTCATTTGCACATTTGTAGAGTACTAGGAGCTACCCTACTAGCAAGAGCTTTCCTGCGTACCGTATACCATACGCTATTCGCTTCCAGCTCCTCCGATCCCCAACTCATCCACACCAAGGAGCTGTAGGCTCGTGAGATAAAGTGCATATCTGCTTCTACAACAGGAAGACAGGAACGTATTTTGTATGAAACCTGTCCTGAGGACGGTTACTGTACGAAACAAGCCGCTTGCTGCACTTGCATCAGCAGACTAAGCCAAGAAGACGCCATGAGGAAACGTACGCGCTATTTAAATCGAAAGTATTGATTTTATTTATCGACTTATAGCCAGAGCTACAGCTACAAGTCCAACAACCACCCTTCAACCCCACCCCATTAGCTCAAGTAGGCACGCACCATGCCCGGTCAATTCCCCATACCCACCCAACCAATCCCCATCACCTCATCAGCCAATCCAATCCCGCTTATCTCATCAATCAACCCAATCCTTAAACCCCAATCCTCCTTTTTAAACGAAGACCATCACCAGAAGAAGGTATTTCGTATACACACATCAGCACCATAGACTTCGTAAAGAAAATACGCAAAACAAGATCGTTCAACAGGGAACAGAACCCGGCGCAATCTACCCAATTTCCCCCTCTCCACCAACACCCCATATGTCCTCCAAAATAGGCGTAAATATAAACTCTGGGTAGCAAAAATAAACAGAGGAATATATAATCAACCAAACGCATTCACAGATCGCTACCAAAAGGTTGCGAAAGAACAATAAGCAAGCATAAAATTGTAAAGGGGTATCAGCCAACATCGCAAGGGTATCTCCAGCTGAACCAGCAGGAAAACGTTTTGAACGATATGTGCATAAGAAGAAATGTTCTCCGCAAGTTTCCGATAAAAAAGGTATATAAAAATCGTGGGGAAGGCGGATGCGTGCTCATTCTCGAAGGCGCGAGAAACAAGTGCGGGCAATAAAAATTACGTAAGTCCAGACGCATTAGAATGATATAGTCTTATAAGGCGCAAGAAGAATGGGATCGATCTGTGGATGGGCGAGTTGACAATGTCACGCATACCCTGTCCATAGATGTAGCGCGGGGCGAGCGACTCCGCGATATGAAGCATGTGCTTAGAAGAGGTATGCCGAGGCGAGGGCAAAGACAGTGGTGAAAGCAACCGCGGTGCTAGAGACAAACATTGTGCTGGCTGCGGACTTCTTGCTGGTGGTCGGTTTGGGGGGCTCTGCGGTTGAAGCGGGACCCATCGCAAGGTTTCCTGTTCCTGAAGCTGACGCCAATGTGCTTGACAATGAAGATTGGTTTTGGAAGAGAATGTGGGGCCCATTCGATGGTAGGATGATGGTAGAAGAGCTGGACTTGCTGCTGGATGAGCTCGACGATGAGCTCGACCACTCGCTACTTGAGGAAGATGGGGTGCTGGAGGGAGGCGCTGGTGCTGATGACGATGAAGGAGTAGGTGTAGGTGTTGGGGTTGGGCTCGGGGTTGGGCTGGGGGAAGGAGAAGGGCTAGGGGAGCTGGAGTCAGCTTTGGAAGACGATGATCCAGAGGAGCTGGAGTCAGACCCGGCGTTGAAGACGACGACCTTGGCCGTTCCGCCTTTAGGCACCGTTACTACACAGAAGTCCGCTCCCCCCGCCCCAGTAGCCTTGTCGGCACTCGTCACACTGGGGATGCTGCTGGAGCCGGAAGCAGGATCGATCTTGCACGGAAGGCCATTGCATCCTCCGCCGGGGCACTCGATACTAACACCAAACTTTGGGGCAGTGCCAGAAAGGCTGGAGCCAGTCCAGATAGGATTCAACCCGATCTTCGCGAAGGTAGTGCCATCAGCCATCGTATTGGCTCCGGCAACATACGGCGCCCAGTTTCCATGAGGCTTTGACTCATCACCCCAGATGCATCCATCATCAACACTAACTCCGGGAGGGTTGATATAGTAGCTGGGACCCGTTAGTAGGCACGAGAAAAGGGGATGGGCCAACGTACTGAGCAGCGGTGGCCAACCAGTAGCTTGTGTCTGGAACCGCTAGGTCGGAGGATCCAGTGACATGTGTGGGAATCAGCATTGCCTCATTTCCTGGCAGAACCGTCTGGCAAAAGGCAATGCCTGATCCACAGTTGCTCTGCGCACCCAGAGCACCACTGCCAGGAACGCAGTATGGCTTGTTAGAGAATGGCTTGCTAATTTGACCATTGTTATCGCAATAGAGACCGCCGTTCTACGAGAGTTAGTGATACAAGTCCCCATCCCCATCTCCAGAGCCGCACGTACCATGGATGGATAACTTGTCGCTTTTGGATCCCATTGAGCCATAACCTCCCCCGGTGGGCAAGCGTAGGGGCAATAGTTGCCCGGCTTGCACGGTTGATCAGGACTCATCGCCCAGCCAGCATTTTGCGATCCAGGTGTGACGGCAACCAGGCCCGCATCGCTCGGGAAAGCGCAGGTTCCACGCTTCTGCAGTCCACCTTCGACACCTTCGGCGCGCGACGACTCGGATGTTCTCTTAAGGCTGTGATCGTGTCGCTTCCCAAATGCGCCCAAATGCGACAGACGGTGGGCATGCTTCGCCTCGCAACCCGCCGACAACACCAGCGCAGCGACGCCAATGGTCGCCTGAATATCGACGAGCTTCATGATATGGACGATATGCGAGTCCGATCAATGGTTCGTCGAGTAGCACTCGTGGGGCGCTGCGAAAGACTGCTCGTTCGAGTTGTCTGCCCTCCCTTTTCCTGATCTCGGTTGTTTGTGTGGTATATATATACGTAGAATTTTGGATGCCAAAGCCTGCAGTGGATGTGATCGAAATAGCAAAACAGCAGATATGCAACAGCGCAGACTGATCAAAAGAATGACTGTAGTGAGTCGCGACAAGAGCAACGAACGTGGTGGGAAAGCTGAAGCTGAAGGAGAAGAGGGCGAAACGAAGGAAGGACTGTGCGATGCGGTGCGGTGCGGTGCGATGTGGATACATCGAAGAGCGAAACGGGACAAAACAACACAGAAACAACGTAAAGAAAGGAGCAGGAATCGAACCTTGAAGCCGGGGACCCCCCAGCCAGGCACCGCGCAAGGCCGTTCCTTGAGCAGCCGCAAAGCGCAAATGGTCAATATTCCGAGTCTCTGACTGAGCCTGGCTCCTTCCCAGGCTTCTCCCCCCGCGCTCTCCATGAGCGGAGGACAAAACAATCTCAGCCCCTGGCTTAGAGCGCGATCTTATTTCCTGCCACGCCAATCAAGCGGGCTCAACTCGCCCAAGTGTCTTGGTCGGGCTCGGTAGCCCGCCGCTTGTGCCTGGCGCTTGTCGCAAAAGAAGCAGGATCCAGCAGATTTAAGATTGCCCTCGCGCTCCCTGCCGGGGCTGCTGGCGAATAGAGCAGAATTAAAGCATAAACATCGGGCAAACTTTGATTTGATTTGGCTCCTTTCGTCCAGATCCAGATCCAGGTCTATTGATCCTGATTTCAGAGGCAAACCCCCCAGGTGCCCCAAAGATTGCGGCCCTTTTACCAGAGATTCTGGTCGCGGCTGGAGTGGTGATGGACCTGATGATTAGCTGTGTCTGTGGTGTGCTGAAGAAATAATGTCGGGGTTGCTGTGCTCCCGATGGTTCCAATTATCCTGGAGCCCCGGCTTTTCATTCTTCTCAAACCCGACCATGTCTGGTCTGGCGATAATAGCTCACGGTGCTGTACCCATATCGATAGTCTGTCCCCCGTGTCCAGCACGGAGATATAGTTCGTACCGTGGTACGATTCCGTACGAAGTATAATAATGGCGTTATGTTCCCCGCAAACTCGGTTCGATGGAGTGGACACCGTGCATTTGAGTTTCCATTCTTCGTACTCCGTATTGCCGAAAGTCTTACTTCGTACTGATACGAAGTACTCCGTACGGCAGATGTGTATCGATATGGAATGATGATGATAGTGATAAGACAACACTGCTAATGTAAGCGGAAGCACAGCGTCGCGTCGCGTCGCGTCGAGCTACCGTACTTACTGTAGCAGCCAGTTGTAGCGATGATAATTCGCGAGATAGATGGCCCAGACTCCCATGCCCTTTACAGACCATCGGCTCCTAATCCAATCAAGCAATGAAACGTATAGGGATCTTGCTACGTAGTAAAACGGTTTGGTTTTCGAACAGGAGAACGAGGGCTGGGGAGGGGGATGCTTAGCAACGTCCTTGATACAAACAACTACGAGCTTAATCATAAAAATCTGCCATTTTGCTCCCAGATATTATTATTGCATTATACATTATACAGCTTTCATTATGCATTATACAGATTTCCCCACAACTTCATGGCAAACAAATGATCCCGATCTTCGCCTCACCATGTACTTTCCCAAGCGCCGATCACCCGAGAAATATATTCTTACACTCAAGATTCAACTTTACCAGACTTCTAGTATACACTTCCCAACGCCGATGCTGCCATTTCCCCGACGAACGTAAACGCTAGTGCTAGAGGGCTGTCTTTGCTCCTAGATTTTGAAAGTGATGACTAGGTAATAGTCAAGGATAATCGAAGCGCCGGGAGGAATTTGGGCGGGAATTCAGGCGACCGGTGGCGGTAATTCATCTGGCAAGACGGGAAAAAGTGGCAAGTGCTTGGCACATGTCAATAGTTATCATTTTCTCAACTTTAATAGTCACCATTTTTGCCAAATCGCCTCTGTCCTGACATGCATCCTCCAGTCTCTTGCACCACTCCCCAGATGCGAACGTATGGTAAGTCAGGCCAGGCAGTTGGTGCAGGGCCAAACCAGTTATCATTTCATATATAACAACGCCCAACGACCAGATGTCGACTCGGAAGTCTTGCGAAGCGGCAGAGCACATCTCTGGTGACCAGCAGAGTGGAGTTCCAACGAAAGTGGCCTTGGAATCTAACTCTTTGGAGAGGCCAAAGTCGGCCAGGCTAAAGACGGGACCCGTAACTAGATCCTTGAAAAGGGTATTTTCTGGCTTGATATCTCGATGGATGATATTCTCTCTATACAGATAGTATAGGCCTTGGTAATGTCCCTAGCGATATGAGTAATCTATTTATTCACCATTTTCGAATGCCGATTCCTCTTGTCGTCCAGATAGCCGCGCAGCGACCCTTCAGCAGCAGACATGAATATTTCGATTGGCCGTCCAAGCTCCCAGCGCTGTGAATGTATATTTTCAACAATGTGCGGCTGTGTCTGACCATGAGCCAATGCCCCAAGTATAACAAGCAGTACGTCGAACTCACGTGTGATAGCTTGGCTAACAGTTCCACTTCGCGTTTGAGCGCTTCCTTCGTCTCCTTTTCTTTCTTTCGTTGGACAGTGACGATCTTGACAGCCATTATGCCGCCCCACTGAAGATCAATGACTCGACTCATACGCCCGCAACTTCCTTTCCCTAGGTACTCAAGTTCATGATAGGTTACCAAACCACGGATCTTATTTTCTGGTATCTGAGGTGTTTGAATCCGAGTTTGGTAATGAGTTGGTGGAAGACCCATAGCGGGAAGGGTCACCTTGGAATCGAAAGGTAATTTCCTAGCAGCTAGCGCTGTCCTCTCATCTATACCACGGTCCCACCACCTATCTATCACAATCAGCGATGGGAAGATAACACTAGAATCAAGCTTACCTTTGCCGAAGAATTCAACGAGGAATTCGGCAGGCCCTACAGTGAGACCCCAATGTCGAATTTCGAGAAGTGCTCGTTGCTTTAGTATACCAGTAGATGTGCTAGAAAATTTCCACAGATTAGAATCGATCTTCCGTGGGCATGTCTTCGTTGTACTTCCAGAAGAGTCATCTCGGATCAGAAGAGTGTTCTTCTCCAAGAAGAGCTGGCACTGCCTCCGTGAAAACTCCCGTGAAAGCTGTTCTGGGAGTCCTGGAGGGCCGCAGACTACACTAAAGGCCCTGTCCCTCCCGAACGTCAAGATACAATCTGGCTTGAAATAGCCTTCAAAAGTAGCATTATCTTATTCCCACCGTCTGCACTGGAGGTGACACAGTCTCGGTTCCGGGTATCGTTGATAATTGCTCTTGCAATATCATTCTCTAGAGAGATTTGGAACCAGCGCTTGTCTGCCATGGAAAGATTTGCGGTGGAAAGATTTGTGGATGTCACTTGGATGATTGCAAGAAAATAAAAAGAATCATAATAATGGGCAGAGAAACATGGCCACCAGAGCTGTTGGCAGCTGGAAACATTTCGCAATAAAGAGTCACGGCTACCTACCTACCTATGTAGGTACCTACTCGTATTTGATAAGCGCTTAACGCATCTATTTGCTGTCGGCACATCAAAGCCATGTGCAGGGCATCTACTCTGTACCTTATGCTGAAATCACTGCCAACATGAGTGCCCTGGCCCAACCGAAATATTAGGGGCGTCACATTCCCCGGCTTCCTCTGGCGACTAAATTGACTGGTCAATATTCTGGTTCTTTGTGCTGCGTACTCTGTAAATATATTCTTTGAACCTTATCATTAACAAATCATCCTCTTTTTTCCTCTCGATATATGAAAACCCGGGGAAGAGATTTACCAACAACGATGGATCTGGATATAAAAGCATTGGATGGCAAACTCAACGCCGTGCTAGACATGCCCGCTAAAGATCCTGATCATCCCGTCTCCCGTTCCGCGTCGACGTCGTCGCTGGCTAGCACATCCTCCGAAGCACTTAACTATCATTCAATGCTCGTCCACGCCAGGGAGTCCCTTACAGAAGAAGAACAAGCACGACGGGCCGAAATCGAACACTTGCGTCAACAACTTTTGGACAATGATCCGGAACGAAGAGTGATGCGCGAACAACGGGAACGGGAAGAGGAAGCAATCAAAACTCTCGCGATGTGTGCGTGGGTCACATGCCCAGCATACGAGAGTGAGGCCTCACGACTCACGATACGCCGCGCAGCAGAAGACAGTTCGAGGAATATTTCGGGGGAGGGAGGTACACCGATATGGGCTGAGAATGACCAACGATCCTTGGAACTTCAGCGGCAGAAGGAAGACTATCTTCAAGTGGCGAGAAGTTTGTCGATATTTTTGGCTGGTGATGAGGAATCTGAATGTGAAGGAGTCTTGCGCTATCGACTGCGAAATGTGAAGACCCTGCTGCGGCGCTACAAATCTCAGTGGCATAAATCCAATAGCCGTCTTCGGCAAGATGCGCACAAGAGAAAGCAGCGCGTCTCTCAGGAGATGTCCTCAGGTGGCCTGCCGCCATTACCTATAGCGGATATTTCCTCAGTCACGCTTCAGCTTTCCCTTCTAGTGACTAATAAATAAGTTAAATTATTTTTGGGTCTACTGTGCGAAAGTGGTTAACCCTATACAACTATATTGAACGTGACCAAGTCGTCTCCCAGGGAACCGAAACAGGATCCTCCTAAAAATATATTTCTAACTATAAGGCAGATCCTTTTTGCAATATAGTATAGCTATTTGAAGTTAATATAAAGCTTCTATTTAATGAAATAACTACAACTTATATAGAAATTCGTCCTAATAAAATACAGTCTTAGTACGTAGACCGACAGCGTTCCTTTCATCAACGCACTGTATAGGCTCTATCCGCTCGCCCCGGGACAGGCTCCTGAGCCCGGTATTTGCTCAAGGCCCAAATACGCAAATGCTATCAATAAGATGCTGTAGCGTATGCCGTGCCGGCTTGTTGTATATGAGATTCATCACCGGTATCACTTCAGTACAGAGTTGGAAGAGCCGCCGCCAAGTTATGCTACCGCTGTACGGCCTTCCGAAAATATGTCCCACTGGACAAGACACAGCTCACGGGGTCTCGTTCCCATACGGGAGGAGTCACCTTCGATAAACATCAATTCTGAGCCGATAGAACTCCCTCTAACTGAACTATCTCGCGAAAGTTCTCTAACTGGACGCGTAGAATTGCCGGACAATAGATTGTATTCGAGAAGATACCCCTTCGGGAGGCTCTATCCTATACAAGAGGAATCACCACCTCCGGTAAATTTCTTGAAGAAGCCAACGTTGCAGAAGGAGACGAATTAGGAGGCGCTGTATTGGTAGACGAATAGCACCTAGACATTGAAATATACACTCGCTATAAATCCTCGATCCCTTCACCAAGGCTCGACCCACTCAGGTGCTGTGGCATGATGATCTTGATAATAAAAACTAGACGGACCTCGCAGATCCATGCCTTGTTCAATCATGCATCTAGTTTGATGCTTTAGTAACTGCCTGTTCATGCGTGAAGTCAAGAATTTCCTACGCCTGGACGCGCTAGGCCTTACTGTAATTGCACGAACGAGCTCCCCATTCGGCTGATTCATCCGTCTTCGATGATTGCGGGGAATCTATCCATCTATACTTAGTAAACTAAAATTCCACACTCGCCGACTACTTCATTGAACATGGCAAACATAGTGCCGTTGCATCTTGGACACCTTTGTCCTTGTTGGCCAGCCTGCTTGAGGCTACACCTAATACAGCGGAGCCGAACTGCGGAGTTTGAGCTCATATTTTCAGTAATTAGTCGATTGGATCGAAGTTGTTTTTGGTATCTGGATGGCCTTTGGCTTGTTCGAAAGGCTGGTATCTTGTAAAAATGTTAATAATCTCTATTGAGAAAGGAAAGATAGTGCAGGGGTCCATGGAGTCTTCTTTTACATCCATTAAAAAGACTGATTCAAATCTTTGGTTAGTCATAGTTTGGCATTCATCTTACATTTTCTCAACCAAATATGGTAATAAGTTGATTAACTATATTCGCTTTGAGTAAAGTATAGTGAGCTTGCCAGACTCGTTATTTTCAATTTATTCTCTCTAAAGCAGAGGAACCTCGACCACTCTTTATTGTAATTGACGCAGGGGACGAACGAAGGAACGGATGTCTTCGGTCATGAGCTTCGGCTCCTCTGCTGCCCCGAAATGTCCTCCACTGGGGAACAAAGTCCATTGGCGCAGATCGCTATGCGCGGCAACGATTGAGCGGGGCGTGTACATCAAGTCCTTAGGCATTACGGCAACAGCCGTCGGTACGCTTATCTCGGGCTTGATGTCATTGACCAGCGCCATGGGCTGGTGAAATGCGGAAGCCCGGCAAAATAGCTCCGACCCGATGAAGCTGTTCGTGAACCAGTAAAGGGAGAGATGCGTGAGCAACGTGTCTTTGTCAAACTTAGTTTCAACATCTCCATGGCAATCGCTCCAGGCGCGGCGACGAAGGAGTATCCACGCCGCCAGACCCACGGGGCTATCGTGGATCGCCCAGGCAAGGGTCTGTGGGTCAAAGGCATTGATCAAGACATGGAAGAAGGCTCCCGGGCCTCTGTCCTGTCCTTCGACCAGAGCCCGTTCTTCCGGCGTGAAAATGGCAGGGTCAACAGTGTCGTGTGACACGCCGGGCAGAATGGGGAAGCTTAGATGCACGCCTATGACTGATTTGGGATGCGCATGTCCGAGTCGAGCGCTCACGAACGCGCCTGCGTCTCCTCCATGGGTGACGAACTGCTCATAGCCAAGTTCTCGCATCAGCTTGACCCACAGATCGGCTGTTTCGATATAGCCCACACCGTTCCGCGGCAGCGGTCCCGAGAAATTAAAACCCGGCAGTGAAGGTACGACAACATCGAAAGAATCTTCGGGGCTGCCACCGTATGCAACAGGATCGGCTAGCGCCATGATAACGTCTTTGAAGTCCCAAAACGTCCAGGGCCACCCATGATTCAGAATAATAGGAACGGGGTTGGGTCCCTTGCCGCGCACATGGATGAAATGAATCGGCACGTCGTCGATCTCGGCGCGGAATTGCGGGAAGCTATTGATAAGTGCTTCTTGCGCGCGCCAGTCAAAACCATCCTGCCAATAGGTTATGAGCTCGCGCAGGTAGGTGCCGTTGACTCCTTGAGACCAGTCGCTGTTGTTAAGTTCGGGCGCCCAGTGCGTGTTGGAAAGGCGCGTACGAAGCGCGTCTATCTCACTTTGAGGTATGTTGATCTTGAATGGTTCAATCTTCATTGTTACTGTTTGTTGAACGCAGTTAAATTGCTTCGGTTCTGTTGTGTGGCTGTGAAATGCGGGGTGCGATTGAAGACACGGCACTCACAGTGACCCGGATCGGTTCAGCAGTCTCACTGGCAATAGGTATGATCAAAGAATTCCTTTTATCCTGTTTTGATAGTGCGAGTTGTACACATCAATTTTATGAGCTCAGGAAGAGGAAGAGGGGGTTAGGATGGATGCTTGGGGGAGTTATACAAAACAAGGCACGCGCACAGACCAGAAGGAAGCATGAGTCAATCTAACTCGTCAGTCAACGAAAGTCCTGGAGGGTTCAGGAAGGTTCGAGAATGCAATATAAATTTGGGGCCAGCTAAATCGTTATGCTAAGATAATTCTTTTAGAATTCTTAGGTATATATATTTAACTTGCACTCCTAACTAATTAGTACTGGATTGCAAGACGTGTATATGCTAATTAAGTTGCGACTTAAAAACATATATTAAAATAAGATTAAAAGAACAGAGCAATTCCCAGATTTGCAACTCGACAGTAGCAGCGTTGTCGATCTCAAGCTCACTATCCTATGGTATATACTTTAATTACTTGAGCAGCAATGTCACTAATAGCCATAGTTGGATCTGACTGGTATTGTTATGAACAGTTTGTACACACCACTGATATATAGAAACCAGGTCTCGTATAGTAGAAGATAGAGCAGAGCGATTTGATGGAAGGCCTGCGGATTGCGTTGCGTTATATTCCGGTATTGAACTTATGTATACAGTGACGTTTACTAAGCAGTGCTCATATGACCGGTCATCCGAGCTCCGATGACCACACGTGACTCTACATAGAACATTTATAAAACGTTTTTCAAATGCTTACTAAGTACTTGTAGCGCTCTAATTCATAGTCCTGGCGACTAATACAGGGCTAGGCCCAATTGAGCCTAGCCAGCAACTCGTTTTCCAATCAATCTGAAATCTACTTCTACTATTTCTACTAACTCTACTTCTCCTATCCTGTCTACTTCTACTACTACTAGCTATTCCTATTTCTTCAAAATAAGTATAATATATATTATTTATCGATCTTTACTCAATTATATTATATATCTAACGTATAAATTCAAAAATAACAAAAATAGTAACTTTAATAGTTTTATATATTATCACGAATTTACTAAATCTAACTTTTACTTTACTCTTTCACTTTCACTTTTACTTTATTTTAAATATATTTTTATTATTATTTAGTATATTTACTAACTAATTTTAGATTATTTTCAATATATTTTCTAACTATTTTCTAAATGTTTTATATTATAATACTATTGTCTATTAATAATCGTACTAATATTTATATTAACTTAGTTAATCGTTTAACTAATATTAGTATATAAATTATTGAAAATATAAATATTTTTTAAACGTTTTCTGAATATTATCTAATTATATTAAAAAAGTATACTAGTAATTCTAGCTAATAAGATATTCTGTAAATATATAAATAACGAGAATATTATATACTTTATTATAATAAATTCTTTCAATTCTTTATTATTTTCTAAATATTTTCTAATTATTTTATATAATATAAATATAAAAGTACTAATATTTTATAAATATATATTCGTCGCAATATTGAAAATAGTAGTTATAATATTAAAGTCAAAGATAGAATTAAAAGTTGAATAAAGAATATATATAAATCGAGTTCTATATATTTTGAAAACGTTTTCTAACTATTTAGTCTAATTACTATACTTCGAAATTAACTTTTACTAGTATTTACAATACTATTATAACTAATACTACTTATATATATTACTAAATTTCTTATTATTTTGAAATTACTTTCTAATTACTTTCTAGTTGTAAATTTATTTTGAGAAAATAATAGTTTAGATTATTTCCAAAAAAGTAATCACTTCAAATATATTTTCCAAATATTTTCTAACTATATTAAAAACTATTATTACTATAAGTAAGAAAGTTATTAGTCAAATATATAATTTCTAAATATTTTCAAAACGTCTTCTAACTAGTTTATAAATTTCTAAAACTTTTATTACTCGGGATATATCTGTAACGGTTCTGTTATTCTTCCGACGGGGAATCCTAACAGAGGTGTTCTGTTTCGTTTGCGTAGCGAAGTAATGCAGTGATCTCTTCTAATGATCCGTAAGTGATATCAGGGTGAGTGAATCACGGAAGGAGTCAAGTGTAATCAAAGTAAACTGTTATGATTTATATTCAAGTTGAGCACGAAG